GGTTGTGACCCTGAGAAAGCGACTGTATTCCCATGTTAAAACAAAATTTTCAAGGCCAAATTCTATCATTATAAAGGAAAAAAAACCAAAAAGTTTGTAGGTAAACTAAAACATATTTCAAACCTTTGCCCAAAGAAAAAAACTTGTTTCCCTGTCTCAGTACTAATACGTGCCGTGCAGTGAAACAAGAGGAGAGGAGAAGCAAACCCTAACGTAATAATCTTGCACAGGTGTGGAGCTCTGAACGGCTTAATTGGGAGTAAGTTGCTTAAATAAATTTGATAAAAAGGAGAATTCCTAAAACCAAAAGGAGCAAGCCGATAGACGCAAAATTGTCAGATTGACTTATTGTTTAAAACAGAAACCTTTACATGTTTAGAAAACTACATATTTGCCCTGAAAGAAAAGGATCCTGATTATCTAATAACAAAAAAGAGTTATATCTTAGGAGGAAAATAAAAAACTAGAACAAACAAAGGTTAGAAATTCCTTAATACAGATGAGCCGCCATCGAAATGCAGAACGCTTTCGTAATGCCACTCATTCTTTTCACTCTTCCTTTTTAAGGCGGCTTTTACAAATGATGCTAAGGAACTCTGCTATGAATCTTTGACATTCCTCATGTAAAAATCTAGGACTTCCAGTAACCGTTGAACTCTCATAAAAAAACTTCGGATAAATCTACAACTTTAAATTTGTCTTCAACAACTTTTAAATTTGCTCAACAGAACACAGCGAATAACACACCCAATACGAAGTTCTTCTGACTATGTTAAACGAGGAGTTGAAGCGCCAAAAGGTAATCCACATTCGAAAAAAAAAGGAGAAAAAACTTCCCACAAATTATAAAGCCTAATTCCAGCACACCAAAAACTTAAATGCGATAGATAACGCATTTGTAAAATAATTCACCAAAACTTATGAGGAGATCTTAAAACAAACAAAAATTGATGAACAAAAACTCCTCAGCAAGATAAAGGGAATGGAATTACTAAAAATATCCAAGTTTAAGGCACAAGAATGAAAGAAAAAAATAAAAAATTAAAATCAATAATAGTAGTTGCAAATCGCGATTACTTGAACAGATGGAGAATCTGATAAGGCAGTGGCGGCGATGGTTGAGTTACGGTTGGAGGTTGTCGGATGTTTTAGCAAGGTTCAGGGGAATCCATAGAGTTGAAAACCTTAATTATTTCAGCCCTAGAGGACACTCTCTGCATCTTTACTTTCTCTCTCGACTTCCTCTGAGACTTCGAACTGTAGAAAAATGTGAAAATGCCGAATGTACAAATACAATCACATTTTTTTTTTCTTTTCTGTAAATTTCTATACTATTATCGATTTTCTTTTGAGGGATAGTAGTAAAAAAAAAAAAAAAAAAAAAAAAAAAAAAAAAAGAGGGGAAGAGACGTAGGCTGAGGCAGGCGGGTGTTTTAAAAAAAAGTGAAATCAGAGACGGGGAACATTTGTACTGGGCCGTTTTCGGGTTTTGGACGGGCCTAATTCTCACAGGTTATCATATTTTCTACCAATGGGCTCAATGATTAAATTACGCTGCAATGTTTCGGCGAGCATTTGAGCCCCTTCTTTATTTCAAGGAAATGGACCATCAAAATGTACCTGAACCAGCAGAGTATAAAATTATAGTTTGTGATCTCCCATCATGGGCCGATAGACTTATTCATCACATAAAATTTTTGCTAGCTTGGGAATTTATTGATACTTACGGGACCCAATTAATATTCCAACATTGCAACTATATCATTTTTATTTATATTTTTCTCTCTTAATATATAAAGAAAGATGATGGATTAGTTATTATACAGCAGAAACATTTTTTTTTTTTTTTACTTAGGATTGAAAAATAGAGACGTGCTGAAATATGCTTACGTGGTGATTTTTATCCCGGTGTTTCCCCTAATGTGTACAATAAAGTTGTATTGAATGTTAAGGTCATGGATTTATAGACGAGTTTCATCCTAAAGTTGTAGGAGAGGAAGTGCAAATCTAGTTCTTCTTTCGGCTTTCCAGGATGCTCTATATAATCATTTGGATTCAAATCTTTTTTTTTTCCAATTCTGATTTATCGTTTCAAAAACTGGACGAGATTTTGCAACTCCTAAATTTAATTAAAAAAAAAAAAAAAAAAAGATTGTTGGAGGGTAAAAAGTAAAAGCAAAGGCTGACCATTTTTATCTTTGGTTGATTCACATTCCACACGTCCGTGTCGCGAGACGGTGCGCATGCGAGATCTAAAGACGAGCGCGACACTGCACGCGTAGCAAGGGGTAGATTTTGGAAATAATTGTTTCCGGGAGTAAAAGCCTCCGGATGTATAGTGATCGAGGATGTAGCGGTAGAGCTGAAGGTTCATAGAGTTTGGTTTTTTTAAAAAATCAATTGGTGTTGTTTTATTCTTCTCGTGAATTGGTTTAGTGCAGAGGTAAGTTCATAGATGTGACGAAGTATGTTAGTCTTTTCTTTCCGATTTCTTTGTAAATGTTTAATTGAAAACTTCCTGTAATAAAGTGTGTGCATTTGTAGAAATGTGGGGTTCGGAGGTCTTTGTTTTTTTTTAATATTTGAGAAAGAAGATTCGAAACTAACGGTCCAATCCTATTGTCTTTAGCTTAAAATACTTCAGAATTTTTTTCTTCTTTTCAACATTTCATTCCAAATTATTAAATATTGCAAACCCAATAAAAAGAGGTTTAGGCAGATCAGAGAAAAGGCCCACGCAAGCATGAATAGTTATTATTATTTTTTTTTCTGAAAAGATGTATAGTTTTTATTATTAATTTGTGTTTCACAAATTTAATCCGTAATGCCAAAATTTAATGCACGAACGTAAAGTGGTTGTTGTAATATAAATTATTATATCAAACTGTGAAAAAAAATTTAAAAAGTAAAAAAAAAAAATACTATGTGTAATCAATAATTGAAAAAAAAAAAAAAAAGGAAAAACGCAGGCGAGCAGTTATTAATATATTGCAAGGGAGACGCAGAAAAGAAGAAGAAACTTGAAGGGTTAGAATGGAAACCAGGTATGCGTACTAGACAAGTATTTACTTGAAATTACAAGAAAAAAAAAATAGAGAAAAGTATGAAAGGTATCTAATTAAAGAAGAGTATAGAAGTTGGGCATTGTAATGGGGAGATTAAAAGAGAAAGTAGAAAAGAAGTATTGTTGGAAGTGCTTGGGTATTGGTCGATGGTCATGCATGAAGCACTTTCCCAAAGGGAGAATCGGAATTTCAGCTCCCCTCTTTTTAGCTTTTTCACATTTTGCTTACAGCTCTTCTCTTACCATTCCCCAAGAAATGGTGGGTGAATGATCTAATGGGTTTTCCTTTCTTTTTTTTGTTTTTTTTTTTTCTCTCCATGTTCTTTCGTTGTGTGCTGTGTTGACAGGGCAGGAATATGGAGAAAGAGAGATTTCAGAAAAAGGCCAATTGAGGCGGAAGGATGAGAAAGTGAAAGCGAAGAAGTAAAATTGACAAGTGAGAAAAGCCGATTTGACAGTGCGGAAAAGAAAAAGAAGAAGGTGAAGTAAGATGGAGGTCAAAATTTGAAACCTTCGAAGGACTTCTGCTAATCATCAAGCTGGTCGACCTGATGTTTATTCGAGGAAGAGTCTTAGCTATTTTTTCTTCCTTTTAATTGTTGAACCGATTGATATATTCCCTTATACCTTTTCTTAAAATACCATATTAATTTATTATTCTTCAATAAACTTATTTTGCGAGAAAACAAAGTAGTTCCTTGAATTATAGACAAACCTTTACTTTATCTTTTGCCTACGAACTCACTGTGTAAATTCCCCCTCAAATTACCCAGAACTGACATGCACGAGATGACCCAATAATATATTATCTTCTATTACATAATTTGATTCTGTGATAAAGATTAATTATCATCCCATATCAATATGACATGTTTTTATATGCCTATAAATGATTCACAGTAGAATAACCCAGGATTTGATCAGGATTAAAACTTGGTAAACTATGGGAAAAAAGGAAAAAATTACAGAACTGCAAATATTTCATTTTCCAAATTGTCGGTTTAGCTGGTCAAATGTTTCCTGGAATTTAACAACTTATACTCCTTGTAATGAAAAATTAAAGGAAGAACAACTATAAAATGAGAAAGAAAGAGAAATAAAGTATGTCTTAAACCCTATTTGACTTGTCCGAAAAGTTAAGTTCCAAGTACAAATAAAAGAAAATATTCAAAATGGGAAAGTAGCCACCATTTTTTCCATAACAGTGAACTTGGTATAAAGAGAATATGGGTTCATGAGATTCTCAGTATATATATCATAAATCAAAGGGAGAAATGACCCATCCGACTGTTGTAGTTTCACCCAGACAAGAATATATAAGGGTGAGGTAAGGTAGGGTACATTCTTCAATTTCTTTAGTAGAAAGACAAAATTGAATAGTATGCGTAATATTCAATTTGTAGGTAACAAGAAAGTGATTTGTTCCTCCTTATCCTGTTTCACGATCTCAACAAAACATTCATGCATAACAGAACTATTGCGTGGGGACCCTTGATTTATATTTTGCCAGAAAAAAAAAATAAGAGGGCCCTAATTTTCCATAGTCAAAAAAGATTTTTTTTCTTTACCATTTAATTCACAATGAGAGTTAAAAATTGAAAAAAAAAAAAGAAAGAAAAGAAAGGAAATGACAGATCAAGAGCTTATGTTGTGCTTAGTTTAGAGGTTACAATTATACTTTAGGTGGGCACGCAGTCTTAGAGCTTCATTTATAGATCAATCTCATAATTGGCTTAATAATAATTATAATTGGAGCATTATTTTATTTGTTAGCAATTCGATTAAAATGAGACACTATCGGGGTGATTTTAAAAAGATGTAGGTTACTGTAAAATATTAGTTTATGGCTATCATTCTTGCGTATTAGTAACGTATTTGCACAATTTTCTATATATGTACACACATTATATATTCATTGTTTTCCTTTTACTTATAGGAAATTTAGACAAGGAAGAAGATGAGCAGACCAGGGGATTGGAATTGCAGGTCATGCCAGCATCTCAACTTCCAAAGGAGAGACTCATGCCAGCGTTGTGGGGAGCCAAGGCCTGGGGAGAGAGGCGATCATTATGTAAGGCCTGGTGGTCCATCTTTTGGATTTACAGGACCTGATGTTAGGCCTGGTGACTGGTATTGCTCCTTTGGCAACTGCGGAGCTCATAACTTCGCTAGCCGTTCAAATTGCTTCAAGTGCGGTGCTTCCAAGGATGATTCCTCTGCTGGATTCGACCCCGACATGTCACGAATGAGAGGTTTTGGGTTTGGCAGTGGCAGCACTAGTCGCTCCGGATGGAAATCCGGCGACTGGATTTGCACCAGGTTACAGTTAATTTTATTTCATTAAAAAAGAGAAAGAAAAAGTGTTAGCATTATAATTAACTGAATAAAACTTGATTTAAAAATGGCAGGTCTGGGTGTAACGAGCATAACTTCGCAAGCAGGACTGAGTGCTACAGATGCAACGCGCCAAGGGAATCATCGGCTAGCAAGACTTCATATTAATTAATAAATAAATTTGAATCGAAGATTGCACTTTAATTTTTGTCCGTACCGCTATTTTCGTTCTTCACTTTGGATATTTTATCTCTTTCTTCTTTTAATTAGAATTCATGTATGAAGACTTAATTAAAAATCAAGGAGAGAGAAATTAAGAGAGCTACATCAGCATTTTGTGAGACTTGTTAATTATTATAATATAATATCTAGTGTCAGTTTGTGTTTGATTTCAGACAGTATCTAGTGATCTTTTCATTATTAATTTATTATTTATATATAAATATATAATTTAGTTATTAACTGCTTAATAATAAGCAAGGCAGCTTTGTCCATGAGTGGTCCACGGAATATTTGACTTTAAGTTGCAAATAGCAGGAATTAAAGGAGTTGCCGATGGACCACAGACACAGTAGTAGTGAGGTCCTTTGGGTAAATTAATATCATAAGAGATAACCAATATGAGATTCGAAGAATGTGTTTGAGAATTTAGACTTTAAGGACAAACAAACCATCGTATATATATAATTATTACAAAAATGCAAGCGCTAATAATTATTAGTTCGCAAAAAAATATTATCAAATGGAATTTATTTTAATATATAGTTGTAATCTTACAAATTCAGTCAAAAAGGTTATCAAAATATTAATTTCTTATTAGAAGTATAATGGAGCAAAATGTCATGCTTTTAAAAAATTTATTTTCGAAACTTTCATACAGGCTTTGGGGGACTAAAGTTCACCCAAGTCCTAATGCCGATCCGGTCCATGGAAATGAGTCGTGACAGATGGTGAGTGAAATTTATGAAGAGTGATTATGCTATTATCGTTTTAATGGATGGGATGAACTCTTGCATCCATAATCATGATCTAATGAAATATGTATTATAAATAATTGAAAATGAATAATAAAAATTGATACATAGGATTCCAAAACTTTTAAGAACAGGTTTGATAGGTTCCCTGATTGACCTCTTGGGTATGTTTAAGAAGAAATGTTATATCATTGGTCAAAAAGTAAGCACACATTCATTAGTGTCTGCTACTACACTCCATTATATAGCTTTTAGCAAGATTCTTTGTTTCACTTTAAGTATATATTTGCCTTTGTTGATGTTAGTGAAGTCAAGTACTTCTCATTTAATCATTTTTTTTTTTTTTTTTTTTTTCTTTAAAGGTAACTTATTCAATTTTTTTTTTTTTTTTTTTTGGTACTTATCACATTCATGCATAAAAAATTATTATTATTTCGTTTCGAAAAATAAAAAAGAAAACATAATACTAAAACATTCAAACAGTGGATTTATATTTATGTAATATAGAATTTTACTTACACTGAATTAATATTTAAAAAAATGTATTTCAATTAAATAGGAAAAAGACAATTGATGGAGGGTATTGCTTATAAAAGAAGAGCAAAAACATCTTTAATCATGTTTTAAATGTCAGTTGGGCCCAAATTATATATATAAAAAAAAAAAATGAAAACCAATTTAGTGGATTATTAAGTAGAAATTAAAAATTATCAACACTGTGACAGTCAAATGGTATCAAAAACAAGGGAGCTTTTTATCCAATTCAAGCTTAAAAATACTTTTTTAAAAGTTTATCCTTTTTCAAACTTTATAAACCAAGCATGCTCAACCTCAACCCTTATTAAAGTTTTTCCTTTTCTCCCTTTATCACCCAAACACGTTCTACTCTTTTTAGCACATTAATGTCAATTGCCATAAATTCTTATCCTCTTTCTCTTTCTTTGTCTCTTTCTTTCATTTTTTTTTTTCTTATTCAAACGTTCGTTATCGTATTACTTTTTTATTACCCTATTATAGATATTACTTTTAAATTTGTTTTAATAATTATTGAAAAAAAAAATACAATAGTATATCAAATTCACAAATAATTATATGCAAGAACTTACTTTTTTGTTTCATCGGAATTGTACAATGTAATAGTTCAATTTGGTCCGAGTGGCCCAATAGGTTGGGCTAATGTTATAGATTTTTCAGAATGGGCCCTTGTTAGCTACCCATAATCCCAGATTCACTCCAGCAAAGGGTCTTTGAAACGGCAAACATATTAGCAAAGTCTAGTTAAATGGGCCACTAGCTGAACCACTGTGCTCTAGTCTTAGAACTATGGACAGTCCAGCATTTACGATAAAGAAATGAAATAGGAGGCCCAAATTAAATAATATCATTCAGGAAAATAGAAATCCCGTCCATGCAATAAAATTTCCGATCGATCCTTGACAGAAAAGTTAATAGAGCGTCGGAGACGTTCCACAGCATCGCTGGCAGCCAGGCGCTTCGTCATGTAGCCATGTAAGTAGGCTTTTGCAGCTGAATGTTGTTCTTCATTTTACATGATTTTGCGTTAGGCAGCTCTAAATGAGTTATCAATCGAATTGTTATCCCATTATTAGGAAGAGTATTTGCATTGCTCGTGCGCATTTTTCGCCTGCCAAGTGTTTGACAAAATGTTAGGTTAAGGGTGATGGAACTTGCATGTCGTGTTATTTGTAATAAAGAGGATTTGGGCTAATAATGAACTATAGGCATTTACAGAAGTTTTTTACTTCAAAGAGAAGTGGTACTTTCCACTTTCATTATCTGTCATATCACTGCTCGAGAGGATCCCAGGAAGAAGTTTTGCCGTTTGAATGGTACGAGAAAGCATTCCCAACTATAACAAATTTGACCCACCAGTTACGATATGTGGACTTGATTGATGGAAAGCTTCTAAATATCAATGATGGTTCAATCATTATCGATAATCATATTTCACAGAAGATGCATACTTTGAAGTCACTTGTGAGGGTCTTTGTTGGGTCTCCATTTGTTCAGCAAAATCTAAGGGACAGCATAGAGGCCGTGTCAGCTAATGCAGAGCTGAATCCAGCTGCTTCTTTTAGCAAATTAAGTGAAAGAGAGCCTATGATTGTGGATTCACTCACCAAAATAAGCAATTTCCTTAATATATCTGCTCAACAGAGGAAGTTGGTGCGTCACACTATATGCCCACAGGTAACGAAGCACCGGATATGGACAGGTGCACTCATGAAAATATTAAATGGGTTGAAATCAGAGATGGATGAATATTCAGGCAAAGGGAGTAACATGGGGCATCAGATAGTTTCTAGCTGCTTAAGGTTCTTAGCTGATAACTACATTTCAGATCATGACGGCACTTCATGGATGCAGCTTCGGCCCCCTAAAACTATGGAATCTTCTGGTTCTGGTACATGGGAAGATGTCCTTGAGATGTTTAATGATCTAATTGGGTGCTTAGGAAGTGAGAAGGGATTACTTTATCATGTGGCGAAGCTTGAGGTAATGAAAGAAGGGTTGTCTCAAATCAAGGATGTTTTGGTTGATAAAGGTATTGGATACAGGGAGGCTCAACACCAAGAAAGCCTGGTGCAGAAGAAACTCTCAAAGACGTTGGGTCACTCTTCACGCTGTTTGTTCACACTTTTATTGTATTACCTCTATAGACATGTTAGAGACATTGAAGTTGATTTATGTGGTGGAATTTATGGCAATGATGGTGGGAGTACATTTCGCTTATACATGGGAAGGATTTTGACCTCGGATGAAGAGAAGATGGTCGGAAGTGGGGTGAAGCAGTTGCACAGGGCTCTTGCGCTATTCAAATTTATATGGGAAACAGCAGGGATGCAAGGAGTTTTGGAATTGCAAGGTCACATGTGGTGTATTGGCGCCAAAGATAGGACACTCACATATAGAGGAACCTTGTTCTTTGTACATGGTATTAGTCTTTGACATAAATGCAATGGAATTACCAAATCAGTTGTAATTTTCACAGTGCAGATTGAGATTTGATCAAGATATTTCACCTATTCCCTGTTGCTTTTGTTTATCAAATTCGTCATGGAATACTGGGATAAAAGAAATTATTATCCTTGTATTATTAATGAAGTAAGCTTGTTTTAATCACATGCCACATAGGCAGATGCTGATCAGATGGCCAAAGAAATAACACGTCATTTAAGAACGGCTTTGTTTTACACGTGGTATGAGGGATCAGCTGAATGAAGTTTGTTGTGGGTGACATCGATATTGAAAACTGGACGGTAAAAAATTGTAATTTGTAGAGAAAAGTTTTTCTGGAAATTTACTTTTCACACGTACGTACTATGTAGCTTTTCCCTTGTGTGCTGTTTGTTACTCACTAATTAGTTTTGTTAAACAAGAAGACAACTGAACATTCTGAAAACGAAATCATTTTTTATATCTATCGAAATTTTAAAAGATTTTCTTGAGTTTTACTTGCATCCAATTCTATCCTCGTAGTCCTTGAAATCAAGCGTGGATAAACCACGGCAATTTCCCGGGTCGGAAAATCGCCTAACGACTCTTGGCGGTTAAAACCCTAACCTGTTGCTTGCTTTGTGCTAATAGAGATCAACGAGGTGGATTAGGCGAGCGACTAGGTAGTATCAAAGTGATTACTTCTTAATCTGTTGGTTTTTTTTTTTTTTTTTTTTTTTTTTTTTTTTTTTTTTTAAACGAGGTGGATTAGGCGAGCGCTAGTAGTATCAAATTGATACTCTTAACTCTGTTTGGTTTTTTTTTTTTTTTTTTTTTTTTTTTTTTTTTTTTTGTCAATTATAAATCAAATTTATTAATATTAATGAAGCGGCTTATTTTTTTTTTTTTTTTTTTTTTTTTTTTTTTTTTTTGTCAATTATAAATCAAATTTATTGATTATGAAGCGGCTGTAAGGGTCTAGCAACTGATTTCAATTAAAGAGATAAGTTTCTAAATTTCACTGATTTCACACTAAAAAGGGTAGGTCTGTTCTTTATTCAAAGTTCAGATTAATCGGGAAGCAATTGATACCTAAAGGCTGAGCCTTCTGCAAAAAGATACCTAAAGCAGTTTTTTGAGTTTCAAATTCCTGCTTCCCCGTATAATTAAAAACGAAGAGAGCAAGAGAAAATATTTGACAACTTCAACAGTAAAACTAATAAAACTTGAAATAAGTTATGTCCAACGTAAGACTAAAAAAGAAACAGCAAAGGAATTAAATAGAAGAGTTTCCTATAATAATCACTATTTTTTTCTCCAAGAAACAATAAAACCGTTTCATCAATTTTGGAGGAAAAAAAAAAAAAAAAGTAGAATTGCAAGTACTGCATCTGAATCTTCGAGTCTTCTCTAATTCTCATGTCCTGTTCTACCTGTTAATTATCTAATGCTCTTTTGCTACTTATAGAACTTGAAAATGATTTAACGACAAAAGAAGTAAATAAAAAATAAAAAATTGAAGCTCTTGTATCTCTCCCCCTTATCTTTGAAAAGGTTAATGTTTCCTTGATTTGTTGTCATTCTCTCAACCTTTTTTTCATAATTGCTCTTCTATATTGAATGAAATTATTTTGGCGAAATGCTTTGGTGATGCTTCCTTGTAGTGTCTTATGCTTTACCACTTCGCTTCTCGCAAGACACAAGATTATAACGGCCATCTTCAATGTAATGAGCTCTTCCTTGTCTCTACCTTCTAATTGCTATCACCCTTCAGGTTCCTGTGGATAAATCTGTGAAGCATGCCTTATTCATCGTTAGTTACCACCCTTTTTTTTTAATATATATATATATATATATAATATATAATTACATTAACGATAGAAGATGTAAGTATATATCTTGCCCCTCCTGGACTGAAATTTGTCTTCCTTGAAGCTTATATATATATATATATATATATTACCATAAGATAGAAGATTTAAGTATATATCTTGCCTGACTGAATTTGTCTTCCTTGAAGCTTGAGGTTCTGAGCTTCAACTCGCCTCTGTGGGTTGTCATTTCGTCCAATATCTCAGCATCGTAAAAATCATCTTCACTTGTTACTTCATTCTCCATGTCATTCTCCTGCACCGAGTTATCAAGTGCATGAATATAAAAATGGACGATTAAAACAGAGCTGGAACACCAATAAAATTTACTGCTACATTTTATTTTCAGTCCATTTCACCAGCAGCAGAAATGGGTATTTCTTGAATCTATTCCTATTTTTTCTTATTTGTGACTGCGACTGAAAGAATATTGCTCCTTCCTAATAAAAAAAACATTAATGATTGGAATAAAAGACAATACCCTGAGCAAATGACTCTGTCCAGCAAACTCTTCATATCCAACAGCATCTAGTTCTTGAAGGTATCGAGGATGAATCACCTTGGGAAAGATAGAGTGCCTTATGCCAATGAGTAAGAAGAATGGCAGTGGAAACAATACACCGCCTATGGGTATCCATGTCACCCCAAAACAAATCAGAAGGTATACAAATTGGAAGAGCGTAAATATAACAATTTGCTTGAACGGCACCAACTCCACAAATGAAGCATGAACACCTTCCAATAGTCTGCTCAAAACAATTTCACAAAAATATAAGAATTGGAGCTCACAATGAAAACCTTTCAATCCCCAGATAAAGCATGATTGTGTATCATATCATGGTGTAGTCAGTTAAAGTACAATGTATCAGGCTATCACTAAACAAATGATTTGAATTGCGTTTAAGGTAAGTGACTTACTTGTACCGCCGTTTTGCAGGAATGAAGAGCAGTAATATCCTTTCCCAGAACTGGTTCCCTGGGAGACTATCAATGGCCATGTATGCAAAGTATCCCCAGAGAACTGAAGTAGGTATATTTTTTACTATGGGCAGAGCACATGTTGCTAATCCAACAAGCAGCGATTGTAATAGGTTACTCACCCTCTGTTCATTAACTCTTACAGGCAGGTAAGCATCAATATGTTTATCTGGATCAAATATTTCGTTTGCACCCCCTCCATCATCATTTTTCATTACAGCCTCTTTCAAATCTTCCAACTCTTTATCTACTGAAGCAGTCTGCAGGAAATCCGTGTCAAGTATAGCATGCTGAAATATATCTTGAAGCGAGATTTACAAACCTCAGGCACTTACAGGTGGAGCTGTGTCCATTTCTATGAAAACAGCTTGCATCTTTCCATAAATTTCTTTGTTGCTTGCTTTCCTTTCGATGCATTCCTTGGCGCTTTTTACCATCTTCTTTCGGATCAACTGCAAACCATGCATGTACCATTTAATAACTGAAACAAACTAGATTCCTACTAATATATAATAATTTTTTTAAGTGACAGCACACACACAGAGAGGAAAGTTCAAAATCTGCACCAGACCTGCTTCTTAAGAACTGCAAGGCTCTTAGTATGCATGGGTGATTGGGGAAGAACACCATTTGAAGGAGGGAGTCCAAGCAACCCACAAATTAATGTCTAAAATCACGAATAACAAATAACATCTAAGTATAAAAGCTGCACAAAGAACAAATAAGAACGATAACTTGCAAGGAAAAACAAAAGGTGCCATGAATTGCAGATACCAAAAATCCGAGCAGCAAGATGTCATAATGGTAAGCTGATGGATTTTTGAGATTGAACTCCTTTTGTTGTGCCAGCTGTGAAGCTACACTGTGGTCAAAAAAGTATAGCCCTGCTATCATAATGGCTGGTACAATTGCAGCAAAGATGTAAACCAATGGAACCTTCCCCATATCCTGCAATTTGATTTTTTAAATCTATTTAAGCTTATATAACATTATTTCAACCCACTTAATCACCTATAGAGAAAGATTAACCAAGACCAGGATAGATGATTATACTCATAAGTCATGACCAGAAAGGCCAAAGCCCCAACAAGAAATTTATATAGGCCCCGAAATAAACATCAAAGAGACATGAAATCCTCAGCAAAGAAATTGCCAAACAGAAAAAATTAATTTATAGTCAAATTGTACCTTAACTACAGTCCAGTGATACATTGATGCAGAATCCCAAAGAAGAGGACAATACAGCCTCCTAGGAACTCCTGTAGGAACTTTACTTGGTACACTATAAGACATCAAAGTCCACAGCAATACCATTAGGGGAACCCCATAGTCTGCAATAAAACTTCGAAACCATCCTGTGGAGAATTGAATAGAAGACAAAAATGTCTAAGCAAACATTGTTTTGTTCTTTTACGGCATCAATACACTCAGATTAAGCTCTTCTACCTGTGCCATACCGCCATGACCTCGCTTTTCTGCTTTTGAGGGCAGTGCCCAGCAAACCCAATGAGAAAATGATTGCAAGCAACCCATTTGCATACAACCATTGGAATCGGTATTGTTCCAATTTGGGATTTGCATGTTTGGGAATATTAAATTCACTAACAAGTCCCTGTGTTTCAAACATAAAAAATAGTCTCATCCTGTTATACCCAATGTCCACTAAGAAACAATAATGCCAACAAATATGCAGACCAACCAGTACCTTGATAGCCTCTTGAAAGAAAAGAACTGTAATCAACATTCCAAAAAGCTCACCAGCAATTCTTGTAAATTTAATGATGATATTGCCAGCATTAAAAATTGCTAGCAGAAAAAGCATAAGTGCTGTCCAAACACAAACCCTGTAAAACATGTAAAATAACAATGAATCAGTAAAAACACTTATGTCTCTTCATTCTTCTAATTAAACAAAGAAATTAAATAAGCTCGCGAGATGTAATAATTCCCTTACCAACCAGCCCAGGCTAAGTACAATTTCTGGCCTAACTCTTCCCTTCCTATGCTGAACTTGTACAAATAAGTATACATTATAATCGTTGGTTCCGCAACTCCTACTATCAACAATGGCTGACCTCCAAAAATTGAGTGGATTATTCCGCAAATAGCTGTAGAAACTAAGGCTTCCACTGTACTCAGACTTCCATCTGGCAGTAGGCAAACATAATCCTCAATTACACTCAGAGGCTATGACTTAAGAGAGTTGCATTACAACAAGTTTGAAGATTGAACAAAAACTACCTGTATCCCTATTCAATTGCTCTCCAAAGGCAATAACAGGAAGCGCAGAAGCAAAAAAGATATAAGTAGTTGGAGCCAATATCCTGACATGCATAAAAACGAATAATGAACCAAACTTCAAATTAAAGCCTAAGAATAATACATATAATTAAATATCAGGACACTTACCTAATGCCAGTTTTTAATCCATTAGTCCAATCGTCCTTATAGCATGCAGCTCTTCCTTTCACATCTTTGACTATTCCCTTGAATGGAGACTTCAAGCTCTCCATTCCTGATGCAAACTGCAAAGAAACTATGGAGGTTAGATTCGTAAATTTCTCTGAATAAATCCATTAATATTGTCCACAGAGAAAGTATATAAAAACAGGAAAAACAATGAGGAAGCGAACAACGAGTAAATAATCAATTTCCATATCGTTTTCCAATTTTGTCAATTTTCTTAGCAACCAAAACAACAATGAATAATAAAACAAGCATTAATTATCCGTCCATACACGTACGACATCAAGTTCTCCGGCCATTTACAGACCGCTGTTAACTCATACTGATAACAAACACAGCCAATCACATTGCAGTTAGTATACGTATAAGCACATTGAATAATGAGTATGAACCTGAACTACTACTAGTCTGATTAAGATACGAAGACAAAATGTGAGAATTTTCCGGTGGCGGAGGAGGAGGTGGTGGTCGTAGATGTGAGAAGGTGTATTAGGGAGTAAATATAAGGAAAGCTTTATTTGATTTTGTCTCTTGAAAACTAAAAGACTTCACTGTCTCTCTCCCTCCCCAAAATTATCGGGAGAGAGATACGCGTAGCCAAGTCGAGGCGAAGTGCAGGCACATGAAGGTTTTGCTGTCCATATAAAGCAGGGTAATGAAATTGTGGGTCCTATTGAAACAGAATATTTTTGCTTATGTGGTGGAATTTGATTGGATGAATCAATCGGCGACTTCGGTGTGAGAATTGAGAAGGATTCTTTGTGGACCACTGTCATACGCGTCTATGTAATTGAAACATTACGAGGAATGTCGGAATTTTGGAGTTAATTGTGATTTTTTTTCTCTTTGTTTGTATTTTCCAAATTTGATAACTAGCAAAGCATATTTTTCAATTTGATTTGGAATATCTTTTCCATTTATTTTTACCAATCCTCCAATAAGAAAGTAATTAAATGACTTAAATTATAATAATATATTTCTTAATTTGATTAAATTATCTTTTATTATATTTATTTATTATAATTTATTATAATATTCATAATTCAGTCCACTCAAATTAAGAAAGAGAAAAAAAAAGAAAGTAATTAGATGGATTTTACTAAATTATAAAATTATGGTGTTTAATAAGGATCAGAGAAAAATAAAAAAAAATGATTAAAATACTCTTATTTTTTTGTTTATAAAGGAGAATTTTGTTTACGTGCAGAAAATATAAATCCTTTTATTTGAAAAGGTGCGTAAAATATGAAAGAAAATAAAAAATATATTATTTTATTATTGGCCCATAAAATTAGAATCTCTTCAAATTGGAGAAGGAAAAAAATGACGAATGAATTGAAAAAATTTATTAGATTTTGAGAAGAAAAAAAAAATTGAAGGAATTGAAAAATCTTATTGGATTTTATTATTTTTCTTCCCTCATTATTTTCTCTCCACCTTTTTTTTTTCTAAACAAAGTTTAAACCTTCTAAACGGAAAAATAATTTTAGATAAAATGATAAATAGAAATGAAGGGAATAATTGCAATTTGGTTTAAAATAATTTATTTATTAAAAATAATTAAAATTTTAATATTAAATTAAAATTTTGGGCAAATTTCCACAATTAATAATATCTCTCTTCAATATGCACATAGATATTGTTTTTAATAATAATTTCTCCGTATAATATCCAAAAAGGAAATTACAAGAAAAATTCTCCCTAATATTAAAAAAAAAAAAAAGAAAAACATCAAAAAAAATGTTTTGCTTAGAATCTCTTTCATTTACATATTGTATGGAAAATAATGGATTAAATAAAATAATTGAGAAAAAAAATGAAGAATTGTGAATTTTCTTTTCATAATTATTTTTCATGGTAGTGTTTAGTTTTGTTTTGACGAAGGAAAAAAGATAAATTTATTTTCCCTTAATTTAAAAAGAGCAAAATTTAGATGAAATAAAATATTATTATTTGATATTGACAAGCACATTTTAATTTATTTCAAATAATACAATGTGTTTTGGATAATTTAATAAAAATAAGTGCAATATTTACTTTCTTCGATTATTCTTTTTAGACGAGAGAGATTTAAATCCCGATGATCCGAGTAAAAAATAAATAAATATTATTTTCTCTAAAATTTTTTGCTCTTTTTCTAAAGAAAAAAAATACATTTTTCTAGATATTGTTTTTTTAGTATTTAATCTAGCAATATCAATAATTATTTTTTAAAATTAATTTAACTTCAAGTAGAACATAAACTCGGCAATTTTACATTGATACTTTTCGTTGTAATTTTTATCACATATTTGTGGGTTTTTTTTTTTTTTTTTTTTAAATTAATTTAAACTTCAAGTAGAACATAAACTCGGCAATGTTACATTGATACTTTTCGTTGTAATTTTTATTCACCAGTATTTGTGTGTTTTTTTTTGTTTGTTTTGATGTTAAGATTTTTAAATCCCTTGAGGTCCTAGATTAATAATTTAATTCATCTGCTGTTTCTGTGACAGTAATCTTTGTCCTACAAGGGGCAAAAAAATGTTTTTTTTTTTTTTTTTTTGATGATTAAGATTTTAAATCCTTAGTCCTAGATTAATAATTAATTCATCTGTGTATCTGTGACATAATCTTGTCTAAATGCAAAAACGATGTCAGGTGTCTCAAGTGTGAATACGACTACCAAAAGCACATGCAAACGGGAATAAAAAAAAAAGAAAAGAAAAGCATGATTTCTCCAACTAACACGTGCATGAGACACTAGAATAAAATTCATATAATTGTTTTTATTTTCCACATACATTGTGTTTTAAAGATAATGAAAAACATAATAATAAAAAAGAAAAAAAAAATTCTAAAGTTAAATACCTACTACCGAACTAAATACCTAAAAGTTTCAGCTCCTCACGCGTTTGTCCATGCAACGCAAGGCACGTGAAAGATGATCTCTCGTAGATTACAGTAGGAACTGGCTTCATTGTTTATTTATTAATTTTTTTAGTATTAGGAAGAAGAGTTCTGTTGTAAACTGGCTTTATTAAAATTTCCTTACATTAGGATTTTTTGAAGGTAAATACAGAGAACATCAGTCTTCAGTCCTAATTAAACTCTTTAATGTTGTAAAGTTCTATACAGCCATACAAACCTGACGTTATATTAATAACATGCAAACTAACTAGGATAATATATAAGCTACCAAAAACATTGCTAATGACTTGAGCTTCTATTTGTCCTTGTTCCTTCAGTGCTGGTTCAATCTTGTATTCTTCTTGAAAAAATAGCAGAGAAAATATCCATAGTCTAACACATTAACAGGAGAGCTTCACGGGTACGACCAAGCAGTCTTAGTACTGTTGCAGCAATGTGATGTCCAGTCAGCCCAGCAAGAGTCAGCTGTTCCTTCGGCAGTGCATGTTCGATGTATCTGTCTGGTAAAACTATAGGTCGCCACTGGAGAAATTTATTTGAAACAAGATTAGAATTTAGAATTAAGATACAATAGTTTGACTCCAAACAAGAGCTATCATCATAATATATTAGGCGCTATCATGATAGCAGCAATACATCACTTGATTATTACCTTAGTTCTGCCATCAAGCTGTCCATCAAGTGTAATGAACTGTCCGACATGGGATCCAAATCCTCCAACTGAGCCTTCCTCAACTGTTACTAGAAATTCATGATTTTCACATAGCTGTCTGAGAAGCTTCAGGTCGAGTGGCTTGCAGAATCTTGCATCGGCAACAGTTACCTCAATGCCAAGCTTTGAGAGAAGCTGACGAGCTTTGAGGCAGTTCTGAACCATGGCTCCATACCCAAGCAAAGCAACATCTTTACCATCTATAAGAACTTTTCCCTTTCCAATCTGCTCTACAGAAATGGGCAAACAAACAAAAGGTATAAGCTCATGCTCAGACTTAGAATTTCATAATATGCATCAAAGAGTCAGAGAACCAACAATTACAAAAACACAATAAAGGGTTTCAAAATTCAAATAAAACTTTTAAGGGAAAAAAAAAAATTAGAGGAACACCTTGTAAGGCATGTATTGCATGTTCATTGTTGTCTAACACAATATTTATTCATGGGATAACAGGTGACAATAACATGAGGTTGTGTAAGGCAGAATGCACAAGAATAAGAAAAAGGACAGGAATAAGGATATGCTTCCAAACATTAAAAGATTGCCATCAGCAACAACCAAAAGAATTTTCTCTAAGCAACAAATAAGTGTCACTGCAACATTAAATATCAGCACAAAGTAAGAGCGAACAAACAAATACGTCAAGAATTACCTCAATTGGAATTCCACTGCGTGTATAATGGTCTGTCCCAATAATAGCACCCCTTGGATAACGGAAGCAGACTGGACGATCATCAATGCAGGCTGCAGTAGCCACCATGTCCACAAGCTCATCCTCATCAGATGGCGCCATAACAATCATGTTTGGCAAGCAAGACATGAATGTTATATCGAATGCCCCACACTGCATGGGACCATCAGACCCCACCAATCCTGCACTAGGAATTACAAAACGAACTGGAATCTTCTGCTGGTCTACATCATGGATCACCTGTAGAAGCCACCCAAAAAAATAAATAAATAAATAAATAATTCAAAAAATAAGGAGAGTTGTTCCACAATTAGTATTATCTTGTATATTTACAGTTACTGCAACAACTTATGGCCTCATGCTAGCCCATTTCCCCCAATAATTGAAGCATGCATGGCTCATATAACAAAGAAAATGAGAGAATGGAAGGGGAGAGAGAGATAGAACCTGGTCATATGCTCTCTGTAGGAAGGCAGAAGGGATAATGCAAAATGGCTTCAAACCTCCACAGGATAAACCAGCAGAAAATGTAACTGCATGCTGCTCAGCCATCCCCACATCAAAAAATCTGTCAGGAAATCTTTCTTGAATTCGTTGAAAAGCTGTTTCCATTTCCATTCCTGCGTGAACAATCACGATATCTTTGTCCTTCTCTGCCTCCATAAACAAAGCCTCAACAAAGCAGTCACTATAAGTTCGAGTGTGAATACTGTAAAGAGAAGAATCAGACTTACATGAACCTGCAAAATTGATGATGCAAGAAAAATTTATAAAATTATAAAAATAGTAACGAAGTTGGTACAAACTACTTCGGTAAGAAGAATCAAATTATAAAAGTAGTATGTGGTTCCAAACTACTTCAGTAAGAAGAGATAATCACGCATAACGATACAATATACATTAAGAAAAGTATTTTCCAACTTAAAAAGGAAATAAAATGAAATTGACATTTCTTGCATTATGAAACTTTTTTTTCCAACATTTCTATTAAGTTCTATTTGAGAGGATCATATGCTCAAATCAGTTGACTTCTATAAATAAACAGTGGGCCTAGGCAATATGCTTGAACATACCTTCCTGCAGGTTCTCCAATGACTCACTCCTTTCCTTATCTTCTAGTCCCCGATTTTCTTCTGTTATTACATGTACCAAGACAGGACCCATTGAATCTAGAGACGCCACTTCTTGTAGAACACAAACTAGGTCCTCAATGCTGTGTCCATCAACAGGACCTATGTAGTACAGACCAAGTTCCTCAAAAAGAGTCGAACCTGGAGGACCGATCATACCACGTGCATACTCATCAACTTTGGCTGCTAATTCATGCATGCCCATACCAATCCTCTTGGTAACACCCTTGAAAAAAAAAAAACTCAAACATCATTCTCATACTGATATAAAGATATTAAGTATGCATTAAGGCAGCATAAGGCATGAAATTTGATTGTTCTGTCAATTGTACTAAAAATTTATAAATCCTCTAAAAACCTTCATTGTTCACTTTGAAACTTTTCTGTCAGCCTTAACTACTCGGTCAAGTAGGTAAAAAGACTGCAGAGATTACCTTTGCAACTTCTCTAAACCTTCTGAATGATTTACTTGACTGGAGCTTGCTTAGGGTACTAGATAGAGCAGTGATTGAAGTCTTAGGGCCCTCTTCAATCTTTGGGTGCAAAGAGTGACGGCTGTCATTTAAAATTACTATCATATTTGAGTCCAAATAGCCAGCATTGCTCATTGCTTCATAAACCTGACCAGCCATAGTTGTCCCATTGCTAATGACTGTAACAACACGTTCTCTTTTTCCTTTTATATCACGTGCAACTGCCATCCCTGGTGAGAATACGTAAAAAAGAAGCAGACAAATAAGATTTTTAGATCAGAGAAATTGTATTCATTTACTAACAGCAGAGAATTGGGACCTGAAATTGTAGATAAGAGCACAGCTCTAGCATTAGGCAGCAGGGAAGGTGGGAAACAAGTGAAAAAATAAGAAAAACAGGTGAAGAAAGGAAGAGAAGAAAAATAGCAGTGGCAACCAATATATCTCATTATAATATCTGCAAATATATCCAATACAAATAGAACTCTATTGTTTATATTTGCTAGCCAGATTCCTGAAACATCTTTTGACTAATCAGCTAACTGACAAATATGGTACTTTTAGCTAATTAGCCAATAACAACTGTTTAGCTAACTACTAAATCAACTAGCAAAGCTACTAATATTAACTTACAGGAACCATACTTGTCATCATGAAAGTGGAATAATATGTCAAAACTGAAATAAGCATTAGGAGAAGATATATGGAAATATTACCAAGCCCAGCAGATATACTATTGCATCCATGCCCTGCCCCAAATGGATCATATTCACTCTCAGATCGAGATGTAAAGCCTGAAAGACCATTCTTTTGCCTTAGCGTGTGCATAAGGGACCGCCTTCCTGTGAGAATTTTATGCGCATATGTCTGCCAAACAACAGATAGAGAATTGATGTAACTATAGATAATATATTTATCTTACAAGTATTAGATTCAAATATGAAAAGACCAATTGCTTGGTCTTACTCTTTGCTTAGCAGTAATATTACTGATCTCCATCCAACTGCTAAACCGTCATCCCCACCAATCTGCCTCCCATTCCAAACTAAATAAATAGCATAAAAAGAGAAACAAGGACACCATGTTCTGTTTCAACTTTTTCTTATGACTAAGGAATCCAGCATATAGAATGCTATGGCTGTTGAACTTGCCTGTTCTCCAACATCCCATAGTATCTTGTCCACTGGAGCATGGAAAATATAATGAATAGCAACCGTCAGTTCCACCACAGCTAAACTTGCCTTCAAAGATTTTTGAGTGCTTGACATTATAGATGTCAATTCTGCCCTTATTTCATCAGCCAGTTCTTTCAGTTCCTGCACAAACCAATCTTTAATAATTACGGAACTAAAGAACTTAATACTGTAAAGCATGTGAAGGAAAAAAGTACATAAAGCTTATGAACTAACCTTAAGGGTCAAATTCTTTAAGTGGATAGGGTTTTCAACAACATCAAGTATGGGCGTAGGAACTTTCTCCCAGAAGATATCATCAAGGTCAGGTACAGAACATATCCGACTAACAAATCCCTACAACATATAAAAAACACACACACGCTTATTATACAACAAACAATATAATTACATCGTTCAAGTTTTAAATTTATAAAAAATCTAGATCATCTGAATAACATCTCCAAACTTTTAAAATTAATACTTATTTTAACCTCCAATAGACTTGTCAATGGCTAAAGTAAGAAGCTAAGAACTCAAAAACTGCCTTCTTGGTGCAAAACAATATGGAATTATGGATATACGCAAGTCTATCTTACCCAAAATGATAGAACTGACACTAATTAGCTTAACTAAGTTTGACAGGATCCAAAAGCCTATAAACACTAATTCACTGAATGCGGAACGTGGAGGAGAAGCATTAACAATTTACTTCATACCGGCGGACGATTATCTTAGGTTAAAACGGCTTAACAAACTGATCAGAAAGCTATCTCCAGTAGCATAGTTCTCGGCATTGCTTTTAAATCCATATCTCCCACTCTGAACCCCAAATCAAAATCTAAACATTGCTTGATATCCAAATTCTTGTGATAAGACTAATCAAAAATTAGTTTACTCAAGGCATGAGAAATGTACTTAGCATTGCACCAATCCAGAATTATTATCTTCTCTTCGGATGTCTGAGGTAGTAACTAGCATAAAACAAACAATAGCACGAGAAGATAGCCTCACGAGCAAGCATAAACATTAAAGAAACTCCATTCGCAAAACTAATGAGCTTATAAGAAAAACGATTATCAAATCTTTCTCAAATTCCATTGGTTGCTTATAATAAAACTGAGCAGAAATGTAATGTCAAAGCCTTGCTAGCTATCAAATACAAAAGAAGTCTAAGAAAAGTCAAATCTTCAAATTTTCTCGTTCCCAACTCTGCATGTAACGTAAAAGGAACAAAGAAGAGAACTTTATGACATACCTTGGAATTGGTGATTGAAGCAGAAGTTTGGTACAAGTTATTTCTTGAAAATCCCACTTTATAATGAAAATTGAAGCTTGAAATATCCAACTTTTGACCAAATTTTCCATTTAAATGTGCAGTAATTCCATACGGATACTGGGTAGAAACAGTATCCATCAGGAAAAACAGAGACCCAAATCCTCAAAATTTACTATTACTTACAAATATAAAACTCCATTCGCAAAACTAATGAGCTGTATAAGTAAAAAAACGATAGTCAAATTCTCAATTCCATGTGGTTGTCTTTATAATAAAAACTGAGCGAAGAAATGTAATGTTCAAAGCCTTGCTAGCTATCAAATACAAAAAGTAGCTAGTAGAGATAATGTCTGTGGTTATAGTCTTTCAAATTGCTTTTCTCCGGTTCCCAACTCGCATGTAACGTTAAAAGGAACAAGAAGAGAACTTTATGACATACCTTGGAATTGGTGATTTTGAAGCAGAAGTTTTGGGTCTACCCCAAAAATAGGGTAAATGTGTGTGTGGAAATCCACTTTTATAATTGAATTGAGCTCTCGTGCATCATACATACTGCCTACATTTTGACCACAATGTTCTTATTCCACATTGAATGTGCATAATCTCCATAACGGTATACTGGTCGGTTAGAAAACAGTTAGCCTCTTCAGAATTATATCAGACCCAATTCCTCAAAATTTTACTATTACTACACGAATCATATATATATAGGATGCAGTTATATAATATATATATAGATATATAACGGCCAATGGGGTATGGCTTTTATAGCATGAAGAAACTTCAACAGAGTCTTAAGAGTGAATATATATATGCAATTTGGGAGCTTATCAGCATAAAAAACTTCAAGCAGAGTCTTAAGAGTTGGATCCTTTGCCCAGAGGAAAGATACCGTTGAAATCACAGAAAATTACAAATATTGAGTAATTTTCCATATTTAGCAGATAAGATAGAAGAAAAAATGGCAGAATACATGACATATATAGAAAGATGATTGGTTACCCGGAACAGCACAGAAGGAGAAAACAAAAATCAACTAAATTTGAGACCAGAAGCAAAAGGAAAGACTATCAGACAAAGAAGCATAATTTTGAGTGTTGGTGGCATCAGTGGTAACTCAACTGAAAAAAAAAAAAAAAAGGAAAAAAAAAAAAGCACTCAGTGCGGTACTCACACTGAAAAAAAACAAAAAAAAAAGGGAAAAAAAAAAAAAATTAGAAGAGAGAGATGAGAGAGAGAAGAGGGAGCTAAACAGGTTAAAGTTCGGGCCTTCTAATGGGGCTTGCATCTATCTGGGCCCTCTAATTCAACTCAGGCTCGTAGTTGACGCTTCTGTGCCTCCCATTCGCGATCCAACGCCCTGCCAAATCCAATAATACGGCTAATAGGCTACTGTACGATCTTAAAAAATATTTTTAATATTCTATCTTAAAACCATCCACCTCACTACGCTATAAGAGTTTGCTATACCAGCGCATTGTCCACGTTCTGATTGGTAACGTATTCATCGCAATAAATGCATTTCGCTTCTATAAAAACTCTAATGGATACAATGAACGGCAAATACGTCTGGGCCTTTGAACAAGCCACAACTATCCCTTGCAAAAAAAAAAAAAAAGAAAAAAAAAAAAAATTAGAGAGAGAGAGAGAGAGAGAGAGGGGTAAAGTTAAAGTTGGGCCTTTATGGGCTTGATTTGGGCCTTAATTCAATAGGTCGTAGTTGAGTTTTGCTCATTGGATCAAGCCCTGCAAATCCATAATAACGCTATAGGTATGTGATTTAAAATATTTTAATTTTATTTAAACATCCATCATACGTATAAGAGTTGTATAAGCAATTGTCGTTGATGGTAACGTATTATGATAAATGATTTGCTTTAATAAAAATTAATGGATACAATGAAGCAATATCTGGCTTGAAAGCAAACATATCCCTTGCAATTAAATGCCTTCACGCTTGGTTTGGCAACATTAAGCATGTATTTTGCATTGTCGCTAACTTTTGCTAATTTAGGCGTTAAATAGTTAAAGAAACAAATCCGCTAAATACATTCCTATATTCAGAATGATGTGAGCCTGTCTTTTTACCATTCTAGGTTTCACATATAGCCATTTCTAAAATTATAAAAAGTTAACCTCTATATATATTTTCATTTACTTCATCTTCGGTTCAAGGCTGAAGCCTGAAAGTGTGTGGAGCTCACATATCCTTCGTTCTTGATTTTACTTATAAGGTATCCCTACTCTCTCTCTCTTTCATCTGTTCTTTCTTTTCGTGTACTATTTATATTCTTATGTACATTAGAGCTTATATGTACATTTTTATCTCTTGTAATGAAAGTGTATTCAATCACTACATCATTTATATTCTGTACATGCACTAAAAAAACAAGTTCATTTTGGGATACAATTGAAATAACTTGTAAAGTTTGGAGTTTTTTTTCATGGTTTAGCCATTGAAAGCGATGTTGAGGGCTTAATAGAGCAGGAAACAGACGGCAAAAACCTATTCTTCTTGTACCGACTTAATATGAAAGTTAGTTAATGTCCCTTGCGAAATTAGAACGACCCGCCGTCTTGGACATTTCTTGATGTTGATACGTTTACATTTGGAAGCTGAATTTTAGACGGCCAATAGTTTCCCCTAATCCAGGCAACTGAACGGGGATATTAAATGATTTTCTTTTTTGTTTTATCTCATTATGCACTGCTAGTGAATGAAAAATTGTTCAATCGCTTCATAAACTATGATTATATATTCTTTAATTCTTATTAAAATCTCATCTAAAATGATTCTCATTCTTGAAATATGTAATCTCAGAATCTTGTGGTCTCTCTCTAACTAAATAATTTTTGCCTTTTTATATATATATATATATATTGACTTAGTAAAAGTAATGGACTTCATCAAGATAAAATGGTCCCAAAGCACATCGAAGCGAGGTTTTGTAATATGTAGAGAGGTTTTTATTTTATTTTCTTTCTTTTGGCAGGGAAAAAAAATGGACAAGCCTCAGCAACCATCATATCTATTATTCCTCTTCTTGTTAGCAATAGCAACTCTTTTCCCTGTCTCACATGGAGATGTTGGCACAGCTGCGCACTACAGTCCTCCATATTTACGTGAGTGCCGTTGATTATTAGTCTTCAAGACTGGACATTTATATAACTGAAATTTGAAATTTGGAAGTTTATATTTATATGATATTGTAAACACGCAGCAACTGCCTGTTATGGAAATGACGAGTCACAGTTCCCTTCGAGCAATCTGTTCGCAGCGGCTAGCGAGGGAATATGGGACAATGGGGCGGCCTGTGGAAGACAATACTTGGTAAGATGCATCAGTGCAGTTGCTCCTAACACTTGCAATCGAGAGAAAATCATTCGGGTAAGGATTGTAGATCGCGCACAAACTTCTGTGTCTAGACCTTCAAGAAATGGTGCAACCATTATTCTTTCTGACATCGCGTTTGCTCAGATTGCTAGTCCTTCTGTGTCTTCCGTGAACGTTGAATTTCAGCAGTAAGCTTATTTTCATCTTATTAAATATATTTTTTATTCTCCATAAATAGATTTCTCGACAGCATTCATTAAAATACAAAACATTTTTTTGCAAAGAGATTGTACTGAAACATGATATCTTCAATTTTCTTCTTCTTCTTCTTCTTCTTCTTTTTTCTCCTGCACAGAGTTTAACGAAGCCAGGCCAGCATTTAATTATCTCTGCAACTTGAAGGCTGAGAAGTCAATGCTTTATTCATCTTCTTGATTTTAGATTGTACTTATCGGCATTCTAAAAATTACTTACATGTGGATGTTTAACTTATGTTTGAATATTATTGCCGCTTATACTTCTTATTATTATTGTATTTATATACAAAATTTGCTATTATTATATAAAAAAGGTGATATTATTATTATAATCTACCCCATTTTTTCTAATTGCGTCTCCCAATTAATGCAAAATTTGCGGGGATTATGTCCATTAATTTCTTTAATTATATATATAGGAAATGAAACCTAAAGATTTTGTTAATCTTGCTTTCAGACTTACTTTCTAGAATGTATGAGAAAAGTTCATAAAGGTTTGGTTGGAAAGAACATCTTTAAATAAATTGGATTATCCTACAAAAGAAATGTAAACACTTTGACCTTGGATTTGGAGAAATAAATTCATGCATAGCTCCTCTACTACCCTCATTAACACAGAAAAGACTCTCTTCTTCCTTATGAATTGTCAAAATATTGATGACTTTCCTGAAATTTATTATTTAAATTGTCATATATTTATGAATTTTGGTTTGAATAAATTCCATACTGAATATTAAAGATATAAATATATAAATTAATTTCAAAATTAATTTAAAATATATGTCATAAATATATTTCTGAAGTCCATTCAGAATTATCATTTTGATTTTCAAACCCAAATTTATCAAGTCCAGTAATTCGGCCCATATCTAATAAAAAAAAGCCCATGAAAAGTCCACTAATGGCGGTGGTGTACGACTGTAGTATTTAGCTTCCCATCCTTGTTTCCTCTATAAATAAGTTATCCCTCGTGTCGAAATCAAAAGAAATTAAAAGAAAAAAAAAAAAAAAAGAATTATCATTCTTGATTTTCACCACCCAAACTTTAATCCAAAACGCTCGCAGTAAATTCGCCCATACTCTAGATAAAAAAACAGCGCCCATGCAAAAGCTCCAACTAAATGGCGGCTCGGTGTACGACTGTATATCTTCGCTTCCAATCCCTTCGTCCTCCTCCTATACAATATCGATTTATCCCTCGCTGTCGAAAACCTTCAAAAAGACAATCAAACCAGCACACACAAAAAAAAACAAGCTAGCACAACCCGAAAATTAAAAAAAAAAAAAAAAAAAAAGTAGAAAAACGATATCGTAGAAGGAGAACTGCAGCAAAAGATTGGATCTTTCTGTCGTTCTTTAAATTAAAGAAAAGAGAAGTCGGGGATGTCAGGAAAAGGAGCAAAGGGATTGATAACGGGCAAAACCCCATCGCAGAGCAAAGATAAAGATAAGAAGAAACCTATATCTCGTTCCTCTCGCGCTGGTCTTCAGGTTTGCATGTTTATATATTTGTTCTATTTATTTGTGTGCATCTTTTGATTTTCGTATTGTTTGGCTTTTGGGTTTTGTGTGCTCTTGTGCTCTTTTTGGATATCAAATTCATTTCGTGAAATGAATTCTGGGTTGAACTTAAGTTTCCGAGCCTAAGATTTCTAATTTATTGAGACACGAAAGCTGGAAGCTTATTTTCTTTTTCTTTCTTTACCTCAATTTTCCTTATGTGCGAAATTAATAACTTCGGTAGAATGGCATAAGAACTGTTTCTTCTTTTTTTTTTTTTTTTTTTTTTTTAACTGTTTCCTTGCTCTTTTTTTTTTTTTTCTTTTATCTTTTTCTTTTTGGACTGATTACCAAGGGCGCCTGTTATTCGGATCGACATACACATCTACCTCGGTGAGGAAAGGAAGCATATCCTTCTACGCCGTCTTAACTCTGTGCCAACCTTCCTCTCTCACACAAAGGACCACACTCTACATTTCTGCCTTTTCCTTTTTTTTTTCTTTTTCTTTTTTCTTTTTTTTTAAACAAAAAAAAAAAACACCATGCGTCGCGGCTGGCGTAACACACCCTTTGTTGAAACCAAAGTGTTCTAGCTATTTGGGAACTTTCTTCATGCACCTAACGAAAACTCTACAATGTGTCAAATTCAATCTAACCACAAATCTCTCTTGCTTTGCCTAAATTGGCATAATCACCTTCTGGTGCTCCTTCTCTGAGCTATTCAAGACCAAATAAGCAATTCCTATCCATCTCTTTCTCTTCATCCTCTGCTCACACACACACACCAATATTGTCCATGCATAATATGCTCGTTTCTTTATTGGATTTTAGGGGTGTTTTTTTCTGAAATACTAGACGTAACTCTTTGGCCCTTGTTCTATGACATAGCTAAAATCAATTTGCGAGCGCCCAGACCTGGCGGCTTGCTTTGAGGAGTTGGTTATTTATTGTGGTGTGAGGTCATCTATTGTACATTACCTATTTTTTTTTTTTTTTTTTTTTTTTTTTTTTTTTAAAAAAAAAAAAAAAACAATGTCGGTGGGTAAAACCTTTTGAAACCAGTGTTTAGCTATTTGGGAACTTTTTATGACTAGAAATCTACAATGTGTCAAATTCATCTAAACACAAATTTTGTTTTGCCTATAATTGGCATAATCACTTTGGTGCTCTTCTCTGCAGCTACTAAAACAATTAAAGCAATTCCTATCCATCTTTCTCTCTCTCTCTCTCACACACACACACATATTGCCATGCATAATATGCCGTTTCTTTATGGATTTTAGGGGTTTTTTTCTGAATACTAGAACGTACTTTTGGCTTGTTCTATGAGCATAGTATCAATTTGGAGGCAGACTGGGGCTTGCTGAGGAGTTGGTTATTTATTGTGTGTGAGTGTCATCTATTGTACATTACCTATGGGCTGGTGTTTCTTTACAACAAAATTAACAATGAATGTTGAATTTGCTTATTTCTTTCTGTTACGTTTAGTTGTCTTTATGTTTACAGTTGTGTATTGGAGTGGATCTTTTGGTTTTTGGGAGCAAGGGAGATCAGACGAAACTTGTGATTAATATGATAATTGTTTGCATAGTCATAACCCCTTTTCTCTAGTAGTTTTCTTTTTAACAGTATGCCTATTGCTTGCAGTTTCCTGTTGGGCGGATCCATCGGCTTTTGAAATCGAGGGTAACTGCCCATGGAAGAGTCGGTGCAACTGCAGCCGTGTATTCTGCTGCTATCCTGGAGTACCTCACAGCAGAAGTGTTGGAGCTGGCTGGTAATGCAAGTAAGGATCTGAAGGTGAAGCGTATAACACCCAGGCATTTGCAGCTAGCAATCCGTGGGGATGAAGAACTTGACACCCTTATCAAGGGAACCATAGCTGGAGGTGGTGTGATCCCTCACATCCACAAGTCACTAATCAACAAATCGTCCAAGGAGTGATAAGTTATTACCAGTTCTTACTTGGTCGTGGATGGATTATTGTACATGGCTAATACATTGTTGGTGGATTTGGCCCCTCACTTTAGGTTGATGGCTAATGAAACCGAAGAATTTGTGGTCTAATTGGTAAATTTTAAAATTTTTCTCTCATGTGGCAATAGTTCTGTGCAGAATGAATATAAAGTTGCTAGGATTCATGCGAATGTGATTGCTCTTAGTATTTAATTCATTTTTATATCTTATTATGCGTTACTATTAGATAAATGCCTATACATCTAAGATTATCTATTACCAGTAAAAATATATTTTAGTTTCGAAATTTGGTTTAGGTCGATTCTTGGGATTCCTGTGATCTGTTTTTATGCATTCAGACCGGGGTACCCAGAAGGCTTTTTTAATGTCCAGAAAGACATGAACATATGGCTGGGTGAAAATCACTATCGAAACTGGAGAATCATATAACTGAAATAACTAAAGCGCAAAAAAGAAAGGAAGTTATATAGCATATCGTGTTAGTGAGGTTTGCTCTACCAAGGAATGTTAAGATGGAATACCTAAATAAATCTGCCGCAAAGTAAGATAGTAATAAGAAAGAAATTAATACACCATTGCTAGCAGTGGCACTTCTATACGGCAGAAAACATGGGAACATCCACAGGGAATTGGTGGATTTCATCCATCCACGGGTTCTTCTCCGTAGCTGGTTTGATGGTCCGCAAAGCTCTCCAGACAGCACTGTTACATTTGAATCCAGACCCAAAAGCTATCTGCCAGATTCTGTCTCCCCTCTTAATCCTTCCTTTTGCTTCTGTATAAGCCAATTCATACCAGAGGGAGCTGCTTGAAGTATTGCCAAATCGATAAAGTGTCATCCTTGAAGGTTCCATATGCCAATCTGAAAGTTGCAGGTTTTTCTCTAATTCATCCAGCACAGCTCTTCCGCCAGCATGGATACAGAAATGCTCAAATGCCAATTTGAAATCTGGGATATATGGTTTAATTTTCATATTAAAAAGTTTCTTAGCCACCAATGTGGCCAAAAAGAGCAGCTGTTCAGACATGGGCAAAACAAGAGGACCCAAGGTAGTGATGTTCGTCTTTAAAGCATCCCCAGCAACAGTCATCAAATCCTTTGACAAAGAAACTCCAATACGCCCAGTAGAATCTTCTTGTTGAGTAACACAAGAGAAGCATTTATCATCGGCACCCTTATGTGTTCTAACAGTGTGGACCAATCGGTACTTGGAACGCGACCTTTCAGACCTTTTATTTGAAAGTAAAATGGCAGCCCCTCCCATTCTAAACAAGCAATTCGAAAGAAGCATAGACTTATCATTACCAAAGTACCAATTCAAAGTGATATTTTCCATGCTAATGACAAGTGCATAAGAATTAGGATGCACTTGAAGAAGATCTTTAGCAAGATCAATCGATATCAAACCAGCACTGCAGCCCATACCACCCAAATTATAACTAATAATATTCCCTCGGAGCTTGTAGTGATTAATAATCATAGCAGATAAAGAAGGAGTTGGATTAAACAAACTACAGTTCACAATCAAGATCCCAATATCTTTCGGTTTTAAAGATGTTTTCTGAAAAAGCTGATCAACCGCATTAAACGTGACAGTCTCAGCCTCCTTCCTTGCTTCTGCCATACATGGATTTGGAGGAACTCTCAAAACAGCCTCAGGGAGATAAGTAGATTCGCCAAGACCAGACCTTTCAAGAATTTTCCTTTGAAATTCAAGGCTTTTCTAAGTACCTGTCAATCCGGACCTTTCCATAAAAATCTGCCTAGTACACTTTCTTGAATCATCAGGCTTATAACAAGAAAAATCCACAAGGTAAACCGGGCGGGGGCGAGTGAGGAAATAAAGGGTAAACAAAAACACAAAGAGTGTTGAACAAAATATGACAGATATGAGATTGAATTTGAGATGATACCAAAGGTCATGCAGATCTTGAACAGATAATGTGGATAACTGAGCAGCAACAATGACAAGAAGAGGTGATAAAAACAAATACATTCCATGAGTAATAAGGTAATGATAACCAAGTTTTACATACTTAAGCTTCACAGATTGTTTAAAATCTGGTAGCTTTCGAGAAGATGAAGATGATGGAGGGACCAAGGGTGCTTTGGAATTTGATTCAGACATTGCTACTTCTTTTTGGATTGGATATACCAGATTTTCTAATACTTATATAATATATAAAGGGAATTTGGGTCTTATTAGGATTTCTAATTAATGTCCAACTGGAAAAGGATTTCCCAATTGGTGTATTACACGGCCCTTACTATCCCTGCAAAATGCAAATTAAAACGATAGACCCGTTGTCAAATTATGACAAGTTTCCAACTGCATTTTAAAAAAAATAAAAAAATTTTGAAATTTGATTGAGAGATCTATTAGAAGCTCTTTTATACAGAAGAATAATGGAGGTGTAAAGTGAGAACCAAAAGAGTGAAATAAAGAAAGATAGGAAAAAGTTACCTTGAATTAGAAATTCCGGGCAGAGATTAGGCATTTTGGCGTCTGAGAAACTGAAGGAGAAGAGAGAGAGGGAGGAGAAAGTCGATATTTTTGAAATTGTTTGCAGGAGTACGTAACTACCGTTCTGAGGAGGAGGGGGAGGAGGAGGACTCTCTCTCACCTGGATCAGTTAACTTATTCCACAACCAATCCAATGTTTACGTCTCATTGTATATTATTAGGATCGGCCTTCTGCAGACATTTCATTGCTTGCATCCAATTTAAATGGAGAAATCTAATTCTTGGATTTTTTGAATTAAAATGCTAAAACATAGCATTTGGCGTTGCGAATGGTTTATATGATATGAATAATAATACAAGTAAAGCACTTGCGTTCCATTTTTATCTTCGATTTTTCAGTCGAAGATCATTGTTTCGTTAAACAAAGCGGCCAATTAAACAGTTGCGTCGTTATTACTTATTCGGAGCCAGTGGCTTCTGACTGTACTCCAAAGTTCAGCATTTTCGAAACGTTTCGTTATAAATTTATTTTAATAATTTTCCTAAAACATAAAAAACAACCCAACCAAATATAGCCCAAAGCTTTGGCTTTCTCTATACTCCCATTAAGCCACGTAGTGAATCACTAATGGCTTATAGAATAAAACTTCAACTCTTTATAATAATAATAATAATAATAATAATAATAATAATAGATAAGAAGTTCAACACGGGGTAGCATTGTTCCCCATTTTCTTTATAAAAAATGCATGCAATGCTATGCTGTATGCCTTTCAGTAATAGCAAGAAAAAGAAGAATTTTTTTTCTTTTCCCCGTCTTCTTCATCTTCAACCGCATTAATACTCTGTTTGGATAGAGGGAGGACGTAAAAGAGAGTAAAATGATATTATTCGCTTTACCTTCTTATTTTACTCTCTTTGTTTTATTTTTATTCCATTTTGGGGAGTAAATTGTAGATGGTAAAATAAAGTATATTCCACATCCACTCACAATTTTACCTTCTTCCCAAAAGGATATTTTGCAAAACCCAAAAAAATTCACCTAGTTATTTTACCTCCTCCCTCCTTTACCCCAAACCAAACAGGCTGTAAGCATGATGGTGAACCGTTTTAGAGACCCTTAGAATGTAGGCATCAGCTATGGCCCCCCACTCTCTGGACAACATCTATATGACTTTTCTATTATCTGTACTGTGCTATGTCCTTTCTGATTTAACGTTCAAGGTCCCCCTACCTAGAGATGAAAACAACAAAATTTGAGCAGCAACAAAAGAGACTAATAAGAAGAGGAAAAGTGAGCTAAACAAGGGAGAGAAGAAATGGCCTGCTAACATAAATTGAGAAAGGAATGAGCTGTTGCTTGATGCAGGTTGTTGAATAGGTCCACCCTCTCATAACCAAGAGAAGAAAATACAAGAGGTGAATTAGTTTTATATTTGACATAAAAAACCTACCATTGCTGGATTTTGCTGGCCTTTTAATGACAAACAAAAGCTGTCAAAATTGTCTGTTATAGAGTTATTTCTCTCCACGCTTTCTACATTCGGAAGTGGGAAGCCTTTGCATGTAAAAGACCTGCCATCGTTTTAACCCCATCGTACAAAGTCCAAACCATTGAGGGTTTGGACCATCTCCAACTGCTCAACTCTTACAACTTCAATGCCCCCCATTAAAAACCTTGTAAGTCCGCACCTACACTTGGTCACCTTATCATTCTCTACGCATTTACCAAACGGAGACCAATGCATGATAAGAAAGGATTGCTACTCAGTAATTTCATATCCCACACTAAGAAAAGTTTAACGAACTAGGCACAATTTTTTATCTACTACTTTGCATGAATTGTACGATACAAGCAAAACTTAAAATGATGAGAACTCGTTAAAATGTCTTCTAACTAAAAATCCTAAAGAAATCAAAATTTCAGCCATGGAATAATATATACAAGGAATTGTACAAGAATAACACTGACCCAAAACTATCACGTGATGATTTGCACATAACGGGAGAGACTAGGGCTGAGAGTTAACCTGATTGCAAATCACAATACCAATCTTTCTACTGTACTTCTATGCTGTTGTCTGTTGTATCTTTCGTGAATGCCAACTCAGAAGCCAAGGCAATATGATCACTACCCCATTTCTGAATAATACAAATAATGTAATATTAGACTATTGAACAGTGTATTGCAGCAACATTTCTTATGCTCAAATGCATTTAGGAGTGGATTCATGCAAGTATAGATTTCTGGGCCAGACAAACAAGAAGAAGCCCTCCAAACTTGAGGACTGAAAACCTTATTCACATCTTAACAAACTCAAATTCAAAAAAAAATCACAGAACCCCTAACTAGTTATGATGATAATTATAAATAAATATTGCATAAGGAATACTTCAAGTACAAAATTTTCAACTGGGAGGACAGTTTGGAGGAAGACAAAAAACAAAAATCCCCAAGAGACCTACACTGAAAGTTAAAGCCTTCAAATAATTTTATTTTCAAATTTCTTGCTGAATTTCATTGTTACTAAGGCTTTTCATATTTGAAATGACTTTATATACCTTTGTTGGAAATCCTGGTGTCCATTGCATAGCATGTTTTGGTATTGGAGCAAGAACCCTGTTAGTCTGGAGTCCTTCAGAAAACCTGGATGTTTAATAAAATTGGAATTGATGTTTAAATAAATTCCAGAGTGATCCAAATAAAATAGATGCAAATCATTTTCCCTCTTTTTCTTTTCTATTTTTCTGGGCCTAATAGGCAGCTCTAAGCTAGAATAATTGAACCCTAAAACTGTAAGATAGCTTACCATATGTAATCAACTGTGCCAAAGAAACACCTATTGTAACTGGTCACCAAGGGTTCTCCATTTGGGTCTCTTGTCCCTGAACAGTCCTGCAAAGGCATAAAGGTAGTTTCCAGATAAATGATCTTTTAACTTCATTTGCTTGAGCATCTGACATGTAAGAAAAGGAAGTTACAACACCAAAATGATTACCTGAACTTCTGTGTATGCACTTTTAAGCTTTAAAGGATGTTCCAGACAGATGTTGTCTATGCTGCCAGTGGCAGTTGCTATTTCCACAGGAGTCCACAATGATGGATCATACATAGTTTTGTCCACTGTAGCAGCCTCAGAATCCAGGTCCAAGGAAATATCATCAAGAACTTCATTACTAGGTGAATGCAAAACAGAACCATTTAGATCAAAAGGAAATTCATTCTGGGAGTTCACCAAAAATGATTGTTTACTTTGATTTTGACCAAAGGCCAGAAGCAACGAATCTTCTGCATCATGTAGCCTAGATAAAAATTTATTTTGATCTTCACCTATAATTCCACTAGCCAGTTGGAAGTCATTTAGCTCTTGAGAAGATGCATCCTCCAGTTTCTTGTCTCCTTCACAGTCACTTGTAAATACACTTGACATATTCGTGTGACAGGGGACTGAAAGGTCAGTGTTATCATGCACCACAACCGGCTGGGATGATAGATATCTGAAGCTCTCCACAGAAGAGACTTCAACAGAATGTACATGATTACCAAAGTCTGTGCTTTTATTTTCTATATAAATATCAGCATGGGAATGTTCAGTTAAGCAACCTTCATTAGAAAGAGAAGGAGAGCTTTTCTGTCCCATTTCATTCTCATCAGGATATGCGTCTTCAGGATGGGAAGTTACTGTAACACTTAACATATGAATCTTCTCGTCCGGTTGATCAACGGAAAGTTTGTTCTCAGTATGAGATATAGCTAGATTTTTGTCAAAGCTATCAGCCAAAACTGAGATAGTGGACTCAGTATCTTCCTTGCAACTGCCTATCACATCTTGCTGAGTTTCTTTTGTTTTTTTCAGACACATTCCACTGTTTACACTTCCACACTGCTGGACTGTACATGACATATCAGATGCATCTGGCAAGTGGTTGTCACTAGAAAGAATAATCTCCTCGGATTTACCTAAGTCATTCTGCTTCTGTATGACTGATAGAGAATCTTCCAGCTTGTTATTCACCACCAGAGGAGCTTGAATTGAGTTGTAGGAAGAATCAATCCTGCAAATCTTGCAAGCAGTTTACTTAAATTATTTGAAGAATACACTAGGGACTACCATGAAATCATTTTATCTGTACCACCCACCTGGTATTGGGGTTAGGATTGTGATTTGAGTTAAATGGCCTTGGAGCACGTATTTCAGCAGAAGCTTGTCCTGATACTTTATCTCGATCAATTCCAGTCAAATCTAACTGCAAGACATCAATGCGATTAACAAGCATTCAAAATATGCAAATCATTTTATATGGGAACAAATAAAGAACAAATACCTTCTGTTCTGAGATAAAGTTGTACAATGGACTCTGATAAAAAAGCAAGAATGTGAGATTCATAATAATCATTACATGAAAAATCTTTGAGCATGTCATAGAAGACCAAAACATAAAAATTTTAGGCCACTTGGGGAATGCAAAACTAGAAATTTTGACCTTTGGAGTACAGTTAAAATCACCACAAATAACAACCGGTGCATTCCACATTTTTGAAACAGCATATGCCCTGTCAAGGAGTGTCCTGACCTGCTTTAAAAAGGCAAATTAGTAAAAGCTACTTCCATACTAACTAAAGACATCCAGATATACATCTTCATCAGCATACAGGAACTAAGAACTAAAATTAACAGTCAATTAAAAGAATGATCCTTCCAGTGGGTTTTGCAAGTATTTATAGAAAATAAAAGAAACAGTCAATGTAAATACCAAACAAAAACAGTAATGCAGTTACTACAGGATTGCATGCAAAATCAAAGCTTGTATGTTTTATGATGGTAAATACCTGACCAAGCTTAATTTCTCCTCTTCTGGGATTGTAAAGAACATGAATGTTACACATCACAACTTTATCAGAACCTGCTGAACTGCAAATGAAAAATTCTTTTGAGGATGAACAGAAGAGATAAAAGATTCATCTTGCATTTGAGTTAAAATGTAAGATTTTAATTTTCACAAAGTATATTTATGAATATGAAATTACATATCAATCAATAAGTAAAGACAGTGATACACCGTATTTATGGATATAATAAGCAAATAACAAAAAACCCCTGAAATAGTACCTTGTAGATAGAGATGACGAGTTTTCAGTGCAATTTTTACTTGTTAACTTCTGATAGGAAAAAAATATTCATTGGCATCAACAAACACAAACCACTCTATTTAGGTGAAAAAGACATCAACTCAATAAGGTAACCATCCACGACAATTTATCTATTGTCGATGAAGTTAATAAAGTTTCTAAAATAATCACTGTGTGGTATGTACCTCTAGCACACAAATCTGAGCAACATTATCACGAAGTCCAAGCTTATTGAACTCAATGGATTCTTCATAGAGCAACTTGAATCTAACATGAAGGTAGTAAAATGAAGTTTTAGACTACAATAACAAATGTTTGCTTGATGTAATATTTTATATCGTCAACATGAAAAGAACAGGACAAAAGAAGTCATAGTGAAATTAAGAAGCAGAAAGTCAAAAAACAACAGATTGATTAATGAACCCACTTCAGCATCATGGAATCCAAGTGCCAAATTTGAACTCAACTACCACAGAGAAATGAGGTGTAAATAGGGCCCATCAGATATTAAGTTGAACTTGAATCAAGGTATAGAATCCAAAGATTAGGACTCGAACATATGAAGAAAGGTAATTCAACCTTGAATTTGTTCAAAGATATAGTATATTTTTTATTTCAGATTATCAGAATATGCAGGAAGTAGCAGCCAATGGATTATTATTGAAAGACCATAGAATCTAGACCTTTTTTATATTCTTTTACATAGATCTATGAACCAAGGAACCTAACATAGAATGGTATAATTTGTGCAGTTGTCACAACATAGAACTTTTGTGTATGCTTCTACATCTGCCTCAGTGTGCAAATAGGTGCAATATCCACAACTATGAGGCAAGAAAAGGAATGCAAGAAAGCTAAAGTGTAGAAGAATCACATTAAAGGAAGGAATTATGTGCAGGACATAATAAATAGGATAACCAACTGCCTTTGAACATGTAGCATTCTGCTGGAACAATGGTAATTAGTTATCCTCAAAATTCCCCATGCAGCACCATAAATAAGGCCCAAATCAAGGCCTCATAAATCTGCTGGAGTTCTTTTACCTTGATGTTCTCCAAAAGATTGCACAACCATCAACTGCATTCCCAGTCCGCATCTATACAAAAATAAACATCAGCAAAAACTTATTATCACTGAAGTGGAAAGAGCAAAGAGAAGCTTTTAACTCTTAATAAAAGTCTAATTCGATAGATTATCTTGTTGGACATGAAGTGTACAAATCATAAAAAGATTAACTATGAACTAGAACAAAACAGAAGATTTTTGTGAACTACATACTGACACAGAATCCCAACATCAAATAGTATTTGAAGACAGACCTTCCAAATGCCACAATAGCCCCGTAGCTTCAACTCCTCTTCCAAATCCTGAAATCTATCAACCTCCTGGAAATGTGATGTCCAGTCACAGACAATTTTCAACCGATAAAGATGAAGTGCAGATGGACAAAGTAAAATCATAATGTGGCTAAAACAAAGAGAAGAGTAATTACCTGAAAACACATTATATCAGCCGACCATAAGCCAAGCTCAAAAAGTATACTTCTCTTTCTCCATTCCCAGTCTAACATACGGCGAGGTATGTGAAAGTAAAGTTTGCTCCGATGGTTGATAGCGAGATAGTCAGCTAGTATATTATAGGAAAGAACAATAAACTTTTCTGCAAAGCATAACGACAAATTGAAAGTTATTATCAGAAGAAAACGCCCCTACAGTGAGCTTTATTAATAAGAATCTACTTGTTCAACATGTACAATCTTTCATGAATCAAATAATTCTCTAATTAGCATTTCCAACAAGTGCATTCATAAAATCCCAAGCAAGAATTACCAGAATCAGAAGGCGGCGCCGTTTTTGCGTACTCCCAATCCCGGTAATCCAAGGGCTTAGGAAGACGCGGTCGAAAAGCTTGATTCTGATCAATCCGCGGAGATTGACGGAACTGATTGGTCTGATTCTGAATGAACGGTGGAGGTTGCCGAAACTGTTGGTTTGCATTGCAATGTGGAGATCGGGGAAGCTGCCGGCTTTGATCGTAAGATTGCCATCGTGGATTAAAACCTCGGCCTCCTGCTTGACGGATTCCTAAATTGGCTTCTCGTACTGAGCGGAAGTGAGAGTCTCCTGTTACGATTTGCTGGTCTCTTCCGCCGTCGTACGGACGGTCGGAGAAGCCTCTTCCCCATTGCTTTCTACCACCTCGATACTGCACCAGAAGCCGTCGAACTTATAGATGTAGCTTTAACGAAATTGAACAAATAAACTGACAGTTATATACACATAGCAGATAGAGGGAGAAGAGAACGTACAGGGCGAGAAGACATGATAGTAGTGTCGGTGGCCGCAGCGGCAAGGAAATGAAGAGGAGTAGCAGACCGCTTCATCAACGCTGAGTTCGACTCGGTGAGGCGCTGAGCGATCACATATGCAATTTGTGAAGTATCTCGATGGTACTAATACGACGCATCGTTTGTATAATCGACAACGTAGACTGTAAGTCATAGGTGTTTAAAATGAACGTTCGGTCGTTCAAACCTTTGGAAATAAGCCGGTGACCTGCTTTTTGGCGGAAAAATAAATCTGGCGCTCAAATATTCGTCCAGTGTCCACGCGCCAATGCTAAGAAAAGGAACGAGCGATCGTTTATGTCCTACCAAGACGTTTTGATTTTTAAAGTGCTTCTAAAGTGTATGTTTTTCTATAATTTCCAACCGCTGGATATACATAAAATATCATCGAACGGTTCATAACAAACAATAGAAACTAATCATACCTGATCCTCAAAGACAAAGTTATACAAACCACAAAGACACCAACCTCCGTTCAAAAAAAAAAAAAAAAAAATACCTGATCCTCAAGACAAAGTTATACAACCACAAAAGACAAACCAACCTCCGTTCAAAAAAAAAAAAAAAGACAACGAAACAGTGTTTTTTCCGGTTGGAAAAGAATGTCCGTTTCTGGCTCGTCTCTTTCACCCTCCACCGTCTCTGTCTCTCTTATCCAAAATCCAAGCCCTTTCAACGGAGACAACCAAAGCGGCCGGCGTCATAGTCAGCTCTCGTATTCAGGGGTTCTGAAAAAAAAAAAAAAAAAAGACACGAACAGTGTTTTCCGGTTGGAAAAGATGTCGTTCTGCTCGTCTCTTTCACCTCCACCGTCTCTGTCTCTCTTATCAAAATCCAAGCCCTTCAACGGAGACAACAAAGCGGCCGGCGTCATAGTCAGCTCTCGTATCAGGGGTTCTGCCGACGTACCTGATTACTTATCTGCTGATTGGTACGTTAAAATTCTCCTATTCTCCGTACTTGATTGTTCGCAACTCGATCACGTCTGTTTTATCTCATGGACTCCATTCAAATTCATATATTTGATTAATATTATTGTTGATTGTATTATGTATATGTATCTGGTTAATATTATTGAAATGATTTATATATTGGGGTGCTTAAGATAGATTCAAAAAAGCAACTTTATAGTTGGGTGTAATTTTGACTGCATCTTTTGACATTCAATATGCCAAATTATGAATTTATTAAATGCTAACTTGGAAGAGAATAATTTGAAAATGAAAAAGAAAAGGTAATTTGTCTATCATGTGACGAATGCAATAGCTGAGAGTGAGAGACCAGCATATTTGCTTCTATAATATTCACTTCTGCATTTGTTTGTATTGCAGGCTTGAATCTCGTAGGAAGAGACCTTTTGGCCCAAGGCTGAATGTGACTTTCTGAACATCCCTTGAACTCAATATTTCTCTTTTTCTCTGCATAGTCTATCAAATCTATGTTAAAACTTTCTGTTTGTAGTTTAGTGCAGAAGAAGCTGTGCAGTACCAGCTTGATGCATTGAAGTACAATGATCAACCGCGTCCAGATTATGGAATCGAGGTTATGTACAGGGTAAGTCTAATCCCAGTCCATGATGCCTTTTCTTATTTTGGGTACTGCAATTAGTGCTGCGTCAAGAACTGCCACCTTTAGATAGGGGAATCTCCTTCCCATTAAATCCTGTAAAAGTTGTACAAAACAAAGAAAACTGGCTTTGGAGGACCAGTACTGTTCCTGGTTTTGGTTAGGTCCTGCAGTGCCTAAGTATCTTCTTGCCAGAAAATGGCCTATGGAGGTAAACTGGAGAATTTGAGATTCATGAGAGGTTAAGGATCCCGAACACACCCTTTTTTTTTTTTTGCCTCGTTGATGCATATTTTTAGCCCTTATTAATTATGGATTTAAAAGTTTGTTTTTTGCATGATAGTTTGCTGGATTTGATCCTTTTGAGAGATCAACTTATTTTGGACCCTTCTTTGATTTGGGGCAGGTTAGTCAAGCTAGATGCTTTTAATTTTTCATTATCATTCAATGCCATATTTCTTAATTCTCTTGGTGGACGTCATTATTGCAGTTTGAAAGGTTTAGGCGGATTTTTCACCATTCAACCTATCGAGTATTGCTTGGTCACAAGGAGAGAAAAATCTTAAGCAGTTTGCTGGTGAAAGAGGTTTGTTTTTTTTCCTTTTTCCATTGTTTTGTAGTTAAGTGATACTTTGACTTTTTAATTGAGCTCACTAAAAGATGCATGAATCACCTCTATGCTTATGTTCAGTCAAGTTATGATTTTTGAGTCTTAAGTCCTCTTTTGTGCAATAAGATTTTGCTGTCTTCAAATTCTATGTATGTCTGATGCATATGTTATTGTAAAATAGAATCGATTTAAGCAGCGGGTTTGGGTACAAGGAAATCGCCCAGAGGAGGAAGAAATATTTCAATTTACCATGGTTCAGGTAACTGCATTTGGGACTATTATCTCACATTTGTGGATAAAATGATATCTACCTGCATTTATTTTGAACAAGACTTTCATCCAGATTAACTGACTGAAGATAGTATTTTATCACCAATGATTAGAGCGTCCTTGTTGAATTTTTTATTGGCAAATAACTATGGTTCTTGTTGATAATAGTCTTTAGATTTTATACTCGATAGTTACTGTGTTGTTCGGCAGAAAGTCTGAAATTCATGATTAAGAATCAGAATGCGGGTTCTTGCATGTTATACTATGTCAAGAGTCAAGAACCATAATTTTTAGAACGTTTTATGCAAAAGTCTTGGGGATCAAATTTGTTGAGCTAGATTACTTTGGTATAGATCTAGCTAGCCATTTGTCAGAAATTTGAAAGGAATTTTGAAGATTATGCTTTCATTATGTCATTTTATTTCAAAAGTAGCACGAGAGAGACCTGTTCTGAAATTTACATACTCAAATTTTATGTACTCACCACAGCAATGCGTTGGTGTGTGGTTTGTCATTGGCAGAGAGTTGGTGGTTCATGGGATGGTTATTGGCTAACAGAGTCTCTACTTAACGATGGCAATGCTTTTGCTGGTGGTTTGGCCTACTAAGCTGCAAATGCAGATGGGAATGAAATGTTGAATTACTTCCTCACATTTTGAATATTTTTATTGTTTCCCTATTCAAGCCTCAGAATTGTACATATTGTAATAAAACGTTGTCATGATGGAACTCTGATAGAATAAGTTTAAGTTGTATATATTGTTCTATAGGATAAGGGAATAAATACATGATCGTCTCCATTGGTATCTTCTGGTTGCTCTCTCTAAACGTCACACGGGTCTCTCCATCGTAATAATTTAGAGCAAGAAAACAAGTGCAATTTTCATTTCCTAAATAATGTAAAAACAACAATTGCATGACAAAATATGATTATAAATGCGCAAATTAAAGGATACCAATCCATTTGCCAGTACAAGTGTAGGTCCATTTGTCAAATGATAAGAAAGCAAGCCAAAATGTGAGCTCTCACAAGGTGGTACTCTTCCTGAATCAAGCCAATTTTCATATGCTCACTCATAAAGAGGACAACCCTCTAGCCGCCTATTCTACATAAAAAGGAAAAAGAAATCATTTATCATTTTAAATGCCCAAATTTCAGAAGCAAAATCTTATCAAAGTGAAAGAAACTTCTTCCAGTGTCAATAAAATACAGAATTTCAAAACGCTTGTAAACAAAACTTCAAAATGTTTGTAAACTATTAAAGATTTATAGTCATTCCATCAATCAGCCGTGCATCACACGAATTGTTCATGCATAATTTCATCAATCAGATTCTGATGTTCCAAGTATAACTAATCCCACGTAAAGTTCGACGAATAGCAAGGAAACAAGGATTGCCAACTGAATTGCTACCTTTGCAGTCATTTCTTTGTCTGAGTGATGAATTTGGTAAGGGCATAGCAGTCAGGTGGTGTAATGTTTGTGTAGTAATTCTGGATGGTTTCTGTGATCTCAAATCCAAATTTCTTATAAAAGTTGATGGCATCTTCATTGTTTGTCTGCACGTGCAAGTAAATCTCAGAAATATTCTGCTTGGAGCAGAGATCAAGAACATGATTCAACAGTCTTGTACCTGCAAAACCCCAAACCTTGAATCAGCAGTGGTAAATCTTCTTTTAAGTACTTGCACTATCTTCAAAGAGAAAAATAGCAGGGCTTTTGAAACCATTTTTCATGTACAGCTCTATAGTGTAGATATCATGACAAGTATAGGTCTGTAGTCCAACTTTGAATAGTCTACTGGCAACAATTTGCAAAACCTAAAAGCAGTATGGAATGAAAAACAAAAGGTTGGTAAATATAAAAGCAAAAAAGGAATTTAGAAGTTTTTGTGGAAGGGACTGATTCATGTCCAAGGAGTAGATTGTAGATAATGAAATTTATTTGGCCATCAGGACTTTTCTCTGCATTCAAACAAGATTTTGCACAAGTGGTTCAACTTTGCTCACCAATGCCAAGTCCTCGGTATGGTGCTAAAACACCTAATGTCATGATGTAAACGCGAACAGCCCCTCCTTCCTTCTTCTCCAACCGGCAGGCAATTGCACCAACACAGATGTCACTGTAATAAGCTGAATACATAGTAAAACAACAAAGTTGTCAGAACACTGAATAACTGATGTACGAAATGTTGACATATATCATTGTGCTGGAGACAATAAAAACCTAAGATATGGTAAACATGGTTTCACAATGTGCTAATAAAATCAGGTTTATATGTAAGCTATACCATTCTGCGATATATGCAGGAATCACAAATTATTATAAGAAGCATAATATTTAGTTCCAAGCATCAATCCATTATGAAAAATTAGGTCCTGACTGGTGAATTTCACTAAACTATAGGAACTAAATAGCAAACAGTAATTCACCCTAACAAATGAAAGGTCATGTGTTTGGCATCAAAAAAATTGAGAATGTTTAAATACCAGCATCCTAGTTTGTTACAGTTTCCTACTCAAAAGAAGACAAGAAAAGGATACAACATTAAGAATCAGTCAGCTCTGTAATTCATGATTTAAGGATGAAAAAACAACAAAATAGCTAGACATTAAAGCAATCCAGTACAAAAAGTAGGGATACTTTATTTTATCCAATGAAGTTTATGATCATTTATATGGCATATCATTCCAAAGACTGTGAAAATGAACAAGCAACTTGAGACAATGAGTAGCAGTCCAAGAGAATGTGAGATATGGATCAAAATAGAATTGATGGTTTCAGCAATAAAGAAGAGAAATGCAATAAGAGCCAAGCAAGTATAAGAAGCAATCACTATATTGAGTCCAGCATTGCATAAGGTATGATCTGTATGAGTTAATGACGAGATAGAAACGAAAGGTGAAAGAATATGACATAATTGACAACCAGAAAGAGGCAAGGGACTCGATTAAATTAGGTTCTTTCTTTAGTTTTTTACTTTTGTCTCAATCACATTTCGAAAAATATGTAAACAAGCTGGATTAAAACACTTCAGAGAATCAACTATATTTAAAAAAGATGCCACAAAGAGGCTACTGAAATTGGAAAACTAACATGGATATTTTGACTAATCAACTGATCCCTTAACATACAGCTCAAAAGCATTCACTTCACTTTATAGTATTTAATCCGACAAAATCGATATTCCAAATAAAAATAACAACGGCCAGTTTGATAGCAATAGCATCTCGACTATCGCTTTACCTCCAATTTTTCCCTCTACTTTCAAAAACTTCTACCTACTAAACGGTTTTTCTTAACGAGAATCATACATATATGACTCCTTAATCAACAACGTTTACAAACCAAAGCCCTCAAATCAAAAGCATAATCCGAGCAATTAAAATTAATGTGAATAATAAAAAAACCCCAAAAGCAGATACAAATTTTAGAGAAGATTAACCTAGTTTGGTGAAATCCCCAGAAGCGAGGGCATCGGCATAATACTTGTCGTTGTAGCGAACAGGAAATAGTGCAGTATTCAACTTTTTGAGTTGCATCACATTCTTATCCCGCACCCCGTCCAAAGAAATTGAAACCTCTCGCCCTGCCCCCATTTTCTTTCTTCGTCTCCCTAAGGTGTCTGTCTATCTATCTATGCCTGTTGTAGCCTTGCAGTGTAAACTTAAGCTATTTTACGTGTATATATATCAAACTGATATGAGAAAAAGGAGAAAATGCAGTTTGGGAACGGTAGCTTTCTAGTTGATTCGCTTGTAAGTTCTGTTTGGCTGGCGTGAAAACTGTGAATGGCACCATTCAGTTGGGCCCGTAGGCCTATTAGCCCATAAAGGCGTAATAGTTTGGGCACCCAGATTCAGAAACGGTCTAATGTTATTTTTTTGGCATTGGCTTTGTTGCACTTGCCTGATAATAAATAGTACTCCTTTGAGAACGTTTCTATGCGAATTTAAGTATTACAGATTTAAGGGAAGGGAGGGGGACCGAAACAACACACCCACACAGAAAGAATAATATAAAATAAAAAAAATTCAGGCATACAATATACAGAAATTATTTAATCGTCAAAAATTAAATAAAAGGTTATGATAGTTTTATTTTATATATTAATAGAATTTATGTTGGTTTTATTTTTCAAAAGAATTTAAAGATTTTTTTTTTTTGTTAAAATATAGCCAAATCTATTGATTTTGTCTATAAAGATTATGCCCTTCATGTAATTATTTGTGATGTTTGATATTTTGATTTTATTAATGAAATATATATTTTAAAATCAACCTTCAATAATTATTTAGTACCAGTTTTACCTTCAACAGTTAACTGACTTTAAGCGGCCGAGGTAAAAATGAGCGGTCCCAATTTGATTGATGTCGTTTAGCAATGAACGCATCTAGCAACTCTACAACACCACATATAAAGCACCAAACGGACAGTAGCCTGAACCGAAAAGATGAGAGAGAAGAAGAAGAAGGGAAAAGCAGTAATAGTAGGAGGAAGTATAGCGGGGGTATCATGTGCGCACGCCCTTATTTTAGCTGGATGGGACATTCTCGTGCTTGAGAAATCAAATACACCTCCTAAAGGGATTGCAACTGGTGCTGGCATCGGAATCGACCGTCTGGCTCAGGAAATCATCCAGTCATGGCTTCCCCAACCCGAGCTTCTTCAAGAGACCACCTTGCCTCTCACAATTGATCAGGTATTTATATGCTTTGAAATTAATTATCAGCTCTTATAGCATTAAGGAATTTGCTTGATTTGGGTTTCTATTAGTGGGTGTGTGCATTAATTGCTCTTGTTGTCGAAAAGCAAGCTACTTTTAGTTCAGTGATGGTTTGACTTGCGCTAGAATACCTAATTGTTTCTTTACAGAATATAGTCACAGATGGAGATGAGGCCATTAGAATATTAACAAGAGATGAGAATTTCAATTTTAGAGCTGCTCATTGGGCTGATCTCCATAGCCTTCTATACAATGCTTTACCACCAGACTTATTTTTGTGGGGTCACATTTGCCTTTCTTTCTGCATTTCTGAAGACAGAACCTCCGTTGCAGTCAAGGCTAGGTCTCTTCAAACCAATGAGATCATAGAAATAAATGGGAATTTGCTTGTTGCAGCTGATGGGTGTCTTTCTTCAATTCGCAGGACTTTTCTTCCTGACCTGAAATTGAGGTTTTCTATTTTAACTGCTTATAAATGTGACTTGTCTTTCTAATTCTTTTTTTTATATATATAATTGATTGTTAATGGAACTGCAGCTTATAATGGACTATGGTGTTGCTATTCTGTAGGTATTCGGGCTATTGTGCTTGGAGAGGGGTTCTTGATTTTTCAAGAAAGGAGAGTTCTGGAACTATTGTAGACATTCGAAGGGCGTATCCTGAACTTGGGAACTGCTTATACTTTCACCTTAGTAGCAGTAGCAGAACTCACATTGTGCTTTATGAACTTCCCAAGAAAAAGCTCAATTGGATTTGGTATGTCCATCAACCTGAGCCTGAACTGAAGGTGATTGCCCATTTCTGGTCACTTTCTCAAATTTTTCATAAATTTTATGCTGTTAAGCAGCAAAAACCTGCACTCTTATTGTTTTTTTGACTTTTGATAAACATGTTTAAGTTCTTATTAATGTTTTGACAAACAAAATGAACCTGTTATCTAGGACATCTAGGGCAACAAAGCAACCTTTGAGCTGATTACCTTCAGCTTTTACTGGAAAAACATATGCAGGGAAATTCAGTTACCATGAAAGTGAGCAAGGACATGATAAATAATATGTACCAAGAGGCAGAGAAGGTCTGGCTTCCGCAGCTTGTGCGAGTTATGAAAGATACGGAAGAGCCTTTCTTAAATATCATATATGATTGTGATCCACTAGAACAGATTGTTTGGGACGACGTGGTATTAATTGGAGATGCTGCACATCCTACAACTCCTCATGGTTTAAGAAGTACAAATATGTCAATCTTAGATGCTGCAGTCCTAGGCAAATGCCTTGAAAAGTGGGGAGTGGAAAATTTGCCTTCAGCTCTTGAAGAATATCAAAGTGTTCGACTACCAGTCACCTCAAAGCAAGTCCTAAACTCTCGAAAAATGGGACGAATCAAACAAGGGTTATCTCTCCCTGATCGTGAGCTTTTTGATCCGAAGATAGCAAGTCCGGAGGATTGTGAAGAGCTTAAGCAGAAAAATATGCCTTTCTTTGATGGTGTCCTTTCCTAGCTAATTGGTCACATGCTCGACTTGATCAAGAAGACTATAGTCATAAATACTCCAACCTGGTTCAAAAAAATGTAAAATAAAACAAAATCAAGAAGCAAGCTCGAGTCCTGTTAGTTTATTAGAAACCTATGCCAATAAACAGGCAACTTATGTTTTTGGCAAGATGGAATTGATCATCTCTTCAAAATGAAAGTTATTTGAAATCTATTGTACCAATTATTTTTGCAATTTCTCTTTATTAGTTTTGTGAATTTCATACAGAGATTCTGATGGCTTGAAACTCTACCAGGAATCACTTGAGATAGAAAGATGATCAAAAGCACAGCACATTAGCAGTGTTTTTGCGGATACGTGCTTATCGAGTTGACCAACGACCAAGAAGAAATCGAAAACTTAATAAATTCATCAATATTATCGTTGTTAGGCTCCATTCGCTCAAGAGCGCATATCTTAAACTGAAAAATCCATTTTAATGGATATCAATATATATATAAAAGTCTATATGTGTACGTTCACTTAGCATTTTAATTTAACACGTGGCATATTCTTCTAATTAGGCTTCCAAATGACATGGTTTAATTTGTTTATTTAATGTATTAGCTTGGTTTGGTTTGGTTTGAATTTATTTTGAACTAGTATTTTTAGTTTGATTTGATTTGATTATTAATTGTATTAATATATTGGTTTAGTTTGGATTTCTATTAGGCTTCAAATGACATGGTTAAATTTGTTTATTTAATGTATTAGCTTGGTTTGGTTTGGTGGTTTGGTTTGGTTTGAATTTATTTTGAACTAGTATTTTTAGTTTGATTTGATTTGATTATTAATTGTATTAATATATTGGTTTAGTTTGGATTTATTTTGAGTTAATGTTTTTGATTTGATTTGATTATTTAATGCATTGATATATTGATTTGGTTTGAATTTATTTTGAATTGGTGTTTTGATTTGGTTATTTAATGTATTAATGACTTTAAGTAATTATTATTAATTATTAGTTTTTTAAAAATGATAATAACTATTTTTTCTTTTTTCTTTTTTTTTACAAATTTTCTTATTTATTAATCATTTTAATTATTTATTTTCATTTTTAATTATTTATTTTTTCTTTTATCACGGTTTACATATTTTTACCCTTTTTAGATTATATCCATAATTTATGCTCCGTTTAAAATTTTTTTATTGATAATAACTATAATTTTTCAATTCAAATTTTTATCTCTTATCATCAATTCTTATCGTCAAACAAATGGAAGTTCATCTTATTTGTTCATAATAGAATCTTTATAAATTTATAATTTATTTCTTTACACAATATAATTAATATTTCAAAAATAAAAATAATTATACAATTTATGTTTGTGTTTAATTGTATGAAATATTTGGTTTCATTATTTCTTGATGTATTGAAAGTATTTAAAGAGTTGTTTTAAGCATTTTTTTTTAAATAAACAGGAGGGATTTTATACCCAACGGAAAGACTAGCTAGCACGAGGCCATGCAACCCCTCGCAGAATCTGCAGCAAGAAAAGACCCAACCGAAAGAGATGGGAGGTGAAGGACCTGCAACCACTGGGACTAATAATGACTTCATCAGCTAAAGCATCTACCACAAATTAAATTCGCCTCCCTGAAAATTTTTGCCAAATGCACATTCATTGCCTATCCTGGAGAACAACACACCCATCGACCACGTTCTTGAATTGTTTGCAGAAGAGTCTCGATTAGAAAGAATAATTAAAGAGGTGTTATAAACATTTATACTTCAAATTATTAGAAATAATAATAGAAAATTGTCTCTATAACATCAAAATTAATAGGTTTAGATATTATATTGATAAGTGATTTTCTCCTTTTTTTTTTAATTTAAGAGATTAAATAGTGAGCTTTTAAACTATTATGTTAAGATTTTATCAATAAAATTAAATATTTGGTTAAAAAAATTAAATATTTGGTTAAATGAACTTATAATTCATTTACCTATCTAAAATTTAATGCCATTTATATTTAACTTTTATAGTTGTATATTTTAAAACTTATCCAATGATATAAAATAAATAAATAAATAGAAAAAGTGGAATATAATTAAATCCGTGAAAAGATATAATTTTTAATATAATATAAATTATATAAACAATCTGCGCAAAGCGTAAGCCTTTATCTAGTTAATGTATTAATGTATTGCTTTGTTACAAATGTTTACTCTCAAATTTGTAAAGTAACAAATGTTTCCTCTAACAACCATTAATATAGTTTTAATGTTTTTAAATGGTGTAGTAATGCACTTTTTTTTTTAAAAAAATTTAAATTATTTACCCTCAAGAAATATCTTTTTTTTTTTTTAGTTTAGAATTTTCTACTTTTCAATTATTTCCACTAATGAGAGCAGTGGTTCTTACTCAAACTGTTTTTTATCTCTTTTTTTAAAGATTATTTAACATTTTTTTGTAGCCGTAAACTATATATATAGCAGGCATAATTTTTCTTGATATTGCCACGTAGGATTCTAAATTAATGACATATGTATAACTTAATTGTTTGTTTTTATATTTATTTGAAAATAAATTAATTTATGATTGAATTAAATCGTCTTAAATGTAATTGATTAATTAGAGAATTAATAGTGTATTAAATAACAATTTATATAACTTTTAATGATATAAATAAATACATAATTTATAAATTTTAATAATATGAGCACTTATTATTTTATATTAAAAAATTAAAAAAATTGTATTAAATTTAATTATGTTAAATATGATTGATTAATCATAGTAATAATTATATGATAAGTTGAAGATTTGTACAACTTTTAATTATTTAAAATAAATTATTTATTCATGGATTTTAATAAAATAACGAGTTAATTATTTTTTACATTAATTTTAAAATAATAACGAGTTAATTATTTTTTTACATTAATTTTTAAAATAAAGTCAAATAATGAAATTTTCACCACCCTTTCATTTGCTTTTTTTTAAAATATCTCTATACAATTTAAATATTTTTAATCGCATAATTCCTGAATACACTGTCTATCTATTAATTTTTATTTAATAAATAAAAATTATTTATTCATGGATTTTAATAAAATAACGAGTTAATTATTTTTTACATTAATTTTAAAATAAATCAAATTAATGAATTTTACCACCTTTCAATTTGCTTTTTTTTATTATCTCTATAAATTTTAATATTTTTAATCCATATTCCTGAATACATGTCTATCTATTAATTTTTATTTTAATAATAAAAAATCATGATATATTTTTTTTACTATTGATATACCTTTATAATTTTTTTAATAGCATAATAAAAAATTTTCATTCAAAAATCTATAAATTAAATATATATTTTCTCAATTTTACTTTATTTTACCTTTTTTTAACTGTACATAGCATGAGTATATTTTATTTTTACTTTATATATTTTTTTAATAGCATAACTGTACTGCTAGTTTTCATATGAAATCCAGTTCTTAGCTCAGCATTAAATAATGACTGTTGCGCTGTTGAAAAACAGACTCTGAAACGCTCATTCAAGAGAATTATCAATAATAACTAATAGTCTAACCCTTAAAATAAAAAGAATGCTATAGACGTCATGGCAATCCAGTTTGAAAATTCGGCGTCTGAAACTTGCTGACATGAAGATATAATCCAGAAACAGAACGGAAATATGGCAGTGACCATATCCTGTTGAATATTTGATATCAAGCTGCAACCTTTGAATACATTTTTCTGAGAACAAAAAAAGCATCCATGACTGCAACTCTTTTTTTCACATGTTCCGTGTCCATACACGCACAAATTCTAAGTAAAGCATTTTAAGAGACTCATGGAAATGAATCTCTTATTATTAGCATGGAACTATGTTAAAGGCAATTCACAAGAGAATTTGCAGTTAGGCTGAAAAATGTTCAATCACTTTTATTACTAGTAAACTAAACAACCCTCTTTCCCGACTCTACAAGGTCAAAATCAACCACCAGGAGGAATCCATGACTGGAAACATCACATGCAAGCTGCTATAGCAACATTGTCTACCAAACACCAATGCTTCTTTTCCCAATATCTTATTTTTCAGCCGGACAAGTGCAATCTAAAACTAGAATCTAGAAAAAGATAGCATCTCTTTCCACCAGTTGTTACAAGCCTAATAAGAAACATTAAATGAATAAAATACATAGTTCATTTGGCACATATAGAAATGTATTTAACTCAACCATGATTGATTTTTCATGTTCTGGTAAGAACAATAATTACACTTTTGCAGGCCATGTAGCTTGAGCTGACATGATTATTCCCACAATCACTCCAAACAACCCAAGTGCACTACCGAAGATCTCAATCACGAGAATTTTCACGAAAAGAGAGGAATTCTGGGCATCAGATAATGCACAGCTGCTTCCAATTATTCCTACACACAGCCTGTTTCCAGAAAAGAAATAACATGCCGCATGATATCATAAATTCACCAAAAAGAAAAAACATCTAGTTGTTTATATGAAAGGAAATACTCCCATTCCAAGATATACAAGGATGAACTACTTACCCACAGACAAGATTTGCAAAGCCCACAATGATCCCAGAGGCAAAAATTGCATATCCAGCTCTAAGAGATTCTGGGGCATAAATCTGTGAGGAGGGAACACTCTCCAATTTGGTTTGTAGAATAATAGCCACAATGACACCATATATAGCAACAGCCTCACAAAAGATTACACTGAGAAAAGCAAGCAGTTGAACTAAATTGTCATCACTTGCATTCCAAAATTTATAAAATGCTGAAAGAAAATTCAAATTGAAGTTAGAATCATTATTGCCTGTTAAAAAACTTCACAACAGAATACGTGCACACTTTGCACCTGTGCTGTAGCAAATATGTGAACGTGACTAAAAAGTTAATGACTAAAAGCAACAATGCAGTTACAATCTAGGACACTGATGACCCAACTCCTGGATAAGCTCAAACCCATGCTAATAATTCCAAAAGCATGTAAAACTACTAATAAACATACACCTCAGGACATTCATTTGAATAGAGTAACATATTTTTCCTCAATATATCTGTCCCAAATCTTTCTCCCTGCCAAAAGCTTTGCCAATTCCTTTTAAGGATTTCTGAATGGTCCCTCCTATCAGAATTCTGAAAAATCAAATTTACTAGATTGACAATTTTTAGTTCCTAGTCCCTTCACATTATAACAACTATAATAAACAGTTGCCATTTTAAGGCTCACTCCTTTTGGATCACTTCCAGAACCCAAAAGATTCAAATCTTCAAAATAAATGAAATAATTAAATCTTCAAAATAAATGAAATAATTAAATCTTCAAAATAAACGAAACAATTCATGCTTTCATGCAATTATAGGCGGCCACCAGCATGAAGTATAAAATCAGTTGCGGCAATAAGGAATTATCAAAATCAAGCATCAATAATTCATAACTAAAGGAACACAGGCATTGAAAACAAATGAGGACAACAGGCATAAAGATCAATTAAACTAAAAAAAATTCGAAATTACAACAACTAGGGTTAGATTATAACAAAACCATCGACAGGACCCGATGATGATAATTAACAAGAATTAAAACAAAAAAGGGTGTTACCTGATGAGATTCTTAGAAGTAATACGAGGAGCCTTGATTGCAGCTCCAATCAAACTGCTTCCAGTTATGTAAATCCCCCTATCAAGGCCAATCATATGAAATCGTCATCAGCAAAAGATAAAATTAACACGTATAAGTACATAGGATATGTAAATTAGTTCGAAAATGTGTACCAAGCGGCACCGAGGACTGACACGCCGATGGCGATGGCGATGCCAATGGCAGAGAATGTATAAGGAGAGATCTTCACCAACGCGCGTGACCACGAGCTTGGATCTCCCACCATGGTGGAACCTGACATTGTCACTTTTTTGCCTTCTGATTTCTGCTTCTCCCTGGTTATGTGAATTGAACTGATGGGTCAGAATGAAGAGATCAGGGGTTCACCGATCTGATTTCGCGATTATGCGAAGGTAGGAAAAGGAAGGTGCAGAGGGACAACACATGCGATTCGAGAGTACAATTGTGAGGTACGTATTAAAAAAATAAAAAAAAAAATTCTGGATAAAAAATCCCAAAATATCGCGACCAAAACGGCGTCGTTTAGTTTCCGCAGTACGTTAAGAGACTAATAGTAGTCAGCATTCAACACCAATATTATTAAACAACAATTGTACCATTTAATGATTTTATAATATGAAATTGTTATTTTGGAGAAAAATAACTCAAGAACATGTTATATTTTCCTAATCCATAATAACCAATAATTTAAGAGATTACAGGTTATTAATATTAGTTAATTGACCTTAAATTAAGGTATTTACATATAGCATGATTTTATTTATATATTATATAATTCGTATACAAATTTTTTAGGACTGCAGTCAATATGAAAATATGTATTATGGTCACATTTTTTAAGGTTAATTAGCTTCCATTAGGTTAAATTTTATAATCTCACAACTATATTAGAAGTCAACATTTATGGCTTGTTATTTTCTTTAATCTCCGTATAAAGTGCATAAAATTATTGGTGTCACGCCTTATTACAATAAATACAAACAACAACAGCAAATAAAAAAAAAAAAATACAACAATACATCAACAAGGAGACAAATACATATTATCTCTATTTCATAATACTTATCACATTTGAAATTTCACGTGTTTTAAAAAATTCATTAAATTTATCTAAGTTATAATAGATTACTGAGTAAATTGACTATATTACTCTTAATTTAATACTAATTCTCTAAAAAATCCGTTAAATTGAAATAATAATTATTCGTCATATACAAAAGGTAAATATGAAAAAAAAAATATTTATTATTGTTTGAAATCATAAATATGAAAAGTATTTTGGAACAAAACATTTTCTCAAATGTGACAAATACTATGGAATGGAGGTAATAATTAATATAGGAAAAAGCCGACTAGGTGCGGTGAGATTGGTCTTTTCACTAGTGAGTAACAAGTCTCAATTTCAAATTTTTCTAACGTATGAGTCTTCATCAATTTAGTAAGTCATGGAGGACTACCCTTGTTATATAGTCTATCGTGTTATTTTAACTCATTGTCTCCTAACGAATAAAAAAAAATTAAAATTAACATAGAAAAAAAAGTTAATAGGAACATGTTACTTTAAAATTTCAAAATTTTATTTCTAGTATATTAAATACCACATCTATTTTATAATATTTGTCACATTTGAGAAAATAACTTGTTTCAAAATAATTGTCACAGTTGTGGTTTCAAGGAGCAGTAAATATTTTTTTTCGTATTTGTCATTTATATATGACCAATAATTATTACTTCAATTTAATGATTTTTTTGGAGAATTAGTATTAAATCGAGGATAATATAGTGAATTACTTAATATTTTATTGTAACTTGTATAAATTTAATGGTTTTTTTAAAGAACGTGAAATTTCAAATGTAACGAGTATTATAAAATATAATAGAGATAGTCTAAAATTATGGATTTTGTTTTAGGGGTCTAATTAATTGTCAAACTCAATTAATTAATACTTCATTGATTCCTGATAGATTAATTAATTGCCAATATATCAAGCATTGTATAATTATTTCAAAACATACAACGCTGAATTAAAGATTTACATTTTATTTCCCATAACCTCAAAACTAATGAAAAGGAGACATTAAAAATTTTATTTATTTTTTTTAATTCATTGTTGGCTTTCGTGAGCCGAGATAATAAGAATAATCCTTATCTTGACTCACAAAATCGGTTAAAAGCGAGAAGATCAAACTAAAAAGTAATATAGTAAAGCTGCTATAATCGTAGTATTTCTACTACTGGCAAATAACATTTGCTAGCTTTCGAGATTTTACATTGCAGATTAAGAAAAGCAAAAACACGAAAGACAGACATTGTCGAAGAAGAATCAAGAACAGCCAGGGATAGCATATGCAAAATAAAGTGACTCTGCTTGCTTAACAGCTCCTTCCCATGGCCAAGAGATATAGAAAGACTCCCTGTATTCCAATCTTTGTTTCCTCAAACACAATCAAATAAGAAATGCAATGGGGAAGTTCTTCTTTTAATTAATTTACTCTTAAATTGAATCTTACAATTTAATATTAAATCATCAATACACTCTTTAAATCGCAAATCAAATAACACAAACAAATCACAAATCTTTTAGCTTTAATTCGAATGATTAAACTTTGTTACTGCAGAAATAAAAATCTGAAAACAGAGCAATCAGAAATTTAAGGCAAAAATAACCAATACCTATAAATTCTTACGGCTTTATATACCTCAAAACAGAAGAAGAAGAAGATAGATAAGAGAACTTGATTCTGTCAAATTCAGTTCAGCTTTACCCAGAACACTTCTCATCTTCTTTTTCTCACAATCATCACTTCGGTCCCATGGCTCGTTCTCTCTTTTTTCGATTTGGCATAATAAAGGAAATATTTTTCAATTAAAAAGGAAAAGAGAACGAGCCATCTGAGACAGAAGTGACAAAAATCAGTGGAAAAGAAAGATAGGAAGAGTTGGGCCATAACTGCACCGATTTTGACAGAATTGAGCTCTCTGATCATCCCTGAACTCTAGCTTCATATGAAGATAAACAAGGTTAAGTGTGTTTATACTTTATATACACTAGTGATTTGCCTTTGTTTTAATTAATTAAAGTATTAAACCACTAATCATTCAGCAAAGTGTAAGTGTTACCTCATAATGAAATTCTATGGATGCTGATGGACTTGCATGGACGTATTCGAAATTATTTCTTAATCATTGTGTTATGGCATATTCGGTTTATTTTTGGCATAAACTTATTTAAAAGCACCGTCTTTAGCTTAAAAATTTGCAGAGATCAATTTTAGTGTGTGTTTCATTCTTGACTTTTGAGTCCTGAGTTCTAGACACGATCAAAAAGAGAGCCCAATACATATAATTATAGATTTATATGATGGGGGCATTTGTTAATTGAAAGAAAGAAAGATGCCAATAAGTAATCAATTATATGTAGTTTGTCTTTTTGTTTCAATTATTGCTCTTACAAATATTTTGCCGGCAGAATTGTCGCATTGAAGAATTGCTTGAGGCTGATGGGGAAATGAAAATCATACGGAAGAGAGAGCTGAAGAACATTATTTTACCCATACATTACTAAAATCACGCCTTATACAAACTGGAATCATGGGATTGCGCGTTTGAATCTAAGCCATCCTTGCACGAATTTGAAGGTCACAACTCAAAAAACAGACATAATATGTAAAATTGTCACATAGATATGGCACCGAATAGGTAGATACGAAAAGATCAGTTCAGCTATCTATCAGGAATTGCCATTTTATTGTGGATAAGTGACTGTGTAAATACACAGTTGCTGAAAAACTTGAGAGACTCATACTCATATTATATCAACTTCAGACCTCACACAGTTCCCCATTTCAGGTAAGAAGCTACACCACCTGAATTAACAAAAGAACAAAAAAAGATCATAAAATACAAAATTTATAACAGAAGTGAATAAGATATATATTGTTATATAGGATAGAGAAGGGATTAAAAAGAGACCTTGGCTTGTAGTAGTCTATAAATGTAGCCTTGATGCCTCTAAGATGCAAGAGGCCATCCTCACTTCTGTCACAGATGACTCTGTTATAACCAAGCAAGTGTACTGGCAATAGTGAAACTCCAGTATATGCACCTTCCACAAAAAGCATTATAATTACAGGCCGTTCTGGATTACTATTCCAATCACAGAAAGACTTGACTAATACTTGTTTCTTGTCCCCTGGTTTTATTCTTATGGTTTTTCTAAAATGGTCTGGTCGGTCCGGGAGTACAAACACCCTTACCTCCATCTCTTGACTGGATCTGTTCTCAAAGGTGGTCAGTCTTGCACCCATGTAGATTAATTCTTGGTAATGGATCCAACTTGTTGAGTTTTTCTGATCGTTAAACCAAGTTTGATTTTTTAGATTTGAGTATTTCTTGATTTATATTATGAAATTTGATTGAATTTGAAATAAAATTCTTAATTAAGGAGATCCAGGAGAGAGAATATTCCCCCTGGAGATGTATCCAAAGTTTTAACCGGTAATTTCCATGCAATTGCATGCCTTGGTAACTCCATCGTTTCCTGACGTATAGTTATAGCATTTGGCTAAAGGCTAATTAATATTGCGTTAATAATGTAAAATAGAAATTATATTTTTAACACATTAGGTATGGCGAAAGAAACTCCATTGGAAGATATGCTTTGTATACCTTTGCAGTGCAGTGCTTAAAATACCTGCTTCTTCTTATAAAGCAAGAAAGTTTCCGCCATTATTGAGTTTGGAAACTCTTACAACTTACAAGGCAGTATTTTATTTTATTTTTTATCGCTTTTGGTATGTATTTGAATTTCGTGAAGGCAAGAGCTTCTAGGACTTAGGCGTCAAAATAATAGTCTTGTCAGTCTTAATACGTCATTAGAGTCATACGACGATTATGTCAAGGAGCGGCATAATAAATACGAGCACGTCTCGCTAAATACGGTCCATTGATTGACAGGTTTTTACCATTAAATGACAGGTTTTTTTAACGCCTAGTACAGACTTCACAGAGTCCATGATTCCAAGTTGCAGAGTTGAAAATCTGCATTCATATCATTTACACACTTTGTTAATTTGGTGGGTTAAAAATGAGCTGTAGTTAGTTTAGTTGGAGCGCTGACGATGAAGAATTCATATTAGTTAACAGAATGTGAATTCTGGCTTCAAGTTCTTCTTTCTTGAAATGGTGTTATCGGAAAATTGAGCAAAAAGCATGGAATTAGGAGTCAAGCAGGATATTTATTCGTTATGCAAAATGTGTGAAATCAATCATATTTTTATTGTTCAGTAAACATAATTTCAGAAAATATAAAGTTCATATGGAAAGAGAAGGCAGAATCATTATAACAAGCAAATTTACCTCTTTCTTGCATTTTTTCTTGCTTGATAATATAATAAAGAAAAAGAAAATATTGATGAATGTGAGAAAACAAGAAAACTTGATCCTGACAAACTCAGTCTAATTTCATCCAAAACACCTCTCTTCTTCATATCTGCATTGTAATACTCTCACAAATGGCTTCCAGCTTATGCATTTGCGACAGATGATTTTGGAAGCTGTCTCCACCGTTAAATCTGGAAGCCATTTGTGACAGAGAATTTTTTGGCAGGTAAGAAGAGAAGAGGAGCTTGGTTAAAACTGCACTAAATTCGGACAGGTTCAAGCTCTCTGATACTCACAGCTTCTCTCTTCAACACGAACACTACAATTGCTCCTAATTCCTGTTGTTATGAGTAGCCTAGAGTCTTCGCCTATTGCTTCCCTATTTATTTTAGTCTCCCCTGAGCGGCTTTGACACTTTTTGCTGTCTTCATCTTCTTTCTTATCACCACATAATATTATTTTATTAAAATATGTTTATTCAAGTTGTATTACACATTTTTGCATTATGGACAAAATACATGAAAGAGAAGAGATCAAGAACTTGACTTCAAGCTGTATGAATCTTTCATTTATTTCCTTTCCACTCTGTTCGCATCTAAATTATTTCCTTTATCCCACCAAAACAATTCATTGGAAAGAAGATATTATGCAACAACATGACCTTACAAGTATCAAACATTGTGGCTTTGATGCCCTGAACGTTCAAAATTCCATCTTCATCTCTGTCACAAATGACTTCAGAGCAACTAGCCAAGTAGCTAGGCAACAAAGAAACACCGCTATACCCTCCTTCTACATAAACCATAATTATTACAAGCCTTCCTGAGCTTCTACCTTCCTCACAAATACTTCTAAAAGATACATTCACCTTTCCTCCTGGTCTGATTCTTATTATCTTTTGAAAGTGGTCTGGTCGAGCTGGAGCTGCGAATACTCTCAGTTCCATCTCTACACATGACTTGTTCTTAATAGTGGTTAGCCTTACACCCATGGTTTTACAGCAGTGAGCAATTAATTATGTTTGGTTTCATTAAATTTTTACTTTCGGAAAGCCATATAATGTCATTGTGTCAAAATAGTACAAGAAACTAGTCAACATCGGCGACGAGTTCAAGGTTTCAGAAAATAAATGGATCGGAACTTCCTGAGTCAGAATTTCTTGATAAAACCGATAGGATTCTCTTGATCTGCACTTTTTTTTTTCTTCTGATTTTGCCCCACTTATTATTATCGCATTGACTGATCATTACGTCTTGTACAGTTAAAAGTCTTTCTCCAAACTCTTTTCCGTTCCAAGATAAACAATTACGAAACTTTTATAGTGGATATGTTAAAGCTGCAGTTTATTAAAAGGATCATGAAAATATCATTTCCCGAAAATGTGGAAGGTTTTTTTTTTTTTTTTTTTTTTTTTTTTTGAAAAATAGTCATTTCCCGAAAATGTGGAAGGTTTTTTTTTTGTTTTTTTTTTTTTTTTTTTTTTTTTTTTTTTTCAGTTAATCATAAATAAGTTCACTTCGAAATTCCCAAAGGATAAGGTAGTTAAGCTATGTGAAGATGATCTTATTCTACACTTCTAACGAACCATTCTAATGGGAACCAACCAATGAACTGTACTAGTAAGTAATATATTTTTATATTTTTAATTTCTTCATTGTTGAAGCAAAAATCAATATGAGATGAAACATATTTCTAAAATTGGAATGTCAGGAAAAGTAGAGCGTAGAAAATACTACTTTCACATGCGTTTGCCTGGTATAATTTCAATAATTAACAATAAATGAAAAAAATATCTTTACATGTGTTGGCTGGGAGTTGAAACTGGATTTATTGCTTGAAAGACAATTATCCTAACCGTTGGACTACAAACGCTATTGCTTTTTAAGTTTTTTTTTTTTTTTTTTTTTTTTTTTTTTTTTTTTTTTTTTTTTTTTATATATTTAAAAAAAAACGGACCGATATAGACAATCAGTTAGTCTAAATTCTTCTAAAATACACACCTGCCACTGATATGTTATTTATTTACAGATTAACTTCACTACATCGGACCTATGACTAAATTAATAAAAAATATATTTTTATTAAAACAAGAGTAACTATATATTCAAAAAAAGATAAAAGTAAGAACAATTATAATGCATTTATTTAACCTTTTTTTACATTATTCTTTTTGAAAATTTTGTTTGTACAACGTGAGATGATAACAGTTGATATATATGAAAAATTAAATTGAAAAAAAAAAAAAAAAAGACCCGCAAAAAAAAAAAAAGACCCGTCAACGACGTCTTCATGCAAGGTACCTTCTTAAGGCATTTAAAATAGTATTAAATAGAACCGCAATGATAACACGCCGCACGACAGGGAATTGGGCAGAAAATTGAAGACGACGATAGACCCTACAAAAGTCAAAAAATGTCAGGGCTAAATTATCCCGCTAAAACGTTCTACAAAAAATACGATGGAGTGGGAGAAACAATAAAGCAGCACCGCAAGCCGCTTGTCTGGCTAGCTTAAAAATAATAGGGCAAATGATCGCGAAAACGTGATTGGAGAGGATGCTCAAATCAAACATGTGAATAAGTAAATGTTTAAAGCGATCCTTTCTTAAAAAATTATGCTATAGATGAAGCAACAATTTGATTAAAAGATTTAAATGCGGCCTGAGCAATACATATACTACTTATACGTAAAAAAAAAAAAAAAAAGACCCGCAAGACGTCTTCCATCAAGGTACTTCCTTAGCATTTAATATTAAATGGAACCCATGACTACAACCACAGGAATTGCAGAAATGAACGCGATAGACCCTACAGCATGTCCTAATTATGCCCCTAAAGTCACAAAAATAGATGGTTGAGGAGAAACAATAAAAGCACACCCAACCCTTGTCTAGCTACTTAAAAATAATAGCAAAATGATGCGAAAGTGATGGAGAGGAGGCTCAAATCAAACATGTGAATAAGTAAATGTTAAACGAGTCTTCTTAAAAATTATCTAGTAACAACATTTGATTAAAAGATTTAAATCCCGGACAATAATATATACTTTAACCGTAATATATTTATGATATGGCAATAAATCTATTCTAATCCCTTTCCGATAATAGAAAAAAAAAAAAAAAACAGAAGAAGCAAAAATCAACACGTTTGTACACACAAGCACTTCCCTATCCAGTTTATACTAGGCGAGCAATTTCCGTCCTCATATGGAATTTAATTTCGTTCATAACTCTACTTTAAAAAAAAAATGGCGTGTCATGCATTGGAAAACATGCATTATTAGCAGCTATGGTTGGTTGATGTCTTGAATAGCTAACTTCTTCAATCACATATATAAAAATGTTAGATTTTAGTTCATTTCCTTACACTTATCCAAGGAGAGACTTCATTTCTATTGTTCTGGAATAAAAATGGAGATCAGTAGTTATGATATACGTAGCCTTAGTAGTTTGAGAAATAACTCCATGGAAGTTTTCTCCCAGTCGTCTCGTGAAGAAGGCGATGAAGAAGCTCTTAAATGGGCTGCTTTGGAGAGACTCCCTACGTATTTACGTATAAGGAGAGCTATCTTCAATCAAAAAGAGCTCGACGTAAACAGCCTTGGAGTTATAGAGAGAAAGAATCTGTTGGAGAGGCTAGTGAAATTTGCAGAGGAAGATAATGAGAAATTCTTGTTGAAGCTTAGGGACCGCATTGAGAGGTTTGTATACGTATTAATTGAATGATATAACTGAACAAATTCATTTACATATTTTCTTCAGCTTTATATATATTTATTCTTTTGAAACAGAGTTGGACTTGATATGCCAACCATTGAAGTGCGATTTGAGCATTTGAATGTTGAAGCAGAAGCTTATATTGGAAGCAGAGCCTTGCCTACAATCTTCAACTTTTCTGTTAATTTGCTAGAGGTATTACTGTCAAGTGAAATTTTATATTTATTTTCTATTTGTAACTTGCAATTATTTCTGAAAAAGCTGTGACAATTCTTCTTGAAGGGATTCTTGAATTATCTTCGTATTTTCCCTAGTAAAAAGGAACCATTGTCAATCCTTCACGATGTTAGTGGAATCATCAAACCCAGAAGGTAAGCTCATAAATCTAAAGAACGTGATAACATAAAAATAATAAAATATGTATATATATATATATATCCACAAATCCAAAATCTAATTCAAAATTCTGCAGAATGACGCTGCTGCTAGGCCCGCCAAGTTCAGGCAAGACGACGTTACTATTGGCTTTGGCTGGAAAACTTGGAAAAGATCTGAAAGTAAGGAGATTGAATTGCATAAACTTGCTTCTACAGCTTCATGATCTGGTACTGAGATTTTGTGAAAATGTCAGTTTTCAGGAAGGGTCACATACAATGGACATGGGATGGAAGATTTTGTACCGCAAAGGACATCAGCTTATATAAGTCAATATGATCTTCATATAGGAGAAATGACTGTCAGAGAGACTCTGGCTTTCTCTGCAAGATGTCAAGGAGTCGGACCTCGCTACGGTCATCACCATTTCCTTACATAATCCTCACGCAGTAGTTGTTTTTATAATTCTACATGAAATTGAACTGAATTGATTGGTTATGGAATTGTGAAATTATGCAGAGATGTTGGCAGAATTATCAAGAAGGGAGAAGGCGGCAAATATCAAACCAGACCCCGACATTGACGTCTATATGAAGGTGAGAAGGTAACTGATTCAAGAATAAATTAAATTAAAATATACTTTTAATTAACTCTTTTGAATTATGCAGGCAGCAGCACTAGAAGGGCAAGAGACCAACGTAGTTACGGATTATATTATCAAGGTTGGTCTTTGTTTTTTTTTAGGGTCAGTTTGAAAATGGCAGAATAATCTAAAAAGTGATGATTTTGTATAGTTTTCTTTTTATTGTTGTTATTATTGTATTTTAATTACATGCGATAAGGTTTAATTTTTAATTTGGTAATTTTGTTTTTCTACAGTGTAAATGTTGTTCAAATTGTTTTTAATAGGACAAATTAGTATAATTTAATCAACTTAGTCTATAATTTTTTTTTTTTGGAAATCTAGTCCGTAATTTTTTAATTTCGTGCGAATCACATGAAATAAGATTTAATTTTTATTTTGTATAAATTATTATTTTTTTGCTAAAATCAAATTTCATTCACATTATTTTTCAATCAACGTGATGATTTATGAAAATTCTTCTCATTCTGTTAGTGACAAAGTGTGGCCTTAGTGCCTAAGCCATAGGTGACCAACCCTTCATTTCCCGCCGTCAACCGCTACCTCTTCCACATTCTAACCGAGCAACACCGCCTCCTTGTTGACCCTCCTTCCTTCCTTCCTCGGGAGAGATTGAGAGAACCTCCCAAAACCCAATCAATGGGCGCCGCGCCTATCTCACTGCTTTACATGAAAACGCCGCCGTTTTGGTAGATTTTAGGGCACGGGTGGGGCCCACAAATGAGCTGGGATTTCGTTTAGGAATTTCCCTCCATCTCACCTCAGCGCGCCTTAACTCAGTAATTTCTCCAGAACTATGTAGTAAGACACAAACGCCTGCTTATGAAACGAACAATTAATGAAATAAAAGATATTATACAGAATGGAAAAATGCTGTTGAGGATTTCTGCGATCACTGGAATCTTTAATTATTTGCAGATTTTAGGACTTGAAGTGTGTGCTGATACCATGGTGGGTGATGAAATGGTGCGAGGCATCTCTGGCGGACAAAAGAAACGAGTCACAACAGGTAACTAAAAATCATGACACTATTAACGATATTATAATAGTTTCTTTCACTTTTTATCTTACCATAAACAAATCCTCTGGTCCACGAAATGCAGGGGAAATGCTGGTTGGACCGGCAAGAGCACTCTTCATGGATGAGATATCAACTGGTTTGGATAGTTCAACAACTTTTCAGATTGTGAACTCACTAAGACAATCTATTCACATTCTCAATGGAACTGCCCTTATCTCTCTTCTCCAACCAGCACCAGAAACTTACGATCTTTTTGATGACATAATTCTTCTGTCCGATGGACACATTGTTTATCAGGGTCCACGTGAAAATGTGCTCGAATTCTTTGAGTATATGGGCTTCAGATGTCCTGAGAGGAAAGGAGTTGCTGATTTCTTACAAGAAGTAAACATTCTGAAAACTAAAATATATTGATCCCTGGAATGTGTTGTGTTGGGGTTGTTTATGCACTTTCTTTGTTTGGATGCAACAGGTAACTTCAAGGAAAGATCAAGAGCAGTACTGGGCACTTAGAGATAAGTCTTATAGCTATGTTTCTGTGAAGGAGTTTTCTGAAGCATTTCAATCATTTCATATTGGGCGAAAACTAGGTGACGAACTTGCTATACCATTTGACAAGTCCAAAGAACATCCTGCTGCTCTAACAAATGAGAAGTATGGTATCAGCAAGAAGGAACTGTTGAAAGCTTGCATTTCAAGAGAACTTTTGCTTATGAAGAGGAACTCATTTGTCTACATTTTCAAAATGATCCAAGTGCGTAACATTCTATTCTTACATGGAAACTAGGTCCTAAATGAGTAGTGTTCAGGAATGAAATTGGAAAAAATGGCAAATCCTTTAACTATTTTTTCACCAAACAAAAGAGATTCTTTTTGTAAGGTCAAATTTTTAGTTGCCAGCAATTTGCATGTTTGCAGACTGAAATTAATATTAATGTGACTGTATCTAATTAATCGTTCTTTTTCTTTCAGCTTATTATTATGGCTCTCATAGCAATTTCAGTGTTCCTGAGAATGAAAATGCATCGCGACACCCTATCAGATGGAGCAATTTATCTTGGTGCTCTTTTCTTTGCTGTCGTCACACTAATGTTCAATGGATTCACAGAACTTGCTCTGACCATCATGAAACTTCCTGTCTTCTACAAGCAAAGAGATCTTCTGTTCTACCCTCCGTGGGCATATGCTCTACCCACATGGATTCTCAAAATTCCAATCACCTTTATAGAAGTTTTCATATGGGTGATCATAACTTATTATGTTATAGGCTTTGATCCAAATATTGAAAGGTAATAGAAAAAAATTCCTATATGAATTTCTCTTCCTAATCTCAAATTTCCATTATTTTATTTAGAAGTTCTCGATTTGCAGGTTTTTAAAGCAGTACTTGCTACTCCTATTGACAAACCAGATGGCATCCGGACTATTTCGTTTAATGGCAGCATTAGGAAGGAATATGATTGTTGCTAATACTGTTGGATCATTTGCATTACTTGCAATAATAGTTTTGGGTGGATTCGTCTTATCACGAGGTACATTAGATAAATTTATGCAATTTGTTTTCACATCTAAATTCTAATGTACTTAGATTATGATGTTGAAAACTACATTTTTTCCCTTTTTTTTTTTGGCATAAGATGATGTGAAGAAATGGTGGTTATGGGGTTACTGGGCGTCGCCGTTGATGTATGTCCAAAATGCTATATCTGTGAATGAATTTCTTGGGAAGACTTGGAGACATGTAATCTTTGCTCCCTTTAAAAAATTTTTCACAATTTAAAAGTTGAATTTATAAATTCATTAATGATGATTAATTAACATTGATGAGTGTTTTGCGGAAATGCTTGTGCTGCAGGTTCCTCCCTATTCAATTGAGCCGCTAGGAGTTAGTTTCTTGAAGTCTCGTGGAATTTTCCCTGAAGCACGTTGGTATTGGTTTGGTGTAGGAGCCTTGATAGGATATACCTTTCTATTCAATTTTCTTTACACTTTGGCCCTAAAATATCTAGACCGTAAGCATCTATTTTTAATGTTTTTATTTTGGAAGTTGATGAGACCACTGTTTTGAAATTTTGCTGCTTGAGCTGGTTGCAGCATTTGAGAAGCCCCAGGCTATACTATCCAGAGAGACCTTGGCTGAGAAAAATGCTAATAGAGGAGAGTTTATTGAACTATCAACAAGTGGAGATTCCTCTTTAGGTGGGTTGTAAGAGTTTCCAATTATTGTTTATTTTTTTGTCTTGTTCAAATCTAGTTGTGAGCTGACCATTATAAAAGCCATGCAGAAAGAGGGAATGAGAGCCAAAGAAGCAGCCCATCCAGGATACAGCCTGCAAAAGTGGGCAGCTGTAGTGATGCAAATCAGAAGAAGAGAAAGGGAATGGTTCTCCCATTCCAACCCCTTTCTATGGTTTTTAATGAAATAAAATATGCTGTGGACATGCCTCAGGTATCTTAAAGGTTTAATCAAGTTATAACAATAGCTTGAAAGAACAATTAGAATGCTGAACTTGAGGGAAAAAGTTTGATAGTTGTTGAATTTCCAATTTCCGAAATGGATTTAGCATTCTTATCTATCATTGTTTTTTACAATTATTCTATCAGTATGCACTTGGAGTCTGGAACAAATGCTTTTTGTTGCTAAATATGCCCGCATCCATAACTTCTATCATACTTATAGGAAATGAGAGCTCAAGGTATTCTTGGAGATCGTCTTGAACTTTTGAAGGGTATTAGTGGTGCTTTCAGACCAGGAGTCCTAACAGCTCTTATGGGCATTAGTGGTGCTGGAAAGACCACATTAATGGATGTCTTGGCTGGAAGAAAAACAGGCGGTTATATTGAGGGAAGCATCTCAATATCTGGGTACTCTAAGAAGCAAGAAACTTTTGCTCGCATATCAGGATACTGTGAGCAAACTGATATCCATTCCCCACATGTTACAGTCTTTGAGTCATTGCTTTATTCTGCCTGGCTTCGACTACCCCGGGAGGTTGATTCTGATACAAGAAAGGTACATTTGAATCAATATCTTTTCTTTCTTATATTTACTGGACTGCATGGAGGGGAGAAAGCTAAGGGGAAAGCTGCAGATTCTTGTAAATAGGAAGATTGAAAATCAGACAGAAATCCAATTTTATAACGGTTTTCATTTTTGTTCATGCATTATTGAGGGTAAATGTAATTGATGGACTGCAGATGTTCATTGAGGAAGTTATGGAGCTTGTGGAGCTGAACTCACTAAGAGAAGCGCTTGTAGGATTGCCTGGTGTAAATGGTCTTTCAACTGAGCAACGCAAGAGGCTGACAATTGCAGTTGAGCTTGTTGCCAACCCATCTATAATTTTCATGGATGAACCAACCTCTGGCCTCGATGCGAGGGCAGCTGCCATAGTTATGAGAACAGTGAGGAACACGGTAGATACTGGTCGAACTGTGGTGTGCACAATACACCAGCCAAGCATTGACATATTTGATTCTTTTGATGAGGTAAGACGTTATTTTCATGATCAAGAAACTGCTTTTCTTTTTAGTTTCTGGCTTGTGCAAGTACTAATTTCTATAGTATTACACTGCAGTTATTTTTATTGCAAAGGGGAGGTGAAGAAATTTATGTGGGTCCGATAGGCCGCCATTCTTGTCATCTGATAAAGTATTTTGAGGTTAGTTTAATAGATGCATGATAATATATTTACTGTGATCTTTCTCCTATATAATGCTAGTCTGATGACATTGATGACTTGTTTTCTAAGGACATTGAAGGAATTCCTAAGATCAAGGATGGTTACAATCCTGCAACTTGGATGTTAGAGATCACTTCAGCAGTACAAGAAGCAGCTCTTGGGATTAACTTCTCCTATATTTACAAGAACTCAGAACTCTATAGGTCAGTCACCTCAAAGTGAAAGGAAAAGGCCTATCGACCTAACAGTTAGAATTTCATTAAACATTGGTAGAGTTATGAGAATATTTAATTCAAATGTCAAAGTATACCACGACTCTGAAAGGAAAACACCTATGTTCTCGTAAGATTAAATTATTGTTTCACACCTTGCTGTAAAGTTGCTGATGTGATATGTTGGTGAATTATTCAGTAAAAACAAAGCCTTGATCGAGGAGCTAAGCACACCTCAACCGGGTGCAAAAGATTTACATTTCCCTTCTAAATACTCGCAACCTTTCTTAACCCAATGTATGGCTTGCCTATGGAAGCAGCATTGCTCATATTGGCGAAATCCTCCATATACTGCAGTGAAATTCTTGTTTACAACAGTAATAGCTTTGATGTTTGGGACGATATTCTGGGGTTTAGGCTCCAAAAGGTACAGAGAAATGCTACATACTAATTAATAAAGCTATAATTTTTCCCCTCTTTAACTCCCTAACTAATGTTAAATGTTCATGAATTGCAGAAGGCGGGAACAGGATATATTTAATGCAGTTGGTTCTATGTATGTCGCTCTTCTCTTTATAGGAATACAAAATGCCGTATCAGTGCAACCAGTTGTGGCTATTGAGAGAACAGTTTTTTATAGAGAAAGAGCAGCTGGAATGTATTCTGCATTGCCATATGCCTTTGGACAGGTGAATTGATAGGTTTATTCTTTTTTTGTTTATCTCTCTTAGCTTGCGAAAACTCATTAAGTTATCAATTAATATGGATTCACACGGGCAGAAGTTTTGGTTCACAAGTACTGGGGATTGGATTAAATGAAAAACTTTCGTTTGTCATGAATCCAATGAGTCGGGGAATTTGATACTAATGGTTCCTCACACAATCATTTGTGCTGTTTTTCAGGTTATGATTGAAATCCCATATGTTTTTGTCCAGACTATTATATATGGGGTCATAGTTTATTCTATGATTGGATTTGATTGGACAGTGAGCAAGTTCTTGTGGTACATCTTCTTCATGTACTTCACATTCCTATACTTCAGTTTCTATGGGATGATGACTACAGCTATTACACCAAACCACAACATTGCTTCTGTAGTTGCATCTGCCTTCTATGCGTTGTGGAACCTTTTCTCGGGATTTATTATTCCTCCACCGGTAATATCCCGCTATCTTATTTCTTCTTTTATCTATTAACATAAGGAGATAATAACTAAAAAGCATTGGACATGTTCATGGCAGAGGATTCCTGTCTGGTGGAGATGGTATTATTGGTCTTGCCCAGTGGCTTGGACTTTGTATGGACTGGTTGCCTCTCAATATGGAGACATAAAGGACGTGTTAGACACTGGTGAAACGGTGGACCATTTCCTAAGGACTTATTTTGGGTTTAGACATGAATTTGTTGGAATTGCTGCAAGTGTTATATTTGGAATCTCCATGCTCTTCGGCTTCATATTTGCCTTGTCTATTAAATCATTTAATTTCCAAAAAAGATAAAGAAATTGGTATAGGTAAATGTAAAGTACATGAAGAAGATGTACCACAAGAACTTGCTGACTGTCCAATCAAATCCAATCATGCAATAAACTATGACCCCATATATAATAGTCTGGACAAAACATTTGGGATTTCTATCAGAATCTGAAAAACAGCACAATCGTATTATCTGATTAATATTTTTTTTTCTACTAAATTCCTCTTCTGTTGAAACATCACTAGCTTAATTTGTCCAGTTACAGTATTCAGCTACTGACTGAGAAATAAATTACATTTCTTGATCTTGGTTTAGGAACTGGAGCTCCAATCATAGACCTATTTAGTGCTATTGGTGCCATTGTTGACTGGATGCCTTACATACGGGCCAACAATAAGCATCAAAAAGGTCCGATCGACTTCTAATAAGATTCCACTCTACAAGATTTGGCACCATGCTCTCTCAGTCCAAACTGTCCTCTTCGTTGCTTACAATTATCCAATATAAAAATCATATTAATGTACTGTGGAAAGTCTCAATCTTGAATTATTATTATATAAATTGTGAAGAAAAAAGGGAAATTATTGATAGTCAACCATTATAGAAATAAATAAGTCTTGGTGCTTAGAATATCCCCCAATCATATAGGAACAAGACAAAACATTTCAACTTACCATCTAAAATACTTATCATACAAAAGGAATTAGAGCAGGAGCTTTTTCCTTTTGAAAAGTACAAATTAAATGAAACAGGGATTCTATATTGGCTTCATGTCAACTACCTGATAATTTATTGTCAGTCTCAGAGTATATGAAGTTTAAAAAAAAAAAAGAAAGAAAGAAAGAAAGAAAGAAAGAGAGAGAAATGGTGCACCGTCTCCTTAAAATAAATTGAGAAAAACATATACAATTTAACACAATTTTTACTTAACAAACGAAAATTTCCTTAGAAAGCTTTAATTTCTACAATAATCACTGATATACATTAATATAAGAATAGAAAATTTTTTTATGCTCTCCTATTTAGTTCAGAGAAATATTATTCATATCAGAACTAGAAAAATACTCATACATAAATAAAATATTCCTGTTGTGCAGTCTCATTTTTTTGGTCATCGAAGTATCAAAAATTTCAGTCACAGTTTTTTTTTTTTTTTTCTTTTTTTTTCATTGTGAAGTTATTTGTGCTTTGCTATATATAGACCCCTTATTTTTAGGAACTGTGTAAGAGAAACATATTGCTGTTGTTTCCCTTTCCAATCCATCCAGGCAGCTTTTTCTTCAAACCCATATAAAATCCATGAATTTGATATTTCTTGTTTGGTTATCATATTGAAATTTGAACAACAAAACGTTGTTGAAAGCTGGTGAAAATGGAGAGTGGCGATATAACCAGAGTGAGTAGTGCACGTTTAAGCAGTGCTAAAGTGAGTAGTGCACGTTTAAGCAGTTCTAATATATGGAGGAACACTACCTTGGATGTTTTCTCCAAGTCTTCATGTAATGATGATGATGAAGAAGCTCTCAAATGGGCTGCTTTAGAGAAACTGCCTACTCATTTACGTGTAAGAAGAGGTATTCTCACTGAAGAAGAAGGTCAATCCAGAGAGATTGATATAAACAGCCTAGGATTAATAGAGAAAAGGAATCTACTGGAGAGGCTGGTGAAAATTGCAGAGCAAGACAATGAGAAGTTTTTGTTGAAGCTCAAAGAACGCATTATTAAGTATGTTTTTTTTTTTTTTTTAAAAAAAATTTTATAGCATCTTTAGATTTGAATTTGGGCTTTCCTTAAAGGTGATTTGCATTTGATTATATGCTTGAATGTTTTTCTTTTGTTTCTCTCTTTATAATACAGAGTTGGACTAGAAATGCCTACAATTGAAGTCCGGTTCGAGCATTTAAGCGTTGACGCACAAGCATATATTGGAAGCAGAGGATTACCTACAATGTTCAACTTCTCTGCTAATATGTTTGAGGTATAAGAACTTCTTGGGATATTATACCATACGAAGTTGGACTAGGGAGAATGCAATAACATATTGAGTTCCGGTTATCGTATGCATTTTAATGTCGTCTGGACAGCACAAGGTCATATATTGGGAACAGCAGAGGGAAATTGACACTAAAAGCAATGTTACAATTAACTTCTCTGCTAATTATTGTTTAGAAGTAGTACCATAAACCCACCGAACAGAACTCTCTTCGAGAGATAAATTTCAAAGTGGATAAATATATATTTGGACTATATAATTAATTGGTCTTCATTAATACACTATTTTGAGGATGTGATGGAGATAATGAGATTTTTATTAATTTCTTATGACAATTTCCACTCCAAGAGGAAGGCTTTATTTCATAATTTTGTTGAGGTAAGCTATAATCATACCTTTTTACTTTTCGACTGTACTCTAAAGCGGATTACTTGAATTATGCTTTACAGCATTTTCTCAAGCAGTCTGAAAGAAAGGTTTCCAGTATATCCTCCAAGATTGTTAGTGGAAGTTCGGCAATAATTAAAATGTGGGGAATCAAAAAGTCGCTCTTTAGAAAAGGTGAGTGGAGTATTTTATTAATTACATTGGAAGTGGTGGGTAACCGAGTTTATTTGATGTCACTATTTCATTTGTATTTTAGGGATTTACGTTTAATTGGGAGTAACTCAAATATTTTTACAGTTTTGAAAGCACAGTTTTAGCATTCTTGCCAGAAGACATTTGCTGTTATGGAAAGATCCCCCGATCAACGCCTCTTAGGCGAAGACCTTACAATGTGTAGCCAGAGCGTTTACGCTGTTTGGCTCTAGTTGTAGAACAAAAGGGCGTCAGTAAAAGACTACAACAGTAAGCAACCAGATTAAATACTTTGGGCTCTTACATAGGGAGAAATCATTCTTAAGTGGCAGCAACCTGGATCTTGAGATCTAGGTATTATACTCCTATATCCATGAAGAGATTTATTGATTTGTGGACTGTCTTTATAGAGAATATAGTTGATAGTATGCAGGTCAAGGGCTGCAATGATGCAAACCATTGACACGCAGAAGTGGTTGTTTCAAAGGCCGACTGTTTCAATAAGAAATCTTACTTGAGCGGACAACTATGATACATCTGCTTTGGCTTTGTATTTCTGAAGACAGTAGACGGCGGCAACTTTGAATTCGAGTTCAATAAGGTGTTTGCGTTCTGAGTACATAAATGGTGAAGGATAATCTTGGATGCTGTGAGCAAAAATGTCTAATTTTGGTATCCTGATAATAGGGAACTTTTCTTGTGAATTAATTGCCAAGAATTTCAGAAACGGTTTTACTGTAAAGGACATAGGGGAATCGGATGAGATTTGTACGAAAGTTAAGGGACAGACGACAGTCATAGCGTTAAGTAAATTTATAGAAGATGTTTCCATCATGCATCTTCCGAGGTAATAGGAGAGAAATGACTAGATATAGAAGAGAACACTGGCTTTCATCTAGCAAGATGTCAAGGTGTTGTGTTGAATACCCTTTACGGTTCTTCACTTGGTGAGTATTACAAATCATATGCTCTTGGAAAGGTACAATAAGATTCCCATCGTGTAAGCCTATAACAGTAAAGTTATATGTTTCTGATATTTCTTGAAGGTTGCAGTATTCTCTTCTAGAAATTACTGAACTATCTATGCTAGAGAGGTGTAGTAAATACAGGGGAACTCTCAGCAAGAAAGGAATAAGGAAGCAAACAATCAGACAGCGGAAGCCATCATTAATTGATATTTGGACATGAGGTTAGAGAGAATTGAGTGCTATGAAAAAATATAAATTCGTAACATGAAAGCAAAAGGCATTCTGAACTCAGCTTAAAAATATTTGTTGAAGGATTTCTGTTAGGATTCTGTAGGAAGACTGCTTCTAGATCCATCAGAGTTCCAAGAGAAGTACAATTTGTTTGATTAGCATCAGTAATTTATTATTAACTTGCTCAAGGTATGCAATTTACTGAAAAATAATTAGTTAGAGATTCATTACTAGTGGGTAGCTTGATGAAAAAAGTGATAGATCTATTCCTATATTATCATAATATTCGTAAACCTTTCTACATTAAACTTGAACACGATTCTAGTAACGAGTGTTGAAGTAATCTCGCTTGCTGATATTAGTGGGATAGAGGATCGATTGTGTTAATGATAACGAGTAGGGAACGAAAGATGGCTCTGTGTTGGACAAAGGGGAACGAGTTTACTTAAAACAGAGTACACAACTAAAAATTAAGAGACATATGGGTAATATTCATATGAATTTCTCAAATTCAAATTAGTAGCATAGGCAGCCGTACATTTCGCTTTTGCTGCTCCTGATTTGAATGGCCCACTCGAACATTTATTTTATGTTTCACAGGACTAAGTTTTTAACACGATTAGACATAGGAGAAATTGCACTGGTTCGCGCGTGTGGCAAGCAGGTTGAAGACACATTGTTATTGCAGTCTTGGCAGGTATCTGAGATATCAAGGTAGCGAACAGCTGGATTGGTTGACAGCTCTACAGAAACGCGAAATCAGGCTCAATATTTTCAATATGGTTGAAACTCCTTTATCGTGCGAAGGGATTTCGTTACTAGATCATATATCCAACACATTCTACCTGGTCAGCAAATCGGAAATGTCCGTTGTCGACCGTCACTCATGTCTTACCACAGCAGCCCGTGGAAACAATATGATCTTCTTTTGATTGGGAGAGCTTAGATTATCTGCACTATCAGAAGTGGACAATTATTGTTGGAGATGTCATAGGGGTGCCACCGCGGAAAATAGTGTCTTGAATTCACTATTGGATTATAACTTTGAAATATTTGGCTTTTCACGCAGGTGGTCCTGCAGAGGCTTAGATAGGAAAGTTTCATGAAACTGTTCTATGAGCAAAGAGGATTAATAGGTTCTCTTTAATGTGAACAACAATACAGCTTTGATTGACATGTAGTATCCCCATTGCCAATCCATTATAGACAATGTTTAAACCCAATTAATGAGCTCTTTGGGTGGTTTGATGTGGGAAATGCAGAATGAGGAGGCAGGTTCCCGCAAGGAAAAGATTTCAAGAGGGACGAGTAATTAAAAAGGGCACACGAAGAGCACATGACACGACCTCTCCATGCTTTGTTGGGTGCAAGATGTAAGGAAGATTTGCATGACATTGTCGTTTCAGAAAATACATTTCAAGCAATTAGGTTCGGAAAAGTATATAGGAGGATAGTTATGACTTAGCTTCAACTGGTGATATTGATCTCTTATTGTGACTAACGTGCCGATTAAATCACAGACCTTTGTTCTGCTCATATAGGAGAAGACAAACTAAGAATTGCAGTGAAGTTGTGCTAGCAATTTGCAAGGTAACCTTGCAAGGCAGCTTGCATATTCCTGAAGAGAATATTTTCGATAATAGAAAGAGAGAAAAAAATAAAAAAATTGTAGTAATTATTGATAAATATTAAAATGTCTTAAGATGAGTAAAGTGTAAGTCGGGACAGTTTGGAGTCAGTCATGTGTCGTCGGGTCGCCTGGTCTATATACTGTATGTCATGGTGACAAGGTGTATTCAGCTCAGTGTATCTTTCAGTAAGACAAACCTCTTTTTAGTATGTTGGATCGGAGATGAGATTAAGACAGGATATGTGCGGAAAAATAAATTTAAAGCGCATAATTGCGGATAAAAGGGAAAATCCCAGTAGGCAATAGGGAGCACATTACCAATAAGTATGTTATGTAATCACTTATATTTTTTTAATATGTTTATGGACGATACTCATAGTTAGAAAACTAAAATATCGCATGAAGTTAGCTCTGAGGTGAGACAGACAGGATTCACAGTTTGAATTAATACACAATTTTCTATATATTTTCAGCTATATTGATGAATTTTATGTATATATTATTCTTATGATTATAAAGGCTTTATTTCATAATTTGTGAATATAATTCCTTTACTTTTCCTTCTCAAGGGATTCTTGAATTATCTTCACATTTTCCCAAGCAGAAAGAAACCGTTATCAATCCTCCAAGATGTTAGTGGAATTATCAAGCCTCAAAGGTGAGTGGAAGTATTTTATTAATACAATTAATAACCGAATTCTGTAATTTCTTTGTTAGTTATTCATAAACAATTTTAACTTTTGCAGAATGACATTGCTGTTAGGTCCCCCAAGCTCAGGCAAGACCACGTTGCTTTTGGCTCTAGCTGGAAAACTCAGTAAAGAACTAAAAGTAAGCAGTTATTCTCTTCATGGAATCATCTTAATCCTTCTATGCAAACTTCCATTGGTTATTATAGTATATGTAGACATCAGGCTGCCATGTGCAACCTTTGACCAGAAGTGTAGCGAACTGTTTCAATAAGAACTTTATTAGCACATTCTAATTGCTTGCTTGTATTTCTGAAGACAGTAACGGAACATGAATCGAAGTTCATAAGGTTTGCGTTTGGTCATAATTAAGTAATCTTTTTGAAAAGCATGGATCTGATATAGGGACTTTGTGAAAATCCAGATTTCAGGAAACGTTACTTACAATGGACATGGAATGGATGAGTTTGTACCACAGAGGACATCAGCTTATATAAGTCAATATGATCTTCATATAGGAGAAATGACTGTTAGAGAGACACTGGCTTTCTCTGCAAGATGTCAAGGTGTTGGAACCCGTTATGGTGAGTTACAAATCATCCTTACAATAGACCTCAGTGTAGTAACAGTAAGTATAGTGAATTTGAATTCAGTATTCTCAAATTCTGAAATTATGCAGAGATGTTAACGGAATTAGCAAGAAGGGAAAAGGAAGCAAACATCAAACCAGACCCTGATATTGATATTTACATGAAGGTAAGAATTTGCTATGAAAATATTAACCTACATGAAAAGAAAGCATTCTGAATAGCTTAAAATATTGTTAAATGTTGGATTCTGTAGGCAGCTGCACTAGAAGGCCAAGAGACCAATGTTGTTACAGATTATATTCTCAAGGTACATACTGAAAAATTTAGTTAGACAGTGAGCTTGATGAAAAGTGTACTCTTATATAATTAGTCTTTCTACATCTCAAACTTGACAGATTTTAGGACTTGAAGTATGTGCTGATATCATGGTGGGTGATGAAATGATACGAGGCATCTCTGGTGGACAAAAGAAACGAGTTACAACAGGTACAACTAAAAATTGGACTATGGTATTATAATTTCATAAACAAAAGTAGCATGCAGCGTCTTTCGCTTCTGCTTGATGATCCCTCAAACATTTATTTATGTCTCACAATGTAGGGGAGATGCTGGTTGGGCCAGCAAGAGCACTTTTCATGGATGAGATATCAACCGGTTTGGACAGTTCAACAACTTTTCAAATGGTGAACTCACTCAGACAGTCAATCCACATTCTCAATGGAACTGCCGTTATCTCTCTTCTCCAACCAGCACCTGAAACATATGATCTTTTTGATGACATAATTCTTCTGTCAGATGGACAAATTGTATATCAAGGTCCACGCGAAAATGTGCTTGAATTCTTTGAATATATTGGCTTCAGATGTCCTGAGAGGAAAGGAGTTGCTGACTTCTTACAAGAAGTAATTCTTATGACAACTACAGTATGCTGTGTATGCCTTGCCAATCTTATAACATGTTAACCCATTAATGAGCCTCTTTTGTTGGGATGTGACAGGTAACGTCAAGGAAAGATCAAGAGCAGTATTGGGCACGAAGAGATGAGCCTTATAGCTTTGTTTCAGTGAAGGAATTTGCTGAAGCGTTTCAATCATTTCACATTGGTCGGAAGTTAGGTGATGAACTTGCCACTCCATTTGACAAGTCCAAATCACACCTTGCTGCTCTAACAACTAAGAAGCATGGTGCCAGCAAGAAGGAACTCTTGAAAGCTTGCATTTCAAGAGAATATTTGCTCATGAAGAGGAACTCATTTGTGTACATTTTCAATATGTCCCAAGTGAGTAGTATTCTTTCTTTTCTCGGTCCTTTTTCTTTTCATTGGAAAGGTGAAGTAGTATTCAAGAACAAACCTCTTGTTTTGATCAGATAAGAAAGGAATTGCAAAATTTTATAAACATATATAAAGGGCAACCCAGTGCATGAAGCATCCCAAGTTTTTTAATATATATTTTTTAAATTTGGGGAATAATAGAACTAAATAGTAAGTTAGTTGAGGTGAAAGCATTCACTGAATTATCTTCTTTTATTTTCAGCTTATTATACTTGCTTTCATAACAATGACCGTATTTCTAAGAACCGAGATGCACCGAAACACAGAAACAGACGGTGGGATCTATTTGGGTGCTCTTTTCTTCACAGTAATCACAACTATGTTCAATGGATTCTCAGAGCTCGCAATGACCATCATGAAACTTCCTGTCTTCTACAAGCAAAGAGACATTCTTTTTTATCCTTCATGGGCATATGCCCTACCTTCGTGGATTCTCAAGATTCCAATCGCTTTTGTAGAAGTTGCTGTATGGGTGGTCATGACATATTATGTTATAGGCTTTGATCCAAACATTGGAAGGTGGGAAATGGGAAACTGTCATTAATTTATTCATTTATGTACTTGAGGTTACAAAATTTACTTAAATTCATTTATGGCAGGTTTTTCAAGCAGTACTTGATACTCATGATTACTAGCCAGATGGCATCTGCACTGTTTCGACTGACAGCAGCATTAGGCAGGAATATAATTGTTGCTAACACAATTGGGTGTTTTGCATTACTTGCTGTACTAGTTCTTGGTGGATTTGTAATATCAAGAGGTAATTAGATATGTTTATTTACATTTTTGTCATTTCTTCATTTTGGTGCAATTTAGATTCAGTTGGAGCTGAGTACATTTTGTTGCGACAGATAATGTGAAGAAATGGTGGATATGGGGTTACTGGTTCTCGCCAATGATGTACGTTCAGAATGGGATTTCTGTGAACGAATTTCTTGGGAAGAGTTGGAGACATGTAAGATTCATTTTCTTAGATGTGGACCCAAAAAATTGAAGAAATATACTTGCAGAAATTACTTGATAAATATTATTAACAGTTCCATCGAAAATTCCATTGTTTCAGTTAGCTCATAATTCAACAGAGCCATTAGGGATTACTGTCTTGAGGTCACGTGGACTTTTCCCTGAAGCATATTGGTATTGGATTGCAGTTGGAGCTTTGACAGGATACATCTTCCTGTTCAATTTCCTTTTCATCTTGGCCCTTAAATATCTCAATCGTTAGTATCCCCGTTTACATTTCCAGTTTCAAACTTCTGCACTATGTTCTTCTGACATTGAACTGATTTGTAGCATTTGGAAGGTCTCAACCAATACTATCAGAAGACGTGTATGCCCAGAGAAATGCTACCAGAACCGGACAAGTAATTGAACTATCATCAAAAGGAAAGAGCTTTCAAGGTGGGTCCCAAGATACTCATATTTTTGTTGCTTTTCTGCTTATCATGATTTGAATTACCTTCCTATTACACAGAAAAAGGGAGTGTGAGCGAAAGAAATGCCTCGTCAAGGACACAATCCATAAGAGTGAGCATCTTCAATGATGACCATCAAAAAAGGAAACGGGGAATGGTTCTCCCATTTCAACCCCTTTTCATCACTTTTGATGAAATCAGATATGCTGTAGACATGCCACAGGTACCTTAAATCTTTATTAAAGAAGCAGCAATATATTAGGAGTAGAATCCTGAATTTTATATCATGCAACTGCAGGTAATGAAAGCTGAAGGTATTACTGAGGATCGTCTAGAACTTTTAAAGGGTGTTAATGGTGCATTTAGGCCAGGAGTCCTAACAGCTCTAATGGGTGTTAGTGGTGCTGGCAAGACCACTTTAATGGATGTCTTGGCTGGAAGAAAAACTGGAGGGTACATAGAAGGAAACATCACGATATCTGGATATCCGAAGAACCAAGAGACTTTTGCTCGCATATCAGGATACTGTGAGCAAACCGACATCCACTCCCCACATGTGACCGTCTATGAGTCACTGCTCTACTCTGCATGGCTTCGACTACCTTCTAAGGTTAATTCATCAACAAGAGAGGTACATTTCAGTCACTGTTTTTTTTTTTTTTTTTTCTTTCTTCTTTTTATTGGGAGACGGCTAAGGATAATAAATGTCGAAAATAAACTATTTTAGTGAATAAAAAGAGAGAAAAAAAAACCATTAGAAACCAGAATAGAAGACTGGTTTTCCATTATGTTTTTAATGTCAGGTCTCTTACGGTAAAATTTGAATGATGGATTGCAGATGTTCATTGAAGAAGTCATGGAGCTTGTGGAGCTGAACACTATAAGAGAAGCACTTGTTGGATTGCCTGGTGTGAATGGGCTATCAATTGAGCAGCGCAAAAGGCTGACAATTGCCGTTGAGCTTGTTGCTAACCCATCTATAATCTTTATGGATGAGCCAACCTCTGGCCTTGATGCTAGGGCAGCAGCTATAGTTATGAGAACAGTAAGGAACACAGTGGACACCGGGCGAACTGTGGTGTGCACTATACACCAGCCAAGCATCGATATATTTGATGCTTTTGATGAGGTGAGAGTTTTCTCTTCGTTAAGGAACTAGTGATCTGTTTGGATTTCTGATCGAGTTCTAATTACTTAAGTGCAACATTACAGTTGTTTTTGCTGAAGAGGGGAGGGGAAGAAATTTATGTGGGTCCAGTTGGCCGACATGCTTGCCACCTTATCAAATATTTTGAGGTTAGGCTACCAAATGCATAGTACTAATATACTCTAATCTTACTGCTAAATTGCTGACAATGAGGAAATAAAATTTGAAGGACATTGAGGGAACTCCAAAGATTAAGGACGGTTATAATCCTGCAACTTGGATGTTGGAAGTTACTACAGCTGCACAAGAAGTAGCTCTTGGGGTTAACTTCTCTGATATATATAAGAACTCAGAACTATACAGGTCAGATCACATTAATATTTTAAGAGAAAAATAATGGAAATTTTTTTTATAAGCAATGAATTATTCTTGAGCAGTTCACTATTTTGGGGGGTAATATTGATGGGCATCATAGAAGCATGTGTTACTGTTGAATCTAGATATTGTCATACAGTTAGTAATATCACACTGGTGAAAAATTCAGGAGAAACAAAGCCTTGATTAAGGAATTAAGCAAGCCTCCACCAGGTTCAGAGGATCTATCCTTCCCAACTCAATACTCACAATCCTTCTTAACCCAATGTATGGCTTGCCTGTGGAAGCAGCATTGGTCATACTGGCGAAACCCATCATATTCTGCGGTTAGACTCTTATTCACAACCTTCATAGCCTTGATGTTTGGGACAATATTCTGGAATCTAGGTTCCAAAAGGTACAGAATACAGTTAGATGTGAAAATACTATCTAATAAAGGCTAACTCCTTCCATTCCTTCTCGCTAACTTGAATGAATTCTGCAAATTACAGAGGCAGTAGACAAGATATCTTAAACGCAATGGGTTCCATGTATGCTGCTGTTCTCTTCTTAGGGTTTCAGAATTCTACATCAGTGCAGCCAGTTGTGGCTATTGAAAGAACAGTATTTTATAGGGAAAGAGCAGCTGGAATGTATTCTGCATTGCCATATGCCTTTGGACAGGTAAATTATCACCTCTAAGGGGATGCTGATAAATTCACTAATTTGATATCCTATACGAATTTCTCATATTGAATATGAATCAGCTATTATCCACATGCAGCAAAGTAAAAGAATATACAAGAATTCAAAAGAAAATATAAAAAATAGAGAGGGAAACTTATTTTGCATTTCCCACGATTTGGGAATTTGATCTAATGGTTCATCAAACTAATCCTTTTGCTTTGCAGGTTATGATTGAACTCCCATACATTCTAGTCCAGACTATAACATATGGGGTTATAGTGTACGCTATGGTTGGGTTTGAGTGGTCAGTCAGCAAGTTCTTTTGGTATATATTCTTCATGTACTTCACTTTATTATATTTCACTTTCTATGGAATGATGAGTGTGGCCATTACTCCAAACCCCCACATTGCTGCTATCATTTCATCTGCCTTTTATGCAATATGGAACATTTTCTCAGGATTCATCGTTCCTCGACCGGTAACTTACTAGTATCTTTTTAATCTTTTAATTTTGTAGTTCATGCTTCATGAACAAAATTAGCTAAAATTAATTTTATTTATGACAGAGGATTCCTGTCTGGTGGAGATGGTACTACTGGGCATGTCCTGTTGCTTGGACACTGTATGGATTGGTTGCTTCCCAATATGGAGACATAAAGGAACCATTAGACAGTGGTGAAACAGTGCAAGATTTCTTAAGGAGTTACTTTGGGTTTCACCATGACTTTCTTGGAATTGTAGCACTGGTTCTGGTTGGTATTCCTGTGCTTTTTGGATTCATCTTCGCCTTCTCTATCAAAGCGTTCAACTTCCAGATCAGATGAGGCTTTTATGGGCTTACCTGTATTTATTTGTAGCCCAGTCTAGGCCCAACAAAGATAAAATATCAAATACAAATTCCGACTAATTTGAAATTATGTTCCACTCAGTTTGGGCTCATTATAGTGTATTATAGAGCTTTGTCTTACCTTGGGCCTCTTATGTGCACATTGTCTTGTTGATTAAATAATATTTTTAATTACGTAAATGATTTATTAAGAACATGTGCAAACTATTCAGAGACAGGATATTATCTGTTTTCATGTTAAAAAAAAGGAATAATTAATTTTCATTTGAAATTTATATATGAAAGTCGTTCCTATCTACGGACCAATAGAAGAGTGACATAGAAGACAACTAACTTAACAAATCTTTCCATAATTGCATCATTAATAACTTGTGGAGGAGCAGGGGCCCACATAGAAACATGTTTTGCATGTAGAGACAATAATCTGTTTTCAGATTCGATGCATCTTTTCATAGGTTAATCTCAGCCACTCATCAAGCATGATCAAAACCGTACAGCTAAGGTTTGACCTCTTAATTAATTTTCACTCAAAACTAGAATTTGACATGCATTTATTAAAGTTATTAGTAGTATATGTTGACAAGTCAAACAATCACATAATTAAAATCATACAAATTTTAAAATGATCATTTTTTTTAAAACGACAGCGTGTGCAGATTACGACGAGTTCAATATATGAGATGTGTTGCTTTTTATAAATTAATTATTCTTTTGTTCATCTTTATAAATTAAAAATAATAATTTCAATCAACAAAATCAAAATTATGCCATCAGAAAGCTTTGCATCTGGGCATAGCAAATCTCAGATGTTTGAGATTTGCATCACAGCAAACAATGAGCAAGAGCAACAATTCAGCGGTAGAAAAGGAAACTTCTTAAAATGAAAAAGCAATCTTTCTTTTTTTTTTTTTTTTATGGGCAGAATCTTTCCATTACAATACTTACTAATTAAATTTTAATATAATATTAAGTCGGCAATTAGTTGTAGATGATACTAATTGCAGAAGATCTTAGACAGTCGATCATGATCAATGGCTATGCATTGAAATCGTAAAATAATTATATTTTATTCTTACCTGAACACATTGTTTCGGAGTTGCCCTCCACTTCTTCATAATCTCAATATTAAACCCTCCCACAGGAAAAATTAAATCATTACTAAATTTATGACTTAGAAATGGAATTATTACATTTTCTTTTCTTATAACATTTGTGGCTTTTATTTTATACTATGAATGTTCAATAATTAGCCTTAATCTCTAATCATTATAGTAGTTAGGAGTAAATTCAACTTTTATTAATAATTATATTTTTTAATTTTATATTTCCTTAATTTGAAAAATCAAGGAAAGCTATTTAATTATGTGTATTTGACTAACTTAAATTAATTCATTTCCATCTCATAATAGGCGACAGATGTAGAAATTGAAATCTAGAAATAAAAATATACTCTTAAATTTATTATAATATTTTAGAGTTAAATATAAGAGTCCATGAAAAAAAATCTAATTTATTAGAATAAAAAATTGAAATTTTTGGGGCAGTAGCCTGCAGATCTCAATACTTACAATTCTATAGATTTTTTTTTTTTTTGAATGAATAATTCCATACAATTTAAAATTTTAGAATGTTAATTATTTATTAATGAGGGATTTATTTAATATTATTATCATAATATGTGCTTTGTATGTATGTATGTATGAATGAGAGCTTAGCGTAATATAATACTTTCGTGATACCGTATAGTACAATATATATAGAACCTTCTTTGCATGAAAAAACTACTTGCAAATGTTTCAACTAATGAAGGAACAGAGGAAAGAAAAGTACAGACACTAGTGAAAATGGAAGGTGCAGGTGATAGAGTCAGTAGTGAACGTATAAGCAGTTTTAGCATATGGAGAAATAGTACCATGGAAGCTTTCTCCAAGTCGTCTCGTCATGAAGAAGATGATGAAGAAGCTCTCAAATGGGCTGCTTTGGAGAAATTGCCTACGTATTTACGTGTAAGGAGAGGTATACTCACCGGACAAGAAGGCCAATCTAGAGAAATTGACGTAAAGAAACTCGGATTCATAGAGAAAAGGAACATTCTTGAAAGACTGGTAAAGATTGCAGAGGAAGATAATGAGAATTTCTTGTTGAAGCTCAAGGAACGCATTGATAAGTATGTATAATGAAAATTTAGACGTGTTTTTCTTATAATGTACTTGTTCTGTTTGAATATATGTTTGTATGATTTCTTTTCTTGCTTTTTCCTTGCGAAATTTAAAACCCAGAGTTGGACTTGACATGCCAACAATTGAAGTCCGGTTCGAGCATTTACGCATTGAAGCAGAAGCATATGTTGGAAGCAGAGCTTTGCCTACCATGTTCAACTTCTCTGTTAATTTGTTTGAGGTATAATAATTTCGAGATCATATAATTTTTGAATAGCCAATTTCATAATTTCTGAATGTAATTCATTCTCTCTCTGTGTGTTTGTATTGGCCCCTTCCAAAGGGATTCTTGAATTATCTTCATATTCTTCCAAGTAGAAAGATATCATTACCTATTCTACAGGATGTTAGTGGAATCATCAAGCCTCGAAGGTGAGTCAAAATATTCTCTTAACAAAATGAAATAAATCTGCAATTTCTTTGTTTGTTATTCATATAATATTCCAACTTTGCAGAATGACCCTACTGTTAGGCCCTCCAAGCTCAGGAAAGACAACATTGCTTTTGGCTTTAGCTGGAAAACTCAGTAAAGATCTAAAGGTAAGGATAGAGAATCATGTGGTATCAAGTAGTTTATGCAGGAAATTGTTTTGCGGATTGCCTCACATTTGAGATTGTAAAATTTCAGTTTTCAGGAAGGGTGACCTATAATGGACATGGGATGGAAGAATTTGTACCGCAGAGAACTTCAGCTTATATTAGTCAATATGATCTCCATATAGGAGAAATGACTGTAAGAGAGACTCTTTCTTTCTCTGCAAGATGTCAAGGGGTTGGAACGCGCTATGGTCAGCCACATAACATTGTTGTTATATAGTCTTTAGTGGAATAATTATATAAAACATGTGAATTAATACCATCAAATTCTGAAATTATGCAGAGATGTTGGCAGAATTAGCAAGAAGGGAGAAAGCTGCAAATATCAAACCAGATCCTGATATAGATATCTACATGAAGGTGAGAGAAGAATGGATAAGAGATTCTTGTGTGTGAATTTTCTGTGGATATTGAATACCTGCAAGACAGCATGAATAATGCTTTTATCAATTAAATCTGCTTTAACACTTGGAATTCCATAGGCAGCTGCTCTAGAGGGGCAAGACAGAAATTTAGTTACGGACTACATTCTCAAGGTATCAACTTTAAGTCCAATTAGGCCTCAAGTTTCAGGGGTAAAAAATAAATACCTATATAATTGGCATTTCTGCATATAAAACAATGCAGATTTTAGGACTTGAAGTGTGCGCTGATACAATGGTGGGTGATGAAATGGTACGAGGCATATCTGGAGGACAAAAGAAACGAGTCACAACAGGTAACTATTGACAATTGTATACCTGACAATCTCCAAATCTTTAATAAGGCACCATATATATTAGAACCTTCCATATGAATGCAGGGGAAATGCTGGTTGGACCAGCAAGAGCACTCTTCATGGATGAGATATCAACTGGTTTGGATAGTTCAACGACTTTTCAGATTGTGAACTCACTAAGACAATCCATTCACATTCTCAATGGAACTGCCCTTATCTCTCTTCTCCAACCAGCACCAGAAACTTACGATCTTTTTGATGACATAATTCTTCTGTCCGATGGACAAGTAGTTTATCAAGGTCCGCGTGAAAATGTGCTTGAGTTCTTTGAATACATGGGCTTCAAATGTCCTGAGAGGAAGGGAGTTGCTGACTTCTTACAAGAAGTAAGTCTTATAAAAATTACAATCTATTTTGTATTTCCCCCGCCGGAACATGTTTAAATTGTTCATGAACTTACCTTGTTTAAAATGTCATAGGTAACATCAAGGAAAGATCAAGAGCAGTACTGGGCACATAAAGATGAGCCTTACAGTTTTGTTCCAGCAAATGAATTTGCTGAAGCATTTCAGTCATTTCACATTGGACGAAAACTAGGTGATGAACTTGCTACACCGTTTGACAAGTCCAAGTCACACCCAGCTTCTCTAACAACTAAGAAGTATGGTGTCAGCAAGAAGGAACTCCTGAAAGCTTGCATTTCAAGAGAATTCTTGCTCATGAAGAGGAATTCCTTTGCCTACATTTTCAAAATGCTCCAAGTGAGTTACACCCTGTTTTCCTTCCATCCGTCCTTTCTATTTTACCCCCTTGTCACTTGGAAAGGGCTTGTAAATATTTAAAGATCTTTTGTTTTTTTTTTTTCAGATTATGAAATAATAGGATTCAATTTGAAAGTTCTAATTCTAAAAATCATTGATGTGATGGTGTATATTGTCCTCTATTTCATTTCAGCTTATTCTAATGGCTTCCGTAACAATGACAATATTTGTAAGAACGGAGATGCATAGAAACACAGTAGAAGATGGTCAGGTTTATTTTGGTGCCCTTTTCTTTGCAGTCATGACTATTTTTTTCAATGGACTCTCGGAGATTCCAATGACAGTCATTAAACTTCCGGTCTTCTACAAGCAAAGAGACCTACTCTTTTATCCTTCATGGTCATATGCTTTGCCTACATGGATTCTCAAGATTCCAATCTCATTTTTAGAAGTTGCTATATGGGTGATCTTGACATATTATGTTATAGGCTTTGATCCAAATATTGAAAGGTTGGAAACCAGAAACTCTGGATAATTAATTCATTTGTATGCTTAAGTTTCCAGACTTCATCAAATTTCTCGATGGCAGGTTTTTCAAGCAGTACCTGATACTCCTACTCACAAACCAGATGGCGTCCTCACTGTTTCGACTGGTAGCAGCCTTAGGAAGAAATATGATATTAGCTAACACATTAGCAATATTTTCATTACTTGCAGTACTAGTTCTGGGTGGATTTGTCCTATCAAGAGGTGAGCTCTGTTAATTAATACATTTTTCACTTCTTTATTGATGATACAAATCTGGATCATGATGGATACACTATGTTGCTTCAGATGATGTGAAGAAATTGTGGATATGGGGTTACTGGTTTTCACCCCTGATGTATGCTCAGAATGGTATTTCTGTGAATGAATTTCTTGGAAAGAGATGGAATCATGTAGGCTTCATTTCCTTGAATTTGGACGAGAAAAATAGAATCTAAGTGAGAACTTTGCAGAAAATTATTTGGCCAGAAATGCTAACTGTTATGTGGAAATGATATCGTTGCAGTTTCCTCCTAATTCAACTGAGGCATTAGGAGTTACTTTTTTGAAGTCACATGGACTTTTCCCTGAAGCATATTGGTATTGGATTGCTGCTGGAGGTTTAACAGGATATGTCTTCCTATTCAATTTCCTTTTCACTTTGGCCCTGAAGTATCTTGACCGTAGGTATCACAAAGTTTACATTTTCTGTTTCTGAGATATGTAACCTATTTTCTGACGAGTGAACTGATTGCAGCATTTAAGAAGCCTCAAGCAATACTTTCAGAAGAGGCCTTTGCTGAGAAAAATGCTAACAGAACTGGAGAGTTTGGGATTGAACTTTCAGCAAGAAGGAAGAACCCTTTGGGTAGGTCATAACTCATCGCCCCATTTTTGATGTTTTTCTGTCATTTCAAGCTTAAAGTTAAACATGTAAAAACAAACACAGGAAGATGGAATTCAAGCCACAGAAGTTCCTCATTCAGGATGCCATCTGCGAGAGTGGGCAGCTCTAGTGGTGCTGACAAGGACAGGAAGCGGGGAATGGTTCTCCCATTTCAACCCCTGTCTATCACTTTTGACGAAATTAGATATGCTGTAGACATGCCACGGGTACCTCAAGTCTTTATTGAAGAAGTAGCAATGTATTAGGAGTAGAATCCTGAATTTTTTATCATGTTCGTGCAGGAAATGAAAGCTCAAGGTATCACTGAGGATCGTCTAGAACTTTTGAAGGGTGTCAGTGGAGCTTTCAGGCCAGGAGTCCTAACAGCTCTAATGGGTGCCAGTGGTGCTGGCAAGACCACTCTAATGGATGTCTTGGCTGGAAGAAAAACCGGCGGTTACATTGAAGGAAACATCACAATATCTGGATATCCGAAGAAGCAAGAAACTTTTGCTCGCATATCAGGATACTGTGAGCAAACCGATATCCACTCCCCTCATGTTACAGTCTACGAGTCGGTGATTTATTCTGCTTGGCTTCGATTACCTACCGAGGTTAATTCCAATACAAGAAAGGTACAGTTAGTTCTGTTAGCAATAGATTACTAGATAGTATTGTACACAATGGACTTTTATATTCTATCCACAATTCAGGTTATTGACTGGAAAACTAATTTGGTGGCTTGCAGATGTACGTTGAAGAAGTCATGGAGCTTGTAGAACTGACCTCTTTAAAAGAAGCACTTGTTGGATTGCCTGGTGTAAGTGGACTTTCAATTGAGCAACGCAAGAGGCTGACAATTGCAGTTGAGCTTGTTTCTAATCCATCAATAATTTTCATGGATGAGCCAACCTCTGGCCTTGATGCCAGAGCAGCAGCCATAGTTATGAGAACAGTGAGGAATACTGTGGACACTGGACGAACAGTTGTATGTACGATACACCAGCCAAGCATTGACATTTTTGATGCTTTTGATGAGGTGAGACATTATTCTTGGTTAAATAAGTAACGTTCTTTTTTGGAATTTTTAAGCTAAATACAAGTCTAATGATTTCAGCGTCATATTACAGTTGATTTTGCTGAGAAGAGGAGGCCAAGAAATTTATGTGGGTCCAGTTGGACGACAAGCTTGCCACCTGATCAGATATTTTGAGGTTAGATCTAATAAGTACCGTGTACTAGAGTTACTCCAATCTTCCCTGTTTTCTGCTATTTTGTGACAATGGGAACAAACTTTTATGCAGGAAATTGAGGGAGTTCCTAAGATTAAGGATGGCTATAATCCTGCAACTTGGATGTTGGAAGTTACTACAGCAGCACAAGAAGAAGCTCTTGGAGTTAACTTCACTGATATCTACAAGAACTCAGAATTATACAGGTTGGTTAACACTTAACATTTAAATAATAATAGTTATTATAAAGCTATTGAACTTGCATACGTTGAAAATTCAGAAGAAACAAAGCTTTGATCAACGAACTAAGCAAACCTCCGCCGGGGTCAAAAGATCTATGCTTCCCAACCCAATACTCACAGCCCTTCTTAACCCAGTGTATGGCTTGCCTTTGGAAGCAGCATTGGTCATTATGGCGAAACCCACCATACTCTGCAGTGAGACTCTTATTCACGACATTTATAGCTTTGATGATGGGAACCATTTTTTGGGATATAGGCTCCAAAAGGTACAGATAAACTCATTGCATGCTTTCTAACAGAGGCTCTTACTCTGTAAGCTGAATGAAATGTCTGTGAATTGCAGAAGTAGGCAACAAGATATCCTTAACGCAATGGGTTCCATGTATATTGCTGTTCTATTCTTAGGATTTCTGAATGCTTCATCAGTGCAGCCAGTCGCAGCAATTGAGAGAACGGTATTTTATAGAGAAAGAGCAGCTGGAATGTATTCTGCGTTGCCATACGCCTTTGGACAAGTAAATCCATTACCTTTAACTATAATTTTTCCTTTCCCATGGCCCTGCATCTAATCATTGTTGTTTTTTGCAGGTTGTGATTGAACTTCCCCACATTTTAGTTCAAACAATAATATATGGAGTAATAGTGTATGCCATGATTGGATTTGAATGGACAGCCAACAAGTTTTTCTGGTATATTTTCTACATGTACTTCACTTTCTTATACTTCACTCTCTATGGGATGATGGTTGTGGCTACTACTCCCAACCACAGCATTGCTGCCATAGTTTCAACTGCATTCTACGCAATATGGAATCTTTTCTCCGGATTTGTTGTTCCTCGAACGGTAGACTTCTCAATGTCAACTTTTTTTTTTCTTGACTAATTAATTATCGAGAGGTCATGACTAAAAGACATTAAAAAACTTGGTTATGACAGAGAATTCCTGTGTGGTGGAGATGGTACTACTGGTGTTGCCCAATTGCTTGGACATTGTATGGATTAATTGCTTCGCAGTACGGAGATGTAAAGGAGACATTAGACACTGGTGAGACGGTGGAACATTTCTTAAGGAGTTATTTTGGGTTTCGTCATGATTTTATTGGAATCGTCGCAATAGTACTTGTTGGGATCACAACACTCTTTGGATTCATCTTTGCCTTCTCGATCAAAATATTCAACTTCCAGAAAAGATAAAGACTCGATTAAAGAATAACCATAATATATGTAATTTTTTGTATATCTCATAATTTATAGAAGAAAGATAATATAAATAGAACAATGTAATAACTTGACTTCTAATTTTATAAATACAATCCTCTTTCAACCCTTGCAAGTTTATTTTTTTTTCCAACGAAAAATTAGTAATTCACCAAGATTAAAAAAGTTATAGAAAGAACAGAGTGTATGATCTGTGTTATTGGGCTACACTGATGGATCGTTAAAATAAAAAGATTCAAGTCAAAGTAACTTCATTCAAAGGCTAAAGGCAAGACAAATTTAACCTCTACTAAAGCAACAAATCTCGTTACCAACTTGCTGCCGCATATGTTACAGTTGAATTCTATTCTCTCAATATCTAAAACTAAAGGTAAAATTCTTGATTAGAGAACAAAAACAAAATGAAGAAAATAAAAAAGCATTCGTCACTATCTCAATTGGCCAGGCTATTCAGGAAGCTTTGCAACTCCCTCAAACCCTCAGCAGAGAAGCTTCTCTGCACCCTTGCCCGTGGGGCAACCAGGTTGGGGGGAGCTTCTGATCTGAAGCAAACCACAACAGCAGCTAAATTATCCCCACTCTTCCTCTTCAAAGCTTCATCAACTAGATCTTTGCTACACATGACTGGGTCATTGTGCTCCTGAAGCCTCCGCCTAGCAAAATCCACTGCATTTTGGCTCCTGAATACGTCCCAAATTCCATCACAACCTATAATGAGGAATTCATCTTCCTCTGTCAGTTGTGTAGTCATAAGCTCTGGTTCTGCGCTGAGTGGCCCACCATCTGTACCTTTCATTCCTTCCAAGTGCCAGTCTCCTAGAGCACGAGCCACATTAAGTATGCCATTGAGGTAACCATCAGAAACTTGCCCTCCTGATGCCTCAATGCGCTTCCTCTCTTTGTTGCAAATTGGTTTGTGATCTCTAGACATTTCAATTGCCTTACCACGCCGACACAACACTGCACGGCAATCTCCAGCATTTGCCACCACCAACAGCCTGCCATCAGAACAGTAAGATCAGAACACATATCATAACCAACATCAAATGGTTTAAGAACATCAATTACTCATGAACTAACTTTAAAGAAAGAGAAACATATCCCACGCAGATATAGTCAATAAAAGTAAACAAATTATTAAGAATCAAACTGGACAATGCTGGAAAAGAAACTAAAATATGCAAACAAGCAAATTCAGGGCAGTAAAGGGAAGGCCAAAATTGGTGACAACTTAATCATCCAAGACCTGCCAATAACAAGGGCTGCAAGTGCAGTAGTGCCAGAAGCAAGGGCGGCATCCAGGGAGCAAGCCTCTGCAAAAGCAGTGTCAGTTTGCAGAAAGGCCGAAGCAACAACCCTCTCAATCTCTGTTGGGAAGTCTTCATCCTCAACAATAAATTTTGGCAAATGGTAGCATGCAAAATCAGCAGCATGTTTTCCTCCATGTCCATCAAATACCTGGCCGACAATATAGAAATAATGTTAAACGGCCAATATCATAGAATCTCTAAACAAGCACAAGATCAAAGCTACTATTTTGCATAGGATGTATGTCTTCTGTCACAGGCAAGACCGATAGCACTAACATGTCCAACACCACCATCACATCAAGAGAAAGTACAATTTCCCAAGAATTTGACACCAGGAAAAAATAAAAGTACAATCATTGAAAATAGCCATGTATAAGTACGTGAAGATTCATGAGTGGAAGAGGGGAAAAATACCGCATAGAAGGCATTGGGCCCATCGACCACATTGTTGAGCCCACAGTCACCCAAAAAATTGTCGATGCATGTATAAACATCCTCCATGCTTGAGCGAAAGCCGATGTCCGCCCATGCTCCTGAACGGACAATAGGAGTGAAATCGCCGGTGTGATTTTGTACAGTAAGTTCAGGTTCCACAGAGATATCTGATGTCCTCGTCTTCACCTGCCAAATTTCTAGTCAAAACCTCGACGAAAAAGGAATATACCCAATACAAACTGCAACAACTGTGAGAAAGTCCATGATCCACTCCAAGACACCAAAAGAAAAAGAAAAGACCGTGGAACGAAAACGGGCAAGGAAACACATCAGGATTTTTTTTTTTAAAACAAAATGCAGTTCACAGAAATCTTGACGTTAAAACAGACATTTGTGCCCAGCAGCTCAATTCAGCAAATGAAAGTATTTACTTCAGCTAAAGTGAAAAACAAGAAACAAAAAGAGAAAAGAACTAAAAAAGAGATTGGAAACCAAAGTTCAATACAAGCACGCTAAGAATTCCTTCATTAAAATCAAAAACCAAACTTTCTTGTGCTGTCTTTCCCTAATGGGTGGCTAACAAAATAGAACAAACAAGCAATCGCATTGCTCATTGTCAACATTTAAAAAATCGAAAATGAAAAAGAAAAAAAATTGCAAAAATTTTTAGAAAGAAACTTACAAGGGATTGATGTCGAACCAGCGTCTTCTTACAGGAAACAGGAGCATTATCAATTGTATAACACTGTCGACACCCTGCAGCAAGAGGGTTTGGAGGCCGACCCTCGCTGGAGCTTCCATTTTCCCCAATTCCACCAAACCCTTTACTTCCCTCCATTTTCACATCCCTCTCCTCACAAGCAAAATCCCAACTTCAAAATCTCAAATTTCCAAGAAAGTTTCTTCGAGCTATTCTGCCAATGAGCTAACTCAGATGGACACCGAACGCTATCAAATCAAACAAGTAGTGTAATTCAATAAGTATTAAGAAAGAAATGACTCGGTGAATCAGTCAATGCGTTGACTCAGCCGAAAACTAAAATACAAATATGTGAAAAAGAAAATGCAGATCCAGCAATTCAACAATGTGTGAACTAAGGTTGTTTTGGGGATTCGTTAGGGTTTTCAGGTGCTGAACAAGAAGAGGAAAGGGTTTAAAGCAGGAAGAAAATACAAAATTAGGGTTTAATGGGCAATAGAATAGAAACGAAATAATAGCGATTCAATGCGATCTAAAGAGAAAGAAGAGAGATTTGAGGCGACGCAGCCGATGGTAAAAGTTTTGGTAGGCTAAAGCCGAGTTTCTAACTGGTCGGTTTTAAAGGCAGTAGGGGTGAACCTGAGCAGAGTCCGTCCATGAATGTGAATCCAATGACGTCGTTTCGATTCGGGTAGCGTGGCGCTTCAGTAACTACTTGTTTGACAACCTACCAAGCTGACAAACAAAAAACAGAGCAATAATAATAATATAATAGTAATATCTAGATTTTGGTATTTAAATGTAGAAATTAGTAATGATGGGTATTGAAATGATTGTGGCCTTTCCATTAGGTAAGGAGGTGTCATTTTCCTTTTAATAAATAATTTAATTTAATGTGGACCAACCAACAATTAACTATAATTGGGGTCCCATGTGATCGGCGTGTCATAACACGTGCTAATTGTGAAATAAAGCTTTCAATTTGGTTTAATAAATAATAATAATTACTTGATTAAAATGGAAGATTAAGATTATTGACTTCAAAACAATCAAACTTGTTTCTTTCTTTCAAGTATTTAATTTTCTCTTTTAGCTTTTGACAACGACTAGATAAAAAATTTATTTGTTAGCAATAGATGGATTATATATAAGATTTTCAGAGATTTTTTGAAAATTTTTAGTGCAATGTGTTGTATATTGTAGATAAATATATTTTTTTATTGTTTTCTCTGACAAATCTTTTGAACTTTTCCAGAAGGACTCATGTAAAGGAGACTGGGGGAGAACGCCGCGAGTGCGAGTGCGATTGCCTTGTCTGGGCCTGTACATGGCGAGCGAGCAAGCTACAGGAAGCCATTTCCAACACGCGTCTCCAATACTAAAACGTGGTGGAGGACGGCAAGCAACGAAAGGTGGCTTGTTTGAAGGGTCCAATCCACGTGTCAAAAGACTAGCACCCATTTGTCAGCTACTTTGACCAGACTGACTCACTCCAACAAACCCAGATCGTCAGATCCTCTCTCCCTCTCTGCACAGTCTATTTTATAAATATCCCGATATCGCGGCCTCTCTGTGCCTGTGAGTAATTTTAACAGGGGAGGCTCTTTAACAAAAAAACAGAGACATCAAATGGCCATCACAACCAGTTGCTGCCTCAACCTCCCCCTTCCGACCTCTGCTTCAGGCCTCCCTTCTTCCACTACTAAGACAAGTACTACCCAAGTTTCATGGTAGGCCAAAATCTTAACATGCATGGCCTTTATTTTATTAAAATTTTACACTTTCCAATTACTTGTTTTACATTTGTAGGTTGAAGAATGACAAGTGGAGAAGGCAGTGCGTGCTGGGAATAGCCTGGATGATAATTGGAGCTGAAATGGATAATTTGGCAAGCCAAGAAAATCTCGCGATGGCCAAAGATATGCAGTATTCAGTTGTGGAATCAAAGAGTCAGAGATGGAGCGACAAAAGAATGTGCCCTCCATGGCGTCTTAATTCACTAGAGACCGTTGTGCCAGAAAACCTTCCAAGGCCATCCGCTCGCAGGAGATGGGAGGCTACCGGTTATTCCGAGAATGCTCCGCCTCCAGCTTCAGCAGTTAAAGTGATGGTTCATAGCGGCAACAGTTGCTTTACCATGTAGAACATTCAGTTGTCATATAGGTATATTGTTACTGCAAATTATGTACATAAACAATACAATTCTTAAAATATCAAAAATGGAAATAGATTACTAATGGCGTTTGATCGTCGGTCGTAGTACTGAATTGGTTGTATTTGGCGAGGATGGCATAGTACACGCAGTACAAATTGGATATATAAAACAGAAGAGAAGTACAACTTTTCTCGCTTAAGGTTCCAGCCTAGACTCGTTGGATTTGCGCAAAGGGCCAAAAAGTCCATAATGAAATAGGATTGGTTTTGTTAACTCGAATGGGCCAAAAGGCCTTGAAGTTATGGGCTGCGTATCAAAGGGGAAAATGTCTTTTTTGCCCATGAGATGCACAATCAAATAAATCTCATTAATTAATTAATAACACACGCTAAGTACGTATTAACACGAATAACATTATACTATTGGTCTGAATTAGCTGAAAGAGACCACATTCTCACGAACGGATGCTTTAATCAAATGGCCTAACAAAGAATAATTTTGAGTATAAAATCTAAAACCATCTAGAAGATATATACTTGGGAAACATGACTCGTTACTGGTACTAATTTCTAATTTTTGTCGATCATAGCATTAACCTTATCCTTAAATTTGCTAATGTCGGACGCCGATACATGACTTTCGCAAAACAGCATAGACATTATCAAGGCATAAAGATGTGGGGACAGCAAATAGCCGACCACAGTTAGATAAGTTTCCAAGGTTGCCCTCGCCTCCTAAACCGGCCCCTTTTCAATTTTGGTTTTTCATCTTTTAAATGGAATAATAATAATAATAATAATAATAATAATAATAATAATAATAATAATAATAATTAACATATAAATTTTAAAATTAAATTGTCCTATGTTTAATGTTCATCAGCTAAAACAACAAATTTTAATATCAAAATTTAAAATTTTGATTAGCATAATTTTTAGTATCGACAAGAGGTTATTATACAAAAATTTCAATAATTTGTTAACTTTCAAAGCATATTTTCATCAATTATTGAACATTGATCAAGTGCAATTTGAATTTTACTAATATTATTTATTCTAACGTAGAATGGCGTCCTACCTTGATCCTTTTTTTTTATATACTTTTTTTGTATAATTTTGAAAATTTATTTTTTGATACCTTTAACTTTAAATCTTGACACCACCACTCCAAATATAGTATATATTAACTTTTATTGATTATTAGTTCTTGTTATGATGTGTAATGCATGTTGACTATATTCATGATATGCTCATTTTTTATACTCGTTTAGTTTTTTTATTTATATACTTAAAGCATAAATTATTATTTAGATTACGATAAATATAGTGGTTTTTATGTATACAGTAAAATATTTTTTTAATTATATATTTTACATTGTAATATATCACTGAAAAAAATTAGTATATTTATTTCTCTATTTAAAATAGCAATTTAAATATGAAATATGTCATTTATATTCTCTTCGACATACTGATTTATATAGTTTTTATTATACATTATTATTTAGATAACGATAAATATAGTGGTTTTTATGTATACAGGTAAAAATAATTTTTTTAAATTATAATATTTACATTGTAATATATCACTGAAAAAAAATTAGTAATAGTTTTATTTCTTCTATTTAAAATAGCAATTTAAATATGAAATTTTAAATATGAAATATGTCATTTATATTCTCTTCGACATACTGATTTATATAGTTTTTATTATACGCTAGTTGCTTTTATTTTTTGTTTAAGTAACAAATTAATTTATAAAAAATTATCATATAGCTTTTATTTTATGTTTTATAATTAATTTACATATTTTGTTAATAAATTTCACTATAATCTCTTTTAATAAATAAATATATGTCAACAATAGAATAAGAAACTAATCTAATAAATCAAATAAAATATCTATAAATAATAATTATTTTTATTTTTATTTTTTTATTCAATCAAAGTCACAAAATCATTTAAAAAATTTATTGGTAAAATTATATTCCTCAATAGAAAGAGTAAGATTTGAATTAAATAAGATATCAATATAATTAATCAAATTCAAAATGTTTAAAAAATGATAATTTTTTATCTTTTTTCTTTTGCCAACCAAATTAGAGCATAATTTGTAATTAAAGAAATTTAACCATACCATTTTTAAATTAAAATCTTAATTATCTAGATATATTTATTTAAAATAAATTTAAAAATAAATTTAAAAAAATAAAAATTTTTTTGAATGCCTCATATTTTACATATATTCATTTAAAATAATAATGTTGAAGATAATTAACAATAATAGTAAATAAAAAATAATAATGAATAATTAACTAAATTATTTAATTATTAATAATAATATAATGAAACTAAAACAATACTTTAGACATAATAAGATAATAATAGTAAAATTTTAAATTTTTTAAATGCTTAATTATGTATATGTATAATTAAAAAAAAGTTAAAATTTTAAATTTTTAAATGCTTAATTATGTATATGTATTATTAAAAAAAGTTAAAAAAAACATTCAATGAAATTATAGAGATATTATATATATTTTTATGTTAAAATTTTTTAATTGGCTATGAATAAAGTTATTTTAGAGTATCATAAATTTTACAAAAACAATATACAAAATCTTATTATTCATTTTTCATTACCACCTTTATATATAGTATAAATAGATATATTATAGATTATAAATTTATTTATTATCTATTGAGTTAAATAGAGCAAAATAATACATATAATAAATACAGAAAGTATGTAATATGTATTCAGCTCTAACATTTAATTTAAATCTTAAATTATATAAATTAAAAACATATCTAGTAAATAATAAAAAAATTAATTTTCATGTATAACCTTATTATATAACATTAAAATAATTAAAAATAAAAAATATTTATTAATATATAGTTAATGTTGAAGAATATTTAAAATAAAATTTAATTAGATATTAATAAAAATATTTTAGAGCATTTTAAATTTTATTAAGAGCATTAACGTAACGTTTAATTATCTATTAATAAAATTATTTTAAAACATTTAAAATTTCAGTAAGTGCATTATAGATAATTTTATTATTCTCTTGTCCTATTTTTATATATACTATAGATATAGATAAATAAATTATACATTTTCATTTTAATTGAAATGTAAACTTCAAGATTAATTTAATTTATAACATGAAGCTCGAGGTTTAAATACAACCAAAATTTAAAACTTAACGATTAGATATTTTTTTCGTTTTGAAGAACCTAACAATTAGATTAAATATTATAAATTGGAAAATTAAAATAACTGGTGAGAGTGAGGCGCCAAGCCGCTACCGTCCAAATCAAGACAGCAAATAGCGTGCGTGTCGTTCTGTCATCGTTATTCTCATACAACTACAATTTGTGACCGTCATAGGCTCACAGCTAACTGCCGAACTAATAAACGCACACTCTTCATTTTAGTCGCAACTCAAAATCTTTCAAAGTGAGATCAATTCCAAATCTGCTCGAGCGATCTTTTGAAATTGATATGGTTTTCTTTAGCAGAAAGACCAGATTTCACAACAGGACTCGAAGGTCCATTTCGATTAAGCCTTTGCGTTGTTCAGTTGGGCATGAAATTGAAGGTGATGAGATTATAATAAAGCCTAACGGACTATTGAAAGAGAAGGCTACTAAGTTCTCTTTCGAAGGGACGATTCCTGATCTTCGTGGTTTTCTGCTTGTTACAATGGTAGGGACTAATCATTCTGCCACTATCACAGCTAAACACGTGCGACTTTGTGCTGATATATTTTTTAATGGCAATAAAAAGACTGGACTTACTATCACCGCCATCACAGAAGAGCTTTGGGATTATAAGTAATTTCTGCCATAAGCATGATTTTCTTTATTGTTTTCAAATTTGCACTGGAATCTTGATAATTTTTATTAATTCTTTGCAGGCCTTTCAGTTGGATTTCAAGAAACAATGTTGAAAGGAAAGAAATTCAGATATACCCTGCAGTTCAATTGAGCAATTCAGATGAAATTGGTATAAAAAAACCTCATTGATTGGCCTGCAAATTGCTTTAAAGATTAATAGATGTTTTTTTTTAGTTTGCTGCTTTCCCATTCTATTTATAAATGAATTTCTCTCCTGTTGATTTAGCTGCAGTTTAAAATAAGAGCTAGGCGTCGTTCATCAACAATTCTCTCTGCATTACTTTTCCTGGTTTGTGATTGTACAATCTCAATTTAGCGTCTTGTTTATTTTATATTACAGCCTTTATATTTGTGTAAATGCTTTCCTGAGATTTCTAACTGGGTAAACTCCTATGAATGCTTCTAGGATCTGACCTCAAATGTACCTTGTTTTAGGCGGATGTCTCAGTATTTTTACTACTTCTTTTGCAGGTGATTTGGTGGGGTTCTGGATGTAACGGCATCTTGGTCTCTATGGCATTTAGGCAATTTTGTATGTAATGGTTGGATGTGTGTGATTCGTCTAGAGATATCTTTTCCAAGAATTATGATGATAAAATCTTGAATTAATTGTGAATATTTACATGTCATTTAGTTGAGGAATGTTGTCTTAAAATTAATTAATGTTATTCTTGTCTATGTAATGTACTAGTACTACTGCGTAGAGCAATCTTTATTAACGAAAAATGTACAGAAAAAAGAAAATTGTATAAAGTTGAAGAGGAGTTGTAAGAAATTTATGTTCAAAATGAAAAGAGAAGAAACAAAGAATTTGTTTTTATATATTCCAAGCCCATAATTGATTTAACACATTTTCACCCAACAACTAGAAAGCATGATCCCAGAGAAAGCCATCAGAAAAAACATACAAAGCCTAAAAATGTACCTGCGTTTAAATTTCTGCATACCCGTTATCGCTAAAGGATTTGATCCGCGACTATCCAATCTGTAAATCGTGTCCTGTATAGAATCCTGTTCAGCTAATGTGTCAATGTACTTCCTTCCAAGTTGTTGCAGAGCCATCGAGTTAACCCCAGTCGCTATAAGTGAAAGACAAGATGGCATCCAACAATTTCGGCATTGAAGAGTTTTGGAGGTTAATACAACTGTTAAAATAACACCTTGGAAGACAAAATAAATATTTGCTAGTTGAAAACCTCTGGATTGAAGTTCTTGAAGTCTTTTATCAATGTCAATGCACTTCGTTTCCAGCTCTTTTATTTTCTTCTCGTTTCCATTATATTTATTGATCTGTGGAGAACTGTCAATACAATGATCTTCAACTGCAAGTATGGGCTGCTGAGCAGTAGGTTGTATTTCAATTTCAATCTGTTGCTGTGGAATATGGACAGGTGGCTGCATTCCAACTTGAAATTGATTATACTCTGGAGAAGCTGATTGATCTTGTGTTAGCTGCTGGGAGTGGGAGCTATCCATCATCATCCAGGATATTTCTCCAGAGAGCAGATTGTTCATGTTTTATACAGTTATAGGTTCTTTCAATTGTTATTTCATTCATAATAAAAAGCCAAAACTAAGAACAAAATCAGATTAATCAAAATATAGTAAATTGACTGACCAATATTTATTATTCTCTTGTACGGGCGGCAATGTGAACTAGAAAGTAAGAGGGAAAAAGAAAAATAATACCGTACTTGTCCAATCTGCTGAATTTCAAAGAAGCCTCACTTCTTGTAAAAACAATTCAATCATCCAATTGAAATGCCCTTATTTGTATAGATTACCATTCCAGATCCAATAAATGCAGCTCGCACTGACATTGTATCCATATAAGCTAAGAGTGAGAAATGTCTATTACATTGTTCATATTTTCTTGTCAATTTCTCAAACCTCGATGTATATGTATCCTGCTCCTGCAACAATTGATGGTATACTATCAATACGAGTTGAATTTATTGGATCTGGGAATGAAAAATCTTAACATGAAACCAGTAGAATAGTTAAACGTTTATAAAATTTTGAGTATTTTCCAGCTTGAACTACAAAGGCAAATCCAAAGGATTTAATTTATACACGGAGAGACAGAAACTTCGTGGCAAGTTCCAAGTAGTTGCCTGGATATAACACCTATTTCACACGTAACTATATGTAATTGGTGCAACTTCTTTTACTCTTAGGCCTAACTATTGCGAAATGCTGAAGAAAAGCATAAAAATATATTAAAATCTATTGTTTGAATTGTTAAATATTTATGGATTTAAATTTGAATAAAATTCATATAAAATTTTAAAGATTTAATTAAATATATATATTTTACAATCTTAAATTTCAAATTAAATATATGGATCCAAACATAACGTAATAAGAATTTCCATGCAGTTGCTTAAGCTAGATCTATGCTTTTCTTCTTTCTTTAGTCGTCTTGTTATTATATTTTTTGGCTTTATATTTCATTGGAAACCAGTAAGAAACCTGCATGATGCACTGAAAGTATGTTAAACTGTATTTCTGAGAAGAAATCGCATTTGTTATTCTAACATTGTTTGATCAAAATAGATTTAAATACGCATCCTAATTGCAGAGAGGGGACCAAATTCCACCCAAACAAGAATTGTAAATTTGTAATTCAAATTTCTGTTTCGCTTGAAGAAAGCTTACAATTCCTTAAGCTTGACGAAACTATATTCTTTTAGATGACCGAACATGACCAGACTCAGTTCAATCAACGACAGGGCAATTTCGCTCTGTCATAAATCTATTTATCACATTATCCAAACATCAAGCCGTCAGGTCGTTTATCTTGTCGGTCTAAATTTACTTTCAGGTTTAATCCAGTCAGCATTATTTGAATTGGGATACAATGGAAAATGATATGCTGATGTGCTTTTGATCCAGGAAAGCATGCAGGTCCGAGTTTTACTTTCTACGTATATGATTTTGTTTTTATTTCACTAAAACAAGACGCAGGGGAATATTTTCCCGTCGCATGTAGAAACGACAATTTTTTCCTCTAAAAACCGCCATATAACATCGATTCGAGCCATTCTCTCTCACCAACAACCGCTATTTTTTAAGACAAAGGAATATTCTCTTGCCCGCAACTTATCCTGTTAATTGATCAATTAATTTTTTGACACGAACGATAGGACCTGGCTTATCTAATGATTTTTTGTGATCACTTGCTTATCTATCAAAAGATACTCGTTTATATGGTGATTTATCAGACAACAGTCTAATGATTTTTTATGTTTTTGGCCTTTTTTAGAACAGTATAATCAATTTTGCAGTGTAGACAATATTCAAATTCTCTTTCTTTGATCGCACAAAAGCGGGATATTGTAGTTTCAATTTAAAGAACACAACCGCAAGGAGAAAGAAATCATTTTAATTGTTAGATATAGTTTAATTGCAAACCCTGTTTTGAATATTTAATCCTTTAGGATGCTTAAGGTTTAAACCCTGGAGGATGATAAATTTAGTTTTCAAGTCAGTTAAACCACCTTTAAGAAGATTTGCAAAACATAATTCCGTATTGTATTTATTTTTGAACATAAGCACTATCTTACAAATCACAAGAAAATATGTATTATTAAAGCTTTTACAGATGCTTCGATTGATCTCCGGCCACCGGCAGCTGCCACTAATTGCAGAGAATGGTATAAGACGCGTGTAATATCACAGCAGTGAACCCAAGCAAAGCAAAAGCTGTGATATATATATAAGCATACCTCTGATAAACCCTAACCATGTCAGGAGTCAAAACACGTTGCTGCTGTTGCAAATTGGAGACTGTAATTTGGCCATGTTTAAGCATATACATCTCGTAGTGTATCATTTCCAAGTCCAATAAATTCAACTCGTATTGATACTGTGTTCTTGCCCATTTGCATATCGTATTAACGAAAGTGAGTCCAAAAATTACAGAAACCGATAAGGCAAGGCAAAAAGGATACCACCATATTTTGCAGGAGGCATTTGAGGGTCCAGAAATAGAAAGGAAAATTATTCCTTGACAGACGATGTAGGAAGCTACTAACCATATTAATTTTGTTTCAAGATATCTTACCCTCTTTTCTTGTTTGTCGTTGATTGAAGTCATTTCTTTGTAGCTGTTGGTAAGTTCTTCTAGCTTTGTATCCATCTCTCCCATCTCTAATATTCTTCTTCTTGGTCTTCAAATCCAAGGTTTTTACATTAATATCATCAAAACAACAAGTTATAGAAAGATAGCTATTATCTTTCTGATTATACAAGGAAAGAAGAACATATTTATATACCGGCATGATGGGCAAATTAATAATCTTTTTTTTGGGTGATTATGCCTTAATATTAGTATATATGAAACGAAATTCGGAGGAAACTTACCTTCTGTGAACTCGTTTAGATTAATTCAAAGTTCTGTTTTGTTCTTGCAGATAGTGATTTAATTTGGCATAAAAATAATATCAAGGGTTCGGCAGCTTCCAAGTGTTTTATTCAAAGCTCTGAGTCGGATAATAAGACTGGGGGGACTTTTTTTTTTTTTTTTTTTTGTAAACTGCTAGTACCAGGAATATATTATTAGGGAATATTTAATCCGGTTCGGAAGTTTAATCATTGTTAAAACTTTCTAGAAACGTATATGCATTTAGTAAAAATCGAATCTAAACGTGCTCTTCGACCTGAAATCAATTTTTACGTGTTCAGCCTTAATTACTAATTTAGCCACAGTCTGTGTCCAGCTTTAGTTACTGATTTAGCCGCAACCTATAGGTTAGGGGACTTTTTTATCGGTCTCTTGACAATGAATTTCTATGGATGCCAACAAGAAAGCGAGTGATTTTCAAAATTCTTGTCTCATTTACGATGAGATATTGTCCACAGCATCGTTTACGGACTAAATCCGTATCCACGACAAAGACTATTCGCTCTATCGGTAATCGTGTATAATTTTTCACATTGATAATATAATAATATTATTATTCATTTAATAAAAAATAAATATATAACTTTTAGTTATTATCATATTTTAAAGTTTATGTCTGTCTATCTACTCTATCTGAATATAATTTAATATTTAAAGTACATTTAAAATTTTTTAATTATTATTTTTATTTTTATAAATTTATATTTGACAAATTTAAGTATATATATAAAATTATCACATATTTACAATTTTAATCAAAAATTAAAACTACAAATTTGTTATTTTATAAGATAATCATTGAATAAATAAATTTAAGGATAACTATTTTTTATATATACTAATTATTTATTTCCTTTCTATTATTTTATTCAATAAGTCATTTTCTTTTCTCGACAATACATCGTAAAAATTATTTTAAATTAATACGCGTTCTGAATTTGGTTAATGAAAATGACATACTGAAATGTTACTGCATGAATGTCAAAACAAAATTCTTACTCTTTAAAAAGTATATATATATATAAACAAACATTTTGAAGAACAAAACTAATAAATATTTTATTATTAAATTTGGAATTATAAATTTTAATAATTCAATGATTTAGTATTTGTGTCAATCTCGTGATAAAAAGATTAGGAATATTAATCTGACAATTTGTCTGTGATAAGATTTTATAAATGAATCGTGCAGTTCAAATGTGGGCTGGGTTGGGCTTCTATAGACGTAGGCCTAGCCTGATTTGGGTGTTCACTTATTGTAATTTCTCAGGGACTGACCCAAAATTCATAACCACGATACCCTAAACCGTACAAAGAATAATGAGTTGGGCTAAGATCTTGGGCCTCCGCCTAGTAGTAGAGTGGCCCAAATTATACCCAGACTTACCGAAAAGAAACTTCTAGGTTTCGAAACGGTTAAGAGCTTGCCATTCGATATTCATGGCGGAAGAATGCGCGAATGATTAAAACGACCCCTGTCCAGGCTGTCCTTAAGCCCTAACTGTAAATAAGTACCACACTCTGATCTCTCTCTAAATTTGATAAGTGTTCTGAATTTCTTTCTATGATTTTCTACAATCAAGTCTTTGCTTTTTCCCTTAATTGGCCAAAATTTTCTGCAAACGCCATGGCCACAACCTCCGAACAATCACAAGAAGAATTCTCAGAAATCAGAAGAAGATTGGCATCATTGCTGGAATTTTCCGTCTCACTGTAAGCATAACAGAATTTCTCTTCATTAATTTTGCAAATTGTATTGGCTCTGATGCATTTAGAGTTTAATTCAAACCACTCAGCATTATGTCATTATATTTCATCTGGAAGATGAAATTGCTGTGGTAAGAAATTTTGCTTCTATGCATAACCATAACATAGATGGGAACAAAGAAATGATAGCAATTGCTGTCATGAATATTTATGGTTGCCTTTTATCATGTTAGATTGCTACAGGCATCCGTCTATACGAATTTGTTTTTCTTGTTATCCTAATTTTCTTTTTACTTTTGATTTACAAAATTCTGAAGAACTGTTTCTAATTAATTTATTAAAAATTTCTCAGAGACATTTTCTGGATCTGCTGTGAACTATAGTGCTGAGGCAAAAACAACATTTCAAATGTCATAATTTCGCTGGCTGTTCTTGTGACATTGCTATTTCTCTTGCCATTGTTCTATTATACTCCCAACTTTGTGTTAGTTGCATTATCATAACGGCTATAGTTCTATTGGTTGACTATCAGGATGCTATAAACAGACGAGCTTTATTTTTTACCTGCTGGTTTATTCTTGGGTTCTATTCATATCTGTGCAGATAAGAGTTGCAATAGTTGTATGTAATACCCCCTGTTGTTTTGCTTCTTTTTCTTCTTCTTTTTGTTAAAAATGAAGAAAGGGATTAGGTTACCAATACTGTTTAGGTTGGCAATTGAACCAGATTCGAACTTTGTTTACAGAAAAGAGTAGTTATGTTGAAAATTAAACACTTGCTTGTTTTTCAGGATAGAGTTTCAGTATTTCAAGATTATTCTGCATGTTACAAGGCCAAACACAACATTGCTGGGAAAGATTCCTGGAACTCAAATATACTAAAGTCTCAATAGTTTAGAAAGAATGCATCGAGAGTTTCATCCTTCCTCGTTTGAAGAATCTCCCATCTTTGAGGCCAATTCAACTTATCTTTGAGAAAGGTTAATACTATTTTTCAAATTTAGATTATTACAATTGTCTGACTGATTATTTCTGCAGTAAAATATATGGCAACTAGGACTAAGTTTTTCTCAGGTCCGTATAGTTTGTCATAAACCTTTCTACAGGGTTTTATTCCTATTTCACTATTGAACTAGTATCTTGGACAAGTGATAAGTCATTCTCATATACAGATTTGGTTCATTAATTATAATCATGCTGCAGAATATTAAGATGGATCAGGGATGAGGACAGGGTCCAAGACAGTGGAGATGCTGTCCTGAGATGTATAAGTTTTGATATGACAGGTATGAAAAGTACTCTATTAATTGGCATTTGCATCTTTGATATGAAATTAGCTATATAATCTCAAAGCCCTTGTACTGTCTACTCTTTAATTATAATATTAATATGGTCCCAAAATAGGTTGAAACTAACTAATTTGTGTTACAAATTATAGCAGTGAAAACCTAAGATGCTAGTGTTGTCGATGCTGTAGAAGATCTTAGAAAAACAATGGACAAAGGTCCCTTCAGGTAAGTAATGGAAAGGATAGAGTAATTATGGTAATAGACTAATATTACTTGTTAATGTGATACTGGTGATTGTTGAATTGTACTGGAGAAACTTTGTAACTTGAAAGTGATCGAGTCATTTAAATCAAGAGGACTTTATTTGGCAATTGGAGAAGCATTAATTGATATATCATCATCCTGGAAGCCATGGCCTTGAATATACAAACTATTTCTATTGAAACATTGGTTAAGAAGCAAGTAGCTTTAGCACTTTTTACTTTTAGGAATTTATTGGAGAGTATTTGTTACTTGTTATTTATTTTTATCAGTTTATACATAAAAGTTTTAATGATTGCAGTCAGGTTGCAGGTGGTATCAAAATATACTGATAAATAATTCGTAGAAATTATCATAATGAAAATAGTGAAATATGCAGTTACTAATTACAAGCAGCACTAAATCTGATAAAAGGAATTAAGGGAAAATACAGCATTAAGAAGATTAAAGGGCACTATCTCCAGCAGATTTTGAATTAACTGCTGTTGTTTATTCTTTGCCACTTTTTTTGTATTCAACTGATTATTCTTTGCCACCGATTGTTCCACCACCTCCACCAAATCCAGCTCCCCCACCAAATCCACTGCCACCACCAATGCCTCCACCACCACCTCCACCTGCACCAAATCCTCCACCTCCACCTCCACCAGCACCACCTCCGAAACCACCTCCAACTCCAACTCCTCCACCAGTACCTCCACCAGCTCCACCCCCAAAACCTCCTCCAAATCCTCCGCCTGCACCACCACCAATTCCACCTCCAACTCCTTTCCCAAAACCTTCCCCAAAGCCTCCGCCAGCTCCTCCACCATTGCCTATTCCTCCTACACCTCCACCAGCACCACCCCCACCACCAATCCCGCGGCCTACTCCTTTTCCAATTCCTCCACCCCCAAAACCTTCCCCAAAGCCTCCGCCAGCTCCTCCACCATTGCCTATTCCTCCTACACCTCCACCAGCACCACCCCCACCACCAATCCCGCGGCCTACTCCTTTTCCAATTCCTCCACCTGCACCACCTCCAGCTCCACCACCATTGCCTATTCCTCCTGCACCTCCACCGCCAGCACCACCACCACCACCACCACCGCCGCCGCCGTCACCGATCCCACCACCTACTCCTTTGCCAATTCCTTCTCCCGCACCACCGCCAATCCCGCCGCCTACTCCTTTTCCAATTCCTCGACCCACACCACCTCCAGCTCCGCCACCATTGCCTATTCCTCTTGCACCTCCTCCTCTGCTAGCACCAGCACCACCACCGGTCCCGCCACCTACTCCTTTTCCAATTCCTCCTCCCGCACCACTCCCACCACCAACCCCGCTGCCTACTCCTTTTCCAATTCCTCCACCCGCACCACCTCTAGCTTCGCGACCACTGCCTATTCCTCCTGCACCTCCTCCTCCTCCGCCTGCACCACCACCACCACCTACTACTTTTCCAATTCCCCCTCCAGCTCCACCACCACTGCCTATTCCTCTCGCACCTCCTTCTTCGCCAGCAGCACCACCACCGTTCCCACCACCTACTCCTTTTCCAATTCCTCCTCCTGCACCACCTCCAGCTCCACTACCACTGCCTATTCTTCCTACACCTCCTCCTCTGCTAGCACCGCCTCCACCACCAATTCCACCACCTGCTCCTTTTCCGATCCTTGCTCCTCCACCACCTCCTTTGCCAACACTTCCTCCACCAATATCGCCACCTCCATTATTGTGCTTTTGGTCCTTTTTCTTATTGTGCTTGCCACCTTCTCCTCCACCAATACCACTTCCCCCACCAGACCCACCTCCAAAACCCCCACCAACACCACCTTGCCCACCTGCTTGCCACCTTCTCCTCCACCAATACCACTTCCCCCACCAGACCCACCTCCAAAACCCCCACCAACACCACCTTGCCCACCAGCGCCGATCCCTTCACCACCTTTTCCAATGCAGTCAGGCTTGCTTCCAAGACCAATGCCAGGGTCGCCAGTACCAAAACTGAAACCTATGCCTTTCCCGAAACCAAAAGAATGACCAAAGCTCATCCCATTTCCACCGCCAAAACCACCGGCAAAGCCTCCAACACCACCAGCACTGCCAACACCAACCCACCCAGGGTCACCAATGCCATCGAAAAACCACTCAGGTTTCTTCTTCTCCTCGACCTTCCTGTTGCTCTCCACCGGCTCAATATATACCAACGAGGCAAGCAACAAAGCCAACCACGTCAATTTGAGAGACTCCATTACCACTTGAAAATAACGTTGGAGAAAACAGGCTGATCCATGGCTGTATATATAGAGAGGCGGTCATTTAATATTTTGCTCAACAAGAAGCCATTTCCAGGAAAAGATTGTATCGAGAATGGTTGGAAGCTGAGACAGTTTAATTGCCCATGCGATGGATATATAGCTTTACAACACTAGTCCAGCAGGATGACATACCCATCTACGTGATTGGAGCATTTTGCATTCATGGCCACCGCAAATGTTACTTTCCGATCTTCCTTTTTCTCTCCCATTCTATTCTATTGTATTACTGTTCTTAACTTGTCGAAAACTGATTCCATTTAAAACCCCTTCATATAGCACGCGTTCTGCATGCATAGCATAAAAGTGTAAACTCTGAAGCTCCTTCACGTTATTAAATTAAAAAATTACTACTGCGAAAATTCAGTACCTCCATTAGGTACTTATTGATAGGCCATGATGCCAATGTTTATCTTTTATTCCTACATGAATTAGGTTCCTCTGAATCGATATTTACAAAGCATCGTTAATCCTCTTTGTGCATTTTATAAAGCATTATTAATCCTGTGTAAATTAATAACAAAATCAAGAATAATTTAATACCATTACCCTTTTTTTTACGGTATTATCTTTATTTCATATTATTTTATTGTAGCTAATAGAAATAAGAATAAAATTAAAAAAAATATATTTATTATTTCTTGAAATTCTCATATTGACTTGTATCATGTGATAAAACCATCACTCTAAAATGACTTAAATTTTGGGACATGGAGTAAAAAATTACTTTAAATAGTGAAAATAATAGTTTATAGTTATTTCTCTTTTTAATTTTCATTTTATTTTGACGAGACGATATTATTTTTCTAAATAAAAAATTTTCATATTTTTAAATGGCATATAAAAATTCTGTTATGAAGTATACTTAATTTTAACTATGCGAATTCTTTTTTTTTTTTTTTTTTTTTTTATTAACTAAGGATTAGAATTCCTAGGGGTAACGCTAGAGCCTTTGTTGTCGTTATTATGGTTATAGTTCGGTTTGTACGGCTCCAATAAAGCCAATACAGCGAGTTTGCCCACAGGCCATAGCGCGCGCACGCGCACCCACTCCGTACGGTGACACCTATCCTTTCAAAACCCCATTAAAAAAACCCTTTTAGAAATTAGGTTACCATTCAAACCTTGAATCCTCGATTTATTTGTACATTAATTTTAGTTGAGCACAGAATCTTTCTAAAAATGGACAATATTCAAGACGATGGTAGGTGTTCTCCAAAATCCCATTCTCTCAAATCGGTCAAGCGAAAGCCCCTTATGTACTCTCACCCTGTTCCCTCTTACTACACATCACCCCCGATTATGCTGTTCGGTGAAGATGACGACAAGAATTTGACGAAGAGAACTTTTTTTTTTTTTTTTTTTTTTGGCTATTAATATTAACTAGGATTAGTAATTTCCAGGGGTAACGCTAGAGCCTTGTTTCGTTATTATGGTTATAGTTCGGTTTGTACGGTCCAATAAAGCCAATACAGGAGTTGCCCACAGGCCATAGCGCGCGCACGGCGCACCCACTCTCGTACGGTGACACCTATCCTTCAACCCCTAAAAAAACCCTAGAAATTAGGGTACCTTCAACCTTGAATCCTCGATTTATTTTGTACATTAATTAGTTGAGGCACAGAATCTTCTAAAAATGGACAATATTCAAGACGATGGTAGGTTTCCTCCAAAATCCCATTCTCTCAATCGCTCAAGGAAAGCCCCTTTGTACTCTCACCCTGTCCCCTCTTACTACAATCACGATTATGCTGTCGGTGAAGATGACGACGAAGAATTTGACGAAGAGAACGATCACGAATTCGACGGAAACGACATCGGTGATGACTATAGCTCTAGAAGGTATTCCCACAATTTTGATGAACAAAACGACGATTTCGGTAGATATCCAAAGAGGCAAAAGCTCAAAAGCTCCGTTTCCAATTACGAATTTGTACCGAGAAGCGGGAGATTGTTGTCGCATGGGGACGACAATTTCGCGCCTGAATGGAGTGAGCACGAGAAATTTGTGCTTTTGGAGGTGTGGGGAGATAGATTCTTGCAATTGGGCAGGAACAGCCTAAGATCTGAAGATTGGACCGAGGTTGCGGAGAAAGTATCAGAGTCATCGAAAATGGAGAGAACAGAAGTTCAGTGTAAACAAATGATGGATGTTTTGAAGAGAAAATATAAGAAAGAGAAGGCAAAAGGTCCTAGTAGTAGCAAATGGGCGTTCTTTAGAAAAATGGATATGTTGATGAAGCAGGAACTTGGAGGTGGGAGTGGGTTTACTTTAGCTTGTGGGGTGGATTCAGGAGAGTATGTTTTTATGGATACACATGTGTATTTGGAGCGTGCGAATGGGAACGATGAGATGAGGGATAGTCCATGTGAATCAGAGGAGGAAGACGAAGAGGAGGAGGACAGAGAGCAAAGTGGCACAAATGAGGGAGTGAAGGGGTTGAGAGTGTTGGCAGATTCTGTTCAAAAGTTCGGGGAGATATATGAGAAGATTGAGAGTAGTAAGAGGGAGCAAATGATGGAATTGGAGAAGATGAGGGTGGATTTCCAAAGAGAGTTGGAGTTGCAGAAGAAGCAAATTTTGGAGAGGGCACAGGCAGAGATTGCAAAGATAAGGGAGGAAGAGGAAGATGAAGATGAGGATACTGGTGATGATGATGAGGATGATGATTCAGGAGATGATGTAACCGGATAATGTAGGTAAGCCTGTTAGATGCTTGCTTTCTATGTAATATGCCAATGTCTTTGGTTTATTTAGTTGTTTCATGCTTATTTTGCACTGATTTAAGTTTCTTGATGGCAATACTATTAAATATCAGCCTTTTTTTTGCGGCCTCTTAAAGTGAAGAGTTACAACAATGCCTCTTAGACTTACTTAGGAGGAGCAGAATGCTTTGACAACCATAAACAAACTTAAATAGTAACTAGTTGTCTCGTATGCATTGGTCCCGTAATATAGATAATTAGATGTAGCACAACTACATGTCTTATAATGGCTTCAGACGCTTGTAAAACCATCAATTTGTATGCTTGTTAATGATGATTTTCTATTATATTTTGATTTCTTAAAATTTGAGGAAATTTACCTCTTCACAATATTCAAAGTTGGGATATTTCTGAATAATTCTTCAGAATGCATTTATTTGTATTGATATTTGATAGCATCTATGGGTTTTGGAAAGTTTGTGATATTATGCATTATTATCCCTGTTCCAATTCACAACCCAAGCAAAATGCAAATGCACATACAAAAACTGTTTTGATGCTTAAATAAGGACCATCACTTCATTCATTTTGCAGTAGATGAAGTGTATGCAAAATTATTTCCATAAACATTTTTTGATAAAATGACTTATTGTTTAGGTGTAAATTGTAGTTCATACTTTTATCTCTTTTGCTAATTGTATCTTTCTCTTCATCTTTAGGATTTGTCTCTATCTCCAGGATTCAACTATGAGGGTATTTGCTAAATCTGACGTCTGTGGATTAATTTAGTTTTATTGTTGAGTTATTGCTTTAAATTACTGGGATTTTTTTATTGAATATTGATTCAGTTTTATCTTGTTGCATCACTTATAATGAGCGACTGTATATTTGATAAAATTACTCAATGTCAAGTTTCGTGAACTACTTCAATGAATTTGATAGTTTAGGTTGTCATCAAAGAATAATGAAGATCCACATGTTAATCTAATTGTTATTTCATTATGGAATCTCCTGTAACTAATAGTATTAGAACAGGTGCATATGGATAAAAAGCCTTGTGCTATGTTTAAATGGAATGTGAAGTTATGATTGTAGAAAGAAGAAGAGATCAATGGTTTTGTAGCAGTTATTACTGGGTAATGGATATTTGAAACAAAGGATTCATATAATTGGTCTCAGGGATTGATGATAGTTGTTGGATGCAATTTCTTTGTGTTAGCAGAACTGTCATGGTGATAGCTAATGCTATTATGTTTCTATCTGCAGCATTTTCTGCATTGCTCGTCTTTGACACCAATTCTTAGGCTCTCTCTATATTCAAACAGGTGAAATATTTTGAGAAGAGAATTGTTGCATTTTAAAAAACAATTCTTTTTGAGAAGGGCATTGTTAATGTATATTATAGATCGAAATAGAGAGGATTTTTTGGGTGGTGTACATGCGCGGTTGTTAACACTAAAAATATTTTTGATTATATTATATTACGTTCCATTAAAGTTTACCAAATATAACCCTAGTGTTTCTAGTAAATGTTTTGATTATATAGTTTGTCATAATTGCATAATGCATTGTATTGTAATGTTTTGGCTCGATCAAGAAGTCAGCTATGTCTTGTCGAGTGGAGATGTTTTGTCATTTCTTGTTCTTCTTGCTTACATCTTATTATCAGGTTGTAAATCCCATGGATTTTGTTGGCAACAGTTTTTTTTTTTTTTTTAAAGGTTCAATATTGGCATTCAATATAACATCTAAATCTCATGCGAAAGGAATTCTTTGTTTTGTACTTGGAGAGCGGCTAAAACTGCATGTATATCTTTTGAAAGTACAAGGATTTATTAAAGAGATGGGTACGAAGATTTTGCATTGGAATCCAACACTTAAAATTAGAGTTTCAATGATATTATCTTCCTTGAGCAATTGTTACTACGACACATTCATCTGCTTAAGACTCTGTATATTTAATTTTGAGTTGTCAACATCTAATGCAATATTATACTGTACTAAGTAATGACAAGAACACTTGTTAATAATTCCATGACTTTTTTGGTGTTCCTATGAAACATACTTTTAAATTCCGTATTTCTTAACATGTTAATAATTGACCTTGCTGTTATCTAAAAGTAAATAGATTACTTGCCTTCATTAACAGTCAAAGCAGCACGCGACGTGTCACGCTTGCCAATACGATGCCTTTAAAAGATCATGTAATGAGAAAACGATGACAGAAGGCAACGACATTGGTATTGATAGATTCGTTCAACAAACGACAATGTCCATCACAGGAGGTAACCGTCGTGCAAAGACAGCAATAAATTACATAAATTTCAAAAAAGTTTTCATCTAGAAATTTCGAATTGAAATGCCAAATATATATTACTTTTACGCAACAAAAATAAAAAAAAAAAATCAAAATTTAGTCCCGACATTATTGCTATCACTCATACAACATAAGTATAACCAGTAACTGTTTCACGAAGTTGTTCTAATTCTAAAACTCTAACTCAGGAAATAAGTCCTCCTTGAGGGAAGGAGCTATCCATTGTATCTGGATGTAGGTTATATCCCATAAATCATCATCTTCCTTCTGTACTAAAATCTCATCTTCCTTCATTTTTGTAATAATTTTTCTCAAAAGGTCAGGCACTACTTCTTGTAACTTTGTTTCTCCGTACTCACCCAGGTCAGCCTTCATACATGTATCCATTCTCCTTAATACTCCTAACCAGAATGTTCTAAATCCCGGACTAATTGATATTGGCTTTAGGAATAGCAAGTACACATCTGTCAGCAGCTCCATTGCTAGCTTTAAAGTACCTTCCATACTTCTCAATTCTTTTTCTGCATTTTCACGCCTCGAATATTCAAGTATCTTTTCGTGCAAGTCATCAACCGTAGCAAATATCACTAGGTTAAAACAGCTAATGCAGTTAAGAGGTGAGAAATCAAGTTCTTGAGCCAATTCAAAGCTTCTCTGAAGACAGAAAATTGCATGATTTCTTATCTCTTCTCGTCTCGCCTTGCTGGTTTTTCTAAATGCTTCCCCTAGTTTAACAAATAAAGTCACAGCAAAGTTTGGAGAAGCAAAATTTTTTGCACTTTCGTCCATTGACGAATTACTCGTACTGCTGGCATTGCTAAAATTAGACCCTGAATCTAAGTACTCCTTGTACCATTGGATCAGTGAATTCACTGAATCTGATAAAAGGTCTAAGATCTTTAAGCTTTTTTCTGATGAACTGTTCTTGAGTGCAACAAAACCAAACGCACAGTCAATACAACAGGCATAATTTGTCCGCGAGACGTAAGTTCCATCAGACAAGAATGTGATCAAAGCATCAACGGCCTGATCATATGTTTCGGGGTGTCGACCACTAACAGACAACAAATGAAGGCATGATTTCCAGCCAAGAGGTGTCTGCAAATTTGCAGGGTATTCAGTGAGAATCTTGCCCATTGACTTTGTTATGAAGTTGCAGCATGTGTCGAGAATTTCTTTATCAAGCTTCCACATTAAAGTTATGGATTTGAAAAGAACCTCCTCTGGAAGTTTTTCAGGTCTGAGTACAGAAAGAAGCCTGACACAAATCTTGAGAAGGCCTAGAATGCCCTTTTCAGCGAAAGGAATAGGGGAAAATAGCGGAAACTGAACAACTCCTAGTAGATTATCATGGAAGGAAGGCCAAAAGTTTTGGAATCTATTGATGTTGACTATAGAAATGGAAACTATCAAATCCCAACAGAATCCAACTGTTTCCTCTTCTTCTATTGGAGAACTGAATTTTTGGCCTTTTCCACCGGCTGCAAATATCAGAGACCGCCCAAGATTATGTAAAGAATCATCAGGTAAGTTATAACTGCTGTTGAAGATGCTGCCTATTCGGCATTGTTTAATAATCTTCAAATTTTGCTCAAATTCACTCATCCCAAGAGATATTGAATCTTCCATGCTTTCTAGTGTTAGGAAATGTGAGAAACGACTAGTCATGCCAGCACCCCTGCGAGTACCAAATCTAGGATCATGGGAGCTTGATAAATTTGATTCATTTCTCCTGTGTCCATGCCCACCTGATGATGAGGCAGGAGTGTCATCAAATTCAACCACAGACTGAGGAAGAAGCTTAAGCCTTTTGAGTTTCAACAAGCAGTCTATAATGTTCTTCCAGCCCCCTCGAATGGAGTCTCCAAAGTTGTTGGCAATACTGAAAACTGCAAGAGTAGCCATCCTTGGCTTCAAATCATTGCTAAAAGCAAATAATGTTTCTTCTGCAGAGGCATAAGGGTTCAACAATGTAGTGAATTTGGAGAAAGAAGCAAGGAGCTCGTCGAGGATATCTTCAAGACCATATTGAGCTATTCTAGATACTGAGATCAATCCTCCAATGCATTCGTGCAACATTTCATCTTCGTCAGCATGCTCAAAGAAGGAAGAAATTGCTGCAACCGTTGGACCAGCAATGGCAGCAAACATATCTCTTCCTATCCGCCTATCAAAATTACATAGGATATACGGCTGTGTAACTCTGGATCGATTTATTAGCTCAATCCAGTTACCTGGGTTCATTTCCACCGGACCACTTTTACCAAAAAGTGCAATTGCATTGGCTGCAATTGAATTGAACAGCTCAGAGAGATACTCTCTAGGAAGATCTTGTCCTGCGTTGATTGCTCTATTGTTCCTGATGAACTCCTCCTCTGTCATCTTTTTCTTGACTTGGGGATTGTGTTGATCAGTGTTAAGCATAATTAGGGAGTAGCAAAAAATGTAGACTGCATCCTTCGTAGCAAAAATGTCTGAGGATTGTTGATCATAAAACCTGTCAGAGAAAGCCTCAAGAATCCGCTCAATCTTTTGCGACTCTCCAGGCAGTCTGAAGGTCGCAAGATAAGTACGGAGTGCAGTATCAAGAACCATGCCTGAAAATCTGAAAGTTTGTGTGAACTCTTTAAGAACCTGTAAATGAAAGTCATCAGGATCACCTAAATAATCACCAATGGTGGCTTTGTCAAGTCCTGGCGTATAGCGAAAGAACATGGCAATGGCTTTAGGATCTGCTGGATCAGAAACCAATTGACAAAGTTTTAGATACTCCAAACCTTTCTTTTCATCTCTATTAAAATGGTCTCCTGCAATTGATATTTTCCTTTTCTGTGCTTTCCTTAATCTTAAGTGTTCCACCCAAGCCTCATAATCATCTCTGGATTTTTCTTCCCAGAAGGGCTTGTACTCGGTAATTTCAACTGGATATGGACCATAAGGAGTTGAATCGTCTTCTTTGTCAACATTATCTGCAATGGTGTGAGCTATTATTAGCAGTCCTTCAAAGGCTTGAATTTGTACACAGCTCAATGGGCTATACCCTGGAAAAGAAAGCTTGCAAAGCAACTTCCCAATTTCCTCGAATATGTTTTGACAGATGGGATCAGAATCATAGTTCACATACATTTCAGCTATGAAAGCCGGTTGCCTACAAAAATTTATAATTCCTTCCAGTGCAACTTCTTGGAGTTGAGAAGCCCCATGAGATGCAGCTCTCAGCAACACAAACCGGAAAAAAGCTTCTAGTTGAACACGAATGAACCTGCTTGAACACGCAGACATTGTTTTATATGTTTGTAAAAAACAAGCAAAAGAGTTTATAGTAATTTTGAATTGAATACTAACCTGCGAAGAGCATGATAGATATTCAAAACAGTACTACAAATCATGGAAAGCACAAGCGGGCTCGAAGAGACTCCATAATGAATTAAATGGTGAAAGAGATCATCTTGTATCATCCTCAAAAGCTTTGGATGCTTACCAATTGCATCTCCACTCAACTCTACAGCAGAATTTATCAAAATCAATCCGAAAATCTGAACATTTTCATCGCATGCATGTGTTTGTACGCCTTCTGTCTCTACAATTTCCACCACATTAAGCAAAGAGCACAAAAAATGAAAAATATCAACCACACAGCGAACTCCATATCCAGAATCCATATCACTGTCGATGTCAATATCTTCAGTATCAGACTCCGAGTCTTCCTCAAGTTTGACCTCAACATCTTGTAACCTTGCAAATATTATCTCTATCATTTCTCTCATTGAATATCTCGCACCGCGTTGAAGCAAATCGGCCCTGTTGGCCGATTTTTGGACGACTTGAAAACAAGTATTCACAATTGTACAAACAGCATGATCTGTAAGCAAAACTGAAGCCCTGTGCTTGATTATACATGTCAAAGCCTGTAAAATTCTCATCATCACTGCATCTTCATTGGTGGCATCTGTTCTCTCCAACCGGCAACTTGTAATCCCCGTAACTATAAAATTTATAGCATCTTTGGCTCCAGGAGTCTTCTCGTCGAAGATTTGGAGTTTGAGAATTTTTGAAATTGCTGAGAGAGCGACATTTGTGGCCACCGCAGGAATGTCGTCGCTTTGTATGACATCGAGAAATGGAGAAATGTAAACTGAAGGATCTATTGTCCGCCATTCTTGTTGAGGATTGAAAATTAGAGCTCGCAAAGATTTAAGAGAATGAAGAACGCTGGTGTCGAAGTTGTCTTCCTGAATTTTTGAGGCGGTGGGGTCAATTGGGCGGCGTATCACGGCAAGAAGAGCGCTGAGTTCGGTGTTCAACATGCAAGAAAGGCTGAGCTCTTTTCTTCTCTTTTTCTCGCGCCATGACGCTGAATGTAGCTTGTTTTCTTCATCTTCTTCCATTTTTTCTCAAGCACTCAAGGTAAAGAAACGAAACGGTTAGGAACGTAAGTTGCTATTTCTTTTTTTTTTTTTTTTTTTTTTTTTTTTTTTTTTAGGAATGTTCGTCTCTTCTTGTATGACATCGAGGAAATGGAGAAATTGTAAACTGAAGGATCCTATGTCCGCCATTCTTGTTGAAGATTTGAAAATTAGAGCTCGCAAAGATTAAGGAGGAGAATGAAGAACGCTGTGCGAAAGCTCCGAAGATCGTGGGGTCCAATTGGCGGGCTGTGTATCCACGGCAAGAAGAGCGCTGAGTTCGGTGTTCAAACATGCAAGAAAGGCTGAGCCTTTCTTCTCTTTTTTCTCGCGCCATGACGCTGAATGTAGCTTGTTTTCTTCATCTTCTTTCCATTTTTTCTCAAGCACTCAAGGTAAAGGAACGAAACGGTTAGGAACGTAAGTTTTTGCTAATTTCTTTTTTTTTTTTTTTTTTTTTCTTTTTAATTTTTTGTTAGTTCGTTCGCTAAAGTTGGTCTGAGTTTTTTTTTTTTTTTTTTTTTTTTCTTTTTTATTTTTTGTTAGTTCGTTCGCTAAAGTTGGTCTGAGGATCGTACTCTGAGAAGGGGTGGCAGTGGAGTGGGCAGGGCAGGGCAGGGCCACGAGAAAGAGTGCGTATTACGTGCTAAATAAGAGGTTGATTTGATTTGATTTTTCCTTTAATTTGTATTAATATAAATTTTTATGGTTAACGTTAAGCATTTGAAAATTTCTAGCATTTATATCTCCTGATTTTACTGACTTCAGTTAAGAAATGCAGAGAAAGCAATAGAACTCCGTAATATACTAGCTTTTTATGCAAATTTTACTTTTATCATCTGAAAAAATGGTACAATTGTAAATATGAACAAGGTGGGTTTTCATTATTATATAATATAATTTAAAATCCAACGTAATTATATTTAAAAAATTAATCAAGAAGAAGAAAAAGCGCTACTTTTAGAACGGAGAGGATACCTCTTCTAATTTCTACTACAAAGACCCTCAGGAAACCGCCAGATGATTTCCTTCTCTCAACTCATCCCAGATAAGAATGGATCATCTAGCACTACAAAGCCAAGTTAATGCATCGATTCATGTTTTACCAAATTTATAATCCCAAAATTGAACGAATACCAATCTCCTCTCAATAATTAGGGTTTTGAAGGCAATGTTCACATACCATCCTTTCCTCTCATTTATATGATCGATATGAGTTCTTCAATTCATGCCACAAGCAAAATAAGGTGTCATAAACATCATCGTCATTGTTGTCAACATTACAATCTTCAATTTGTGAAGCATTTAGTAGAGTCTTCAACCAGTCTTCATGGAGACTTGAGAACTCGGATCTTTGTTCGCTTGACTGGAAATTTTCTCCAATTGATTTTTTCATTATTTGACCAGCCTTTGAAGCAGCTTCGACCACCTTTTCCGGGATTCCAGCCATGGCAGCCACTTGTAATCCGTAACTCTCAGGGCATGCTCCAGAGGCTAGCCGGTACAGGAAAACCAGCTCCTCGTCATCTTTGGAATAGCTTCCAGATTTTGGCTTAAAGGCACAGGCCATGTGTTGCAGCGTAACATGTGGATGAGACGCAAATTCTTTTGTGAGCGGATGATAGTGTGTTGCAAAAAGCAATCGGCAGTTTACCTTCTCAACAAGATGGCGAAACACCTGGACAAATATTTGGGACCCTTTAATCCTTGTCAAAATAAAAATGCATACACAAATTGATACATGTTGGATTAATTCAATATGCCTGTTTGCTGCTTCAAAAGCTTTCAACAAGAGAAATGGCAAAATCTTACTGCATATGCGATGGCATATCCGTCAAAAGTGCTTGTTCCTCGACCTAGTTCATCAAGAATAACAAGAGAATCTTGAGTGGCATTTTGAAGAACTGAAGCTGTTTCTGTGCACTCGATGTAGAATGTACCTGCAAAATATGTTTCCTCAGTCAAACTAAAACCTGAGAAAGCAAACTGTAGTACTCATTTATGGATCTGCTTGTTCGGTATGCAGTTATGTTTTGCAATAGCTTTAATCTATAAAAGGGAAATTTCTGCAATAAGAAGCATTCGCAGTCCAAGTGCAGCCATGCCAAATTTGCATGCCAAAAAGAGAAGCAAGCATCCAGTGAAACCAATAAATTGTAACATTGTTAGAACTTACTTTCGCCTGTCATAATTCGATCGATGGCACCAAGCCGTGTGAAAATGACATCAACAAGTGAGAGAATACACATCTCACTGGGAACAAAACAACCAAGCTGCAAAGTAACAGAAATAAGACAGGAATCAAATTGATAATGAAAAAAATTTTTAATGATCCAAGGCTAAAATAATTATTTTCTACTATGTTTGAGCCTTTAAATTTAACTTCTAGATATCAACACATACCTGTGCCAGTATAACAGCTAGGCATGTGGCACGCAGAAGCGTTGATTTCCCACCCATATTTGGCCCAGTCAGCAGCAAAGTGTGAGGATGGTAGCTACCTGGATGTTCACCAAGGTTCAAGTCATTTGGGACTGGCAGCCCTCCATTCTCGCCAAGAGCAAATGGATGCCACAGGCCTTTAATTTTGAGCACAGGCCCAGCAGCCTCTCGGCTGAAGGTAGTGGTTTTTGAGTCGGACAAAATAACAGGCCTAGACATAGATCCAGATGACATGCTTGCTGTGACAGCAAAAGATCGTAGTACATCAATACAATTGATAGCATGGATGATTTCAGACCATTGTGTAGCTTTCTCAATGAACAACTCAATCAGCACTGATAGTGTTTCAGCCTCTGAATCCGTTACATCATGGTTCTGTTATCAAATGTCATGTCAGGAAAAGGATAGAAGTAGTTGAAAAATTACTACTATGCAACAGAACAATGCATATACGTTAGAATATAACAAAATTGCTCTATGTAGACATGAGCATCAGAATAAAGAACAAGACCTGGTAATCGGGGAACTCGCTGTCTACTGCAGCTTCGAATTGGGCAAGGAACTTGTCGAGCCCAGCACTTCCATTTAACTCTGGAAGTTTAAAAATTTTTAAAAATAATAACATTATTTGGCTTTCCTTCTGTAATAGCAATAACAAATCCATTCCAGTCCGAAGTCCTTTCACCAAACATCCAAAGACTTTCACCTACCCATATAAAAGCACAAAAGATGTGATATAAAATTTGAATTTCTAATCTAGTAGAAAGATCACTTTTTATTTTTAATTTTTTTTTTACCACAATAAACAATTTATTGTAAGCAGTTTCAGTAAGAGTGCATAGGTCTGAAAAGAGTCATTAGAAAATAAAAATATATATATATATAAAATGTAAACTGAAGGAGGAAATAAGAATCAGAGTCTCATTGACATTGTCAGCCAAACAATAAAAAGCTGTTGAAGCCCTTATGATGGTTCTTCGTCCACTAGAGGACAATGAAAACATACATGTATAGTCAATGGCAAAATTGCTGAAATTCTTGTGAGTAATAAGTTGTCACAGAATTCATTTTATACTTAATATCATCTTATGAATTTGAATTTCAAGTAAATGCCAATGCAACAATGCCTACACAAACTTTCATGTTGCCCTTGAACAGAAGAATGAAGACTAGAGGAGACCTAGTTCATCATGATGTTATACATTTCAGAGAAAAGAGCAAGTTCAGAAAGCAACGCATGGATTTTAAATATAATTGAGACAAGGATCAAAGCACGTGTGACATTTTGCATATCCTCTTAAAATATATTCAATACGAAAATACATGACAAAAAGTAGATAACTTACTCGCTGTTTCAACATTTTTTTGCCAATTAAAGGTAATGCAAGAGAAGCTGATGCTTGAAAGCTCGCCTTTACTCGTCCAAGCATCCTTTCTATGTCTGGAAGCTTGCGTAAATATTGTGCAATAACCAACATAATTTCTGATCTATTAATTAGCTCTTCAACTACATTAAGTCTATCATTAATGCCTTTAACACATTTCAGTGGATGGCAGATCCACTTCCTCAAAAGCCGCTTCCCAGATGATGTCACACAGTTATCAAGATGGTTAAACAATGTACCTGAAAACATTATAGAACTTTTTGAAATTTAATTAACAGTCCAAAGTAAGAGCCAATGATATTATTTCGATGGAGATGAGAGGTAAGAATACTTGCCTGATAAACCACCATCAGCATTATTGTTAAAAATTTCAAGATTAATCAATGTTTGTCCATCCATTCGAAGGCAGCCAGTATATACTTGGTAAGGTTGAATATCTCCATTCCGTAGAACATCATCCAACTGTACGGGACAGAAGCAACAATCATCATAAGCAACATATATTGTAGGCAATTTCAAAAACTACAAGAGGGACTGAGGAGTGTTGAGAAAAGGATGAAAGATGAGCATACCATCAACCTGGACAAATGACCAACAAGTCCACCAAGGGCAGATAGAGCTATATCATGGTGCAATACACTGACGATTGCATTATTCCATGGGTTAGAAGACCCACTGAAGTAACCCTTGGACTGAATCAAATTTCTAACTTCAGAACCATGTAGAAAATCAGTGGTGGACTGAACTGGAGTCAACTGCAGTGCTGAACCTGCAAGGAAAAAAAAATTACACATTCCTGCTAATCATCTTAACCAACACGAATACATATAAAGACACACACACACAAACACACAAACACATACATAAAATAATCACACCTGTTCTTGCAAAAGTAAGGTTCAAAAGTCATTCCTTTTGAATTGGGAAGAAACACATTGCAAGAAATATCCTCTTTGAATAAAGAGAATGTCCGGCATGTTTTACAGCACCATGAATACAGTTTATCATGTGCGTGTTCATTTGTGCACTTCTATACCATTTAACTACTTTTTTCATTCATAAAACTATGCAGCACATTTAAATAGTTTATCTGAACTCACCAGTTAATGAATATTTTCTGAGTGCTTTCTGAGCCTCTTTGGACATCCCTGAAACACATAATCCTGATGCTTTAGAAACATTGAAAAATTTTACCAAATACACAAGAAAAGAAAACAAATGTTCCACCTCCGCTTTCATAAATGACTTCTTTAGGTGACACCTGCAAAATGAAATTCCAACAAGAGAATTATAATTTGATATCTTACAGAATAAAGATAGAGCTTTTCTACATGAGCAACAAAAAATAACATATACCTGCATCAATAATGCTCCCAAAGCGGCATATGAAGTATCATCATTGATTGATCCAACCCAAAATCGTAGAGCAGCACAATCAACAAAAGCGAATCCATAAGAAGTTGCCCCATTATCCAGCCCACAATTTCCCTAATACCCAATGGAACAAAAAGATTAGAAATCTGAACAAATTTTTTAGAAAAATATAAAACCCAGGTAAGTATCAACAAAGAAATTAACTTTTCAAGCAGAAGTTTAGTTTATGACAACTTAGAATAAACTGTAAAGTCAACTGCTACCACCTGTATATGAAACATACAGAAAGGTAAATAACACAGTGAAGATGACAATAACAGAGAAAAGCTATTTAATTATAGTTCAGGATTTCCTTTGATATTTTAAGGGAAAAAATGACAAGGAAGTTTTGTGAAACCAAGAACTCCAGCAATTAACTGATGATACCACAGAATAAGGTCACATTGATGAAAGTCAAAAGAATTTTTTCGAAATGGAGGAAGAGAACATGTTTTTAATCAAGAGCATCTGAGAAGATGAAAAGGATAAATTACTTGTGAATTACTGTGGGAAGAAAATTATCAAGCACATGCAGCTGCATAATAAAATCCAGTGCAAGATATATCATGGAGCCCTACGAACCTCTTTTATTGCAAGAAGATGGACTGCATCAGGCCCAATATTACCATCTGTTGCAGTCGATGGTGTGACAACTTGAACTAATTTTCTCGGGATTACCTAAAACAACATTGTTGATAGTCGGCAGTTAGACAAGCAATGACATAGTAAAGAATCATAGAGCATGATATCAAAACTGATAATAAGAATTCAAACAACTAAAGAAATAATAACATGTAGAAAAATGTATCTTAAAATACTAGCACAAACAAGTTCAGGTTATTTTTGCAAAATACATTGAAAAAAGAATTTGAAATGTTAAACTTGAACATATTAAATAAATAAAAAGAGTTCAACAATCTTTCCACAAGTATTCCAGAGCAAATTTCCACCTTAAAGTAGACTGAAGATAAAACAAATGAGAAATTCAGATGAAGCTTTTAGAGTAAACTTATCATAGAGATGCCATATATAACCAAATATTATTATGTGGTTATCATTTCTCCTTTGCTTTTCCTCTCCATTTGTGGAGAACATACCTTTAATGGTTCTTATATCCAACTAATTTCAGTCTCACATGAATAACATAAAGCCTAAATGATGTAAGAGTTGAGAATAAAAGCAAAAATGACATCTTCATGGTCATTTAGGGACAAATAAAGGAAAAGAGAATTCATTGGAGTTGTCTTCTCTAAAGCAGCATGGCACACTTACGGAATTTGCACCCCTAGCTTTTGCTTGACCAGATGTTTCCAATTGCTCTATTCGTCCAACTTTATATCTTCATGAAATAAATAGAAGCAATAAGTGAATTGTAGTTGGTTTAAACCAGGAAAGCAGACAATAAATGTGTAACTCAAAATAAGTCTCACCCAACTGCTAAGAAATGGGTAAATAAATGCTATTTCATCTCTTCGTTCAATTTAGGGCCAATGGAAAAATTGTATTAGAACAAGTTGATATCTGTCCTTCCCCTTTTTCTTTCTCTTTTTTGCAGCATTTCTTGCATACAAAACAATGAATTTTTTCCATGAAACAAAGCCAACCCACACAAATGCTCACTTATAGATTATTGTTTTGTAGGATTGCCACATGTGAAACGAGTTTTAGCTCATATGAGTGTGAATAATGAAATAAGTTGTTCCTATTCAAGACCCAGTATAAATGTGTTGCAATGAGAAAGGAAGGCAAAGAGCATTTATGTTTAAGCTAAAAGGTAACCATTCCCTTACCCACGGGCAACCAGCTTTTCAACAGCATCATCAATCCCACTCTCGGATATACCAACCTGTTCAGGAAGGGAGAAAACATTAAGCAAAAAGCTTCAGACACATTAGAGTTGATTAAAATCTGACGGAAGAGGTTTTAGGAAAAGAAAATTTTATCCAGAAATCACCTGCCGACATTTTCCCACACCACTCAATGTCATTTTCCAATCCAGCTCCTTGTGGCCAATTTCAGCATCCAATTCATAAAGCTCATAAAATTTTCCCTATATTTGATCATGAGTCATCATTCAGAGTTAAAAAAAAAAATAAAAAAAAATAAGAAAAAAGACAAACAAATATGTTAATTCATCATTTGAGTACACTGAGACATTTTGCAGACCTAAATCTCACCTAACAGAAATGATTGCATGGAGTCTACCTAATACCTCAGGTTAAAGTCAAAGCAATAAGGACTCTTTATGCTGCCCTTCGGAGAAGCAATTCCTCTTCTTTTTCCTATTGAATTGTTTTGATTCTGATGCATATGGTTTGTTGTTTGATTTATATCAGGCTAGTACATTTCGACATATAGAATTTTTCCAAGAAAAATGACATTTAGTGGGCAGAGATGCTCTAAACTAATGTACATTCACAAATTGAAATTAGTATTTCAAAAAAAATTTACAAATAAATTTCAAAATGGAATCTATATTTACTGACCACTTTAAAGAAAAGGAGAATGTCCATGTATTGAGATTTGATACTCCAGTATTGTTTTTGAGATGCTGACATTTTCTTCAGTGTATCAGGAGGAATATAAAGTGTCTTTTTGTCATAAAGAGGATCACTTAGCCTTCTCCCATTAGCATCCCTAATTCTCAGAGGGTCAAGCCATTCAAATTTGCTAGTAGAATCAAATATTACTCCTTGGTTCTTGCTTGAGGCTGTTGAGTCCAGAAGAAGTTTCATTCTTTTGCTAGCATTTAACAAGGAACAACCACTCCTATCATCAAACTTAGAACTATCATCTTGAATTCGTTTCAAACGAGGAACTAGAGGCTGTACTCCTGGTGTCTCTGGCCCAGGAACATCATTGCTGCTTTTAAGCAGTAAGACATCTCCATGATCAACCATCCCATTGGAACTGTAAGCATTATTCTTTTCAAGATGTAGCACATCTGTTCTTTGTTTGGACCACCCTTTTGTATCAATGAGTCTACCAGACACTGAGCAAATATCATTGGAAGGATGATGAACCTGGACCCTGCAATATTTCCACACTTACTACACATAAATGCTGAGCATTTCAACTACTACAGTAATCAGAAGCATGTAGTTAAATGTACATATGATATCAATTTAGGTGCCAGCACATGCTAGCAGAACGGAAGCAAATTATATGTGCTATACACACACATCAATATAATTAATGGTTAACAATTATTACCTTCCAAATTTAGGATTTAAATGATACCTGACAGCAAAATCATCAGGGGCAGGGAAGAAATGGGAGAAAATAATACTTTAAGGATGATTTATTGTCACAATTAAAAGGAGTGACATAGGTAATTAATCTGTTCATATGTGCTCAACGGCTCATCGTATCAAAATCGCGCATGTGATTATGTATAAGAAAACCCTCAGGGACAGAGCTTGCAGACTCCACAAATTACGCCCGTACTGAATTCGCTAAGCTAACTGAACAATTTTTTTTTTGAACAGTGCTTCATTAAATAATAGTCGAGTAGATATTCTAGCATCAAAATTAATTTTGTAACTAAACAACATTTGACTCAGATTCATTTAGATTTAATAGTGAAATAGACCACAAATTCAAAATTACTAGGGAACAACAGAAGATACCTCTCGAGAGGCTTTTCTTTGCTATCGACCTTCACGAACTTATGCATAATGCTCGAGAAAAGAGAAGAACCAGTGGTGTTCTCATTCACACTGTAGCTCCCAGGGAGAACCTGGCGTGGCACCTTCTCCGGCGGGGTATCAGTTCCCCGAACTTCCAGAGACGAGTCCACTGAACCATGAGTGTCAGGCTTTCCGGGAGAGACGACCTTTTGGTTCTCCTGCTTTGACGAAAAATGAGGAGCTTTCCGCTCGTTGAGTGTGCCTCCACTGTCGGCTTTCTGACTCGCCGGCGAGGGTTTCTGAAAGAACGAGAGTATCGATTTCTGGCGCTGCATTATCTGATCCCTCAAACAAGATGTATTCGTATGTGCGAGAGGGATGTGAATGTGGTATATAGAAAGAAACTTACGAAGTGAAATATTGGCGCGAAATAGCCCGTTCTGTTTCCAAATTTTCAACGGCGAACATGGCGCCGGATTCTAAACACGGAACTTTCACTTTTAACTATGCGTTCACCAGGGCCGTCCGATCAATGCCGCAGCATGTAATGCCTTCGATTTTTTATCTATCAATTTTGCATTCTCCTCATTGATGACCTGACAAAACTAGGAGCATTTGTTGTCCAGATCAGCATTCTTCCGAGTACACGCTCCCACGTCATCAATTGACAAATGAGGATAGTTTTGTTTCTTAAAGCCCACAAGGAAGGCTCAATGGGCCTGAGGCAGGCAGTTCTTTTGCGTGCTTATCACGCGACGGAGACTACTGTTACTACGATTAGCTAATGTTTTAGAGTCCTAGTCAACAATTCAGCCCAATAAATATCTACCACGTAGGCAAAAGGTTAGAGATTTTCCCTCGAACTTTCCAGATAAAAGTAACGGTAACGATTACCCAGGGCAGCAAGGAAGAACTTTCGAGATACCAAGATTCCTATAAAATGACACCCTTTACCATCATTTTTCGAATTAATTGTTGTATTTGATCAAGTTCAGTGTTTCCCAGCTCAATATATCTGTTCTTTTTGTCTCGTCTTTGAAAGAGGATGCCTAGCAGAACGACAGGAGCGATCGCTCAGGATTGGGAGCCTGTGGTGCTGCGCAAGTCAAAGACAAAGGCCCAAGACCTGCGCGACCCGAAGGCGGTGAACCAGGCTCTTCGATCAGGCGTACCAGTCCAGACCATCAAGAAATCCGAGGGCGGCTCTAACAAGAAAGCAGCCCCGGTTGTGAACGCTAGAAAGTTGGACGAAGGAACGGAACCCGCAGCGCTGGACAGGGTGTCACCGGAGGTAAGGCAAGCTATCCAGAAGGCACGGCTAGAGAAGAAGATGAGCCAAACAGAGCTGGCTAAGTTAATCAACGAGCAGCCTAAAGTGGTTCAGGAGTATGAGAACGGGAAGGCGGTTCCTAACCAGGCTATTTTGGCGAAGATGGAGAAAGTGCTTGGTGTGAAGCTCAGAGGGAAGGTTGGGAAGTGATGTTATATGATCATATGGACAGGTGGTTAAAACGACATGCTATCTGGTGTGGCGCGAGGTGTTTTGTGAATTTGAAAATATGTAGTGTGGGGTCTAGTCTAGTCTTCTAGAGTTAGTTCTCTCTCCCTTTCGTTTGTGCATATTGATGTATGATCAGACTTTAATCTGGTTTTTGTTGAATGGATTCGACTTCTTGATTGCTTTTCGTGGAGAGAGAGAGAACAAAAAAAAAAAAAAAAAGGATATATGATCATATGGACAGGTGGTTTTAAAAACGGACATGCTATTTTCTGGTGTGGCGCGAGGTGTTTTTTGTGGAATTTGAAAATATGTAGTGTGGGGGTCTAGTCTAGTCTTTCTAGGTTAGTTCTTCTCTCCCTTTCGTTTGTGCATATTTGCATGTATGATCAGACTTTAATTCTGGTTTTTGTTGAATGGATTTCGACTTCTTGATTGCTTTTCGTGGAGAGAAGAGAGAACAAAAAAAAAAAAAAAAAAAAAAAAAAAAAAAAAAAAGGGAAGCCGCGAATTTAAAAATATGATTGAATTCACAGATCATTAGTTTTTAATTTAATCCCTCGTTTCGAATTTTTAATATGTTAAACAAAATTATGCTGATTAAAACTGCTACTTCTGAATTTTCCACCCGAATTCCACACGTTTTCATCTTGTGTGATGGGCTTAGTCAAAAAAATATGGAAGCCCAACTAAATCCAGCTCGCGTCCGCACTTCAACAGACCTAGTGATGGCTGATATTCAGTCTTATGGGCCTCCAAACTTGGCTTTTGCGGTCCAAAGGTACTGATGTTTTGCATCTTGATATCCGGTGCAGAAGATAAACAATCGGACGTTAGTCGTTAGTATTCAATAACCGACTTAGCCTTATTTTAGATATTCATTAATTTATAAAATTTTATTATTAAGACATAATTCTATTTAAAGATTATTTATGTATAAACTCTTTTATTTTATTTGATCCATATATTTCTTTATTCTATACTTGTGATATTCTTATTCTAGTCAATCCTCCATTATATTTTCTTTATTCTAGTACCTGTTATGAATTCGTTATTCTTAGTCAAATTTCCCCCAAATTTGTTGCATGTTGAATTTTGTGTTCATATTGAAAAAAAAAAATAAATTTTATAAGGGAGTTTGGGTTCAATGATGCTCGCTTATTCCCTATGGTTTGGTCAAGGGAAATTTATAAGGAGTTGGTCAATGATGCTCCTATCCTATGGTTGGTCAAGGATCCTTTCATGCATTACGCTAGATATCAAGGAAAATTCATTCTAGCAATTATTTTAGATATTCATTAATTTATAAAATTTTATTATTAAGACATAATTTTTTATAATTTTAAATAACGAAATCAGACATAAATTTTTTATAATTTTAATAATGAAATATTTAAAATTAGATTTTTAAACAGAAAATTTATATAACTAATTAAATTAAATTGTTTTTATTTTTCAATTAAAAAAATTAAAATATTTGAAAGATAAATCATAGATTACAGATATTATCTTTTAAAATGTTGGATGCAAATGTCACTTTCGTTTTGGCATATTATATTTGATGGTCGGATATAACTATACACCGGCAAATTTTAGTAGTATCACATCCTGATCAACTGGAGGTGATAATTTCACCCATTTTAATTGAAATTTATGTTTTATTACTAATAAAATAAAACAAGTGCGATAATTACAAAACTCAATAATATATAAAATACATAATGAGATGCCTTGCCCATCACTTTCGCCTCATGGCCTTTTTTGAGCCGGAGCAATGTCAAGAATATTCCATGGCCTACAATGGAAAGCTCAAAAGAAGGCTTTTTATTAAAATTCTGCAATTATGGTTTATGATCCCATGAAAGAGAACGACCCCGTTACACCGTTTTAGCTCATTATAGCCAAGGAGAATTATAAAGGGGGGTTACAACGGACTTGGTCTGAAGAAACTTATGTAAGGCTTCTAATCCAAAATCTCTCCCGTATCCACTCATCTTATAGCCTCCATAAGGACAATCGTTATCAAAAGCAAAGTAACAATTGATCCAAATAATGCCGGCCCGGATTGATCTTGAAACTGTGTTGGCCACATCCAAGTTCTTTGTTACAATACCAGCTGCCAACCCATATCTTGTGTTGTTTGCTCTTTTAATTCCATCTTCTACAGTCCTGCAATTGCTCAATAGACAGCATTATAATCCAACAATATAACTTTAACATAATGAAGAGAATGAAAGATTTTGATTCTGCACTTACTTGAACTTCATTAATGACATCACAGGTCCAAAAATTTCATCCTTTGCTATTAGCATATCCTCCTGAGCAAATTGTTATCATAATAAGCAAAGTAATTACATCATAATTGGAATTGCAAGAAGTAGCTGAATTGTTCGAAAATTATACCTTAACCTCGGTGAAAATGGTGGGCTGCAGAAAATACCCTTTGTTCCCCAAAGCCTTACCACCTGTCAACAAGGTGGCTCCTTCTCTTTTCCCATGTTCAATGTAAGAAAGAATTTTTTCAAATTGCTGCTTATCAACCTGCATTTTGATCATAATGGGTGAAATTCTACATATCAATTTTCACAAAGTGTGATTAATTGAATTGTTCATAATTAATTACCTGTGGACCTAATTGAGATTTAGGATCAAAAGGATTCCCAACTACCCAAGTTTTTGCCTTCTCCACCAATTTCTTTACGAGTTCATCATAAATTCCTTCCTGAACATAAACCCGTGAACTTGCCACACAAATTTCTCCCTGCAAATATAAAATCAGAGAACTTTTTACATTTTTGAATCCAAATTCACTTGAAATATAAGTATGCATCAAAGGAAAAGAAATTCATTTGCCTTATTGTGCGTTATGCCAAGAAGTGCAAGATCAGCTGCCTTATCCACATCAGCATCATCAAAGATTAAGAGAGGTGACTTGCCTCCTAGTTCAAGGGAAACCTGTTTCAAATTACTTATCGCAGCGGCCTGCATTATTTTTTGTCCAACTTCTGTGGATCCAGTAAAACTAACCTGGAAAACCAAGAATTCAATTACTTTATACCGAACACAACCTTATTTTCTATGAAATGAACAAAGCCATCCTATTAAACTTAACCTTGTCAATATCCATATGAGAGGAAATAGCAGCACCAGCTGTCGGACCATATCCATTTACTACATTGATCACTCCAGCAGGAATCCCAGCCTGATTAAGTTGATACACATAAATTAAGTAAACCCAAAATTAAAACAGTACATAAACTTTTTGCTAGGATTTGATAAAACAAAAAAGAAAAGCATTGAGAACCTACTAGCTTTGAGAGATGGGCATAATAAAGAGCTGAAAGAGGAGTTTGCTCTGCTGGCTTGACAACCATGGTACAACCAGCGGCTAAGGCAGGTGCGACCTTCATGAAGAATATGGTGCTAGGGAAGTTCCATGGGATTATATGGCCTACAACACCAATGGGTTCAAGCAAGGTGTAGCCATGGAACTCCATCGACATCTTTAACACATCTCCATGGATTTTATCTGCTGCACCTGCATAGTAACGAAGAAGACTTGCTACATGAGGAATATCCACAGCTTTACCCCAGTTAAACAATTTTCCGGCGTCCATCGCATCAATTGCTGCTAATTCCTCTATGTTTTCTTCAATTAAGTCTGCAAATTTCAGCAGAATCCTTCCTCTCGCCTGGTCAAGTGATCATCACCATTCAGCAATAACTAACATATACCATGACAAATTCAAACAAAATATGTAATCATAAATTTGATTTCTTACGAATACTTACAGCACCAGACATGCGAGGCCATGGGCCATTGTCGAAGGCATCTCGTGCAGCCTTCACAGCTAAATCGATGTCTTCCTTGTCTCCCTCTGCAACTCTGGCAATCACCTCTCCATTTGTTGGGTCTATAGTCTCAAACGTTTTCCCTGTCGAATGAGTTCCATTTTTCTCCAAATTAAAAACTTTCGGTAGTGAATAAACCGAAGAAATAAATTACAAAGGAACATGCGCGCGCGAGAGATAGAGAAGTAGAAATTAATTAATTAACTAACCGGAGATGGAGTCAACAAATTCTCCATTAATGAATAACTTCGTAAACTTGATGGTAGGCGTCTTGAAGAAAGACTGGTCTGCAGAGTTTCCATCGCCATAAGCAGCTACCATCTCTCTAATTAATTAACCAAGCGAGCTACCTGCGATTTCTTCTTCTATTACCTACGTTATTTATAAATACTCAGAGATTGGTACCATCCTAATTTTTTAAACAAAATTATAAATTAATGATATTTGAAGGAAAAATACTTAAAAAAGCATCGCCTTAACACTGTTGTTTGGATTCTTCAAAAATACATGCTGTCATTTTCTATAATTTTTTTTCCTTTTTTCTTTTTTCATTGGCTCTAATTATTTTTTCCTTTTTTCCATAATTTTTATTCTTTTTTTCTGATTAAATAACTAGCTTTGAGAAACCTTGGATTAGGACAACCTTGACAAGAAATACATAGTTGATTTAAAAGCAAAATGCAAATTAAGATTTACTATATTGTACAGAATTAAGGAAAGCCATATCTCTTTTTCATCAGCAATGAGCACATTCTTATGACTTTTATGCTTCTGAAATGACAGCTCCCTTGTAGTGTATCAAATCTTTCAATATGATATTTATGTATACTTTAACATTGAAAAGCACAATTTTTCTCAAATTTTGTACATTAATACTACCTATATTTCATAATACTCGTCACATTAAATTAGAACAATAATTATTGGTCATATCCAAAAAATATATATATATATATATATCATTGAAATCATAAATGTGATAAGCATTTTGGAATAAACTATTTTTTCAAATGTAACAATTATTATGAAACGGAGTTAATACGTGATTTGATATAAATGAATTTAAAATATTTAATTTATTTATAAATAAATTTTAAATATAATCCATTTGCAAATGAAGTTTTCATATTTCTTTTAAAATATATAATTCAATTGAACTGAATAAATCATATAAGAAAATTTTTTTCTTTATTTATCTTTATTTTCTTTACTTTTTCTAGAAGATATTTATCTTTATTTTCTAAAACACCGTTAGCATAATAATTTCATGAAAAAGATAATAAATATAAATCATATTTATTTCGTAAAATATAATAATCTTATTTTTGTGTTTGTTACAAGCACCGGTCAAATAATTTAAAAATTTTAAATTAAAGCCTAAAATATATATAAATAAAATTCTAAAATTCTAAAAGTCAAAAAAAAAATCCCACCTAAAACTTATAAAGTGATAATAAATATAAATCATATTTATTTCGTAAAATATAATAATCTTATTTTTGTGTTTGTTACAAGCACCGGTCAAATAATTTAAAAATTTTAAATTAAAGCCTAAAATATATATAAATAAAATTCTAAAATTCTAAAAGTCAAAAAGATAATAAATATAAATCATATTTATTTCGTAAAATATAATAATCTTATTTTTGTGTTTGTTACAAGCACCGGTCAAATAATTTAAAAATTTTAAATTAAAGCCTAAAATATATATAAATAAAATTCTAAAATTCTAAAAGTCAAACAAAAAAAATCCCACCTAAAACTTATAAAGTGTGTTATAAAATTCAAACACGTTATATACTAAGTTACTAGCCGAATATTATAATAATAATAATAATAATAATTATTATTATTATTATTATTATTATTATCATAATCATAATAGTTTTATTAAGAATGGTATAATTATAATTCTGATAATTTTTATCTAAATGGTATAATAATTTCATTTATTAAGTTATCTTTTATTACAAAGTCAAGATATATTAATATTATGGGTCACATGAGACAATAGCACAGTTTGAAAAAAAAAAGTTGAATTTTTTTCTAATAATTTTTTATAATTCTTCATCTTGCCTAAGCCTGTTTCTGTCCCCATTGACTCGAGCAAATTAATGAATATTAAGTTTTGTGTCTTCATATTAAGTTTTTATCAGAAGTTTTTATAAACCAACTATGTTTTTTTTTTTTTTTTATAACAATTAAAATACGAACCTTTTAATTTTTATTACCCTAGAATATGTATTTACCCATTAATGGTTCATCAATGTATATTAATAATTATATTATCATGTTAAATAGCATTTTCAAAAAAAGAAAAAAAAATCATGTCATGTAGTAGTTTTCCAAAATTCTAACACGTTACCTGAGCACGAGCGCCTCAGAAGTCAATTCTAAAAGACAAAAACGTAAAATTCATAACAATTTTTTTTCCTCTTTTTCCAACCACATGACTAATAATGAAATTGACTGCTGATTAAGGCTTTGGTCCCATTAGTTTTTGCTTCACATAAAATGAGCATATGACGTTCACTGTGCTCTGACAGCTAACAACGTTTAACTCACTAATTTTGCTAAATAATCCCTAGATATTTTAATTAATCAATAGTTTTATTAAAAAAAATTTTAATCATAATTAATTGGTATAACGACTTTTCACCAAACTTAATATTATAAATAGAATTATCTCTGGCATGACACCAAACTTATATGATTTTATTTTTTTTATCTTTCATAACCATGTTTGTAAATTATTAGAAATATTAAAATATATAAATATTGTGGTTTTTAAAGTTGACATTTCAAGAACGGAATGAAATACAATATTTTTCTCAAGTAAAACATACTGTGCATTTTAAGATATAGAAGAATAGTTTTTGGAGATGAATCACGAATTCTATATGACAAAAATTATATATATATGCGAGTAAATGACATCAAATAATATTTGTTGTATCTCTATTGCATTTTTTTATTATCATAGAGAAGATTTCAATTTAAAAAGCTGATGACCGTGTATAATATATATATGTGTATTCACAATCACAGCCAAGGAGAATTATAAATAGGAGTAACTACAGACTTGACTTGTAAATATTTATGCAGGGCATCCAATCCAAGATCTCTACCAAACCCACTTGACTTATATCCTCCATAAGGACAATCAGCATCAAATGCGAAGTAACAGTTGATCCAAATAATACCAGCACGTATTGATCTTGACACTGTGTTAGCCACATCCAAGTTCTTTGTCACAATTCCAGCTGCCAGTCCATATCTTGTATTGTTTGCTCTCTTGATTCCCTCTTCAATTGTTCTGTAATATTAATGAGCTTTCTTCAGTGAAATTTTAAATAAAAATTTGACAGATTAATTATCAAACTGTTACTGTTCTTACTTGAACTTCATCAATGACATAACAGGTCCAAAAATTTCATCCTGTGCAATCAGCATATGCTCCTGGAAAATAATTACAACAATTGTGTTTTAATTAAGAAAATAAATAGAGTTATTAGCAGTTAATTATACGTTATTTAGGCAGGTACCTTGACATCAGTGAAAATGGTAGGCTGAAGATAGTATCCCTTAGTGCCTGAAGGGTTACCACCAGTTAACAAGGTGGCTCCTTCTTTTTTCCCAGACTCTATGTAAGAAAAAATTTTATTGAACTGCTGCTCATCAACCTGTGGACCGAGGCGAGACTTGGGATCAAAAGGATCTCCAACAACCCAATCTATTGCCTTCACCTTCAATTTCTTTACAAATTCATCATAAATTCCTTCTTGCACATAAACTCGCGAACTCGCCACGCAAACCTCTCCCTGGAATTTTGAATGAAAAGAAAAGAGTAAATTAAGTATCTGACAGGAATAATAAATTAATTTCATGCCATGGAAAGGAAATTTACCTTGTTAGAGAGGATGCCAAGAAGAGCAAGATCGGCAGCTGCATTCACATCAGCATCATCAAAGATTAGGAGAGGGGATTTTCCTCCTAGTTCAAGTGAAACCTGTTTTAAATTGCTTAAAGCTGCTTCTTGCATTACTTTTCGTCCCACATCAGTAGATCCTGTAAAACTTACCTGAAAATACTTTTATTATAAACTAAAGCTTCCCTTTTCACTTATTTACTATATCAGAAACTTTTAACGGAAAATACCTTATCAATGTCCATATGAGAAGCAATAGCAGCACCAGCTGTCGGTCCATATCCAGTTATAACATTGATCACTCCATCAGGAATCCCAGCCTGACAAACATACATGTATGTTTATATATTCAAAACAAAAAGACAGTCAAAATGTATGATAACGTTGATCTTGGAAGCTCACTTGCTTAGCTAAATGAGCATAATAGAGAGCTGAAAGTGGGGTTTGCTCAGCAGGCTTGACGATCATTGTGCAACCAGCAGCTAAAGCCGGTGCGATCTTCGTGACAAACATGGTGCTAGGGAAGTTCCATGGGATGATATGTCCTACTACACCAATGGGTTCGTTCAGTGTGTAGCCTTGAAGCTCGCGTGACATTTTTAATACTTGGCCATGAATTTTATCTGCTGCACCTGCATAGTACCTTAGGAGGTTTGCTGCATTAGGAATTTCTATCATCTTTCCGATGCTGAACAACTTTCCTGCATCTATAGTGTCTAGTGCTGCTAATTCTTCTATATGTTCTTCGATTAGGTCTGCAAATTTCATCATAATCCTTCCTCTTGCCTGCTCAAATAAAGATTAAATTGAATGGTTGTTTATGATCAATGGTTATACTTAATAATTGTTAATGTTTTAAAAAAATTGTAATGGTTATTTTAAAAAATTGTTACTTTTATCTATATTTTTATTAATGAAAGGTCCGAGATATCATAGTTCGATAAAAAAAAAATATTTTTATTAAATTTGCATATGATGGAGCCTATATATACACTCCAAGTTTTATATATATATATATATATATATATTTTACATTAGTTTTTAACTGAGAGCAAGGAAGGGGTGCATCTCGAGGCTAAATAATAGGTCATCTAACTCATAAAATAACATGCCATAAAAGGTTAAGATTAAATTAAATTGTAACAGCGAGCACTTTCCGCATCTTTAATTCAATGAAGAAAAGGTATCACATCATCATGTGATGACAAAGTATTTGCCAATACTGCAGTTAGAAGTAGAGTTAGATTTCCAGTTATCCTGTTCCTCCTTCAATTATCATTGTCGTTTAATATTATGGCTGTCAATTTTATGAATAATAATGGTAAATAGATATATATAAGACAAAAGGAAGAATGCATACAGAACCAGACAGGCGAGGCCATTTGCCATTGTCAAATGCGTGGCGTGCAGCTTTTACTGCTAAATCGACATCTTCTTTATCTCCTTCTGCAACTCTTGCTGTCACCTCTCCGCTTCTTGGATCTCTTGTCTCAAACGTCTTTCCTGTATATATTAATTGTTCTTTTATTTTCTTTACTTAACCAGAATCATAGTTTATTTTGCAAAAACAAAAATAGGTTCCACATCTGATGAACATCATCCATGAGAAAAAGGCTAAACTTTGAACCGTTCTGATAACTATTATTTTTTATATTTATATGTTACTGTTGCTGTTTCTTTTGTGCGCTTTCTTTTTGCTCTTTCCTTCCTTCTTTCTTTCATTTATGAGAGTATATATATATTCTGAATAACTAATTAAATTTTTTATAATTTATATGTTTTACTACTGTTGCTGTTCTTTTGTGCGCCTTTCTTTTTGCTCTTTCCTTCCTTTCTTTTCTTTATTTATGAGAGTATATATATATATACTATATATATATAATATATATTTTAACAACGGACCACAGTAAAGGAGTAGAAAAATTATAGGATGAGAGAAACAAGAAATCTAGCTATATATATATTATTTTTACGGACACAGTAAAGGAGTAGAAAAATTATAGGATGAGAGAAACAAGAAATCTAGCTTCTTGAAAACCATAATAATAATAATAAAGAAAGAAAGAAAGAAAGAAAGAAAGATAAGAGAGCGTTGTATGAAGAAAACCTGAAATGGAATCAACAAATTCTCCATTGATAAACAGTTTGGTAAATTTAATTGTTGGTATCTTGACGAAAGAAGCTAAGCTTCCATTTTCTTGACTTCCCATCTCTTTCTTTCTTTCTCTCTCTGTCTATCTCTCTACCGATTGGTAATGGTGTGACTCTATACTGTAACTTGCTGTATTTATATAGACACTCGTAGTATACCGTATAATACGTCCGTGGATACCCTAGGCTGCGTAGAGGCTAGTAAACGTAAACGCACTTTGTTCGTGCGTATATACACCCTATTTCGTGCTCACATGAGATTCATTTTTCGTATTTTCAAACACAAACTAAATGGATGAATGAAGTGCCGGGGTTTGATTGGTCTTCATAGGTCACTTATGGAAAAATTGAGAATCTCGAGTTTCGATTACAGTTATTTTCACTTATTTTCACTATATTAGTGAGTCAAAGGGAGGACTGTTATATAGTCTGAACTTTATTATTCGTGATGTACTGCTTTCTAATACTATTTTAAAAAAATTAACATCGAATATATATACTTACAAATTAGGCTATATGATATATTGTACATTTATAAATATTATAGCATGGTCCAGTCAATAATTTGTCAAAAATAGGGAAAAAAAGGGCCCCTCCATTATTGAATGACTGCCATATTGAAAAGTATGTTTGGAATGTTTGGAATTAATAAGTAATAATTTTCTTTAAAAATAAAAAATAATGAATGAAAAACAAAAATAAGTAGATATTTAATGAGTTCCAATTCTATTTAACATTACTAAAATTCAAATAAGTTCGCAAAAGGGATAGGGTTATAAAACTAATGAATTATTAATTTCACACGTAAGACAAACTAAAGATCGTGAAACTCTCTATGAAACTTATTTACAACAAAAATTAATTTTATATTCATTTAGTTTCAATTTTAAGAAAATAAATATTAACTAAAAAAAGAAATAAATAACAAATATAAAATATTTCTTCTAGAATATTGTATATGTTGTCGTAAAGGATCTTGATTCTGATTGTGTGGCTACAGCTCAAAGGTGTATTAATGGTTAGAGCCACAAAAAAAAAAGGGAAAATCGCAACCATCTACATAAAACTATATAAAATATAAAAATAGAAATTTCAAAGCTACCATGAGATAAAACTAGAGCGTTGAAGTGCTGATTTTTTTTTTTTTTTTGCATTTTTAATTTATTGTTTTATTATATAACTATTAATTATTATCATTTATGAATACAAAATGGGAATTTATATTTATAAAGGCCCTCTATTTATATTTTTCATAATCAATTGACTGTAGTCTTTACTTTAAATTTGAATGAATAGTTCATGAATAGAGCAAGCAAAAATAGTGCATGTAACCAAAAAATTAGCCATAAAAATAAATAATTTCTCCATTTCCTCTCTCTTTCCCTTTCTGGGAGAGGAAGCCACCGGAAATCAATAACATTATGATAGGAAAAAATAATAGAAGCTTCTATTACAAAATCTATGATCAAGTTTTCAAACACGCTACAATTTTTGTAGCTGCACCAAATTTGTTGTTGTTCTTGGTTTACAAAAGCTACTCAAATAATATTTTTCTTTTAATGGAAGATATTCAATAATAAGATCTTTTTTCTTTTTTTGTATATTTAATTATTATAGTTCTGAATTTGTCGCTTTCTATTAATTTCTCTTAAATCTTATCTTTTTTATAAATGATGAGAGATCTTTTAAGATTATTGGTTTAATTTTTATTTGATTAGTTTTGAGTTTTTATCTATTTTATTTAATATGTTTGTGCATGGATTGAACCTTTGGCATGGTAAAATTTGGTTGCCAAACTTTTTTTTTTAAAATCTTTTTATTTAGTTCTCTTCTAAAATTGGAATTTAAATTCCCAAACTCTAGTGAAATCATATTTCGACTCAAAGAATAAATAATTAGCAAGTATTACTTTTGCTTTATCATGGGGAGCGCCAGATCTAAGGTTACAAATAAATATGAAATTTTTTTGAATTCAAGACAAAACATAATGGAATTTAGACACTTTATTTCTCTCTCTCTCTCTTTTTTATTAATTACTTAGGTGAATATTGGAGCATAATAGTAATAATAATAATAATATTACAATCCGCGCATCGCGCGGACACGTGACCAGAACTACATATAAATGTGAAAATATAGAGAATAATGAAATTTCTGATAACGACCTTAATGGAATTTCTGATATTATAAAATAATCTTAATAATATCCAATTAAAAAATTATATTTTATTAATTAGTTGATTTGATATATTTATTAGTTGAAATAAAAATAATTTAATTTTGATTGATTATATTAATTTTTTACGTGAATTTAAATTTTATTAGGAAATTTAATCTAATTCTAAATAAAAAGTTATTCAGCGTAAAGACTATAATTTTATCGATTAGAAAAATAAATGTCCATATTAAATTAAACTTATAATAATTAGACGGTGCAAAAAAAAAGGGTCGTTTTGCCTGTTTGTGTGCCTGATTTGGTTCCAACTTTAGTTTTTGATAATTACACGCACCCAAACACTACAGGAGGTGACTTTCCACAACCCGCTTGTCGTTTGGTTTCAACTGTTGGTTTTGGTCATTGCTTGGTATGTTTCGTGCTGGGGGTACTTGCCTTGTGGTTCTAATAAATGCTTTGCAATGGGATATTGAGAGGATTTTTTACAATTAATTTGGTGAAATTGTGAATTTTTCTTAATTTTATTGGACTCTAGTCTGTGTATTTGTATTAATTGTCTTGTAATTAATCAATATTAAGTATTTACAAAGATAAAAACGAAATTGCTTAGAAGACAAAGTAATAAAAATATAAAAATAACACATTAACATTTTAAAGCGTGGAAAATAATATTTCAATATTTTCTTGTACAATATAATAGCTAATTTCTTATACAATAAAATAGCTTTTATAATTTAATTAATATTTCTTATAATAGAATTTTTAACATATCTAGTAAAAAATGTATTTATTATAATAAAAGTGGTTAATTTCTTGTAAAATAGCTTTTACTAATTATAATATATATTTTTAGTTTGATTTATAACCAATCAAATTTAAAATTTACATTAAAATTATTAAAAGTAATTTACCTTTATTCTGATACAGTAAGTTAAAAAAATAACGAAAAAGTTTAATAATAGGATTACGATGAACTTTTATTATTTAATTTTATTTACCATAATAAAAATGCACATTTACTCGTGTCTCGTTTTGAATAATTGAATTGCCCAATGGACTTTTGTTTTTATTGTCTGATTAAAAATATCGTTAAGGATAAATTAGTCTTAGGTTGTGGTCCGCCATATATTTTTTTTTAAAGTAATTTTTAGCATTTTGACTAATCAAAACATTAAATACTATGTTTTATAGTGTTCGATAACACAGCATTTGAATTAGCTTGAGGTTGCAATTTTATAAAAGGTTAATCATGTAATGTTTAGCGTTTTATAAAAAGCTATTCAAATAACTATTAGCTAAAAGTTATTCAAACAGTTAATAACGACCAAGGCCGTGTTCAACAACAACTTTTTAAATAACTTTTAGTCAAAACACTAAATGCTATTTTTTATAGTGTTCGGTAACATAACGTTTGAACTAATTTTTAGAGGTTAAAATGACGTTTTATACGAATGATGATTAGATAATTATGGTCAACCTGAGCGATTTAATAATTATTTTTCCGTGATATTATAAAATTGTACATATACAATTATAATTAATTATAGATGAATGATGATATAAATTGAACTGAAGTGTGTGCATCTACACAATGGTGTATTATAATTAATCGATATATTCACATTTTCTTATATAAAATTTTGTTTTGATTTTATAAATATATAAATACTACAAGACAAAAATTATAATCAATATTTAATATTAAAAAATAAAAATGAATATAAATAATGAATAAAAATAAAAAATAATATAAAAAATCAAACGGATAAAAATAACGAGTACAGTGCATGACGTTATAAAAAAAAAAAAAAAAATTTTTTTTTTTTTTTTTTTTTTTTTTTTTTTTTTTTTTTTTTTTTTTTTTTTTTTTTTTTTTTTACTTAGGTTGAATATTGGAGCATAAATAGTAATAATAATAATAAATTACAATCCGCGCATTCGGCGCGGACACTGACCAGAACTACATGATATAAATGTGAAAATATAGAGAAGTAATGAAATTTGCTGATAACACCTTAATGGAATTCTTGATATTATAAAATAATCTTAAATAATATCCAATTAAAAAATTATATTTTATTAAATTAGTTGATTGATATATTTATTAGTTGAATAAAAATAATTAATTTTTGATTGATTATATTTTTTTACGTGAATTTAAATTTATTTAGGATTTAATCTAATTCTAAATAAAAAGTTATTCAGCGTAAAGACTATAATTTTATCGATAAGAAAATTAAATGTCCATATAAATTAAAACTTATATAATTAGACGGTGCAAAAAAAAAGGGTCTTTGCCTGTTGTGTGGCCTGAAATTTGTTCCACCTTTAAAGTTTTGAAATTACACGCACGTCCAAACACTACAGAGGTGACTTCCACAACCCGCTTGTCGTTTGGTTTCAACTGTTGGTTTTGGTCATTTGCTTGGTATGTTTTCGTGCTGGGGGTCTGCCTTGTGGGTTCTAAATAAATGCTTTGCAATGGGAATTGAGAGATTTTTTACAAATTAATTTTGGTGAAATTGTGAATTTTTCTTAATTTATTGACTCTAGTCCTGTGTAATTGTATTAATTGTCTTGTAATTAATCATAATTAAGTATTTACAAAGATAAAACGAAAATTGCTTTAGAAGACAAAGTCAATAAAATATAAAAAATTAACACATTAACATTTTAAAGCGTGGAAAATAATATTTTCAAATTATTTTCTTGTACAATATAATAGCTAATTTCTTAACAATAATAGCTTTATAATTTAAATTAATATTTTCTTATAATAATTTTTAACATATCCTATAAAAAAATGTATTTATTATAATAAAAGTGGTTAATTTCTTGTAAAATAGGCTTTTACTAATTATAATATATATTTTTTAGTTGATTTTATAACCAATCAAATTTAAAATTTACATTAAAATTAATTAAAATAATTTACCTTATTTGATACAGTAAGTTAAAAAAATAACGAAAAGTTAATAATAGGATTATACGATGAACTTTTATTATTTAATTTATTTACCATAATAAAAATGCACATTTACTCGTGTCTCGTTTTTGAATAATTGAAATTGCCCAATGGACTTTTGTTTTATTGTCCTATTAAAAATTAGCGTTAAGGAATAAATAGTCTTAGGTTGTGGTCGCATATATTTTTTTTAAAGTAATTTTTAGCATTTTTGGACTATCAAAACAATTAAATACTATGTTTTAATAGTGTTCGATAACACAGCATTTGAATTAGCTGAGGTTGCAATTTTATAAAAGGTTAAATTCCCCATGTAATGTTTTAAGCGTTTTATAAAAAGCTAATTCAAATAACTATTAGCTAAAAAGTTATTCAAACAGTTAATAACAGACCTAAGGCCGTGTCAACAACAACTTTTTTTAATAACTTTTAGTCAAAACAACTAAATGCTATTTTTTATAGTGTTCGGTAACATACACGTTTGACTAATTTTTAGAGGTTAAAATGACGTTTATACGAATGATGATTAGAATAATTAATGTCAACCTGAGCGATTTAATAATTATTTTTCCGTGATATTAAATAAAATTGTACATATACAATTATTAATTAATTATAGATGAAATGATGAATAAATTGAACTGAAGTGTGTCATCTACCACAATGGTGTATTTAATTAATCGATATATTCACATTTCTTATATAAATTTTTGTTTTGATTTTATAAAATCTATAATACTACAAGACAAAAATATAATCCAATATTTAATATTAAAAATAAAAATGAATATAAATATGAATAAAAATAAAAAATAATATAAAAAATCAAACGGATTAAAAAACGAGTAAACATGCATGAGTATAAAAAAAAAAAAAAAAAAACAGTTATTAAAAATATTATAAAAAAAAAAAAAAAACTAGTTATTATAAAATACCAAATAATACGTTCATCAATTGTGACCTGTAACTCCTCTCCTGTCCTCTACATCTTTCTTTTTAGCCATATGATCTTCTATTTTTACTTAAACTTTTAGAATACTGCACCCTATCAATATAGATGTCAATTTTAATTTTAAATAAGAATCCAAGAAATGCTAATTAACATAATGTTAAATTTAAATATATTTTTTAATTTTAAATCTTTGAATTATCTAAGTGAAGCCTCTTGCTAATTCTGCTTTACATCAAACATCAAACACCGAACAGTTGTTTTTGTTCTGGATGATTCTTAAGGAAAGCCAATTTTAAAACGTTTTCATTTTTGTCATATTTGATTCAAGATTCAAAGTCTGTGGGCTTTTTATTGATTACTGGTTGCTTTTAAGTTTCTAGGTTTTTCTAATTGTCTTCTGCCTGATGCTTGGCTTTTGGATTTATCTTCTTGTAATTATCATAAAAGAAAATGAGAAGTTTACAAGAAAAATTAAACCCATGAGAGTTCTCGGAGAATTATTGTTCATTTTGATCTTTAAAAAGTAGGACAAGCCCATTAACAGTTAACAAGAGAATGAGAAAAGGTTAAGGCCTTGAGAATATTTTCATGATCGTCTTTTTGGGGGAATAGTTTAACTTTTGTTTGATTCTTTGAAGACTCAAACATTGGAAGCTTCAAACAAATGAAAATCAGGTCCACCTTCAGTCTCCAAGCAAGGTAAAAATAAACTTACTAGGATCCGAATCATCACTGGTTAATGAGAGCAAGGAACATTGATAAATCCTACAGAAGGCTCCAAAATGATAAGGGACCTAACTCGATATTACAAAGAGAGAGAGAAAGAGAGAGAGAGAGAGAGAGAGAGAGAGAGAGAGAAGTAGAAGTCCCTAATCATTGAATTAGCCCAACCTCTCTACTGTTGTGTGTATGATGAAGGCTGGTATGTGGATGGAGCCCCAGTGCCATAATCATAACCAACATAATTGGCCTGTCCTGCATACGAACCACTTGCACGGTAACCAGCAGCACTTGCATTATCCACGGGAAGTGAATAGTGTTGTTGAGGAATTGCAGCAGGGCTTTGAGTATGGTTAGCACCATAAGTTGATGCATAAGAGGTGGTTGAGTGGCCCTCATAGATACTCTGGCTAGGATAGTTATATGGCCCAGAATATCTTGCAACTGGGCTATGCTGTGGCGGTGGAGCAGGGTTCCGGCGGCCAAAAGGTGGATAGGCATTTGAAAATTTAGCTGCTTTGGGTGGACGAAAAGCAGGTGGCCTTTGGCCCCTGCCGATATTTGCACCCCGCTTATTTTGAGACTTAGCAGCAACAGCTGCTGCTGAACTCTTCTTCCTCTCTGCTTTAGCTTTCTCCAGCCGAGTAACACGCTTCCTTAAGCTATCCAGGGGAAACTCAGATTCAAGCTTGTGATCTTCAACGCATTTGATGACAGCTTTAATAGAATTCAGCTCCACAGCATTTGACTCCTCCTGAAAAATCATGCATGTATGAGATACAGCAAATAATAGATGTTTAGGTTAAGGAAGTTAGGCAACATAGATGGTTATGAGACGCACTGTTGCAGCTGCATTATAATTGCCATTCTTCAAGATAGTGGCTGTATTCTTCTTGGAGTTCTTAATGTAAGACTTGAGCAAAGAAACGGGAGGAAATCTGTCAGTCAAACCTGACTCAGAGGCAAAATATGCAGCTTCTATCTCCTTCCCATTTTTCACCAGTTCGCATATCATCTCTGTAAAAGATAGATTGGACCAACATAAGCTGTACACATTAGCATTTAGTTTATGAGAATAAGAAGGTTCATTTCAATATTAAATAGTGAAAGAGAACAGCAATGCTCAATCTCATTGCATGGTACATATATGAGTATTTAAACTTCTTAATGCTCAATCTCATACTGTATCTCAGACAATCCAACCCAACCAATCCTCCACTAAAAAAAGACTAAATGATCTCAAACGGGTGAAAAAAAGTTCCAGTTTTTGCATTGCCAACCATATGCCTTGCATATTAGAAGTTAACTGAGCTTATAATGGAGAAAACAACAAAAAGCCAGATGTCAATGTGCAGACTTATGCAGAAGCATGAAGCCTAGTTCAATTTAACATGGAAGAACATCACATTAGGAGGGAAATAAGGGATTCCACACGCGAAGACAACCAAAACTAATAAAATACCTCATTTCAATCATGAATATGCTTGTCACAAGTCATGAAATCTTAAGAACACGCAGAACTTCCGAACCATTTTTCATGTCACTATGTGCTCTGCGTTCCAAGCTATATCCAGGCAGTATGGATTATTCAGTGTCAGATATGTCAAAGCTTAACACCCTCAGATGAGCATATACTGAGCAGTTCATGAGGAGAACTACATCTTATGTACTCAGTAAGTAGTAAGATAGGCATTATATTTTTATTTTTTCATGATAAATAGGTTAAGGATTAGAATAATATACTTATAGCCATGAAATTACATATCTAAATCTTCAAAGAATAGACACTAACCCAAAGCACAAAAGCAACTACAACCAAAGAACAGCGCAAATCATTAGCTACATTTAGCATATTGCCCATAGAATAATACTGGAGATCATACCTTCCATTTTCTCCCCAAAACCAATAGCCACTGCAAGTTTGGCCATATCCCTCCTTGATGCATGCTCCATCACAAGCTTCCTCAAGAACTCCTCGTCAAACATAGATTTCAACCCAAATCCCACCACCATCTGCAAGAACATGACCGCTTCTGCAGGCCCTACCACTCCGCCACCACCTTCTTCTCCGTCAACTTGCTCCTCCTTCCACCTCTCCAAAATACTTGCTGCCCTCTCCACCACAGTCCGAGCAAATTCTGGTCCTTTTTGTTTCCCGCCACAGTAACTGCCTTCCGGGAAAAGCACTTGCACCAGCATTCCACACGCCCACCGCTTGTCAGTAACTCCAACCTTCTCAATTTTATTACTCGCAAACTCATCCACAGCATCCAAAATCAACCTTGCGGGGTCCACCGCCTCCGTTATTGCAGGTGCAATCTCCGCCCGCATCGACACCGACTCCTTCCGTTTGGAAATAACGAACTTTAACAATCCGGAGGAATCCATTTTTCGACAAAGCGACTTTAACAAATCCGACAAGTTATCAAATTTCGAAGGCTTTTCAAAATCCGCCAAAGCCTTCTCCTTTTGCTCCTGGATTTTGGCTGCAGCGGCGGACTCGCGTTCAGGGATAGAGGTTTCCCTCTGAGACAGGGATTCAAGGGTGTCCTGAGAATTGGACTCCAAAGATTGAAATTTGGAATCTAGGGATTGAGATTTCTGAGATAGGGAGTCTTGAAGGGAAGTGAAGTGAGAGGTAAGGGTTGTTAACAATTGGGTGCAGGAGGTTAGAACGGTCTTTCGGGCTTCAAGGTCATCGACAAATTTCCGGGTTCTATCTGTGTTTATCGCTAAGTCGATCGCCATTGATGTAATTGGAAGGTAGTGAAACTTTGCTGGTTTAGTGGACGAAAGAGTGAATTATTTGGAGGGAAAACCCTACAACGTAGTTCGGGGTTCGGAGGCAAGGTAAATTATATACCTGAGACTCTGCACATCGTTAACTGAATTTCTGATGGAGTTTCGTTCGACAGAGACCAAAGCTCACGCACGCCCGGTGCTAAAATGCAGATGAAAAAGATTAGGACATAAACGGTGTCGGATAAATTTTCTCTTATTAAGAAAGCTACTGAGAGAGAATGTGCCGTTTCGTCGTCGAACGACCGCTTATAAATTTAACCGCACGTTGAACGCGTTTGTTTAAAGACTTGTCGTCTGTAAAAGTAAGTTCGTAACGTACCCACTTCTCATTCAATGACAAGCCAACGACAAGCAGTCTGAGGGGAGCAATACGATCTCCTCCACGTCACTATCATTCTAACCAATCACGTACAGAAAATACAGTCGATTCCAGTTCTAACAAGAATATTTAAAGAAGGGAAAATATTCTTCTCTTTTGATGCTTTGCCAATTAATTTCTTAAGACTGATAAAGAAGATGATGAATACTAGTGAAGGCAAACCATTAGCATACTAATCTTTCGTTTTAGTTACAAAATTCATATATATACAATTGTAAATCTAAACAGAAATTAAGAAAATGTTGAACCACTAAACCAGGCCTTTATCTGGAAAATTTCTGGAAGGTTGAGAAAATCGAACGGAGAAAGAACGACAGAGGTTTTCAGGCTCATCTTTACCAGACCCTTGATCAAAATTCTGCCTGTAAGTGCATTCATCATAGCAAGGCACTTGCTGCTGCAACGAACTTGAAGACTCCAACAGCTTCCTTTTTACTTTCTTTAGCTTCATCCACGCAAATTTCCATCTCAGCTTTATCAATCTAGCTGATGATTGGGAACTGGCGAACTAATTTCTTCGTAGTACTGACCTAACTGGATCGTTCTGCTGCCGGAATTGTACCAGTCTCCGATTCCCATGGCAGCAGCAATACAGCATATGACCAAAAGGCTCCCTTTCGCTAGGGGAACTAAAGAATGTAACGTAGATGAACATCAACATCTGTAGATATATCACTCTTAAAAAAAGTAGTTCACTAAGCTTTAAGGTCAAAATTAGCTGACTTAACACCACTGGACAGTAAAAATATGCTCAAAGCTGTGTTGAAAATTGCAGGACTTTACAACCTGACAAGGACTGCTCATTATCTCTACAGCATATATTCTACTTTGACAGCCCACGACCAGCACCAGATGCAAGTGTCTAAGATTACAAATACCCTCTAATAGAGAAAGAGGGAGAAAATTTCAACATCAAATAACACAATAAAATCAAAGGCAGGCTCAGTGAATTTGTGACATTCCAAAAAAGGTTAACTGTTACAACAACAAGTTTGTGGATATTACAGTGACATAACGTTAAAATGGGATGATAATCCTCTCCTTGCTACCCCTTAAATATTTTGCCACCGAATATTTAACTGTGCAAGGGGCTTGTTTTGTTGTTTTTGGTCTCAGGGAAATACCAATTACAAAAGAAGGTAAATATGTTGGGTCACTGTACAAATTCTCTGGTTTTGAACAGCCATAACGAGCCATGATATAAAAAGCTTATGCTGGCTCATTGTAAGGCTCTCAATATAGGAGAAGGTAACAACCTCCACACAATGCAAAGCAACTTCTCTGTTCATCCTCTGACACTGGAATTCTCCAATAAGCCAGACAATGGAGATGTCATGCAAACCACCAACCTACATTTATCAGAAAAATAATAATACAAGTTAAAATCTTAGCCTGATAAATCATAAATTTATCAAAAAAATTTCACTAACAAACTCCGTATGCTTTCATATTAATATGATAATTATTTTTTGTCAATCATGTAGAGAAGGAACTTGGTCCATCCCACAGGAAAGGAACCTCAAGCAATGAATGAAGCTTACTATAAATGCTCACTTACACTTCTTACTGTTGAAAAATTTTTAAGGACAATGCGCTAATAAGATGAACAACAACAATTCGATCTTTCACTTAAATGGAATGATTTGACTGAAAATTGGATCTTACAGAATATAGGTTTTCTTTAATTGATTAAATTCCAAAATCTGGGTTCATGAAAACAGAGAACAACCTTATTTGAGTGTGCAATTAAACTACACATAAAAAGGTATCAATTCAAATCTTCATCAAATGAATACTGTCACAATAATCACGAATTACTCGATTACAGAATGGACCAACTTTCATCAATGTTTTGAACTAAAATTATAATAAATCTCTCATTTGAAATCGTTCCACTGAAATATGGCATGAGTATAAGCACTTTGAACTAGAAATTTGGGCTTCCATTTCCCTGTTCTTCCATCTATCGAAGACTTTCCAATTAACCCCCACCCAAGCAACACTCCAAATAAGAACTGAATAAACATTTGTGCATTGGTAGGTAAGGGAAGGAGGGGATCAAAAAGCCAAAACACAGGGCAGATATAGAATGTCTATAACAAGAATCGCATCTGCAAATAATCATGACATGATTCATGCTAGAACGAATGGCCTAGGGCAGAAATCACCATAACCAGTAGAAGGAAATGAATTAATGCTGTTTAATACGATAACGAAAGAAGGGGATGGTAGCCCAGATGAAATTGATGAAACAGAAGCTACTCATCAGTTCCTTATACAAACAATAGTAATACATAAGAAATCAATGGATGTTGTGTGGACAAGACCATGACTGTTACCTGCTTCTCGTTTGCATGCGTACTTAGTTTCTTCCTCCAAAGCCCCAACTTCAAGATACTGTTCTCCCATAGCAGATGGATGCAATATACAGATTCTTTGACCATTTATCCTGCAATGAAAAGCACCTCTGAACGTTGAGATTATGGTCGCTTTGTCATCTTTTGAGAATAGTACATTTGGTAATACCAAAAGAAGCGGGCCAGAACCCTAGCACATTGGTGGTGCATGATGGAGCACAAAAGAAGTAGAAGTTTAAAAGCTTATGCACCTTAACATGTGTGCTAGGAAATGCAGACGTTCGCAAGGTTTCTTGTGCCACATCTGATGATTTCCTCTTGGGAGCACTAAGTATGAATGCAGCTTGATCTGCTGTAGCAGCAGTTGAGGTGATCCGATATCCACTCTCCCACCTTCTATGAATCCCCTCACTGGGATAAAGGAAATCAAGTTCAACAACCTGGCAGTAGATTTCGAAGAAAGGATAAGTGCTTTCTGCAGCATACTGTCCGATGTAAAATATGAAATTGGAGAGTGAACAACCTGATTAGGATAACCTGCATTCCTAGACATCACAATGCCCCATTTGCTTCCTGCTGTGGTCATTGAGGTCACAGAGAAGCCTTCTTTCCACTTTTTGTTGATCCATTTGAAAGGAAATACATCACTAACTTTGTAAGATTGTTGAGTATAAGGTGTTCCTTCAATAACAAGAGCAGAAGGACAAATATTAGACAATCATTGAACTGCTAAACTGTAATTTCTGAAGAAAGATTATCAAGAACTAAAACAAAAATTTCAAGATAATGTCGGAGCTTCCTATTATAAAATTAACTACACAAGTACTTCAGGGTTCGTTTACAGTTGACATCTAAAAAGATTCTCAAAAGATTTAGAAACTAAAGCAAAATTTTTATCGAATGAAGTCTTGGTCAAACCATAAATCAAGATGGAGCCATTGAAAACCAGATGAAAATATTTCAAGATTTGTCTTCATAATCTTACTGATCACGCTTAGACATCTTAGAATCACATTGTGGCATGCCATTAAAACTGCAGGTTAAATTCAGTTCCTTTGTCACAATGTCACCACAGCAACTAATGTGAATATTTTGAAACAAAGTGAAATGATATCCATAAAGTTCCTTACCTTTTGACATAACGACCAAGGCACTGCCATTAGCTGTGCCAGCAACTGATGTGATATAGTAATTCTTGTCCCATTGTTCCATTATCCACTCCTGATGAAATAATCAGAAAGAACAAGCGTGTCAAGGGCAGGCATGACTAAATTTATGCATTAAAAGTATCAAAGAAAAGAAAATCCTTAAAAAAACCTACCTTGTGCAAGAAAATGGGAGATAACTCATGGACCTGGGATGTAAACCCCGTTCCTGCATCCATAATAATGGCCCATAAATTTGCAGATGAGGCCACGCAGCTTATGTATAAACCATCTTCCCTCCCTTTCTCCACATGTTGATCAATTCTTGAATCCATAACATTGTAGTGATACCTGCAATAAAGACTAGCCATTACATGAAGACAACAGAACCAGTTTCCAATACTAACGAAAGTAGAAGCCAATAGTTCTAAAGATAACAACTATATCTAGGTTTCCATCCAAGAAAGCCTCAATTCTATGCATGCATGTAATTTTTATATCAAACAACTGTAATACCACAAAGATTTAACGTTAAAAAGTCATCAGGCAGAAACAAGAGTGGAGCACCTAAAACCAGCTGAGGTTGAATTCTTAAGGTTGAATATAAGTATTCTAACAAAATCAATAAGAAATAGAGATACAAACAAAGAATGCTTATAAAAAAACACAAATATACTTAAAACAAGCTGAATATGTTTTCCTATAGAGACCAATAATCAAGACACTGTAAAAATAATGTTAGTATTGCACTTAATGAAGAAAAGAAAAGAAAAGAAAAGAAAATGAACAGAATCTGAAAGTGCAGACAAATATCAGAGAGAATACTTCTATGTTCATCTTCACTGAAAGAGAGATGGAAACCAATTTTCCATCACATAGATTCTTAAACTGCACTACTTACCTCTGCTTCATTGATGGTCTAAAATTGTAGACCGAGATCCACTGTGTAGCAGGAGTACCAAGCCGTATTTTCTTCTTAAGTTGACCACCATCATCCAACTCAACAAGTGACCTTCCCCTCTTTTGACCCACCTATAATGCATGAAGGATTACTAATGATAATTTTAAAAAGGCAATGAGCATTATAAAAATATTGAGCTAATGTAAACCACCAAGTAACAACCTTAATAGCCCCATCAGTTAGAATTGGCCGTAACATGATATTGGAGCCTATGCTGTTGTCAAAAAGGGAAATGAGCTTTGCGTAATTGGGTTCTTCATCAAATCTCATATTAGTCACCATCTCATGAAATTGTTGAAAAGGAGGAGGACACAAGAAACAAAGCGTATCAGGAGAAGTTGCCATCTTCTTCTTACAAACAAGAAATCCTTTGTTTTCTCCCTGCATCTCAAGGGAATATCAAAACAAAATATTTAATAAACTAAAAGGAAAACAAACAGTAAAAGGTGGAAAGATAATCATGGAGCAAAAACTTACCACATATCCTTGCCAAGGAAGCTTTCCCTTGAGAAGGAATATGAGGGTATAAGCCAGGGACTCAAGGTCATCCCTCCGGCTCCCAGTCCTACCCAAATGAGCATGTACACTGGCATAACGTACGGTTCCCCTGCCAAGAATATTAAATAGACATGGCATTTCAGGATAAAATATCTTGCACACACCAGGCCTAAAGTAGCATAAATCAAGAAATCCAAACAAATCAAAGTGGCCACTTGTGGCAAGATTAGAAAACCATATACACCAGTAAATCATACTAATATTATTAGAAATATTTATGGATTGCATTATCCGAAATGGGATTAGAGTTAATCATTTCCATCAGCCAATGGTCCACTAATCCAAAAGCATAATTAGAGAAATATCTACCTGAAAACATCAGGCTTTTGGTCATAATCAACATGACGACCAGAAGTTGCGTCCCGCCATCTTGAAGCTGTGTAGACAGTAGCAGACTTACAACTATTTCTAAAACTAGCAGATTTAAAAAAAAAAAAAAAAAAAAAAAAAAAAAAAAAAAAAAAAAAAAAAAAAAAAAAAAAAAAAAAAAAAGGAGTGTCTCCAGATTGTCTTCAAGGTCATAAAGGTGCCATAAGGAAAGACATAAAAAAAAACACCCCCCCCCCCAAAACCCCCCAAAGATCAATTAAAAAAATTACAAAGCTTCTTCCCATTGGGAGTTCCAGGGGCTGAGCCAAGGCAAAAAAGTTCTCTGGTTTTTACATGCCCCAATGGAAACAAAACTGAAGGAAAAAAAAATGGAAAATTTGTTGGGCACTGCTAAGTAAACAGATTGGAGGGAGGAACAAACAGACACAATATGTAAAAAAAAAAAAAAAAAAAAAAAAAAAAGGAGTGTCTCCAGATGTCAAGGTCTGAAAGTTGCCATAAGAAGACATACCCAAACCAAGATCAATTAAATACAGCTTCTTCCCATTGGGAGTTCCAGGCTGGCCAAGCAAAAAGTTCTCTGGTTTTACATCCCCATGAACAAAACTGAAGGAAAAATGGAAAATTGTTGGGCACTGCAGTAACAGATTGGAGAGGACAAACAGACACAATATGTAATTATTGTAAACGCACCCTCTTAAGTGGAGCTGTTCTAGAATTGATATTGCCTCTACTGCTATACAAGCTACCATCTGTTCAGACAGCCTGCAGCAGGCGTAGAAACACAGGAACATCAACATTCAGAATGAAATTTTGAATACTAAATTTATTCTTGTGTGTGTGTGTGTGTGTGTGTGTGTGTTTTATCATTGTAATAATATAGTCACATACGTTTGATTATTAGAGTTCCAAACATCCCAAAGGCTTGGTCCTAGCATGTCCATGACCTAAACAATAAGATCAGATAAAATCAAGAGTAATCAAATTTCAACAAGCAGATCAAAGGAAATGACATTGTAAAAAAAAATCAAGCAGGAACTCACTAGGATATAATAGTCTCCTTGTTGACCTTTATAATGAACCAATGGAAGCCCATAACAACCATTGAGAGTGCTTTTGAAAAACAATTTAAACAAAAAGACTAGTTAGGTCATAGAATTTGGATTTCAAAAGTAACAGTAAGAATAAAATCATGCCTACCTATACACTTGCCACTCATATGGAGGGCCATAACTGCACCCTTTGCTATTTCGGTGCTCAAGTTTCAATGCAACCTATAGAATGGACCAGGAAACTGCCATTAGTAATGCAATCAACCCCCTAAGATATTTAAAAAAAAAAAAAAAAGAACTAGTAGATTTTATAATTGCTTATCAAAGTGCACAAACCTCAAGAGCATCAGGGCCGCTACGGCCTGCACCACCAGACACCCTTCTTCCAACATAAACTTGACCGAAGCCCCCTTTCCCCAGCTTTCTCTCCAACTTGTACACAGGGGAATTGCCAAGTTGTACCTAATAAGGAAAGAAACTAAGTGAACAACTTTCATACATATTGCCTACAACTAAATGCATACATGGAAACATTGCGTGGACAGTTAGAAGTGTTAGCATTATACAATGCAAAATGTGATACATAAGACATACATTTTCCATAAGATCACTATTACATATTACCCTAACTGATGCAAATATCTCCGGTCTTATTTCTTTTGAAAATGCAAATATTAAATGCAAATGAGAACTGTTGTTTCTTTTGAAAATGAGAACTGTTGTTTGTAAGTATCTAACTTCCAAGTTTTAAAAGATTTCCAATCAAAGCTGAAGTTAGAAGAATACAGGAAATCACATACATCATCATTTGAAAAATTGAAACCTACCGAAAACTGTAGTATGCCGTACAAATAAAACAGCAAATGCAGTTGTTTTTCATATAGCTTAAACAATATGAAACATAAATTTTAAAAAGAAATCGCTACCCTCTCAGGAAGCGGACTTGTACTTCCTTCCTCATCGCCAGCGGCCAATTTTTCTGCACTTCTCTCTACTGCCTGTCTTGCTGGCAATTCTAAAACACCACGGCCCCGGCCACGCACACCAGCACCTAAAAGCTTTGCATTTTCATCTTGATTCATTGCTCTAGAGCCTCTACCCCGACCAGCTGGAATAGGGATTAGGCAAAGAAAGAAACACCAAGTCAGCAGGATAGCAGAGTTAATTGTAAGAGTGAAGCTCTGGAGCCATTACCTCTTCCAGCACCACGCCGAGCAGTTGGAACTAAACCAGCAGGATTCTGGTTTTGTTTGACCCTCTGCGATCGCCGAACTCCAACTTGCAAATCTGGCATTCTTTTCCCATGCAAAAGTTGACTAGTTTCTATCTAACAGGCCAATGTAATACAAATGACCATCCCCTAAAAACATATGAACACAACAAATTAATGAGGAGAAATATTTAATTTAAAATATGGAAAGAATTACGGTATTACACAGTTGAATTAAGGTCCTTAATTGCAGCTAAATCTTTTTTTTTTTTTTTTTGGAAGTCAATTAGCCAAAAGGGTTTGTCCGTTTCGACATTAGCATTAAAGGCACACGCAATCCTCTTTTTTCCGATACAAAAAGCTTCGCAACAAATAAAGGGAAAGAAATAGAACTTATAAACAGAAACCAAATTTGGGAAACAACAACTAAAGCAGACTGACAACAGCATTTAAAATCAAGAATAAATGACAAAGGAAACAATTTAATCTGGAAACTAAAAGAGATCTTTTCATAAAAGGCATTACTTTCTTATCATATCGTATGTGATAAAGCCTCTCAAATTAAATCTTTAATTGTTAAATTGCCATTCCTCACATGGCATCCATTTTCAAGTTCCACCGAATAAAGTTCCATTAGTATCACAGTAATTAAACAGAAACCAAATTTGAGATATAGCAAAAACCGAATTCAATAAATGTGGCATGACTTGTATCACAGTACCACAGTAACGTGGCATGATTCATGAGAACTTATAAACAGAAACCAAATTTGAGAAACAACAATAAAGCAACCTGACAACAGCATTCAGAATCAAGAATAAATGACAAAGGAAACAATCTATTCTGAAAACTAAATGAGATCTTTTCATAAAGGGTAACTGTTAAAACACCTTATAGTTACTTCCTTATCATATTACTTATGATAAAGCCCCTCAAACTAAACCTTTAATGGTTAACACCAATCACATGACATGAATTTTCAAAATCAGCTGAGAAAAGCTCCATTAGTATCACAGTTGCAAAAACATCAGAATCCCTTCACACAAAACTTGTAAAAGGACATTACCCTCAAGTGTTATACCGCATAAAATTGGCTATAACAAATATACATGCTCACAAAACAAGCTTCATTTCATCGCAATTACAGTTTTTCAGATTGATTGTAACCTTAAACTCTCCAACTTCACGCATCATACATCACAGAAAGCAAAATTGATTCACAAGAACTGCATTGAAACTTGCATCCGTAGCATATCAAAATCTATAAAACATCCTAATTCAAGTAAGCTGCAATATTATATCTCATCAAACCCAACAGTATCACAATTATAAGCTTTACCAACAGTTATCCTAAGTTAGGCAAATATCACAATCAACAAAATAGAGCAGACAGGGAAAACAGACGCCTTCTTTCAACAGTCGATTAAAAATCATCAAATCCAAAAATCACAATCAATGCCCAGAGTTAATAATTTTTCAACACAAAATCACCTCTAGCCAAGAGTTAAAACTGGTAAAAATTGAAACTATCCCAATAGACGATCATCCAAAAGGCCATGCAAACTCATCACGAATGATCATACATCAGACATTTGGAAGGATCAATACCCACATACAGATTCAACCTTATGAATGCACCATCAGCACAAAAACCAACAAAAGATGCAATATCTCGAGCAGATGTAATTTGCTTTAAACTTTTGTACTTGGCTTAATAGGAACCCATTACACCAACGATAAGAAGATAACATTAAAGCACATACCTTTATGAGATGAAATCTAAATTTGAAACGATTACCATCTAAGTCGAAAAAAATAAAAAATAAAAAAATAAATTGGGTGAAGAGAATGAGCTAAAACGATTTGATCGTCTTTATGAAAGGGAAGCTCCAGAGAGAATCGATGGTGGTGGGTGACTTCTCGGTGTATGTAATGTGTGTGTGGGGGAGAGACGGTGCACGGGTACCTAAGTGCGCACGTTAGAATACTGCGTTACGTGGATTTCGTTGCGTGGAGGCCTTTGTTTCTTACTGTGAACATCACTAGTAGCCTATTTTAACCCCAAATTAAAGAACAAAATACTATAAATCGATGTAAGCCGTGACCTTTCAATCTTCGCCTCCTCTAGTACCATATCGATTGTCGATGTTGGTTGAATGGCTGTCGGGATCAGTCTGAAACGGACTTAATAGACCTTACGGGCCTGGGCCTGAGCCTGGATCCGGTAGCGGTTAGGCCTGCCAGAAATTCGTTAGAAAATATATATATTTTTTTTAATCATTGTTATATTCCTAATTATAAATTATTAACAAGTTTATGGACTAAAAGTTTATATTCCTATCCTTGACTTCTTATCAATAAAAATTAATTAAAATTATATTCTCATATTTTCTATCTTTAAATTTTTTTATCAATAAAAATTAATTAAAATTATATTTTCATATTTTCTATCTTTAAATTTTTTACATTCTCCTTATTCTTTTATTATTTTATAACACGTTATCAGTACGATAAAGTTAAACGTTAATTTTTATAAAACTTTATTTTATAAAATATTAATTTTTTATTTTTTATTTGAGAACAGATGGAAATATTTTTTGGTTAATTTTAACTAATTTATATATAACAAGTGGGTTTTATTTCAAATAATTTCGATGAAATTCAAATATAGATCTATTTTCGAATCCTACGGTGCCATTCAGCTATATTTTAATGTGGTTTACATTAATATTACATTATGGTTATGTATATAGAAAAAAAAAATACATCTAGAAGAATATTTTATATACAGTATGTTTTTTGGATTGAGGGTTATCTCAAAATATCTAAAGGGCCCAACCCAAAAACTAATTGACACTTCCAATTCAAACATGTCCCATGCTAAATATCTCGATGGAACACTAATTTTCCTTGAGCGGCTTAACTGAACCCACCAAGCCAAACCCACAGACGTATAAGACATGGTGTTATTGTACTTACATTCCATATATGAGCCCACCAATAATAGTCAATCTAATAAAATTTTTACAGTTGAATAATAATAATAATAATAATAATAATAAACTGGAATGAAAATAATTGTCCAACTAGGGAAGCAATTCATTATTAGTTTGATGGATAAATAGTCTTCTATATTAAGGGCAAATAAATATTTTTTTATTAATATTTAAGTCTTTATACAATGGATAGTGTTTTTTCCCCTTTTCTTCTTAATTAAAAAAAAAAGGGAAAATATATCGATAGATCAAATTCATGGTCATTTAAATTCCAACATTAAAAAATCTCCATTCTTATCGGTTTTTACATAATCAATAATTAATTTTAAAGATTCTAAAGAAATATGTTCGATTCGAGCCTTAAATTCTTTTAAGGCAAGGAACTCAAATGTAAAAATAATTACTATTTTTTATGTCATGACATTCGTAAACTCAATTTTTAATCATCTTTTTTAATATTTTAAAAATTTAATATTGAGGGCTAAATTTATTTATTGTAATTTCGAGAGCATCGACTTTATCTTTTTTTTTTCATAGTAAATTTTAGAGTTTTCATATTGATTTGAATTTAATTATTAAAATATCCATCTTTAATTAGCTACTTAATTTTAATTAGTGACTTTTATATTTGATTATTTTCTACTAATACTGCATGATTATGCGAAATCCCATAGATCGTATGAGTTGAATCAAACAAATATTTGCAAAATATTTCCCCTGATAAGAAATATATTGGACTTTATTATTTTTCCTCAAAAAAAATAAGTTACAAGATATTTACTGATTGAAAAAATAAAATACAAAATGGCTGCAATTTCTCTTGTGAGATTGGGAAGAAATTACATAAAGAATCTGAACCCATAGAAAAGAATCAATGGAAAAGGTATGTGACTGCAAGAGCCACTAACATAAGAACATAAGCAATTCCTTGATCAATTGTATTTCCTGCAATATCAAACCAAAACTAAAATTAGAAGAAAGAAAAATAGATCCAAAAATTGATGAGATGCGAAACGTGAAAGGAACGTACCATCGCTGGATGGGCCTTCTGCTGCAGGAGAAGGAGCTATTGCTTGCCCATGGCCAAGCTGCAAAAGCGCCAAGAACATGAATCCAATAATCGGAAGAGCGTATAAATTCATAGGACTCATCTTCCAAATCAGAAAAAGAGAGAGAGTGTTCAAGAATCGAAGAAAGGACGAAGCAATTTGAGATAGAGTGTAAATTGGTGAAATAAAAAGATGGGTTGGGTGTGCGGAGAAAGGAGCTGTGGATATTTATATATGAGCTTAAAGAGCACGTTCGGTTTGGAGAGAGACAGAATTTGAATTTTCCACGAAACTAAAGGAAAAGGAGAGTGAGAGTGGGTTAGAAGGGAACGCGTCGTAGACACGAGACATTTAACTCGGTTGGCGGCTTATTTGACTCGGACCAGAAGATAGACCTATAAAACGTTGCCTCGTGGCTCTTTAACTTTCGTTTCTGGCAAGAACGACCCCGTTTCTGCAGCACTTTTTTATCTTTGGTAAGCGCTTTGAAAAATATTTTCTAGAAAGATTTGGTAATTCCTTGCGTTCCCGTTATATTTCAATTTATAAAAAAAATCTGAGATTCTGAATCCTAATCTTTTTCAGATAAAATCCATATCGGTGTAATTAAATTCTACTGATTTAATCAGTTATTGATTCATTATATTTATTAATTTTTGATATTACATATTTTTTTTATTTATCAAATGATTCAATTATTTAAAATAATACTAGGAACTGTATAAATTAAAAAAAAAATTTATACTCAAAATGATTCAAATTCAACGTCTTTCCCTTTTTATATAAAGAGAAATTCGATCAAATCATCGAGTGATTGACAAATTATAATTTAATTCTTAGTTTGTCTTCTTTGACTAAATATTATATCATTGATACCTAATAATATAATAAGAAGACATCACTCTTCAAAAAAAGAAGAAGAGCCGTACAATAAACAAGTGCAGTGGTCTAACGAGGGATGCCATGCGTTTCCTCTTTTCTTCTAGTTATTTCATTTCATCAGAATATAATAAATTGACCAAGTCAAATTCATCCTTTTCATTTTAAAAAATAAGAAGTTTCAGAAAAAGATTTTGTGGTTGAAAGTTGAAACTTTGAAGCCACACCACACACACCCAGCCCGAGGTGGCCCAAGTCCTTGGATTGATCAGTGGATCATGGATTTCTTCCTCAAGAGAAAATGAAAATTGAAAAGTCCACCTTTCCATATATATATTATATTATATTGAAAGTTATTTTTTCTAGAGTGTTGATTATTATATCAGGAAAACGAAATGTTATCTGAGACAGATACTGATAAAATGGGAAATTATTATTTGATCCCTGTATAATAACCCCTTTAGTTTGTAATCATTCAGGTCTTTCCGTCCTAATTTAGCCCTTTTTTCCATTTATTCAATGAGAAAAGACTAATCAAAAGAGATAATAGAAGATAAATCCCGAATTACCCTTTCACACCCAACAGCAACATCAGTTGAGAGGCGCCGTTTCTCTCTCTCTCTCTGCAATTATAGTTAGTTCACCACCAAACTCTCCTTGTCTCAGTCATCAGAATTCAAATACGAAAACAAGATCATGGTGGCATTTTTACTTCTTTTTGTCAATTCCTCTGCCTCTCTCTCTCTTTTCTTGTTTCTTTCCTTCCCTTTATTATTATTTTTTAAAAGATTTCTTTGCTATGGAGTTCATTTAATTCATGTGTTGCAGATAAGAATGTATGTATATCACGATTTCTTTGCACTCTTCTTATACTTTATTTATTTTTAATTCTAAATATTCTTAATAATGAATTAATATTTTTTGCTCGATTGGATGAATTTAGAGTCAAAATGATGAAGTTTTGTTTTTCTCTGTTTTTGTAAATTTTCGGGAGAGAGAGGTTTGAATGTTTGATACAAAATGAAAATGTGAAAGAAAAATAAGGGTATTTATGACTTTTAATTAAACATCACCGACAAAAAATATGAGTATTTTGAACGAAAAGACCTATTAGTTTAACGGATAAAAAAAAAAAGAATTTCAATAAACATTTCTAAAAAATAGAGATAAAGTAAATATATTTCAATATATAGAGATGTAATAGTAATTTTTTCATAAAAAATAGACCGATAGTTTATATTATTTAATAAAAATTAAAATATGATTCACGTACTGAATTCTATGTATATAAAGAAGAAAATGGAAGTGTCGATAGGAATAAGTCTATCAAATTTTCAAATATATTTTTTCATGTAGGAAAATTAATCAATTCTCTATGTTGAATATTAATATCAATTCATCGCAGAACCGATACTCAATTTGAAAAAGGTATCTAATGTATAAAATATTGTTTTTTTAAAATAGATTTATCTAATAGTATCATTCAATGTATGAAAATATAATAATAATAATAATGCACTACAAACTCATAACGCACGTGATATCCGTGTATAATTATAAAAACTGAAATATAAAATTCTCGTGAATATAAATGACCGCACTTTTTTTATTTTTTTTTATATTCCAGTTCATCTTGATTTTCATGTGAAAGACACATGAAAAATGAGCAATGGATTAGATTACAAGGGTTTAATTTGACAATCTTTTGACTTTCTTTTTTATATTTATATTTTATATGATATTTTTGAAAAATTGAGATAATACTAATTATTTATATGAATTTGATCCTTATCCATTGTTGTCGATGCTATTGCTAATGAGACTCTAAGAATGTCTCGAGGTTGCAGAAACCTTCGCGATTTTGTTGATGCTGGTATGATTGGGGTGGCGTGGCTACGAGTAGTTTCTTAATTTGAGTTCAACCCTCCATTATATTTAAAAAATATATATATCAAATTTAAAAAAATGTGAGAGAACACCATGTTAGAGTACTAATAAATTTTAAAATTATCTAAATCCGAATTCATTTAGAATAATCTTAATGAACAAATAAATTAAATCCATTTATAATTACCCAAATCCACATAATCCGAACACTGCCTCACTTCCATCTTAAAAAACCGTCAGCATCTTTGTCCCATTACATAGAAATCCTCGAGATTCTTCTCTATCTCTGTCCTAACAAAAAGTCTGAAACCCTATCCTCAGTCGTCACCCAAAATTAACCAAATCATAATCAAACAATCAAATACGTCCCCTCTCTACCAATTAACCAACCCATGCAAGAAGATTTTAGATTTATGAATGTGAGATTTTGCGTATTATTGCCTCTCGGCACGTAACAAGTGGAAGTTGCATGACTTGGGCTTTTGTTACATGTAGAGCCATTTGGCAGGATGACTAGCACGTGCCAAGATAAGCGAACACCTTATGTTTCTAGAGGATAGGTTATGGTTCTGGTTAGGCTTCGATGAGTGGAGGTGCAATAGTTCAAGTGGCCTCTCATTCATGTCTCGTTTTGGGTGTGGAGGTGGAACGGTGCGAGTGGCTGCCTTTATTGGACGAGTCTCATCAGATTATTGAACGTAAACTCATAAAACACCCAAGCAAATGATTCAAAAGCAAACCCTTTAAAGAAGGAATCAATCTCATTTTCTAATAAAAGGTTTAACTTTACTTAACCACGTCTCTTTAGTCCTTCCTTTCTTTGCTTATAAAACCCTATAGACCACAGATTCTTTTTTTGGTTGTCAAGCTCTGTTCCCTCAGCAAAAAATATCAACAGCATCAAGAAGAGGAAGAAGTGGGTGTTTTTGAAGAAAAATGTGTAATCCAATCATACCTTTGGTTAGCCATGGGGTCTTCGAGCGAAGATGGTTTGTTTTCCAAGCAGTAGAGACCATGACTGAACATGCAAGGTTAGAGACAGCTGCTGTTGCTGGTGGTGGTGGTGGTGCTGCTGCTGCTGCTGGAGGTGGCTCGATAAAGAGCTGTATTTGTTCCCCGACAAGACACGCAGGATCATTCAGGTGCAGATATCACCATGGTGATTATGAATGGGGTCGTAGAATAACAAAGAAGTGAGTACACTTGTAAGTTTGTAATTAAAGTTCAAAGGCTTAATGCAAATGTATAAACTACATAACAAAAATGGGTTTTAATCCATTTTATGTATCTTCCTTCTACAATTTCTTGAATTGCCTCCTCCATCAAGAAAATTTTTTCAAAATCAGTCCGTTTTAAGCCTGCTAGCGCTGCGAACCACAACGCACAACGAGAAAGAAGCAGGACAGAAAGGTAGGACTGGCAATTTCAAACTCTACCCATTTAGAATTAGAAGACGCTAAACGAAACTAATTGGACTCAAATTAGTTCAAAACTGGGTTGAGCCATAAACGGATCTATCCCACGCTTAAAATTTTATCATAATTATACATATATTAATCTGATTAACCTGCCTAATTTGATTATGACCTATTTAATATAATATTATAAATTACTATATTACGTAATTATTATATGATACGGTACTATTGAATGCAGCAGAACACAAATGATCAGCCCCTACGAAAGTTTCAAAGTTATAAATGGCATATATTCCAAACTCACGACCTCTTTTCTTTCTCTTATTTTTATTTATTTTTTAAAATTAAACTATCGCCCATTGCGATGGGTACCAAAGAACACTGCCGCTCAATTTTGCATTCATAACAAAAGATAGGCATCTAGCAAAGGGTTTTACCTAAAGAAGAATGTTCCTGCAGAGAACAGAAAAGCTTATCACATCTTAATAATGGATGCATCTATCAGATCCCATACTCTAGAAGATGCACATATTGTATACTTTTGCTTTTTACACCAACTCGGACTTGGAGAATAAGTAAACTAGAATTTTCAAGTTATTAATTAAAGGAAATGGAGATTATTTCCTACAACAACCAATAGTCATTCTCTGCCAAAAAGCAACAGAACAAATTTCTTTTTCGAAAGCAACAACCGCCTACAAGTACAGTCTATTAGAACATAATTGCTGACATGCAGTCACTATCTTTTCAACTTCTCATTTGATTAAGCCACATGTCAGTTTGAAGAAGGTTCATAGTTATTCTCTATGTTCATGATCACGGATGATTTATCCACCTTCCACAATACCAATTGCCAACTGCCAGAAGCACATCTATGTGGATGTTTTAAGCGTATCAGATCATTCTGTTCTAATTCATTCTATATACCCATCTCCCAGAAGAAATCATTTTTGCGATAGTAAATGCAGAATTACGTGAATTAGCGTAATCTTTGGTAATAAATAGCCTACAGAATAATCTGTTAAACAGTTATCTGCTGGATCAATTTGATTCTAAGAGAAGTATTCATGGGCCCAACAAGTATATACAGAAGCAACAACCTTATGAATGGAAAAATTCTAATAAATTTCATTTAAGTTGGGTGTAAAATGTAAATACATAGATAGCTTTGTTCCTTGGCCAAATGAATCTTTTGCACTAAATCGAATCAGAAGCCACAAAGAACTCGCCCAAGCTACAAATGGCAATCAATTTCTGAATAGAACTAGCAACTCAAAGGGCTACTGGAAACATAAGAATATTTACCTCCAGCACCCAGTTCTATGTACTTCCGCTTCAAGACACTCTGCCACAGACCAAGGTCCCTCATATCACTGGAAAATTTAGATACCGGTTCGTGTATTAGAAAAGCAAAATAGACAGTTAGTATGATCAATTAATATAGATAAAAGAAAAACTATAGCCCTAGATTATCTGAGAGCATAGATCAACCAGTACATGGAATGAAAACAGGAATGTAAGACGCTCCTTAGTAGAAATGCAGTAAGATGGAAGTAGCTAACTGGGAATAAAATATGAATGTCCAAATTCCAAAATATGAAATCATTTCAGGTCGCATGTGTAAGAAATATAAGCAGAATACCATATATTGGAATAAAATAACGACGGCCACGGAATTTAATACCTTATAAACACTTCTTGTCAGCTGGAATGTAATAGCTAAGACTGCCATAATAAAAGAGAAAGAAGTCAAAATAACGAAAAGCAACAGGGTCGCCGTTTGTAATGAGTGATATGCATGCAACATATAAAGCAGTTGCATGAATCCTTCAAAATAGTAATATTGTTCATCATAAAGAATAACAGTTCCTCACCTCAGGGTAACAATCTTGACGGGCAACTGTTTGGTTATTAGTATTCACATAGACCTCACACGATACTCTTGCCTGAAACATTGTGAAGGACATAAGTTTGATTATATATCATCATGAATAAAATAAGCAAAATAGCAGCGAGACATGAAAATGGTAAAAGGAGCTGAAACGTGCAAGGTTAATGCTCATAACTATTAAAGTTGCAAGGATCACTAATGCTTGAAGGTACCCTAAAGCACAGGCAAAAGACATAAGCTGGCATGCCTGTGAGAGACGAGGCGCAAAAGATAGCCCAATTATGTGAAACAGTACCTTAGAGGCTACTGTACTGATCTCAGGCATTTTTCCTTAAGCTTTTCTTCTTTTTTTTCCCTCTTCTATTTGTTCTTTCTAATAAAATTGATATACATCTAGCATGTGTGAGAATAAAGGCACAGTTGCTGCCCCATATTGTTCAAAATTGGATGACCCCTAAAATTTCCATACGCACTGAATCGTTTTTCCCAAATATAAATCAAATTCCCTAATTCACACATTCGCCATATCCAATTAAATCAACCACATCACGCACCCAGCACAAATTTAAGACAAAGAAGCAAGAAGACGAAACAAATGACCTTGATAGGAATTTTGAAAAACAAGAGTCCAAGCTCTCCTTCGATCATGGTATCAGTGTCAAAGGGGATAACGCCCCTAGCCAAATCCTCAATCAAGTAAAACACATCATGAATAATCTGTAGCCCATTTAAATCAAGCGTGGCATTAACGTACGACGATCCTCTCGCTCTAAGTTTCCCGCCTTGAGACCTTACAAGCCCCAGCTCTCTCCCTCTATACCCAACCGAAACGTCAAGAGAGTCATAGTCTAAAGAAAAGAAGTCTCTGTTTCTCACCCTCATGAGCAGGGACAGAGATATGTCGAGAGTGAGTTTCGGGGATGAGTTGACTCGTATGTGGTTGAGTCGAATTCGGTCTACTTGGAGGGCGGGATCGGAAGGGTAGAGAAAGAAGACAACAGCAGACAGAAGGAGGATGACCGAAGTAAAGAGGAGGCAGCGGCGTAGGAAGATGAGGGACGGATTCGGAGGTGGTTGGTAGTAGGGCAAAACGATGACGTTGTGCGGAATAGGGTGGGAAGGTAAAGAAGTATACGGAGCATTGGAGAATTTTGAGGTCATTTTGTTTTGTGAAATTTGTGAATTTTCGTGCTGCCTCGGTGGCCGGCGCAATAAGAATTGCCAAACACTCCTTTGCGACTTTGCGTACGTTTCTAACGTATTGAGAACGTAGCAATAGCCAACCAACATCTAAGCGGATTTTTTAATAATTTTTAAAAACAAAGGATTTGGAGAATTCATATGGGCCGTTGGATTGTACGTTGAAAATGCTGCTAATTACCAACTACAAATGGATCCAATAACATAAAGAACATGATATAATTTTTATAAGTGAATAAGTTTACAAATGATAGATGTAATTTTAGCCACAATTAATCAAACAAATGAAAATTTCTTAATATTTACTTTAATTTTATACATATCCCAAAAAAAGTTAATTACATAAAATAATTGGAAGATGGATATAATTCAAATTTTGATAAAAATAAATAAGAGATGGAAATCACTTAATAAAATTATTCAAATTTGAATTTTAAATATGGAATTCATTCCTTTTTATCATAAGAATCCATGTTAAGATGTGCAATAACAAAAAGAGTGCATCGGGTGACATTAATCACATCAGCAACAGCAAGCTGAAACGAGAAAAAGAGTGAATGGGAAAACAAATTTCCTTTCTGGACAAAAGAAGAAACAGGATATATCTTTGTCTTTGTATAAGAAATTTACCACATTCCAATTGAAAAAACAATTATTTTCGGATCAGGTTCAGGTACCCAATCAAATTTTTTATTGGTGGCAAGATGATACGGTGACGGTGCTTCTGTCTTGCACTCATAAAACAAACAATGACGCGTGAACCCGAAGCCAATCGGTTGCTTCTCCTAGAAATGACAAAAATCGTATGATCTTGATCCAATACAGTTCAGACCCAGATAAAATGACAACACAAACATTTTTTATTTGAAAAAAAAAAAGGGAAATAGACTTAACCATTAAGTAGATAATGTCAAAATCAATTAAAAATATTTATAAATTGACAAATGACAAGCGAAATTGTGCTTTTCATATTGTCACAGTCAACAGTCACTGTCTTTTCGGCTACTAATTCAAATTTGTAAGTATCCATCTTGTCCAATATTAACCTAAAATTAGTAATATAATTCATTATAAACCTATTCTAGGCCACTCAAAGCATATCTCAACCATCGCGCTGTGGACAAAACTATTAGAGATAAAACATATAACTTGGACCCAGTTTGTGGATAATGATCCACTAATCAAACCAATTGTTGATTAACCCATGATATTTAATGCAGATAAATTATATTTTCCAATTATTTTTTTATATTTGAAAATTAAAAAATACTACTATAGAACTAACTTTTTATCATCAACAACAAAACCCAATTTTAACGATAATTTTCAAATTTCAAATTGACAAAAAAGATTGAAGAAAAAGAGAAAGAGTGAGAGTGGATGTTAGGCAACGGCTAATTAAGATAGAAACAATCTTACTGCAAATCACAAAATAATCCTTAACACAAAATATGTATATACTCCGTTATTTTTCTACAGAGTTTGATGGAGGTACAGAGGAAGGATTTGATGCGGTTGCTGCATATATATTTATAATAACACCGACTACTTAATTAACTAAGTAGACTCAACTGACTTAGGAGACAGAGTATTTACGGCGTTATTTGTTGGCATAGACTTTGATCGTTTCATCGAAGCCGCCGCTGACCTCGACCGATGAAATCTACACCTAAACGATCCTTCATGCGTCGTCGGCGAACACAGGCATTGGCCTTTTGGCGAACTCAATATGGCGGAGCCACCTTCGGTTCCGTTGCCGCCTTTCGGAGAGGAGGTAGAAACCGCGATGCTGCCATGGGACGCCATAAAGAAACTAATTAAGAAGAGCAAACTGAAATAATAGTTGGTCTGTGGCGATTTTATATGGTTTGAGAATTATATGATTCTCAAAAATAGTGTAAGGTTAGAATTGGTAATCCAATCAAGTGGTGCGCTATGATTCTAGCTTTTTTGTCTTTTTTATAACCAAACAAACAAACAATGTATCTATTTCCTGCAGTGCATGAAATCCAAAACGGATATTTGTTAGGTATTTCTACACAATTCGGTTGGACTCCATAAAAACCCAGATCAACATTCATAATAATATATATATAAATATATATATATATATATATATATTATATATATCAATTATAGTTTTATTATCAAAAAGCTCACGTAAATATAATTTAATTAAAAAATTGAATAAATTTATATTTAAATTTATGAATATTTGGTTCGGTTCAACTCTCTCTCTCTCTCTCTCTCTCTATATATTATAATTATATATATATTCCTAATTCAATTAATTGTTTTAGAATTGTTCCATCTTGTCCCTTGAAATTCGTAATAGGATTTCGATGATTTGAGCCTTCAAGAATTTCCTATTTTAAGTTTTATTAATGGTTTTTTGGTGTCAATTAATTTTCAAAAAGAAAATTATAAGAAATGCATAAAACATTGATAAAGCATAAACATCCAACTAGGGTATATTCAATTATTGGATATATAGACTTTATTTATATATATATATATATATATATATTCCAATTCAATTATTGTTTAGATTGTCCAATCTTGTCCCCTGAAATTCGTAATAGGATTTCGATGATTGAGCTTCAGAATTTCCTATTTAAGTTTATTAATGGTTTATTTGGTGTCAATAAATTTCAAAAAGAAAATTATAAGAAATGCATAAAACATTGAATAAAGAATAAAACATAAACTAGGGTATATTCAATTATTGGATATATAGACTTTATTTAAAGGTTGATGTTGAGAGTGATGAGAACCGGAGGAACTGTATGGAATATGAAATGACGAAAGTGGGGAAGAAAAGGGAGGAAGGCCCATGGAGGTGAGAGTGGGTGCCTGGAGGGGGATGAGGTTTTTCATGTGGGAAGTATATGTGGCTGTTTGTATTTTGCACACGTATGAGATTCTCTCTATGTACTAAGATGACTAGAAAAATATTCTCACATGTCGTCTCATCGTTTACCTCTACTTCCCTCTCCACAATCTTCCACGTGTATTAGGCGGTTTTATTTTTTTATTCTGCATCATCTCTCATGAACTACTACTATTCTTTATATAAATAAATTCACCGTCAATCAATCCTGAAAATTTATATAGCAATCTAATTTTTATTTTCAACCTCAAATACTTTAATCAATCCTGAAATGTTTTTCTCCGGTGGGGCTACATGGAGCGGCTGTTGAGAGTCGATATGAAATATCTCCGTCCGGCCTTGAAACACGCACTTATCCATTTGGACCGTTTTACGATGGATAATTTTCAATATTTTGTTGCTGAATTGCTAAATCTGAATGTATTTTTCAAATTCAATTTCACTTTCTATCTAATCTTGCCATGGAAACACAAAAGTCTAATGCTTCAAACAAGGAAGCTATTTTCTTCAACAGCTTAAATAAAATATTATTAATCCGAATTAGTTATCTTATGTTGTGATTGATTCTACTGGGAACACAAAATCAGTCAGTTAATATTGAAGATGATCAGCAAGCAAGAGAAGAAAGTTTCGTTTTGAGAGGGAAGGAAACGTTTCCCTCTCTTTGATCTATTGTAGACAAAGTTTTTCCCACATGTGAGAGGGAAAGGTTTCATCTGCGGCAAAATTTTGCAAGTGGCGGAGTCAGATAGTTAACAAGTCCCGCTCGTGGAATGACATGGCACATTGATGTGGCATGTGCCGACGTGTAAAACTTACGGCAGAAATAGAAAAGTCAAAAGCACAAACAGCTTAATCCTAAAACTAAACTTAAAAAAAAAAAAGCATCCAAACTATCAGTCAACAAACAAACTACTAGTCAATTTGCAGAATCCTATTTACCGGTCATATTCTGCTTGCTCCACATTGCCGACCCACAATCCAATCTCAATTCATCTCAAGTCCGAGTGGAAACAGCGATTGCAGCTTTCTTACTAGTATTTCTTTTTGTTCCCACTACCCTCCATCTCCGACACGCCGACTCTTGGCCTTGGTTTCGGTTTCGTTTTCAACCATATTTCAAAAAACGCTCTCTCTTTGTCTCTCTGTGTGAATTTTTGATCCATTGGCAATGGCGAGAGCAAGCAACAAGAACATACAAGCCAAGCTGGTGGGTATGTCTTTCCCTTTTCTAATTATTTATTTTATCCAAAAACGAAGAAAGAAATTATATGTTTGATTTTGTTTTATCGGGTTATGGCGTAACAAGTTCGTATTGTTCATGGGTTTGATCCGATCTTATCCCAGTAAAAGTTAAACTGGTTTTTCCCCTCTTTTCCTTTCAATTGAAACATGGATAATCGTTGTTTCAGCAAGTTAAAGACAAAATTTCTCCCTTTTTAAGTTAGTATCTTGTATGAAGCGTTTTAATATGTTCATATTATATATGGCTGGTGAAGAAATAGTATCTGATCTTTAGATATTGTTAAGCTTTTATCAGGTACTTCTTGGGGACATGGGGACTGGAAAGACAAGTTTGGTATTGAGATTTGTCAAAGGCCAATTTTTTGATTTCCAGGTTCAATTTCGATATGATTCATTGTTTTTCTCTAATGCATCGTATTCAATGTTTATGATCTCTAACATTAGTATCATGTTTAGGAATCAACAATTGGAGCAGCCTTTTTCACTCAGGTTCTATCATTAAACGAGGCCACCATAAAATTTGATATATGGGACACAGCAGGGCAGGAAAGATACCATAGTTTGGCACCCATGTACTATCGCGGTGCAGCTGCAGCTGTGGTGGTGTATGATATCACAAGCACGGTAGCTTTTCTTCAGCTTCTATTATTTTTCTCTGTCTCTTCTTCTTTACTTCATTTGTTATTTATTGCTAACAGTTGCTTAAACCTAATGGAATTAGACATTGTAGAATGGGCTCATAAATATAATTGGCTTATTTCAATGGACATAACTCATAAGCCATAACTACAATGACTTTGTGCAAGTTCTTTAGTTACTCGCATATCAACTTTTATGAAGCTTTTTCACCTTTCCCCTTAGTGAAAGGGAAAGGTGAAGTTTAGATCTTCTTTATGGATATACGACTCTGTCAATTATTAAACACAATGTTTATGGTTGGGACATTGTGAGCTCAGACTTTGATAAAGTGACATAAACATTATGTGAGTGTACATTATAATATTATGGGCATTCTATGTTGCTACTTGCTAGATATAAATAATGCAAGTATGTAGCGCAAGATGTGATTGTCGTCTCCTCTGAATTCTCTTCCTAAACGGCTTGTTACATGGTTTAGTTGTCTCTTTCATTATGCACAGATAAACCATTTATGAATGTTAAATGCACTTGTTTTTCCTTGGGTACTCATAAACGATCATTTCAATTGGAATTCCCCTTATTAGCAAAGCAAACTTATTTGAATTGGGAACTCAACTGACTAGTTTAAAATATGTTTTCTTTTTTGTGTTTTAGGAGTCATTTCAACGAGCCAAAAAGTGGGTTCTAGAGTTGCAAAGGCAAGGTAACTGAGTGGAATTGATTTCTCATTAACTTGAGAAATTAGCATATCTCATTCGAGATCAGTTATTGTGATTTAATATTTTCTTTTTCTGTTTTTCTAGTTTTGCTTTCTTTTTCTTTTATCTTTCTATTGAAGATGTTAGGCTTCTTAACATGTGCCATATGATATACAGTTCTTCTGATAATGAACTTTGGAACATTTTTGTAGTTTTCACAAAGTCAAATACCATTTGATAGAGTTTCAACTTTCAAAAAATTACTTTAACTGAATTCTGAGTAACTTTTCAATTTAAATGTTTGTATTTATAAGAACTGTTTATATGAGCATCAAATTTAACTTGATATATTATCAAGAACTTATTTCATCTGGATACTTGTTGACCATAGAACAAATAATTCAACTATTGATGTGAATTTTGGTGATAAATGTTATATGTTGTGATAGGAAATCCAAATTTGATAATGTTCTTGGCGGCCAACAAAGCTGACTTGGAAGAGAAGAGAAAAGTTTCGAGCGAGGTATTTGACAGTCTTATTTTCTTCTACCCTTGTTTTTATGAATTTGGCTGAAGAAAATAATTGATTTTAACATCCATCATTTGCAAATGCATGCACAAAGAGGATTTAGTTATACCTTTATGCAATTATGTAAAACACTCTACAAAATGCAGGAAGGTGAGCAATATGCTAAAGAAAATGGCTTGGTTTTCCTTGAAACATCTGCAAAAACTGCACAGAATGTGAACGAGCTCTTTTATGAAATAGGTAATTGTACCACTCATTTACTTATTTAGATAAAAGGTTATGATTCTGTTGGAACATTTTGCAATTTGCAAGGACAGTCTGTTTGTCTCCATATCTAGTGTAAGTCAGTGGAGCCATTTACATAGGCTTGCTTGGAATCTAAAATTGGATCCAATGTTGATGATTGGTCTTACAATGTACTTGCTAGTTGCTAGTTTGAAAAATAGTAACTAGTACCAAAGAAGGACTGTCCTTAAAAAAAATGGAAATTACACGTTAAGTAATTGAGTATGGGTCCATAGTAAGTCCAAAATTGCACGGCTGAGTTTTACACTTCTACTGGCTGCTGCATTTCTAATAACGAAGTTCTTCTTGCAGTGGCCGTTATCTCCAAATATCATATATAATAGCTATTGAGCTTATACATGTTCACCAGTAACATATTTTTAATACTAATAGAAAATTCTTGCAGCTAAAAAATTGGTAAAAGCTGCCCCTTCGCGTCCAACTGGAATGAAATTGCATAGCAGACAGCAGGAAAGTGGAAGAAGAATGTTTTGTTGCTCCTAAAAAGTGGTGATTCCCATATTACTCCGTATGTAAATTTCCAAATGCTCATTGACTTCATTATGTTTTATGCGTCAATGAATTGTTAATGATGTAATCTTTTTCTACAATTCTACTTATCAATACAGTTTTCTTCAAATGTAAATTTGTTTGAAATCAACACCAAATTTTCACAGGGTTTCCTCAACTATTTGTGATGACAATATGGTGATAATTGATGATGGGTCATCAGAGTTGAAGATTAGTCTGCTCTCTGCAGAAAGTGATTCCTTGTAAAAATTCTATTGTATGAATAGAACTTTAAAGAAATAACTGAAGTTGCTTATAAAGTTATGGTGCATGTGCAATTACCAAGCTACTTGCTTATTGCTTTGCTTTGAGAGGGACGTTGCTAAAAGACTAGTGTCTTAGCTCTGTGCATAACTAATCTTCTTCCTATACTAAAAAGTAGTATATGAAATCACTACTGACTCAAATAATGCCATCACCGTAAGAAAACAAAAAAACCAAAGTACAAAATGATTAATGAAGCTGAAGAAGCCTTATGCTGTACAGTGTTACAGAGCATGGTCCCCTGGGTCAAAGATACCTGGTCCATTCTTAATAATAATATTGAAGAAATAAAGAAAACCCATTAAATTTTATGAAGAGAAGATTGAAGACTGAAGAGTGCTCAAAGTCACTAAAGCACTTCAGAAACAAGTTAATAAATTGCGACAGTGCAGAAACTGAAGCTTCTTGCCTCATCAAGCTCATGGAAAATAACAACTAAAGTGGACAAATGCCTCGCAGTTGACAGTTTGTTTTTTAGGTTTTAATGTTATTGAAATCACAAATCGAGGTCCCTAAAAAACAGAGATAGTGTTTTTTATTAGTTTTAATTTTCAATTTCCCTTTCTTTTTATTTTAACCTTCTAGTCCTCATCTTCGCAACACAGTTAACAATCACATGCAACTTCACAATTCCTAAACAAAACAAAATACAAAATAAAGAAAACATCAAAGAGAGAAGTGAAAACTACTTTCCTAAAACAACCATACAATGCAACTGAATCAGAACATAAAGAAAAAGAACAGTTCTCTGCAAAGTAATACAAGAGAGAGAAAAAGATTAGTAATTTTTTGACTTGGCACAGGCGTGGCCATGGGTGGGCGAGCCATGACCACGTCTACACCAAGCCTGACAAACAAGCTTACAGTGAGTTTAGAAGAAAATCCTCGACTCTAATTTTCCTGCCTACAAAGGGTTCATCAAAAAGTTAATTACCATGAAGGAGATGTGCATGGAGACCCTGAAGATGATGAAGAAAGACCATTGTTACTCAAAGAGTCGCTGCCTGAAGTGCCTAAAGACCTTGCATCTCTTAACGAAACTGAACATGCTTCTTTTGGGAGCTTCTTCATTGGAGTTAATGGAGGAGTAATTGGGACTGAGTGTGGACTAGATGGAGAAGGTTTTCCTATTTCCTCATCATCACCATCTGTTTCCAGTCGCGATGGTGATGAATCAGGAGTTTCAAATGGAGTCTCCACTCTGCTTGCCCTGTTCGCATCATTATCATAGATAGGATTGGATATATAAACAAAATGCTCCCCACAACCAACACAAGCTTGATGAGGTGAAGTTACTGTGGAAGTAGATGGAGGTGAAGTGTTTACAAGACCAATTTTTTTGGGGCTTGTAGTATTAGGTTCCTGGTTCTTTGTTTCAGTTACCTTGTTTTCCTTGCAAGAAATTGCGGGGAAGAAGAGGCTTCTTGGAGCTTGAAGAACTCCCGGGGCATAATATGTAGTAGGAGAAGAAGCTGGTTGTTTTTGGGGTTGTAAGAAAGTATTGGCAGGTGGGGAAGTGGTTATAGAGGCGGTATTGGCGGCGGCAGTAGCATTGGTGGAGGAGATTCTTAGCTGGCGCCGTCGAAGTAAAAGAGTACAATACAGCTCAGCTAGTAGAACCAGAACCAGGCCGAGTACTACGGCAAGACTGACCACCATCACCAGTGTAGCTCCCATTATAACTTTGGATGCACCCTTCATTTTCTCTCTCTTTCTGCCTCTGGAGACCAGACTAGACTGGAATGTGACGCAGTAAAAAGGAGGGAGTGAAGTGAAAAGTAGGGGTAACAAGTGTTTTTTGGCGGGAAAACATTACTTTACTCTTGACAAGGATAGGAGATGGAAACAGAAAAACAGAATCTTTGGCACCGTATTGGGCTTTGGTCATGGGAAATGTAAAGGCTTTTTTGTTCTGACCTAGTACAGTATCTGACATTCAAGGTTATTTATGTCATTCGCACATTATCTGTAGAAATATAATGTGAGAATAACAGCAGAACCAGTTAGGTCGAGGCACAATACATTGTTGTTGACATGTCTGCTTTTCCTCTCCAGCTAGAAGAAAATTAAAGAAATTTCTAAACCAACGAAGAGATGAAGTGTCACAAAGAAAATTAAGAAATGGGAAATTTGATGGCAATTATACTATAGAAAAGGGAGCACAATCTACGGGTAATCTTCATCTAAATTTGTAATCATATATTAATTAATAGAGATGCAGTGTTTTTATCCTTCGAAGTTACATGCACGTTACAATTTTTACAGCCTAGAGGTCTGGAAATTGAATTGATATTAGAAGTACGAACCATAAATGCCAGGGTCCATTGATTGTATAAATGTGTAATACCAACGACTATCTAACACGCAGGCCATGTTCCAATTACATTCTACTGTAAGTATTTCAGCCATTGGTGATAGGAGCATGACCCATATTTCTTCACCCAAACACAGTATGGGAGCCAATTAGGGAAACAAATGTAAGAAGATCCACTGGATTCAATCAAAGATGCTGATTCTGACTGCTAAATAATTCACCTCCCCCTCAGGGCGGCAAATCGAGCAGCCAAATCATCATAATCAGGCAACTTGGGATGCACATGCTTGGCTGGGCTTGACCTATCTGGCTGAAAAGAAGCAGCACGAGCAAACACTTTTGCCTCTGAAGGAGCTGTTTGTTCGCGGAGGGAAATTGATCGGGTTGGTGGAACCACTTCTGCAATTTCACCAGCACTGATATGCTGTGGGGATTTATCCTCAAAGTCTTGGCGATGTGAATGACGACTTCTTGACTTTCTTCTGACCTTTCCAGGTTCATAGGTTGAGGGTTTCTGGCTGTAATGTATCAACAATTTGTCTATTATTCTTTCCTCTTCATCATTCCTATAGTGCTCATCATCAAACAAGACTTGCAGTCCCCGTCTTGAGTCATCTCTTCTCCTGCTCCTTGATCTCCTCTTCACAACTCCTGCATCTTCTAAATTGCCAACATCATCATGGCTAATGTGTGCTTTTGAGTGCCGCCTTCTTGAGGATCTTGGTTTTGGAATCGTGTTACTAATACCATCATCTTGATGCTTACTATCATTCTTGTGCCCATTTCTATTTGCGCTAGTTGATCCAAAACCCTCCCTCTCATGGTCAGGATAATATGATTCTTGTAGGATTTTCTCTGACCTGTCGGCAGCATTGGCTCTCTTGTCCCTTGAAGGTTCCTTGGGGACGATATTGCCATCAGAACCAGCAGCGGAAGATCCTAAACTGCCTCCAGGTTTTCCATCCTTCAATTTAGCATTAGGTTTAGTGTAAGGAGGAGGAATAACATTATTAGAGCAAGGCTTCAACTTATGTGCTTCATCCTGAGCATCTTCCGCTGAATTTGCAGCATTGCATTGGCCAACACTATCAGCCACTCTGCCTCTACCATCGCCGTTTGACCATGAACCTGCATAACTTGGAAGAATATCTGGCTTTCCTTGAGTTAAAATGTCCTCGTTGTCTCTTTTAGGTACAGCATTCTCTCTACCATCATGCAGTTTGGATCTAGCATCAAAATTTTCCATTTTTTTCCTCTGAGATGAACTGCCTAATCTAACTGTTTTCAGGGGAGTATCCTCTTTCCATGGTTCATACTTCTCCATAGCAACTTCTTGCCTTCCTTGGAACGAACAATCATGGGTGTCCCTTTTCAGCATAGGTTCTTCCCTGACATTGACCAGCTTGTATCCATTGACAGGGACTTCATATCTGGATTGAGGATTGAGGTCATTCCTGTTTGAGACATTACCCTTCTTTTCACTCTGAAATATGTAATCATTATTATAATGCTCAACCCTTCCTTCGGGTGAAACATCATATTTAACTCTTTGTTCAGTGGCCTTGCCATTCATTGACTTGTACTTATCATCATTTATGTGTGGAGAGCCATAAGTTTTAGGTTGCTCCTGCAAGATAATCACATTTAACCCAAGATACAATAAACGGGAAGAAAGTAAAGCTCTCCTTTTTTGTAAAATTGTAGGAGACAGAAATCAAAACAGCCAGATAGTTGACCTAAATAATATCCAGGATCAGGTTATAACCGAAATTCTCTGACCATCCAGAGCAAATCGCTGGGTAAAATAGAAAGAAATAGAGGGACAAACCTGTGCAGATGCAGAGGGTGTAGACACCCTTTGTTCACAAGCCCTAGAGTCCCACTTTATACAGAATTCTGATGCTATATCACGCATTAGCTGAACTTTCTTCTCTGTTGTAGACGGCTTTGAAGATAATTTCTCAATGAACTATTCACAAAAATTTTAGGTAGTTAGTTGTATAGAAGCAATTACAGTCATAATTATCCACACAGCGAATTTATAGTTACCTCTTGATTCACAAACAGTTCCAGGGAGTTCATATATCTCTCATAAAATGTCTCCCTGAGATCTCGCAACTCTGGCAAATCAGAAAATCTTGCAGCTGCAAACATCAGGGATGCCACAGCCTCCCTACAGTCCTCAGGACAGTGCCTGTAGAAGTGACAGTCAATCAATAGAAATATAAATCAAACTTGTTTTGTCACAATCAGTTTATCCTAATAACATTAGGACCAATCAAGCCAGAGAAATGCAGAATTGTATCATGCTAAATCAGTCAAAAGCCATAAAATAAACGAGTAGCCTATCAAGGGCTACACCTGGCAATCAAAAGCATAATTTGATAGTGTATCTTCAGAACAGCCTATTACGGGTGCTCCACTCTGATAATACCGAATGCAAAAGATTTGAATATGACTTTCCAGCCTAAAAAGGTGGGTTGCCAATAATTAAATACTGGCCACAAGGTGGGTTGCCTATTAAGTAAATGTAGCATTATCTCAAAATTTTTCTCATATGATATTAATAGGTTTGCTAGTACAGGCCATACATAATATGCATTGGCAATAGCAGCATACCAATTGCTTGTGCCTTGCCATCATTGTAAACAAATATATACAGTCACTGAAGAATGGCACAAAACTGAACTGGTTGGTTCTACTTTAACAATGTCATATAATGTTAAATTGAATAGATAAACACCAATCATACCTCATCTTTTGCATGACTGAAAGATGCTTCAACACAAAATCGCATGACTTCTCAACAAAGTCGTAGCAAGAAGATAGCGTCAGTTCAGCTAGAAGTCCTTCAGTCTGTTCCATCACACAGCGGAGAATGAGAACATTTCTTCAACAGCTTAAATTGATGTTAAATGATTGAAGATGATACAGAAAAACATGTTTGTACACAATAAACACCGTCTGTACAAACTTAGAGCAATCTATAGGGAAAAAATGAACAAACACAAGGTACATTGATGTGAAAACTCAAGCATACACACTTACAGCAAGCCTCCACCATCAAGGACGGAACTGAGAGAACAGTTCAAGTTCATATAATTTGAGATAGGTTTGCCTTTACGAGTACTAGACGAAGGAAAAGAGGATAAATTCAAAAAAATAAATACAGAATTGCAAACTCCAAATCATTTGTATTCTTAGCATCTCATCTACAAACAAATTAATAGAATGTAAGCTAAAGCCAATCAGATTAAAGATCTGGTCAAACAATGAAAACACCTCAATGTGATTGCACCAAAAAAGTACAGAAAAAAACTATTACCCTGCCATAAGCGTTAATATCCAGACCATTAGCGAGCAGATCAGCCATGTCTTTCTTCAAAAACTTCAAAGTAGCATTCCTCTTTCTCCGTATGACGTCGATCCGACTCTTTGTCATTTTAATCAGTGATTTACTACACCAAAATCCAAAAAGAACAAACACATCTCTGGATCAAATTTCAGAAAATAAAAAGACTAGAAAACACAACATATGAAATACGTAAATATTCATACCATTTGGAGGCAAAACCTCGACCTAGAATTCCCTCCAGCATCTTCAAATTTCTTCTTTCTTTCTCCGACTCAAATAACGATTCGGTTCAAAAAGCAAAATACGAAACTCGAAAATGTAGACTTGAAAGCGAGCTAATAAAATGCCAAAGCCTCCATTAACAAACTCTGATTGAGCCAGAGAGAGAGAGTAAAAACAGAGCTTTTTAAGGGCATCAAGTAGGAGAAAAAAAAAAGACTATCGTCTGCGCTTTTTGGACAATTTCTTTTTTTTTTTTTTTTCCAGCTGACTTAAGTGACCTAATTACGAAAATGGCCCCATTTTTCTATTTATAAACGGAGCTTCTATTCGGGTATTATTTTAACGTTACATTCCAGGGGTATTTTAGTGGCCTGGGAGATTCGAATCATGTGCACAGTAGGAGGCGGGATTGGATGAGCACGGGTGATCCTGGCCGTTTGATTTGGAGAGTGATTTTAGGGGTAGGGTCATGTAGTGGACGGTGGAAAATGATTATGGATAGAAAAGTGTGCTGAGCTGGACCATATTATCTGAGGTTGAAGAGGAAGCAGCGGCGGTTGTAACGGTAATTAATCGGGATGTTTTGTCCAGCGAATTTCAATTTGTAATTACAAATTTTTATTTTTCAGTAAGATTTGATTATATAATAAAACATTCCATAATTTGATTTTTCATACATATCATAGATTCTAATTTCCAATAATGGAAATTGAGAGTTAATAAAATTCCATTATTAGTTCATGTAGCACAATCATAATAAACAACATTTTGGTCCATATCTATTTATATTTTTATTAGAGATTATTGAGCATTGAAACGGTAAAATCCAAAGCTAAACTGCCCTAAATCTTAATAGATTTAGAAAGTTATAAATATTATTAATTGCGTGATGAAAATAGTACTTCTTAATTTAATAAATTGTTATGACCTAAATTACTTTACCTAAAAATGTTAGTAAAATTATTTAAAACATGTATAAAAAAATTAAAAAAACATTTTTGACACGTAATCTATATGCTACTTTTTTTTTCTCGATGAAACCCCACCGTCTCAACGTCCAATCTTAATTTTTCGATATATCCGTTTATAATGACTTGGTGGAGGGCATTTTTCTTTCTTATATTGAAACGAATCACTAATTTCTTTTCGACATGTCGACGTAAAGAGTGTGCATCTACACTAGTTTCGTAAGAATATAAAATTAAAAAAAAAAAAAAAAAAAAAAAAAACTATCCGTTTATAATGACTTGGTGGAGGGCAATTTTTCTTTTCTTATATTGAAAACGAATCACTAATTTTCTTTTTCGACATGTCGAACGTAAAGAGTGTTGCATTTCTACACTAGGTTTTCGTAAGAAATATTAAAATTTAAAAAAAAAAAAAAAAAAAAAAAAAAAAAAAAAAAAAAAAAACATAGATTTAGCTTTTTCTTCTTGTTGGCAATAAAACAGCGGTTATGGAGGATTACATGTTAAGAATGATTCCAATTCTGACAAGATTATTAACAAATATAATGTGTGTCTATTTTACTTCTAGACTCAAACATATGAAGGAAGAGGTAGACATGTGCATTGTGCATTTCCTTGTCAGCACCATCTGAGCCGTTTAAATGTAATTATCTAATGCTTATCCTGTGATTAAAGCAGTCAACGTTGAGATGATGATGGTATTACTATTTTCTCTTTAGGTAATGGAATTTTTAAGCAAGCAAGCACTTGTACACCACTAAATATAGATTCAGTGTATGGTCCAGTTCATACATCTTAATCTTATCTTACCAAATATAATAAATCATAAAAGATCTGGTAAATTTTAGTTTCAATTGTCGTTTTCATAGTTGATTGAGAAATCAAACTGAAGAGATCAACACCACCAACCCATTAACTAATATTTGGTACCAAGGACTTTGTTGGGTGCACTCTACATCAACCTTTGAATTCCCAATTTAACTATTTATTTTTTTACAGCGGACATTACTTGTTCCTTTTAGTATTATCTGGGAGGAGATTCGGACCGGTTTTATTGCCAAATCGTATATGTACCTACTAGTAAGCTATACATTCAAGTGCATAGATATTATTAATTGAGCGTGGAGAGACTTAGATACAAAAAAGAAGAAAAAAAATTAAGTATTTTATGTATTTATTTTTTAATTTAGCCTATATAAATTTCTGGATCTCTTCAATCAAAACAGTTAATGTTAGGTATGTAACACCTGTAGATGCAGCTAACCAACCTTCTTCAAGGCACAGCCAATTGATGCTTGTAGAGTGGGTTGATTACAATACATCCCACGTCCATTTGACCATATATTAGAGTCATTACACGTGAATTTGTCCTTTCTGTTATTTTTTCCTCTCATTTTATATTGATGATGTTTATGCTGTGTTTCAAATATGAAAAATTTTCGACCATTTAATTAATTACTGTATGTAAATATAAATGAAATAGCATATTAAATAAATATATATACAATCTGACAATAGGTTTACATTCGAATCATTTTCTAAAAAGAAAGTAATCTTCCCTCTTATTTTTAGCTGAAAAAGAATAAAATTAATTTATTATAATTAATAACAATAAGTTTAGTTTTCAAGTTGAACTTCAGTGGATCACAATAATTAATAAATATGTGATTTTGTGATGTTTATCTAACAGTCTCTCCAACTTAAATTGGACCCACAAAATTAAATGATTTTTCTTGTTAGCTTTCAGCCCTAGAGTTTTTCGGCCCACCCAAATAAACAGTCCAATCTTACGAATGGATCATGAATTTGCAGATCAACTCAGAGAGAACAGCTGATTGTAAGAGCAGTAAGTTGCTGTCCTTTCTTAAAAAAAAAAAAAAAAAAAAAGTTGCTGTCCTTTCTTAAAAAAAAAAAAAAAAAAAGGTTTAAAAATGATTTCTTAAAAAAAAAAAAAAAAAAAAAAGGGTTAAATGATTTCTAATTTTCTGCAAATACAACTCTAATGTGGAGGGCTAAGCTTCCATTCATGAAAAAAAAAAAAAGAAAAAAGAAGGAAATATTCATTAGTGCTACAATAAATTTAGGGAATTTTTTTCCTTTCTCCATTTTAATTCAAGGAATGAAGAAAACGACAATTTAAATTTCTAATTTCATAATCTTGACTTAATTGACTGAATACTTACTAATCTTGACCAACATTGTAATCGTACCTCTACCAGAAACATCTCAAAAAATTGATGAGGAAATGGAACATATAATTTTCATCGTCAAGCAAATCGTGTCGGACCAATCTTTCCAAATTGATATTCTGAGGCAGCAATTCACTGTAAAATAGTAACGTGGAGACAAAGGCAGCTGGCTCACTTGTTAGCGATGAAAATAGCCTCACTATTGACCGGAACAGCAGAAGCGTGAGAGACTGCTGTAAATGGAAAATTAAAAAACAAATAATACATACATTAATTAATTTGAAGAAATAAATGACTTTGGATATACTCACCATGGCTTTTGATGGAGGAGAATAGCAAGAAACATAGTGACAATGGAGTTTTGAATTTGAATAGAATGGAAGAGAGAAGAGGAGAAGATGTGTATGTATGTGAAGCATATTGGTGATTGAGTTCTTAGCTGCCAGTCTTCAACAGGAGTTCAGACCTAACTGTCCATTCACGTACTGCGAACTCACACACACATCTCCGAGCTAAACCATATATTAAATGTAAGATGTAGAATATCTATCTGACCTACTATAATTCCTTGATGGAGTTCTCAACCGTCCCAGCTTTGTGGTGAAATTATAATTTGTTTTAGCTTTGGAAGGGCGACTATTTTTCATTTCAGAAATTCACATAAATACTGAAAAATGAAATTTACCAACCATACATGTCATATATGACATTTCAAATTCCAACCAGAAAAGAAAAAAAAAAAAAAAAAAAAAAAAAAAAAAAAAAAAAAAAAAATCTACTCATGAAACTCTAGCCTTTAATAAGTCCAAAAGGAGGTTTGCAAGATCCTTTCAGCTCAAAGTGGGCAACAACAGCCATTACAAAAATTCTTCCTGGATGAGGATTATTGCATTTCATCCACTTCCTATTATCAGCACTTAAAGCTAGATGTAAACTAATCAAAAACTCGGTGGAGTTTACATAGAGAACCAAAAAGAAATTGAATATGATAGACACTACTGCTTCTCAGGCTTGTCTGGTTCTTCCTCCTTTTCAGGATCCTCCTCCTCCTCCTCTTTCTTTTTTTCTTCCTCTTCTTCTTCATCTTCTTCTGGAGGATCATATGGCAATGGGGGTGGTATAGGTGTTTTCATGGGGCTAAACTGAGGAAATATATCAGGTCTGCGCCCAGGCTTGGGCCTTTCCCACTCCTGCCATGTGAATCAATGCATCAACAGCTATAATACATCAAATAATGAGCATTTTAAACAATTGACAAATTACAATAATTCTCAAAAAAAAAAAAAAAGGCATAAATATGAAGTTTACAACATATAATCGTTACTCTGTTGTATTCATGACAAACAAACATAACCACCAACCATATGCTTTCTTGAGAAATAGTCTGAGCATTTTAAAGACCAGACAAAAAAGAAGGTATTTCATTTCTTTTTTTTTTTTTTTGCGTGTAGGAAATTATAGACATGAAAGTTATCAGATCTCAGAAGAGGAAAAACAGGCCCTTCTAAAAACAGGCAAAAGTCAACCACTGTTTATCAGAGTAATAAGCATATCTGTAGAAATTTGTTTTAGCCTTTCAACTTTCAAGGCTAAAAGTGCAAGAAAGCCTTTAAAACTGTTGACTTCATTGCTAATCAATACCTCCTAGAAGAGGAGTATCAAATGCATTTGCATGGCTGACTTGGGATGAACCATTTTAAATTTTTCTCACAAAATAGGTAATTGCACAATTCAAGAGGTTCCAAACTGTAAAATAGGTCATAACATAACACTTCAACCAATACTATAACCAGCAAGCAAATATATTCTATACAGCCAATAGTCACCACAGTTCCAGAAATCAGTTTGACAGACTCTCTAACTTTGGCTTGATGCCAAACACTATCAGTTGAGCCTTTGTTACCTGTGTAAATGATCCAGTAAACAGCTGAAGACCTAATTCAGTTAAGGCCGACGGGTTGAAGTTTTAGATAATTCCAGAACTAAACAACCTTATAAGCTCTATCAATCTACTGGAACAAATTCAACTAACAGAAAAAAATCAAATAGCTTGCCATTATATGAATTTGAGCAGACATATCAAGGTGCTTTTGATTTGTTCATATCAAACACCTAATACCCAACATTGTTAATACACAAGTCCAACTTGGACCTAATACTGAATTACTTCCGCTCAAACCTTACCAATAGCACCATCGTCCAAGTGCTTAGCAATTTCATACATTTTAAGAATTTAAAATCAGGCCAAATTCCTGAACCAAATAAGAAAGTTGTTCTTTACATCTCCCTTTTCCATTTACCAATCAGATTGTAGAATTAAACACTAATAGAGTACCATTAAGAAAAAGGAATGAAAAAAAAAAAAGGAAATGAACCAGCTCAATCTGAAGTCTGAACTATTTATAATCCCTAAAAATACAATAGGGTAATTTTTACTGCAATTTCAACAAAGAAAAATTTCCAAATCAGTAATTTAAAGAAATAAATCAAAGACGGAAGCAGGAGAGGGACACGTACGATAGGAAAATCAAGAGGATTGCGGCGAGTCAATTTTTCTTCATCTGGTGCCATACAAACCACTTGCTTTTGTCGCCTGCTCCGACTGGTATTGCTGCTAGTAGAAGAAATCATTCTTCCGGAACCAAAAATCGGCGTGGAGAAAACGAGAGAGCAACGGCAACCATGGCAGCTCGGTGAAGACGAAGAAGAAGAAGAAGCAACTCCGGCTGCCGATTTAGGAGGCACCACTAAGGGTTTCGAAGTCGAGCATAAAGAGAGGCAAATAGACGCCATAGCTTCAGCCTAATACAATATCTTCTTTCCTCCTTATTGTTGCTGTTCTTCGATCTTCTTCTTCGTCTCGCTAGCTCGCGAATGGTTTTAGAAAACAGAAACAAACACCGACCGCCTCTCTCTACGCGCTCCACAACCGCCTTTCTATCCGCATCTGGTTTTTCTGGTGGTTCGTGTGCACATGGATCTTTAACTGGGCCGGGCTCAGTTTGGCTGCGCAATGTTTGGTTTGAAAACCCACACAACCCGGTCCCATTTTTAATGTGTTTTATACGTCGTTTTGCATACGATCCATTTTCTATTACTACATAACGATATAACAATTTAAGACGCAAGAGCAAAACGAAATAACGTAAAGAAACATGTCATTCATCCGCAGCTGAAAACGACAGTTAGTAAAAAAAAAAAAAAAGGGTGCTCACCTGCCAGGGTATGAACATGTTTCTACGTTATTTCGTTTTTTTTGCTTCTATTTGCTTGCTCATGAATAGAAGTATAGTATCATCTTCATCGGATTCACAATGTATATCGGAGCAATGGTAGAAGAATCAGACTCTGACCAACGACGTAGTAGGCATAAAAGAATGGAGACACCGGGCATTAGCATGGCAGTCGAGCTGCCAAGAACGACAGAGAGTAGACGGACAAGCAAAACTCCGGCCTGCAGAAGACGATTTAGAGGAGCCAAACTCAAGGAGATACTCAGACAGCATGCAGACATAAAGAGAGAGCACGAAAATGACGGCACTTAGGTGTCAGGGCGTTGCTGCTGATGCGCATAGAAGTAGTATGCGTGTTCTCTCTCTCTGTTGGCGTGTGATTGTCTCTCTCTATATTCTATATTACCGATCTCGCTATAGTCTGCGAGTGGTTTTTGCTTAGCGTAGGACAGACAGGAACAAAGACAACGACCGAGAGATTCGCCTAAGCTCTACTCACCGAGGCAACCAATCACAAGGCGCGGAAAGAAAACACAGATCTCTGCCTCTATCAGTATCTCGCAAAGCTCCTGGGTTCTTCCTCTAGTCAGGTCCCTCGTTCGCGGATCAAACCCTGCCACATGGATTCTTAAACTGGGCCGTGAGGCTCCAAGATTTGGCTGCGCAAATGTTTGTTTTGAAAACCCCACACAACCCCGGTCCCATTTTTAATGTGTTTTATACGTCGTTTTTGCATACGATTCCATTTTCTATTACTACTAAAACGGATATTAACAATTTAAGGACCGCAGAGCCAAAACGAAATAAACGTAAAGAAACATGTCATTCATCCGCAGTGGAAAAACGGACAGTTTGTTTAAAAAAAAAAAAAAAAAGCGACGTCGTTCGCCGACAAGTTGGAGGTTGTTTTAGAGTTTTTTCCCCCTCCGGAAAAGAAAAGGCCAACGCATTATCCCCCCAAGATTCTAGTAAAAAAAAAAAAAAAGGGTCGTTCGCCGACAAAGGGGAGGTTGTTTTAGAGTTTTTTTCCCCCTCCGGAAAAGAAAAGGCCAACGCATTATCCAATTCCAACGGCGTCTTCATATTTTTCTGGTTTCTTAATTTTGGTCCAAGAAAGCAGCTGACACGTGGTCAATGTCTTCCACAAATATATTGAGGCTCAGTAGAGCGTATGCCTACCAGTCAAAGCAAGGCCTTTGCAGCCATAAATAATTAGATGTATTATAGTCAATTATTAATAGAAATATAGCACAAGGTAGACCAAAGCAACCAGCAATTTACCGACAATAATTTGCAGGCAAGTATCGGCCATAATTTCCACATCCGTACATTTTGTTGCTACTGGAAAGCATACCTCGACAGGTCATCAAGCCCCAAAATTCAATAAAATGAACGTAACAATGAAAGTAAACTTCCATAGGCAACTGTTGTGCAACTAAGCTTGCGTTTTTCTCTTTCCTATGCGTTTCCGCACTAGTGACAGTTTGGACCTTACTGGTCCGTTGCTTTCCTCCTCACTATCTTCGCTATCCAGCACTATTATTGATTCAGATAATTGTGATTCTTCACCACATTGTTTAGACTCCCCATCAGACTTTTGCATCTGAGGTTCGTCTTTAGGGATGACTTCTGGGCATGAAAGTAACTGGCCACTCTGCAATTGAGTCGGAGGACCCAGAGATAGTTTGCGACCAATTCCAACCTTCCTAAGCGTTTCGGGAGTGGAGAATGATAATTTATTAATCAGCATAACATTCTCCTTGTTATCCTTTTCCTGTTTCTCTGATGAACCTTTCAAGCCTAACGAAAGCTTCTTACTAATACTAACTGAATATTCCTCCTCACATTTTTTACCTGTGGAGTCATTTTCCAATTTATCTGCAGAATCCTGGAAAGACAGTAACGCGTCGTGGCTAACTGATGGGAACATTGTCAAAGCCCCAGATGAAATAGAATGGGTCTGAGGAGATGATATGACAGGAGTTACAAGCATTTTCTCATTATTACCATCACTTGTTTGGCATGCATCCAAGGATCCCCCTGGTATTTTCTGGCTAACAATAGACAGCCTATTTGATTTCATGATTTTTCTATCATATTTTGATTTACCATCATGGTGCTGATGGAGTTGCAGCTCATGACTGCCGCCACCCTGCAGCAATGATGACTCTGGAGAAGCCATTTTAAGAGATTGGGTGTTGCAGAATGGATGGAATTGTTTTAAGTCATTGTTACCATCTTTCTGAACAGAGGATTCTAGAGTTAGCTTCCTTTCATTCCCACATAGCTTCTCATATGTCAGACCGTACTCATCAAGTATACCTCTTGCTTCTTTTCTGTCTCTATTTCCCTCCACATTTTCCAAGTCAAGCTGTTGGGAATCTGGCATGCCATTTGTCTTTCCATCAGTACTCTTTTTATGGGTTGAGCTTGAAGGCCCAAGTGACAGCTTCCGACTGATCCCACCTGGTTTATTATGACTGGAAATATAACCATTAGCTTCATGTTTTAACTCTTCGTCCGAGTGTTTGAATTCCACCTGCAGAAGGAAAATACGAATCAAGGATAAACTTTGGGAACAAATTAAAAAGCAAAATCAACTGATGTTACCACTGTGCTTATATCTGAGTTGGTCTGAATGCACCTAGTTAAGCAATCTTGGCCACCAGCTCCACCCCTGGCATATTTTTCAGTCATAGCTCGTGCTTTTTGATCAAAAGCCTGTCTATTGTATTTATATTCCTTGCTCTGCATATACAGCCAAGAATATCAGAATTAGATACTTCTTAACTCATCAGCCTGTTGGCATATATCCACTCACCGCTTCGCACATTAGGCCATCGTCAGGATTTGGCTCACTCAATAACAATCCTATACTTGTAAGCACAGTCGAAATGTTCAACGATGGTTGCCATGCACCCTGCTTGAATAAGAGCATGGGAATTTGTTATGATGAATAAAATGCTTGAAAGAAACAGAAGTTTAGAAATTGATAATGACATGAGATTTGTTGTCAGTGCAAAGCCATTCTATAATAGCAAGTGAAAATACTGAAGTCTCGAGAAACTACCACCCATCTATCAGATCATCTAACTATCCAACAATTCACCAGTTCTTACCATTCAGAGAACATAAATTTCAGCCTTCTGGACACTATCTTCTTACAGATTTATCAAGAAAAAAAAAATAATGTTCATCTTAATTAGTGGGTTTGACAAGAGAATTTAGAAGACAAGAAAATAAAGATTTAAAATACATGTTAAACCTTAAAGGATAACCAATGAATTTGGACTTGGCTTCAGAAATTAAACTTCTTTGCCAATTTACAAGTAATGAAAGGAATTGTATTATCAAAATTGGAAAATGTACAAACAGCACCACTCACCATGTGACATTTAAGAATTTTAATTTTTATTGTATTAACGCACAATTCAGCTACCTAAAATGTGACAGTGCTAGTATTGGGAGCTGATTCCCAGCTTACACCGTTGAAATTGCATACACAATCCTACAAACTAGAAGCTTGAAATTTACATTTCAATCTCCAATCTTCCTTTTGATTAGACAATCACAGGTTCTCTAAAATCTAAATTTAAACAAAATATATGTTCAACAAAAGTCTCACCTTTGGAGGGAGATTGAGAATGTCAAGGCAAATTCGGCCTCCGTTATCGATATTAGGGTGGTAGATTGGCGTAGCAAATGTCACACTCGGAGGCTGAAATGGGTACCTAAACCCTCCCCACAAAATAAATAACTAACAGTGCCACAGCAATCAACCAACTAATACTCCCCTACTGAGCATCACCAACAAAATACATGATTCCAAAAACTAATTTAGCAATACCTACCTTTCCGGTATTTGAATCTTAACGTTGAAGATGCCTTTAGCATACACAGTCCCTTCCGGCCCTTTAATCTCTGCCTCATGAGAAAAAAAAAAAAAAAATTAAAATTAAATAACTCATTAATTGATTTATATCTTTCGACGCTCTTGCTTTCAGTTGTTGGCCTATTATAAAGAACTTACGGGCGTCGATGGCCGAGAGGGACGCTAGTTCGGAGCCGGCGGAAAGAAAGGGAAAGGACGCGCCAAGAGGAGGGTCAGTGAGAAGGAGCTTGAGCTCCTTTTGCATTCGGAGATTCAGCCTGGCGGCTTGTGCCATTTTCGTTCTTTTGCAGTGGTCTGAAGCTTTTCCCTTTCTGGAATTGGCAAGCAGAACGAAGAGGAAGAGGTATTTTTGAACTTGGGAGGGAAAAGGGGTTTGGGAAATTTGCGAAATTTGGAAAGGCGGCAGAGTCACCAAAGAGGAGTGATTAGAATCAGACCGTTCAATGTGTTGACTTCTTCGTAGGGTGGACGGTAGCTAAATAACAATTCCATTGCACGCATACCTCATCCAGGGATTTGAACCCTTAATCCCTACCTTAGGTTTAATAAAGCCAAATAGCAGGAACAATATTTCAAATTGACCAACTGAAATTACAACTAAAATGTTAAATTCATACTAGCAATGTCTCTACCTGCGAGATAACTGTTACTAACTTATTGTTGATTAATTAGTTACAATTATTAAACTAAACATACTCTAAGAAATCTAAACAATCCTATCAAAAAAAAAAAAAAAATCTAAACAACAATGTTAAATAATTAACCAATCGTTTTGAACAATAATGACTTATGAAAACTTTCAAATATAAAAATGAAAAATTTTTTAAATATGGCTATGCCGAAAAGAATAAACAAATTTTTTGTGTAGAATGTGAAATTTATGAACATTATCATAAAAAACAGAGTTTATTAAGGTTTAACTTGAATCATAAAACTATATTTTCCAAATCAAATTTTGAAAAAAACAAATTAGGTTTTCCACATGAAAACCAAAAAAACCATAAAATTATAGTGATAAGGTTGGAATTCGAATCATAAAATTGCAATTTTCATATACAAGGAAAAAAATTTATTTGAACCAAACAATGTAAAAGAAACATAAACCATTCAGTTTTTTGAGAGTGGGATTTGAATCCAAATTCTAAAGTAAAATTTGTGAACATTATCATGAACTTGGAGTTTATTAAGGTTGAATTTGAATCATAGAATTGTACATTCCATATCAAAATTTGGAAGGAAAAAAAAAGGACATTTTACATAACATTCACACAAAACCATTAAATTAGAGTATTAGGATTGGAAATTGAATAATAAAATTGTAGTTTTCATATTAAAAAATAAAAAGTAAAGAGAGAAATCAAATGGAAAACAAATAAAAAGTAAAAAAAAAAAAAAAATTAATAATTGTTGCATTAAATTAAGAGGTCATTAGATTGGGAAATTGAATTATAAAATTGTTGTCTTCATATTAAAAAATAAAAAGTTAAAGAAGAATCAAAATGGAAAACAAATAAAAAGGTAAAAAAAAAAAAACAAATAAAAAGTAAAAAAAAAAAAAAAAATTAATAATTGTTGAGAGTGGGATTTGAACCCACGCCCTTTCGGACCAGAACCTTAATCTGGCGCCTTAGACCAACTCGGCCATCTCAACTTGATATTCATTGTTGCTCGTTAGTTCTAATCTAAAGGGATAAATGAACGAAGACGTCTATAGGTTGACATTGGATGATGATTAGATTTTTTGAACACGGTGGCATGCTTAAATTGTTAAATTTGATGGTGGCATGCTTAAATTGTTAAATTTGATGAAAACGCCACGAGTCGAGTGGGAGCCTGTGATCACGTACTGTGAATTTAAGATAGACAGTGCAATTAGATTATGAGTTAGTACTAGATAGTGTTAATGAATATATCCTATTCATTTTCCAAATATATGGTAAAGGGTATTTTGTAATTTTATTTGTAATGGACAACAACTAAATCCAGTACCGGCAAAAAAAAAAAAAAAAAAAAAAAAAAAAACTTTCTACCATGTTTCAAAAATGAGAATCTTTTAAATTGCAAATCCACAATTAATTCGAAATAACTAAAAAAAAAAAAAAAAAAAAAAAAAAAACTTTCTACCATGTTCAAAATGAGAATCTTTAAATTGCAAATCCACAATTAATTCGAAATAACTAATGAACATATTCAAAATTGAGTAAAATTATAATTTAAGAATGAAAATTAAGATTTAAGTATCTAAACTAAAAGAAGTAAATCTCATGACTTATTATAAAATTTTCTCAAGATTATAATTGAATTTCTATAAAGTTTAAGGGCCACCGAAAATCAATCAAAGTTAATAGTTAAATTTTGTATATTTAGAAGTTTTTAAAAGTAAATAAGGCGTTTTTATCTTGTTAGTAAAAATTTAAAGAATAATGTTATAATTCTTTAAAGTGATTTTCTAGAGATAACACTCCATTTTATATAGGTTGAAGTACTTTTACTAAGATAACCTGTTATTATAATATTCATTATAAATTGAGAAAAAAAAAACAATACACACACGTCAGGTCGTTTCCCTCGTTTCTTTCTTTCACAGACGGATTCAAACATCACAAAGCCACATTCATTCATCCCTTCACAACCAGTGTTTTTTCCCAAAATGGTGTTCTAAAAAACACTAATTCCCTAATGGTATTTTGTGAAAAATATTTACTAAAATGGTATTTTGTTAACATTTCAAAGTTTTTGTTCAAGTCATAATATAATAATTGCATCGTTACACTACGACTACAATAAAATTAATAAATTTTAATTTATTTTAATGTTGTCCTGCAGCTTTATAGAACAATATTCTATCTCATCTCCCCTCAGTTGAATGCTACACTATAAGTGAAACAATGTCACGAATATATTATCTGGCAAGATTTTCAATGAAACACGAAGTTTCAATTGTTAACTTACAGTGTAACAATTTATGGGTGAGATTGACAAAAAAAAAAAAAAAATTGCTATTGTGTCACTGTTAGTGTAACAATATGAAAGAAATGTTTATGGAGAAGGTAAATGTTCTTGTGATGTAAGAGGTGTAAACAATGAAAAAAATAAAACGTGTAAGAGGTGTAAGAAGTGAAAAGAAAGAAATGTGCAATAAGTGCAGCAGAATATTTACTACTCCATTGTTAGAATCGTGAAATTTTTGTGGGTAGTTGTATGTGTATATAAAGGAAATAACATCTGCATTACAACATCTGCTGTCAACCTCACAACCATTAACAATCTTGAACACTTGTATCATGCTAAATATAATAAAACAAATCATCCTCTTTTTTGGATTAAAACCTTTCAGGTAACTGATGGATTGTTCAAGCCATTAGTAATAAAAATGTTGCGGATTACCCAAATTTATATGGTCCTCGCTTTAATATCAATATGCAGTTTAATTTAAATTAGGTAGCAAAGACAAATGAGTAGCGCCGTCGACAAAGCACAAATTCAAATTCAATTTTCCCTCGCTTTATTTCACTAATGAACATATTATGATCCATTCAAACAAACAAATCACGTATATTCCATTGACCCATCAATCATCATAACACGCCGATTGTGTTTCGGCATAACATTTTCAAAGCAGCAAACTGGTCCCACCCAAAGAACTGGGAGATGACAATCCAACGGCGTGCAACTTATGTAGCATAAAATATCTTGCGTCCGCGATTTACTGAACTGGGCCACTCACTCAACCCAACCCAACCCAACGACGTGAAGAGCAACAACTCTGCCTCAATGCTTCCCATTCCCCAATTGCTCACTCCGGTCTCCTTGACTCTTACCAAACCAACAAAAAAATCTTGACCACTTCAATCTTTCAGCCAACTGTCAAAGCCATGCGCGCGTGAACTTTTTTCTTTTACCTTTGCGCGTGATGTACCCCTCGCTTTATTTATTTATTTATTCACTATGCAAGGTCAAAAGGAGGGAGCCAAGCCAAGCGTCGTTCATCTCCCTTCACTCATTAGAAAAGAAAAACATGGGGTCCCGCCACTCGTCAACCCATCCAATCCTACTCTTCTGTCATGGTGCAGACACGCGCCGAGCTCATGGAGTTAAAGTGCAGTGCCCATCTTGGATTGATGCAAACCCGGGTGTTTCTTTACAAAGTTTCAAACGCATTATTTCTCTCGTGTACTGCCAGTTTAAAAAAGAAAGAAAAAGAGAGCTTAAACAAAAGGAAAAAAAAAAAAAAAAATCACAACCACCATTTTCTCCACTGAAGCTTCTCTCAAAAGCTCCTATAATCTATTTGTACATGTATATTTATATATAGCTCTGCTACTGTGTAGCCGGCAGATTCTTGTTTTGAAAATTTTGATTTGAAAATTGAGATATTAAGAGAGAGTCAAAGGAAGGGAAAGATATTTTGAGTAGAAGATGAATGCGGTTGGGAGACAGATGTCGAGATCCAGTTCGACTGTTCACCACCAGCGTCAATATTCCGATAACTTCCTTGACAGTGGCAGATGGCTTCAAACGTCGTCCCAGGTCCTTACCTTTTCTTTTTACTGATAATTACAGTTAATCTAAAGTAGCTTTACATTTCCTAAAACGCCTCGTCGTTTTTATGCTTTTGCAATGGGTGATTGTAGGACTTCGGGTACGGTTCGAGGATGAACCGGAGCATGCAGTCAATGGACCCGTCAACGCCACCGGTTTACTCCCGGTCATCGAGTGTGAGAAGGAATGGGGATGATCATGTGTCGCCGAGTGAGCTCAGCCCTGGCTTGCTCGATCTGCATTCTTTTGATACCGAGCTATTGCCAGAGGTATCAGATTTTTTCCTTCCAATAAAACAATCGCGTAGTCGCATTGATCGGGATGGCGACTTTTATTTTCAATTGAATCGTTAATTTATTATTGCTTTTTTTTTTTTTTTTTTGGAAGTCAGCCCTGGGCTTGCTCTCGATCTGCATTCTTTTTGAATCGAGTCTTATTGCCAGATGGTTATCAGATTTTTTCTCTTCCAATATAACAATATCGCCGTTAGTCGCATTGATCGGTGATGGCCGGACTTTTTATTTTTCAATTGAATCGTAATTTATTATGCCTTTTTTTTTTTTTTTGGAAAGTTTACCGTCTTCGATTGATTGATTTTTTGCTCGTGGTTAGGTATTATCATCTATCTGATTTACAAATTACGATTTCGTGTTTAAAACGCTATTAAAAAGAAATGCATTTGTTCATCGTTTGCATACCGCGACCATTTAGTAGCCCTTAATCGTATTGATTTCTATTTCTCATATTTCTTCCGCCAAATCAATGGAGTTTATTTCTATAGCGTGCCTCCAAACATGTAAAATGGAATTAGTTTTTGGTGTGTTTTTTCTCTTTTTTTATAATTCTGCTCGCTTTCTACGTCAAGAGAATGGACGTACTAATACCACTACTAATACCATATCGTTGATTATTGGAACTTGAAGTTGAACCATAAATTCTTTGATCCTTGCCCTTTTCAAATATATAATTAAGTGGTGTGCATAGCATGGTCACTGTTTTTAACTTGATTTTTTTTTTTTTTTTTTTGGAAGTTACGCTCGATTTGATGATTTTTGCCGTGTTTTAGATATCATCTATTCGAATTTACAAATTACGATTTCGTTGTTTAAAACGCTATAAAAGAAAATGCATGTTCATCGTTGCAACGCGACCATTTAGTAGCCCTTAATGATGATTTCTATCTCATATTTCTCCGCAAATCAATGGAGTTATTTCTATAGCGTGCCCCAACATGTATGAATAGTTTTGGTGTTTTTCTTTTTTAAATTCTGCGCTTTCTACGTGTCAGAATGACAGTACTAACCACTACTATCCATATCGTGATATTGAACTTGAAGTGCAAATTCTTTGATCTTTGCCTTTCAAATATTATAATTTAAGTGGTGTGCAGAAGCATTCGGTCACTTGTTTAACTGAAGCTTTCTTATATTTGCACACTGGGGCAATTATTTATTTGCACATCCTATTAACAGAGTGAGAAATGACATGTGCACTGAAGAAGCAGAAAAAACCTAATGTGCAAGATTAATAATATATTTATATCTATACGTTTCCTTGGTAGGTGTCGGTTCCTCGCCTGTACGACGGATACATGCATAATCCTGCTCACGGTAAAAGTTTTGATGATTTTGAACCTTATCTAGCAGCCAACAGACTAGCAAACAGATCCCGAGGTTTGCCTGAGAATAACCTTCTTAAAAGTTTCTCAGGGGATAGAGAAAGAGCCAACAGTGTTGCTAAGATCAAAGTTGTGGTATGTCTCATTGAGGTTCTTCTGATGTTTCTCTTATTCATGCCATGTAGTGCCCCGATTAAGTGAATTTTTTTCCCCAGTAATTGATAAAAATGCTAATGGCAATTTCTTATATGTAGGTACGCAAGAGACCATTAAACAGAAAGGAAATAGCAAAGAAAGAGGATGATATCATTACCATAGAGCCAAATTCCAATTCTCTTACAGTTCATGAAACGAAACTCAAAGTGAGTTCTTGATAGATGAATCTTATACTCCAAAAGTTGCCAATCATATCTCATTATGGTGATAGTTCCTCTGTCCCCAGAAACCAACCTAATGAATTTCCCTTTGAGTTCATTATTATCTCTGGAAAATATGTGATGATATTGGCATATTCGGATTCCTCGACTGCTGATATCATAATATATAAGCTAGCAGTCTGTTCATCGAAACTGAAACTGAGTGCTGAATGCTTCATTGTTTAAGCAAAATAGAATACTTGCTTCCAACCAATTTCGTTGTTATTGCAAGATTTTCTAGGTTACAATAATATGGGTATATAAGTAACTTGATATCAACCTTCCTCCACCACTCTTTTGAAAATCTGATCTACCACATCTCTGCAGGTTGACTTAACGGAATATGTGGAGAAACATGAATTCGTTTTTGATGCTGTGCTGAATGAAGGTGTTTCAAATGATGAAGTGAGTGTGTGACAAGATTTGGTCCATAATTATAATGTAATTCAGTAGATTTTTAGCAGATTCTTTTTCATCCCCGTAGGTGTATTCTGAGACTGTGGAGCCCATAGTTCCTCTAATTTTCAATAGAACAAAAGCAACCTGCTTTGCATATGGACAAACAGGCAAGTACTCTTATTCTCAATGATACTTAACTGTTGGATACTGACTGACATGACAAATTAATTGTACCTTAGATTTTCAAGTTACATTTTTCTAAGTCGTTCTCATACTTTTGCTGGAATGGGAACCACACAATTTTTATTTGTAGTCTGTGCTGGAAACCTGAAATGATCTTTCATAGTTTTAGACAATATGAAACTCTTGACATTTGGGGTGATGGTGCCTGTGCAAAGTTCACATGTTAAATATGAGTTAATCTTTCCTAGAAAAATGAAGCTAGAATTGATAACAAAAAAGAAAAGGTATCCTTTTGTGGTGGGTTGCGGGGAACCCATATTTTTCATTTATTTTTTCAGGTGTTCACTTGCTTTCTTTCAGCTTTCTTTGTCTCACTCTTTCTTGTTATATTATTGTGAATAAGCTTGGGTTGATCTTATTTTCCTGTCAGGGAGTGGAAAGACTTACACAATGCAACCATTGCCACTAAAAGCTTCCCTAGATATATTGAGACTAATGCACCAAACATACAGGAACCAAGGCTTTCAATTGTCAGTCAGTTTCTTTGAGATATATGGAGGGAAGCTTTTTGATCTTCTTAATGATCGGAAGTGAGTTAATTAAGTTTGTAGGTTTTGTGTAGGCTAGAATATTATGCTGATTAGTCTGATAGAGTTCTATTTTTGCAGAAAACTTTGCATGAGGGAGGATGGGAAACAACAAGTTTGCATTGTGGGTTTGCAGGAATACAGAGTTTCAGATGTTGAGGCAATCAGGGAATTCATTGAGAAAGGAAATGCCACTAGAAGCACTGGTACAACTGGCGCAAATGAGGAATCCTCCCGATCACATGCTATACTTCAACTTGCCATAAAGAGATCAGTTGATGGCTCAGAAACAAAGCCTGCCCGACTTGTAGGAAAGCTGTCTTTCATTGATCTGGCTGGGAGTGAGCGGGGTGCAGATACTACTGATAATGATAAACAAACAAGGTGGGGTATGATTGGATTATATTCTTTTTCTGAACCCTCTATATTTATTGTTATTCCTTTGGACCTTCAGCATCGCATTTCACATGAATAGTTGGGGGTACTGTGGTGCTTCTAAATGGTCCAAGCCTGCTTTCAGTGGGTTTATTTTGGTCTTCAACTTATACTGATGTCTCAAAATCCTTTGGGTTTAACAGAATAAATAATTGCTTTACATCTTTATAGAATGGAAGGTGCTGAAATCAACAAGAGCTTATTAGCTTTGAAAGAATGCATTAGAGCTCTTGACAGTGACCAGGGTCACATTCCCTTCAGAGGGAGTAAGCTGACTGAAGTTCTTAGAGATTCATTTGTTGGTGACTCTCGTACTGTTATGATATCATGCATTTCACCAAGCTCAGGCTCATGCGAACATACTCTAAATACGCTAAGATATGCTGATCGGTACGAGGCTTTGAACGAAGAGTAGTGGGAATTTATCAGTAATTTTACTTGAAAATTTCTGATTGATATTTGCATTCCAGGGTCAAGAGTCTTTCTAAAGGAAACAACAAACGTGATCCGCTGTCTTCTTCAAACCTTAGAGACTCAACTGCATTGCCTTTGACTTCAGTTTTGCCTAATGAAACAGCCTTTGACAATAATACAACTGATATTTCCAATGGAAAGAACAAATTTGGATGGGGAAAACCAATAGAAACAGAAACATCACCACCTCTTAAAGTGGATCGTGTTCCTAGTGGCAGGGCAGAGGAACATTTGGCTGCATCTGTATATTCAGATTATTACAAACGCCCGATGGGTGGTCAAAGCGGCATCCCTGATGATGATTTTGATTACACCAAGGAAGCTTATGAACAAGAAAAACCATCATGGACGAATAATAAGAAACTAGAAACCTATGAAATTCCAGCTATGGGGGATAGGCCGAGAACTAATGCTCCAGCGAAATTGAGAGATATTCCAGACTTTATGGCAAATAATTCTCATTCAGATGATGATCTTAATGCCCTTTTGAAGGTAATTACATTCTGGATATCTTCTAATTGGTTTTCTGATAGGTTCTCTACATGTACGGATTAAACTCTGCTATGGTTTCTTAGGAAGAAGAGGATCTTATATCTGCCCACCGTAAACAAGTGGAGGATACGATAAACATTGTTAGGGAGGTCAGTGACAATCTCTTTTCAGTTTATTAGATTCTTCTGCAACTGTTAGTTTTGGAATGATTGCAATGATTCATGCAGGAGATGAACTTGCTAGCTGAAGCTGATCAACCAGGCAATCCGCTGGATGATTATATCTCTAAGTTAAATGGAATTCTTTCACAGAAGGCTGCAGGAATTCTACATCTGCAGACTCGTTTGGCTCAATTTCAGAAACGTCTGAATGAGCACAGCGTTTTGATATCATCATATGGTAATTGATTTGAGGCTTGGAGAGGTGTAAATTTTTGGTGGCAGTTTATGTGACTCAGATTCTTCATCGCGTTGTAACTACGCCTGGTTACAGAGAAATAATGCTTTTCGGGGTTGTTGGTTGGAGGATGGGCCTTTTGTTTCCCTATTATTCTACTGTATGAAGCCAGTCACTATTCTGAATTAAAAGAAACCTATTATATAAGCCTCTGTTCGATGGCTTATTTTTGGAACATATGTATGCGTTTTTGGTTAAACTATCTTGTTTGGCTGTTAATTTATAACGTAAACGCGGTTAGTAGCTACCTTTGTCATCTGTTGATAGTGAAAATCTCCTGTTTGGATGTGCACATATAAAATCTGTTAAATGTCAATTACAAGTGGTTTGGACAATGAATTGATAGCGATGCCCTTGTTTGCCTTGACTGGCTCAAATCTCAATGTTAGATTGATGCTTATCATGAATGGATAAAGTGGTAACTGGTTTTCTCAGCTTGTACATTTATGGAGATTGTGGAGTTCGTTAATTTGGGGCATGAGGAGCTTCAGTCTGGCAGATGCTTTATTATTTCTAGAGAACAACTTGTAAGTTCCACTTCCTTTCTGAAGTTTTTATCATTTTTAGTTATTCCTGAATAGACAATATGCAAGTTCTTGTGAAATATTTTAATTGCTTACTCAAATACTTGATTATTAGCCAAAATTTTTTTTATCATTTTAGTATTTGCTGGCTGGTCATTTTGTGTAGATTTTCTTACTAACCATTTTATAAGTGCTGCTTCAACTAAGGAAACATGCCTTTTCCATTGACTATCTGGTAGCAAGTGAAAAGGGCATAGTTTGTACTTATCATTTACATTGACAAAATGAGAAATACACAATGAAAAAAGAAGCAACATGGTAAATATCCATTCGTACTGTGAGAATTAGAAGTCAAGATAAGGTGCAATGTGATTGTCTCGTAGCTCCTTTGATCTAATTAGCAACCCAGACGATGTGGCCTTCTGGTAGGAAGTGACAAATAGGAACAGTCCCAGGCTCAACCTTAAGAACTTGGAAAGCCAAGTGCATGGGATTCCACTTTGATGTATCGGTATGGCATACAGCAACAGCGCTGACTTGGGTTTTATCTGCTCCAACCAATGGAACCATGTAAGCCTTAGTGTTACATGTTTTGTGGCAGTAGAATACAGGGTAAATGTAGTTTTGGAAATGACATGCTACTATCTTGCTCCCAACTAATCTAACTTTTCGGATGATGCTAAATTCTTGATGCTGTGTATCCTCTTTATCAACTTGCGTGGCCAAAGCTTGAACATTTTTTCCAAGCGTCAAAATCCCAAAATCCACCATTGCTTCCAATGATGTAGCACAATACTTGTCCTCGCCCAATAGTGCTGGCTCCTCGCACTCTTCTATTGTCTTCCTCATTATCTCAGCTTTTGTTGAATTAGGCTTGATAGAGAATTTGTGAAGGACTTCTGAGAACTTGTTTGAGGAGAATGGTATCATCTGAGCAACTTGGCGAGGTAAGAACTTAGTTTTAGCTGCAAATTTGGTGAAATAGAGATTCATTTTTGTTCCTGGATGTAGATCTTTGTATAGGAAGAACAGAGTCACGTTTCGGTTGGTTATGAGTTCGTACTCAGAGGCCCCATAAGTATACAGGAATGGTTTTGCATCTTGGATGAATGGTGGCTGGACATCTACTGAAACTCCTTTGCCCACATCTACTCCTACGCCACCGATATCTATAGAAATAGCATTATCTTCAAAACTCTTCTGCTCTGTAAGACAAGGTGAACGTTATATTTAGTTAGAAATCATAATATTAGCATAACATGTCCAAAATTTGTATTCTGGCTCTTAATTTAAATCCACTATTTGTTGGTACAATTACAAAAGTGGTTTAAAAAAATTGACAACGGAGAGACGAGTAATAGCTTTAAGAGTGATTTCTTCAAAAAGCCATCTTAGAACTCAGTAGCTCTTGGAAATCATTTTGGTTTGAAATTAGAAACCATGGAGAAAGGAGAATAAGAAGAAAGGCTGAGGTCGAAGAGATGCACCAGATGGTAGAAGATCTCGAAGGGCCTTAGGCATTGGAGTATTAGGCGACAATGACTGCCAGTAGACCTCTGGGGTTTGAACCTGATTTATAGCTACAGGAAGCTGCAAATAATAATAATAATAAAAAAATAAACAAACTGTTCTAAAACAATAAACAAACTGCATTTGCATAATAGTGTTACTCACCCATGTTAAGATAAGTGTCAGGACAAAATGAAATTCCATTGAAGGATGAACAGCACTCAAGTGCAAGAATGAGAAGGATGAGAACTCACTACTAGCGCAGAGCTAAGTTAACAACTTAATATATAGCGTATATATAGGCGACTGTGATGATAGTTTTGAGTAACGTGATTTTAGTGTGATGGTTAATAGAAAAATAAAATAAAATACAGAATAGACTGATCATGAAAAATAGTTAGTGATGGTTATGGTCTAGTTATACTCTTCAGTATTGTCATTTATGAGTTGACTATTATCTGATAAGATGAGGAGTTACTTTAGAATTATGTGAAGGACCAACCCATCATATTTATTAGGTTTTGTTCGCGAAGGGATCTTCAACCGGATCAAGGTTCCTGAGATCCTATTTGGTCCAACTCTAGAAACCCACTAGCAAAAAACTTGGCCCAAAAGAAAATTTTGCTATAGGCTATAGGTGGCCCGACCCAGAGTTGCCCATCTACTGTCAATGGCGCGTTTCTCGGATGAAATTTTTATATATTCTCGAAAAGAAACGGTAGGCAAGTCATGTAATCTATTACCTATTATGGGAGTGTGTTAGTTTAAAACAGATAAATGGCTATACACGGAACAATTAGGGATCGAGTTACCTAGATCGGATTTATAAATCACTTATGAACCAAATCAATTAATAGAGTAAAAATTTTATTGAAATGATAGTACCATTCGCTCAAGAAAAGAAAAAGATAAAATGAGAATAATATTTAAGAAATCTCTATTTTTATTGGTTTAGAAATCTCTGTTTTTATTTGTTTACATAATTTCCTAATAGAATTTTTGGTAAATACCGAAAATCTTAGATCATTTATGAGTTTTATGTATTTAAGTGTAATAAATATGGTTGGTCAGTTGCGACGGAGATCAGGATTAGGGCAAGAACTACTTTCTTTTGCAACCACAAGTCGATAACCTAAGTTTTTTTTTTTTTTTTTTTTTTTTTTTTTTTTTTTTTTTTGCAGACACGAAATTAGAAGCAAACCGAGACAGATATCTGGAATTTATATATAGGCGACTGTTGATGATAGTTTTTGAGTAACGTGATTTCTTAGTGTGATGTTAATAGAAAAATAAGATAAAATACAGAATAGACTGATCATTGAAAAAATAGTTAGTGTGGTTAGGTCTAGTTTATTACTCTTTCAGTATTTGTCATTTATGAGTTTGAACTATTATCTTGATAAGATGAGGAGTTAACTTTAGAATTATGTGAAGGACCAACCCATTCATATTTATAAGGTTGTTCGCGAAGGAGATTCTTCAACCGGGATCAAGTTCCTGAGATCCTATTTGGTCCAATCTAGAACCACTAGCAAAAAACTTGGCCCAAAAGAAAATTTGCTATAGGCTATAGGTGGGCCCGACCCGAGTTGCCCATCTACTGTCAATTGGGCGCGTTTCTCGGATTGAAATTTTTATATATTCTTCGAAAAGAAACGGTAGGCAAGTCCATGTAATCTTATTACCTATTATGGGAGTGTGTTAGTTTAAACAGATAAATGGCTATACACGGAACAATTGGGATCGAGTTACCTAGATCGGATTTTATAAATCATTATGAACCAAATCAATTATAGAGTAAAAATTTTATTGAAATGATAGTGACCATTTCGCTCAAGAAAAGGAAAAAGATTAAAATGAGAATAATATTTAAGAAATCTCTATTTTTATTGGTTTAGGAAATCTCTTTCTTATTTGTTTACATAATTTCCTAATAGATTTTGGTAAATACCGAAATCTAGATCATTTTATGAGTTTTATGTTATTTGTTGTAATAAATATGGTTGGTTCAGCTTGCGACGGAGATCAGGATTAGGGCAAGACTACTTTCTTTTGCAACCACAAGTCGATAACCTAAGTTTTTTTTTTTTTTTTTTTTTTTTTTTTTTTTTTTTTTTTTTTTTTTTTTTTTTTTTTTCTGCTTGTGATATACTGTTTTTGCTGACTTATACTTGGCCTTTCATTGCTAGCACCTTATATAATTTTGTAGGGTTAACAAAAGTTAACAAAGTGACAATGTTGGTGACAAATGAACGTGGAAAGAATTGCATTGCTAAAAATAATTGGTGAAATGTCATTCTCTAATGCTATTATAGAAACACATACGTAACTCTGCTGACCATTAACATCAACTCACTGTGTTTGTTTGAGCTTGACTCGTATTCTCTAATTGTGCCACCGCCACCTGTGTCCTAAAGCGGGTCCGACATAACTTATAACCTTGTACCCTGAAGACTGATCTGGACATCAACATACCATTTTTAGCAGCACAAAACACCAAATAGCCCCCCCAAAAACAAAATAGGAAAAAGATAAAAAAAAAAAAAAAAAAAAAAGATAAAAAGAAAAAGAAAAAAAAAAAACAGATACGCAATCAGTAGAGCTGATGTGTTAAATATTTTTGACGATAGCCTTCTCGCTTCGTCTGTCTAGCACGCTATATGGCTCCTATGGTCATTAGTTCGGCCTACACGGAGCGACTGCATGTAGTAGGCGCACCTACATCGTAAAGTTTATGCAAGATTTCTCAATCGACCGTCCACTTAGGGCCTGGCCCTTTTTTATGTTGAACTCAGCGAATCGGGGACCCGAGACGTAAGTTTGTACAATCTCAGGACGATGTGTATGAATCTGTCTTGTGAAGGACAATTGCACAGACACGTGTATGGATTTCTAGTTTTGTGGCGTTGGTTGATTTATGTTGTTTTTTATTTGTTTGTATTTTCTTTAATAGGACTTTCGAATGTACACGACTAGTTGAAATCTACCCTTTGGACAACACGCAGCAAATAGCTCCATCATGGTGGACTGAGAGCGTCAACGTCTGAGATGCTGTGATCTTTATTGGATCATGTCTGAGACGTAGGTGCTTTCTTCTAGTGAAGTGGTCGACGCCACCGCTGTATGATCTGGATCGCCTAGTCATATTACTGTTTTTTCTGGTTGAAAATTCACGTATAGAGCCGTTTCAGGAATAAAACAAATCAAAATCCGTCACAGAAAATTGTTACCTAAGCATTTCCTAGATTCATCTTATTTTTTTTAAATTAATGTTAATTTTACTTTATGATTAATGCGCGTGTTCGTTAGAGAACCAATTTTTGGCTTCTTTCACATAATTTGACTTATTACATAGATGAGGTTGAGTATAACCCCTGTTCCCGTTGTTATACCCGTTTTTTTTTTTTTTTTTTTTTTTTTTTTTATAGAATTTGGACCACTTTGAATTCTACCCTTTGGACACACCGAACTGGAAAATCAATCGAATTTATTATTTTTTAGTAGTCTTTTCTAGTGAAGTGGTCACTTTGGTTTTCAATTACTGTTTTTCTGGTTGAAATTCACGTATTAGAGCGTCAGGAATAAAACAAATCAAAAATTCAAAAAAATGTTACCTAACATTTCTAGATTATTTATTTTTTTTATTAATGTTATTTTCTTTATGATTAATGTTTTGAAACTCATTTTTACTTCCATAATTTTATTATTACCGGTTGAAGATTCAACCCCTCCGTTATTGAAAGATTTGAAATATAACACGCATTAATTATGATGTATTGATCATTTGTCTTCGAAACTGATGTCAAATTGTTATTGGTCGGAATTCTAAACCCCAACTTGGCTACTAACTGATGGAGACTTGCTATTTGCTACTAACATTTTATGTGATTTGATTTGTTGGAATTTGAATCATTTTATCCACTATGTGTTTCTTTGGCTGAGAAAAGATAAATAAATTATAAAAATTGATAAATTTTAATTTAACCGTTAATGCTATTATCTTGAAATTATGACTTTTTATATTAATAACAGTTATTGTAAAAATACTTTTTAAATTTATAAGAAAAGCAAAAAAACAGGAAGCTAATGTCCTACTTTTTTATTTCTTTAATAGAAAATATTAGAAAAACATTTTTCTTTATTGTTTCAACTCAAAGAAAGTCTGGTGTATGATGTAAAAGATAGAAAATGATTAGAAATTTGACGTCATATTAAGAATTGGAATCCTCTTTGACTTTTTTTTGAATGGCAGATAGCATAGGAATAATACCAAATAAAGTGGAATTTATATTATTATCCACTTAATTAGCAACCATTAAACCTTTGTATTATTTTTTTTTTTCATACTTTATCAATTACAAAATCTCTCTCTAATCGCATAAACAATATATAATAAATTGATATTATATACTTTTAACTATATAAAAGTAATGACCTGACATTAATCGATACTAAATTCGAACCTCTGTACTCTTAATTTTTAAAGTTATAAATTATAATTTATGTATTGGATTCATATATATGGGACAAAAGCACAAGTTCAAGATTAGTTGTAATAAACTCAAGAAATGATCTTCAGTATACTTCAAGACTTTGGTTATTTTCACACATTATTTCTGTAGTTTTAACCTTTCCTCGTTTTTATGATTTTTTTTTTTTTTTTGAAGCAAAAAGAGAAAAAACATTTGTCCTCTTATGATTCTTTAATTTTTGATTTTCAATAAAAACAAAATCAAATTAAAGTTCTATTTACTAACGAAGATCGAATAAGGCCCCACAAATCTGTATAAAATCTTGATTTCTCTTGTCTATGTGGATTTGTATTGGAGTGTGACATTTCAAGTCGGTAAATATATTAGTTTCTATTTTTTTTTTAAATAAATTTATTTCATTTTATTATTTCTTAAATAATGAAATGGGATATTTTTAGTCAATTTTTCCATAGTGATATTGATTAGTAATTTTGATTAACGTTTAATGATGGACTTTCGAAAGGATTTGCTTAATTAACAGTCAAGAAATCTAATTACACTTCATATGGACCATTCAAATTTTCAATCTTTTTGTTTTTTTTTTTGGATGAAAGGACAAAGAAGGGTCTGGATCAATACCTAGATATGGAGGTTTAGACAAATTTAGGGTTAGGATAGAACCTAATTAATTAAGTTATATAAGTAGTTTGATTAGATATAAAACAATATTATATTCTACCTAATTAACAACAAGTTTTAAACTTGTAATGTAATGTCAAAAAAAAAAAAAAAAAAACTTTGTCCAAAGAAAAAAAACCGAAAACAAACTTTTGGTATGTGAATGCAGAAAGGTCAAACACAATTTGCTATAATGGCAGGGCGCAAGATAGTGAGGCCAATGAGAGTGAAATCAATAAGAAGGACAAAAGAGGGGTCATATTCAATTGTGTACAACCTGCAATTAAATGATTGTCCCAACCAAAAAACTATGTAGTATTACTCCCTTAAACTTATCGAAAACGTTTTGTTAATTAAAAATTGAAATGAATATGAATTTAGAAAATTTTTAAAGATCAATTAGATTATATTTGACTGGCCAGTTAAGATTTTTTTTTATTTGTAATAAGAAAATAGTTGGTTTTTACCATGTTTGGTGATGTGGGTTGGGTTCCCCAGCTTTAAGGCCCCAATAATTAATGTGAATGTTAGAAGGATTTTCTTAATATATGCCCACCTAATTAATTAAAAGACCGGACCATGAGTAGATTTCTTATGTACTGAGATGTATTACTAACAACGATACCGGCCTTTAGAACTATGGTAGTATCAGTTCGGTCTAAAGTTTAGAGGTGGGCGGTCGAAGAGGGTTGAATCGGTGATCAGAGAATCTGCCACAAATTGTAAAACAATAAAGTAAAATGGATAAATGATTGTACATGTGTCGTGAGCTCATAACCTGTTTTGTCTAGGACAGCAGAGGGTCGAGAGAGGCAGGCTATGTGATAGTATGTGAGCCAGAAAACAGCTCCTCTAGAGAGTCCACATTTGGCCCACGCGTAATCGTGATAGGTTTATACAGCTATTAAATTGAGAAAGTAAATATTCTAATGTGTTAGGCAGATACAATTGAACATCTGACCAGATGTAAACTCATGCTTCTGATTTTGCTGGTATAGAGGGAGGTGTATGGATCTTGATTTGCTAAAAGAGGAAAGAGTCAGAAGCATATATATTAACCAAGTTCCTTTTTGTGGTTCAATGTTAGATCGCAGAGTCATTGTGTATAAAAGATGTTGTAATTGTCTTCGCCAATGCAAGGAAGGCTACAAGCAAGAGGTGGAGGGTCTAATGGTAGTAGTTAAAATATTAAAAATAAAGGTCGAGAAAAAAATTTAGAATGTGGACAGACTGTGAATATTGTGTGATCTATCAAGATGAGAAGACAATAGAATAAGCCAAACAAAGAAAGAAGGTATTCATGGTGCAGTTTTAAAAAAAAAAAAAAAAAAAACTTGTAATGTGAATGCAGACAAGGTCAAACACATTGCTATATGGCAAGGGCGCAAGATAGTGAGCCAATGAGAGTGATCAATAAGAAGGACAAAAGAGGTCATATCAATGTGTACAACCTGCAAATTAATGGATTGTCCCACCAAAAACTTTAGTATTACTCCCTTAAACTTATCGAAAACGTTTGTAATTAAAATTGAAATGACTATGATTTAAAATTTTTAAAGATCAATTAGATTATATTTGATTGGCAGTTTAAATTTTTTATTTGTATTAGAAAATAGTTGGTTTTTAACCATGTGGTGATGTGGGTTGGATTCCCCAGCTTAAGGCCCCAAATAATTATGTGAATGTTAGAGGATTTTCTATATATGCCCACCTAATTAATTAAACAGCCATAGTGATTATAGAATTCTAACACTCGCTTAATATGGTGATTAATGGTTAACTTAATGGGCAAGAGTGATTGCAGAATTGCAATTTAAAAATAATGAAAAATGGAAAATATTGTAATTGGACAAACTTTTTGTCTAGCAAAATGGCTGAGTGCGGCTATGATTGTGACCAAACCTCTCTATCACATTGCAGTAATTAAGTTTAAGTTTATTAAATAAAATATTTATTGTTTAGCATACATTATTGACCGCACTACTGATTTTTAGGGGAGGTAATGGATCTTGATTTGCTAAAAGAGGAAATCAAAGATATATATTCTTTGTTTCATTTAATGAAGATATTTATAAAATGTGAATTCTTGCATCAGAAGCTAAAGCAGAAAGTTTGGAATGGGTAATGTATATTAAATAATTAAAAATAAAGTCCACTAAAAAAATATTAAAATAAAGCAACTTAAATTTGTACTCAATGAATAAAATAAATTAACAAAAACAAGAAAAGTATCCATTGCCAATTTAATATTCTAAACGAGGGAATTTTCAAATATTTACTTTCTTTAGGTTAGAGATATATTTTTACACATAAGATAGTATCAGTATTTAATTTTAACATTGGAAAATGAGAAATACGGAAATTAGTGAAAACGACAAGTTATAATAACAGCCAATACAAAGGGGACAAGCCGTTGATTTAGAACATTAAAATTTGCTCCCCAAACTGCTAACAGTCCAAATAGAGAAAAGCTTAATTAAAAAAACATTTGGCAGCGACACGTGGCTATTAGACACGTAGGGACAATGACTCCATGCGCCAACGCACAATCTGCCTTAGCCCAAAAGTAAAGCCAAAACCAAATCCGATTCCAAGCTACCGAATCTAAGCTGTTTTACACTCCCCCCTTTCTATTTTTATTTTTTATAATTTATATACTCCACGCTCCTTGCCATCGTGTGGGCGTTTATTTTTGTTTTTTTTTATTTACTTTTAAATTTTTATTACTGCTGTAAGATAATATTTACATTAAGACAGACTGAGCCCATTACAAGCACTGTAGATAAATTCTTTTTTTCAGGAAATTAAATTGAAAAAACAGTGAGACAGAGATAACATATATGGAGTTCAAATATAAGCAATATACATTGGAAAAAAACACCTATAGTTCCAAAAGAGCGAGCATTGATCCCAAACTCAAGTTGCTGACTGCTGAGCCTGTCTGTGTTTCCCCAATTTGTTGTCAAAAACCGGGACCACGTCCACGTAACACCCTTACCGGTACACGCATGACACGCGCGTCGATTGCGAGTTAGAAAACCATTCCATCTGAAAATATCTAACCATGAGGGACCACGGACTTGTAACAAAAGATTATAAAAGCGGAGGCACGTGGGTCCCATTCTCGTGACCCAAGAAATATCACAAACCATACGGGTTTGGCTTCCTGCCACGTTAACTCATCTTACAGTAGGCGCGCGTCCGCTTATATATTGCGGTGCTACCTCAACGACATTAAAATAATAATAATAATAATAAAAATAAAAATAAAGAGCCGGCTGTGAGACGGCCCAACCCATCCGCACCACCTGCTTCTCCTCCTTCCTCCATAAGAAGCAGCTTCACTTTCTTTTAGAGGAGAATTAAATACAGCCTAGTTTATGGGATGGAGTCTAACAACGTCGTAGCACCGTTCGTTATGAAGACTTATCAGATTGTCAATGATCCAAAGACGGATACGATAATCAGTTGGGGCAAAGCCAATAACAGCTTCATCGTCATCGACCCGTTAGATTTCTCACAGAGGATCTTACCTGCTTATTTCAAACACAACAACTTCTCTAGCTTCGTTCGTCAATTAAACACCTATGTAAGTCCCTCTAATTATAATTAATTAATATAAATACGCCTAAAATATTATTAATTAATAGTGTTTTAACGTTAATTTTAATTATTAACAGGGTTTTAGAAAAGTGGATCCCGATAGATGGGAATTCGCAAATGAATGTTTCTTAAGAGGCCAAAAGCAGTTACTGAAGAATATAGTTCGTAGAAAGCATAGTAAGAGCTCATTTATGCAAGGTAAAATTGAGGACTTTGACAATGAAGAGTTGGTTATGGAGATAGCGAGGTTGAAGCAGGAACAGAAGCTTCTAGAGAAAGAGCTTGAAGGGATGAACAAACGTTTAGAGGCTACGGAGAGAAGACCTCAACAAATGATGGCTTTTCTTAACAAAGTCGTCGAGGACCCTGATCTTCTTCCTCGCATGATGCTCCAGAAGGAACGAACCAGACAATTAACTGAAAAGAAACGCCGTCTTATGATTTCTTCTTCTTCGTCGTCCTCTGGTGGAGCCGCCGTTTCTAGTTCTGTTAAGTCTGAAGAAGAAGAAGAGGAGGGAAACATAGGGGTAATATCGTCACAAGAGAATAATAACCTTTGGCAATCATCCCCGTCGCCGGAGACAAATCCTATAAGATGGTTAGGAGAAGGAAACTACGGTTGTTTGATAGAGCCTGGTCTGTTAACGTCGGGTTCTTCAGTAGGTGCAGGGATTGGGAATAGTGTGACTGTAGCGGTGTCTCCGCCAGGGAACGGTTTGATAGTTTATGGCGGTGATAGGGTAGGGGAAATTAGTTATTTTGCAGGACTGGAGGCGGGGGTGGATGCAAGACCGCCACCGCCTTATCCATTTTCGCTTTTAGGAGGTGGCTTTTAGCTGCTATTAACAAGAAATATCATCTTGGATTCTATATACCTTCTGTATTAATTTTGCTTTTTGGTATATTGCCTTTTCTTTATCCCTTTCTTTGGTTTAATAATTCTTGTAAAAAAACAGAAGTAATTTAATTTTGTGGTTAATATGCTGTTTATATTGATAATACATTTCCAACAAATCTTCTTTTATATATATACACACAAATCATAAATATATAAATAAAATTATTTCGCAAAAATATATATATATTTTTTATAAGAAAATTATGACATAATCCTCTTATTAGAGGGAGGTTGAGAAATGGTGGTATAACTATGAATGATCGACATGTTATTTTTCTGTAAAAATGATCAGACGGCATTCACTTTTATGTATTAATAACAAATTACAAGAAGTTGTCTTGTGCATGAACCTGAACCTGAACCTGACGTTCCTGGATTCTGATTCTTTCTTCCTTTTTTTTTTTCTTTCTGCAACCTATGAAAAGGCGGTTGGACCTTTTTAATTTTCGGAGTTATCAATTTCACAAAGTTGGGGAGCAGACGGATAAGTTATCCATCCATAATCCATTGACACCGCCGCAGCAATTTGCTATGCCTCACTTCGCCTTTTACCCAATTAGAACACGCCACATGTCAGAGTCTGGCTTAACCCACTGTACTTTGCCCTCCTAATATTGGCAAAGTGGCAGTGGAAGTCAAATATTTGAGGGAATCAGAATTTAATAAAAAGAAAACGCAGGCATGTGACTCGCCTCTTTCAGATCACATTGGGGCACACTTTCAGATCATCATCATCATCATCACCAATTAAAAAAATAAAAATAAAAATAAAAATTTACACGGTTGGAAAAGGCAAACACCCTTTTTTAATACCTCTCTGTGCTCTTGTCCCACCTGAGCTGGCACTCCTTGTTTTCTTGCTTTCCCAGTTAGCCTTACCCTTCACAGCAAAATCACGTGCCATCTGCGTGACAGTTGAGATGCGAATTTCCTCTTTATAGCCTCATCATAGACACCACGTGAAGGACAAAGTTAAAACAACACCTATATTGTCCAAATCTGATTAATCTAGGATTCATGTTAATGTAATTAATTTCAGAATAGAGTAAGCTTTGTTATTGTTGGTAAATATTGTCCTATGACTCCACGCGTACATTTACCAGAAGTTTGATATACAGTAGCAGTAAATTAGTAACAGTACAAGTGACGAGAGGTGAACGTGAGAAGTCGATCACGTGGGACCCGTAAAGCGACTAAATCCCGTTTTTGGAAGTTTTATCGGAGGACGCGTGTCAACCAAGTGGACATATTACTATGTGATGTGGGGCCAAGCGCTGACAAGGACTAATTGCGGAGGGAGGCCTGAAGGTGTGGGGACATGTAAAGGGCATCTTGTCTTGTGGGGACCAATCCTCGTCTAGTGAGTCCACGTGGGGAGTGTAAGAGGAGGGAGTGGCACGTGTTAGCATTCCGATGCTATCGCTTTTTAGTGTTCACATGGATATGAGGAAGAGGAGGCCCCCCTCCCATCAAACTCCAACTCCAACTCCAACTCCAACCCCAACCCAGCCCAGGCCCTGTTGCGGTGCACCTCTGGCACACAAAATCATGCTAGGCGTTGAACCCATTACTTGAGTAGGTCCCACCACGTGTCAACTCTTTTCTTTCTTAATTCGTTTATTTTATTATTATCATTATTATTATTAGAATAATAATCTAACTACAACAACTTGAGACTGAGATACGTTATAACCCAACCCAACCCAAATCCAGTCCAAACAAAATATCCTCTAGCTAAATTCTTAGTATTTTAATTTTTAAATACAAACTGGAAAGGAAGAGGGACACGTGGCCATTTGAAAGACAAGGAAAGTCACTGTCTAATGGAGATGAACCAATCAGAACCATTAATTTAGGTAAATAATTGTGGCTTTATGATTATAAAGTGTGGTTAAACCACGGCCACGTAAAATGAATCAGGCACGTCACCCTCCGACTGATAAAAAAAAATATTAGAAATTAGAATACATGTGATGTACATTAGGACTAAGGCAATGGTGTAACTTTATGATCCACTGATTATAGGATAGGACCCATTAACTGAAAATGAATAAATAAATAAACAAATAAAAAAATAGTGGAGTTTGTGTCCCACAGCTGAGATGATAAGTAATCGCTCTAATATTACTCGCAATTTTCGCACGCTTGGTTTATTTATTCTTAAGCTGCTTCAAACCGGCATGCAAATCATACATACAATTATTGACCGCAAAAGAAAATGAGTGACTGTTCGCGCGGCTGACTCACAGCTTGAATTGTCATTTACGGTCTAATACACCATCTGTAAAACTGAACGAATTTAATAAATATTAAATTCTTGTAATTTTCTAGAATTTGAAGAATTATATTATATCATGCAATTTAAACAATTTGCTTATTGCGAAGCCAACAATTTTGAATTCAGAATTGTTATGATGACAATCCCACAAAATATGGATGAAGAAATGGAAAGTCTTTCCCATGAAACGCTTAATCAAACACATGCTTCGAAAATTCCTACCTTGAAATATTGACTGATAACATTTGAAGACCCTTTACCATTGATTTTTTGTTAAGCCGCCTAACAATCATTAGACTTGAAATCTTGAATTAATTTGATATAGACCATATAAAAAAAAAAAAAAAAAAAAAATTTGGTTAAGGCCGCCCTAACAATCATTAGAAACTTGGAAAATCTTGAATTATTTGATATAAGAAACCCATAATTAAAAAAAAAACAAAAACCCAGTTTGAAAAAAAAAAAAAAAAAAAAAAGTTTGGAAATTACCTTCTTTTCGAAAAAAACAAAAAAAAAGAAAAAAGAAAAACACTAACGACGTTAATAATAGCAGGATTTCGGCTCAAAAGCCGATACGACGTCCATTGGGCTAAGCATCAGAAGCCCAATATGTGCAAGGTTTTGGGTTTCTTGTAGTGGACCTAATGTATACTTAACCGAGCAATTGGGTTTGCATAGGGGTGTTTTATTGCTTTCGGACTTCGATGAAGCCCAGCCCATATTGTATAGATTTTGATAACTGAGGAGACCTAAAATTTTGTCATGTCAAACTAAACTGTACCAAAGGATCAGTATTTGTCACAAAAAACTAAAAGATCCTGGCCATTAATCCCACTTTTGCCTAACAAGTAACCACCCAACTAAAGTAGTAGGCCGAGCAATGCCTTTTCATACTGTCTCATAAATACAAAATTTATAAATTAGGTAATGGAGCCTTTATTATTATTATTATTATTATTATTTTTTCAATACTTTATTATTATGCTTTTGAAGTTGGGCTATAATCAGATTTTGCTAAGAAATAATAAGGCCCACCAACTAACATTTGAAGTCCCAACATCCCTTCCTAAAGCTACTAATTAAGCCATAAAAAAGTCTGCATTGACACTGCAAAAAACCTTAAACTCCCATCTTAGTATCGTGATTAATTATAATTAGAAACAAACCTACTTAGCTTAGCTTAGGTATATAGGCCGGCCTTTACCATGGGAATTGAAGCAACCTTGTAAAGGCTGTATAACATTTTGGGATCCACGTATATATAAATGCTTGTCTTATGTTTCGTGTATTTATACTTAGGGTTAGGATAAAAAATTTTAAAACGCCTAAAACAAACTTTATGCCATTCTCGAATTGATTTTGCCAATAATATATAAATTGTTTTTTCTTTTTCATTTTTGGAAAAATATTCTTGATTTCAGTGTCTTTTTTTTTTTTTTTTTTTTTTTATATTCTTGATTTCCAGTGTCTTTTTTTTTTTTTTTTTTTTTTGTGATGCCTTTTGTTTAATTTATATATTATTGTAGTTGTGGCTGAATTATAGCAAAAATATCTTTTATTACTCAAAATTTAAGATAAATTGGTAAATAAAGAAAAATCAGATTCAGATGTACTTGGTTTCTGTAATTAGATTGACGAGTTAATATTTCCAATGTGAAAGAAAAAGAAAAAAACCCAATAGGAATTATAAACTGATTTAAAGGTCTTTTTTTTTTTTTTTTTTTTTTTGTGATGCTTTTGTTTATTTATATATTTATTGTAGTTGTTGGCTGAATTATAGCAAAAATATTCCTTTTATTACTCAAAATTTAGATAAATTGTAAGTAAAAAGAAAAATCAGATTCAGATGTACTTGGTTTCTGTAATTAGTTGACGGAGTAATATTTCCAATGTGAAAGAAAAAAGAAAAACCCAATAGGAATTAATCAAACTGATTTAGTCAATCTTAATTTGATTTTGAGATGCCCAATGATTTCTTTGTTTTTCTTTTAACGAAATTTCTAACTGTTTAATATTATCCACTATTAGTAACTACTAACTAACGAATCGCTGACTCTGATTTTAATATATTCAAATTTATAAAAAAGAACATTTAAATTTGAGCTTTCAAATATATGTGTTTAAATTTAAAATTTCTCACATTTGATTGTTAAAAATTTAAATAAAAACATCAAAAATATATTTCTTCAATTAGTAAAATTGAAATTGGAGAAATGATGGTTATCTTATAAAATGATTAGAGTAGGCTAATTGGGTAGGTTTGATTATTAGTCTTCTTTAATAATTTGGAATTGAACGAGTGGTTAACTTAGTAGACGTAAAGAGTAAGAACATGCATGGCATATATATATGTGTTTGTATTGGAAATGCCAAATGGAATAGAAAACTGAAAAGGAAAAGACAGCAAACATTCTTTTTATTGCACGCTTCAAATGAAGCTCCAGAAAGAATCTTCCGAAGCAACTCTTTTTTTGATGAAGAGGAATATATATAAAAGGAAGAGAAGGTGTGGATGGGGAAGAAAGAAATTGTCCAAAGTCTTGGTGGGAGAGAATGTTCTTTGATTCCGCATGATAACAAACAATAATAGTGGGATGATTCATGGATTTGATTCAACTACCGTACTTTGATTCCCATTTACTATCCCATTTCAGAAAAATTTATATCATTTAACTCTCCAACTTTAACAATTCTGAGATATGATTTTTCCAATTTCAGATTATATCTTTCTAACTTGAATTACAGCTATGCAAGTAGCCGTTTCATGATTCTAATTTAATTCTATTTTTCTTTGTATAAGATTTTGGCTTCCTTCCTGAACATGACATACAATTTCGTACTCATGATTTACCAATTAATATAACAACACATTGGTCTCACTCTATAAGTAGTCCATGAACCCCATTTAGTAACTGGAAAGGTTTGGTCCAAAGCAGCATCATGACTACCTTGCGATGTACTTCAAATCAGATGGTTAGGAACTGTCAATTGGTAACCATTCACAGTTCTAGTTTCCAATTCCTTGGCTCCCTACGTAGATTCTCCATTTAACATGATCACCGTAATTAAAATGTTATTAGAAAAAGAAAAAAAGAAAATGTATAGTCAAGATCTATTTGGAAAAATTAGTTATTTGCTAACTGTCAGTTGTTTTAGTTGTTTAATTGTTAGTTGTTTTAATGATTAAAATGTTAATTTTAATCATGTTTCAATTAAATGTAAAAAAAATAATTATGTGAGATGAATGTGAACTTTATACGCTTTGTAATTTATTATTATTATTATACCATGATCCACGTTTATAGTTTTTCGATTCAGTTGATACAGGTATACTCTAACCACTTATTCGTCTAGATGTCATCTTGCCATCTAATATGTTCTTTCCAATTGGATAATATCACACAAACATATACATAATATAATTTATATATTAAAATATAATTTTTGCATATTTCCACGAATGCCATCAACGAGCAGGCTACTTTGTCCTCGACGCCTAGTGAAGCAGAGAGTTTCTTTTCCCTCATATTTCTTTTTTTTTTTTTTTATTTAAAAGTTGGTTAATGGAAGTTAGTTACTCACACTAACGTAGGTAGAAAAATATTATATATATAAGCAGAGAGAAATTGAGACCACTGACCATTTCTTATATATATAAATTCAGTATTCTGAATCACACCCTTGAAAAGTGTTGGTTTTAGCTCCGCAGGTGTCGGCCTTCATTTTCTCCTCTATTGAACAAAAACTAGAAGATCCATGGAGATTAGACCCTCTCAAAATTAATTATCCATAGTTCCACAAATCCAGGAATTCCAAATCTCTCTTTTGGATAAGAAGAAGATCAAATTTCTCTCTTTCTCTGTCCCAAATCCATCTGTATTTAAACAGCTCTCCTGATGAGTTCTATTTTGTGTCAAAAAGGGATTCCTTCAGTTTCCTGTTCCGCATCAACTTCTACATAGTTAATTTACTTAGCTATATCTTTTGTTTTGCCTTATGGACTATTACTTGAAAGAAGTGGAAGGCAAAAGAGTCCATGACCCCTTCAACAAGAAAATGGCCATATCACCAAGTAGGTGTATATGGGTACCAGGAGCTCTTATTGTTGGTGCTGGTCCTTCAGGTTTAGCTACTGCTGCATGTCTTAAAGAAAGAGGTGTTCCTAGTTTAATTCTTGAAAGGGCTAATTGCATAGCTTCTCTATGGCAACTCAAAACTTATGATCGTCTTCGTCTTCATCTTCCTAAACACTTCTGTGAGCTTCCTCTTTTGCCTTTCCCATCAAATTTCCCTACCTACCCTACAAAACAACAGTTTGTGGGTTACTTGGAATCCTACACCAAATTTTTTGGTCTCGAACCAGTCTTTAATAACACAGTTGTCAGTGCAGAATTTGATAGTCGATGTGGGCTTTGGAAGGTTAAGTCGTCTGGGCTTAAAGAGGAAGAATCTGAATATGTATGCCAATGGTTAATCGTTGCCACCGGAGAAAATGCGGATGAGGTTGTGCCTGATATTGAAGGAATGGCTGATTTTCAAGGACTTATAATGCATACAAGTTCCTATAGGAGTGGCGAAGTCTTTAGAGGAAAGACTGCTTTGGTTGTTGGATGTGGCAATTCCGGTATGGAGGTCTGTTTAGATCTCTGCAACTACAATGCTTACCCTTCCATTGTTGTTAGAGACTCGGTGAGCATCCTTTAATTTTCTTTTTCCCTCTCTTCCTTTCTTTCTTTCTTTCATTCTCAAGCAGTCAATTTTTTGCTTTTATTTTAACATATGCTTAATTTAGAAAAGACAAAATCAAAGAAAGTTTTCATTTTTATTATACTGTTATTGTTTTAATATGTTTGTAAAATATCTTTATTATTTTACTATTCTTTGCCACATAAACATAAGCTATTATATTTGTTGAGAATATGTTCTGCAACAATACAGACAAAGCAACTGTGCGACTCTTTTATGCCACTTTTTCACCCCACTTGAGGGAGTTCGGAAATTACTTGTTGCAGACTCAACTGTATAATATTGTAAGGTTTTGTTTTCTTTTGTTGACTTTAGCTGCGGTAACAGTTTATATTAATCTCTTGGTGAATAGATTTCTGGATTTTTTTTTTTGAATGAAACATCACGTAGTTTATTGGTAAGTCAGAAGTAAACCCCAATTGTCCTTTTTCTTTAAAAAATTTTCGCTATAATGATACAAACTAATAAATAAATAAATAAAATCTTTGAATTTGATGTATCACTTTCTTGGAATTTGTTTGCATGCGTAGCCATAGTCAGCATTCCAAAAACTCGTATGTCTTAATTCTTTTTGGGATTCTACTCTGCACAGTATTGCAGATTCTAAAGTATATATGGAAAATAAGCGTAGAAATGGTACATATCCTGAAAGTTGCAAATTCACACATTAGTCGGTGACATGCGTGGGGGACTCATTAGCTTATCTAACCCACTCCTTCGAAACTTTTCAAGTAACTTTTTTCTTTCCTTTGGGGGTTTTTTTTTGCAGGTGCATGTCCTGCCACAACAGATGCTCGGAAGATCAACTTTTGGATTATCCATGTGGCTGCTAAAGTGGTTTCCTTTGAAGCTTGTGGATCAAATTCTGTTGTTTCTTTCATATTTCTTGCTTGGTGATACTTCTAAACTTGGCATTCATCGCCCTAAACTTGGCCCCCTCCAACTCAAAAATACCGCTGGAAAAACTCCTGTTTTAGATGTTGGAACTCTCGCTAAGATCAGAACTGGAGAGATTAAGGTTAACTTTTTTTCTATTGAGATCAAATAACATTCATAAATGTTGTTTATAATTTATTATTTTATAATTAATTGTAGGTTTTCCCAGAAATAAAGAGAGTAATGCGTGGTTCTGTGGAGTTTGTCGATGGAAGGATTCAAGATTTTGATGCTATTATTCTAGCCACAGGTTACAAAAGTAATGTGCCTTACTGGTTGAAGGTTAGTTTATTGAATCTTTAACATGAAAGAAGAATGATTCTGTTAATGCAGAATTAAAGTTTTTTTTTTTTTTTTTGAAAAAAAAGATGATCATCATGAATTTTTGCGCTCAGGAGAACAAAATGTTTTCAAAGAAAGATGGAATGCCCCACAATTCATTCCCAAATGGATGGAAAGGTGAAAATGGACTGTATGCAGTAGGCTTTACGAAGCGTGGCCTGCTTGGCGCATCTATTGATGCAAGAAGAGTCGCACAAGACATTGAGCTTCGCTGGAAAGCTGAAGCTACAAGTTTCATGGCCAGTGCCCGTGCATTGCCTCAGCAATCATGACTCCAGGGAAACAAAAACCAAAAAAAAAAAAAAAAAAAAAAGCAGTACGGCTTTAATCGTAAGCGTAGGCCTGCTTTGGCGCATCTATTGGATGCAAGAAGAGTCCCGCACAAAGCCATTGAGCTTCCGCTTGGAAAGCTGTAAAGCTTACCAAGTTTCAGTGGCCAGTGCCCCGTGCAAATTGTCCCTCGCAATCTATTTTGACTCCATTGGGAAACAAACCTAAAAGAAAAAAAAAAAAAAAAAAAAAAAAAGAAAAAGAAAAAAATTCCTCTCTCTTGAGTGAAGATCCAAGCATGCAGGAAATAATAGAACGAGAAAGGACAAGTTGTCTTTTTAACTTTTCGTATGCACAGAAGCAAGCTAGGAATGCTACAGAAAAATTAAAGATGGGTTTTGGGGGGGGGTGGGTTGAGATTATTATTGGTTTTTTGAGGCAGGAGAAAATTCTCAACGTGTGTACATAGCTTGTGCTTTTCTTAAGAAACAATTTTTTATATTCGCTAGTTTTCTGTTATTAGTTTGGTAAATATTTATAACAAGGGAAGGTTTGGTTTTGCAATTAATTTCATAACATGTTTCAAAGGGTAGGAGACTAGAAGCGGTGAGTTAAGTATACTTAATCAATTAATTAGCAACATTTCCAATTGGATTTGAGATTTTATGTTAAAAAAAATAAAGTAAGATGGTTTCCATCAGCATAAGCTCTCAAGTCTCTACATAGAAATTGGTTTATTTAATTAATATTGGATGGTAAAGCTAAGAATAGACCACAAATTTTGAGTTCTCATTTATTTTGGATACCACATGCATATAAAATTTGATTTATTTTGATCTGAAAAAAGAAGAGATACCCATCAAGGGTTCATATATATATATAAATAGAAAGAGAGAACATTCAACTGATCATCATCTTGGGACCATTTTATATCTCCTTTTGTAGAAAACAAAAGGCAAAAGTGATTATAAAAGAAAAGGGAAAAGAGAGGAAGAAAAATTAAATTGGAAAAGAAGAAAAAGATCATTTTGGTCGTGTAAAGGTCTTCTGCAGAAGCAAATATTAAGTGGCCCTCAGGTTCTCTTCTGTATCTTTGTGTATGATCAACTTTCACTATACATATTTATTCACTTAAAAAAGTCATATATTGGATTAATACTTATCCTGGTTTGCCTTATTGCTTGGCCTTTCTATCCTCATCAAAAAAAATTGGACCACCATCATATAATCTGTGCTGAGTCCAGACAATTATCTCTATGATCATAACTTCATCATCGTCAATGCTTAAAATGCTAAATGGGGTATGACAGTGCTCAAGACAATTTGTCAATGAAGATTTAGGTAAAATAGTATGACACTTCTTTCCACTTTGATGTTACACAACAATCAACCTTTTCAGTCAAATTAAATTACATTAATTCATTGCTTACAAAAAAACAATCAGATTAAAATAATTATAGAAAATATTTCTTGAAATCAAGACTTTTGTACATAAAATGCTAAAATGATTGGAAAATTATTGTACATATGATTTGAAAGTTATTGAAAAGAAATTTGAAAATGACAGTCCATTCTTGGACACTGATTTGTATTCAGTCCTTATTATACACATCTTAATACATATCTATACAGGTCATACCGAAGAAAGAAAAAAGAAAAGAGAAAAAAGAAAAGAGAAAAAAGAAAAGAGAAGAAGAAGAAAATGTTAAGTTTCGATAGATAATTTTTGTCCTACTCTACCCCAGTCCAATCGAAGCCTGCTCTTAAAACAGGCACCGTTTCTAGTTTTTCTTTAAAAGACGGCCAAGCTTATCAAAATTTCGCCACACAAAATTGATTATATAAATACTGATGAATCAAGCAAGGTAAAAAAGAAACTTCATGTGACAGTTAGATTATTAAGAGAGGGTAAAGTGTGGAAGGATGTGGACATGACAATAATGGAGTTGCATCAGAGTACAGTAGTTAGGGTTTCATAATTTGTTGTTGGTGGGTTATATTCCGACCGACTGAAGTTGATGAGCATATTCATACAGTCGAATCTTGTTGGGTTGATTCACTATAAGACACATTAGCTAGTTAGCTAGCTACTCTCAACGTCAAAGGTTAGTTGTTAACCCGTAAAATCTTGTATTTTGTATCTTGTTTTGGACCAGAAGGGCATGCCCTACTAATTATTGTGTGGCCCAATTAATTCTTTGATAATGCTTTGGATTGCAGACTTTCTTCTTCTTCTTTAATCTATGCTTAAGGGTCTACGGATTATCTTGTGCTAAGTTAAGTTTATTTCCTTTCTTTTGGCTTTGTTGCAACTTGCTTTGCACATTCTCCCACAAACAAACATCATCATATTCATGTTTTCTCTTTTTCCATTATTCAAATTCCACTATAAATAAAAGATCAAATATAATCATATAAATATATATCGGATTGGCATTTACATTATGTCAATCCAATGCTCTCCCACTAAGACTCAAAGCTGTCGTTTTTTCAATAAAAATTAAATGTCAGTAGCCAAGTTAGATAGATAAATGACAGTGTTTTTCTTCAGCCGACAGCAACTAGTTGCAAATTCCTGTTTCACACAAGGCAAAAAGTACTATAAGCAGTTTTCAGCGAAGGAAACTTAAAGGAAGGAAGGAAGGAAGGAAGGAGAAGTTGCCCTACAAAGTCGTATGCATGGTCCAGAGGCACGTGATAGCCATGCAGACATTTGGCACTGAGTCACACCGCCGGGGCTGCTTTCTCTGCTACAGCTACGCATAATGCACATGTGTACTCGTGGATTTGGACCATCCATTTGATTTTGATCCATTTACTGCTCTTTATTGTCAGTGGTCCTTTATTAATCTATGGTAGTAAACTGTCTTCATCCTTCTATTTTTCCCATGGACCATTTCCCATTATTAACACTTAAAACGCGTTATGGTCTTTGAGTTAGACTTAGATTGTTATGTTTTCTTCTTTTTTGTTTTCTGATAGAGAATGACTTATGTACAGTTGGTTTAAATACATAATGCTCTATTTCTTTTACTTTTAGGCCATAATTTATTATATGTATTCAGTGTTAAATGCTCATTTCTATAATATAAAAATTTTTAGAGTTAATATTCTTGATTTATCCTTATTAATCCTTGAATTCAAAATTTCATTTATCATAGAAGCTGATAGAATGAAAGAGAAGAATATGACATCTCGCTGAATTAATGGTAGTTATAGCTAACTTGTATAATCTTTTAATGGTAATTTATATGATAATTTCCTTTTTAAATTATAGCATCCACTCTATTATTAATTTTTTAAAATTTTTATGTGTGATATAAGTTACTTGGATTGAAAAATCAATGTTTAAAGATTAGTACTAACTAATTAATTAGCTTTATGGATGTGATGTTTATTCAATGGGTGATGAACAGCTAAGTTATGCATAGACAGCATGGAAAAATAACGAGTGATAGAAAGAAATGGAAATAAATTGATAATTGTTTACGATATTTGCTATATGCAAATAATAGAAAGTAAACGTGGTTAAAGACTTAAAGGGCTAGGCTTTGGAGATAGAATCAAAAAAAAAGGTTATCCTTCGAGTGTAAAGAGTTGGCTTTATTACGTACATGAAAAGAGCAAGACAGGCAGGCGCGCGACTGTGAATGGGAGAAGACTACTGCATAGATTTTATTTATTGTTGTAACGAAGGAAAGCAATTTTGGTATTGACCAAACAATATTCTAAAATTTATTGGATTAAAACTAAATCATGCATACTCCTGTGTTAATTAACCAAAGAGTAAAATGCGAATCAATATCAATCAGGTATTATATGATTTGATATGAGAAATGAGAAGTCTTGACTAACCAAAGGATAAAATGCGAATCAATGTCAATTAAATATTATATGATTTTATATGATTTGATATGAGAAATGAGAAGTCTTGACTAACCAAAGGATAAAATGCGAATCAATGTCAATTAAATATTATATGATTTGATATGAGAAATGAGAAGTCTTGACTAACCAAAGGATAAAATGCGAATCAATGTCAATTAAATATTATATGATTTGATATGAGAAATGAGAAGTCTTGACTAACCAAAGGATAAAATGCGAATCAATGTCAATTAAATATTATATGATTTGATATGAGAAATGAGAAGTTTTTTGTTTCAATTATCTTGATTATAAAAAATTTTCACCAATTTTGGTGAATAAAAAGAAAACATTACTTCTATTGTGTACTTTATCGTATATTTTGGTCTATTTTCCTCCCGATAAACATCATAAGTGAAAAAAAGGCAATTTTGATATGCATAATCAACGCTTTTCTTTGCCCTTTCTTCAACATGGTATGCTATTTAGGACCACCATTTGCAACTTGCATCTTCAATCATTAGACCATCCCTAGTTCCATATGTCATAGCTAAGAATTAAATCTGGAAGAGAGTACCAATTTCTCGAATTTCTGACTTTCTACGCTTTGAGTGATACATACAGTAGTCGAATGACATGTATTGTCCTATTCTAAAGTGATGGAATACTCTGAAGTGTATATATAGATTTTTATTATTATTGCAGTCACTCTCTTATCTCACTTAATTAATTAGAGAAACATCAGTTCAACAAACATTCACCATGATTAAATGATTTGAGAACGATTCTTTGCTACCTAAATCTTGGAATATTGTGATTGATTGCTTCTAGAACTGTACATCATCTTCGTGTCTTTTCAAAATTTCCTGTGGGGAAAAGATAAACAAAGTTATATTTTACACTTGAAAAATGCACTTATTAGGGTGAAAACTGAAAAGGGTAAATAATATATTATTATTGCTAAATCGACAGGTTAGAAAAATTATATGCTACGTGAAAATCAAGTTGGAAGTCCTATTGCATTAAAGTGAAAAAAGAGAGCTCCATCAATGATTTGAGGATGAGATAGATAAATCGTAGCCACCAAAAGAATTGTTGAAGCGAAGAAAGGTTTGTATCCCCAAGAGAGCTAAGCAAAAAAGATGCATCTTTTTTATCTCCCTTTTGATAGTGTAAGGAGATACGACTGCATAAAGAGCAGATTCCATTACTCTACTCCACATGGACATTGTGGCTTTTGTAGTGGAATTTGTCTCCTTTCTCTGTTGGAATCTCAATGGATACTAGAAGAATCTTCCCTAGTTTCAAAACAGAATGTACAAATTCTAGCTATACCTACTAAAAACAAAATCGTCAATAGTCAACGTCTACATATATTAGATTCCATGTTGTAATAATAACACAGTATGTGTGAGTCGTTGGCTCTGTTGGCAGAATACAGGAATCTGGGTAATGGGATCCACGCTCCACACCAGGTTTAGTGGTACTGGAGAGTGCACTATAGATTCTTTCTGTATTTACATTCCTCTTTGCAGGAAGAGAGCGTCTTTGTTTTTATTTAGTTTTAGGTTGTTAGAGTGAAGGGATATAAGAAATCCATTTGTTTCAATCTAAAAACCTTGAATCTATAAGATTCCCTCAATCTAGAGGATATACGTTGAAACGGGGAAGGATTCCATTTTTATATATTAAATCAATTAAAAACAGTTTTTTTTTTCATTGCAAACGAGAGGTATTTGTGACTGTTCATAGGGGAAAAAAAAAAAAACAGAAACCGTATTTTAAAGAACTTTTTTTTGATTGGGTCGCGTGTGATGTTTTTATACACTACGTGTAGACAAAGCAAAACAATTGGCCTACACAAGCGGTGAGGATACAACATGTTGGCCCAAAAATAAGATGAAAATGGGCTGTTCAAATTATATAGTCCAAACTAACTTGGATTTACCGTTTTGGACCTTTGTTTAGCTTTGAAACCAATATGTTATAGAAAGAAAGTTTATGGGCCTCCAATTGGCCCAATAAGTTGAACCTTAACCCTCCTGAAATTATGAATGCATACACAATTATTAAAAAAGAAAAAAAACACAAATATATAAATGAAAGTTGAAAGTGTTACTGAAAAAAAAAAAATATTTATCACAAAATAATTATCTCAAATTATATCCATAATCAAATCCTACACCAAATTAGAGGAAGGAAAAATTGAAAATACACAATAGAAACATCGTAGTTAATCAAAGTCAGAACTGCAAGCTTCTAGCGCTTAACATTTAATGCTTGAATTCTTTAAAAAAAAAAAAAAAAACACTTAATACTTGAAATACTCTAAACATTGTCTTTTCATGTTCTTCATCTCAAACTCATTAGTATCACAAAACTCAGAGAATTGAGGAACTTGCATTTGAGAAGAAACATTAGGCATGATTGAGCCTTGTCCAGAACCTAACAGAGACAACTGCCTCATTTCCCCGCAATAGCTTACTGGATGAGGGATCCCACCATTATGATTATTCAATATCACCATATTACCTGCCGTCTGATCAGCTTCTTGAGCTCCAAATTGACTCAAATCTGTACCGTTGGCTTTCATCATCATCATCATCATCATAGGACTATTAAGAGGATTAACATTAAAAGGAAGCACCTGATGATGATCAAATGGCTGCTGTAATTCTGTACACTTTTGTTGCAAGGCATTAGCGAAGGTAGAAGCCATTGAATTGTATCTATTATTAATATTATTATTGCTCGAGCTTCCTTGAATAATATTAACTGACTTGGAATCTTCACCGATCATCAAATAATTGTCACCTTTTATCTTCAAAATCCTACTCATTGCAGTTTCAAGCTTAGACTGTAAAACAGTATGCAATAAACAGAGTTCTTCAAGTTCCGATGAGTTTAAACGATTATCCCAAGTAGGAAACTTGGCTTCCAAACAGGCCCTATGCATTTTAGTAATCTCATCGTCCAATTTTCTCTTGCGAGTCTCAAAAAAATGCGACAAATCTTGACTTTTCTTGCGGTCATTGCCATGTGATTTGTAACGGTCTATAATTTTCTTGATTTCGGAGTGATCGGTCGGGCAGGTATCGACGTCAATGGGACGGTTACTGAATTTCGGACCAAAGATTATCACACAAGCATCTACGTCGCAGAGAACTCGAAACTCGTGCAGTTTCTTTGTCAAACCTTTCTTTCTTTTCTGATATGTCACCATGCGAGACCTCTCGTTGGTAATTAGTTTCATGCTCAGCTTTCCACGTCCCATCTCTTCGATCTACATTTAAAAAAAAAAAAAGAACTGAAATTATCAGAAAATTAATATTTAAAGTATCCTATAAAACAAATTGCAACTAACAAATGGAGAAATTAATTACAAAAACACTTTCTGCCATGAGCTCGAAATGAAATTAGTTTCATTTCCCAAAAAGGATATAGATATACTCGGAAAACAAAATGAAAAAAATACCAAAAAAAATTTGATAAATTAGAAGACATTTTAGACTTGAATGGCTATGTTTTTGCATAAAGGGAAACACAATGGAGAAGGTGTTGGTATAATAAGAGAGAAACCTGGTTTTAAAAGCCTTTGATCTAACTACAGCAAGCCAAGAATGGAGATTTTTCATTTTTTTTTTTTTCCATAGAGCTTTATAAAGGGAAAACTGTGTTGCTTCATAATAAAGAATATTACTATTATGGAAAATGAATCATCATCCGCTGATTTTTGCATAAAAAAATTAGGAATTTAATTTGTATAGCAATGCCCAACAGGCGGATTTTTCCATTTTGCTATCTTGCAGGCCGACAGAACATTGCTAATACCATATTACTATATTTGGAATCCCATCACTCACTCTAAATAGGAAATACATTTATTACTATCTCTTATTTATTTAAAAAATCATTAAAATGAAAGACATTTTATATATATGGAAACAAAAATCTTTCCAAGCTGGATTTCAATTTTCATTTCAACTGATTCATTTTTGCATCAAATATTTTCCTTATCATTTATATTATGGACCAGATCATCTTGATTAAAAAAAAAAAAAAAAGTTTTAACTAAGCATTAGTTGGGCTGGGCTTCATCGCCGTATTGTTAGTTTGGGTTGAGAGGATTTCTTTATAGTCTATGACTTAGTAACCAAAGTTGGGCCTAGATGAATTAGTTTGCATGATCTGATCCAGATAATTTATTTTAAAGAAAAATTCACATTCAGAATTTTTTTTTTAATAATAATAACAATTTAATAATCAGATTAATGAGTGAATATAAACTTTCTTTCATGATTTTTTCTGGCTTTGATTCAATCAATTTCTGCTTCAAGATGAGAAGAAATAATAGTAAAAGCTTTAATTGAATCTTCTTTGCTGTCTTAATTACCTTTTTTTTCGCAGAATAATTGTGCATCTTATCAAATATGTCCTATTAAATGCATTATCCGAGAGAATTAAAATGGAAATTGATAATTAGAAACTGATTACACAAAACATAACCAGAGACATAAAATCTATAAATCAAAAAAGAATATAAACAAAAAATAATAAAAAGACAACCTGAAACATTGTCAGAAATTCTCCATCTTCATCAAATCTCCTTTAGGAGGAGAAAATTAAGCCTATAGTCTAATGGAAGATAGACTATTTGGCTTTGAATTGACACTGCGAGGAGTTCCAGCTGGTTGAACAAAAATTTCTGCATACATTTCCATGAAGAAATTGTCAACAATGTCCAGATAAGCAGGGCATGTTAAACGAGAATAATAATGGAGAATCTCTTCTATGTCTAGAACATGATCCACATTACTAACATCCATCATTTCTAGCTCCCTTAGCTTCTGCGCCACCAAAAAGCTCCTTCCGTCATCTTTTACGCTATAATTTGAACTATTCTCCACCAATCTTTTCCCTCTTTGGAAACCCTTGCCCTTGTTATTACTAATATACGTTTTAACAGGACTCTTCTTCGAGAATTTCATGAAACTTCCATTTAGACCATCACTTTTTTCTTGCTTGGCTGGTGATGACGGTCGCGGTTGTTCTATCTTCTTCTTGTTTCCTTTATTCATTTCCTTTCCTTTATCAGTATCCCACCTGTCGCTGAAGTCAGTGTAGAAGTTGTCCAAATCATTTTTATTGAATCTTGTTTGGACATTAGAGTACGGATTGTATGGAGATAAGGTTTTGGGCATTTTTTCGTAAGAAGAACCAGAAAAGAAAGACTTGAAGCTTTGTAAGGTTTTCTGGAAGAATTTCTTGGTGTTGGAGAAGGAGCTTTTTAGCAACATTGTCAATGGTGGTGGTTAGTTCAGTTGTTTTATGTGGAGGTACAAAAGAAACAGATACTATTTGTCTCTCTATCTCTCAGTTTCTTTATAGAGAAAGAAGAGATAGAGGAGCCATGAAAGGTTCTTGAAATTACTAAAGAGAAAGAAAAGAGAATGCAGTGGGCAGCATTATGTCTGTTTGTCTTTACACGCTCTTCTTTTTTCTTTTTGTTGTATTAATTTCTTGAAATCCAGCTGAGTCCCCACCCACTGATCATATCTCTCTCCCACACACGAAGGTATCGAAAGAAAATGGTAAAGCTTATGTGAAAGTTTGATGAATATTTATTATAAGAAAGTTTTCCATCATTTTTACTTTGTAAGGTGGAGTTGGTGTGTAGGGCTCTTTGGGAGAAAGGAAAGGAAAGGAGCGGGTGTGGTTGTTGAACTGGCTCTTTCTTTCTCTACATTCTTTGGCTCTAGCGGCTTGTTGGTAAGAGTTCTGTTATCGTATATTGCCTGCTGTTCTCCCTATATATACACATACAAATACATTCTCATTGTACATCCCCATATAAGATTTAATTCAATAATAAATAATGGGGCCACAGAATTGCAAATTAAGTATTATCAACTATATTAATCACATGGAGACAAAAAAAAAAAAAAAAAATTGGTGTGTTGAAGATTTTTTTTTTTAATTTTTATAAAAAAAAAAAAAAAAAATTGTGTGTGAAGATTTTTTTTTAATTTTATGATATGGCTCTATAAATCAAATTTTAATTAACAAAATGAGAGTAAACTCACTTGTTTAATGAATTATGAGTTTAAATTTAATAAATACTACTAACTAATTAGTAGGATAATTAAAATCATTGGAGGTAGGCATGACGTCTATGTAATAAGGTGTAGAGTATCTCTCTCATAGACACTTCAATCATTAGGATGTCTCTTTTAATCGATGTAGTAATTAGTAATTAGGATTAGATTTGTTTATTTTGCTCGTAATATATTAAAATGTTTTGGTTCGAGAATCATAAGATGATGGACCATTCCCTCCCCACTATAAGACAAATTCCCGTGAATCACGGATTGGATCGACTTGCACTATTTCTACACTATTAATTAAGTCAAAACCAACACTAATTGACCAAAAGTAAGCCATAAGACCAACAATGTCTCTAATCATTGATGATTTTTTTTTTTTTTTGGGATGAATGATATTATTTTATTTGATACATTAATACCCAATTAATATTTAAAATTGAATCATTAACTACTATAGTAAGCAATTTATCATTGTATTCTAACAATATTGAAATTAATTTTTTTTACACCCAAATATAAACCTATAGCCTGGGTGATTCCATAGATTGCAGGGGCAACGTATGTTACCGTTAAGCAGCATAATTATACTTTGGCTTTTTAGGTATTATTATTATTATTATTATTATTATAAAGAATGTTGGCGGCTCGGAGTAGGAGTTAATGGAAGACAAAAGTGACTAGTGATTAGGACAAGAGAGCTGTTGAGGTCTAAGAGAAGATATAGGGATAGTTGTATACTTTTTGATAATGTTTGACCAATTGCTACTGGCCACGCGTTTTGGCGTTCGGAACCAGTCTCCATCCCTATCTAGTTCCTTACTATTCACTCTGACCTAACGGGAACCGCTCTTCGTACGGCTTCATTTTTTTTTACCCTTTATTAATTAACCACTTCCTATGACTTTTCAATTTCATCAAGTAACACAAGAAATAAGTAAAGCTTTAATCAAGAAAGCATCAACCTAAGAAAAAAAAATGAAAATAGAAAAGAAAGACAAATAAATAATGTGAAAACAAGTTGTATTGATATATTATTCACTTGCCTTTACAACCAGCATAATAGGAATTTCACTAAATGGGGATACAATGCCTATCTAAATTGGAAATAAAACCTTATAAAAATTAAAGTTTAATATAAAAAAAAAAGATTTATAAAATTATTCTGAGTGGAAACAAATTTGTATAATTACTAACTATGACGGTATATTTGCAACTTTTTTGGACCCTAAAACTTAATTTTAAGCCGATGTCAATATTACTATGGAAAATAATATTTATCTAATGAATGGTAAACGTTCATTTTCACCTTTATTTCTATCATTTTCATATGAAAGACGAGAAAGAAGAGGAAAATGAGAAAGTTCCTTACGGCACCTAGTTTAAATGTATGGAATTCTATTCGATTTCATCATCTTACTAGTTGTTACATAAAATTAGAAAGGCTTGGCAAAGAGCCTCCTAAAATGATGTATGAAGCTGCTTTTCTTTGAGAAGATGTATGCAGCTTTTATAAGCAAATGAAGCAAATGAAGGTGAAAAAACGGAAATGCCAAACAAAGTCAAAAAAAAAAAAAAAAAAAAAAAAAAAAAAAAAAAAAAAAAAAAAAAAAAAAAAAAAAAAAAAAAAAAGAAAAGACGTTAGGATTTGAACGTATTTTTTAAAAATACTAAGTTTAATACTAAACTTTTTTTTTTTTGGTTTTTTATTTATATTTTTAGATTTAACATAAATTAAATTAAAAAAAATACTTAAAGCCGAGGCCCAATATCGTTGTTTGTCTATGGAATGAGGGTTGATGGTTGGGAGATATCAAAAGCCCAGAAAGAATTGGATTTTGAGCAAATATAAGAGGCAGAGAATAGGCTCAAGAACCCAAAAAATGCTTGGCATTAATGGAGAAATGGTAAAACCCAGTCCAGTAGACAGACGACCAACCAACAGGAATCATAAATAAAAATCACATTCTTTAATATAATTGGCAACTGGGTTGTCAATTTTTTGTCATAAATTCAAAAGAGAAGTCCTAGATTATTACAATTACACTTATCATTTAAACAGAGAAACAACTTTCTTTCCAAACAAAGAATCAAAACCCTCTCCTCTTTATATAATCTGACGAAACATACCTATCCACCAGAACCCCAGATTTTTGCAGTTCTAATTACTTACACATTAATCGCACAATACCCAACAAATTTGCAAGTTTTGGGCTCACATTCCATCTGCTTCCTCTTAACCATTTTATCATTCCACTGTGTCTTCTCTTACAATTTTCGATTTTTAAGCCTTGTTTGAAATCGACACATGACTGTTTATAGCAAACTCTATTAGATAATGGCTCTATGACACATCAGTTTCACATACCCTTTTCCTTTTTATTTGTTCTTTTTTTATTTTTTTGTGTTCAGAAATGGAAGCAAAATTGCTCAGTCCTCTCCTACTCCCCTACATAGAGAGAGCCCTTGCATGCTCACATGCATTAAAATTATTTTCCAATCACTTCAATTCAATTTCAAAAATTTAAAAAGAAAAAACAAAAGTAAAACTCTGTCCAATGTTGGGGTGGTGGGTTGTGTTTGTGTTTGCTTTTTGTCTTGCCTGTATTACATTGTAATAGGAACAAATGAACTATAATTATTAATTTGATTTGGTTAATAATACAACAAAAATGGATACACCTAACACATAATGCCATTTTTGTCTCCTTTATTTATTTATGTCCAATTTATTTTCCAAGACTCAATTTTTAAATTGGCTGCAGGCATCATGCCGTTTTTATGGCTTTTTATTATTTATATAAAATTTTCAAATTTTCTCTATGTTGTTCAACTTCTAGCAGATGATAAAATGAATCAAAATCTCTAATATTCTTGCCTAATAGACATAATATCTTTGTATTGAAAAGCAAATGCAACCAACAACAGACAATTGACTTTAAAAAAATTATTAAGATTTATTTTTTTTTACTTGTAAAATAATGAATTAATTAATACAAGCTTCTCGAATTTTGGTTGTCAGTTGTTACTTATCAAGCTTAACACTGTAATTGTTCAGTGATGTTTGTTGTACTTGGTGTTGAGTTCTGTAACTGTAAGCAACTCTTGTCCCACAAGTCCACGATGCCAAACTATACGGATCCAGATTATTAAATTTCAATGTACCCTTAATTCATACATGCATCTTTACATATAAAGAATGAAAGTCTTTTTTTTTTTTAAATATTATTAAACAGATTACACCTAAGACGAGGGGTGAAAATTACAAATACAAATAATTAGTTAAGGAAGAATTTTTGAATTTAAAAAACTTTTATATATACATCACAATCTTCTCCATCTTCTTCTTTTGCTCCATTCCATCTTGTCAACGCAGTACATCCCACAGTAAACCTAAAAGATGACAAGAAAACCCTACTGTAGTGTACCTTCAAAACAATATCACAGTAAAAATGGAAAAAAAGAGAAAAAATACCAAGAAAGGAGACAGGATCTGCACCAATGATCGAGATCTAATAGTAAAGGCAATCATGTAGAAAGAAAGAAATTAGATCATATGATTTCGACAGAGATTTTATCATTTTCATTCAAAAAAAAAAAAAAAAAAAAGGGGGGGTTATCATTTTTCATTCAAAAAAAAAAAAAAAAAAAAAAAAAAAAAAGGGGGGGGCAATTCATTAACGCGCAGTTAATCATAGTTAGAACTCTAAACTACAATAATATTATAACAGAAAAGAACAGAGTACATTAGTTTTTTTGACTAACACGAGTTAGAAAACAAGGCTTCCCATATCTCTGTAAAAACCTCCACAATGATCCTATGATGATGATCAGAGTTCAAAGACAAGAAACACTGTAAAAGCTGTTCAAGATCCTTAGCTGCAAATATCTGTTTTTCAACGATCATTTCCACCATTGATGTCCTGAAATCATTATACGGATCACTAGAGCTTTTCACCACTGCAAAACTATCCTTCACTTTTCCATGCAATGGCAGAACGGTACCCATTTGAGAACAATTCTTAGAGGACGTAGGTCTTCTCCGGCGAGAACTGTACTTTTTACGGCGCGAACGGTGGCGGTGAGATCCTGATGAATCTGAAGACAGGCTTCTCGAAGAAAAAAGCGTATCTGACTCGCCTTCTCTTTCGTCTTCATCTTCTTCGCTGCTAAACCAATAACTACCTTCAAAGTATGCACTGTCTTGAGAAGATGAGCTAAACAGATTAACGTCCCTTCTATTACTCTTCAAAAAATGGCCATGGCCATGGCCATTGTTCTTTTTCTTTTTCTTTTTCTTGTTCTTTACTGAGTTCGAACTCTTCTTGAAACCAGATTCTCTGTAAAATGGATTCAATGGAGAAGCGGGAGATGCAGGGGGACAAGTATGTCCATCAACATTCATGGATATAAAAGGAGGATATCGACCCGATATTTTCTGTCTGGGGAAAATAGAGTTAGTAATGGCTTTGGTTGTTGTTTCGGGGCATTTGGGTCCGCAAATGGAAGGGAAGGATCGCACTTTAGGATGCAAAGGCTCCATCATATGGAAATGGAAGTAGTCCTTTTGGCTTTGAGGAACAAACACAGCTTTTTCTACAACATCCGATAAGTTTCCGGTCCGACACGAGCCAAAGGAGCCACGAAACATGCGAGAGAATCGCAATTTGAAGGTGTTTTCCATTAGAAAAGGAGAGGGTAGAGAGGGAAGAGAGAGCTTGTCTTGGACAGAGAGGTTTTTTTGAAGAAGAAGGAAGTGGCGGTCTTTGGTGAGGGAATATAAAGAGGCAAGCAATGCAAAGTGGAATTATTTTTATTTTATTTTTTTATTGAGATGAGTTTTTACTTTTCAATAATAATAAATTAATAAATAGGTCTGTGATACTTTTTTGCTGTTTTTTCGTCCTCTCTTTTGTCTGTTTCTGCCAAAATATGGATTTAGCTTCATCAATGATCAATCATTAATTAATTATTGACATTTTTTTTATTTTTCTCCATGATTTATGTTACTTTATTTTGAAAACACATATTAATTAATTAACATTTCTTGCTCATTTTAGAGTGTGATGAAATAAACGTTTCAAAGAGAAGTTTCCCATTAATTATTATTATTATGTCTAATCACGAAGAGTTAATGGTGGATAGGGTCAGATAAAGGTGATCAGCAAGTCAATCAAATGCCTCATTTGGGAAATAATTTCTAAAAAATAAGACTACCCAGGAAATGCTAACCAGCCCATTACTGAGCAGAGTACTTTTTGTATAGGAGGGGACCAAAAAAATTATATATATATATATATATATAAAAAAATATATATATATATATATATATAAGAAAACACTTTTTGTGAGTGTTATATATATATATATATATATAAGAAAACACTTTTTGGGGTGTTTGAAATTCAAATTACAATGCCGAGAATTTGTTAAGAAAATTAATTAATTAAATAAAGACACATGGCATGAGGCTTTTTGTAGATACATTATCTTCACAGATAAATTACTAATTTTTTTTAGAACCGGAAGTGTGATCTCTTTTCATTTGTGGGACCTTAAAGAGATATTAATATTTGTTCGGCTATAAAGTGTAAAGATTTTAAATTAATCGGTTAATTTACATAAATAGAGTTTGAATTAATTAATGACATTTCAAACCTAAATTAGCTAGCCTGATACTTCCATTTTTGGTCTGAATGCAAGAAAATGACTCAATAATGTTTAAAATTTGGTAAGTTTCAAATTATAAAACATTTTTTCCATTGATGAATAGAAGAATCAAGTACTATTTAGTTTCCACTCTTCCAAACTGCGTAGCTATTTATATGTAAAATAGACAAGTACAAAAATGTGAAAAAGATGTCATAATGCTTGTAGCTCTAGCTAGTACAATCAAAAAATGAATTCAAAAATTTGTTATTTTTCAATTTGATTATCTCAATTGGTACAATTTTAAAAGCAGGATTATCCGATGATTAATCCTAATAAACCAATTCATACATGCGCATTTATATATTATTTTTTGGATTTCTGAAGTATTTATCTATCCTTAATTAAATATTTACAATTCCGTTCTTAATGTTTTATGCATTGGATATTTAAAGTTGATTTTGTTGCAAAAAAAGGTTTTTAGCTAAATTGTACATAAAAGTATAAATTCCCTAATTTGAATGAGTTTCAATTAGGGTAACCACCTCGAGAGAATGCCTGAGATTGAAAAAGACATGTGTGCATGAAGCATGGAAATGGAAGGGTGGTTGGGCAGCAACTATATCTGTTTTGTAGTACTTCTTCGTATATATCAAAAAATATGACCTATCAATCACTCTTTACAATCAACTATTTCGAAGTAACCCACCAACCCAATTGGTTCATACTTGTCCCACCTTTTTAAATATTTAAATTTGTACGTCTATGTTCACCGTATATTGTTTCGACGTAATATAATAACTAATGATATTGACTTGTCTAGACTAAATCCATAACTCTACACATGAATCAAATAAATAAAAATATAAGTTTTTATTGAAATAATCGTATTTCTGATTATATATTAGCAAAGAATGATAATGTATGAATAATTTTTAAAAAATTTTTATTTACATTGATTTGGGGAATGAGATGCATGAAAATGGGGCCAAAATGGTTTTCCAAGAGAGACAGAGGAGAGGGGGAAGTGTTTAATTTTGAAATGTGAGAATCAGAGTGGAGGACAAAGGTAACATTGTTACCTTTTCCCTTGTTTCTTGCTGGCAAATTTTAGTTACCTTTTCCATGTTCAAATCCATATGGATTTTATATAAGTTTGTCAATTTGCTTTTGTCTATAATGAACTTTTCACCCTACATATAAAAAGACGAGTGAAGAAGTCTACCCCTTTGGCTGCCTCAAGAAGTTGAATCTTTGAGAGTACTCTTGTCTCTATTCCCCATAAATTTTTTTTTTCTTTAAAAATAATGATACCCTTTTCTTTATAAAAATAATAATAATAATAATAATAAAGAAAATCAAGGCCTTATATGGTCTCTCCACTTCTTTTTCTTAGAAGAGCATCTGAGGTCTTAAAGAAGCTTCCAAGAAGACAAAAACACATGAAAATTGCAAGTCTTACTCTTTAAATACACTACCAAGAGCTAACAGACAGTTTTTTTTTTTTTTTTTGGTTTTTTTTTTGTAAATTGGATTCAGCTTTTCAAAGTGTTTTTTTTTTTTTTTTTTTTGGTAAATTGGATTCAGCTTTTCAAAGTGTTCAGTGACAAGAAGAAACTATTGCCTTGACATTGATTTCCTAATTCCTATTCCCACTTTCTCTCTCTCTCTTTTTATGATTAATATTTGAAAATGCTCTAAAAATTTCAAACCCTATTTTTGCATTTTTCTAATTGGAGTATTGTGTTTGACTAAGGGATTATGACTTTTCACTAATTTTTGTTTTATTTACCTCCTATGCGTTTGTCCTTTACGTAATTAAACTTCCCTGCCGGCATGTAATTAATTTTCCACTTAAGAAATTTACTGAACTCATTATATTTTCACCACAAACACATTCAATTATTACATTTGTGTCATGGGCCTTGCATTGTCAATGGGCTTAGCTTTATCCTCAAAGAGAGCCCCAATCTCTTCCAAGGTCTTTCCTTTCGTCTCTGGCATAACTAAATAAAAGAAGAGCGTTCCAATCACCATAATACCTGCAAGCATAAAAAATACTCCCCCAAAAGTTATCTTCTCAGCAAGGGTCAAAAAAGTCATGGACACCAACCCGCTAACCAACCGGTTCACCGAAATGGCTAAACCTGAGCCTTGAGCCCGTAATCTCAAGGGAAAAATTTCCGATGAGTAAACCCATGTAATGGGCCCGAGCCCAATAGAAAAGAAAGAAACAAACCCACAAACTGCTATTATACCCAACACAATAGCCCATACAGGCTTGGTATTAGAATGATCAAGAACCATAGAACCCGATCCTAAAACCACCAACGAAACCGTCATTCCGGCGGAGCCCAGCAGCAAAAGTGGCCGTCTTCCAAAGCGGTCTAAATAAAGAGCAGATATTAACACGAAGAAAGCTTTAGAACATCCCATAATTACATTGACACCAAAAAGAGTTCTTTTGTTGTGAATTCCTGCGGCTTTGAACACTTCAGGGCAGTAATATATAACAGCATCATTACCTGAAGCTTGCATGAAAAAATTAATCCCAACAGCAGCGATAAGCATCCGGATAACCGGCCTAGATGGTCTTAATAACAGTTCCTTCCAAACCCCTTGTCCATGCCAAACATCATTAGAACTAGAAGCTGAGGCTGCTTTTATTATTTCTGCAAGTCTGAACTCAGCTTCCTCTGTACTATCTGATATTTTAATCAAAACCCTTTTTGCATTATCTATTTTACCTCGCATTACAAGCCAACGAGGCGTTTCTGGCATTGCAGTAACGCCAATGCCAATGAGCAAAGAAGGAATCGCCGCAAGACCTAACATTAGCCTCCAGTTTATATGTTGTGGCAAACCTGATAAGGCATAATTAACAATATAACCTAAAAGAATTCCAAAAACAATAAAGACTTCAGGGAGAGAGGTGAGGAAGCCACGTGTCATGGCTGGAGATATCTCAGCGGTGTAGACTGGAGCGATCATGAGAGAATAACCGACACCAATTCCGGCAATAATTCGACCAGCCATAAGGAAAGGGAAAGACGGTGCTAGACCCATTAAAAGAGCACCCACTATAAAAGTGGTTGCAGCTAATACTATAGTATAACGTCTGCCTATTTGATCTGAGGTTTTGCCTGACGCCAGCGAGCCTAAAAGTGAACAAACATTCAACACTCCTACCAAAATCTCCACTTGGGTTTTTGAAATTTTCAGGTTTTCTCTAATGTAAAGTACTGCACCGCTCATCACACCAATATCTGTATAAAAAAGAGAGAAATTTAATGATTTGGTCAATTGTTTTTTCTTCGGATTGATGAATCGTACTTAAATTACATACCGTAGCCTAACAAGATAGAATTCGTGGAAGCCAAGAGAGCGCAAGCAAGAGCATAATTGTTGAGACGGGGACGTTCTGTTTCAGGTGACTTGGGTGGTGGTGGAGATTCAACCACGATAGCCTCCATCATCTGAGCTGCGGAGGGGTATTAGGTGGGAGAGAGAGTGAAAGTGAGAGTTTGTATGGATGTGGAAAGAAAAGTAAATTCCATTTGGGATAAACAAAAATAAGGCTGGGTTATTAATAGCAGGGATATGCAGTAGTACACTTGTAGGTTATTCATAAATAGTGATAAATGTTTCACGTCTATGGGTATGAGGTGATAAAGACATGGCGCTGATAAAGACATGATCCACATCAAGACATGTAAGAAGGTACATCATCTTTTCCGCTTTCATATGGAAATTAAACCACACCCCCATTAACTTCAATGGTTGAGTGTCCAAATCATTTCTTTTCTTGTTTCCATAAGATAAATTACAGAAAAATTTTTCATAGTTTCCAACTGTTCATTAAAACATTTAATAAAATAGGTTAAAAGAAAATATTTTCCTAGTGAAAGACAAAATAAATCCTTTTCAGTTTTTCTTTTTTTAGCATTTTTTTCATATTTAATAATAAAATTTTTATCATTATAAATATTTTTATAGTTTTATGAATTAAAGATTTCAAAATTTTTAAACTAATTTTCAATATTCCAAATGTTTTTTTCTAAATTGATAAAGCTAGGTCATGCTGATATTGTGAGTTATATGTTAAGAACAAAATTTCTGACTAATACATGTGAGTTACAAAAAAGCTTATTTAACGTCCTGTCACGAAGAATATGCAAGAGCTTCATGCCAAATGTCATGATTAGTAGCTACCATTTCATTCCTAAACCTAACATAAATGATTATTTAATGTGGTTAATGTCGTTAAAAGAATTAATTATCCATTTTCATATTGGCCCCGTTAAGCTTTATACGTGAGCTGCTTTTTGCCACCCACTTTTGCAGCGCCTCAAGTTTTGAGACCTTGGTTTTGCTTTTCCATAGTGAAGCCAACGTATTTTTTTAAAAAAAAAAAAGCAAAAAGAAAAAAACAGAAGTCAAAAGCTTATTGCAAAAGTAGCCTCCTAGTCCTAAACAAGGTAAAAGGGGCTCCAAGTTTATTGGACCATAGATAATTTGCACTGTAATAATCGTTCAAATTAGGACAGCGATACAAAATTATATTGTTTCAACCACTCGCTCAAAGTTTGGCGACAAAATGATTCTGCCTACTGCATCAACATGGGAGTGGATCGGAAAGGCGCGTCTTCTGTTTTGGAAAATGAAAACCCTAACCAACGCTAATTATTAAAGGAAAAAACATATACTACTATAATGAACAAGAACAAGACAATCTCTCCTTTCTTCCTCTTTTATCTTATGTGCATTGTCCTCTGTTTCGTCAAATTTCTAGCACTAAATGTAGTTCTTTTTTTTTTTTCCCCACGAGCATCTCCAAGACTTTGCAGAGATGAATGCTCTAAATGCAACTTTTTGACACTTCTTATTATATCATCTTATACAAAGCAATATTAGTTCATGCCGTCACCAGTTTCATCACTCCAAGCTATACAACTCAATACAATCCCAAATTTTAAGAAACCAATTTCCATCTTTTACAGAAAGTGTGTGCTTCCTCCACTTCCAAATTGGATTTTGTTCATCATTTTCCATAATTGAAACTGTAATTATCTGGGTATATTTTGAATCAACTAACGAAATGTCTTTCATTTTCAGGGACTTTATCTTCAAAAAGAACCCCAATCTCTTCCAAGGTCTTGCCTTTAGTTTCAGGCAAAAAGAAATAAATGAAAACTGTTCCCACTACCATAATTAATGCAAGTGCAAAAAACATTCCTCCAAAGGACATTACTTCCGAAATGCTCAGAAATGTCATGGCCACAATCCCACTCACCAACCTGTTAACTGATATTGCTAAGCTTGAACCTTGAGCTCTTAACCTCATAGGAAATATCTCTGATGAGTAGACCCATGTCACTGGCCCAAGCCCAATTGAAAAGAAGGATACATCAGCACATACAGCCACTATAGACAATGCTACAGCCCACACAGGCTTGGTATCTGACTGCTCCAGATATTTTGAGCCCAGGCCCAATGCAGCCAATGAAATGGCCATCCCAGTTGAGCCCAATAACAATAGAGGCCGTCTCCCAAATCTGTCTAGGAAAAGAGCTGAAACCAACGAAAATGTTGTTTTGGCTATTCCCATTATTACTGTAACACCTACAAGCTGTTGCCTGTTTTCAATTCCAGCATCCTGGAACACGTGAGGGCTGTAATACACAACAGCATCATTACCTGAAGCCTGCATGAAGAAATTAACTCCAATAGCAGCAATCAGAATTCGACGAATCGGGCGAGATGGTTCAAAAAGTAGTTCTTTCCAAGCTCCTTGCCCACGCCAATTGCTTGAAGTGGCTCCGTGGGTGAAACCTTTAGCAGCTTTTATCATTTCAGCTAATCTCAGTTCTGCTTCCTCTCTAGAGTCTGAAGTTTTTATCAGAACCCTCTGTGCATCTCCGAACCGGCCTTTCATGACCAGCCAACGAGGGGACTCGGGCATCACCAAGACACCTAAAGCAACAATTACAGCAGGAAAAGCTGCAAGTCCAAGCATTAGTCTCCAGTTCTTGTTCTCAGGAAGACTTGATAGAGCATAGTTGGAGACATAACCAAGTAGAATTCCAATATTAATGAAGACTTCAGGCAGGGAAGATAGGAAGCCGCGAGTCATGGCTGGGGAGAGCTCTGCAGCGTAGACTGGAGCAATCATTAGGGAGTAGCCAACGCCAATACCAGCTACTACCCTTCCAGCCATTAGAAATGTGAAGGATGGTGCCAGTCCCATTAGAAGTGCACCGATAAGGAAAGTGGCTGCAGCCAGGACTATGGTATAACGTCTGCCAATATAATCAGATGTTCTGCCTGCTGCAAGTGATCCAATCAATGAACAAACGTTAAGAGAACCTACCAAGATCTCCACTTGAGTTGATGTGATCTTCAGGTTGTCCTTGATGTAGAGCACTGCACCACTCATCACACCAATGTCTGCACACAACAAAATTTCAACATAAAAAACGTCTTCTAATTTAACATTCCTCATCTTGTGAGATCTGAGGCCTTTTAATGATGAATCGATTGATATGGACATCAGAACTTAAAAAGGGGAAAAAAAAATCTCAATTGAAATAACCAAAATAAACCTCACCATAACCCAAAAGAACAGAATTTGTGGAGGCCAAAATGGCACCAGCAAAAGCATACTTGTTAATGCTAATCTTTCTGTGAGCTGAAACACCCTGTGGTGCCTTATCCTTGCGCTCTGCCTTGTGCCCTCTCTCATTTTCCAGATCAGTTTCTGAAGGCGAAGAAGATTCCTCATTAGGGAGCGGCTGGTAGTAGATATTTTTTTCTGATTCAAGGGAAGACCTGAATTGCATAACTTGATGATTGAATGCTGAAGGAAAAAAACCTGATATTTAGAATACTTAACAATAAGTGGCTCAACTTAAGACAGTCTGTTCATTCATTCTCCAGAATTAATGAGAAAAAAAACAAGAAAATGCGCTTTTATGTCTCCCTCAAATGGGTGGAAACTGGAAAGTGGAATAAGAGAGAACTTTTCTTTTACCTTTCAAAAGCCACTTTTTCAGAAGAACGCATGCCAGGCACGCTTCTTCACATGCTATTAAAAATAGAGAACCCAAGTGGACCTACCTACCTAAAAGATGTTACCTCCACCTTTCTCTAATTGAATTTTCAACTTCAAAAGCTCACATGGGACAAATCTTGAACAATGGTTTTCTTCTAGAAAATGTGTTTTAAGGAGGCTATAGGCATACAGATACCAACCTAATCATTGACCTTCATGCTTTTTTCTTAATCACACCTGTGGTCAAAATGATTGCTGTCTAGTGTCTTACCCAATAACCTAAGCAAGATTGGGAAACTTTTGATTATCCAAATCTTTGCGCATATACAGGTAAGGAATAAGAGGATTTCTCTGGGGATAAAGGTGGATTTCCAGCATCATGCAGCCACTTTGAACCCCAGTGCCTGGAGTTGTTAAAACTTGAAGCCAAATGAACTAAAGGTTGAAAACTTAGTTCCACAAATTAACAAACAATAGCCACGGATGACGATGTGAACACACATCTCAAAAAGAATATGCCCTTTTTATTTTTGTTTTTTTATGTTTTTGAAGGTAAGCCCAGTCAGTGAATCCAGGTGTGCTAATATTTAATATGCCTGAGTGCTTTGACCATTTCATAGTTTCTTGTAAAGATGATATGAATGGTTCCGTATCTATCTAATACACAAGTTCTAACTCCCAAACAATGCGACAAGTCTTCTCAACAATTCCAAGCTATTCTCCAACTGGAAAATTTAATATTTCACATGATACACATGCAACAACACACATTTCTAATAACAAATAAAAGAATAGAGAGCGATTCCGAAAACACACACAATAGCCAAGCTTAACAGTGTATCAAGTACAGAACAGTTTTTCAAAGCTAAAAACAATATGATTCACACGGTCCAGCTCCAACCAGTATAATCAGATCAAGATTTTACAGATATATGAAAACCATCAAGGGAGAGAATAATATTTCTTTAAAGTTATACACATGGTCCCAAAATCAGATTCCTATTCATTTTGATCATTTTCCTTGGTTTTTTCCAAGAATTAACTTACCATGGGAGAGGCCTCGATTAGTGAACGTTTTGATTGCAAATTGAGGGACAACTGAATTGATGTCCGAGCAAGCAAATTTCACATGGTACCGACTCCAACTCATCCCAATAACTGTACACATGTAATTTCTATAATTTGTACAACTGGACACAATGACCAAATGCATATGCAGTGTCCATACTAAACAATTTGATAACGTAAATACTTCGTTTACACAAATGATTCATCCATTCTTATCTCCTTAAATTTGGTCTAAAGTCTGAGGTCATAGGATCCTTGGTTAAAATATACAAGAAGGATAAATTATACAAGAAAGATAAATTGTGCTATATGCTTGATAAATACTAATCTCTATAACAAGCTGAAGAACATATTAGATCAAGAATGTATACAGTTTCTTAAGTTGAATTTTTTATTGAAGCCCACAACCAGAAAAACCAAACTGAAACTGAAAGATTGCTCTAGCAACAGTTCATGATTATAGTTTTAGTAAGATTGTATAATATATAACTAAGAGTGACTAGAGATGAATCGATTTTGTAAATTATCTATTTGTTTATTTGCGCCGAATGGATATAATAGATATGCAAAAAATTTACGCTCAAAACCCCAAATCTCAGCCACTTGTTTCCGACTAAGACCAAAGATCAACGCACAGTTCCTTCAGCTAATGAAGAATCTGGTCCCACAGTGCAGAAACGTGTACTTATAAACCAATAGAACGTGTAAGTCCAGCCTCCATTATTGTTCTTGGATCATCATCATCAATGACCTTTTCTTTTTACTTTTTTTCTTTTTTTTAATCAACTCAGGCCAGCAATCGCGCATAACACAAATCTTGTACTCATCAATGAATAATAAAAATTTAATAAGTTATACAAGGTGACAAATAATCCCAGCCACATCAACCCGAATTTTCTAATCCCTTCTTATCTTTTATAAAACATATTTTTAATGCATCTTTTATCTGCTACTGGAAGAAACATAATGCAGTCCGACATCATTTTCATTTTTAAATGTGATAAAGTAAATGATCTAGTAAACAAAAAACTTGAGATTTTTTTCTTGCTGAAATGACATAAGTTACATATCACACATGGACAGGTTTGAGGCAGAAATATCTCGACCAGCAGATAATTTTAAAAGAACAAATTAATAACGAGATACCAAGCAGAAAACAGAGGCAGTAACTATGACTAAAGATTTGTAGCACAATGATTATTCTTGAAAAGACATACCTGATATTTTCCTCTAATTGAATCAGGATTCAGGACACAGCAGTAAAACTAAAATAATTGGGAGGATAACAAAGTCGTTAGCGCTGCATTTGTTTGTGAACTTCTGAATCGTTTCAGCATCAAGCTTTGCACTTGCAGAGATCTTGTGGCATTCCTATAGATGTATTCATAATAAATCTCAAGAATCCAAAAGAGAATAATTTATATATCAAATATGCTATATACAGGAAACTACTTCAGATGACATAATTTGAAATGCTTATTAATTGCAAGGATCAACCATAATTCCTTACTTGTCAGTCAACTTGGTTCAATCACTTGGTTTTCGCATAAAATTGCAACCTCTCTGGATTGCTTTCCCAGTATAGTTCCATCCCTGTAACAGCATCCGAAATTCAAAGCTCATTAATCGACCAAAAAAAAAAAAAAATTATGAAAAATTGCAATTGTGGGAACCACCAACTTTGTTTTATATTTGCAATTTTTTTACACAACTAACAAACAAGTTGGCTTGTCGTGACATCAAAAAGACACCTACCAAGAAAACAAAAGGATGAGGGAGAAAAGATGACCCAGCAAATTCAGAAATAAAGAACAAGCTAAGATAAAATGGCCAAGACGCAAATAACCTAACTGTAATTTAAGCCCTTTAGGAATTAGACAAATAAAATCATAAAAAAAAGCATATTGTAATAATATTCAGAGTCAAATCCATGGAGGTCAAAAACATAAAAAGGATCTCTCCACCATGCAAAAGAAAACGGAAAATATATATATTTATATTTGTTAAAACTGCAAAAATATATAAATTATAATGGAAACTGAGAAACACGATTAAAATGTAGTATGTATGATTAATGAATCATTAGTTACTACAGCAAAATCCATGATAAGAAAACAGTAATAAATACAAACAAAAACTCAACAAGAAATTCTCAAAAATATGAAAATAGCAAAAGGCAAAAGAACAGAATCAATAATAATGTTTTTAAAAATTGGAAAAGGGAAAATAGAAAGATAAAGGAACTACCTTTGTTTTTGTTTTCTTTGGTTTGTTGAAGAACCCTCCATTTTTTGAATCTCCCTAAAATAGCAAAAGTTCTCGAATGTAGTTTTGGATTTTGAAATGGCGGCGCCTTATATCCTTATCCTTTCGTCTCACTCAGGAGAAGCGACATCGTTTTAGCGGTGATGTGCATTACTAATTTCCCATCCTTGGCATGTGTCCTGCCTTAAAACAAGTTCAAAGCTTTACACCTGTATGTATCTGTATGTATCGTCAAGCAACGAGACACAACAGAGCACCCCATAAATTCACTTCTCCACTACTCAAAACACGCTAGAGTCTACGTCTAGCGTTTTTCTGCAACTGGAATCAGTAATATGGTAAAATGGATGTGTCATTTGAATTGAAACTTTATTCCTATCTAAAAATTTTGTTGCAACTAGGAATTTGAAAATGGTATTTTGATTTGGGACAGGAAACGCGCTGTGTGTGAGGTGTGGCCGCCGCAGCTTCCATCTGCAGAAGAGTCGTTGCGGTTCGTGCGGGTACCCAGCCACTCTGTCTCAGAGAAGTGTAATCTTTATCATTATTGTTAGATAACTGGGGCATCGGAGGAAGACGACAGGAACCGGAAGAATAAGGTATCTCAAATACGTTACCGTTAGATACAAAACAAACTTCAGATAAGGTATAACAAGACAGGTTTTTTTTTTCTTTGTTCGTGCAAATGAAATTTCTTTTCTGTAATTCATTTTTAGTTTCTTGTTTGTTCAGGTACCCAGGCAGCTCCAAGGATGAAAGGCTCTTCGCCATCATCGTAAAATCAGCTCCTGAATTATCGTTATTATATACTAGTCATTCTGTTTCCTAGGTTATGTAGTAGTCAATAACAACAGAATTAGGGAACCATCGATGGGTGTAAGCTGTAAAATGTTTCTACCCATATGGAAGCCATAGAAATGCGAGACTAGAGACTGTAATCTCCGTAATTTCTGTTCTACTCCTATAAAAAAGCAACAAGAGACGTGCACAGAAAAAAATTACTCATTTCTTTTTTTTTTTTTTTATGGATTTGACAAATAATTCTGAGTCTAATCGTTTTCATAATATGTACACCAGCAGTAGTATGCATAGCCAGATTTTGCTTTTCTTCCTGTCCATATTAACGGACAACAATTTAAATATCAGACAACAATCACATTATCTGTGCAGTAAGAAGATATCGATCAACTTCAGAAGCTATCTGGGAGATCCAGTTCACTGTAGTGCCAAAAAACAGTTCCCAGAACCAAAGATCTAGTGCAAGTACTGAGGAAAATATGAACAATGCCAACGTTTGGTAGCGGTTCAATGGCCAACCCAAAACTTCAGCCATCCTTGTAAGGAAAGGGAGGGAATTGCTTTTCAATGCTCGGTTCCTTATAGACCATGCTGTTATCCACTGCACTTCAGAAGGGATCAAGTCGAACTCTTCTCGCAATCGCCTTCCTAAGTCTGGCATGTGTCCGCCACCATACAATATGGCAATCTTGTTATGGCCGTCATCAATTGCTCTTTTAAGGGCCTCCATTGCAGCCTTGTTCCTCTCGCCTATGATAACTGATCCCTCTTCCACATCGGCTGTCACCTGCGTGAACCTTCAAAGACATCCCTTCAGTCAATCACCGAATTAACAAGTATTCAAATAAAAACACAAAAATAAAAGAATTCCACAATGACCTTCAAAATTCTCTTTTTTTTTTTTTTTTCCCTAAAATTGTAGCGAATTGGCTTGGGCAATGAATTGCGCATGCTATGCAGAATCGAAGCTTGATCATAAAACAAGGAACTTCGTGACAAGATGTGCGACCAATTGGCTTGAAATCAACTTTAAAAATTTCAACTTTTAATAACTTATTTCCTAGATGGATGGACTATTCTTGGATACCACAAAAACAGCAACACCAACCAACTTTTGGTGCTCTGCTCTAGTTGCGCTTGTTAGATGGCTATTGCACTTTCCTAATTATTTACCTATATAAAGAGAACTCTTCTGAGGTTTCATCTTCAATTCCTTACAACTATCAGTAATAGTGAAGCTGCACTTACTCAGATGTTAGTCGCTTTGCCAGGAAAACCTTCATTGCAGCACCAAAGTCAAGCCTAGACAAGGCTTCTAGCTCTGGATATTCTGATGCCTGACTTCCCACATCGCAGACGCTTCCAATAATGAAAAGGCCTACAAGTGGCATAGGAAGTACACGAGAAGCCCAAAGAAGTTTGGATCTCCAAGGACCAAGGTCTTCTGGAATTGTAGGTTGCACCATGGCTTTTGTTGATTTGATAGTCATATCTCTAGCAAATGTGAAGAAGCTTTCACCTTTTTCAAGCTGAAAGAATATGAAAATAGCATCATTTGAAAATTCTGCCTTCAAATTTCATACTACAAAAAATGCATTAACACAAGTAGATTGAAGCCATTTAAGATGGTTAAATTGAGAATAAAGTTTTAACATTTACAACCTCTTATTGGAGAATATCAAGAACAATCTCCTAATATACCGATAAAGTATTGTCGTAAATTCATTTCAGTCAAAATTTATCCTGCTCATTTTATAAGTCTAAAACAGAGAAATAGTAAATTTACCTGAAGTAGTTTGAAAGTCTCATAGTCAAGATCTGCATGATACCAATTCTCAGCCTCGTAATCGAGACAGTCTAACTGGAAATCAAGCATAAGGATCCGAGCCATTTGGCGCTGAATGCACCCTAGGATGTTGAATCCTCTCGGTCGTGAACCTTTCAATCTCTTTGTAGTGGCAGGGTTTCTTCGATTCTCTAAACTCTCCCTACTAGCTACCATCTCATAAAGGACACAATCATAGGGCGCAAGTTCCTTCTGAAGTGTGGTGAAGTAACTGCACATAAGCATTCCAATCATCAAAACTTGTATGATAGGGAGGAAAACATATTCACAGGCAAACGATGAAAAGCACAAGTTGTTACCAACAATAGAAGTGGAAATTCAACCTAACTAAACCAAATTCTATCATTAAATTAATTTTATTCTACAATTCAATAATTCATTCTCATTTGTACCAAACAATGCAAACTACAGTATAAAAACAAATACTGTATATACATACCAAAAAAAACAAAGGCAATGAGGTCAATTTGCACCACTTTCTGATAAAATCTTAAAAAAGGAAAAAAGAAATCTCAAGTTAAGGATAAGAAAAAACGTACCCTTTATCCGCAATGTGAATAGTAGAAACCAAATCAACCTGTACCAGGCAAAAGCAACTAAAACAATTATCACTGAAAACAAATAAACAAATTTCGAAACAAATTCAAATTGGCAAGCATGGTACCCGAAGGAAAGGGTTGAGAAGAGACCAAGGGAACCTCTTTCTGTAACTAACAACAGCAGTCTGCAACTCGCCGCTGCTCCTATCTGAACCTTTCTTGAACCTCATGAAATCTGCAATTGAACTATTTTGCAAAAACGGCTCTGCGGAGCCATCTTCAATGCACTGGCTACTATCGGAAGACAAAGCGAAGATTTTGGAAGATTGACGAGTGAAACGTAGAGAAGCTGGTTTAGAAAATCTAGGATTGGGTTTGAATGGAATTAGGATAAGAGAAGTGGACGTGGAAGATGTATCTATGCTTGAACTTGAAGAAAATGAACGTGTAGATGGGAGTATCGACAGTGAACTAGAAACCACCACCATGCTCTTTCTTCCAGTTATGCTCCAGGCCAGAAAGAGAGGATTTTGTGTGTAACGTGAAACTCTGGTTCTCCAGGGAGGAGCCTCTCTACCTGTCTGGTTCTGGTTACTACTTAGCCACACTTGCCGTGTACTTTTATTTATTTATTTATTTATTTTTGAAAAAAAATCATAATAAATAAATAGTGATAATTAAAAAAATCTGATTAGACGACAGGTTGGGAAGGCTTCGCGCGGTCGTCAAACGACAGATGTTCCGAAGCACAGGTGAGGAAACAGAAGCTTAAAAGAACGATTGACCGTTTTATTTGAAGTTAATCTTCTATTGTTATCGGCTCTGGGTTGCACGCAAAAGGCAGATTGCTTTCTTTTTTTCTTTTGTCCATTCAAGTTCCAAAGAAAGGGAAAGCAGATGTCCGTTCTTTAACATCAACGAAATGAATTATGTTTTGGCTCGGCCGTCTAATTTTAACCTCTAAAATTGCAAGCCACAAAAAGGATTCATGTTCGTAACAGAAGAATAACTTCAATTTCATTGAAAAACAGAAACAACTAAGGAATTACTATAAACCAATTGTGGCAAAGCCATAGTTACCAGAAATATTATTGCCATCTAAAAGGTACAAATGAAACAATCGAATCAATGAATCAAATAAAAAATGCAGAAGAAAAATTATCACGACTCATAAGAAGGCCCGTCATATTATCATCGTCAGCAACTAGAAGGAAGATAGATGCGTTTACAGAACTTTGAGCAACAATCCCCCTAATAATGGAAACATTACCCAATTGAATTTGAAGGCAATACCAAAATGAACCTCTGCCAACAATAAAATACACTAGCTGTAACTGCCTAACAAGATTATTTCTGCAAGTTTTTCTTCTTATCATCATTTTCTTCTCATGATTGTGATAACAGCTGAAGGCCCGCTTCCAAATCCTCCAATGTGATGGTTCGTAGTTCATCAGCATCTATACAATCAAAATCCAGCCTCAAGTCTAAGTTCTCTCTAGCATTTACTAGCATTGTATCTACTAAACCTCCATTCATCTCCGTGCGTTGCTTTTCTGTTGTTCCTTTCTCTATCAATCTCGCAATGGAATCTATACTGCAGTTAGAATGTAAATTAAATCCATACAACAAACCATCTTCTTCTTGATTTTGCATCTTGATATGGACTATCTTAGCTAAATCTTCAGAAGTGAAGTCATCAAAATGGAAAAACTTTGTAACCCTTCTACAGAAGCCTTCATTAGAAGCAATGACGCGCTTCATTGGTTCACTGTACCCAGCAAATATAACAACTACTTTTCCACTATCCATAACAGACATGATTTCTTCCAAGGCTTCTAACCCATAGTCCTTATCATCTGCTTTCTGCATGGGTATGAGCCGATATGCTTCATCCACAAAAAGAATTCCTCCTTCTGCTTCTTTAATCTGCACACAGGAGTCATAAATAAATCAATCTGGCCAATTGAGAGTAGTTACAGATTTTTCCTACCAATAAAAGGAATTCAGTAAACACAGGGACAGTGGTGTACCTTCCTCCTAGTCTTGGGTCCAGTATGACCAACAAATTCACCAACCAAATCCGTACGTTGAACTTCTGTTACCTTGTCAGTTGGTAGAACACCCACCAAATGAAGTAATCGTCCAAGTATTCGAGCCACCATTGTCTTACCTGTCCCAGGATTTCCCAAGAAAGCCATATGAGGAGGTCTTCGTACGCCCACTTTTAGCCCAAGGGCCCTGCGCCTCTCATCCAAAAGCATCCCCTTTGCCCATTTTCTTAGTTGCACCTTAAGCTCATGCAACCCCACTATGTTTGATAGTGCATTTTCAAGTTCTTCCATCTTAGCTTTTGTTCCAGTGCAAGCTTCTAGTGCTCTTTTCTTTTGCTGCTCTTCAAGGTGCCATTGTAATAATTTGCGCAACTTCTCACTTCCTGGACCTAGTGAGAGATGATTAATAGGAGCCATACCCTCCTGCAAATATAATGTTGCACAAACCATTAACACTTCGTAACATAGAAAAAAAAGATGGAATAAGTTAAGCAATTGTAATCTACAATACATTATCCTTAGCACTGCAATCAGCATTATACTCGAGCAATGTCTTGACAGTTGAGCAATCATCTGATCTGATTGAATACCAAACAGCAAGGTGTAATGGTGTCATCCCATTCTGCACAAAGAATATATACAAATAAAAGCAGCTTAAATTAGGTATAACTGTGTCATCCCACTCTGCACGATTACTTCCCTGTCTTAATGTTAAACCAAACGAAAAAAAATAGATATAGAAAAGGCCAAGAAACTGTACATTTGCTTTGGCTTCAACAAAAGCACCGTGGGCAAGAAGCAATCGTGCAGCATCATTGCACCCATTCTTTGCTGCCATGTGTAATGGAGTTTCTCCATACTGCAAAATTCAGCATATTAGCAGCCAGGTTTTGATCAGATTTCTATATCAAAAGAAGCTTGCATAAAGTTCAAAAGCAAAGCTTAATTAATTGTTGCATTATTTGATTGACAAATGCAAAATATAATATGCAAGTCCAGCTTACCATGTTCTTGGCTTCCAATTCAACTTTCTCTGCTCCTCGCCAATCAAGCAGGAATTTAACTATCTCAGCCCTGTTGTTGCCAGAGGACACGTGAAGTGGAGTCTGTGCCATCTGCAACATAATGGGAAAGAACAGCTGAGAAGGAAGATGCACAATCTTTCTTTAAACTCAGATTAGCATTAATGCCCAAACCTTCGTTTTAACTCCGGCAAAGATCACAAAATAATAATAATAATAATAATAATAATAAAAGAAGCTTGTGGCAACTAATAGCATAAGGTAAAATGGATATCCCAAGTAACAAAATTGCAGATAACAGATTCAATTGAACTACACATACCAAATAGATACTCCTTAACCAAAGTGGATGAGATGAAAACCAACATTCAAAGTGAATGAGGTGTCTACACCTCGTTATGTTCTGTTATGAATCTTAATTTAGAGAAAAAAAAAAAAACTATTACATTTATTTATGAGCATAGATCTAACATTCCTCCAAAATAAAGCAGAGAGGAATACTTGCTAATTATCTGTTCTTTGAAGTCTAAATCTGGGTGCTCACATCTGAATCTGCAATATTCACAGACTTTAGGAATCCCAATTCCCATTTCACAAGAAAACTAAACAAAAAGAAAAAGACAGACACATAAAAAAATAGGAAAAAAAAAAAGATCATCCATACCAAAAGTCCAATTCGTAAACAAAAACAGTGGAAAAAATAAATAAAAACTCAAAACTCAAAAAACAAAAATAAACAAAAAATCTCGAAGATCTTATATTATTTGAAAAAAAAAAGCATGAGAAAAATTAATAAAAAAAAACTCATTACAAATGCAATAAATAAATATCAGAAAATGAAATAAAATCTTACAACAGGGTTTCTTTCATTAAGAAGAGAAGGATTGGCGCGGAGCAGCTTCTGCAAACCATGAAGATCACCAGACTGGGCGTAAGCATGGATGGTGGCGGGTCTAGAAGATCTAGACCGTTGATCGCGATGAGAAGCCTCCATTATGGTGGTTTTGGCGGTGGCTTCTTCTCTCCCACAGAAGAAGGGGAGAGAAGGAGAGAGGAAATGGAGGGACCGGTTTATTTCTGTGGCGAGTCTTTGGCGGTCAGTATTTGTAAATGGAAATCCTTGTTTAGTCAAAAAGTCAAAAATATTACAGTCTCTCACCCTGCTCTGTCCACGTATGTGCCCATTCATTTCATTCTTGTAAAGACAAAAATGTCCCTCATTAGATAATGTCCTACGCGTGAAAAATGCAAAAGCACCTGTTTGCTTGCTGTTATAGAAATAGAATGGTAGCTGCAACAATTCACATTATATACATTTAGAAATTGGTCAATTACTTTTGCTATGCTTAATTTTAAAATAAATATATAATCAGAATTACTGAAATTACATGCCAACTTGATTTCTAGGTGACTTTAGCAGGTAAGTGAGCTGTCGTTTCAAATGTCCAAAACTGGCACCGAAACAATCTGACCTGGCACATGCATGCAAAAGAAAAAACCTATTGTATCCGATTCCAATAATTAATCATGAGCGATATATAGTTGGCTTCTAACCTTCTAATCCCATCAATCAATCATTCGTTATGATTGCGATTAATGCAATATTCGCATTTACCAAAACAGAGCAAGACGAATTTTGAAAACCAAATTACTGATTGCCAACTAAAAAGCCCATACTAAGATTAAGCCCAAATTACCAGAGGGAAGATGGGCCATACCCATAAAAAGAAGGAGGCCACATTGCCAGACTCCGGGTTGCGAATTAGAAGACCGAAGTTCCTGGACAAGGTCGAACAATTTTGGACGCAAAGTGGCTCAAGATTCAAACTTCTGTTTTTTTCTCCAGAATCAAAGGAATGAAACGAGAAGTTTCAAGCTTTTGCTTAATTACTTCCACTAATAATCCGTATACGACCAAGTTTTTGCCATAAACTCTGTTATTGAGTAATCAATCCAACAGATGAAGTGGACAAAGCGTAGAAGGGTCGCCTTCCATAGCTAGAAACTGAAAGATGACGCGATAAAACAGACCCACGAAGCCACGTGTCAAGAAGAACACAAAAGATGAGGTTGCTTTAACGTGTGGCCATCACAGTTCTCCCCCACCTGCTTGAGAACAAGATTGCGGAATCTCTCTCTCCTCTCTCTCGCATGCAGATATTTTATTCATTTTCTTAAATTCCTTTGTGTAATTTTTTAGCTAACAAGATAAATAACCAACGTATTTGATTGTCCCCCAAAGCATTGGAACGCTGTACATGAACAGCAAGTTTAGTTTTAGTTATGGCTGTTGCGATAACTAAGTTTCACATATTCCCACAAAACGTTGATCATTTTTCTTTCAGTGAACAACAAAGAAATGGATTGCTTAGACCAGGTTTTCTATGGTCAGGTTTTGATGGAGTACATAGGGGAAATTATGGGTTGTGTATGCACAAGTGTAGGTCTTTTAGGTCCGATAATAGGGCGGAAGTGGAAGATCAGAAAAAAAAGAAAAGTAAGAGAAAGATGGTGAAGCAAAATGAGGTTGAATTGAAAAAGAGCAGTGGGTTTTGGAGTATTTTGAAAGATGCTGTTTCTACGTTTGGAAGGTCGGATACGCAGTCAAACGAGGAGTACAAAACAGCAATAGCTAAATTGGAGGAGATTTTTTCGTCGGTGAGTTTGTTAACAGGTTAATTTTGTGTGTATTATAAATTTTTTATAAATCTGCCGGTTTATCTTGTATGTGTTGTTTGTCTTTTACCAATTTTATGAACTCATATTTTGTTAATAGAATTTTACTCTGAACTCATACTTTTGATAATGTTCCTGATGGTTAAGCTTAATTAGAATGATTTAGCCTGTAAGCCTAATTCATTTTGATAACAGAGTAGAAAGGCGCTGACTTTTTTATTTTAATTTTCTCATTGTGCCAAATTAAAGCTTAGCATGTTTCAAAAGAACTAAGGCTTAGCATAACTAATAAAACTGTGAAGTAAGGAGAGAGTCAGGAGACAGTTTCTTCTTATGCAGCAAGATTTGTGAATATTTGGTATTTGAGTAATAAATCGTGGTAGTAAATTTCAACAAGATTGAACTTTTATATACAAACTTTCTTTCATTATTCAGATTGCTGTGCAAATTGCAAGGTATATTGTCACCATGATGAGCACTGGTGTGATACTTGCAACTGGTTTTCAGTTGTCAGGTGAGCAAATTTGTATGCTTTTAAGTGAGGGTAATGTGCATTACTCTGCATCCATGATCTTAAATTGATGTGAGTTTCAACTGTTTGGTGAATTTTGGTGAAGGTGGAGACAGTCAGATGAATACCTTGATTTGGTATAGCTGGCTTGGAGGAATTATTATTGGAACTATGATAGGTTCTAACATGGTTTTAGATGAACATTGTCGAGCCGGTCCACGTAATGTTGTCATAACAGGAAGGTATTCTCTCTCTCCATCTGCGGGCTTTATGATGTACTTACTTTTGCCTCATCAATATGCAATCCATTTATTTTCATGATTTAATATATGATCAGAAATCCTGTAACCAGGTAATAACTGAAGCATAAGCATGGTTTGATACTTAAACAAAATACATGTAAATTTGTTTTTTTCTATCTAGTTAGTTACTTTTGAGAACATGGACATATTAATGTTCCAGTTCAAATTATGTTGTGTGAGGTATGATTAGACTAGAGATGGTGGTAGTGGATTGGGAATTTAAGAATTCATACATCTATACGTTCTTGTGCATGTTTAAAATGGTTGGTTTAGTACGAGGGGACTTGGAAAAGCACTTGCTCGAGAATTTCTTCTCTCTGGCGATCGCGTGGTTATTGCTTCACGCAGGTTGTATACAAATCATCACATTTTTTTTTACTTTATGCTTATGTTATTCTATCTTTATGATTTTATACTCACAACTCTTCAGCCTTGTTTGGATCTTGGCAAAGGCAGCCCCGAGTCAGTACGTATGACAGTCAGAGAGCTCGAGGATAGCCTCAGAGAAGTAATGCTCACTGCTAGTGGCTCTTCTAGGACCAATCTAGCACATGCAGAAGTGGTTGGGATAGCTTGTGATGTTTGTGAACCTTCTGATGTGCAGAAATTGGCAGATTTTGCTGTCAATGAATTTGGTTCCATTGACATATGGGTGAGCAATTCAACCTTGAATTGTTTTATTAACACAGACACAAGTGCACATTTTTTGGCTAATATTCTTGAGCTTTAACTCAAGTTGTAAAAGACTAAGGTGGTGCCTTTATTTCTCAGTTACTCGGCAATAAATTGATATGTTATGACGCGTTTCATGCCTAATATAGTGATATGATTTTAATTGTACTCTGTATGATAGCTTGAAACTATCCCAGTCTCTTTAATTACCTACAAAGATAATTCCTGTATTCTCCTGGTTAGTGTGGGAAAAACAAAAGTGATAGTTGTTGTAGGTTTCTCACATTTTCATTTTTATCTTTCAATATGGAAACAGATAAATAATGCTGGCACAAATAAAGGATTTAGACCCTTGCTGCAGTTTACTGATGAAGATATTAAGCAGGTACCTGATTGGTATTCAACTTTGTTCATTCCCTGTATGTTTTAAGTGTACATAAAGTTCTCTATAATATGTCAAATATGGGGGCTTAAAATTAATTATTTCCTATTTTATGATTCTTGAAGTATGATTATTATCTAAATAACCCTGGCCTTAGTCAATTATTATGTCATATATCTAGATCCTTAATGGGTGTGAAACAATGAGGATTACATGTGCATGCTTAATGCTTCAATATATCTGTTTGAATATGTTCCTGTTCAATTTACTTTATATTCTCATACTAAATTGACTTCAATTTACCTGTTATTCTTTTACAATTTATTGATTACATTGTTATTACTGTTTCATGGTAGATTGTTTCAACAAATTTGGTTGGATCTATTCTCTGCACTCGAGAAGCAATGCGCGTGATGGTGAACCAACCTAAAGGCGGGCACATTTTTAACATGGATGGTGCTGGTTCTGGGGGATCTAGCACCCCTCTTACAGCCGTGTGAGTTATAATTGCTTACTAAAGATGCACTTTATCCTTGTAGGCAAATGCGGAAAGTTTCTTTTCTGTAATTGTTATTTGGTAGCCCTTGGAAGGTCCAATGTTCAGAAACTCCTGGTTGTTCTTAACTATGCTCACTGTGTTTTATCTTCTCAAACTGTAGTTATGGGTCAACAAAGTGTGGTCTTAGGCAACTTCAATCATCACTTCTGAAGGAGTGTAAGAAATCTAAAGTTGGAGTCCATACCGCGTCTCCAGGCATGGTTCTTACAGATTTGCTTTTGAGGTAATCAATATATTCATACCGCGTCTCCAGGCATGGTTCTTCACAGATTTGCTTTTTGAGGTAATCAATATTATATAATATAAATATATATATATATATATATATATATATAAAGCAAGCAATTTTTTTTTTCAAGTTTGACATGTGGCCACTTCTTTAAATGAATGTTCTTCTTGCTTTTTGCCACATAAGATTTCTTGGTGTTGACTATGGGATTATAAATGCCCACGGTAGAACTCTTAAATTTGATAGTGTCCAACATAGAATTTTAAGTTATTAGTTATATGTGTTTATATAAATATTTTATATTGTTATATAAATATTGATATTAATTATCATAATTAATACATATTAGTAAACGATTATAATTATTATAATGTTGTAACCTATCTTTCTCAATTAAAATTACATGATATTGGTCTTAATTGTCAGTCAATTATCATATTAATATGTATTAAATTATTAAATTATTGTAATATTATAACCTATTTTTTAATTAAAAATTATCATAATTTTGATGTTAATTATCATATTAATATTTATTATAACTCATCTTTTAAATTAATATGATTATAATATTGACATGGAATTTTCAGTATCATCAATTATAGTTATCATTTATTATTATGAATAAAACTGAAAATTTTATATTTAAAAAAATGATAGAGAAGGTGAATGGTGAAAATATTTATTAATAGTTTTATTAATAATGAATATCCAAACATTTCAATATTTATTTGTCTTAAAATTGCAATATATAGTTTTTTTATTAGTTTTAATGATAATATATTGACTTGCCATTAATTGCTTATCACTAGAGTATAAATAGAGAGAGTTCTTTGAGATTTGGTAAGACAATTTTTTTTTTTTTTTTTTTTTTTTTTTTTTTTTTTTTTTTTTGCATTTCAATATTCTTATACATTTCTTTTTCGACATTGATATATGTTTTTTCTCTCTCTAATTATATTTACTCTATTAAATTAGAAAAAAATTTTGATAAATCATAAGAGAAAGCGGTTTTTAATGAAATTAATCATTAAGAATGATAGTATACATCTATGATTGAATTTTTATTGTACCATCTTATTTATTTATTTATTATTTTTAATATCATCTAAGAAAATTTAATTAATTCAAAAATAATTAAAATCAATGATTTTTTTAAATAATTTTACTTCCTTTTCTTTCATTTTATTATAGAACATTAAGTTTTTATGTAATTATTCTAATGTTTTCAAATTGAAATAGATGTTCTTTTAATTTAAAATAATTTTCAACAAAATTTAACAAATAATAAAATTAAAAAATAATTTAAATTAATAAAATTTTTTCTTAAATTAAAATTTTATATTTTAAAATATTATCAACAATATCTCCTAAGATTATAGATAAAGAAATATTTACCTCGTGCATAACACAGGCAATGCTTTAAATTATAAATTTTTTCTTAATTAAATTTTATATTTTAAAATATTATCACAATATCTCTAAGATTATAGATAAAGATATTTACCGTGCATAACACAGGCATGCTTCTAGTATTATATAAATTTGGAGTCGCATGCCTTATTTTTAAGAACTCATTTTAGAAGCTTGCACCATCATTTTATGGTTGCTGCATCCATAATTTATTCAAGAAATAACTGTGATAATGACAGCTTGCGACTGTTCAGAAGCTCATAATTAATGAATTTGTGAATTTCGAAGTTCTTTATAGTGATATTTTAATCCACCAGTGCATATCAGATGAATTTTTCCATCGTTTTATTTATTGCGGAAATAGTTATTTTCTGGATAAATTATGCTTACATTTGTTTTTTAATTTTTTATTTATTGCAGTGGCTCAACTCTACAAAACAAACAAATGTTTAACATCATCTGTGAGCTTCCAGAAACAGTTGCTAGAACTTTAGTTCCACGGATGCGGGTGGTGAAGGGATCAGGGAAAGCCATAAATTACCTAACCCCTCCTAGAATATTACTTGCTTTAGTCACTGCATGGTTGCGGCGAGGTCGATGGTTTGATGACCAGGTCACTTCTAATATTCTGAATCATTACTGATAACTCAAATATGAAAGCGACCACCAATTGAAAACTGGTTGAATGCAAAGACTTTAGCCAGCAACACTTGGCGCCCAATAGACATTACATTATGGAACTATAGTTTATAATATGCACTTTTCAGCCTCTGCTAATTAGTTCCGACCATCTTGCAGGGAAGGGCATTATATGCAGCTGAGGCAGACAGACTCCGCAACTGGGCTGAAAACCGTGCTCGGTTTTCTTTTACAGACGCAATGGAGATGTACACCGAAAATACTTGGGTATCTGTGTTTTCGCTTTCTGTTGTTTGTGCCTTCATTATTCTTTCAAGTACAAGCAGCAATTATCCTGGCACCTGAACACATCCCTGAAACTGCAATAGATAAAGAACCCAAACTGTATCATATATAATATGATATGATATATATGATGTCATTGAAGGAAAAGTATGATGCAACGTATAAGGTACAAAAGAAATGAAAAGGCAGTAGCTAGCTACTTGACCATTCAGAAGAGCTCAGCTGTTTTCAGATCATGAGCCAGGTGATTAATGAATGACCTGACCTGTAAATGAACCAAGCTCTGTAGGTAGGTGGTGTATGCATGCCTGAAATATAGAACACAAATATTTAGTTTTCAGTGTAGAATTCTCTGGTTAGATGAATCTGGTACTTGGTTTCTAATGAAGCATTTCTCAGCTGAGATGCTTGTAAGTGTAATATCGTAACGTTCTCATAAAGTTGTAATGAAATTTAATTCAATGTTTTATATTCAAACGTTAGTTGTGCAATATCAGTAATTGGATTAGGCTAAAATAACCAGAAAACAAAAATGCTATCTTAATGGTTTTAAGCCCGTAACGAGGAAGCCTCGGGCCCCAGTTGCTGTGAAGCCCATTTTTGTACGTGGAAACGCGGAATTCTTAATTTGTTAACGGTTAACCAATTATTGATTTGAAAATTAATTAATGTTGGTTGACCTGACTCATTCTGCCAGTTTAGCTAAATTCTTAGCTGGCATTAATCTGGTAGTTTATTTCCCTCCAGAGGGGGGTGGTTAAGGTAAAAGTCAAAGCCTATAGGCTACAGCCCTTGAGAATTAATTGTATAATCCACCGCTAAACGGCAATATAACCATATTATGAGGCAAGGGAATACTGTAAAAAAAAAAATAAAAATAAACGGCTTATTACCATGATTAAGATATCTGGATCATCACTGGTTTCACACTTAAAATCTAACAATTCCATATTAAATGAGAATAAAAAAGTAAATTGCAATGATTATTATTTTTTTTTAGTATCGAGAGAAAGAAATTTGAATCCAGATTTATTGTTAGATTATACGTGCACTTATTACTATATTATATTTTGATGTGCGTACGATTACTTATTTTTAAAAAAATAATAAAATTTTTAATTTGGCAAATAAAAGATTTTTCATGAAACATAATATTTATCTCATAATACACATAATTCCTTTCGGATAGGAGGATTAAAATTGGTTAACAGTTGAATTAACACGTTAATTTGAATTTTAAAATAGAAGAAACGAATATTTATAAAGATTCCATATTTTAATGCGACAAATGACATGGATAGCTGGATTAAAATGAATATTTTTATAGTGGGCTTTAGTCAGTCAGCGGCAGATAGGCGAATGTCATGCCACTAATTATGAGAAGAGAATGAATCAATATAATAAAAGCATCCCCATGTGATGTGAGTCTCCAATCCATGGCCCACCTCTATTTTTCAGCCCTTAATCTTCAATTCCACCACCACCCTTCCCCTCTAGATGAGTAAACAAAATAAAATTTCAAACCCAAATTCCATGCCAATCTTGAAATTTTTATCCATTCTGTTTTTCCTTCAGTCACTGGCTACCCACTAATAGACAGGGTTTTTTTGTCTGTATCACAAACCAATATAAGAGGATGCTCCTTCTCCTAATAAGAGAGAGAGAGAGAGAACGATCCTTTTTTGAGTTGAAGTGTATGTATATCTCAATCGTAGATTTTGTAACATTTTTGAATTGAATGAGTGAAATAACTAAAACTAATTGGGGTCAATTGTGTAAATTTGTTATTTTTATTTAATTGTGTTTATATCTAATAAGTTCCATTATTAAAAAGAAAAAGTATTACTAAAAATAGCTCTTTTAATTTCACAAATTATATCAAGGGAATGGGTAAGCACTTGCCAATTAGAAGACAGACATAATTTGACTATTTCAAAGTCAAAATGGTGATATATTTGAAACAGTTGTGCTCCAGTGCTGCCTCCCACATTTGAACACGCCTCTGCTATTGCATTATGATTTCTAGAATCATTTAGGCCGCTGCCTGCGTATTAACGCTTATTATATGATTGGAAAAAAATATAATTAAAAGAATGCGTGTGGGTCCATGGAAATAACTCAATGGGTTGGGGTGTATTGGTAATTAGCCAAGATCCCTTATTGTAATCTATATATATATCTGGCAACAGTAGTAAGAATTAATACAATTAAAGATTAATAAAAGGGTTGTTAGTACGAATCTGCCACCCTCCACCACCAAACCTGGCAGAATACATTCACCGATTATGATTGCAATTTTCTTTCCAAAATTGTACTAAATCAATCTTATCAATTTCCAAAACCCAACCTACTCATTAACTGCTTTGATTACACATTTAAAATTATATTTTCAAGATCCCCAAAAATTAAATTTTAATTTTATTAAAATCTTCATCCTCAATTTAAAAAATTGGAGAGATATATATCCTAAAAATAAATAAAAGTGCAGAGGAAAATAATCCCTGGCTTATCTATCTTATTGCGAATTAAAATTTCCAACCAACAAGTTAAGTTATTGACTGATGACTTGGTGCAGATTGGCCAGCTGCACATTGTTCAATTTTCCTCTTGGAATGTAAATGGTAATGCTGCCATTTGGCAACTTTCTTCTACATTCTTCTCTATTAAGTTTATTTGCTCTCGTTTTAGGTTTGACACAGTTTTCTTCTTAAATTCGGAGGTGATTTTTTAATTTGAAAATCACAGGGAACGAATGTAATAAAATCTAATTGAAACAAATGGAGTAAAAGTAAAAGATGATAAGGTTTCGGGGATAAAACTGAAATACAACAATTTTTTGGGGCACTATGCAATTATCCTGTAATTTACCCAAAATCTGTAGGAAATTTTTAATTTTCAAAATGTTATTTGTCGGGGTGGGGATACCCTGAAAAGATAGAAGACAAACTTTTTTAAAAAGATTACAGCAAAAAGTAAAAGTTCATCCTACACGAAAAAAATAAAAAATAAAAAATAAAAAAGCATTGGTAAGGCGTATGCAATTTGATTTATAATATAGTTTGGTGCATAAAATGTCATATTGCTATAAAAATTATGCAATTTATTTATTTATTTTTCCATATTTATATAAAGATGAACTAATTTTTTCGTCAATTCATTGGTGGACCCAAAAAATGAAATTTATGTAAGAAAAGTAAAAAGAAATTATAAAAATGGGTGACATCTCTCTAATTATTTAAACATTTATACATAAAAAAAGGATAAAATTAAGTTAAAAAAAAGAGTAATAACTTTTTTTTTTGTCTGACCAACATGATAAGTCTGATACACTGAAATCACATTGTGGATTATAATTTATATGATAATGCTAATTCTTTCATTTAAATAATATTTATTAAATTGATAATAATTTGTATGCAATATGATAAGATGTGCATTTGGTTTCATAGCTATTTTAATAAAATTCAATGGAAGAAAATTAATTATATAATTTCAAATTAATGATTTTATTAATGATGACATTCTGTATTGTATTTAATTATTTATACATTTATTTAAATTATAATGTTTCAAGTGGGCAATATTGAAGAAAATTAATTATATAATTTTCAAATTAATGATTTTTTAATTAATGATTGACATTCTGTATTGTAATTTCATTATTTAATACCATTTATTTTAAATTATATGTTTCAAGTGGGCAATATTTTATTATATATATATAATATATATATATATATATATATTATTAATAATAATTTATAAATAATTAGGAAACACGTTCAATCCTAAAGTGTTGTATATATATTAATAATAATTTATAAATAATTAGGAAACACGTCCAAATCCTAAAGTGTTGGTATCCACTATCCAGCCTTGTTTTTCCTTTGCTTAGAGTAACGGCCACATAACTGTAAAACGCTAAACTCACAATATATGGTTATTTAAATATGGAGAGTTTACCTAATCCTTTGAGGCTTTGACCAGCTAAGCTTTTGTTCATTTGGATTAATAATAAATTTACTTTAATTTCTTAATCTTACCCAGCTATTACTTTTATTTACTTCCTATTTCTAAATTGAAATATTAAAGCCTTCATTGCGCTTGAATTTAAATTTATTATTTTACGTAACTGGTTCGCTTGTCAATTATAATGTGAAAAATGATCTTAAGTGAATAAATTTAAAATTATATTAAGACAAATAGGGTTATTATTGATACAGTGATATTGAGATAAATGTAATTTTAAAGTTAATATCAGTTAAAAAATCAAGAGTTATCTAATTTGCAGTGTATATCATTTTTTTTCCTTAAAAAATATTATGAATTTAAAATTTTAAGGGAGGAAAATCAATGCAGATGTATTACTTTTTTATATTCTCAAAAAATAAATGTAAAAGAAAAAAGAATGATGAATGCTAAATTGCATGGACTTACATAAGTTTATACTCATTTTATTTACATACGAGGGAGATGCATTTTCATATATGGTGAATTCTTAGGCAGACTTTATTATTCATTGATCTAATAAAAATTATTTTAAAACTATCCAATAAAGTTTTATTTTTTTAGAAGAAAATTATCCAATAAAGTTAATATCATGTCGATGCAATGAAAATTGGTAAAGAGATAATTAATGAGCTATAAACGTTATACGTGATGCAGTTCTTATTATCGAAATATTTTAAATATAAAATATTTATAAATTAGTAAAAAGATTAATCAAATTCTTAAAAAAGAAAAATGAAATATACCGTTACTTAAATAGTTAAATATAAAATCTTAAAAAAGAAAAAGGTTCCAAGGATCACATGGCAAATGGCACCAAACATATAAAAATAAAAAGCACGGAACAAATATCCAAGCCCAAATCGATGAATAAAAATGCCGGAGTAGAACCGCGGGCCATACGTGTGGGCCCCATAATTCTATTCGCACATGTGAACAGGGAGTCCGACTTGGCTGTTCGCTTTTGTCCGAAATATCAATAACTCCAAAACCCCACGCAAAAAATGAAAATAAAAAAAGAAAAAATAATATCCTTCAAACTTACAAATCTCAGAAAACGCGCTGTTAGCGTTGCGTAGGACTCTACTCTGTCTCTACTTACACCTCCTCTTTCTACCTCAGATGGTTCTTTTGTTTTAAAACTAGTAGTGAATATACAGAAATTATATTTTTGCTACAATGTCAGCTCCCGCTCCCACGTCGCCGCCGTCGACGAACTCAACGGCTCCACCTCCGGCCACCCCTGCCGCCCCTCCACCAGCCACTCCCTCTGCACCACCTCCTGCTACTCCTGCAGCACCTCCACCAGCAACCCCATCACCTCCACCACCAGCTGCTACTTCACCAGCTCCAGCCGCATCATCCTCTCCGCCGCCGCCTTCTACTCCTTCACCTTCTCCACCTGCTCCTCCTCCTCCATCGGCCACCTCTCCTCCGCCTTCAACCACACCGTCTACCCCTTCTCCGCCTTCAACCACGCCCTCTCCTCCTCCGCCTTCTAGAACACCGCCTCCTCCAGCCAATTCTGGAACCCCGTCTACCCCTAGCACTAAGAGTCCACCTCCACCGTCTTCTGCTAGTCCACCTTCCACGAATTCCTCGGGGATATCGACAGGGGTGGTAGTGGGGATAGCTATTGGAGGAGTGGCCATTCTTTTAGTTTTGAGTTTATTGTGCCTTTGTTTCAGGAGGAAGAAGAGGAGGAACGATGATGAGGCTGTCTATTATGTCCCTCCACCTCCTCCTGGGCCTAAAGGTGAGATCTTTTTGTATTTTGAGATTCGGGGTGGATTTTTTTTGTTTTTGTTTTTTTTTTTTTTTTTAGAATTTCGGGGTGGATTTTTTTTTGTTTTTGTTTTTTTTTTTTTTTTGACAAAGATTAGATTTTTCATCTGGTCATTCTATGGAAAAAACAAAACAACCCATATTCATTCCTTTGTAAAATTATTAGTCTGTGTTTTGTCTTCGGTTTTAATAATATTTTTTCATTGAAATTTTTTAATACTGATTAATAAATGTACTTATAAGCATAAAAAATTAAGATCGAATACTTGCGATAGCTTCAAATGAGTAGTCCATAAGAGTCTACGGATTGGTTTTTTTTTCGTTTTTTTTTTTTTTTTTTTTTTGACAAAGATTAGATTTTTCATCTGGTCATTCTAGGAAAAACAAAACACCCATATTCATTCCTTTGTAAATTATTAGTCTGTGTTTGTCTTCGGTTTTATAATATTTTTCATTGAAATTTTTAATACTGATTATAAATGTACTTATAAGCATAAAAAATTAAGATGATACTTGCGATAGCTTCAAATGAGTAGTCCATAGAGTCACGGATGGTTTTTTCGGATTTTATTCTATTTCAATCTGCATATTGGCAAACACCGATGCATTTCGTATACTCAATATAATGTTATGCATGTGTTGTAACTGGTAGCCTTAGTACGGTTCACAAACTTGCAAATGTTGTATTTCCAGATGGCCCTTATGGTGGTCAACAGCAGTATTGGCAACAACATGCTCCTCCTCCAGATCGTGCTGCCGCAATGCCGAAACCTAGTCCTCCACCACCAGTTGCTTCAAGGCCACCATATCCTCCTGAACGTGTTTCAATGCCTCCACCACCACCTCCACCGGCTTTCATGAACTCCAGTGGTGGCTCTGGCTCCAATTATTCTGGCTCTGAAAACCCACTCCCACCACCTTCTCCAGGCCTTTCTTTGGGTTTCTCAAAGAGCACATTTACCTTTGAGGAATTAGCAAGGGCGACTGATGGCTTCTCTGATGCTAACCTCCTTGGTCAAGGTGGTTTTGGGTATGTGCACAGAGGTGTCCTTCCAAACGGAAAAGAAGTAGCTGTCAAACAGCTAAAAGCTGGAAGCGGGCAAGGGGAGCGTGAATTCCAGGCAGAAATTGAAATCATTAGCCGAGTGCATCACAAACATCTTGTTTCGTTGGTTGGGTATTGTATTACTGGGTCTCAGAGACTGCTTGTTTATGAGTTCGTGCCAAACAACACTTTGGAGTTTCACTTGCATGGTATGTTTGAAAAATTTTGATAGAAATTACTCTCTGTTTGCTGCTTTTACATGGTCATGGTATTGTAAACTGTTTCTGATGCTTTTGCTATATTGATTTTTCAATGCCTCCCTCCCTTTTCTCATTAAATTGGTTTCAATAAGCTGTCCTTCATGTTTAGAAAATATACTTCTAAACTGATCTTCTATATTTGGGCTACATCTATCTAATAGAGATCCTCATCTCATTGCAGGAAAGGGTCGACCTACCATGGATTGGACTACAAGGCTCAGAATTGCTTTGGGGTCTGCAAAAGGACTTGCATACCTTCATGAAGATTGTAAGTTCCTAATGTGTTTGTCTTCCTTCACTTGCGTATGTAATATATTGTTATGTTCATTTTAAGCTGACTTTTCCTCAGGTCATCCCAAGATCATTCATCGTGATATTAAGGCAGCTAATATACTTTTAGATTTCAAATTTGAGGCAAAGGTAATTGTGTTTTTGTTTTTTTAATCTGATTGGATTCCACACCATCCTTTTGACTTCTATTTATTCTTGTGATAAATCTTTCCCTCAGGTTGCAGATTTTGGCTTAGCAAAGTTCTCTTCTGATGCTAATACACATGTCTCCACCCGGGTGATGGGAACTTTTGGGTAAGACTAAGTCCTTAATATTACTGTAGTCCCATTGCTCAGTATTCCGGTGTTGACTGTGTGTCTGAAATAAACCCTAGTATGACCTGGACTGCTCATGCTTGCATTTTGGGAACATGTTTAACGAGTGAATCCTGTTTTTGAAGGTCTTGCTTTCTCCAGTACTTGTTTTAAACATCTTGAATCTTTGATACAATGTAGTTAGCTCTAGTATATGGACTGTGTTCATATGCAGTTTATTAAGACTGGAACTCAGGTGACATGTTTGGATGGACAGTTGTTTATTCTGTTTCTGTTGCAATTAACATTGTTGTTAAGCAGATATGTTTTCTTGGTCAATTCTCTACTCATGATGCTTTGGCAACTAATATTGATAGGTTATTCTTCAAGCACTCACATGCTTATTATACAGGTATCTGGCTCCAGAATATGCAGCAAGTGGTAAACTAACAGATAAATCTGATGTATTTTCCTTTGGGGTTATGCTTCTGGAGTTGATTACTGGACGTCGCCCTGTTGACTCTGCACAGACTTTCATGGAGGACAGTTTGGTGGACTGGGTGAGTTATAAACTTGTAACGTGCATACAAAGCATATGGATGCAGCACAAGCGTCAAACACATAATAATATATGGTTGAAATCATGGAGAAATCTGAAGTATACTTTAATGTTCTTAAACAGGCAAGGCCTTTACTCACACGAGCTTTAGAAGATGGGAACTTTGATACTCTAGCAGACCCAAAACTGCAAAATAGTTATGACAATAATGAGATGGCTCGCATGGTTGCTTGTGCTGCTGCTTGTGTGCGTCATTCAGCCCGGCGTCGACCACGTATGAGTCAGGTAATATTAAGGGAATTAAACACTTAAAACTCAACTTCAGTTAGTTTGTTTTGACCTGGTAGCTGTACTGTTTACAAATGGTTCTGAAGTATCTAGATTGTGTGTGATTGGTGATAGAAATACCATGTTTAGACTCGCACTGAGATCCAGTGCTACTTGAGTCGAAAAGATAGTTGATCAGAAATAATTTGTTTAAATAAATATGCTAATTTGGTATCTTCTACATTTAAACTTGAGCAGGTAGTCCGAGCTCTAGAAGGAGACGTGGCTCTGTCTGATCTTAATGAAGGAATGAGACCTGGACACAGTAGTTTATACAGTGGCAGTTCAGACTACGACACCAGCCAATACAATGAGGACATGATAAGATTCAGGAAGATGGCACTGGGAAGTCAGGAGTACGGTGCTAGTAGTGAATATAGTGGACGAACTAGTGAATATGGTTTATACCCTTCCGGCTCAAGCAGCGAAGGTAAGAATACCCAAGAAATGGAAATGGGAAAGATGAAGAGAAACAGCCAAGGTTTAAACGGAAGTTCACGGTAACAGAAGCCTCAATTTTTCTGTAAAGAACTAGACGCCTCCTCGTTCTCACTCACTGTCACCCTCACTTAGACGTCACATTTATCGATCCCAAGAATGGCATGTTTCAGATGTGATAACATATACAATTCTTTTTTCTTTTTTGGTTTTCGCCCCCTGATTTTGAGTTATCAGTTTTAATATGTATCTATCAATGTTTATAAACGAACACAAGAGAAAATGAAACTACAGGCTTGATTCTTTTATTCATTGCTTAAATATGTATATTTATTTTTTGGTTAAAGTTTGTTAGGAATTCTTGATTTCTTCCTTAATTATACTACTTCATTCTCCTTGTACATTTTCTTGAATTGTGGTTAAGCAGTTAGATTGTCTTTGTCGGAAAGCATGGATGGCGAGCGAATCCAGGCTGTAGAGTTCAATAATTTATATAAAAAAAATTCCTCAATCTTTTCCAATGGGTAAAATCGTTTTGAAGTCGTTTTAGCTTTTGGTGAAGCTCTGTTTGGTGATATAAGCAACGTCACCCATTATTTTCTGAGCAGGACCTGCCAACTTAAATGAAGTAAACACCATGGGTGCATTTTCCTTTTAAAAAAGCAAAATAGCAAGCCTGTCAAAGTCAAACAAAACAAGTTGTGGGGCCATTATCTAGTGCCCATAAAGCCATAAAGGTCATTGAGAGTGTCAAAAGTGGTGGCACTCTATTTGTATTTGCTGGAGAAGAATGTGGCCACCTTATACTACTTTTTGGCTTTTCTTCTATTTTAAACGTTAAGCCAGGACTTTTCTTCTATTTAAACAATAAGAATATTTTTTTTTCCTGAAAGAATATTGGCTACGCCAGCTAGGTGTTTCTGGACTGACTCAGCCAACTGCCAGTCATAATTTGTATCCCGCTTAGCCTCCGGCCTCATTTTTTTGGGCTAATGGGCCTATTTTGAAGCTGTCCATTTAACAAGCCCAGTGAGATAATGTCTCTATTTTATAATACTTTTCGCATTATATTTCTTGAAAAAATCATTAAATTTGTCTAAATTATAATAAATTATTGAAGAAATTGACTATATTACCCTTAATTTAATATTAATTCTTCAAAAAAAAAAACTCTTAAATTGAAGTAATAATTATTGGCCATCTATAAAGGGTAAACAGTGAAAAAAATATTTATTACTCTTTGAAACCACAGATATAAAATATTTTGGAGCATGCTATTTTCTCAAATGTAATAAGTATTTTGGAATAGAGGTAGCATTACATTGAATTTACGAACTCAACTCATTAAATTGTAAAACTATCAAAAAATAAAAGAAATTTGTGATTTTGTGGTCATATCTCAACCCTCCTTTAATGCCTACTCTTAGTGTTAGGGGTTATGACTGCCAAGACGGCATCAGCATACAAAGAGACGACAACACATCAGCATTTTAGGCTGTAGCGAATTGCTAAGGCGCAGATTGTCGTTCTAAGCAACGCGTGAGGCATTTTAGTACATAAAAAAAAAAAAAAAAAAAAGTCGTTCTAAGCAACGCGTGTGAGGCATTTTTAAGTACATAAAAAAAAAAAAAAAAAAGTCGTTGAAAAAAAAAAAAAAAAAAAAAAGTCGTTGGGCCTCTTTTGGCTAATTGGCTCTGACCGTTAGTTGCTAATCGTGAATAATTAATTATCTGTATTATTTTGGTCGGTCAATTGAATTAGCAGTTTTCATTTTTGTTTTATTTTTCACTAGAAGGCCGGATGGAGCATTAGATTATCTAACTAATGTAGAGGACAAGTAACTAAAAGTCTGTATTTGTAACAGAGAATTGAAGTTTAGCTTTCCAATCCAAAGATGGCTTCTCGGAGACGCATGCTTCTCAAAGTCATTATCCTTGGCGACAGCGGGTTAGCGCCTCTTCAGTGTTTCTTTCTTTTATCATTATATCGTTTTTGTTTGGTCACCGAGAAAATTAATTAAAATTGGAAGCTTAATAAATTATGCTTCTTTTTCTTCTTCATGTACTTGAATACTGAATCGTTCACGTTTATCCCGTTACCTAATTGGATCAATCTCAATGTGAATTTGAAATTTCATGACGCAAATGCCAAATCTTGAAATAGAATTTTGTTTTCATTCTTTCGGGATATAGTTATAATAATCTTTGGAGCTAGTTCGGCCGCATTGTTTCTAGCAGTTTGTTCATTGAGAAAACTGATGAACCAAAATGAAGAAAGTTATGAACCTTAAATTGTTTTTCGTGTTGTTTGAGTAATTAGAAATAAAACAAGTTCGCGCTAAATCAACTGGTTATCGTTCGCTCCACTGCACTGTCTCTCTGGAGGAATTTCTTTTCCTCTGGGTCTGAAATGTTGAAATTTTGAGATCAGATCAGAAATTGTCTTTGAAAGTCATTCATTGGTTTGGCAACAACTGTCGCTTGTTTCTCGATATTTGAGCTCTTGTGCTTGTTCAGTGATTTGAATAATTTCTGTGGCGATTATTGACAGGGTTGGGAAGACATCTCTCATGAATCAGTATCCTAAATCTTGAAATTCAGCTTTATTTGTGTTTTTTCTTTTTGGATTTCTGGCATATTTCTGTGGTGTTTGCCCTTGAACTAAGAATTTAGGTATGTGAACCGGAAATTCAGCAATCAGTACAAAGCAACTATTGGGGCTGATTTCTTGACTAAAGAAGTTCAGTTTGAGGACCGTCTTTTTACACTGCAGGTTTGTTATGATCGTTGATTTCAAATTGCGTGTCTATCTACATTTTTTTTCTGCTAGCCACAAATGGATGTGCATGATGTATCCGTTCATATTTATCGCTTTTGGAAACTAAATAGTTTTCATTTCTCCTGATGATATGAATACGTAGTCCTTTTTTATTTTTGAGGTTATTGGTTCTGCACAGTTGTGAAACTAACTCATCTTTTACCTTTGAGCCCATGTCATTTTGGTCTTCTTCTCCTTTCTGTTTCTGAAACCCTAAAGCCACTCGCCTTGCCATAGAAGCATATCTATAAGCCTATGCTAAATTTTGGAAAATCATATACCAATATAACAAAGTTAGTCTGGAGGGTTAATGTTGAGGTTAGCTAATTAGAGCAGAGAAAGAAGCATTTGAAATGTAAGCTATGTTTCTCGCTTTAACTCAATGAAGAGAACTTATAAGCATCTCTGCTTACAACTGACGTCATCCCATTGTGCAAACTTTCAGATATGGGACACAGCAGGGCAGGAAAGATTTCAAAGTCTAGGAGTGGCATTTTACCGTGGTGCAGACTGTTGTGTTCTTGTCTATGATGTGAACGTAGGGAAGTCATTTGATAACCTCAATAATTGGCGAGAGGAGTTTCTGATTCAGGTATTATTAAGCCATTAGCATGGGAAAATCTCTTCCTTCCATTTTATCACTAAGTCATCATTTTTTCTTCATATTCAGGCCAGCCCTTCTGATCCTGAAAACTTCCCATTTGTTGTTCTGGGGAATAAGATAGATGTTGATGGTGGCAATAGTCGTGTTGTAAGATGAATTTATTTCTCCTTATACTGCCTCTATTTAGAAATTTGTGGTTGTTGTCCGGGATCTTATTTCCGTTCAGGATCTTAGGAGGTATATCATGGTTTTGTCCTACCAATTAACAGGTATCTGAGAAGAAGGCAAAGGCATGGTGTGCCTCCAAAGGAAATATTCCTTATTTTGAAACATCTGCAAAAGAGGGATTTAATGTGGAAGCTGCTTTCCAGTGTATTGCCAAGAATGCTCTGAAAAATGAACCTGAAGAAGAAATGTGAGTATGTCTGAATTCATTTTCAAAATTTTTTTGCCATGCTAAGATCTGTCAATCTACTATTGGCCCAAGTCATGGCAAGTAACTGTGCCAAAATGGAAGCTACATTTCATGGATTTCTACTGTAGATGGATATTCTTATTGCTAGTTTCCTTTTATCTATTAAAAGTTCCTACAAGGCTAAATTGTTTTCTTCCTCTTTTTTTCCTTTTTGAGGTTGAACACCTCTATTAGCCAAGACCATGAATTGCTGTACCTTCCCCTTATTGAGCAACCCTTCTGGGCCAAACACCTATTTATATGCTTTATTGGAAGTATGTTTTTGTCACAACTGAACGGATTTTCTGCAATATATATATGTGTTGGCAGAAATTACTGTATCAGAGCTCAATAAGGGGAAAAAAGAAAAATCGTTAGTTCTGTATAACTGCATTAGAAATACCAGTGCAAACTTTGTATTCATTTTCTGACTTAGTTATTTGGTTGCCATACTAACCAATTTGGTGATGTTTTTTTCATCAATAATGAAGTTACCTTCCTGAAACCATTGATGTGGGGGGTGGACGGCAACAAAGATCTTCAGGCTGTGAATGTTAGACACACCTCTGCAAACCCACACTGTTGCAGCAAGTCAGGGAAAGATGTTCAGGTTCAGGTTCCATGTATATTAATATACAACAGTGCTAGAAAGAAAGAACTCAAAAACATTGGATCTGTTTATCTTGTTCTTCCTTTTATTCTTGCTCTTAGCTTTGTTTCTTCTCTGGAATCTGATTGTTTGTGTTGGAAGTTTCCACGAAGTTTCTGTCTTATTGCAGTCATTGTGCAAAAATCTCTTATTTTCTGGGTTTATTGGCTGCGGACTTGCATGTTCAATTGATGAGTAAACGATTTCATAAATTCAAACATCCTTTGGTCAATTAATCTCGCGGACTCGATATATTCAATTTATTATGTCATTCGGCCTTTCTCCCAAAATTTAACGTTTACGGAGTAAAGGATAAACGTTAGTTTAGGGTCACAAAAACGGCAGCGTATTGTATGCGAGGAGATCGACCGAAATTTTAGGCGCTGCCGTTCCACCGCATCCGCATGTAACAGAGCCGATAACTCGTCAAAAAATAAAGACTAACCAGGTTGTCCAAGTCAACAGCTTTTTTTTAGGTGCTGTAGTTCGCACTATCGGAGAGATTAAACTTTCTATCGAAAAATCATGTCCATCACAATGAGCACCAAAGGCTATCTAGTCCACTGTGCATTGTGTCCCCCAATCCAATTACGACGTGTTCATAATTCCCTCTGTTTCTAAAAAAAACCATTTCATTTGTCTAAATTGTGATAAACTATTAAATATATTGACAAAATTACCCTTATTCGCACTGAAGAGAGATTTTTGAGAAGTATAACAATTAATATTCATTGTTTGTAAAGGCTACAAATGAAAAAAAAAAAATTACTCTCTCTTAAATCCACAAACATGATACTTATTTATGGACAAAGTGCTTTCGCAAACGTGATAATTATTTGTAGACGGAAGTAATTCGATAATTAATTAGCTTGCTGAAGGAAGCATATCCATATTGCGGTAGGCTAATCCATAACCCATAACCGGCAGGCAAATTTTCTTGTTCCTAAGGGCTGTTTCCAAATGATCTATGATTCCTTCACTCTTCAAAAATTTGTGGCATTACAAGATGTTACTTCAAAAAATTTGTGTCATTGCAGGCATCTGAACGAACCAACAGCAATGTACAACTCAACTCTACCCCAATACAAAGCTAATTCCTATCACAGTGCCTGCAATAACTCTCACTAATGTGTAACAATATAAAATACTCAGATTTTGTAACAACATTTCAGGAGCAGAGCAGGTGGAATGATCAGTCTCCAGCTACAGATTGCTTAACCGACCTGAGCCAGATCCTCTTCTCCTCCGACGCCGCCTCTGTCGAATCCGCCAAATGCTCAACAGTAATAAAAGGCCTATAAAAAAGCCAGTAAATCAGTGAAGTACAAAAGGAAAACTATAAAAAGTTTTTTGTAAGTTTGTGAAGTGAGATGATTTTTCACCAACCAGTAACTGCCACAGCTGCAGGTACAAGCCAATGACTAGCAACTAGCCTAGGAGCATCAAGCTGCAAATGAGAGGGAATACAACTACTAATGAGAATGAAACTTTTACTTATAGGGGAGACAAAAGCACTATAGTAAATAATAAGACATCTTAATGGATTGCATATTTCATACCTCATCTCCATAGAGCATGCTCCAGTAACTATTTCCCAACAAGTCGCCCTTGCTTTTCTTGGTAAACTTTGGACGCCTCGAACTTGAAGTGTCAACACTAAAATTCAAGCCTCTCCCCAGATCTATAACAGGATAGCCTGGAAGTCTTCTGTTCCTTCCCCTAACATGTAGATTGTATCCCTTAGTTCCCCACACTTCAAATCTGGAGTCACTCTTGCATATCAGATCCTTTTTCACAACAGCAGAATATGAAGAGAAATTCACATCAGTTCTTCGAGAAGGTAATTGATTATCATCTATGTAAATGCCTGTATCTAGTTTCACAGAATCTGCAAAGAGCAAAGGGTCTCTAATATTCCCACTGGTGAATTCTAACAGTTTCTTCAAAAGCCAGTAACAATTAGTAACCATATGACTGCTATCCAGACAATTGGAGTCCCCATAAACTGCAATACGACCTTCACCCGCCTCTACAAGGCCAAGAATTGGAGAGTCTGCCTGCATAATGTTGATATATATTACTTCCACCCATTCTTCAGCAGAAAAAGGGAAAAAAATTAAATGCTAAATAATTGAACGACCTCAATTCTAGAAAAAAATAAGAGTAATTGTTACATTACCCTTTTATTAATTCTTTGTAATTAAGAGAGAGAGTTTAGTAGAGATATCTAGATAAGGATAAATTTGAAATAAAATAATTAATCCTACCTTCATTTTCTAAATTGTCACATAAATGGAACAAAAGAAGAAGTAAAAAGTGTCAAATTTAATGGAATGGAGAAGTAATGTTGACGAGGTCCAACTGCCCTTGAAATGCTGAAGTAAAAAAAAAAAATTGTCCATGAAAAAAAAAGGGTTTTACAAGTATTTTAAGTATTCATCGAGTAAATTTCTTATCAAGCATGTGTGCATGTATATGTTTGCCTTGTAGAGAGAGAGAGACAGAGAGAGAGAGAGAGAGAGAGGTACCATGCTTGAGGAAAAAAATGCAGAATAATCGACATTTAATAACTAGACCTTGAAGAATGACTGTATGACAAACAATGAATGGAGACCACAGTTTTCACCTTGGTCATGCCAGAAGTCAGCAGTACATTCTGAGTGGCTCCACTTTCTGAGCTATCCAGGAAAGGGAAACTGTGCAGATACCCACCTCTTGGAAACCTTACAATATCAGTTCCAGATGCATATCGACTTTGCTCTCCATCAATAGAAAAATCACCATTTAGTATCTTATCTCCAAAAGCAATCCCAAAAGGGGCCAAAAGATCATTTAGTGCTGGAATATTTGCACCTCCAGTAACAGGAGTCCACCAGCTCCGTGTATTGTCATCGAAGAATCTCATCTTTACCATGGTATCCACATTATACCATTCAGCAAACACAGCCAACCCCAATCCAGCACTAATAACATCATCTCTCAGTTTTTCAATCTCTTCTTGAAAGTACTCATCTTCAAGATCCACTAGCAGAAGTGTCCCATATTGATGAGCATCAAAACATGTGAAAGGTGAACCGAGTGTTTCAACATAGTAACCAGCATCTCGTAACATGTTGAACATAATATGAAAATTTGTATGTAGGTGATCCCCATGCCAATCAAGAATATCATTGCGAACGTCCAAAGAGTCTCTTGGAATATATCCAGGAGGATATTTGATGCTGTGAAATTGATCCCACAGAACCCGCTTTGATCTTGCTGGAGTTGGAACCACCTTCAATTTTAGTTGCAACACACAAGTGCTACTTCGACGGCCCTTCTCACCTGGAGCCGGAGGACTGTATACCCTAAGAGTTACATTGCCTTCAATCTCTCCAGAGAACTGAGCACCTTCTTCCTTTATTTGCATGTGGAGTGCTAAATAACCAGTCCAAGGCCAAATGACTTCTGAATAAGTAAAGTGAATGCTTAGAAGATTTCCTTCTTCATCCACGGGATGCCATGTTGGTGGACTTTCAATATAGCCGATGACACCCATTCCATTCAGTATAGTCGCATTAAACATAATGGGCATGGCACCAGCATAGAGTGGTTGACGACAAAAGGGCCAGGAATAAGGGCAATCCATAAAATCAAGAACACTAGGGAAGATGCTTGCCCGAGGTCGGTAGCTCTTTAGGATTTCATATGATTCTAACCTGAAAAAGGAGTTGAGAGCTCGAAGTGATCATACTGGTATCAAAGGATTGAATGATAATAATACAGCAACAAATAAAAGAAAAGCTGACAATAAGTGCTCATTATTTTTCTAGTCAACTGAAAAATCAACTGCTTCTGTAAAGTTATGTCCCTTATCTCATAACCAGAAAATTCTTTAAAAAAAAAAAAAAAAGAAAGAAAGAGAAGGGTGCAGTGAATAAAGCATCCCACTTTTGTGGGCTATGGAGGGCCTGATATATGCAGCCTTCCCCCTGTTTTTGCGAAAAGGCTGTTTTTGCAGCTCGAACTCGTGACTTCCAGGTCACAAGTGGAGTAATTTTAATAATAAACAAAGTCCACCCTCTAAAAATTCTTAAAACAAGAAGATAAATTGTTCCAATAAGAATTCCAACTAAACAAAAGTATAAGAACATACAGATTAACTCTTCCTGCACCTTGCTCATACATATTAGGACCAGAAAGCTTAGCAGCTCCTTCAACTAGTGCTTGTTTCATGCTTGCTGGATTTAGAACGTCCTTACGACTATTTTCAGGGATGACACTGACAAGCAGGCATACCACACCAGCAACCACAGGACTTGCTACACTAGTCCCAGATAAACTTTTACAGCCAGTGCTGATCTTCGATCCCATGATTTCCCGCCCATATGCAACAACATCTGGCTTCACACGACCATAGCTATACCAGAAATTTACTCAATTAAGTTTAGTCAGCAATGCCAAAAATAACCCATACTGGGAAAAAACCAAGGGACTAGAGAAAAATAAATGACAAACTTACTCAGTACATGTTAAGCAAGGCCCAAGATAGATAATTCACATGATCATCATCAGAAAGTTCATCTAGTTTATAAAATGACTACAACAGTTCACTAATGCAATAATAATAAATCCTGTAGAAAACAGAGTACAGTGTATTACCCATGAGGAATTTCCCAGGTGCTCATGCCACGAGATGAGAATGGGGCCATGTGATCACTGTAATCTATGCCACCCACACCAATAACATCACTTTGGTCTGCTGGGTTGTTCAAAGTTCCATAAAGTGGTCCATCATTTCCAATAGCCGAAACCATAATGATATTATTGGCTGTTATTTCCCATACCTGGTAGACAAGGATGTCGTAAGCATTAACCGCATAAATATGCAAACTTTATGTGGACAGATGTGTAAAGAGTTTGTAAATGAAGTTTCACAGCAAAAATATGCAAATCAACAAAACTGATCCTGTACACTAGGAAATGCTTTAAATAGTAGTGAATTCAATGAGACAGATATCCAGCTTTCTTGAAACATATTTGAGGGAAAAATACCACCAGTCACTTTGAACAACCGAAGTCATTAGTTGCAGGTCAAGCAAAAGCATCAAATTAATCGTGTCCAGCTGTTGGGCTACAATATACGAGCAAGACAAGTCTTACCTTCTCAACGAATGGCAGATCCAAGTAATCAGGTCCACCTATGCTCAAATTCAACACATCCATCTTTGTGGCAATAGCATAGTTAAATGCATCAAGGAACCATGAAGTGTAGGATACCTGCAATAGGCTGAAGGCTAAATTCTCATAATCTTGCCAAATTTTATAAACTAAAGAAAGTGAATGAAAAAAAATTTTATTAAAAAATGAAGGTTGTAAAGGATATTGTAGACTGAATAAAACTCCTTACATATTGCCTGCTAATACTCTCTTCCATTAGCTTTAAAACAATAACTTTGCCATATGATAATGTGTGAAATTAGTATTTCTTTACCATGAGCGTAAACTTCAGGCCATTATATAAAATAGCATATTTTTAAAGCATAATGTTTAAAAGTTTATGAACTAAACTCAGAAGGCACACGTGCACTTTACATGTGTGTCAACATCAGCACAAATTCAGTAAATGAGATGTAAATACAACAAAATAAGCTAATAAACATATTTCTGACTTCTAACAATCATTACCTGTGCATCTGTAAAAACACGAAATGCATATATCTCTGTATCAGGTGCAAAACCAAGACACTCTGCATCTTGACCAGCAACAACACCAGCAACAAAAGTTCCATGACCAAGATTGTCATTCAAAGTATCTTCATTGGTCCAGTTTGTGCGCTCCTGAAAATTTATGAGGAGTCAATATGAAAACCACCATTGCGGTTACAAATAAAAACTGAAAATAGCATCATAGCAACAGAAATCTGAATCCAAAAGAACCAACGTTGAGAGAATCATACATCTCCCACCAACGACTAATACCTTAATATTACGGAAATGTGGGTGATCAGATCGAATTCCTGTGTCAAAAATAGCCATTTTAACTTTAGCACCAGTATAGCCTTTCGCCCAAAGAACATCTGCCCCAAACAAGGAAGTGACCTGTGACTTCTGAAGCAGAATAAAAAACTGTAAGCAAGTAAAACCAAAGAGAAAAAAGAAATTGTTGAACAAAAATTTGGTCCCTTAAAGTTTGATTTTAAGATAGTCCACGTTCCACTGCGATTACAAAAGAATTAAAGAAGCTCCAAGACATTACAAACATAAAGGGATTAGGAATTTCATTTGAAAGACTTTCTTTTAAGAAGTCTACCAATTTTTTACGCCCAAAAGAATTGAAGTGAGTTATGCAGTTGAATTTTCCATTTGTATGTAGACGCGGACCAGAGATGCAGAGTATAATCATTAGCGTCACAAGCTCTCAGCAATAATAACACACCACAATTGTATTAGATGTCCAAGTCAAACGATAGAACAATATCTTAGATATTCTCATTGTATAAAGATGGGAAAAAAGAAAAGAAAAGGAAGACGCCCTTGACTGAGCCCACTCAAATATTTCAACTCACTTGCTTCTGGCCAAGCAAACAGAATAAAAATTGAATAAATCATTAACAATAGAGAAAAGAAAATCCTCATACCTGCATCAAAAGATGGCGTCCCCAATGAATCGAAGAATTACTGGTTGCCGCCATTGGATAACCTTCATTAAAAGACATAGAAGTGAATATCTTTCCCGGTCGTTTCTTCCCATTTACAAAAGCACCACCACTATTACTACCAAGTATATCCCTTTTATAGCTCAAATCCACATTCACATCTTTAACCATCGCCAATCTCTCAATCTCCCGAATCAATCTCTCCCTCTGGGATTCCTCGATCGCCACCAACCCAAAATCCGTCGCGTATTTCATGGCGGGATTTCGCCTCTCGACCCATTCCCAGCCAGCCGATTTAAGTCTTGACTCCAAATACTGACGATGATGCTCCACCTTTTTGTATTCCGTGAAACGGACTATGTACTTGGTGGTGCTATTGATCTCGTTTCGGGGGGTTAGGGTTAGGGTTTTTTTAGAAAAATTAAGAAAATGGAGAAGAAAGAGGGAGATGAAAGCTATAAAGAAAGCGAATTTCAATGGAAATGTTGTAGAGGCTTGGTGATGGGCGGCCATGGCTGTTCGGTTAGTGAGGTTGTTACTGGTTGTTTGATTTGGCGGGAAAGCTCCCGCATCTGGACAAGAGAGAGTTAAGGAGGTTGAAAGTTGAATCTCAAGTTGTGCGTGGTATGTGAAGTGCAGTTTTCGTGTCCGTCCTTCTTTTCTCCATTGTTTCTGTTTTTTTGTTTTTTGTTTGAACTGACATTGTTTCTGGTTTTTAAAACATAGACTTTTTGACGTTTGAGGGATGTAATTGTCATGTCTACGACGTGGCAATTCCTATTAATTAATTAATATATACTTATACAGATGCATTATTAATTAATAAAGTTTATAAAATAAAAAAAACTTCCAATAGTTATTATTAGCACCAGAAAAAAACCTGGTAATATTTTAATTTAATTATAATTGTAATTATATTAACACAAAACATCATCCAATCTCTATTTTAAAAATTAATTATAAGATTATTAACTTTATAATTTTATTAATTTTTGGATCTTTCTACTCGAATAAATGGATTAAATTGTTAAGTACTCCGTTAATTTTTATAATTTTATTAATATTATGATTTATGGACATTCTCAATCAACCGTTAAAAAAAAAAGGTAAATATTAATAAAATTATAAATTAAGAACCTTATAATTAAAAACAGATAATTATGTTAATTTTTATAATATGGCCTTATTATCGTCTCACCTCATGCGGGGTGTCGTTCCTACCACCGGCGGTCGTTCAACCACAGTACCACTATACCAGTATTTATGGCTCAGGTTAGACGACCGCAATTAAATGATTAAAGAGAATTTGCAGAAGTAATCTCCATTCCCCAGGCGTCGTCTAACTTGATAAACGACTTGTTAACCTCCTGCGACTATAGTCATTCAGGTCCGATATCGTCAGTGGAAATTTACTTCAACGCATAGTAGAAGTATGACAACTCCAATCTTCTGCTCGTCAAAGATTCAAGAAGAAAATTTCCAGTGATTCATGGCGCGAGGGTTCACTCTCTCATCGCAAACCAGAGCCAATACCATTTCTTTCATGAAGAGGATTCCAATTTCGCCACCAAAATGCTGGAGGCCACTCTTCATTTCTCCTCGTCGCCGTTTCTATCGTCTCCGCATACCTCCCTTTGTAACTCCAACTCGCTTATTTTGCTGCAAATCTTCTCTTGTCCAAGACACAATCGACTTAGCGAACTACAAGGAAGCTTTTTCGAGGCAGATGGCTATGGCTGGTCTCAAACGCCACCACCGCATTGGTAAGAGTGATTACTTCCACTTGCCTATTTTCTTTAGCAAAAATTTAGCTTTTTATCTGTGCGTTTGTGTTGTAAATTACCTGAATCGTTTGATTTGAAGAGTAAATGGCTTTCTACTGCTTTGGCTTCTAGCAATTTCGGGAAGTCTGCTTTTTTATTTTTTATTTTTTATTTTTTGGAAGCTACATGTGTGGGGTTTTGGGAGACTATTCGACAGAAGCAGGAAGAGCTGCTTAGTTGGACATGATTTGCTTAATAAATTGTTGCTTGAGTTTTCCTTTCTTCAACTTCTGTTTGGATAGATGGGGTTTGGTTATTATTTTATCTTCAAAATACAAGCTGGAAAAGGAAAAATGTTTGAATTTTGTGATTTTTTTCTGCTTCAGCCAACCAAACCTCTACTTAGATTTATAAATTAAATAAGATATGGGTGTTTGTTTCTTTTCTCAGCTATAGGAGTATCTGGTGGCCCTGACAGCATGGCGCTTTGTTTCCTAACTGCTGCATGGAAAACCGAAGGTCCTAATGCTGTTGGGCAGCATGAAGGTTTTATTGACGGTCTTTTAGCTATAGTTGTAGATCATGGGCTACGTGCAGAGAGCAGAGAGGAGGCACACATTGTTTCCCATCGAGTTTCGGAAATGGGTATATTTGAATTTGAATATGAACCATTCTATACATTGAATTGATTATTCATTACATTGAAGATGGCTAACATGAATTTTGTGTAGGAATCAGATGCGAGATTGCCTGTTGTAGTTGGTCAGATGGGAAGCCTAAACAAGGTCACTTGCAGGAAGAAGCAAGGGATGTAAGGTGATTCTTTTGGTTCCTTCTAAAGCTAGGAATTGGGGTTGCTACTCTTGACTCCACTCAATCCCTCTGTTTCCTTCTTCCTCTGATGGGAGGTGGGAATTCATTCTTCAATACTAAATGCTTTAAGATATTGAATGCTCAAAAACTAGGATATAACCATTTTGCTTGGACTTCAGGTACCAACAATTACAGAATATTTGCTTTCAAAACCAGACTGGCGTGTTAGTAATTGCACACCATGCAGATGACCAGGTTTGGAGCACCATTAAGTTTTTACTCTTTTTCTACATACATGTATTTGCTTTAAATGTCTAAGAGTCCTTGTGCATGTGAATAGCATGTAGAACTTTGTCTATAATAAAGTGAAATGCAAAAGATTCGCATTTTAACTGTTGGTTACAGCTTAGAAAGCTTTCTAAGGACACTGCAAATATTGTAATTTTTGAGCAAATGCAGGCTGAATTGTTCATTCTCAGACTCTCTCGCACTAGTGGTGTGCTAGGACTTGCTGGCATGGCCTTTACTTCTCAATTGTTCTCCTCAAGCACACATTTTTATGATGAAGCTCCAAAGAATGAAGGGATACTTCTAGTGCGGCCGCTCTTGCATTTTTCTAAGGAAGATATGTACAAGGTTAGCAGTGAAAAGTTTGTCATGGAAAGATATTATTTCTTGAGTAAAGATAAGGAGCACTCCTGAGATCGTTGCTGTTTAATTTTTATTGCTTTTACGTATAATAATGATTGTTATCTGCTTCCAGATATGTGAAATGGGTGGCCAGGACTGGGTGGAGGATCCAACGAACCGAAGTCTATTATATGCTCGTAATAGGATTCGAATGTCATTAGGGAACTTCTCATCATGTTGGTACATGTGATACTTACAATAGTTAGGATTTAGCTTCATTTTGTAAACATGTGATGCAAGATTTTTGATTTTTTATTATTTTTGTGTTTTCTTTGAACTTATCTGCTTAGATGAATCCAATATGATGGTGTGTGCACTCTATCCTGATATGGGAAACACCAAACTTGGCTTTCCTTAATGCAAACACAAACTTAGCCTTCTCAAATAACTAGCTCTTGTTTTCCAGATACCTTCAAATCTGAAATGCAAGCTGTAATTTCCGCCTGCCGACAAACGCGTGCTTTTGTTGATAATATTTGTAGTAATTTGATAAGTCTGGCTGTGGCCATTGATGATGTAAGCATCCTTGACTGTTGGACACCTTCTGTTATCTTGAGTGCCTAATTTTACATTCAACGTGATCATGGAAACTTGAGTATTGGTGTCCTTCTAAAGAAAACTTTATTTTATATTTGCCAGAGTTTATGTATGACTAACAATTTGTGTTTCTCCCTTCTCTTTTGATGTGGTCAGCAGCAGGGATATGGCATCATTGATTTAGAGATTCTCAATCCCTCAAAAATTGTGGACTTATGCCTGGCAAAGTTTATTGCCTTAGTCTTGCAGGTACTGATTAATAGATCTTGTAATGCACTCGATTGTTTTCCTGAATGACATTCTAATCTAGAATCACTTGGAAGCACTATACTGATGCTCTTTAATCTCAACCTGTCAGTTTATCTCTCAACGTCATAGACCAGTCAGAGGTAGCACTTCAAAATTGCTGTTGGACTACATTCGTACTTTCCCATGCAAGGTACATCATTCTGACCACTCATGTTCTTACATTTCTATGCAATTATACATTAGTTTGTTCTCTGTTGTAGATGCTGAAGGTTTTCCTTTTTTCCAATTTTTTAACATTTTCTTTTATTAGTGCATAATTTAGACAAAATCAAGCCTTGCACTTTATATCTTCTACTGATAATGTATTATATGTGTAATTGTTTAAGACTTCTATCAAGAAGTCATGATCCTCATGGAAGCGATCTTGCAGGAGTGTTTCCTTAGTTCCTTTTGCTCAGTTCAATAAATTTTTAGTTTGAAATAGCGTTCATGTGACAAGTTCACAAAAAATACAGAAAGAAAGACTATATTATGTTCTCCACTTTCTAGGATCCTGTTTGACTGGATCATTGGGAAATGATTTATTCAGCAACAAAAAAATTTTTTGGTGGGAATTTCTTCTAAAAAATAGAGAACACAGAAACATTGAATGGAATCTTATCATGGCTTATCATTATGCTTCATTGCTTAAACTAAAGTGGCATGGAGAAATATTTGGCTCTTTTTTTATCTTCAAAAATTGATTATGTTGATGCTGATCTCAACTTCTTTTTGTTATTTTCACAATCCTGCAGGCCTCCCTTACAGCAGCTGGATGTTACCTTTGTCCAGCTCCTGGGTCTAGGGGAACCAAAGTCCTAATTTGCTGCTCTGTTGATTGTCCTCGGCCTTCAAAAATGGAATTGACTTGCATTTATTCTGGTGGAAGACTGAGGCAATCTGTCCCAAATGAGTTGGAGCAAATTATAGCCGATGGAAAATCATACGCAGGTCACTCTGTTCCCGATGCATCAGATGTGTATTTTTTGGACTCTACATCTGAATCAGTCCTAACAGAAGCCAAAAGGCTTAATTTTATCAGTGAGTCAACCTATAGGAATATACTTATGTTGCAGCGGGATGAAATCAAACATTTCAAGGCCAAAACTGAAGATAATTTTAACTTCAAGCCAAAGGATGAGGTTGAATCTATCACTAAAAATGAACATCTGGGACCTGGGCAAATATGCTATTTCATGAACAGGTTCTTGGTCAAATGGAAACTGAGCAAGTATATTCCTGTTAATGCTGTTCCTGACAAAACTTATTGTGATAGGGATTTGGGAGAACAAAGTTATCATTATTCTTGGTCTTGCATAATTGCTCATGACATGGTTGTTGACGTGAGGCACATGGTTGAATCTGATTGGCTCTATCTTGGTAAGTTGTCAAAGTGTGCAAGTTTGGATGATTTACGCCAGCAAGTAATGTATGCAGCCGGTGAAGTGGAGCAATTAACGGAGAAGAGGAACCTGTACTTAGATTATTTAAGGTTCTCAGCTGAAAGAGCACTCACTTTGTTGAAATCTATTCCGGTTGCAGCCAGAAGAAGCCTCCCTGTCCTGATCAATCACCAAGGACTGCTATTAAGCGTCCCAGTGAGTTGTCCTCTTTTCCAGCTATCTGTTACTACTGAAGCAAATATATATCACTTGCTTCTCATTTCTATTAACAAAAATCTAACATCTCACTAAAAAAATCTTCCGATCTATCTTGTTGCCAGTCAGTAGCTTTTCTTTCCAATTCATCATTTCCAATATGATTGTGAATTTCTCATTGTTTACCATTGGTGTCCATTCCTTCTGAAACTTGATATCTTGTTTTTTTCAGAGCATTGGCTTCAAGAATTGCCCTTGTTTGATGGTATCGTGTGTATTCAAGCCAAGAGTACCACTTGGGGGAGGCCATAGTTCATTTATGTAGTCTCTGTAATCAGTTCAATAGATTTTCTTTTTCAAGAAAAAAATGTATGAAGTCATTTTCATGAGCATAAATTTACCCCTTTTTGCTTTTTAACTTTTTATGGTTTCTCGTTTCCCTTTCTTTTGTTGGTGATTTCCGAATATCTCATTAGGCTTATAGAAAAAAAGAAGAAGGAAAAGTCTAAATAACAGGTTACATTTTACTTTTTGTGCATTTGAATGATAGAAGTACCTGACTCTTTGATTTCTAGGCGCAGGACAAATTCCAATTTCTGTTTGCTGTCGAGGGAGAGTGGATTAAGCGAAAATGGAATTAATACAAATTTCTCCTCCAGGTAAAAGAAAATTGGAAGAGGCGAGGATTGCTGTTTTGCATCTTAATTACTAGCGGGACTTCGGATAGCAGGGTATATAACGTGGAAATAGCACGACCAACTCCATATTAAAGTTTGCCTTCGAACACATGAAGTATAGTCAAATCTCATGCATGAGTTCGAAAATTTTCATTTATTCACAATTTCAGATAGAAACGATGTGAACCTTGACAGACTCTGGCCATAAGTAGTGGCCTGTGGCCCTGTGCAGTCGACATGAAAAGAACTTAAGATAGTTTCGGAGATGTAACAAGATGCCCTAACAAATAAAGGGCTTGATTCTGTGTTCCAATGCCTTGAGATTTCAGGGACTAAATTTAATAACGCTTTACAATTATAAAGCAATTAATTCACCCCCAAATCCCAATTTCTAAAACCTCTTTTGGCACTTCAGGCAGTTATAATTTTTTCTGGAGTTACACGTTTGTTGTGTACTTGTCAATTTTATCATTCAGAAAGGAAGATACAACAGAGCGAGGAAATCTTTCATAATCTGCCCTGACCTCCTCGTTCCTTCAAAGGGCCAAAAGACGTAAACCACTGCTTCCAAGGGGCATCATTTTGTTGCTCAATCCATGACAAGAACGCACTGTCTAACAAGCAGAACATATTAACATAGAGGAGTTGATACCTCACTGGCACGTACCGGAAATTCGCAATCTGAACTATTGGCCATACACCACCCTCTAAAATCAAGGCAGGAAGGAAGTCCCTCTTCAAATCTTCCTTAACTTGAGCTACATTCTTGCCAGTGGAAAATCCCATATAAGTGAAGAACACAAACAAATCAAAGGGGCCAAAGATTATGCCATCAGCAGCCACTTTAGTAGCTACAAATCGAACTGATTTTGGTGGCAGTTGAAGTCGCAGTCTTATAAGCTTGTCCAAGCCTTCATACCTGTGACAGAGAAAACATTGATATGTTAAGACAAAAGAGGTGATGCTCTAGTACTTGCTTATGCACGATTCTTTTGTGATTCAGATAAGTGCATCTCAATTCAGAAGTTCAGTACTTTACCACGCATAAAATATCCAATTCTGATCACAGTCTCCAACTGTTTATAGAATGATCTACTTTATGATAGAAAAGAATATTTCTTTAAGATGGAGCTTGAAGTGCAGCCTTCGTCTTGGTTCTCTAATACATTTTAGTCGGAAGCCCTCTAAAAGTATTCAATCTAAATCTTGAACCTCAAACATAAAAATATGGCTAGAGTGCACTTTATGCATAATCCATTTCAAATTATGATAAATTGCAAGGCAAACATGGGAATCATGTCTTTAGTCTTATGTCAAGAAAATGAAAAAAAAATGGGATTGAAAAAATGAAATGCTGCTCGCAAAGTTTAGATGTTAGAAAGACTAAGATTTTTATATCTAAGTTCCATTTTAACTATATTGGATTGAAACTCGCACAAGAATGGATTATGTATATATGGCAAGGATAGTTGCTAATTTGAGGACTTAAATGTAAGAGGACTACTTCCAATAATTGACAGGAGAGGGAACATGAACTATTAATGGACTATAGTTGGAAATGGGTACTCTTGTTGCGTAAGGTGCCCATTTTCGGCAATCAATTGATTTGTTTCAATATAATTTCAACATATATAATATAAAATCTATATAGCTCCATCAACAAACTATGTATTTCCCTAAACATGATCCCTAGAAGAAGACTGCATTTTAGTGGTAAAACGTGCAATGGCAAACAAAGATCACATGAAATAACCCAAAGGAAAGTAATAAAAGGAGCACAAACCAAAAGTGGCCAACTGGACCAACAAAGCCAAATCCAAACATACTAGTGATAGCTACACGTCTCCAGTTGATTTTGAATTCTGCTTCTACATCCTTCTTCAAGAAAAATATAAAAGAATGTTACCAATGCAGAGAAACTGGTCATCACGCAAAGCACATTTAACTTCAGCAGAACCGACAAATTCAGTTCACAGCATGGGAAGCGAAAAATACAGAGTACTACAACAGCACTAATTTAAAGGAAAAGATGATGCCGTGATGGTGTTTCAGTTTACAGGAATTTAATTATAATAAAAAATATAATGTAATAACACAGTAATTAATTTTCACTAAATCAACTTGGAAATTCTAAATTTTGAAATGCGATGTTAATCAGAACATGTGGTAGTCACGAGGCAAAGATTTTGCTCTAGGCTTTGACTAAAATTTAACATGTTACTCCGAGATATTCAATTGTTTTTGCTTTGTTTGATGTGATTATGCATATATGGATTATGGATCAGAAGAAATTAGCAGTCAAAAAGGTGATGAAATAATTCCTTGAATATTTGCAAGGTACACAAGCTCCCAAAAGGGAGGATGCTAAATGGAGTTCCTGAGGAGGCAAGACTAACCAATGTATTCTAATGCATCTTTTTCCTTACAATATACAGGAATTCAATTTTTAAAATAGGCATTTAAGGCTATATTATCTTTATCACTATCTATTGGGATTAACAGCCAATGGAATCTTGCAAATGTTTATTCCCCAAATAATAGAAGGATATGAAGCAAACTATTCTTAGATGCTCATGAATATCTGTATCTTCATTATTTGACCATCAACCACAAATTTCCAGTAGTAGTGTTAGAGATACAGGCCCAACAGTTTATGTTGGTCCTAATTGCAGGAAATGAGAAAATAAAAATAATAACAATAAATAAATAAAAAAACAATATAGCTACAACAAAGAAAGACCAATACCAAGTTGGTTTTACTTTTTCAAATTAAAGTAAACTATTCAAGCAAATTTGCAAAGATTTTCTAAGTGAGCTACCAATCTACATGCTGCCAAGCAATCTTAAAAATAATATCGTCAAGGAATGCTATCATTGCAGGAAAAGCGAGTCAGTCACTATTGCCGAGGTTATTAATTTGAAAAAACACCATTCCTTCTCCACATCATCACCAGCTCCTATAACATTAATAGTGATGGTGCATTTGTCCTGTAAATTGTAATGGCCTAAGTCTCAGATTAAGGACGTGTAGAATGTAGCCATTATAGAAATAGAGTCAATGAAACCCAAATGCACCCAAAACCAATTGCATCGATGGAACAAGGAAACAGTAGAAGATGCCCAATAAAGGAAAAAACTTTCTGCAATTGAAAGAGCAAGGTAGATAAAGTACAACATAAAAGTCAAACAGTAGCATTTAATCAAAACAAACTATGTTGATAAAGCAAGAATATCCAAAAGAACAAATTCATATTTAAAAGTAAGCAAATTGGTTCAAACTAACAACAAATTTCTTCAAAATACCTCAGTTTTCAAAGTCCCATACGAAAGGGACTGTAAGGGCAAAGTATAAGAAGCTTCAATTAAATCAAGAAAATCGAGGATATACAATACATTAAAAAAATAAATGAGAGCAACTCTTTAAATTAGGGATAGTGAGGTTACAGATTTCTTTAGACGGTTGACTGCTGTTGAGTGAGTGATGTATTGAGCGCCAATATCCCCAATGCCCCAAAGAATTCCAGAGCTGATGATTTGGGTCTTAACTGGATGAGAAGATAGGCAGTGCTGGTACCATTTCCATAGCTTCAGCATCTTATCAGAAAGAAAGAGAGACGGCAAAGCATACAGAGAGAGAAAAGTAATTTAGGAAGCCATGTCCTGCTGATGACCAATTGGCAGGAGGTCAGATTTCAGGCATCTCGTTGATTTTATAAACCTGGATGTTGGTGTACTTTGCTCTTTTTTTTTTTTTTTTTTTTTTTTTTTTTTTTTTTTTTTTTTTGTATTTTTACTTTTAACAAATATAAAAATTCTTTTTTTTTTTTTTTTTTTTTTTGTTTTTTTACTTTTACACAAATATAAAAATTCCATTTTTTTAAAAAAAATTATTACATAGCCTACAAAATTATGAAATTAATTATTAAATAATAATGAGTCAAACTTAATAATAATTTTTTTCCTCTTTTTAGTTGTTGATTATCTAAATAATTTCTTAGAAAAATTGTATCTTATATATACTTGCAAAAAACATAAATGAGCTGGAACAGTGGGGTTAGCATTTCCTGGCTTTTTTTGTAAAATATTGTTTTAATGTAGATTGTTGACCCGTAATGCTTAAATTTTAAGTTGATAAGCATAGGATATGTAATAAAATCATATTATTTTTTCTTTCACTTCTCTCGCGCGTATATATATATATGAAAGCTTAAACAAATAGAATGTTTAAGGCGTAATCTTTATTTCATATTCTTTTTTTTTTTTTTTAGAAAAATTAATTTTTTTATTTTTCTATATTTTAATTGGTCAACTTAATTTTTCAATTTAATATTTAATGTTGGCAATTGATAACTTTTTAAATCTATAATCTTATCCAACTAGAACTCCAAAATCTAGCTAAATTTTTGGAATTGAATACGTTATATAATCTAATCTCTACCTCTTAAGTAATTCACAAATAATTATCAACTGCCATACTGCGAGATGCCTTGGCATTTTTCATTCTTTCAAATCTTCTTCTCCATTCAACAATAAGTAAATTCCTGCAAATTCTTTTCTCTTGGTAAACTTCTACCAATTAGAAGTTACATATTACTCTTTGTTTATGTGGAAGTAAATTTGATAAATGAATTCAAGCCAAACTGTACGTTTTCACACTAAACTCTTTCGTCTGCTTCTTACTGGCTTCTGCAGATGAGCTTCTCAACCATTCTATGTCTCTCCTGCCAAAACCAGCTTCTGTGATGTTGATGTTATTCAATGCTTATGCATCATCAGTTTATAACACTTGAATGGGAGAAGGTTTCTTTTTCTCTTTTTAATTTATTTTTCCAAACTTGTTTTTTTAAAGAGGTTCCAAATGATGTTTTCTATAGAAATTGGAAATTTATTTCTTTCAGGTTTGAATTTGAATGAGCTTGGAAATTAATACTCACTCAGTATCCATTTAGATAGATATTATATCCTTATTTAAAATTTTTAATTATTCTAAAATTTGTAATCAGAGTGGAATATCTAAATTTTTAACTATTTGTCTATCAATAGCCCTTTTTTATATTATTTGTCAATAAATTAATTATGTGTACTTATTTTATCTCTCTAATTTTCTCTCCTTCCATTTTTTTTTTCTATATATATCACTTATTTTGCCCACGTTTCTTTGAAACTTACACTTATATTAATTACAATAATTTTTAGACTCACCAAATTTAAATTATAAATTTGAAAATTTTTAATTTTAAACTAATTTATGATTAATTAATATATAGATAATTATAACTTTAAAATTTTTTATTTTTGATTGGCTGTTGAGTGTTTTTAATTAATAGATATACATGTAGATAACTGACTTCAAAATTAGTTTACTCAAAAATACATATAAAAATATATTTTACTCAAAATACTTTCAATCATTTTTATTGTTAGTCTTAATATAAAAATATAAATTAAAATTCTAATAACATAATTCAATAAAATTAATTATTCAAATGATTTATAATATTTGCATGCGCGAAACGGGGAATCACGGCTGGTTTCGTTTGAGATAAAATCATACATATAATATAACGACCATTAATTAAAAAATAAAAATAGAAGATAAAACAACGCGTCCTCAACGGTTATCCACTGTGGAAACAACTGTCCGACGGTATTTCGACCGCGCGTTTTGTTAACAATATCTGACATATCTACAAACGACCAAGAGACGGCGAATCGTCGTTTATTCAAGGATGCGTTCTCCATTTCCGTTGCGTCAACTATCAGCGAGCGGACCACATCTCTTAAAGATAAAAAGTACCCACATGATGGAAGCCCAGGTAAACCAGTCAGATTGGGCCAATCTGAGCCCATATTTTTCCTCTTAGGACCGGTCCAAACCTTGATGTTTTTTATTTCAGAGATACCATCGTATTGGGAAATATTATGTTAAAAAAGTTTTTGGCAAGAAAACGAAAAAGAAAAAAGTTATGGATATTGTAAAGAAAATATGTCTCATATCAAGAGCAAAAGAAGAATACACAGTAGCAATGCTTTAAATTTCGAACCTGTGTAATAATAAAAGTAGGCGTGGCAAATTCTGCTCCTCTAAATTTATATTTCAATAATAATGTAAAACTTTTGGCACCAACACTTTCTACAGCCTCAAAATACAATCTAAAAAATCTGGTTCTGATAATATTTGTGGATAAGAATCGTCAGTGGTTGCCACAACACAGACTCATAACCCGCTAAACGACATCAAGTTTGATTTCTTCTGATTTCAGACCTGCATGTACAAGTCTAAGACCAACAAACCAAGCATGCAAAGCAAAACACATCTTTATTTCCGCTATAGACAACCAAACTAACTTCTCCCACTCTGTAGATTTCTTCTGTATTTATTTTAAGTGTTCACATCGGAATCATGGGTAAGCAGCGAAATGGAACAATCACAAGCAGCAAGCTGGTTGAGCCATCAACAGTTATGGTACAAAAATACATTCTTGATCACTTTTCTTGCTTAAAATTGGTTACTTGGGTTGCACTTTTTGATTGCTTCTATTTTTTGAGCCCAGAAGTTATTCTTCCTGAATAATTTGGAACTGGGTTTGCTTGAATTTTGTTGGTTCCACGATCAATTTCAAAAGTTATATTTGCAAACTTGTTATAATTTTGGTTATGCTTCAGTTTTTTGCATTTTGATTTTTAGGTCTAACTTCTTCTTCACATCTTATGATGTTTTGATTAGTTCTATTTGGTAGTTTATTCTTCTTCTTCTTCTTTTTTTTTTTTTTTTTTTTTTTTTTTTTTTTTTTTTTTTTTTTTTTTTTTTTTTAATAACTTTCTATCGACTGAATTATTGTGTATACATCAGCTGCTGTGCATACGAAAATTAAACTTGAACCATGCAAAGCTTATGTTGCCCATTTATAGTTTGACAATAGGCATTTTTTTTTTTTTTTTTTTTTTTAATAACTTTCTATCGACTGAATTCATTGTGTATACATCAGATGCTGTGCATACTGAAAATTAAACTTGAACCATGCAAGCTTAGTTGCCCATTTATAGTTTGACAATAGGCAATAGCCAAATTCACAGTTTTGTTTCCAAGGACAGAAAATGGTGTAGCAATTACTTACATATTGTCAATATCGCTCATATATGCCTTTTCTTTTAGTGTGCGTTTGGATGGCTGGATTTGAGATTCTTGCATTTGAGAAATGATTGTTTGGATGAAAGTCAGATTGATTTTAGGACAAACGATGGAATATCTATTTTTACCATTTTATAAAATTTTATGGGGACTATTTGAGGTTGGCTAACCAAATTAAATCGTCAACCGAATGAGAGCCAATTTCTGATCAATTTGAACTTCACAGGAATTACATTCGCCAGAGGAGAACCAATTTCAATTAATTTCTTCATCTGTTGATTCACAAGTTCAATCTTGCTGTTCTGCCTGCTTAGGCAAAAACAGTTGCCGAACAGTTCGTTCAAGAACAAAACTGATGAATACTTTGATTGAAAGAGGGAAACCTCATGAAGCCCATTTGATTTTCAATAATTTAATAGAAGATGGGCATAGACCAACTCTTATAACATACACAACTTTTGTAGCTGCTTTGACTCAGCAGAAACGTTTCAAGTCCATTCTTTTACTCATCTCTGAAGTGGAACAAAATGGGATCAAGCCTGATTCCATACTCTTCAATGCCATGATAAATGCCTTTTCTGAATCTGGAAATGTGAAAGAAGCCATGAGAATCTTTCAGAAAATGAAGGACAGTGGATGTAAGCCCACAACTAGCACATTTAATACCCTTGTTAAAGGGTATGGGAATGCTGGTAAGCTTGAAGAAGCTTTGAAGTTGTTAGATTCAATGATGCTGGATGGAAGCGTGAAACCAAATGACAGGACATATAATATTCTAGTTAGAGCTTGGTGCAACAAGAAAAACATAAAGGAAGCATGGAATGTCGTGTATAAGATGGTAGCATCAGGTATGCAACCTGATGTTGTCACATACAACATACTAGCAAGGGCTTATGCTCAGAAAGGGGAGACAAGCATGGCTGAAGAGATGATATTGGAAATGGAGAACAAGAGAGTTGCACCCAATGAGCGGACTTGTGGAATCATTGTTAATGGCTATTGCAAAGAAGGTAATATGATTGAAGCCTTGAGGTTTGTGTACAGAATGAAGGAGCTTGCAGTGCACCCTAATCTTGTTGTTTTCAATTCCCTCATCAAAGGATTTCTTGATATCACAGATACTGATGGAGTTGATGAGGTGAGTATCTGCATCTGCACCCTGAAAATAAACTTTTATATTGATAATACAAAAAACTTAGAAATCTTGCAAAACCTTTCGAAACAGTCAGTGCCTTTCAATTGCCTGAATACTGAACTTATATTAGCAAATCTTTTTCTTCATTCCATTCTTTCTAAATGTTTCTGGTGTAAGTTTTCTGTATCATTTGCAAAGAACTTGGCCATAAAAAATTGCTGTTGCACCTCTTGTTTATTGAGAGTGCTAGTGACTGAAACTCTAAGAAGAAATTTTAAATTAAGTCAAGTGAGGGTTTACCACATCTTGTGGCTTGGCTCCTATTTGGATTATCACTAATGCATAACATCAATGACTTTTTGTCCTTCAAGAAACTTGTATCTTCTGTAATTATACTATATGCATGCATCTGGCAGTAGTTCAAAATTAGGATGATATTTAACAACTCAAGCAGGGAAGCTTCTATCCTCAGACTTGGAATTCATGGAAAACAATCAATTAGGAATTGAACTTAATTTTATCATCTCATAGCTCAACGCATATAGAAGTTGAGCTGTACTGGCTGCCATTTGCATCTGCTTGCTGACTTAGGGCAGTGGATGACATCAGTGGCGAGCCAAAAAAATGTTAGAAAGACAACCGCTGTTCTCTTTCTTTCTTTTGTATGACAAGACAAGATAAGTCAAGTTAGGCCTATGCTTTATAACTTATAGAGCATTTCAATACATTGGAACTTCTTAATAATTTTGGTATTGTATGTATTCTACAGGCATTGTCTTTGATGGAAGAATATGGAGTCAAGCCAGATGTTGTAACATTTAGCACAATCATGAATGCATGGAGCTCGGCAGGGCTCATGGACAAATGCCAAGAAATTTTCAATGACATGGAGAAGGCTGGGATAGAACCCGATATCCATGCATTTAGTATTCTTGCAAAAGGATACGTGCGTGCTGGAGAACCGGAGAAGGCTGAGTCAGTCCTGATTTCAATGAGCAAATCTGGTGTTCTCCCAAATGTTGTTATCTGCACCACTGTAATCAGTGGATGGTGCACTGCTGGGAACATGGATAATGCAATTAAGATTTATGAGAAGATGTGTGAAATTGGCATTCCCCCCAATTTGAAAACTTTTGAGACCCTGATATGGGGTTATGCAGAAGCAAGACAGCCATGGAAAGCAGAAGAGTTGCTGCAAACAATGGAAGAAAAGGGAGTCTTTCCTGAGGAGAGCACTATGCAGCTTGTTGCAGATGCATGGCGAGCCATTGGTTTATCAAGTGAAGCCAATAGAATTATGAAAAATGAAGCAGCAGGAGAGGAAATTATTGCAGATGATAAGAAAGGTCAGATTCCTGTAGAGAGCTTGGAAAGGATTTATAAAGATCAAAACCTTGGTGCTTCTTACTCTAAGATCTTGCAGATACCTGGAGAAGTTATTACCAAACAAAATGGATCTTCTGTTAAAATTAGAACCCAAATGATCCATAGGAATTTTAGGTCTTCATCTGAAATTCTGTGGACGAGTACTAACTCTATCTTCCTTAACCATATGCGTACATTCAGGATGCCACCGCAAATTGTATGCAGAAAGCAACACAGTCGTTGTTTGGCAATACACAGGAAGTTTGTAAATTCAGGTAGAATCATATCCATAAATTGACACGGAAATGTTGAGATTGCTATCAGGGCAAGCATGGAAAGCATTGATGATTTCTTTCTGCTTCAAGTTGTAGATACTGTAATTCCTATATCATACATTCTTGGTACTTCCATTGCTTGGAATCATTGATCGAAATCTTATAGACCATTTTTTCACTTCTTGTAATGTTGATTATGCAAGGCATATTTATCTATCATTACAATGACATGGGACTGTTTCATTCGATGTTTGCACTCAATAATTTCTAATTTTCCTACTAAAATTGTAAATTTATAAACTGTGTCAAAGGGACAAGAAAAAATCAATTATAAACAAATTTCTCTCTCCTATGGTACGGTCCAAAAGAAGGATAAGGAAAAAACTAATTATAAACAATATGTGTCTAAAACAGCCACTTAGATCTCATCACAGTGTATTTTTTTTTTTAACAACGGAAAGTTTTACCTCTGGGGCGGAAAAATTACAGGAAAACTTTCCCTCGACTGGTTAAAGCTGACTTGTCAATATTAACCTGAGACGAGAATGAGACCCTTGTCAAACGCGACGAGTCTGTAATTAGAGATGATAACTCTACAGCTATCTCCTCCTCCTCTAACTTCCCTTCAAATCCCCAATTTGCACCGTGCACATACAGCAGCTAGCTCTCTTTTTTCCCACTACTCCGCACCCTTCAAAAGCCTTGCTTTCACCTCAAATCACTTCTCAAAATCTCACGAAACACATAAATTTACAGTCTTTTGTCGTCGCTCAGACTCAAAACCCCTTCACTGTACTCATACCCTCAAAACCTCCACATTTCAAAGGTTAATTTGCTATGGGATTAAGGGTTCTGGTGAGGAGACAAAGATCGGGGTTGATTCCGGTGGTGGAGACGGTGGTGGTGGCGGAGGCGGCGATGATGGTGATGATGAAGTTGAGAAGAGTGGTCGAATTTTGCCGGAGTGGTTGGATTTCACTTCTGACGACGCAAAGACTGTGTTTGCTGCGCTGGCAATTTCGCTTGCTTTTCGGTCTTTTATTGCTGAGCCAAGGTACATCCCTTCATTATCGATGTATCCCACTTTTGATGTCGGTGATCGAGTGGTTGCGGAGAAGGTAAGCCATGCTTTTTCTTTGACGATTTGTGTAAAGAGTAAATTATGTGTTGAATAAGAATTGAAGAATGACTCTTTATAGAAGTCTTGGTGTCCATAAGTTCTGCTGTGTGTGAATAATTAATATTGCAATCAAAAATAGGCTTCCAGCTTACTATAAATGTAATATAATTTTTAGTGTTCTAAAAGTTTTTATACAAAATTATTGATTTCAAAGCATTTGAATAAGTGTCTTACATACTGTATGTTTTAGCATTAAGTTGTAATGATTTGTTTATGAAGTATCCTGCATATATAACTGATGTATGGCTTGAAATTTTCAGGTTACATACTATTTCAGAAAACCTTGTGCAAATGATATAGTGATATTCAAAAGCCCGCCGGTGCTTCAAGAAGTTGGATACACTGATGATGATGTTTTCATAAAACGGATTGTTGCCAAGGAAGGTGATGTTGTGGAGGTGAGATTTTTCTTCTGTTTAATAACTCTATTGGTCATGGATTGTGTTAGCTTTTCACAAAAACATTTTAGCAAGATTGGAGAGATAAAGGTGTCCTTGTATCTCTACAAATATAACTCTTAGAAGCTCATTTCATTTCCAAAGTATTTTCATTGGAATAACTAGATAATTGGTGTACAAACCTATGCCATTGCTTATTGCAGGTTCATGCAGGGAAGCTTATAGTCAATGGAGTTGTGAGAAACGAAAATTTTATTCTCGAACCACCTTCTTATGACATGACACCAGTTGTAAGTATCAATTTAGTATTTGCCATTTTATTGTTTTGTTTCTAGTTTTATATTGCCAAACCACACATACAAGGACAGTTGTGGTTGTGGCCCTCATAGTAGATGGTTGAATTGAACAAATTGAATATAAAGCTTTAACTTCGTAGGCTTTTGATCTTTTAACTTCAGTTTTTGAACAATGATCCAATGGATAACTTCAGTTTTTGAACAATGATCCACTGGATAGTATCTCAAGTTCTCAAGATGGTTTTTCTGGTTGCAATCATACAGCTTTGCCATAGTCGTTGATTTTTTGTTTTATTCATTTGTGTCGCAGCGAGTTCCTGAGAATTCAGTTTTTGTGATGGGTGACAACCGCAATAACAGTTATGATTCACATGTGTGGTAATGTTTCTTGAACTTTTAAGTGCAAGATAAGGACTAATCTCTTTCTTTTTAATGTTAATATACTGAAACATGGACGTATGATTCTTTTAGGGGTCCCCTCCCAGCAAAGAATATAATAGGAAGATCAATTATTCGCTATTGGCCTCCAAACAGGATTGGTAGCACGGTTCTTGAGATTGGCTGTGCTGTTGACAAGCAGGACAGTAACCCAGTGACTGAATAGCCGTTCCGATGGGAGTTTTTTTTTGTCTCCCCGATTCTTTTCATAGAGTTTCTGACCCTTCAATATTTTCAACTGTTTTATATATCTGGAACACATTGTTTGCTAGAAGGCGATTCTTATAGGAAATACTTTTCGAGGGGCTGGATGTATTAATATATTCTCTCATTAATTAAAGCCTTGCCAACTGATTACTGCGTTCAACATCTTTAAGACAAGTGTTTCAAAGATATACTAGATTTTCAGGAGTAAGTTTCTGACCGACAAAATGAATATTATCAATGTCAAGCTACAACGTGGCAGTACTCATTTAACATTGTTGATACGGTATATGATTGCATTTTTGAGCTCGACGATAAGGTCTTACCCTTCCTTTTGAGCTTGAAGATAGGGTCTCCACATCAATAAAATAGCTGTATCGCAGAAACAAGAAGATTTGGATCTTCATCAACATAAATGAGACCCCATCAATGGCTTATCATCGCAACAACCCACAATATATTTGCATCGCACGAGGATTAGGCCCCATCATCGCACAAATAATCTATGCTTTGCTGGCTCCAGCTCCTACAATAATCACCATACGTGCTCCTGACATGGTTTTCAAAAAACATGATTAGCCGTTGCGTGTTAATGTAGAATCGGTATGCCATCACAACAAATTAATTTCTTTTGTTTATATAAACCAACTGGGATGTGCCTATTCATTTCAGTTTGGAACTTCTTTTTGGCATGACTCAGTTCGCACTTGACGAAGATACATAGAAAAGAAATGAAAACTTGCAATCCCATCTTACCTAATTGGCACTCAACTACAGTAAGAAAGCAGTGCGGTCTCTAAACTATGTAGCTATTCTTTACACTTCAAAACTTCAATAACTTAGCAAGAAAACAGGAAATTTTCTAATACTAGGGTCGTCCTGTGCAAATAATCAGGATGTGCAGATTACATCCTTTCTTGATTTCTTCCACATGGAAACACAGAACCTGCAGAAGCTGGTTTCACCTAATCACTCATATTTACAAGAATCTTCCTTAAGTTTGATGGGTTTGTTGCCGAGAGAATCAATGGTCAAAACGCAAGAGACATGCCTTGTACGCCTTGTCTTCACCAATTTCCCCACAACATCTCCTCGCGAATGAACATCAAAAACTAATGTCATTGGAACTCCTGCTCCTATATTGTTATCTGAGATTGCGAAGCTTGCCCCAGCACCATACAGCGGAATTTTGGTTCCTTCAAGATTTACAGACACAGTTCGATGGCTCTTCCTTGATTGATAATATTTCTTCAACTACAAGAACAAGAATATTAAATCGATCTCAAAACCCAAAACAACCAAAATCCAAAAATCATTCTTCAGTATCAATTCAAATATTGTTAAAAAGAAAACCTTTACCTCTCCAGTAGCAATTACAATCTCCGAGTACATGAGATTAAGAGGCACTGAGCTTACATGAATGCCAAAAAACGTTGCAGGGTTATACACGTTCATTTTCAATGAACAATTTGTAGTCAACATCTTTGTTGGCACTCCGGTCAAGTCTGATCCTTCCCCAAAATAAAAGCTATGGACAGTCAGGCTCTGCAATAATTAAAGAAAAGGTTTCTTTTTTATCAAAATTTAAAAAATAAAAAAATAAAAAGACAATCAGCCATAGATAATTTAATAATCATCACTGAATTATTGCAGCAATAAAATAATGGTATTAATTAATAAACCATTAGATTTTGTATAAATCAAAGCAGGAACATTACCTTGACACTGATCTCTGGCTTAAAAGGCCTACTAGCACCCCAAATGATCAAACAGAAGAGAGAAAATATCATCACAAACCCAAATACCCCCATCAAAACCTGGCACCTCCTTCTCGAAAACTCTTTGTTCCTATACATTTCTCCATAATCACCTTCTTCTTCAATCACATTACTCTCCGGCCATCCTTTCTCTGTCCTCTTGTTCCTCCCTTTCCTTCCGGCGTTCATCGAAGACGAGGCCGCCGAGGATCCATAGGTGCCGGAAACCCTACTGGACGATGACGCTCTGGAGTGGCGCCCATACGATGGATGCGACGGGGACTCCATCGGACTGTTGAAAGCCGGCGTAGCTTGCGTTGACGACGACTTATCTCCATCGTGAGAGTCGCGCGATGGGCTCTGCACGTAGTATACGGGGCGTTTTGGCGACCGAGGAGAAGACGGTGCCAGGCTTGTTACATCGGAATCTGATTTCGCGTGCATCATCTTCAGGTAGTGCGTATTTGGAAAATGGCTTTGAAGTGAGAACGGAAAAGGAAACTAAAAGAGAAACAAAGTTAAAAGTTAGTTTGGCACTGACAGTGAGGTTGAGAGTGGACACTGGAGAGACAGGAACAAGCTTAGGTTCGGTTGTTCTGGTTTGGTGCCGAAGCTATAGGTTCAGAAAACCGAGTCTGGGCAGTTTCTTAGCCTTTCCGTTACACTAATTCGTACGGTGTCGTTTCGATATGCTTTCATATTTTTGACCGGATTATATAATTTGATATGATAACGCACCACACCTTGATTGTAACTGATTGCAACGAAACAAGATGCATAATGGATCAGCAAATCTAAATTTAAATTTACAAATATAATATTTATTTATTTTATTATCGTTTTAAATGTGGCCTATAGACACATATACCCACAATAAATCAAAATTTGAATTCCTTCCCCAGTATTCAAATTCAAAAAAAAAAAAAAAAAAAAAAAAAAAAAAACGTTTAAATGTGGCCTATAGACAATATACCCACATAAATCAAAATTTGATATACCTGTCCCATATTCCAAATTCAAAAAAAAAAAAAAAAAAAAAAAAAAAAAAAAAAAAAGGTGGGCTTTAGGAACTGCCTCCAACCACCGGAAAAAAAAAAAGAATCGTGCCTTGTTAATCAGAACCAATTGTGCTCCATAAGTGAAAACTAATTTGAGGTTCTAGGTTGGGCTTTGTAGCAACTAACGAGTGGAAACATTATTCCATATTTGATTGAAAATAAAAAATATAAGAGTGATAAAATCAAATAATTGTTCTAATCATTTTGCTCATTTATCTTGTTTTTAAATATAGAAAAAAAATATTATTTATTAAAATAAAAACACATAATCATGAACATTAATTAAGAAATAAAAGGAAAAATAAAAATCTCCTGCATTATTAATTATAGAGGGTGATTGATTCAACAATTAACTTTTGATTTTTTTTTTCCCCAAAAAGATTTTTACTTTTAGTTGTATGTTTATTTAAAAATTAAATTTGGTAAATTAATTAAAAGTTATTTTAAATCATTTACATATTTAATTAACAACGATCGAAATGAAGATACTAAGTAATGAAAAGTTAAAAATAGTATTACACCATAGTGTTATTATTTTAAAGCCAAACCTATCACTATCAACAGTTTTTTTAAACTAGTTTGTTTTTTCTTGATTTTTCTCACTTGATAAAATTAATTTCACAAGTATCGACATCAATTTCAAGTCTTAATTGATACTGAAGAAAAATCAAGTTCAACAAATCCAAATCCACTGAAATAGGATAATACAGCTATTGAAATAAATAGAATTAACAAGTGCATGATGGATACAAAATATTGGAACCAACACCTGAATATAATCAAAATTTTCTTACACAAAACCAAAAAAAAAAAAAAAAAAAAAAAAAAAAAAAAATCTAGTACAAGTGAACATAGTCAAAGAACATGAATCCAATGGCGGTTTTAACACTGCTCGGTTAGGTGTAAAATCGTCAATTGAGAACTAAAAGTCCCAGTGCACACTCTCCTCTCAATTGCAAGCTGGGTACGCTTTCCTCCCAATCTCTCAAGTTTGAGCCCTTCATTTTTTCATGCTGCCTCTCAACTGCAACAATACATGAAATGCTGCCGGCAATATAAGCAATAGAAAAATTCCAAGTAAAAGTCCAAAACCTTCCGGCCAAATTAGCTGTCTCAACAGATACACACCACACCGAAACAAATAACTAAAAAATTTGAGCATAGGTGCTAGATCATGTATCAGGCATACATCCAAATAGTTTCTTATTGCAATTTTACAGTCCTAATATTACTAGTGTGTGGATTTGAAGAATGATGAGCTGCAACATTCAAAAACTACTAAGACCATCCAGCAATACAAAGCCTATTTTCATTTCAAAAGGTTGAATGATCAAATTCGTAAAATCAGTGAGCATTAGGCAGGACTCAGAATATGGGTGGTGATATATCAGGATGGTCAGCAAGGCAAACATGCCATTATGCCGAACGAGACCATTGATACAAATCGTCACTGTCCTTCATATTATCTTTTTGTATACACTGTATACTTTCATCCAATGATTAGGCAATAAAGAAATCCAATTGAAGCATAAAATGGCCTCATAAAACATCTAATGTGAATTGTCAACACTTGATATTTCAGACATATGCTTGTCTAGAAAAATTTAAAATCATCGGCCGGAATCAAATGCACAAAACAAATTAGAAATGTAGCAAATAACCACACAGCATGAATACATTTTCAAGCATAAAAGCCTCTGAAACTAAACAACTAGTAGACACAATTGAAAAACAATTTGGTATGACTAGAATGAATACATTTTTAAGCATTAAAGCAACAGAATCTAAATAATTAGATGCCATGATTGAAAAACAGTTTGATATGCACAAAAAATTAGCAACAAATACAAGGGGTCATCAGATAGGAGCGAAAGACTAAAAAAGTTATATAATCACATGGATTATCAGTTGAACTATGCTTAAAATCATCATATGACCCATCTGGCTAATGATAATCTGAATAAAAAGAGAATAAAAAACAAAATACAAATTGAAAGAAGCCTCAGAAGGAAGGCAGTAGTGGTATGAAAGTAATCACAGATTGGTCATATGTGACTAATAATACCAATTTTTTCATCACTGGCAAAACAAGTTTCAGAAAAAACCCAAAAGTTTTTAGAATAAAACTAAAAAAACTAATTTAATTCGACACAGTACAGATCCAAATCGGCCTCATAGAGAAGATTAGATTAATCAACACGGAAAATTTCAGACATATGCTTGTCTTTAAATGTTGTTTAATCATCGGCCAATCATAATAATAAGAGCGATGATGATGAAAAAGGGACTCAGAATATGGGTGGTGATATATCAGGATGGTCGTCAAGGCCTTTTTATAGCCAATTACGACGAACGAGACCTTATACAATCAAATCGTCACTGTCCCTCACTCATCTTCTCTACGAAGAAGAGAAAAAGTAAAAGAATAAATCTAAAATCGACAAAGAAGAGAGAAAGCAAAGGAAAAGGTCTAAAATCGAAGTATGTAACTATGAAAAACAACAACGATAATTAAACCCTAAATCATCAGAAGGAGAGAATTGAGCTCAGAGTCACCAACCAGAATCTTCGCGGCTGCTTATAAAGAGAGGCGAGTCTGCTTGCTAGGGTTTCTACTGTGAAGGTTAATTGACGGATTCCACTGAAATACGTGTGGGAAAATGTGCACGCACGTGCGGATACTCAAGATGAGTTAATGGGCTAGGAGTCCATTTCAAGAAAAGGTAAAATAATTGGGCCGATCCGCTGATGGGCATTTGGAACTTGGAAAATCAAAATGATGGATATGTTGGAGAAAAACTCTAAAATCCAATAATGTCAAAAAAAAAAAAAAAAAAAAAACCGGCTGATGCGGGCCATTTGGGAAAGACTTGGAAGATCAAAATGATGGATGATATATGTAAAGAGGAGATAGAAAGAGTTCCATACCACGAGTTCACACTCTCATCATAGATACACAGAAGACAGAGAAGTGAGAGCGACACTACAAATGACTGTATAAAGACACACGGTAGAGTGATTAGAGAGAAGCATTAATCTATGAGTGATGAGTGCGAGAGGAGTTATTCTAAAGAAGTAAAAAAGATATTAAAATATTATGAAGAAAGATAGGACTTGGAGAGGGAACAGTGAGAGTCGATCTATATGGTTTGTAATTTTGGACGTATTGTAATTAATCCATCTTTTTAACCTCAAAGAATTCAAAAATCCGAGAAAATTAGATCAAGAGCAATAAATTGATACCATTGGAAATTAAATATAGACTCGTTTATCTACAAGACACAATCGTTGGGAAGGGTGAAAATTGGCTATGATAGTACACAAGTCCGAGTGCAAAGAGGCCAAAAAACAAATCCCATAATATACGTGGGAAAACAGTCTGCCTGTATTATCGAACCCATAGACTACTGATATCTCCAAGAGCAATACTACTTAAGATACCGTGACGATCTCTAAATTAATGAAAGCGCCGATGTTTTCACATAGTGCCAGTCGCAGAATTCTAGTTCCAGCATTCCTAAATTTGATGCTTAACTCATATCCCAGCAACTACCTGATGATCAATTCTTGATCATAATATGCGGCGCTATGCATGTCCAGATGACATCAACTGCGGGCTATGTTGGGGGTTTTGAAAATGACTCTGTTCAAGCCAAGAAACAAAGATGAGATGGAGCTTCCTCTGACATGCTTCCATCTTCAACCTAGCTTCTTGGTCTGCTTCTTACTTCTTATCAGGCCAGTTGAAGATGGCCGTGAATCCCGCAACGTTGCAAAGAGGTACCCGTGTGGAGCATCGACATATCTCCCAGACACTACGGATTTCTGACAAGTAAAGAGGACACAAATTTTATGATTGGGGTTAAACAACGTATCAATTGGGAAAAATAAATTATGCGAAGTCAATATTTGTGTTGCATGTGCCATAGTTTGGCAAAAAAAAAAAAAAAAAAAAAAACACTCTAAAATCCAATATTGCAAGGGTTGACTGCTTTAAGGAATCTAGCACTTGATGATATGCTATTAGATTAAAAAAAAAAAATTATGAAAAGATAGGACTTGGAATTATCTATTAATCATCTATATGGTTTGTTTTGATATTGTAATTAACATCTTTTAACTCAAAAATTTCAAAAATCGAAAATTAGATCAAAGCATAATGAGATACCATTGAAATTAAATATGACCTCTTTATCTACAAGACACAACGTTGAGAGTTGAAATTGCCTATGAAGTACAAATTCAGTGCAAAGAGCCAAAACCATCCTAATAAGTGGGAAACATCTGCCTGTATTATCAACCCATACTATGTATTTCCAAGCAAACGCTAAGCCTACATTCTTCTAAATAATAACCAATGTTACATATGCAACCAGAATTTGGTCCATCAAAATTTGATCTTAACTCAATCCAGCACTACCAACATCAATCTGATTGTGGCCATTCCAATGACTCAACTGCGGCTGTTTTGATGACTTGGTTTCAAACCAATGAAACAATGAATGGACTCCTCTACAGCTTCCATCTTCAACCTAGCTTCTGTCTGCTCTACTTCTATCCAGTGAGATGCGTGAATCCAACGTTGCAAGGACCTGTGGCATCGACATACCCCCAGACACTACGATTTCTGAAATTAAAGAACAAAATTTATGATTGGGGTAAACAACGTATCAATGGAAAAAAAAATTTGCGAAGTCATATTTTGTTTCTTCCATATTTTGGCATGCATAAAAAGAAATGTTGTACAGTCATTTAAAGTGAACCACAATATTCATGCCCTTGATGAAGGAACAGCTTTAGAAAGCAGTCTTATCACATGCAAAAAGTCACCAGTGAAAGGCTGAGAATAACAATACTAACAATAAAGTAACGACTTCAGATGAATCCTTACCAATGCCTTCCCGGACTGAAAGATTGGGTCTTATAACATCCTTGGTATTAACCAGGAAAATATCACCAATATAAAGATGATTTGTAGGAACATAGACACAGCATAGCTCCTCTTCCCCTGCGTAGTTCTGCGCTCAAGATTTAAGAAAGCCAAAAAGTGAATTAGAATCTAATGCTATGTCCAAATGTTTGATTATCAGTTGCAAATCTTGGTTTGGAATTAGAAAGAAGACCGTCACTCTCTTGTTTGATATCTTGAGACTTAAATATTAATAATAAGATAAAGAAAGAAGGAAAATAAATAAAGATAACTGGGGTGGAGGATTCAATCTCATTCTCGCTCACTCCCCATCCTAATTTCAAAATTAATGTCTTTCTTCGGATCCTTTATGCTATATGGATTAAACTAAAGAATCAAGGCCTGTAATTAAATATGGAACAAAGAAGAAATGTTTTCTAGGAGATTTTCAACTATGATATCAAAGGATGTTCAAAAGACATCTTTTGCATTTCTTTGCACTCTTTCAAGGCAAATATGAGTAGAATGCATATGCATGTATATGTAATTTATAAAATTTTATTTACGTATACTAGCCATATTGTGTTCTAATCTTTTAAGCCTTGGCACATTGCCATTACCTGTACCATATCATCTTATATCCAAGTTTCCTAGTCAATAATTCCATAGAGGCAATGTTTAAGAAATACATGCATTTCAAGCAGTGACATGGTTTAGAAAAACCAATTCCGCACCTGGAGGATGACAGATGAAGTGATGAACCCAAATGCATATTCACCAATGCGAGGATGCCTTATGATGGCTACTTCCTTGAAGGCCTGTGTGTTTTGGTCTGAAACGATGAAAAGATATGAAATGTGAATAAATATCACTATCAGCCATTCAAAGGAAACAAATGAAAGGCATTAACCAAAAACAAACCTGGTGATATGGCAGTACTAATTTGCTTCGAGGCATTATAGATGTGGCGAACAAAGGGCATCCTTTTGATAAACCACTCCCCAAGACTCAACACAGATGCTCCCAACCAAGATGACATTAATACCCCAACCAAGAAAATGAATGTCATGGAAGTTATGAATCCAAGACCTAATCAGTACATAAAGGCAACCCCGTCATCAATTTGATATGTATTAAGACTATGTTCAGCTAAACTGAAGAACAGAGCAGAAAAACCCTTAAAGTTACATATTTACTGAAAAGAAAAAATTAACTCGTGCGTATCTACATTATATGCAAATTACTTACCAAAGTTTTGGAAGTGATCTTTTAGATTTTCTTTTTAGAAAAAATAAATGTCTCTAAATACAGTTCAAGAGATAATACAGCATCCTTAGAGACATTATCTTTCTATAAGAGGTAAGGACTTGACATCTCATACAAAGGCAAAATACATGCATGGAGAGAATTTTGGTCCTTCGATAATGATTCTGTTACTAGATAAGTAATAGTACAGGGAGATCTCCATACCGATGCTTCATAACAATGACTAGAGACTGACCAACCAAATCCAAGTATTATGTTAGGAATCACATATTGTATTTTAAGATACCATAACTTGAAATAACATAGGATCTAACAAAGAACGCATGATTTCAGCAGATATTCAAATAACAAAAAAATTCATTATCTAAGGCTTCTTCACTTTGCATGCGAGGATACAAAAAATTATATAATGAAAAGAACAGCAAAGGAATATGTCTCATGTATGATCAAGAAACATCAGCAGTTTACAGTATAAATTAGGGTACTTTGGGGATGCCTTTAAAGAAGTCAAAAAAGCATGTCTCAGATCAAGGAAATAACACACGTGCCCATCAGTCTAGCCAGGGCAAAACACTGCTACCACTGGGAAGACAACCTAAAATTAAACTAAAACCCTTAGATGCACAAGATACGTGATATAATAAGATGCGCAAACCAAATAAGAAGTTCTATATAAAAAGGTTCAAGTAACAGAATGTAGTAGCTATAGATCTCAAGCTCATGCATCATGCAATTTGAATTTAATTTGTAGAATAGGAACAGGATACTCAGAGCAACATTGGACGTGGAAATTTTATTATAGATCACAGTATTGGAATGCAATAGCATGTATTATGAGAACCTGTATGTTTGCCACAATACTGAAGAAGCTAAAACAATCAATAATCAAGTCACTGAAATTGATTTTCAAGGTAAGATTTGCACTCAAGCCAAATATTACTGTACTGATGAACTTCAACTGCTGCCTATTATTTATTAATATACATATGAATTAAAGAGAACAAGATTTTGAGGTGCTACACAGAAACAAACTTACCAAATATGTTGATTCCCAGTTGGGCATAGATTGGAGAGAAAAATCCATCAACAAAATGAATAAACCACCATGTTACATAGAAAGTGACAGCTATTGGGAATAAGATTACACTGAAAAAAAAAAATATATATCAAAGAGTAAGAAGCATCCACAACAGCATTCAGTGCAACAAGCATGAAGGTATACATATTCAATAATCAGCATTACAAATTTAATCTCGTTTGAGCATAATACTGAAATAACATGTGAAAGGATAAGTAGAAACTAATAATCCATTACATATAATATGTGCCAAATTTTGTAAAAGTGCAGCACCATCAAACCTGCTCCTTTGTACACAGGTGATAGACTAGTAGCAGTGAAAGATCAATACCCAACCCAAGTAATTGGGCTCGCTAGTGTTTGTTTGTTGCAACCAAGAAGAAGATCAATATAACACTATTAATAGCAAAGCCAAATTAATTTACACTTGAAAGAATCGCAAATAAAAATCAAAAGTTAAAGACCTCTATCTATAGAACATTAAGATTGAATATTTTGCCACAAAAATTATCATTGAAGTCCTTCATCCATGGAACATCTTGCTACAGTGAATTGATGATACAAAAGGTGTAGACCCTTCCATTGAAATTTACAAGGAAGAGAATGAAAGGAAAACAGTTATGAAGTGAATGCAAGTGCAACTGAACCTTTTAAAGGAAATATAAATTGCAGCTGCTTTGATCCTTGACATCTTTTAGAATTACACTAATGTGTATATGTAAGATCATGTCAAGACATTAGATATATTTATGGATTCGAGGAAATAATGAAAATATAAGAATGAACTCCATACCATCCAGTCATGAACTTTTTTGAAGCCCAGCTCCGAACAACTTTCGAAAATGTCTACACAGACAAAATGGCATAGAGCAAACGTCAGAATTCAGATAACCAAAAGCAGAAAAGACATTCAAAACTACACAGGCATATGAAATACACTTGTTGTCATTGCTTTAACTCAAATTTGCATTAAGAAAATAAACCTTTTGGTCAAGGAGCTTCAATGTTTGAGCCCAAAACAATACACAAAATAATTTATGGAAACTTGAAGAAACATAGAACTAAGAATGATAGAATTTCTTTAAGAATCATCAATTCATGGAGTAAAACTTTCCTTGAGCAAGAAATTCGAAACATATTCTATTTGACATGCTGTTACACAAATTCAGAATGGGATATAAATCAATCTTCCAGCTCCGGCAGCCACCAAAAATATTTTATATTCAAAGAATACAAGACATCTCAATTTGCACTAAATAACTTCTATAAATTGCAAACAGTAAGAATTGAAGCACTAATTCCCCAATAACAGCTACTCAGTTAATCAAATCTCACAGGAAATTTAATCAACTTATCGAATTTAAGCGTATTAAGCTGTAATCTGAAGTGAAAACGGCACCATCAACGTGAAAAGAATAGACAAAACGTAACAAAAATTGCAAAAACCCTAAAAAAGTGAAATCATAGAGCGAATAGATTTCTTCACCTCGCGTCCGGAATGATGCGACGAAGAAGAAGACGACGGTTTGGAGGAGATATCATCGTCAGCGGTGTTTGCGACGGGGATAAGAAGCTCTCGATCTCTCTCCCGGTCTCTATTCGCCATCACGATGGTGGATTTCTCATCGCCCATCGCTCAAAGAACAAATAGTAATAACAACACCTCCTTTTCAAATTCAAAATCAAAAGCCCACTTCCCTTGGATGGCAGTGAATACCCAGTCGCCGGCTCAGCCGCCTCCTCCACCGTGTACTTTACAGGCGAGCAAAGCAACGACGGCCAAACAGCTTTGTGTTTTGAAACGTCAAGTAGATGTAATAATGTGTATTAGTGAATAGTGAGGCAAATTTTTGGAAGGCTTGGCGTTTTTGAAGTTAATTAAGAAATAAAATAATAGAATGGGACATGTGAGGGAGCTCTAAGAAAACGCTGTCTTGTACTGTTATGCCAGTTATTTGAAACGGGCGGATTATGCAACGTTGAGCGTCGTTACGGGTTTTGGATAATCTATTTTTATTAATTTTATATATATTTTTATAAGCATTTTTATGTTTAAATCGAAATAATATTCAGATAGAGTATATTTGAAAATATAATTTATTTATGTTAATCCAACACTTATTTAATTTATATAATAATCATTATTAGTGTTAAGTTTTTTTGATAAAGTTTTTATTTTAAAATTGTGGGGACGGCTACAATACGGAGTGGTTGACCAGTTGCCATTGGATACCAGCGTGGTTGTTGTGGAGACAACTGTGCACATCTGTACTACCGGAATGAAATTAATACCGGCGGCAGCGTATTGGACAGGTCTAATAGTTCATTCAATTTGAGACATAGGAAAAGAATATGTATATAAGAAATAATTCAAATAAGGCTTTGATATTATAAAACATATGCTGTTGATATTTAAAATGCAATATCAATGAATATTATATTATCATTTTAAGGAAATTTATGGCTTCTTAATTTTACTTGGACGGAATCAATTATACTAGATTTTTTAATAAATATATTATATTTGAGAATTAGCATCTGAACTGTCATTAATTTGTAGCCAATAATAATAATTGTAAAATACAAGGTTTTTTAAAGGTAAAATAGCAAATTCATTAAAAAAATAATAATAATAATAATTGTAAAATACAAGGTCCAGTTATGCATTTAAATTCATTAGGAACAAAATAGTGCCATATGATTTATATATATAAAAAACTACTATTTCCATAAGAAATTTCCTCCGACATCAGTGGTTTCTTCGATTTTGACTACTTAGGTTAGGTTAACCATTTCAGATTCCACATCCCCTCGCCGCCCGCAAAGCTACTTTTTCAAAATAAGGTTTCAAATTTCAAACTCAGGCCGTTAAATTCCTTTTCTTGCCATTCTTTCGTCGCCATCGACAACATCCACCGTCGCGCGGCTGTATTTCCATCGCCAACCATTCTTGGCTGTTCACATCGAAAGATCTGGCCATTCTCGCGTGCGCCATTGCAAAAGATGCCGATTTCCCTTATATCACTCCGATCGGTTTTGAAATCCTTCCACAACGGCAAACCCACGTCTGTCGATCTGATTTTTACTGCCAATCACTGGTTAATCAGAGCAAGCTACGCACGTTTGATCCACTGAATTCAGAAATCAATTTGCATTTCACAATGGCAGTTTCTGTAATTTCTTGCAACAAACAGGGTTTTCATATGACGATTAACCGTATCCATCTCACATGTCGTTTCCAAATCGAAGTAATTGTACTGCCACGTCTTAATATTTTGACAAGCAAGCAATTTTCAAGCCAGCTGTTGGCCACGCAATCAACTATGCCATGTGTCTAACTACTCGTCATCAGCAAGCCACTTGTACCCATACACGTCAGAAATATCACCCCCGCAGGCCAGCTGGCAGCCACATAATCGGCAAGTTTGCCATATGTATATAACGTCAACAAATCATATGCCGGCAGCTGACAACCACGTCAGCATAACACCCACGTGTACATCAAACTTTACAAGCTCCAGACCTCGTGTCACCATCATGCGTACAAGAAGGCATGCTCCTGCCAACTGTTGGCTATTTATTGAGATATTGGACAGCAATGCGTCCACGATGGAACTCTGCCAGCTGTAAGACAAGTAACTGTAGGGGCCAGCTCTCTGCCACGTGTATTACGAACACATCAGCAGCCCTAGGCCAGCTGTTAGTCACGTCATCGGCCCTAGGCCATTTGCTCGACCCGGGAGCAGCAGTCTCCCAGCTGTTAGACGCGCCGGCAGAAACCTGCCAGATGTTGGACACGTCAGCTGAACCATGCCAACTGTTTTGCACATCATCAGCACTCTGCCAGATGGTGGACATGTCAGCAGCGCCGTGCCAGCTGGTGGACATGTCAGCAGCGCCGTGCCAGCTGGTGGACATGTCAGCAGCACCGGCCAGCTGGTGGACATGTCAGCAGCACATCAGTCAACAAATCATATGCGGCAAGCTGACAACCACGCAGCATAACACCCACGTGTACATTCAAACTTTACAAAGCTCCAGGACCTCTGGTCACCATCGATTGCAAGTACAAGGAAGGCCATGCTCCTGGCAACTGTTGCTATTATTGAGATATTGCGACAGCAATGCGTCCACGATGGAACTCTGCCAGGCATAGTTGAAGGACTAAATTAGTTAACTGTGCGGAGCCAGCTCTCTGCCACGTTAATTTACGAAAACCTCAGCAGCCCTAGGCCAGCTGTTTAGTCACGTCATAAACGCCCGTGAGGCCCATCCTTGCTCGACCCCGAAGAGCAGCGATGAATCTTGCAAGCTGTTAGACGCGCTGGGCAGAACCTGCAGATGTTGCGCGAAACACGTCAGCCTTGATACCATGCCCACTGTTTTGCCACATCATCAGCCACTCTGCCAGATGGTGGACATGTCAGCAGCTCTGCCAGCTGTGGACAGTCGAGCAGCGCCTGCCGAGCTGGTAGGTAAAGCAGGCACCGTTCCAGCTGGTGGACATTGTCAGCGAAGCGACCCCGGCCAGCTGGTGGAATTGTCAGCAGCACGCTGTCAGACACGTTGTTCTAAGCTTCCTCAAGTGTCCTATATCTCCGTTGTAAGATGGTACCAAGCTGTTCGTCCACGTCCTCCTAACAAGAAGGCACAGCAGATGAGTCCACGTCAGCATCCTCTGGCGCGAGTGCCTGTTATCCACGCAGTTATTCTTCTTTTGCCAGCTGTAGTCCGTTTCATGAAAAACATCATTCAGAATTTCCACGATTCTTAGATCTTTTACAAGCTGTTCAGACACGTGAGTGCATCAGTAAGTTTGACCTAGTTTAGGTGCTACGTAACCCCTGAACTATCATTTACAGTAAGTGTGAGGACAGTTCCTATCCAGCTCCTTCCACCTAACTCGGCTTAGTGTACACGTGTAAGGACAAGTATGCCTGCCGTTACCCACGTGGCCATCCAATAAGTTCAGTGTATTGATTCCTAACTGTAGCGTGTAGTAGGCGCTGCTGATAAGTTTACCTAGAATAACGATACCTGCAGCTGGTAGCCAAACGTGAATGCATATTAACACTCGAGACAGGCCAGCTGGTGGACATGTCAGCAGCACCGGCCAGCTGGTGGACATGTCAGCAGCACCGGCCAGCTGGTGGACATGTCAGCAGCACCGGCCAGCTGGTGGACATGTCAGCAGCACCGGCCAGCTGGTGGACATGTCAGCAGCACCGGCCAGCTGGTGGACATGTCAGCAGCACCGGCCAGCTGGTGGACATGTCAGCAGCACGCTGTCAGACACGTTGTTCTTACTTGTCAGCCTATTTGTCCACGTGTAAGAGGATACCAGCTGTCATCCACGTTTCCTAAAAGAAGTCCGCAGTAGTCCACGTCAGCATCCTCTGCCACCTGTTATCCACGCAGTTATCTTCTGCCAGCTGTAGGCCGTGTCATGAAAAACATCATCAGAATTTCCACGATTTCTTAGATCTTTTACAAGCTGTCAGACACGTGTCATCCAGTAAGTTGATGTTGGTGCCACGTAACCGAATACCTGTCAGGTGTTGAGCACTTGTCATCCATGCTTTCCACCTAACCTCAGCTTAGTGTACACGTGTAAGGACAAGTATGCCTGCCGTTACCCACGTGGCATCCAATAAGTTCAGTGTATTGTCCACGAAGCGACTGTTGCCAGCTGTAAGTTAAGTACAACCCTGCGAGCTGGTAGCCACGTGTCATTTACACGTCAGCGCAATTTGCCACGTTTTGCTATGGCGTAAGCAGATGTTCACATAAGCATGCTAGCTGTCTTTGTTGATGAGCTACTTTGCCACGTCTATGTCGACACGTCAGCATGTCAGCCACGTGTATTGTTACACGACATTGAACTGCGTCGTGATTTCATACACGTCATCAATGTTTGGCCACATTAGCGAGGTCCCAGCTTCCAGGTGTTCAACGTGTGCCATATCAGAAAAAATTGCCCCATTTAAATATCGTATGTCCAACGTCGTCATCAATTAATGACAGTATCATTAATCTGGACGCGGAGGTTGCAGTTAACTGGCAATGCCCAATAGCAGCAATTACAACGTCAAAATCAGAAAGACGGAGAAAAATCAGCTCTGTAACCGCCTATTAACACATGCCACGTATCATCGAGTTGAAGTCTTCAACTTTGAACAAACAACCGTCTACAAGATCATTTTTGACTGGCCTTTGCTTTCAGCTGAAGTTTTTTTCTAGTAAATTTTTAAGCTGAAGTTCTGATTAGCGCCTAATGAGCCATAAGTAAAATTTTATTATTTTCATATTAATAACCATTAATTCTTTTTTTTTTTTTTTTTGAGAAAGACATTTTATTTCTTAAAATCTCAATTTTGTTCTTTTACTTTGCTGGGTATCAGAGGAATATTTGAAATCTCAATTTATAGCAGATATATTTGTTTTTAGTAAAGGATTTGTAGCGGAATGAATAAAGAAAGATTTAGGTGCAGAATTAGAATTGGTTGTGGAAAATATTCACCACATAATAGCAGCGTTCCCCAACATTGTGGATGTAAATGGAGATGGGAAAGCAGTAGAAAGAAACAGACAAAAAATGGTGTACCAGAAAGGTCAGGCTACGTGCAAAAGTAAGAAACTACCCCTTTGGCATATGAAAACAAACCACCATTAATTATTTACACCTCTTTATAGGGAAGCTTCTCGCCGGTTGTCAGCTGCAAAATGAAATCCCAGTTCCCATACAAATATAAATTACAAGATAACACATGAAAATTTAAAAAGAAAATAAAATAGTCCCTTGTGAGACTAGAGAGAGAGAGAGATGCTGGAAGGAAAAGGTATGATAAAGGAAACAGACATGCCAGTGAAGATGCAGATCCAAGCCATGGCATGTGCTTCTCAAGCCCTTGATATCTATGATGTTTTTGATTGTGTCTCGATTGCTGCCCACATCAAGAAGGTTTTCCTTACTACCATTCTTCATAAAGACACGCACACACTATATGATGTTAGTTTCATGCCGTTGATTTATGCACAAGAAGGCATCATAATCAATTTATGTATGGTGGGATTTTCAATTTGCAGGAATTTGATATGATGCATGGTGGTGGATGGCAATGTGTGGTGGGTTCAAATTTTAGCTGCTTCTTTACTCACAAGGAGGGAACTTTCATCTATTTTTCAATGGAGTCTCTCAATTTCCTTATTTTTAAGGGCGCTTCTTCCTAGGAGCATACATATAATGTTACTGGTAGATACACATGTATATGAAGCTGTTAGCTATGGCTAGCTTAAATGGTAGTTTAGAGTGGTTCTTATTTCCTCTCTCCAGGCATCTGGTACTCACTTCATGAAAGCATTGATGGCTACAAATTGCTAATAATTTTGTAATAACTTAGCTTTTTCTGAAAGTCTCTGTCAGTAACAAGAAGTTCCAGTTTGCACCAAATGAAAGTGCAAGCCAGAAGAAGCAATTTAGTTTTCGTACCTTTTTGAACTTAATTAGTGTATGATAAAATGCAGGTTCAGTGAAAAAGGCAAACAGGATATTTTAGTAGATTCCTGATGTGATATTAAAACACTCAGGACCTAATCTTTAAAGTGTGAGGTGCAGATCACCACAGGGAAATTCTGGACAAGTCATAGTGGCCATCATTCATTAATAATCTTTTTCAACAGACACTGTGAAGTGTTATCTAAACCGAATATCGGCCTCACATTATTATTATTCATGTCTTTTCTGGTATCTGTTCTAAAAAACTAACTGTTCAGTCATAGTGGCAATCCTTAATCAAGCACTTTCTTGCTGCAACTTACCAAAACAATCTGTCAGATTTGCTTATAATGATGAAACAGTCAGATTTGATTCAGTTATGTACACGTGGACCTCATGGAGGCTTTAACCAACTACATTTAACCAAATTAGAGTTTAAATGTTAGTCAGACTCTTAAGAGCCAAGAAAACTTGTGTTGGATACCTGATTCTGAAGTGTATTTATATCAGACTCTTCAATTCTTGATCTTAAAATGGCTACAATAACTATGACGCCTTTGCCAAGAAGCCTAGCTCTTTTGTTTTGTATTTTAACCAAAGTCGCTTATTTACAGAACTAACTCTAAAAGCTGTATATCCATACAGGCAGAATATGAAATTGCTAAAAGCAGAAACATGAAAAGATCTCCCCTATCAACTCACTAACAAGCAATTTCTCCAAATCATTGATAGCGTGCTCGACTTCTTCTACCGAGAATCCGTTCCTCCAACCCAAATCCCATATACCACTCACAACTCCTTTGCTCATAATATCTTTCTCCAATGTTGCAAACAGACTGTCAGTATGAATGTTGTCACTTGTGAACTTATGGTAGCTTCTAAGAGTTTCATCTCCATTACAAACTTCCTCGACCAATTGATCTAAAGAGAGATAAATTCTTGTATTTCTCGTATAAGATAAAAGAGGATGTGTTGTTTGTGAATCTGGAAGGCTTCTGCGTTGCATGAATTCATTTGCATAATCCAGAGAGAGTTTGACGTTGGTGACTTGTGGATCGCAGATGCCAGATGTTGGTAAAATCTCAATATAATTCACATTGAGATGAAAAAGCTCCTCTGCTAGGTTCAAAAATGATGGACAATTCAAAAGCAAATCTTTCAATTGGTTTCCGCTTTTCAAGTTTGTGCCATCTGTTGTAATGTGAGTCATTTGACCATCTACTTCTTTGAAAGAGTTGGCACTCTTCTCATTTTCAGGTTTTAGCATAGTGACAATGCAAAGGGAACTCTGGCTATCACCAAAATACTCTACAAAAGGATAAAGCCAGTTATGTTAGGACCAAAACCAAAAACTTATATATTTACAGAAATTTATGACTTTCTTTCCTAGTTGAAGAGCAAGCATACACCATATTACCTATGCCAATACTTGTTTGGCAGTTAATGTGCATTTTTAAAGGGTAATGAAAGGAAAGCATAAGCTTCTTGAATGGAATATAAATATTGTATGACCAGGAAGTGAATAATTGAAGGTAACTAGACAGGGAGTTTACCTTCTGTTTGAAATTTTGAAGCATTTGCTTCCTCATCTGTAGATAGTTTATCTTCGACTGAGTGATCAATCCTCTTCTCATCTTCTTTACATTCTAAACTATCAGTCTACATGAAAGAAGTAGAAGATTAAGAGTCAGGTATTGGAAACTTGCTCTACTTTACATTTTATTCACGTTTCAAACTTCAAACTTCAATCTGAATAATTATTTTTAAAAAAAAAATCACAATTATGCAACTATCTCAATGAAATTTGGAAAATAGCAGTGAATCCGGATTTGGACAAGTACTTTAAGCTAGTTTCTAAGAAAGACTCACAATGGGTTCAGCTGCTGTATGCTCAGTGGCTTGCTTTTCCTGCTGTTTCTGACCCTTAGAGTTACGAACTGTACTATGTGTTGAGCGTTTTGAGATGGGTTTTCTGGTGGTAACTCCTTGCTGTGAAATGTGATCATTTGTACTAGTTGATCCATTTTCAGGTTTCCTCAGCTTTGTAGAGGTCATCTTGGCTTGAACCTGATTTCTTGACACACTTTTAATCTTCACAGTCTCGCTCTCTACTGGTTTCCTGCTACTAGCCACCACCTTCTGAATCTTACCTACTTTCTTATCTGTCATCTCTTTTTTCTGTTGTTGCTGAGTTGCAGCATTAGCGCCTTTCAGCTTAGAAGAATCCTTTAATTTTTTCTTGACTTCTTTCTCCTCCATTCTCGTGACTTCCCCTTTGAGGTCCTTAGCTCTTATTTCATGGCTAAATCTTTTAACTGGAGTCTTTGCCGCTTCTAGTTTTCTGTATACTTTCTTTGCATCCGCAGCTCCTTCTTTCTGGTCAATTGTTCTGACTTCTTTCTCTTCTGGTATCACAACTGCCTCTATGCGATCCTTAGCTCCTTCTTCCTGGATTACCCTTTCAATTGGAGTCTCATCTGTTTCTGATTTGTAGTGCATTTTCCTAGCATTCAAGATCCATTCTTTGTTATCTATTAATCTGGGAGCAAACTCTTCTTTTGTTTTCATTTTCCTCAGCATCATTTTTGTGTTCAAGGCTCGCTGTTCCCTAACAAATGTTGCAAAATCCTCTTCTGATTCTAAGCAAGGAACCCGTAAGGGTTTTATAAGTACAATTGGTGGAATATCATCAATCAACTTTTGTTTAGAATGGAAATCACTATACTGATGAGACTGTGACTTGAGTTCTTTAGCAGAACTATCTTTCAGGATTCCCTGAAATTGCGCAGTTTCCAGTAAATCCTTCAGTGTCCTTCGGTCCGCATTTACTTTCTGCATTATGGGCTGAGGCTTCCGAAGCTTTGGCAAATCAACGTCAAAGACTGGCCTCCGTTGATTCAAATTCTTATCTATATCCAACTGTTTCTCTGGAGGTAACATCAATGACTTTGAGGGGATGTCTTCCAAACCCATTAATTTGGCAATCAAACTTGGAGCTTTTCCCTTCTTCTGCAAATCTGTTTCTGTTATGGAGTCGTCAGCAGAATGAATATCATTGGACTGAACTGCCGTCAATTGGCTTGAGCTAGTGGAGGGGAAATGTGAAATTGACTCCCTCTTTCTCCCGTCAAAATTTGTCTTCTCTTGTGTAGATTTGTTTCGAAGCAAATTTTGCCGAGCAAGGCCATCTCTAATTGCATTCCTAAGATCCTCAATGCAATCTTTTGAAGATCCCTCAGCTGAAAGCCTTGGCTTTTGAAATCCCAGCTGGTAATTTTGATCCTGTGATCGATATGAATTTGCTCTCTCACTCCAAACTTCGTCAACTCTTCTGCTTTCTAACTTCTCCTTCTGCTTTTTCTTCAACTGAGCCATATACTGCGAGGCTTCTTGCAACTTGCCGAGCATTGTTAAAGAATCTTGAAGATCAAGAGCTCCTTTCAACAACTCTCTTGCAATATCTTTAGACTGGCCATCGTTGAGCCCTTTAGACCATGAGTCAATCAAATGGTTCAGCTTCTGAGCTCCTCTAGAGACTTCCAGGAGCTGAAACGAAGATGGACTATGATACTCTTCAACAATCCCTTTTGGAGCCATTTCTTCTTTCTTTGCCTTGTGAGCCATAGATGTATTTGAATTCTTTTGAGTTCTATGACTGCTCATCTTATCCTCCATTTTTTGGGAAGCGCTCTTGGATTTTCTGATTGTTCCACATTCTACAACTCCTTTCGGATCATCACATGTAACAAATGATCTGTACATATTCTATAAGAAAATTTTGCATTGACAAGGTCAGATGCTGCTACTACTTTTAACAATAACAAAAACAGTACTCCCATCCAAAAATCCTCAAAGCATACTCACTTAATTTTAGATATTCTTATCAAACTTGTAAATAATTGGCTGCAATTGAGTCGGCTTTCTGTCAGTTCAAACACAACCAAAAATAAAGAATCAGTTGCCGCCATGATGAACAATAATTATGTCAATAAACAAAGAATAAAGATCATTCTTCCCTTTGAAATGTTCAAACACAAACTACATAAAGTCCAAAAGAACTCTCCAGATTTCTAATGGAAAATGACCCATGAAGCTCCTATTGATGATCATAGGAATGAAATCTTTGCACAATGGATTTAGAAACGAAATTTTGACCTTTTGTGTTTAACATTATTAAAATGCAGTAATTCAAACACGGACAAGACCTTAAACTTAAAAATCATTAAAATAAGCAAAGAGAATGTACCTAAAAAACTCAATTCTCCTTCCTGTACCGTCCACCCAAAAACCAAACCAACACTACAAAACAAAAAAAAAAAAAAAAAAAGAATGTACCTAAAAAAAACTCAATTCTCCTTCCTTACCGGTCCACCAAAACCAAACCAACACTACCAAACAAAAAAAAAAAATAAACGAAATACAAAAATCAAAAAAAAAAAAAAAAAAAAAACGAAATACAAAAATCCCAGATGAGAAAAAGTGCATTTCTTTCGAAACATTCTCAAAAGAACAATGATCAAGACTCAAGAAACAGAGAGCTTCGAAGACTTCTCACCTGCAAGTTAGCTACCAAAGAGTCAGATCTCCACAAGAAAGAAACTAAAGCAGTCGGTGCATTGACTTTATGGTAACCGTGTGTGATTCTCTCACTGAGATTCTTTCTCAAAGCAAACAAAGGGAGAGAACACTCAATTTTCCTTCTTTCTATTTTATATTTTTTTCCTTTGTTTAATGTGGCGTAAGCTAATGGGACAATGAGATCAAAGAAAGATTATAAAAGGGTTGCAATGCTTTCTTGTTGTACGAGTAGTGGAGTTTCAGAAAGAATCTTGCTCTAAAAAACATGACGATACGATAGGAAAGCTTTCAAGATCACAGAATGGGAAGAGGCCCTGTTCTATGGTCTCGAACCAAGCAAAAACTAAAACTACCACTGTCCATTACTCTTAGGTAGTTTTTTTCACTTCTTATTATTCGCTTCATTATTTTATTATTATTGAATTTCTTTGCTTTAATAGTACGTTAAAGTAAGACCGTGTTTGGGATTTGCATATTTTTTTACAATTATGCCAGCAAGGGAATGTTATGCAACTGGGGATCACTGAAGAAGATTCTAATGTAATTTCCCTCTAATCACAGCTGATTAACCTAATAATTAAATTTTCCTTGACATAATTTCAAAATATTACTTTTTTAATAACCTATCCATCTCAATGGATAAATTAAGTACTAATTAATTAATTTTACAATAAAATGTTTCACTTCTAATGCAACTAATTATTAATTAGTGGCAACCAACATTAATATTTATAAAGGTGACAATACAAATTTAATTGTCATAAAATACATTTTTTTTCCTAAACCTACATCATCATAATTCAACTAGGTTGTATTGTACTTGAAAATATTTTATGATTTGAAATTAATAGGTGTATTAAGAGTTTCTTAAACAAGTATGAGCATCATTTGTACTATATATAGCTCTCAAAAGACAGGGTCTGCCTGATCTGCAACTAATAATTTAAAAACTACCAAACATTTGAATTTTAAATCCCTTGAGAACTTAACAATCATCACTGAATATTGACCTAGCAAGATCTAGTAAAATACAAAAACACAGTACATTTCAAGTTAATATATAAAGGTTATACCTTTATCCCTCTCTTAGACCTTAGACCTTGTTTGGCTTAACAAGGACAATCCAACTCCATTAATATTAAAATCAGCTTCTATATCTATCAATCCATGTATTGTCAATTCAAATTTTACCTTTCCACCTAAAGTTATAAATTGGGTCAGCAAGAAATTTGCCAAAGCAACCCAAAATGACATTTTTCAATGCTGTCACAGGACTCTTGCACTTTTTGGTTTTCCTACTATAAATAATTCAATGCTTTTAAATTTTTCTACCACTTGTTTTTTTTTTTCTTCTTTTGGGTGAACATAAATAGTGCATGGCATAACCCTTTTTTTTTGAATTTCAAACTCAAAATTATCCAAGTAGAATTATTGATATCATATTTATAGCACTATATATTTAATGAAAAGAAGCACTTTAGTCCTTCAATTAAGATCCTTTTATGTGAATTGAAATTAGGGATTTAATATTTTTCAAGTAAGAACAAAAAATAAGGACATATTTGTTTATTTAGCTTCCAGATATTATTTGCAGACACAGATATTATTAAAAAAAAAATTAACATAATGAAACTTGGAAGAATTTAATTTTAGAATAATGTATCAATAATTAATATTTAGAGGAAACAAGATGTGTCTTACTTTTTACAAAGTGGGAAATATTTAGAATTATTTAAAAAAAATTAGCGATTAAAAATATAAATTGATTTTGAAAATGTAGCTTATCATTCTTATATAATTTTATTATCAGACAAAAAATGTGGGACAGATGAAGCTATAAATGAAGACATTTCCTATCTGTCGCATTAATACATTCAACAAATGTAGGAAAATTACATCCACCCTTGTCCTATGTATAGGAGAAAAATGCTTTCATTTTAGATCTTTGAATCAGGATATTGTTATGTGGAAAATAAATAATTTTTTCTTTTTCTTATTTGTTTCAAAAATAAGGTAGGCAAGGATAAATAATTTCAATAATTAAGTTTACTTAATTAAGGTGGTTGATGGGAAATTAAAAAATTAGAAAACGACATTTGTGGATTTAAATGAGACCTCAACAATGCATAACTAAAATAGAGACAAGTGGAATTTTTTTTTTTTAATTCCAAATTCAATTAAAATCTCACCTAACAAAATTATTATGAGAAGAAACTGAACTCAACTAGGATAAGTGCATTACTGCCAATATATATATATATATATTTTTTGATATTACTAAAGATATTTTTTCACTTTCTATTTAACGGTTGGATGAAAGATTAATATCACGATTATGCTAAAAATTCTACCAGGATTAGGCTATTTTGAGTTCCAGAAAACATGGGATGAGGTCTTGTTTTTTGTTAATTAAATAAAAACACATAATTAGAATGCTAATTGTAATTAGCTAACAAAATGATTATTGATATTTTTTTTTTTCTATGAATGTATTTATTGGTCAGCTATCTGTGTGCCTATTGAGTATAGCCCATAGTAATTATACAGTTGACTGAGAATGATGGAGCAGGAAAGGAAGGAGAGAAATCTTTCATTTAATAATGTGCACTTGACTGTCTTTTATATTTCTTTTTTTTTTTTTTTTTTTTGCTTAATTGTAATTAGTTAACAAAATGATTATTTGTATTTTTTTTTTTATCTATGAATGTATTTACCTGGATCAGCTATCTGTGTTGCCTTACTTGGTCCTTGCACATTGGTAATCTTACAAGTTGACTGAGAATGATTGGAGCAGGGGAAAGGGAGGGAGTAATCTTTCATTTGATAATGTGCACTTGCTGTCATTTTATATTTCTTTTGTTTTTTATTTTTTTTTATTTGCATCCAATTTTCTTGAATGAGTAGAACAGACATGTAGACATATGGTTAGACCCTTTAGAGGTTGAAGCAACATGAGGCATTCATAAAAATATTAAAAAAAGATTTTTTTTTTTTTTTTTTTTTTGTCCATTTCTTGATGTAGAACAGCATGTGCATATGGTTAGACCCTTTGAGATGAGAAAATGAAGGCATCAATAAAAAAATATTAAAAAGAAAAAAAAATTATGAAGGAGTGTGCTGCGTGTACATATATAGCAATCGATGAGAAAACAAAGCATTGATATCATCTCCCATCCCTCACCCAAATTTATGCAAAACAATTATTATTATTATTATTATTATTATATAAAAATATTAATATGTTTTTCACATTTGACATTTCGAGAGAAATGGGATTTAATAAACATCTAAAATTATAATCAAAAGATTTATATATATCTATATATAGTCCTTGTGCCGTAGATTTATTTTTTTATTCTTATAATTAATTAAATTACGTTGTTTTAATTTAATGATATAAAGATTAGCGGGCAATCTTTAAAATCCAGTGAAAAGCTACTTATGAGAAGCAGTTACAAATCTCAAAATGAAATTAATATCATATCAAAAAAGGCATTGATTTACTTGTGGAGAACTAAAACAAAAAAAAATAAAAATAAAATTAAAATTATAAAATAATTATATAAATTTTGCTTCGGATAAAAGGGAAGGGTACCTAATTATAATTTAATTCCATAAAATAAGGGGCTTGAGCACACTCAAGCAGTCTTGATACACACAAACTGCCTATATTTGTAATGTTTATTATTAAATTCACTGCGTTAATATACAAAGTTTAAGAAAGAAAGGGCAAAAAGGTAGTTATTGTTTGTTGTCTTTCCCGGGCTTTTTGCAAGCATTGACCTCCTCAACCATTCATTTCTTTAACAAACTTAACAATATTCCTTTTAGCCGTTATTTTGTTTTAAATAGTTGTTTAAACCAATTATTATATATATAAAGTTTTGATTTTTCCAACATGCAATCCACTTTCTTTCGAACGAGGAAAAAAAATATGCGGTAAAGAAAAAACAGTCAAGGAGCTTTGTTCTTCGGTTCTTGCAAAAAAAATCAAGAACAAGAAGAAAATAAGAGAGAAAGGAAAAGGAAACCCTTTTCTCTCTTCACAATAATATTAACGTCCACTTTCACCATTGCAAGTGGCGGAACAAAAGAAAAAGAAGGGCTTGTTTGTAATGATGGTACGGGCATTAGACCGTGAAAGAAGCATTCAGAAAACAAAATCTTTCCATTTGAAAAAAATGTTTGAGAATATTCAAGGGAGACACGTCCATAACTTGGCCGTTGATAATGGAAATGATGGAGGAAATGCTGATGAAAAGGTACAATTAAAAAATAATATACCTAAACCTGGGGAAGATCGTTCTCAGGATTCCCAACAAACAGCATGTCCCGCTTCTGATGCTGCACCTGTACCTAAACTTCCAAGCCCTAAGGGTCCCCCAGGTAATTAGGCTCTAACTGGAATTCATACTCGCAAACTTCGAAAGTCTGCAGATGACTGCATTGCAATTTTACTGATTATTTCTTTTCTGGGAATTGGTTAATATGCAATTTTTGTGCGTTTGTGTGCAGAGATTGATTTGATGAAGGAAAGGTTTGCTAAGCTGCTTTTAGGTGAAGACATGTCAGGTGGTGGAAAAGGTGTTTCCTCAGCTTTGGCTTTGTCTAATGCAATTACAAACCTAGCCGGTAATTTTAAATTCTTCACAAATTTATAATTATTGCTAATTTATGATCGAGAATTTCTTTTTTTTTTTTTTTATTTTGATTCTTTATTATTGGCTAATTTATTATCGCAGAATTTACTTTTTTTTTTTTTTTATTTTGATCTTTGTAATGCAATGCAGCATCTGTTTTTGGAGAATATAAAGAGATTAGAGCCTATGTCTTCCAGAGAAGAAAAAAAGGTGGAGAAGAGAAATTGATTGCATTTTATCTGTAAAACTGATCACAATTGTGGAATTTTGTTTCCTTCACAGCAATCTAAGGGATGGAATAAATATGGACGGTAATTAATTAATTAATTAATTAATTAATTAAGCAAGCCTAAATATTAAATTAACTCCATATTTCTTACTGGTTCTGCCATTATAGATCATGATGACAAAGCAAAGAAGTGATCTTGCTTGTGAACACCCTGCTTTGCGCAAGCTTGATGCTATCGTCATTGTAAAGTTTTTTTTCTTTTTTCTTTTCTCATGAAGAGGATTAATTTCTGCATCGCAGTAGAAGAACTACATTTTTTTTTTTTTTTTATTTTGATTCTTTGTAATGCAATGCAGCATCTGTTTTTGGAGAATATAAGAGATTAGAGCCTATGTCTCCAGAGAAGAAAAAAAGGTGGAGAAGAGAAATTGATTGGCTTTTATCTGTAACTGATCACATTGTTGAATTTGTTCCTTCACAGCAATCTAAGGATGGAATAAATATGGAGGTAATTAATTAATTAATTAATTAATTAATTAAGAAGCCTAAATATTAAATTAACTCCATATTTCTACTGTCTTGCCATTATAGATCATGATGACAAAGCAAAGAAGTGATCTGCTTGTGAACATCCCTGCTTTGCGCAAGCTTGATGCTATCGTCATTGTAAGTTTTTTTTTTCTTTTTCTTTTCTCATTGAAGAGGATAATTGATCGCAGAGAAGAACTACAAATGATTTTCTTTGATGAAAACAGGACAATCTGGATCAATTTGGAAAAGAAAATGAATTCTGGTATGTGTCAAAAGATAGCAATGACTCAGAGCAAGAAACTCCACCAAGAAATGATGACAAGTGGTGGATTCCAACTGTAAAGGTTCCACCACAGGGGCTATCTGAAGAAACTAGAAGATGCCTGCAATTTCAAAAAGATTCTGTCAATCAAGTACTTAAAGCAGCCATGGCGATTAATGCACAGGTGCTATCAGAAATGGAAGTTCCTGAAAACTACATTGAATCCCTTCCCAAGGTATTTGTTTCCTTTTCAGTTAACTAGACTGTGACAAAACCCTACAAGACGACCTGCAGTATTCCCTGAGCCGAAGGACATTTTTCTGTAACTTTTTTTCTCTTTCATGTTGTTGATATGATAGAATGGAAGAGCAAGCCTTGGAGATTCAATCTATAAGAGCATAACAGTGGAGTACTTTGATCCTGAGCAATTCCTGTCAACCATGGACTTGTCAACCGAGCACAAAGTGCTTGATCTGAAAAACAGAATTGAAGCCTCTATTGTGATTTGGAAAAGAAAGATGAACCAAAAGGATGGCAAATCTTCTTGGAGTTCAGGTGTAAGCTTAGAGAAAAGAGAACTCTTTGAAGAGAGAGCTGAAACCATATTACTCCTCCTCAAACAGCGGTTCCCTGGAATTCCACAATCTGCCCTAGACATAAGCAAGATTCAGTATAACATTGTGAGAAAAACAAGAATTATATATAATCTCATTTCATTCTATCTCAACTTGTAAAAATGTAAAAAGCCCATGTTTTTTTTGTTCTTATGCAGGATGTAGGACAGGCAATTCTGGAAAGCTATTCAAGAATTATAGAAAGCTTGGCATTCACAGTTCTGTCCAGGATTGAGGATGTTCTGTACTCAGATTCACTAACACAAACCCCAAGATCAGGGTCAGATGATAGGCTAGCCGAATACGATAGGCTAGATGAAGATGGAGACTCTGGAGAAACACCAACATCAACATCAACATCAATGACACTATCAGACTTCATGGGATGGAGTGTGGGAGAGAATAAAAAAAATAGCTCAGCCAATGCAGAGAGCTGTTACAAAGGAGAGAATGACAGGAACATGCTCAAACCTATTGCAACCAAGAAATTTTCTTACTTAGAGAAGCTTGAGAGCTTGAGTGGATTAAGGAGTCCAACGGCTCGACATTAAACATTAATGGGTATAGATGAAAATGTGAAATAAAAAAAAAAAAAATACTAAAAGATAAAAGATAGATTGAGAGATGCAGTTAGAGAGCTTGAATCATCAAATGTAGAAAACACATAACCTTGTAGGAGCCTGTTGCTTGAGTTAGGAACTTAGCAATTGTTTTCCTCACAATACAAGAAGATGAAGGAATCCAAATGTGTAATTAATTGACGTTGATGCATTTGAAACTCGCTTTCTGGCTTTGTTAAGACCAAACCCTTGTAATACATTCACTTATCAATTTTTTTTCCCCCAATGTTTTGTCCCGTATATAGAATTGCACTTTGAAATAAAATGAAGTGAGCCTCTCAATATTGAATAGCTTCAAGTGCCCTAAGCAAATATTCTCTCAGAAAAAATTACGAGTATCTTTTTCCTTATTTAGGTAGTTGTTTGATAAAATTTTAAAAGTGATTCCTGTTGAAATATAAAATGATAACTGAAATTTTTATTATTTTCATAAATCAAATTTTCTCATATATATATTTTCTATTTTTTCAAATAAATATATTATTTCTATTTTGATGCGTTATCAAAATAAAAACACTAATTAACTTTTTGAAATAATATTTACTAATTATTTATTATTTTTGAATAACCATAAATAAAATGATTATATATAAAATAATTATTAAAAAATTTAATAGGATTCAAATATAATATAAATATGAATCGGGTACCATAGCTATCCTTACTGCCTATACTTCGAAAAATTACTAACTTTACATTAAGAAAAAGAGAGGTCAAACTTTCTTGTATCCAATTAGATGGTATTTGAATTAATAGCTAACGATAAGATGTAAATAGGGCATAAATCGCTCCATTTACTCGAGTATGTTCCTCAGTCAAAGCCGAGGATGCAGCATTATAATAAAATGAACAAAACCATCAAAATCCGAAAAAGACATTTTGGACGGAGTACGTTAAATTACAGTCACTTGAAGATGCAAAAGTCAGTCAAAAATGCAAAAGTAATGCCCATGGCCAGGGATTATTGATCTTAAGCAAAGCGCGTGACAGCAGCGTGTATAGCATCTGCAAGATGGGGGACTGTCTTAGAACTAAGACCAGCCATGCTAATCCTTCTGCGGAGAGAGAGAACAAAGGGCAAAACAATGTAGCTTTATCAGTTATTCTAAGAAATCATTGTTATCAATTATACTGGTAACTTAAAGTAAGGTGAATCAGTGAAAACTTGACAACATGCAGGTGGCGAAGCACGGGATTTCATCATTTTTGGACAAAAATGCGTTTAAATATATTTCTGACAGAAAGCTACAAAAGCCAACAAATTTTTTAATCTCGATGATACCATTCAAAATAATTTATTGGAAGTGAATGATTTCCAGAGATTTTCACATCAAAAGCAGCAATGCAAGAAAGGTGGAGAAGTTTGATGAGAAACTCATATGAATGGTCTAACAGGAATAAAATCTTGTCATTACCCATCAGATGTCATGTAAATGTGATATTCCTTGGTCATGAATGCAACTTGTTCAGAGTTCAACCCAGTGAAAGTAAACATTCCAATCTGCTTCATAATGTGACTCCAGTCACCTGGAGTTCCTGTTGTGAAGGAAAAGATAGCTTAGGCACAGATCTGATTAAATACATAAAACTAGCACATATCATCAGTAACACATGTAAGCTAAAAGATGAAATTCATTTGTTTAACCATAAATAACAATTTAGCCAACATAGAATGTTAGGCAATGCATATTTTGTTCTGGAAATATGTGATTGAGCATAATTTCCATGATCACACTTATAAATGATTTATCATCAATTATTTTTCCAAGTAAAAGGTGTTAGAGAATTTGCAAGTAAGGCTCAAAGAAATGGGTGCTCAACCACGCTGAATGGAGAATAAGATTTTCTTAAGTTGAATTTGCAAGTCATATATGTCAACTGACCCAAGTTTAACAGCTTGACAGCAGATACCAGCGGCATAAAAAGAATAAACCAGAATAGTTAGAAATCACAAATGAAAACTGTCGGAAGTACCTCGAGCAGTTAAAGCATCAAATAGTTGGTGGCGCATGCTAATAATTCGGTCAGCCATTGCTTTCAGCTCAATGGTCCATTCATTATACAGATCACTGAAAAAGAAAGCACATGGAAAAGAAATTACATCCATAACAGAAGTGGCAGTATTTCTATTAACTACTAACATCAATTCAAATGTGCATTTACATTACATTAACTTCTAAGATTCAGATACCTGTTCTTGAGAATAGTAGCCACAATAGATGCACCATGAATAGGCGGATTAGAATACATAGGACGAATCACAAGTTTCAACTGGCTTTCAACCCTACTCGCCACATCTGCTGTTTTGCAGACCTGTGAAAATGAAACTATATGTCAAACTGCAAGTTACATTCACAGGAAAGTGCTTTTGGTAGAACCCTGTTTGGTCGGATAAAGCCATTAAAAAAAATATATATATATATATATAAAGAAAAAAAAACAGTGATTGACAATTAAAAATGTGCATTGCTCTTGAAATACAAAATTTGCAATGTGTTTCTCACTTAGGGAAAGTGATGCATAGCCTTGAAAGAAAGGGAGATGTTATGAGAAATCAGTGGAGAAGGTTAATATTATCATAGATGAGACTTCCTTATTGAATGTAGGCATCATCCCATAGGTTATGCAACAAGAAAATTATATTTTGAAACCTTAGTGAACCAAAAGGCATTCCATTTCTCAATATCTATTGATCTTTAACATAAGATTATAATAAAGAATCCAAGGCTTAGTAGTGTCTTACAATGCTGAGAGCCCCAACACGTTCCCCATAGAGTCCCATATTTTTTGCATAACTCTGTGCTACAAGACATTCACCACCATCTCCAACAAACAACCGAACAGGCTGTGCATCTGCATCTAGGCTGCCACTCGCAAAACCCTACAGAGTTGAGGTTTAAGAGTTCACCAATCAGCCATGCTACAATCTACGAGCAATCAAAGAAACTTCATCGCAAATTATGGTTATTCAACATTCTATTGTTACCCTCTAATCCTCCTACTGACACTGCTTTTCCCGTTACCTGATAAGCACTGTCAAAGAAAGGCAAAAATGCTTTTGATCTGATCAGCTGTCTGATCTGCTCCCACTGCTCAAGGGTTGGGTCAACGCCAGTTGGGTTATGTGCACATGCATGGAGAAGCACTACAGATCCTGTTGGTGCAGATCCCAGATCCTCTAGCAAGCCTGTGTATCACACATATACTTAAATTCCATGCCTTGAGTAGAATTTCATCAAGTATGCACCAGTGTAAACAGATTCAATTAGAATTTACTTAACAAACAAACAATTCATTGCCTAGGTGTGAGTGTCCAAAAAAAACAAAGGTCTTGAATTTTTAGAATTATGTATCCGACTGAAAATACTTGATCTTAGAGAGGTTAATCAACCATATTATGCTTAAATATATTACTATGACTAATAATTCATCAGGAGCAATAACCCTATAAATTGTAAGAGAAATTAAAGATATGCAAACGATAAAGCTAATATTGTATTTTTGGATCACATAATAGAGTGCACAAACCTTGGAAATCCAGCCCACGTGTTGCTGGATCATAGTACCGGTACGTCTTTACAGACAACCCTGCAAGAGTGAAGACTTTGGTATGATTTCCCCATGTTGGCTGTGGAATGTATATTGTCAGCTGCGCAACAAAAAGTAGATGAGTCAATCACAAGCTAACTTCCAATATTTTTTTTCCTAGTAGAGACAGAGGAGAAAAAATCTCACTTGATGGTAATGCCTTGCAAGAAACTCCCCTCCAACTCTCAAAGAACCGGTACCAGACAAGCCTTGCACAGTAGTTATTCTGTTCTCTTGTATAGCGGGGCTATTGCAAAGCAAACAAAAAACTACTGAAATAATGCAGCAGTAATCATAACTATTTTAATTTACACATTGTAAAGTACAAAGATCAGTAATTGGATAGTGAATAGAGGCTACTAATTACCTATCAGCTCCTAAGATAAGCTTGGCACTCAGTTTATTAAAATCAGCAAGTCCAACAATAGGAAGATACTCTTTGACCCGAGACCTAGAGGATATGTAAGAAACAGGCATTAGCAGTTCCATCAAGTGAAATTATAAAATACTGAGTGACAGTGACAAACACAAAATATAGACCGAGTAACTCACTGGTCATTTACTAGTATCTGCTCCGCTTTCCTCACCACATTCAAAACGAGAGGCTTCCCTTCCTGATATGCAAGCAATTTTCCAATCAAAAATCCAAGACACTAATTTACTTAATCTAAGACTCATATTTATGAGAAAAATACCTCAGTTCGATAAGCACCAACACCCAAATTCAACTTGTTAGGGCTTGTATCTTTGTTATAAGCAACAGTAACCTGTTCGTATATTTTAAAAGCATAAACAAAAGCAAGTACATTAACGCAAATATCATGATCAAAATTAAAATAATCCGATCAATATCTTCTCATTCCATGAATTACACAAACAATACCTATATATTAACTCTTCTCTAATCTTAGCGATTATACTGACAGAGGTAATATTTTCCAAAAGTTGATCGATTCAGTGGATCAAACTCGGAATAAATCATCAGAAAATACAAACGTGATGATATTATAAATAAACAAAAACATGAAGAGTGTGTTCAAGAAGAGGAAGAGTACCCCTAAAATAGGATCTTCAGGAGCTCGAACGATATTGCTAAACACAGAATCAGTATCCATCGCTTAATCCAAATGAAGAAGATGAAGTGAGTTTTGAGTTTGATCAAAGAATATTATTAGCTCTTTAAAACAGCAAAAGACGACGGTTTTTTCTTTTATTTTTTTCGTAATATAAAAAGTAGAGCTTTTTGTTCGGTAAAACATAAAACTATGGGCAGTGCCTCACAGTCCACGCTTGAGACTAGCGACAGTTCAACAAAACCATCTATGGGCGGCATTATAGCATTTTGAGGCACTTTGCCTGCACGTTGCTGCCGGTGACACGTTCCTATATTCCCCTGCCATTGAAATCGAGCCGAAAAGGATACCCTCGTCATTTCGCTTTGTGTCATTGAATGGTCCATTGGTTCAGCCTTGTTAAACTTTTGGGCCTAAAAACATTTATTTTGGGCTCAAATTTGTTCTCTTCGTTGTCGGTAGCACATGTGGCTAAATTATTTTCCGACCCTAAATTTATAGTTTTTTTTTCGACACGAGGCCTAGTGACTCGAAATAAATTGCAGTTTATACATTTTGATTTTGGAATAGCTTTACTCTTTACTCTTAACTCACCAATTGGCAAAAACTTTTGCAGTCGAAATTGATTGGCCTAAATTTATGATAATTGATGAGTGTAAAAAATATCAAATGCAATTTAGTTTGAGAAACATGTAGTATACAAGCTATTTTTATAAATAAATCACACCGATACATCATAATCCAAAAGAACATTCATTCAATCAATGAGTAAAATACATGAATTTTCAAAGCTATTCATGTTGTTCGTCTAACTCGCCGAAAGATTGATGCAATTTCATTATTGTGCACTGATTTCCTGAACAAGCTGTAACGTCCACGCTTGGGCGGAGTTTGCTGCAACAAAACATCTAGCTGCTAAATTCAAAATTATCATAATCAAAAACCGAGTTAAAGAATAAGGTCATTATTTTGATATCTTACCTGAAAATGAAAAGTGGGATTTGCAGTTTTAGATAGTATTGAGATGCCATCACGAACAGGCAGTACTGCACAAACAAAATTTACAACATTCATGTCTTACTATATACTTAAAAAGCTAAAATACATAAATATATATAAATTTGTTGGATGGTACCTAAATCATTAGAGTCCTCTTTCCCTACAGAAGATCTGGTCGATGAATGCCTTGCCAAAGATGGTTTTGGAGTGTATGTGTACAAGAAAAGTGGCAAATCCTCTGCTTCAAACCCATGTTTATTTATGATTTTTGGACAAGCTGGAGAACTGGGATTCCTGAAGAGAACAAGATTGTTTCAGTTTCATTAACATCTAATTTCATTTGCTTCATAATTACATATATCTAGTTTACAAAAAATCATGAAGCAGATTAATGCTTGCTATACCTTACATGATCTTCGTTTAACTTGTCAATCTCAACATTTATGATTGCTGGTCAAAAGAAAGAAAATATTATGGAAAATAAAAGCAATTAGTGAAAAGAAATTAAATCTGCAGATTAAGAAAAAAAAAATGTTGTATGGAATATTTACGTGCTGATAAGTAGCGGCGGTGAAATTTTGGCAAATTTGCATTCCATCTTACTCTTGTTAGAGCTATCTTGTTAGAAAATTGTTCGCATGAAAGAAGTCTCTATAAGAAAATTATCAAAAATCACATGTTAATGTTAGTAAAAGACAAGCAATTTACAATATATAAATAGTAGAAGTTGGGCAAGATTAAAGTACTGACTTGCTTTAGGCTATCAATTCTAATTTCAGCCTCAGAAAATTCATTTTTCTTGTCAATAATTTGGTTTAAATTAGCAGCAACGCATCCCAAATGGTCAACAACAGCAATTACAGATAGGCATAAGTACTCTTTTGTGTTTTCCAAAACCCTGCAAAATATTTGTCAATGTATTAGTTAGTCCATGTGCTTTGATGGAGGACACACAACTTTGTGTTTCAATCCCACATTTTCTTCTCTTTGGAATTCAAGAATGTTGCTTCGCAGTAGTCTGCTGCATAATGCAGCTGAGAACGCAAGTCTCTAAGCTCCTGCAAAACCAGGAAGAACACAAAGATGAACTAAATGAGTCACAAGAACAAGAAAAGACTGAGTGATATTCAGTAAAACAAGAACAAGATAAAAGGCAAAGATATAGACTTGAAGAGACTTGTCAAATCGCATAACGTTTTCGGATTCACTTTCTGAGTTTCTACAGGCAGATGCTTTGGAGATCTGCATTTTTCTTTTTCTTATTCTTGGTTTTCAAATTACAGTTGAAGATAAATGTGAAAGATGAAAAGCAATGCAAAGATAGTATGAGTGAGGTTTCCTTATCTTTATAGTTGGTTCTTAATTTTTAAACTAGTGGTAGATTAGCTGCTCTTTTTGTCTGCGTTGAGACAGAGAGACAGAAATGAAGAGTATGGGTAACTGGAGGCTCGTGGAATTCCCATTATCGAGTAGTCACTAATTAATGAGTGATTGAAACAACCCAAAAACCATTAAAGAGAGATTCTTTAGCATGTACAAAAGGTGCAAAAGATGACAAATTTTCTGCAGCCTCGTGATATCATGTTCCCTTCTGTTCTCGTCGTTTTTGAAAAAGTGCAGTTTCTCATTGACAGGATGATCCAATGGCTCACATTCAACCAAGAGGTAGATCTGTTCAACTCATAAGCTGACATCTGTTTACTGTTTGTAATTTGATCAAAATATATGAAGACTAAAGTTCCTTTAAACATTTTGGTTGTAATTAAACCAAATTTTGGTACATAAGCATCTTGGGTAGTGCTAAATTTTTGTCATTAGCGAGTGAGTTCTGAAGATTTGGCGTTTTCCCCTTCGTTGTTCGAAATCATGATTAGTAAAACCTGAAATGAATTCTGTGAAACAAAAGTAACTTTTTACAAATAAATGGGCGGATAAGCACAAAATAATAGGCAAAAACATAGAAATAATAGACAGAATCATCCAACAAGCATGTAATTTAGAAATAATTAATTATTTTCAGAAAAATATGATTTGGGGAAATGTCATGTGGAATGTGGACCTTTAGTGTCTTAGGCTTTCCTCCCCAACATGATCACCCACCCTGACCACATTTTACATGAAAGTACAAGCAAATGCATGGCAGCAAGGAAAATTACAGGGCTGATTTCAAGAAATTAACCAACTAAATAGTCAACCTTTTGAATGATGAGAAAACTTGAGCAACCTGAGAACAGAACCAGAGGACCTTCAATTTTACGTAATGTGGTCAACTGAATATGCTTCAATATTGTACAAGATGAATCTTTTCAGGTATGTCATTCAAAGTCCTGAATAGGAGACCATTAACTTCATATCTGAAAGTCAATTACACAATCACCAAACTTCTCCGCTGCCTCAATTTTTGACAGGACAGTGTTATGATCTGAGAATCCAGATGCTGATAGAATGTTCGTGAGATTCTTGTAGACCTCCTGAGGTGATTTCTGCAAATCTTCTTGGCTGCTATGTTTCAATGTGTCTTGGTTTAACTTAACTCTAGATTGCCCATTGCTTTGTTCAACAGATTGTGAATCTATTTACACAAGTAATCTCAGAGCGAATCTATGAAAAAGACAGCAACCATGCTACGGTATGGCTGCGGGTCAAAACGTTCATCCCGCCCAACTATTTTGGTTAAAGAAACTATCAATTCGTTGAATTAATAAATTACCTTCATGTCTGGTGGGAGTAGAATCTTGCGTGGTCACAAAGGACTTAGCACGTGTGATGCATAGCCATGCTCTCTCTGGTTCATAATCATGGTCTGTTGCAATTGGAATATGCCAGTGGCCTTTCTCTGATTCCTATTAAATGCATCACCGAGCGAACACAAAAAAAGAACTAGGTTTTCATTCTTTTTATAGCTCATATCAAAGAGAGAGTAAATCATGGAATGATCAGTTCTCAATGCAGTTAGAAAGATAAATTCAGTTCTCACCTGAATTACAACAGAGAAACAAGGAGGCATGTGAAAAATCGGGCCAGCTTCAGAAAAATTGAAGTGTACCTTCCATCAAGAAAAGATGAGACTTTTTTAAGGATACAACAAGATTAAGCAATAAAGGCTCCAGTAGAGCAGAACTGATTCCACCTACATACATCAGACAGATATCGAGGCAGAAATATAGATTGTGCAAGGTTAACATATAAAGGCAAAGGGGTCTTAAGGGTTTTGACTCCAAAGAAATGGTACTCACTTGATGCCTTTCTTTCCATTTCGGGAAGAAGTCATTTCCTAGAAGTTGAAACGTATGGTCTCTCATCTCATCATTGGTCACAATTAAGCACCTGAACTTTATAGCTGCATACAACCAGTACCTGAAGCACAATTTATTAGCTGTATCTGTATGCTATTGTATCTATCCAATAGTTGACTGAAAATGAGTCAAAAACGATGAAAGTTGAGGAAAGTAATTTGCCTGGAAAAACATATTCTATGTGCATTAAAATTCTCACCAATCGTCATTTGATCCGGTAGGTGTTGCATAAAGTGCATCGGCATTTTTCCACTTCTCAACCAATGCCTTGTTTACTGGTTCATCCATCTTGGGTCCAGTGATACGCCTATTGTGCAAAACAATAAGTGGCCATCTTTTTGAAGGAAGCTTTTGGCGTATTCCATTAGCAATAGCATTGATCTACAGAGCCCATCACATAAGGAACCGGTACACCAATTATCAAACCATAAAAGAGGGAAGGAAAGAAAAAATTGTTAAAGTTTTTGAATATCTTGTTCTCTAAGCCATCATATGATATACCTTAGATGGAACGAACCTCTTCTGGCTCAAAAGACCTACATTAGCACCATCTATCACTGCTTCAAAAGGTCCGTAATAGTCCAGCCATTTCTGCAAAAAAAAAAAAAAAAAAAAAAAAAAATCACAATTAAGCAACCTGAACTTTTATAAGCGCATACAACCAGTACCTGTAGCACAATTATTAGCTTGTATCTGTATGCTATTGTATCTACCAATAGTTGACTGAAAATTGAGTCAAAAAACGATTGAAAGTGAGGAAAGTAATTTGCCTGGAAAAACATATTCTATGTTGCATTAAAATTCTCACCAATCGTCATTTGATCCGGTAGGTGTTGCATTAAAAGTGCATCGGCATTTTTCCACTGTCTCAAACCAATGCCTTGTTTTACTGGTTCATCCATCTTGGTGTTCCAGTTGATACGCCTATTGTGCAAAACCAATAAGTGGCCATTTCTTTTTTTGAAGGAAGCCTTTTGGCGTATTCCATTAGCATAGCATTGATCTTACAGAAAGCCCATCACATAAGGAACCGGCTACCACAATTTATCAAACCATAAAAGGAGGGAAGGAAAGAAAAAAATTGTTAAAGTTTTTGAATTATCTTGTTCTCTAAAGCCATCATATGATATACCTTTAGAATGAACGAACCTCTTACTGGCTCAAAAGGACCTACATTAGCACCATCATATCACTGCTTCAAAAGGTCCGCTAATAGTCCCAAGCCAAAATTTCTGCAAAAAAAAAAAAAAAAAAAAAAAAAAAAAAAAAAAAAAAAAAAAATCAAATTCCTTTTTGTCAAATATTCATTCAATATTCCAAGCAATATCAATGAATTTTATCATACTTGAAACTTTTGAAAGCTTGAATCTTTATCTCTCTTTATGGCAATAGAAGCAACTGATTCGGCAAAATTATCAGTCTCTATAGGATCAAGATCAATGGTGACCAACTTCTCTCCACAAGATTTACAAGATGCATCTGATCCAACAGATGTAACTGAAACAGTCCACTTTCCCTTACCCAGCCAACCCTGTCCATGCCATCCTCCACCCCCATTTTCAATTGCCTTTTCAATTACCCTCTTATCCCATTTTGTTTTCCCGACTCTTGAAGCTGCCTTGCTCTTAAACCATCCAACAATTATTTCTGCAGTAGAGGGTGAGACTTTTCGCACACTAGTTCTCAATTTATGCAATATATTATAAACTTTATCACCTTTACCGGCTTGTACACTTACCTTTAAGAGTGCTTCCAATTCAGGCTCTTCTGGGTACACACCATGCTCCAACATGTGTTTTTCTACAGCAAATGCTTTGTCGACATCTCCATTATTGCAAAAGGCATATAGAGCAGGGCCATAGGACCGCAATCTAGGATTTAATCCCAGTGGCGTCATTTGCTTAACCATATCAAAGGCCATATCTGCATTGCCCATTGACATTGCCATCCTAGCAACAGCAGTCAAGGTAGCTTCATTCATTGGGACCTTGTCCATACACATCTTCTCATATATCTCAAATCCCCTCTCAAGCGCATACTTTTTGATATCTTCACTTACTTGAATTTCACGGGCGTCATGATTTTCACTATTATAACCCTTTTGATCCAATTGTAGAGACTCTGATTCAGTAGCACCCCGATCACTCTTATCTCTTAGTTCGCTCAACTCCACCTTTCTTAAACTATTATCTCCACTAGACACCTCTGCAGTCAAAACTCGACCACCACTCCCACTTTTTGCTGGTTGGACGATACCTACAGCAGCAGAGGAACAAAGATATAACAGTACTGTATAATGGTACTGCTCCATCTTGATTCCTTCTTTCTGACCTAAATCATACAGTTGAATTGCCCCCATTACGTCCCCTTTCTTAGAGCACATATCCAACTTGATCCGGAATTGTATTTCTGGTGAATCAGGTTTGTTTCTTTTGGAACCTTTTGCAATTTTCTCCTCTTTCACCTGATTATCACCGCCTTTTTTGGTTTTCCTCTCCATTTTACCATGAACTACACTAATGTCATTGTCTTCCAAAGGCTTTCTTTCTTTATTTCCATCTTTATGTCTCGTAGACGAATTTCGAGGGCCAATATTCTTACTTCTTCTGAAATTCATGTCCTTTCTCGTATTTCTATCTTTTATAGACCTCTTTTCAATCTTTTCAACTATCGAATTAACAAGGTTATTCACAGGTTGCCCAGAGCCGTTCTCTTTTCTTCTCATTCTTAAATTCTTTGTTTTGGTGGGATTTTCATGGGTTGTTGTGGATATCGTTGTCTTAATGTCGTTAACATGTGCTTGTGCTCTAAGTACAGAAAAAGGTTTGTGCTTGAACGGAGGGAAAGTAAGAAAATGAGATAAACAGTGGAAACTGAGAGTATTAACAGATGAATACTTACAGAGAGCTATGGAGAGGAGGTGTTTTTGCTGCGAAGTGTTGAAAGTTGAGGGGGCCATGAGTGGTCTTCAAGAGAGCTACTTTTCCTTGCTGATATGGATGTTCGCTATAAGGAGCTTAAGTTAATGCGGATAAGTTGTAAATTACGAACGTGCCATGGAAACATTTTTTAATTTGAAAGTGCTGCGATTTGATTAGATTTTCTAGAATAACCCAAATCATTCTCGCTCTTGCAGACAGCAAATGCATGCCCGAGTTGGTAAATATCCAAATTTAATTTAGTTATCTTCCTTGACATTTCAGAAAAAAAAAAAATCAAAATTCAAGCGTGCGAAACAAACAAAGCGGAGAAAAGAAGCAATTTGCGGGTGATAATTAATTATTAATTAGTTAAATAATACAGTTGAATCATTAAATTCAAGAAAAAATTTGCATTTTCCACACCCATAACAAAAAAAATTTCATAATTTTTTCCATTTCAATTTTAATATCACCAATTTTTTTTCTTAATAAACTCATTATTAAAGCCCATCCTCACTGTTTTTGCACGCCAACTGGTATATAAGCCCTGTAGCAAAATGAGTGTTTTACGACAAGATTAAATCAATAATATTAAATGCACGCTGAAGCCTGAAGGATAGTTGGAGACCTGGAGTGGTTTACAATGGCCTGTCTATAGGAAATTTTGGACAAGAAAGAAAAAAACAAGAGGAATTGCACTGAGAAAACCACTCAGCTGTAACCTGTAAGTTGAGTCTTGAGTGAATGCCAAATCACTCTGAGTATCTATCTAGCTAGGACTGTTTGGCCCTCTTTTGGATAGTTAAAAATAAAGCAAATGCTAAATAGTAAATTTCTATGATTGGCTTGCCAAATGAAATACCTGAATGATCGCAAGTGATGAGCTGAAAACAAATTATTACAAAGTGTGTAACTGCATACCTCCAAGAGTGAGTACAAGAGCAGTAAGAGAGATTGTTTAATACTAGTGTCACCTGCAACTATCATAAAAGTGAATGCATAATAATGCATCGTGATTGAACAAAAATTTCTAACCAGCCTCCTGGATATAGTCATTACAAAAGAGTTGGTGAACCAGGAAAATGATAATTGAAGATCATGAACAGAATAAATCTGGTCCTAACTGGTGTCATTTTTTAGTCACTGATCTTTTCCAAACTTTAGGTTGTAAAATCATAAAAAAACCGAAACAAGAACTCCAACATCCATTTTTGGCTTTCCTCACCAACAATTGCTGTGCAAGAGACTGTCATAAAGGCATTGAGACACCTGAAAAATAGTTTTAGAAAAAGAAAATTAGTATTTGAGCAGACAATTGATTTCCATGAAATTATGAAGCATATTGCCATGTGTGATGTTATCTAATGGAAAGTACAGCTCATAATGACACCTTCTTCAGATTAGAAATATGCAGATTTTGAAAAGTTACAGTAATTGACTGGCAGGATATGGGTAGCTTTGTCAATGGTGAATAGGCTCGGGCTCTGTTTATGTTTTTGTTCAACTGTTCTCACAATTTTTTACAAGCAAAGAGCAGAACATGGCACACTTGGCCATCAAGTCTCACCAGAAACTACATCAGAATATACATAATTACCAATCATTCAATTGTTTGCAAACATGATAGTTTTTAATCTGTAAATTACTCTTAACAAGAATTATCAAGAAAGGTTACACGCTCCTCTTGTAGCAAGGAACAGAACTTTCAAGATAAACTTAAAAATAAATAACCGCACTTCCTTCCACTGTTCCACACAAGCTCATTTGCAGTCAACAGAGAGACATTCAACTGATCAATCAACCGCAACACAGCCAAATAACTAATACTGCACAAATTAATCAGAACTTAAACCAACCAAAACTATCCGAATATATGGAATTGTCTAGAACCATCATGACCCTCCACCTATTCTCTTCTTCAAAGAAATAAAAGGGCTAAAAAAAATGGACTAATGTGATGCATTGACCAAAGATTAAGACTGATTAACAAGTTCATGATAGAAGTAATAAATTTTAACAGAAATATGTGTATCAACTCGTTCAAGTTGCATAGACCTAAAAAAAGTTATATAACAAAAGCGAAGTGCAACAAACTTATCACGGAAACCAAAAGTCAATAAATCAAAATAATTTGAATCAACTATCAAATACATGCTTAACCATTTATCAAACACCAATCAATATTGATGTGTGTGTCAACCTTCATGATTATTCCTCCTAACATAACATCCTAAACTGCATTTAGATAGTTTAAAAAGCAGTATCACTATTTTCTTTTTTTATTAAACGAGCAGCCCAATTCACAAGATTACAAATAAAGCAGATTCTTTTTCTCTTTTTTTTTTTTTTTTTTTTTGAATAAGATTATAAAAGCAAGAATCACTTAATTCTTTTTTTATTAAACAGAGCAGACCACAATTCACAAAGAAATATACAAATTAAAGCAAGATTCTTTTCTCTTAATTTTTTTTTTTTATTTTTGAGTGTGTGTGGGAATGATAAAAACAACAAAAAACAGAGTTGGAAGCTGCATAAAAACTTGAATAATAATAGAAATCAAATAACTGAATAAATAACTCAAGCACTTTTGACAATCAAATAGACTAACAAATACTTAAATACATCGAAAACTGCAACACAAATAGACAACTTACGAAAAATCAAAAATATACCAAAAGAAAAGAAAAAAATTTTTTTTTTTTTTTTTTTTTGAGTGTGTGTGTGTAAAACAACAAACAGGTGGCGTGCATAAAACTTGAATTCTGATCATACTGTTTCTCAAGCACTTTTGCATCAAATAGACTAACAAATCTTAAATACATCGAAAACTGCAACACAAATAGCCTTCGAAAAATCAAATTATCCAAAAGAAAACACCTTGAGGCACTAAAGCCCAGCTATCAGATTCACTGGACAAGCTCGATACTAATCTGGCCGAAGCTAGCGCGCTGTGCAATGGCATCATTGATCCCACACAACTCAATTCGAGAGGTAATCTATCCATAAAAACCAATCATTTAAACAAATTATAAAATGACAATGTCACTGCCTGTTAAAAAAGTTGAAAACTTGCTAGGCGGAATTTGGAGAAGCGCAAACTAAAAGATCCTACCTTGAGAGGCGTCTTGTAGAAAGCGAAGGCTGAGAGGTAGAGCAACTCGAATTGAGCGAAAACGGTTGCGGAGAAAGCGACTTGTTCCTGATTTTGAAAGCGACCAGCTTTAACCGAGAGGATAACCTCGAGACAACTTTAGAGGACGCCATTGTTTCTTGCTGTGAACTTTGTGTTGTAATCTGTAATTGTAGGGTTTTTATCCGAGCTGTAGCGATCTTTGTAGCTCGATGGTAAGAAAATAAGGAGACTTCGAAGCTCGAAATGATTGAGGCTGAATGTAACTTGCAAATTCCACATCTCAGCAAACGACAAGTCGTTCCCTTTATAGTAATTAGGTTTGTTCCTCCAGTGGTCATTCTTCGTCAACTCAATCACTTATTAAGTTAACTGCCGTCAAAACCAAATTAATACTAATTAAGAAAACATTTCAACAAAATATTTTTCGTGATTGTTAATGGAGAAAATTCCAAAAAAAAAGAAAGAAAAAGTAAATTGAAATAAAGTGAATTGATAAAAAAAAAATCTATCTTATTATTGTTATTATTATTATTATGTAGAAGTTAAAATAAAAAGATATTTCTTTCTTTTTTATTTTTATATAAAATTTTGAATTTCTTTATTTATTTATTTATAATTGACATGCTCACACAAAGTTTCCTTTTTAGAATCATTTCTTTTATTCTGCTAACCGCTTAAGGTATATTTTTAAGTGAAGCAAAAACAATCATCAAAACATTTATTTGATATTTTTTTTAATCATTTAACGTCCTATTTTTTATTTATATTAAAAAAAAGAGAATTCAAATTCAAATTTATTTTCATGTATTTATGATTAAACTATATTTTCATGTGCTGTGTTTTGTTTTTTAAGAATGCAAAACATATTTATTTATGATTATGATTGTCGTGATTGAATTTCTTTAGAACTAGACTAGCCACAATGTGAATGTTGGTGGATCGGTCAAAAAGAAGGTAGGTAAGAGAAGAACGACGCCGTTTGCAAGGCAATTTGCCAATTATTTCCACTCACGATATATAATAACCAAAAAAGTCATTATCACGTGGAGCCACCAAGAGTTACTACCAATCTATATATGGTTAGTAATTGGACAAATGCAAATCCCCTACCAAATTGATCCAATCACATCTGCACACCTCATCATCATTAACTACGGCAACCTCACCTGAGTTGTCCTATTCCAATTCCGCCTCCCATCCCCACCACTTCCTCTACCGTCATGTTCCACGCGCTAAACGACAGGGGCGTAACTTTCACGAAACGGGGAACATGAGAGATGGTTGTCAATTTGTCAGTCAACTTTCACACTGCTGAAGGAAAGTCTCGTTTTTATCATGTATAAATAGATAAGACCAAACCAAGGACGTTACGATTCTTCCTTGCAAGTGCTCTGCTTCATCATTTCCCTTTACTTCATCATCTTCTTCTGCTTCTTGACCAGCTAATTTATTGGCAAACAACATTACCCAGAATCAGAATCTCCATTTCTCGAAGAGTCATGGCAAAACCTCATATAAGTATAACCATGGAGGTTGGAAACGACGGCGTTGCAGTCATCTCCATTTCCAATCCTCCTGTTAATGCCTTAGCCTTTCCAAGTAATGATTCATTGATTTCTTCTTTTCTCTTCAATTATAACATACTTTCTCCATATGAATCTGCAAAGGTTTTTTTTGTTTATTATTATTTTTTTTGGTGATTCGTTTTCTCCAATTTTGGCGGGCAGTTCTTGAGGGGTTGAAGGAGAAGTTCCAGGAGGTCGCGAGGAGGAACGATATTCAGGCCGCCGTTGTGACTGGTGAACGATTACTTTTGAAGAAGAATTCATTCGATTGTTTTGTTATTGAAATTTTTAATCTAATACTCCATATGATAATCATGAATTATGTTGTTTGCTAAAATTTCTGTTCGGAATCTTGTAAACTACTTTTTTGCTCTTGAATTGAATGTTTTCTTGTATAATTGATGCCTGTTTAACATTTTGTTGACGATCATATCTCTCTTATTTGGTGAAGGCAAGAATGGAAAGTTTTGTGGTGGTTTGGACATCAACATCATGCAGACCGTTCACCAGACTGGTATGGGTTGATTTAGTTTGCTATTTCTGTTCAAAAACCGCAAGTTGTTTACAAGTTATTTCTCGAGTTGATTACTTAAAGTTACCTATTGTTATGGTTCGTGGTGTGCAGGGAATGCTTCAATTCTCCCTAGTGTATCCGTTGATCTTTTGATCAATTTAGTTGAAGGTACATGTCCTACTTAAACCTTATGATCTCCTGGGCTCATTTTGACATTTTAAAATGAATTTTGTAGATTTTTTTTTTTTTTTTTTTTTTTTTATTTTTTTTTTTTTTTTTTTTTTTTTGAGGGGCCACGAGTCCATGACATTTGTGTGCTTTATTTTTCTCTTTTATTTTTATAGATTGTAAGAAGCCTGATTGTTGCTGCTGTTGGAAGGATTAGCGCTTTTTTTTTTTTTTTTTTTTTTTTTTTTGAGGGGCCACGAGTCCATGACATTTGTGTGCTTTATTTTGTTCTTTTATTTTTATAGATTGTAAGAAGCCTGTTGTTGCTGCTGTGGAAGGATTAGCGCTTGGAGGTGGCTTAGAACTAGCAATGGTTCGTGTTTTCAATCAAGCAGTGGTTCTTAGCAACTTCATTTTGATTGTCATTATGTTTACTGTTTCTACAGCTGCTCATTGTAATTATACTTTTGCAGGGATGCCATGCACGCATTGTTGCACCTAAAACCCAACTTGGATTGCCAGAGTTGTCACTTGGAATAATTCCTGGTTTTGGAGGTATAAATGGTTGCCTAGATAAACACTTGGATGGTGGGAAAAAACACAAGTATTCATATTTGAATGAACTTTTTAATCTTTGATTTTCGACTTTGCAACTGTGACTAAAATGTTATAACTCTGCGCATTCTCTTAAGGAACGCAACGACTTCCAAGGCTTGTAGGACTGTCAAAGGCCATTCAAATGATGCTGGTAAATCCTCTCTCGATTAAATCAGAGAAAACTTGCGAATAAACCATTCCTCAGTGATTGATATGGGATAGAGAAGAGAAAAAAAAGAAAAAAAAAAGAAACAGAACAGAAAAAATGAGGGAGTCTCTGGAGCTTCATGATGGCAGCTTAATTCTTTCTGCCATGGAAGTTTGCATCAGTAGTTAATCTATTATGCTGTTTGGAAAAGTGAGACCACATTACATATTCTGTATAGTGTGGACCTAGTTGGAATCTTGTTCTTCATCGTCTAAATTTGTAAATTATGCATTAGTAATGCTTTCACTGGTCCAAAATTTTTCAGCAATGTTTTTATATAATGTTTTAATCATTTGTATTCTAGTCATCCAAACCGATCATGTCTGAAGAGGGGAAGAAGCTAGGTCTTGTTGATGCCGTTGTGTCTTCTCAAGAACTGCTGAAAGTATCTCGGCAATGGGCTTTAGACATCAAAGAAAGGCGAAAACCATGGTTGCGTTCTCTTCATAATGTAGACAAAATTGGTTCCCTTTCTGAAGCACGTGAATTATTGAAAGCTGCCAGAGAACATGCCAAGAAGACTGCCCCAAATCTGCCTCAGCATCAAGCATGCCTTGATGTAATTGAGGAAGGCATTGTTCATGGAGGATATTATGGAGTTCTAAAGGTATTCCTGGGCTGGAGACATACAGTTTGTTAAACTAGATATATTAAATTGTTTACCTGTATTAAATTTTCAGTGATTGTGGAATCTTCCTCTTATGCTTGCTTTTGTTTTGAGGTGTGCATTTGTGCAATAATTGACTTTTTCTTTCATGTCACAAGCTTATTTCCACAAGCATGGTGGTTATTTTGACTTAATTTTCTTAATGTGCACGCCAATGGATAAATTTTATTGCAGGAAGAAAAAGTATTCAAGGAGTTAGTTTTGACAGACACTTCTAAAGGTCTTATTCATGCCTTCTTTGCCCAGCGTGCAACATCGAAGGTACAATACACAAATCACAGTCTATAATCTTGGCTTTTGAATTGAGCCCGAGCTGGTTGTTAGTTGGTAGTTGTTGATGATCCTAGTCATAAAATTTGTGAATTTACCAACTTCCATGGATATATCTTACGTCCAGCTTTATGTGTATGGTTTGAAATACATTTCGGATGGGTTTCATTTTGCTTTCTCAATTTTTATTGTTTAGTTGGATTGCTTTCCTTGCAGTAACCATGTGCTGGTTGAGCAGTCTCTTGCTTCATGATACTTGGGATTTCCTATCCCAGAGTATGTAGAAATTTTTGGAGCCAGGAATGAGTTTTTCCATTGTGTTCAACATGTGACAACAAAACTGCATGTATGCAGTAACTCTCTAAGCTCTATTCCTGGATGGTTTAGAAGATACTTTAAGAAGTATTTTCATGGGTTTTGATACCTTTTCATAGTATTTAACATCTGATTTCTTATAGTTTTTAGTTTTCCCGTGCAAATCTCCTTTTCTAGTTACCATGGCCATGGGAAATTTGAACTTTTGGTGTGCAGAAGATAGGATAGCATTCTTTTCTCGTTTTTACCTTGCATCTCTTATCATTCATTTACATTATTATTTTTTTTCTCTTTTATGTAATTTAGTAAAATATGTTTGTTGATTTGCACATAATAGGCAACTAGTATTACTTAACTTCTTTGATCTCATCAATTTTTTTTTCTTAATTTTGGCAGGTGCCCAATGTCACTGATCTTGGGCTCAAACCAAGGGAAATAAAGAAAGTTGCTGTCATTGGTGGAGGTCTAATGGGTTCTGGCATAGCTACAGCTCTTATCATGAGCAACATACATGTTGTTCTAAAAGAAATTAATTCTGAATATCTTTCCAAAGGAATAAAGATAATAGAAGGTAGTTATTATGCCATTAGATTGACAGTTAAAATACTGATTTAGTAAAATATAATGTCTCCATTTGGGAAGGATATTGTTTGATGAAACAATCTCCTTCTCAGTGCAGAGTTTAGTAAGCATATTCTGTCCACATGACCAACCAGAAAACCTGTATTCAGAACTCTTAAAACATTAAACAAGAAGCAGAGAGTGGGGTTAGGCCAAATATTCTCCGAAAATATATGAATTCTTAAATCTTACCTTAGTAGTTTATCTTCATGTTTGAAGAACTCATAACAAGTTATTTCACTTGACAGCAAATATTCAGAACCTCGTAACAAGAAGGATGTTGGCACGGGATAAGGCAGACAAAGCCCTTTCAATGCTCAAAGGTGTATTGGACTACTCAGACCTCAAAGATGTTGATATGGTCATAGAGGTGGGAATTTCTTCAAGTCTTTTTTTTTATTATTAAGTAGTTAAGTTATTTTGTGTGAGTGTATACATACAGATATAACTGTGGATGGTGGTTTATTTTATATTTGCCCAATTGTGATTTGGTGATTGTGTTTACTGCTTCCTTGTAACTTTGTTTCTCCACATAAACTGCAAGACTGTTGTCTTTATCAAAAGCTGTTTGATTCAGTTACTTCAATTTCCAGGCAGTTATTGAAAGCATTCCTCTGAAACAAAAAATTTTTAGTGAAATTGAGAAGGTCTGCCCTCCTCATTGCATCTTGGCAACAAATACAAGTCTTTTTTTTATTATTAAGTAGTTAAGTTATTTTGTGTGAGTGTATACATACAGATATAACTGTCAATGGTGGTTTATTTTATATTTGCCCAATTGTGATTTGTTGATTGTGTTTGCTGCTTACTTATAAGTTTGTTTCTCCACATAAATTGCAAGACTGTTGTCTTTATCAAAAGTTGTTTGATTCTGTTACTTCAATTTCCAGGCAGTTATTGAAAGCATTCCTTTGAAACAAAAAATTTTTAGTGAAATTGAGAAGGTCTGCCCTCCTCATTGCATCTTGGCAACAAATACATCTACTATTGACCTCAATCTTGTTGGAGAAAAGACCAGTGCTCAAGATCGCATTATAGGTGCACACTTTTTCAGGTTAGATCTATTTCTTTTTGTTCTGAGCATACATTTTACAATCAGTCCAAACATCCTGACATAAGCTTTGTATATCTCAAATCAATGCAGCTATTTAAATTATCTCCTTTTGGGATCTTTATATAGGTGGTCTAAATAAGTTATCCTCTGGTCAAATATATAATCTTTTCACCATTTCTGAAGAATCCTATGCTTATGTCATCTATTGATTCCTTTTCTGGAGCAAGAAACGTTATAGGTTGAATTATATATCTCAAATAAAATATTAATCCTGATTTTTCCATCTTTCCACAATACCTTGTATTAGTTGTATATAGATTTTAAAATTTTCTGTCCTTTTTTGGATATCAGAGCAGGAATTGACGTGTCACCCATCTGCCCATCTATGTAATAAATGCAGTGCTGCATATGTTAAGACTCAACACTTTTTGGGTATGGGGCTTTCTTAGGTGATTGAAATTTCTAATGGCTTTTCTATAAGATGCTCGGTTACTTCAATTCACTGAACTACAGTGAAGGTTTTATCCATTTGCTGCACTTCCCCCTCGAGTTTTGTTAAGTTCAGGGCAGAGAGAGGGATTGTTAGAGTGTATATTGTTAAGTTCGGGGTGGAGAGGGGGATTATTAGACTGTACTTTGGTTATAAGAGTACATTATGTGGGGAAATATGATTCCTTAGGAAAGATTTAACTGCGGCAATAGTGCCTTGTTATGTTAGTTAGCCTATTTAAATATTGTATTCTCAGTTTAATTATGTCCTATTATAATAAAGCTCTTTATACTCTGATGGGTTTTTATCTACGCTTTGCTTAATATCGCTCATTTATGGACAGTCCTGCTCACATAATGCCTCTTCTGGAGATTGTACGCACAGACAACACTTCTGCACAAGCAATTCTTGATCTCTTGACAGTTGGGAAATCTATAAAGAAAGTTCCTGTTGTGGTGGGTAACTGCACTGGTTTTGCAGTCAACCGCACTTTTTTCCCCTATACACAAGGTGCACTGATTCTGGTCAGCTTAGGTGTGGATCTGTTCAGAATTGACATGGTTATCTCCAATTTTGGCCTCCCTATGGGCCCTTTCCAGTAACTTCTTGATCTTATATTCAGCTTTTGCATGGTTTTGATGTCATATATAATATGCTGCAGCATCTCTTTACTAATTTGGGCTGTGTTTTCAGTCAGACCATAATTATTTTTCCAATTTCAGCACACTGGCACAGCATTAAGATTATGAAAAGCTGGGGTTAGAAGTACTTTGGACAAGAGACAATGTATGCAGTCAGAGAAAAAAAAAACTTCGAACAAACAAAAGAAAACCTAGATCAGAATAAAGACTTGGACTTTGAACACCTATGAACTATAAATTTTATTGACCTGAATCCTAAAATTTCAGGGAAAGCCTTTTATACATTTTTTTCCCATAAATTATCCTGTATCCTATTTAAGTAAACTAACATTCAAGGAAATAAAATCCTCTGGATTGTAAAAACTATTCAAGGACCTACCCTTGGAAATTATGTTTACCGATATTAAGAATTGCCTCCTGCATCAAAGTAGTCATCCTTTGATCCAGGCATGGGCATGCACGCTTGTTGATGTGTTCAAGATATGCAATGATAAATTATGTGTCTCTATGGCTACATTTGCAGACTTCAGGATTTAGCTGGATATGGAGTTTTTGTTGCAACGATGAAAGAGTTTGCTAATGCATTTCCTGATCGTACATTCTCATCTCCTTTAGTTGAGCTTCTAATTAAAAGTGGACGAAATGGTAAAAAAAAATTTCATTTCATTTAAACCATACTTACTTCTTTGTTTAGGGTAGTTCTATGGTTTGTCAGCTGTCATTCTTATTATAAGGACTTGATATTCACATTTGTGGTTTTAGGTAAAAACAGTGGGAAAGGATACTACATTCATGAGAAGGGGAGGAAGCCAAAACCTGATCCTTCAGTGCTACCAATCATTGAGGAGTGTAGGAGGCTTACCAATATTATGCCTAATGGAAAGGTACCTTTTTTTGACAGTTATTAAAATCTGTGATAATAGTATGCGATGTTGTAATGCTTTAAAATGATATTGTGGGTGCGCTTGCATTTTAAAGTATGCTGTAGGAGAATTATAGCTGGTTTTTTGTAGCTTCAGTGGAAGGTTTTCTAATGTATGTTTGCTGGAATGTCTGGCAGCCTATAAATATTACTGACCAAGAGATATTGGAAATGGTCCTATTTCCAGTAGTAAATGAAGCATGTCGTGTTCTGGATGAGAGAGTGGTAGTTCGAGCATCAGATCTTGACACTGCCTCTGTTCTTGGAATGAGTTTCCCATCTTATCGGTGAGTAATTTTGTTAATAACATCTTTCTGTAAAAGTTTCCTCTGCTTTTGTACATGGGAACATGTTGTTCTCTCTCAGTTGAGGATTAGTGTAGATACTTCAGCATTACTATTGTCTACATGAGTTGCAAGGCCTTGCAGATGTGCTGTGTTTCTATAGCATGGTACAAGTTTAATTTTAAGTACCTTTCACGTAGTTCAAAATTAGATTGTGAAATCTTTACGGGGATATTCATCTTAAAATGGAAGGTGAGTTATGACTGCCTGCACTATTTTACAGATACGAAATCTTTAGTTCTTTCATGAACTTTGGCTTTTAAAGGTAGTTGGCAATCAGCCGAGTCTTTCACCCCCGAATATGGTGACCACAATTTCCACTAAAAATTCTGGCAAATAATTTGATTTGATGTCTGATATTCAAGAGTTGAAGGCAAGATCGTCCTGGTTCAATATCTGATGCTAATCTATCTTTTGTGGCAGTGGTGGCATTGTTTTTTGGGCAGACTTAGTTGGAGCTAAACATATATATGCAAGCCTGAAGAAATGGTCTCAATCATATGGCAACTTCTACAAACCATCGAAGTATTTGGAAGAAAGGGCTTTGAAAGGCATGCCGTTGGTAAGAGCCATATTCTGCTGCTTTTTATTGTTCTTGCAATTATTTTTACTGATTTACGGTTGCTTTCTTTAACTTCACTTGATGGATTAATGATAAAAACTGATTAATGTATTTATAATTATAAAGTTTGACTTTTTTTTTTTTTTTTTTCAATCAACTTGATGGATTAATGATAAAAACTGATTAATGTATTTATAATTATTAAAGTTTGACTTTTTTTTTTTGTTTTTTCAATATGCAGAGTGCCCCAGCTTCGTCACCATCAATCATCATTCCAATTTTTTTTTTTTTTTTTTTCAATATGCAGAGTGCCCCAGCTTCGTCACCATCATCATCATCAAGGTCGCGCATGTAGGCTGCAATTTCTGTATTAAAAGTACCGCTCAAGCATTGTGAGCCTCAGCCAAAATAAATGTTTTTTGTTTCCTTGTATTAACAGCGATCTTAGTTATTCAAATCAAATTTCAAAAGTTGTTTTTTCAGTTAATTGCAATATTATTAAAATTTTAAATTATTAGACGGAAAGAATTGCGCCGGATACAAGTTATTGCAATGTTTGTTTGGTAAAAAAAAATTCAATTAGGATGAATTTTTTTTTTTTTACTTTATTGTTTATTAGAAAATAAATAATCATGTCATTTAAAAAACAAGAAATTGCTTTGTAAACACACGAGGAAACTTTTCAGGAAAATTCAAATGGCAAGAAATAGTTTCCTTGGGTTGCAACCCCACGAATGCGAACACTAACAAGGAAACTACTACTTGTCTAGGCTACTAACAGGATGTAATTTGACTTGGTATATTTGATATTTCCTTTCAAACTGAAATTTTAAATCAAAGTTTTAATTTGAAATAAAATTTAGAATATAAAAATCAAAAATGGGATTTAATTTTTAAAATTTGGTATATAGAATATGGAGTGGAATTTAAAAATTAATTTCATATTCCAAATTTTTATTTTAAAATTTCTAATTATATTTAAATAAATTAATTATAAATATTTTTCCAAGAGAATAAATAAATCCTCTTTGATATTAAATTTAGATATTCGTTCAATAATTAAATTGTCATATCAATATTTTAAACTATATTTAGACAAATCAATCAAGTAGTTTGGTTTGTCTATGTAAAGAGTGTAAGGTTTTAAATTTGAATCCTCTCGACCACAAGTATTTTCATCAATTTGATAAGCCAAGAGAAAGATTACCCTGTTGTGTAGCCCTAATATTATTTTGGCCCATAAAAACCTCCAATAAATTTAAAAAAAAAACTGTATTTACGTAAAAAAAGCACTCATTATTGGATTTGAAAATTTTTATTTATTAAGGCAAGAAATTTTAGAATTTTGAGATTTCAAAGTCAAATATAAAACTTTACATCTAAAATAAAATAGAATGAAACGCATTTTTAAATTTTAAATATTCTAAAATGAAATTAGAGTAAGGATCATTTCAATCCATTCTAGTCAAATTACAATCCTAAAGTATTTCTAAATTAGAATATTACAGTGGTACATATTCATGACTGAAAGCCCAACGTTTGAGTAATATCTTGGGCTTATCGTTGAACTGGAGTGCTGGTGGTCCGCCAAATGGGCCACAAAACCGCTAATTTGTGACTGCCGAAAAGGATCAAGAATATTACCCTATTTGGCAGGTATAATTGTCCAAAGGAAAGTCACCCTTCCTTAGAAAATTTATCATCACAAAAAACAAAAGGGTTCAATTTTAAGGTGCAGCCAGCTAAGTTTCTTCGTTTCCCAGCAAAATTCAAACCTCCCATTGCGCCTATCACTACTTTGATCTTGGGTTAAGCCCTCAGTGATATGGCTGGAGGTCCAACTGTAACATTGTGCTTGTTGTCTTCAGGTTGCCATTTCCATTTTTTGGCTGAAAAAATCTGATCTTCAATAGAAATTAACTCCACCAATTGTACAAAGGCATTGCAATTACACCATCTAAAGCCAGGATCATTTCATAAACATACAGCTCCATTTCCTTCTCTTTTTTCACCTTTTCGAGTCATTCACCAAAAATAGGAGCAGTGAAGTTCAATTTTTTTACAGGAAACAATCTGTACATCCATGCATGATAGGACAATTGTCATGAAACGCCCTTCAAGCAGGAGCATTAATATTGTCCCCAAGAGAATATACATTTAAAAGAGAAAAAGCTTAACTCATTGAACAAGAACTCCACTATGAAATATTATCCCCAGCAAGCATAGATATGCTTAGGGAACTATCCTGTGAATGTGGCAAGTAGAAAAACCTATAAACTAAAAGGTCTATGCTAGTTACTAAAGGATCAAACTCATGATTTCATATTTGATGAAAAATCATAAAATGTGTTATTCGTTTCTAACGGTGTAATAGAACAAGAAAATTCCTAGTTTCTAAAGATACAACCTGTGATAGTCATTGCCATGTTATAATATAAATGATATCCTGTGCATTTGTAGGCTCTGCAATTTACACCACCTGGACTTCAGTTGGGGCTGAAGCAGAATGACTGATACGGAAATATATTAATGGCGTAAGAAATAAATCAGATCCTGGTCAATTCCAAAAATAGGACCCAATGCCACCTCAATATTGCATCAAGGATAAAGCCAGAATGAACATCGATCTAGTAATGACCAAATTCAGGAGCATACCTTGGGCCACTCTTCAGGTTTGAAAATCTTTTTACAGCTCGTTTCAAGTATTTGGTTTGTTGTCACCATTTTGTGGGAGGGCCTGAATTTTTGGAAGCTCATCATTGGATGTGGCAACCATAGAAGTAACCATCTGTCCTGTCCTTGATGTAGGTGGAATAACATGTTTCGTAACACCATTACTATAACCCTGTAGATTTCCTGTTTCAGCTATGGCATTTGCCGTGCCATTGCCGAGAGGGTCTCTTTGATTCCCAAGTTCGGTTCTGGCTAATGATGAACAATTTGTTTCTGTTGGAACGGAAATGTCGTTACTTCCTGATAGAGTGATAAGTAAGCGAGTGACGGAAGAAGTAACGTAAACATAGAATATGATAAACAAAAATATGTACTCCTTGTGACCTTACAACATGTCAACTAACTTCAGCCTGTCTACAATCACAAATTTAAAAAATTGTAGCATATAAAGGCCTGTGAAAGCATGCTTGGCACATAACCAGCGGGACATGAAAATTACATCTGACTGATTGTAGTTCATGCATGTTTTCTAATTGCAGAGAAACCATCCATTTTTCATGCACTGAAAGAACAGAGCGTTTATAATAAGCATTAAGATAATGCACTTCACATATTTACAAAACCAAATATCCCAACTTCATATATGCTTATTTATTCCCGTAAAAATAAGATTTAAAGCACAGTGTAGGCTTGCTTCTAAAGGAATACTAATAAAGTTGAGAAAAGGACAATCTTAGTTGCTCAATGTGAACTGTAATATATGTTTAGTAGTAATCAATAACAATTATTAGCATACAACATTCAGAGAAGAGAATAGGTGAAAAACTTGCCTTTTAGTTCTCCAAACATGATGATTCTATTAAGACAATCTCGAAACTTTGATAAAACAATCCTTTCCTGCTCTGCATAAATCTCTGTCATGCCCTGTCCACAAGGCAACTGTGAAGTAAAGCTGCATCCATGGCCCGTTAACCTATTGGGGGAAGCAGCTGTCATAAACATTGTATCTTGTTCATCACACATCAATGCCAAAGTTCCAGGAGACATTGGCCTCCCTTTTGGTACATCAGCACCATCTGAGCTGGAACCATCAGGACCAACTTTATCAGCCTGGTTTGCAATTGAACAATCATAGGCATTAATTTTCTCAGCATCAGCTTCTTTCTGGCTCTGCAATCTTTCTTGAGTTGATGAAGCAAGGGAAGTTTCTGTCTGATCCTCTACACGCTTTTCTGATGCATTTCTTTGGTCTAGATGTATAAAGAATTTAAAAGAAAATTTAATTAGCCTAAAAATGGTGGCTACGTGCACTTGTATATCGATTATTTCCTCAAGTTTTGAGGCAATAAAATGCTATAATTTGCATAAAAGCTACCCAGTAGAAAGCATATTCTCTATTGGCTAGTAGTTGGATGTCTAGCAATATGCTCTGAATTACCATAAAATCCTTTGATCACATGTTGTTCCGTAGATAAGATTGCCATAAAATCGTATATATGAGGCCCACTGCTTCCCTCGTAGTGGATAAAATGTCAGAAAAAACGTCAAAACCCAACAATAACAAGAACTTTGCAAGCCAGGTAACTTATGAGCTAGTAAAAGCCAAATGATTTTTTACTAAATAAAAAATAAGCAATCAGTCGTTTGGGAATTGATGAGAACGACCAACCAAAATGTAAATAAAATTACAAATAACCAATCAGTTCCTACAAGGATAATGAATTTGGAAGAAAATTAGAGAAAAAGGGGCAAGGAAATATGAAAAAGATACTGCCAACCATTATGCTTGGAAGAAAATGTATTTTGAGTTTTGCTTTATATAATCCCATAATATTGATTTTCAAAATCAATAAACGACAAATCCAGATCTTCATATGAACTATACAACCATCAAACACCATTTCTTCCACAAGAAAGCCCACATCCCTAAGAATGCTAGAATGAAGCTGATTTTGGAATCATCATTGCATGTGGTGCTTATGCAAATTACTCATTTTTCAAGTTACAGATGGAGTTTCCAACTCATGAAAATGGCCCAAAAGGTAAAAATTAGCCAAATTAAGATATAGACTTACGGAAGGATAAAAAAAAAGAAAAGTTAGATGAGTATAGTCAATATCTTTTTAATAATTGAGAAATATGACGAGCCAAGATTATAGATTATTTTGGTCCCAAACACAGCAAATTGAGTTATTCTGGTCCCAAGTCACAAGTAAGATGATTATAGCCAGGCGCAATGCCATACCAGTGCACAGATAGAGACATACATGATAAACTACAGAGGCATAAACATATTGGTGATAGATATTCTGAACTAGTAGCTTAATACTTTCATGTACAGGGATCAACGTCACACCTGCAAGTGCCTTAGCAGCCTCTTCTGACACAACCACCAAAACTGAGCAAAGTTCCTTCAGATCCTGTGGTTGGATAATGTCTGCTAATAGAGACCTTCAATCATTACATAAAGGTTAGTTTTTGTAAACATGAATATTGCTAATATCTTCATGAAGACATTGTACCTGTATGTGAATTTTGAAGGCCCCAAAGCTGCAGCTGTACCGGCACGAGTAACAGGATTGGTGGACAAGGAAGAGGAAGGTGCAGAAGGCCTAACATGGGGAGCCTGATGAAAATGAAGATGGCATGCTAACTGTTATTATAGATTATAAAAGCATTAGGCAAAGATCATGATTCAATAGTTCACACTGGAAGCAAGCAGCAATAGAAACACAAGGATAATCCAAACAGATAGAAAATAACCATACTAAGCAAGAACTATGGAAATCTTGCTTTCTCCATTCTTTCTTTCTTTCTTTCTTCTTCTTCTTTTTTTTTTTTTTTTTTTTTTTTTCATGATTCAATAGTTCACACTGGAAGCAAGCTAGCAATAGAAACACAAGAATTAATCCAAAACAGATAGAAAATAACCATAACTAAGCAAGAACTTATGGAAATCTTGCTTTCTCCATTCTTGCTTTTCTTTCTTCTTCTTCTTCTTTTTTTTTTTTTTTTTTTTTTTTTTTTTTTTTTTTTTTTTTTTTGGCTCTCTTTTGACTTAACCACTTGCTTTAAATCCAGCAAAAATCCACCAAAGTGTGGTTTTAAAAAGGAGAATTACTAATAAATCATTAGCTTACTAAAATAAATATGGACAGCTTTCATCAGGTCCATTTTTCAGAAATCAAATTTTCCATGAAACCCTCTCGTATAGATGATAGAGGGACTAATAAAATACACCAAAAGGGAATTTACCTGTTGAAAATTTCCAGGCCTAGGATCCTTGACTGTTGGCCCAAATAAAAGTTCCTGACCTTTTCTCTTCTTGGACACCGGAGGGGACGCATAGCCAGAAGATCCAATAGCTCCAGTTATTGCAGCATTAGCAGCCTGTTGGATATATGCAATGTTGTTGGCATGGTCTCCATGAAAGAGAGCCTGCCTCTCTTCACTTCCTTCAAAATTCTTGCAGTCCATGCATTTGCAATTTTCAGAGCAAAGAATGTTAGCTTGGAAACATTCACAGTATTTCTTGAGGCATCCAGATTTCTTGCAGTGACATCCCTTGTTGTGCTTTCCCAAAACTAATCCTTCCCCGTTCTCCTCCTGTATTTATTTCAAACCGGTCCATACGCTTTGTCAAAACTCAAAAACACATAAAAAAACTCCTATCAACAGAAATCTACTTATTTCAGTTCAATAGTATGCGACAACATGTAACATGAATTTCTCTGAACACTGTTACCCAGTTATGATCCTTGCAAAGGAAAGCCATAAGAAGAAAAACATGAACCAAAGACATTCTATTCCTACCCTTTGGCATTTTTTATGAAGTTTCTTTTCATAAATCCCAAAATTTTTATCATTGGACCAAGGGATTAATCTTGTATTATGAAATTTCCCCAAGTAAACAAAGTTCACAATAACAACAGTGGATATGATATTAAAAGAATTTTCGTTTGTTCATTTATTTCCACGAAACTGTATTGTGAAGGCTATGCATGCCAAGTGCTCTCACAAAATGATCTTTGTTGCTTCGACTGTGTGATTATCCAAAAGCATCCGTATCAGACACATACCTCACCTAAAAGAATATGGGTTCTCAGGTTTGATCTTCCAATGTATCAACACTTATGCCAAGTTCAAGCCGTTAGAAAATTATAGTAGAGATTACCGAAAAAAATTGACGTACAGTTTATTGAATCAAATCGAAACCAAAAGGACTGTAATGTGACTCATACTTCATTCACACAACATAAGAAAATATATCCTGCTGAAAACTGTAATTGATATACCCGACTATCTCGTGTTCCATGCGGACTACTAGCAATTTTTGGTCTGAATGCATTGGGATTCCGCTCTAAAGTGGCTTCCACAGCTTCTCGCCTAAAACCTTCATTTTCAACATTGTTATAACAATTTACACAATTGCACCCATCACAATATGTTCCAGATGCAAAGCATTCGCAATACCTTGTCAAGAAAAATTAGATTCATATCAGTGAATATCTTGTACTAAGGAGCGAAGAGTAAGAATTGACATAAAAAAAGACAACAAAAAATGTTTGCAGTGAATGTGAAAGGTTTGTTGCTTCGACTAAAAGTATGGCAGGAGTTAAAAGAAAACCTTCAGAAAAGCTTCCTTTCTGCCATTCTAGACACCTCCAAATCATAAATCTACATGAGGCATGAATTTCATTTATTGATATGTTTGCAATATTGTTTCTGAAGAGTACAACCAATTCCCATGATTTTAGAGTTGATACTTCATTAGTAGATTGCTTATAGCTAGTTCAATAATTGCTGTCATCCGTTGTGTTACCTTAAAAATTGCAAGTAAATATTCCTTGCCATAAGAAGGAGAAAAGACGCATTAAAATTCTTTAGCTTTATGATCAAATAAAACTGTGGGACAAACTGACTCCAGCACCCCATCTTTATAAGTTAATAAAGAAAAAAAAAACCAGCAACAAATCCAGCACTAATTAAGCAGTACTGACAGCCATTTGAGACAATTCCATTAGGAAACATGGCAGCATGTCAATTCCTAAGAAGAGCAAAACATAATTTCATTGATAATCAAGATGAACTTACAGCTTCAAGCACCGTGAGTGTTTACAGTTACACTGTTTTTGCCTCTTTGGAGTACCATCTTTCAACTCAGCATTCGGTCTTGGTTTTGATTTTGGGGATTCTGGTTTTCTGGGAAAAAAAACGATGTGTTAGCATGTAACATAAACGGTTTATGATTCTTGATTGATGTCTAGTTCAAATAATGACATGGTCATAAAGTAGTTATAGGCCTTGCTATACAAACAGTTGTCTCAGATTTGAAATGTACAGGCTCACCTAAGCAAAAATTAATCATCAAATAAAAAGGAAGAATCCAGTGACATGGAAGTAAGCAACCACATCCATAGAAGTCAAGTTCATTGTTATTATCATTAAAACAAAGCTAAAGTTCCAAAAAGAAAAAACTAAATTGAATTGCAAAGGTGTGTTCCATATTCAAGCTCCGTGAAAATGAATTTATAAAATGCAGCTCGATGAACCACAATTAGAGAAGCACATAGTGTCTGATGACAAAACAGTCTTTCTTTTTTTTAGGAAAGAAACTCCCTAACCTTAATAAAAATATATGGGGGAAAAACCAATACTCGAACCGAAAAAAAAAAAGGCAAAATTTGAATTAGAGGGAATGAGAAAAGGAAGTAATATAAATTGCAACACCAATCAGACCCGCAAAAATTTCCAAACATGGTAACTCAGTACTCTAATACCAACCTTTAAAAAGAACATCAATTCCTCTCATAACTCGCACAAATTGGATAACTTTACACTCATTAAAATCAAAATTTGCAAACTTGCACAGTGAACCCGTAGGACACAACACCACAAACTCACACTAATCTCCAAAGAAAAAGAAAGAAGTAGAAAGAAAAAGAAATCCCATTTCAGAAGAATCAATAACGTCGAAATAAAAAAAAAATAAAAACAAACTCACACAATCCTGACTGGCGGAAGCTGCTGTGGCGGCGGAGCTGCCGACATGGACAGCACCTGCGGTTGCAGAGGCTGCTGCTGGGGTTGGCTCTGCGGAGTAATGACAACCGGCTTTAGCGGCAGTGGCAGCGTGGCAGGCTGCTGTTGCGATTGAGGATGGTCTGGTAAAACAACATTCCCTTGCGTGAAATCCAGCTGCCTGGCTAGCTTCTTTGCAGGGAAATCCGAACCCCCTTGCGTCTCCGATTGCGCCGCCTTTTTTGGAGGGAATTCGCTTCCCTCTCCTTCCCCCATCAAATTCAAATTCCCAAATTACTAAAATTACCACCAAATCTTCAATTTCTCAACTTAATCCACTGAATTCCCCTCCCTTCAATAATTCCACAAATTTGAAAAAAACGCTTAAATTCTCCAACTTTCAGATCCAAAACCTCGACATAAAATCCCCAAAACAAGTAATTGTACAACAAATGCAAGATTAATCAGCTGAAAACTACAAACCGAAGTTAAAGCCAACATAAATAAATAAAAAAAATAAAAAACGTTTCTTTTCTTTCAGTTCGATCCCTGAGAGAGACAGAAACAGAAACAGAAACCATACGGAGAGAAAGTGTAGAGAGGGACAAAGAAGGTTTGATTAGAAAGAAAGGGAAGAGAGACTACTAATGTGTAAAAGGGGTGGCTCCGCTTTGGTTTTGTTCTTCCTTCTTCGTCTCTCCTCCCTCTCTCTCAAGACATTTTGAAATTCAATTTCATGTATATTCAATGGTGGGATTTACGTCCCATTTTTATCCTACGGTTCACGTTGAAAAGTACAATCTGACGATGGGAATTCATAGAAAAGGGAATATGGTTCAGTCGTCCACCGTTAGATTAATAAAGACCCAAAATTTCCATGAAAGCGGTGTGAATGGAATTGTCTAATGGGACTTGATCTGCTGAGAGATCGAGTGTAGGAGAATAATAAACCTATTCCATTTGTTAGTTGACACGTAAGGGATTTGGAGGTATTGTTTAGTTGGTGAGAATCGTGGTAGTTTTTAATTGGAGAAAACGGAAAACAATGGAAGAAGATGAAAAACGGGGGAATTCATGTTGAGGATTCCGCTCCGTCAAAAGTGAAAGTAAAATAAAATTGGCGCTAAAGAAGTTAAGGAAAATAAAACGGTGTACAAGTTTCTTTTGATTTTTTACCTTTTACTATGTTTGAGCCTTTGAGGTTATTCTTACAAGGAATAGCACACAATTTACTACATAACTTCAAAAACATATATAATTTAAATTTTAGTAATATTTTTTAAGTGAAATTTTATTTAAAAAGTTCAAATTCAGATTTAAAAAAATACAAAAATAATTATTAAACAAAGTATTACAGTTGTCTCCTCTTTTTGATTTAAAAATAATTAGATTTAATATTATTCTTAAAAAAATTATAGAATTAGAAAATATTTAATTATTAATTTTTAAAAATTATTTTTAAATATATTTTATTTTAAATCAAATATTAATTTTTCAATTAAAATTTGACTTTTTATTCCTTTGATGTATAATTTGAGTGATAATTATATAAATAAAATTACTTATTCAGCAAAATGTATATTGTTTATAATTTAGAGGTGGCAAATTGAATTTTATTCATTATTACTAGGTGAATTGTGTGCAATGCATGGATCAGGCTTGACAAAAAATTTAAGATCTAGAATAAATTATTCGGGCGGTTAAGAAATAAACCTAACTAATCTAAAACGTAATCTCTGATGTTGTATTTTCTAAAAAGAGAGATAATCTTCACAAATCAAATATTAAATATTAATTTATGCATTATGTAACATGGTTTGCTTAGTAATTACATAAGCCAATAGCATGTTTGATAAATGAGCAAAGAAGAAGAGAATGATAGAGAGAGAAAAAAAAAAGAAATTTCTTATTTCATTAGTATCAAAATCATATTTAATACTCTTACAATTAGAATTTTAGTTAAAAGTCAAATTAATAAAAACAAAAATTATTTCTTCATATCCTCTTAAACAATGAAATGTTCGTTAAGTTGGTTATTGAGTAGTTGAGTTGGAAGTATTGTTACTTTGTTAGGATCTAAAATTGAATAACCGATTTTAACTGTACAGTTGACCTAACTTATTAGCAATTTACTTATTCAATATTATAGTAATACATTTGGCTTGCGCTTCTAATTAATATTAACCAAACTTCAAATAAGTTAATGCCAGTTGCCTATGATTTGTTGATGCAAAAGAAATGCCTCCCGTCTACTTAGGCTTAAAGAATACAAGAGACGGAAATGGCTGAACTATGATTCTTCTACCGATACAGCTAAAAAGGCAAGGCATATTAATGCAGCTTTTTACCGAACTAAGAGGCTTTTATCCTATATTCAAATCTCACAATCATAGTACACGTTGAAAGGAATGAGAAACTAACTCAACAAATTAAGTCCTATGATGCGTCCGACAATCAGTTCAAAAAACGAAGTCGTACCATTTCTTCCTAGAACGCTCAGTGTACCCACATTACTCAGAAAGCTCCAATCCTTGCCACAGCCACTAATACACATCCCCTATTCTGTCTCGCCCCATACCACGTCGATCATCTCTTCCTCGTTCCATGTACATGTCCCGGCGATAGTCCTTCACCGGTGGGGCACCTCTGATAGGGGATCTGCTCCTCTCTCTCACATCTCGCCCCCATCGACCACGTTGAGGAACTTGTCCAGCCAGTGGCGGTGGTGGAGAAGGTAACCGCCTCTCAAACCCTTTTCTATCATTAAAAAAATTGTCCCTTCCACGTTCCCTCTGACCCCATTCCACTGGTATTGGCCTGTCAAACTTGTTCCTTCCTCTGTAGTCATCATCTGGAAAATCAGGCCGACCTCTCCGTATTTCTTGATCAGAAAACCTGCCTCCATGTCTAGGAGGGGGAGGAGCACCAGGCCCAAAATCTCTAGGGCCATCTCTGCCCCAGCCACGGGGAGGAGATCTATAACCATTTATGTTCCTGCTGGGGGAAAGGTCTAGTGGAGGACCAGGGAAGCGTCTAGGAGGTGCATGTGGAGGTGGAGGGCCAGGATAGCCCCTCCGTGGACTTCCTCCAGGTCCATAGCGAGGCCTCTTACAGTTGTTACAATACTCTCTCCGTGCAAAGTTCAGGTTGCCACATCTGAAACACGGAAACAGAAGTACATGAGATTTGAAGAAGAATGTATTATTACATGATTCAAAGTTATACGCGTTAAAACCATAATTAACCTTCTGTTTTGTCATTTCTTGCCAAGTTAGGCACATTCTATGAAAGGAAGAGGAATATAGATTATCATTAACAATCAAAACTAAGATGTGAACTTACAAAGGATCAGAACAAATCCAATCTCCTTCCCTTGGGCGTACATTGGGATTATTCCGACTACTCATGCCCTCCCCCCTAAAAGAACCAGGACCAAATCCAGGCCCATCGAAACCTCTACCAGGTGGTCTGCCACCAACCCTTCCTCGAGCATAAGGGGGTGAAGAGTCCCGAAATCTACCAGGATCCCTCCCGCTACCAAATTCACGACCTCGAGGCGGAACCCCTGAATGATCAAAATCAGAACCGTATCGGTGATCTGCATCTCTACGACGTGCAGGAGAACCAGAACCTGCATGAATTCTATATCCTGGAAAAAAGGCAGTGAAATCTAAAGATGAGCAAGAGCAACCCCCCAATAAAACAAGGGAGAACTTTTGTTACTACAACGTAATAATGCTAGGCACAATTTCAGATCCAAATTCTGTGAAATAAACAGTCCAACAAAAACTGCAACTACATAAATCATCACTCAGGGCATCTTCTCATTAAAGATGGTAGAAAATGTGCATTAGTGCAGCGCTCACTTGATAACTGTCCTTGCTGCTTACCTTTCAGACTGATTGTCCACATCATCAGTAAATACAACTGGAGCACTGCCAGCTAAAATCAGATTACTTGACCTCACCATATAAATGAACAAAACAAGTCCAGTGTTCCTATATTAATGTTTCAACCATTAAATGCCTAAGGATACTTCTCTAACCTAAGAGTCGAACTATCAAGACCAAATTAATGAATCTGGAGTAGCCATAACTGATAAGAAGATGTTTGGCAGCTTATGGGATAGAACTTTGTCAACAACTGCAGCTTGCAGATAAATAAATAGTTGATATATGCCTAATATACAAAATCCAACAGAGAAGGCCATAATCCAAGAACAAGTTTGTTCCAAAAACTTCAGTGAGAATGCAACTTCAAGAGGTAGCAAAGAAACTAACAACTCAAACCATATGCAGGACAAAACCACCAAGAAGACCCCCAAAGTTTCATGATTGCCAAACAATTTGAAAATTAACCAGCTATTAATTTGTCCACTTATTCTCATAAACCATATCAGCAAGTTAAAAATGGTTCAATCAGATATCCGAAAAGAACATAATTTTATGATTTCCACCCTAGCCATAATCCAAAAGGACCAAACTGTGCAAAACAGCATGGTGGGCTGAAGCTGTGATGGGAGGCCTGATCCCAGAGGAGTCCAATTTTTCATTTCCAATCCGATGCTTGTTATGCTTATCCAAAAGTTAAAAACCCACGAAAGAAAAGGGAAGAAGTACCCCATAGAAACCATCATCAAAGATTAAGAGATTCGCATCAACTTCCCATACTATTCAAGACAACTAAAGACAACAACAAACCTAAACAGTCATTAGCTAGAAATTCAGCCTAAGAAGTCCCCAATTGTTTGCACTCAATACCCAATGTTCCAAATGAAAAAATAAATTAAAAGATAAAAGGCCCAGTTTAGCCCAAGATTGCCACATCGAAGATACCGACCCACAACTCCAAGTACCTGTTAGTTACCAGGAAGTTCAATATCATGTACTTCCTTCCAAAAATATCATACCCCATTACAGAATGTCAGGTTCCAGAAATGTAGAGCCCACAGCACTCAACCACAGCAATTGGACCCCAAATGAAGCAGTGTCACTGTTGCTTATTACTTAAAACCAACATTCCAACCTGGCAAAATAAAGTGGATAAGCCAGCACCCCCCGAATGATGTGTCATTACCATTATCTCAGTATCCTTAAGAACAAATTACTTGTAAAAGCACTTTAGGAACTTTCAAATTAAAAACCCCCACAATTGTTGAAGCTGATGCTATATTCAGTTTTCCCACATCATTCCAAGCCAATACACATGAATATGGGTTTGCATCTTCACATCCAAACCTTTCACAAGGCAATGACTTTCACAACAAAATGAGACACAAGCACCCCAAGAGTTTCTACACCATTCACTGTATTGATAGATGGCATTACCCAAAACCATATTAACCTTAATACGATAAAGACAAATTCCCATAGACCATGATCCAAAACTGCACTCACACCAACATGCCTTCCTCAAGACCCAAATTCTTGCAGGCAATATTCAAAGCTGTAACACACAACAGCAAAATTTATTTCCATTTGAACACTTAAGTGCTGGTAGATCCACATGCTTAACATGCAGCACAATGAATAAAACAAAAGAAAAGGTCACGAAACCTATCTTTTGGTATAACTAGAACAAAGAAATTGGAGAATCTGGCATCACCCCGAAGGCTTCTTAATATGGTTATAAGCCAGAATCAATACAGATATAGAAAACTGAAAAGTGAACACTTGAAAATTAATATCAATACTTAATGAAGGAAAATAGGTGAAAACCATTTTTCAACCCTATAATGTACAGTTGCAATGTAATATTTAATATAATATCACTTTTTTTTTTCCTGTGACCTTAAATGATGTTGCATCTTGAAGTACAATTTAAAAACATATATTGTTCAATATATTTATGTTTCTTCCTTTTCCAACCTCAAATATATGCTACTAATTTCCAAGGGAAGGGCCAGGAAACTTTGGAAATTTTATTACACGAGAATGTTCAGCACTGCATTTTCTGCCAAAAATGTTAAGAATATTCTATATACCCAACACTTGGCACCCCCAAGCATCAACTCAATTCAGTGCATGATAAAACACCATTATTTCAGACCTAGATCATGCTTAAAAGGAATTTAATACCATTCCTGAACTTTACATTAAAAACAACTACTGGAGGCATTAGTTCAGCAAATCATTCATGCAAAAATTCTTTAATACATAGTTGAAACAAATGCTTTTTCCAGAGTCATAATTTACAAATTCTACTAAAAACATATGCATACTGTTTAATAGAATGATCAAAGCAAGTAAGAGGTAAATGTGCTTGAAACTATAATTGAACAGGCTCACCTTTAGTTAAATCAAAAACAATATTTGGAGAATCAAAATAAATGAACACAAGTTTGAATTCGTCAAAATAAGTGCTTTTCTTTTCTTTCTGAGTCAATAAACTCAAATCTGTAGGACAATATTGCACATACTTGATATCACCATTTAATTCAAAGTAGCATAGGTAATTTCATTTGGTTCAAAATCTAAGGGCCGCCCTTAATCCAAATTAATAAAAAAATAGCAGCCACAAAAGACATTGAACAAAATTGCAGACATACACAGTAGAAACAAATTTTCCAAACCATGCTGCAATGTCTTAATCTATAATTAAAAGAGGGATATGAAGTATTACTTCATCATCTCAATCAATCAATCACTGCTTTCAACATGATAAGGGGGAAAGAAATAGCCCCTTGCAACCTCAAAAAAAGCAAACCATAAGTTTCAGCTCTACGAGGCAAAAAAAATTTCCCAGCTCCCTTGACCACGAAAGTAGAATAATAATTATAGGCTTAAAAGTGGATATAGAAATCCATAAATAAAATTTTACACCATTCAAGTATATTCTAATATGCTAATTAATCATCCATAATTTACTCAGAGATATTAAAATGCAAAAAACAAATCTAAGCTTCACAGAGCAAAAAACTAAAAGAGAAATAGATCTAAATAAATAAATAAATAAACGAACCAGGATCGTCGGAATATCGTTCTTGACGAGAGTACGGGGGAGGATCACGACGGACCTCACCGGGCTCGTAATCGCTGCCACCACCGCGGCCTCCCCCACCACCATCACCACCGTCGCTGACTGAAGGGCGAACGACGAGGCTGCTAAGTAGCGGCTGGTGATGCGATGTAGTTTGGTCCTTGTCTCTCGATCCCATCTTTTCGCTGCTACTCTCTCCTTTGTTGGAGCAAGCTCTTTAAACCCTAAAGATATGCCGTCGCCGCAGATTTTTTTTTATATACTTTTTTTTATTGGAATTGGAAGGAAGAGGGAGGAAAGTAATGAAATTAACAGTTACGGGGAGAGTCCTTTTCCAAATTTTATAACTGCTAAATAAGGCCTGCGATATTTTTTCTGAGAAAAATGAAACTTACACTTCGCTCCCTTATTTCTTTGCTAATTATAGATAATCCCTGTCGACCATCAGTTGGTCTTGATAATGATTTGGGCCTTTCTTAAATAATTGGTTAAATCAAGATGTTTACCAATTATTTAAAAATATTTTAAAAAATAAAGCTAAATAAAATATTGAAGGAATAAATAAAGGAAAAATATTAAAATAACATAAAAACTGCCCTCCTTTCTCACTTTCTTTTTCACGTATCTTAATATAATGTGCTATGCACGTCAACTATATTTATAATTATATGCTGATTTTTTATAGTGCAACTAAATAAAGGTCTGCGCATTATATAAGTTGCTCTATTTGCTATACATTATATTTTATTTCAAATAAATTTTCAAATGATAAATTTTTACTAAATGAATAATAAAAAGTTATATTTTCAAGCCTTTTTAAGTTCATAAATGTAGCTCATTTTTTATGTTCTAATGATACAAAAATATCCTTTACAAAATATATAACTTCGGTAGTTAAAGTAAAAGAATAACGGCTTGTAAAATTAAATTAAATAATAAAATACTAATTTTTTGGATAGATTGGTGTAATAGTTTTTTAGACTGAAAATATTATCTTCATTAGTATATATACATGTACATAAAAAACTATTGCACAATTCTTGAAAACTAAAATATATAAAAAAAATAAAAAATATGTAAATATAGATAAGAGAAAAAATTTAAAAGTATACTTAATAATTATCTTTGTAACTATTAATTAAAAATTTAAAAAGATTATACTTAATATTATCTTTTGTAACTGATTAATTAAAAATAATAGGGCTGTAGATATATGTTGTAAAAAAAATTAATATTACCTAGATATTAGGTTTATTTCCTTATTCAACATAGGAACATTATTTTCCTATTCAACATAGGACACTGATTAAATTGCTTTTATACATACATATATATATATATATATATTTGGTTTAAAAAATCTATAGACACATCCAATTTGAATTAATAAAGCATTAGCTAAATAAACAACCACTCATATACAAGCAGCATGTAAGCTAATATGCACCATTTTTTTTTTTTGGTCATGCATAAGCCAAGTAGACATTACTGGATGAGACTCTATGAGATAGTGTGTCCCTAAAGAATAGGTTCTTGCACATTTAGCTAAGTAGTCTGCACAATGGTTAGCTTCTTTATATATATATGATAAGGCAGCTCTTAAGCTAATATGCACTAATTTAGTAAAAAAAAAAAAAAAACCTGCAAAATTTAAGAAGAAATAATTTGAAATGAAATTGCAAAATCAACTGAATAAATAATAACACAATCATTTGGCTAAAAAAAGAAGAGATTTAGAATTGCATCTATTAAAAGTTACATATTAATTAAAAAGCTTCATAAAACGTCTAATACTATTTACAATTATAATTATATTGATTTTTCAAGAATCTGATATTAAGATAAATATATGCTAAAATTATAAAACAAAAATATGAATCAATTTCTATCAATCTAAACAGAAATTGATTCATAGTCAGTCTAAACTGATTTTTTTCGAAGAAAAATAAATAACAAATTCACTGTATTAAACTACCGTTTTTATCCAAACCGGAGGAGTTGTAATCTACATTGTTTACGGGTGCCAAAATTTACATATGCCTCCACTCCTCAAAATCTTAGAATTGCCATATCATATACATTAAAATAAAATATATAATTTTCAAACTAAATAAAAGTTATACAATACAACTAAAAGAATGAATAAATAAATAAATGTTATAGTAAAAAAGAATTTTAATCTCACAGTTCAAGAAAGTAGTGGAGAGTGTCATAAGATTGAGCCGAGAGATGAAACTTTATGATTTGATTTTGGGATAAACGCATGGCTAACACTCTCTACATTTCTATCTAATTCACCTAATGAGCTACAGGCAGAAATAAAAACAACATATATAAAAATAAAAATTGATGGAACAACAACATAATATATATTGAGAATAAAAGAAAAAAAAAATAGAGCAAAATATGACCACAACTCTACATAACCTTCTTGTGAGCTGTAGCATAACCAGCATTCATATAACAAAGATTCTCATCAAAAGAAAAAGATGAATAACAGAGCAAAAAATAAATAAATAGTATAAATAAACAAACAAATGAGAAAAAAATCGAGAATTAATATACAGTAAATCAATAAATTAAAATGAGTATAACCAAATTAGTTAGATCATTTAGATCCTTAGTTTATATAGATAAAAATGAAATTCAAAAATTATAAATTCAAATAAATATTTTTATTTTTAACGTTTGAATTTTAAAGATAATGGTAATATTTTAAAAAGATAATGATAATATATATTTTATTATTTTAACTAATTATTATTTACATATATTGAGTTTAAAAATTATTTTCCTAACTAATTATTTATATATAAAAACTCAAGATAAGGTAAAAAATTTTAAAATTGGTAAAAAAAGATAAATACAAATACTAAATTGGAGAGCGCCTTGTCAGTTTTATAATTTTTTTTTTTTTTACTTTAAGATTATAGAAATATATAGGTATATAGACAGATAGATTTTAAAGTACTTTAAGGATCAAACACCTGATTTTGTAGACACGAAAAAAATGAACCAACGTCCACGGCGTTATTCGCTGTCGACCTGTTACGCTGTTACCTGCACGGGGTCGGGTCCATTGTCCATTGCAGGCTTACATCGTAATTCAAGTGGAATGGTAGAGGACTAAAACGACAACTAACAACAACACAAATGCTTGAACAGCTAGAGCCGTGAAGATCTGGACTCTTCAGGGTCTTACGTAAATGACTAATTCACCCCTTATGCCTAAAAAGTTCTGCAGGCTACTGCCTCTTCAAGAAAGAAACGGAATTCCACGAAATTATAACTCTACCACCTGTCATAATAACAACGGCAGATACTATCACCTCAAATTGTCTAAAACACCACTTTAAAATCACCTGATTAACCACACTATTGGCTCAAGGGTCAAAATACTTATCTCGGATTTTGATGATTATTACAAAACAAATAAATTTAAATTATATTATTTGTGCTAATTTTATTTTATGCGTGCTAATTTATTTTTATGCAGGAATTTCTTTTTGGAAAGAAATTATTACAAAGGCAGTCCCTATATTGAGAGTGAAGATTTCCGGAAGATCCTAGTCATGCTAGACTTAGGAAACTTTGGGATTAAGAGGAAAGGATTATATATGAGCCCACAAAAATCATGGTTCTCTCTCAAAAATATTTTTTCGGAAAAAATTAGTTTTCTTCAAAATAATTTATTTTCGATTTTCGAAAATATTCCTTTAAATCGAAAAGATTTATTTTTCCTAAAAACTAAAGAGATTTTCTTCTCTAATGTTTTTGGTAATAAAATCATTTACTCTTTTGAAAATATATTTTGAAATATCTAAGGTGTTTCAAAGTTATTCGCTTACCTTAAAATGAAAGGGAAATCTCTTTCGGTTTTGGTAAGTGCATCTTTCCGCAAATAAATTCTTTTCAAAATAAATGCTGTCAAAAATCTTTTCTAAAGGAAAGTGAAAATCGGGTTTTATTCTCTTACCAAAAAGGATGAAGTAATTTTTGGTAACAAAGATTCTCACATCTAAGGAAAGAAAGATATTCTGTTTTTCAATCTCTTTCCAAAGTGGACAGCTTCCTTGTTCTATATATAAAAGGAACACTCACGCCTAACATGGTTGATAGTAGGTAATTGGTAAGAGTTTTCGTTTTAAGAGCATTTTCTCATTGAACAAATCATTATCTCTCAAAACTTACTCTACCCCCCATTTTCTTTTCATCTCTAAACTTAACGTTTTCGATATTTAAAGTGAAAAGAACTTTTACAATTACTTTTAAAAAACAGTTTTGTGTTCTAATTGATCTTCTAATCTGATAAAAACTGTTTTTCCTGTGCTTATATGGACGTTTCTTTCTGTCTATTAAGATTGTGTAATCTATAGTGGACAGGCTCTTTATTTGTTAAACTTTTGTGTGTAATAGCTTAGTTTAGAAGCTATTAAGATAGAGGTTATCAAACGACCTTCTCCATTCCATGTGTGGGGATAGACAAATGTCTGAATTTGAGTTTTCGTACTCTACCAAAAAACAGAAAGGTGAGTAACTTAGAACCTTTGGAAAATCTAAGTGGGACAAAAGGGTAGATCTAGGTTGTTGATCTATTTGCCTTGATACTGTTGGTTTGTCTCTTACCCTTTAAAGAGATAACTTAGTGGAGGATCTCAAGATGCGTTCTTGGGGAGTGGATGTTAGGCGATTAGTGCCAACCCACTTATAACTCTCGGTGTTGATCTCTTATTTCTAAAGTTTGGTGATACTGTTTCTCTTTCCACCCACTTCTTTTTAATTTGTTTAGAAACGCTGAATTGTTTAATATTCAGATGTTCTAAACGACAATAAGTTTCATCTTATTCTAAACGTTAAGAACTCTGGTAATTCTAAATAGTGAATATACAAATTTCTACAAACTGTTGTTCTATTTCAGTATAATTCACTGTTTGGGTTTCTATTTGTTTCTAAATTTTTAGGTAGAGTGCTAATCCTGATAACTCTCTATCATAAAGACTTTAACATGATAAGACTCTGTGAAGAAGCTAATAAACAATCTTCACACAGGTTATATGCTGCAAACTTATGAGGAGGCTGAGTTCAATAACTTTCCTTCATTAAAGAAGCTCTGATATTGTTACAAATTCAGTTGTGAAGCTTTTCTAAATCAATAGCTGCACTGCACAGACTTTCTATATCTTAAAATTAAGAACATTGTGAGGGAGATTCTAATCCAATATTCTACTCTCACAAATTCCTGTGTGTTTTTCCGCTGCCACTTAGATCTAATTCTTGTTAGAATTTTTCTTAAAATTTATTTCAGTTTTTTAAGAAAAACCAATTCACCCCTTTTGGGTTGTTGCCAATACAATTCCGGGTCACACACCACAATCCATAATCTTATTACGTGTCAAGTTTTATTACCAGGACTCTCTAAATCCAGAGAAAACCTGTTACACGAATCTAACCTGCATTTCTCAAAGTTCTGTGTGTTTTTCCGCTGCACTTAGAATTCTAATTCTTGTTTAGAATTTCTAAAATTTATTTCAGTTTTTAGAAAACTCAATTCACCCCTTTTGGGTTGTGCCATACACATTCGGGATCCACACACACAATCCATAATCTTATACGTGTCAAGTTTTAATTAGCAGGACTCTCTAAATCCAGAGAAACCTGTTACACCGAATCTAAACCTGCATTCTCGTACTAATTGACACGACAAAGATACAGATACTTACCTATTTAATTTCTTAATTAATAATGATTAACTGCTAACGTGAATTATTAGATTTGGATCTATGCTTAATCTTGTCGTTTCTAGTTGGAAGTCCCAGTGTTTTCTCTTTCTCTGTAGTCGTTGAAAGTGAAAACATTACTTAGCCAATGATCTGTTTCCATATTCGTATCTAAAGAAACTTCTCTCACTCGCTAAACGCCTAAACCACCGCTAAACCGGCGCACGGTACGCGCACAGTTACTCTCCTTTCTCCTTTATATATATTTAGACGCTAGCTTGAAAATTTTCCTCGAGTAGTCTCATTTTTTTTTTTAAACAAAAGAAACCACAAATTATTTACTGTTTTTCATCCTCCAGATCCTTCATTGATGGCTGGATGATCGAAACTTAATTGTAATCGACTTATTAATTCTTTTATTAGTAAGTTTTTTAAATTAATTACTATTTGTTTTTGCTTGTGATCTTATGAGGATCTGTTTTATTTCGTATTGTTGTAAAGTTAGAACAGAATTATGTACTGTTTGAAATTTACAAGTTTGTCAATTCTGCTTTGCCGCTAATAAGTATTTGGAACGGTTTGTTTTGGACATTTTGGTGAAGTTATTTTGTCCGGTTTATTAAAAATTTGCATTAGTTTATATTGGATTGTCATTAATGACCAATCCATAGACGTGGTTAAGATTTGTTTAAATTGAAAAGGAAATTGAGAAAATGATTCCTAATGTAGAGAAAGCAATTATGAATACTACAATTTAGCAATCAAAACAGGATTACGAGATGTTATGGGAACTGCATACTAGAATTATGAATATCATGTGTTGTCTTAATCTCTCTGAATTTGGTGAATCGGAATGTAGGCTTGCTGCATATTTGGCATGTGGGCACGACAGAGTGAGACTAACTCTATATACAAGCGAATGCCGTCGAGAGATTATGCAAACACAGTTGATGTAGAAGATAATTCAGGTAAATCCATGTACCGAGCTGCTAAAGTTGATAATTGGGTGCATTTTTCTACATTACTCTTTAGAGCTATGTTTATGAAAACAACACCATTGATATCAGTGAACTATAGATTCTTCCATTTTTCATTGTCTAAGTGCTTTCCCCCAATCATAACTCTTCAACATATTGTATGGCTCTAAGTTCCCATCAATTTTGGACGTCTTTTTACAATTTTTGCAGTTGGGTTTAGGTAGCCTGGTTTTTGATTTTTCAAATTTGAATGAGGCTGTCTGAGATAATATTTGGGCTTGCTTTTTGCATGTTGTTTAGCTCTTGTTCAAGAAAATCTGGATCCGGAACCCACGAATCCTTCATGGAGGCTTTCTTTTCCCCATGTACTGGTGGCAACCATATCATCCTTCCTATTTGGCTACCATCTTGGGTTTGCACACTTCCTTTCGTTCATTTGGCAGTTTTTTTTTTTCACTTGTTCACCATGGTTTTATTTTTATTAGATTGTGATATAATGGTTTTGCATTATGTATAGTGTAGTGAATGAACCACTTGAAAGCATCTCATTGGACCTTGGATTCAATGGAAATACTTTGGCAGAAGGTGATAGAGTTGTTTTCCATTTTGGCTTTTGCAATTATCTAATGCACAATCATTTAATTGAAATTTCCAACTAATACTTGATTTCAAATGAAGGCCTAGTGGTCAGTACATGCTTGGGCGGTGCGTTCATCGGATCGCTTTTCAGTGGATGGATTGCTGATGGGATTGGGCGGCGTAGAGCTTTTCAGTTGTGCGCTTTGCCCATGATTATTGGTGCTGCTATAAGGTAATATCCCTGCTGCATGAAGCAAATTTTTGCTAAGTACTATCATGCGTGCCATGTTGTTGCATTTCCTTTGGGCCATATTAGTCAATTTCTGACCCAGGTTCTTCTTTCCTTGTCTATTCTGTAATTTTCTATGTTAGGAAAAGAACCAATGATCACCATTCACCACTGTTCTATTACCCCATAGTTGACTATTCTTGTCTTCTAGACACAAATGACCTGCAGATGTCAAGTGAGACCTAAATGAACAATTATTCTAACCTTCTTAGCATGTTTTTCTTGGATAATCCTAAGAACTTTATTGGGAAAAAGTAGAAGTATAATAAACTTTAAGAGATATTTTGCAACTCTATATAAGCAAGCACGCAATAGGAACAGACTCAAAACACAAAGGAAAAAGGGATGTGAAACAAAAATTTAAGCACAATGTAAATATATGTTCCTTGCAACTTGTTCAAACTATCCGAGAGTTTAGAGGTCACAAATGGGTAATATGCTGTAAATTTATATTCTTGCATCCTTTTTTTTTTTTTTTTAATTTTTTTTTCATATTTCTATTTCCATTAGAAGGTAAGGATAAATTCTTAATGTGTAGCATCCCTCACCCTTCTGTTTTTGAAATCTGAGTTCATGTTAACATCCGGACTTATGACATGCATTTTCAGTGCAACAACAACAACTCTGGCTGGTATGCTTTTTGGAAGGTTATTAGTTGGGACAGGAATGGGCCTTGGTCCCCCTGTTGCAGCTCTTTATGTGACAGAGGTATCAAATTGATTTACTCAAACTGCAACAAATACTGCATAATCTTTGTTTACTTAACCGTAGGAAGTGTCCCACCTCTTATTCCTGTTGAACCGTGATGGTGTGAGCAGGTTTCTCCTGCTTTCGTAAGGGGAACTTATGGAAGTTTTATCCAGATTGCAACCTGTCTTGGACTTATGGGGGCTCTATTCATTGGAATTCCTGTCAGAGATATTGCAGGCTGGTAAGAAATATGCTTTGGTATCCACAATGTCTGTGATTCATATTGTGTATTGTGACCGCACAATTTATAATATGCTCAGGTGGCGCATCTGTTTCTGGGTGTCCGCAATTCCCGCTGGAATACTTGCTTTTGCCATGATGTTTTGTGCCGAAAGTCCCCATTGGCTGTATAAGGTTTGCTCCTATTACATATTTTATTTTCTATGGATATTCTTTGAGTATGTCCATCATACATTAGCTTATAAAAAGAGAAAGTATATGAACTTTGAAAAAGATTACTGACTTGCTTAATGAGACTACTCCCTTTTTTCAGTGTAGCTTTAATCTCATCTACTAGTGTCTCCTTATAAATGATCTCAATCCCTCCCTTCCTGATCAATGTCAACCTTTTTTTTTTCTTTAAAAAGAAAATCATCAATCTTTTACATTGCATTATTTTGATTGCCTTTTGCCTTGGTCATAATAAATCCTCATGAATGCATTTTCTTCTTTTTTTTAAGTGCTTATGTTGAGGGTGGATGCTAATAACTTCTTATTTGTATGAGACAGCAAGGAAGAAGTTCTGAAGCTGAAATTGAATTTGAGAAGCTTTTAGGTGGGGCACATGTCAAATTTGCAATGCACGAATTATCCAAATTAGACAGAGGGGATGAAACGGATACCGTGAAGATCACTGAATTGATTTATGGTCGCCATTTTAGAGGTAGATATTTTTTGGTAAAATTCTATGGCCTTTGTGAGTGTGTTTTCTTCTTGTTGGGCACTTGCAGCAGCTACCATCACTTTCTCTTCCTCTTCTTCTTTGTCGTCGTCATCATCTTCCTTCTCTTCTTTCCTTGTTTTCTTTGGGCTTTGTTATTCACATGTTCCTTTTGCAGTTGTTTTTATTGGGTCAACCCTATTTGCTTTACAACAGCTATCTGGTATAAATGCTGTGTTTTATTTCTCTTCAACTGTGTTTAAAAGCGTGGGAGTACCATCAGACCTAGCAAACGTCTTTGTGGGAATTGCAAATCTTTTAGGTATAATATCATTCCCTGGTAGTTTTCATATGAATATTGGTTACTGCAAATTTCTCTTGACCGGGATCTTAGTTGCCTTCAGGATCTGTTACTGCAATGCTGTTGATGGATAAACTAGGAAGGAAGGTGTTGCTTCTGGGGAGCTTTTTTGGAATGGTAGGTTTTTATCGCACACCTTTGAAGTGCAAATTAGAAGTTTAGTCTTAGTTTAATCTTTAAACTTCTACTTTGCTTGCAACTAGATAATCGCACACCTTTCGTGTTGCGAGAAGTTCGGTTGTGAATTAGTTTAATCTTTCAGAATAAAACAAAATAACAACCTAGAGCCATCTTCTGAAATGGTTATATGAAATAAATGGAACCTATGAGTATCCAGAAAGCCTGACTTTTATATGGTGTGTTTTCTCTTTGCAGGCTGTTTCCATGGGCCTTCAAGTTGCTGGAGCAAGTCCGTATATGTCAGGATCTGGAGCTTTATACCTATCTGTTGGTGGCATGCTGATGTGAGAAATATTTTTCCTTGTATAATAATATCATATTTTAAATGTTTTGTGGATACCAGATGGAAAATTCTAATTTCTGACTTCACACTATCAGGATGTGAGCCCATAATTGAAAACTTATTCTCTCTACAGGTTCGTCTTTACATTTGCTTTAGGAGCTGGGCCAGTACCAGGTCTCCTCCTCCCAGAAATATTCCCCAGTCGAATCAGGGCAAAAGCTATGGCAGTCTGCATGTCAGTGCATTGGGTAAATTCTTTTGCCTTTTTTCTCACGATAATCCCTTTATGTATCCCTCATTCCCTCTCTTGCCAATTACAAGTCAAAATTAATATTTTATGAAATATGATAGCTGCTTTATTATTCAAATGGTTTTCGAAATGGAATTAATTCTCTACCCATGGTTATATTATTGCTCCTTGGTGATATGACTGTTATCCTTCAGGTGATCAATTTCTTTGTGGGATTGTTATTTTTGCGTTTGCTGGAGCAACTAGGACCCCAACTCCTGTACACTATTTTTGCCACATTTTGCTTGATGGCAGTGGTTTTTGTGAAAAGGAATGTTATGGAGACGAAAGGAAAATCACTTCAAGAAATCGAGATTGCACTTCTTCCCCAGGAATAGGGATTTCACCTATGATGAATATGTCGCCTGATGGATTATATACTTGCAAGCAAAGTGGAAGTTTAGTTGAAGCATCAATCTCCTAATTTTGGAGCAAAGAGTTCTTATTGCAGCAAGCTGGACATTGCAGACAGAATGAGCCAGTGCTGCTTAATGCTTATGGAGTTCTACCAGATAGACATACAGACGTGTAGCCAAATAATATAAAAATTGGGAACTTTAGTTTTTTTTGTATGGTGTACCTGCGACTATGCCTTCTCCTAAAATTTGCTTCTCTTTCAGAAGTTAAATTTCCTTTTTGTTCATATTGTTCATAATTTACGAAGATCAGCGTCATTACGCTTCAAGTTTAGACCGTGACGGTGCCCAATGCCGGGATTTGTTGTAAATTTCCTTCATTTGGCCCATACTCGGGAAGAAGCTGATTTGTTGATTCGCGGTACTCATAGCCCAGCTTGTTTTGCTCTATAAAAGATCACATTTGCTATTTTATCTTAAACTATTACAAGTAAAAACAAATAGTGTATTTCAAGTTTTAAATTGAGAACAAACAAATTTATCGACGTGACCCACGTGATAGAGTCTAGTCAGTTTGGTATCTCAAATGTTGTCAGTGATAAATACAGAGTTAAAATCTAAAAAAATTGTTTTTGGCAAGTTGAATTGACAATCTAGTGTAGTGCCTCTAGCCAACAAAAAATCCCAAAATAAATCAATTCAAACTCTCTTTTGTGCAAAATATGTTCAATTATCCTATCTGACAATAGAAATCGTATTTACTTGGACAGAGCTTACACACTTCATCCAGAATGGAGACGATCATAAAATCTATACTGGGTTAACAAGGAAAATTCTTTGCATCACTTGAGCATAAAACATGAGAATCAAAAGATTCTAGGATACATTAATTTTTATAATTAACTAATGAAATTACTGAATTTTTCTTGCACGTAAGAAGCAAGTCTACACGCAACAGGTCACAGATTCAAGAAGCGGAAAAACCCTCTCTGCCAAAAGTGCAACAGAAGGCTGCATACAAAAGACAACTCTCCTCTCACCTCTTAAAGCAAAGAGCCTCGCGCTAAGAATGCCAAAAAAATTAAACAAAAATAATGAAATTCCAGAAGATACAGAGAAAAACAGACCTCATCAAGTTTGAGCTCAGAGGAACTGTATGGAAAAACCAGAGGCGTTTGTTGTAATATTCATGGGGCCAAATTCATCAAAATCGGAATCAGATCCCCTATCATAGTCATTCCAACCACCAGGAGAATCCTCATCTTGTCCACTATTTGCCAAAGGTACATGAAGCTCAGAGATGGGAACAGGAAGAGGTTCTTTGCTGAAATACTCATCATGGAGCAGTTCCATTGCTGTCGCTCTGTTAACTGGGTCATAACAAACCAGTTTCTTGACTAGAGAGATTTCATCAGGGGAACGATTAGGGAGGCAGGCTTCTAAACCAATGGGATTTTCAATCTGAGCAAAAGAAATTGTTCCATAATCAGGAAGTTTTAAACAGCCTGGCCATACCTCCTCTGTTAAATTGCCTAGAACGTTGATAATTCTGCTGAGTTGATCTATATCAGACGTCCCTGGGAAAAGGGGCCCGAGGGTTAAGAGTTCGGCAAAAATGCAGCCCAATGACCACAGGTCTACCTCCAGTCCATAGTCTGTGGATCCATAGAGTAGTTCAGGAGCCCTGAACCAGCGAGTTCCAACACATGAAGTAAGTGAACCGTGTCTATCGCCCGCACCTTCTTCAACCTCATAAGAGTAAGAACTCTTGAAAATATCATCTCCAATGTCGCTTGCTGTCCCTGTTGCAAGACAAGACGTATCACCATCTCGAATACTTGTTTCATCCAAGTAATCATGAGCCTTGAGTTCATTTACTTCTCCAAATGATTCATCGATCCTTACAAGACCTTGTTCTTGGTTTCCATCTATTCTTACAAGACCTTGCTCTTGGTTTCCTTGTGCCTCCTGAGACAAATTGTCCACGTCAGGAACAATCTCAGCTGGTGGAACAACTTGTTCCTGATCAACAGGGTTTTGGTCATATGGCTGAGGGTTCCCATCAGTAGCAACAAATGCGGGCTCTATGAGCATTCTTGCCTGGAAATATAATCAAACTAAACCAATTCATTTCCAGAAGAATACAAAAACAATACTTCCAAGCAGAACATGCAGAAATAAAAACTGCACTTTCAATTATCAAGAATGACCAATTAACAGTTAAAGCTAACCGGAACAAAATGGCCGACATATAAAAAGGTATACAAGTTTTGACCTTTCTTTTTCTCTCATATTTCTTTTCCTAAAAAGACTATCAACAATATCAAAACACAATTAAATAGTTTCAGTAGCAGCAATTTCCATCAGCCAGTTCACTAGGTTACATCAATTCAATAATGACAACAATCATAAACTATACACGAATCAAATCAGCCGCATGGCCCCATCAAACAAAAATAACATAAAAAAAAAAACTCAGTTTTTTACCTGGCCAAAATCAGCCAACTTGAGAATACCATCCTCTGAAATCAACAGATTACCAGGCTTCAAATCCCGATGCACAATCATATTCCTATGGCAAGCATCAACACCACACAATATCTGCACCATCCATCTCTTAACCTCTCCAACACTAATCCCGTTCTTTTTCCCTTCCTTAATTACAGCAGCCAAATCCGTTCTCAGGAACTCCAAAACCAAAACGGCGTCCTCATCTTCTCTCCAAAAGTACTCGTGCATAATCACAACATTAGGGCAGTTCTGGAGCATCTGTAAGGCCTCGATTTCACGGAAAGCCGATTGATAGTCGTGGATTTCTTTAAGAGCAACGATGGTGTTATCTGAGAGACGGCGAGCCTTGTAAACGTCAGAGTAGGCACCGGAGCCTACTCTTTCGTAGATTTCGTATTTGGCGATGATCTCGGGTCGGGTATGTATACTCCAACTCTTGGAGTGGGCTGAGGATGGTAGTGGCTGGTCCATGTTCTTGTTGGCTGGCGGTGTTAGCCTCTGGTTTTTGGAGGTCTGATCTCGGCAGTGATATTGGTGTGTTCTTTAGTTCCTTTTCTTTTCTTGTTCTAGTTAATTAAATTTATTAATACTCAAATTGACTGTGGTTAGAGTGACTAATATGCCCCTCCAATAAATGTGTCTTTTTTTTCCTCCCAAAAATTACTGTACAGGTGAAGATAATAATTACTACTTTATTTGTTTTAATATTTAATTAATTAATAGTATTATTGGTGTGTTTCCTTTAGTTCTTTTCTTCTTCTTGTTCTAGTTAATTTAAATTTATTAATACTCAAATTGACTGTGGTTAGAGTGACTAATATGCCCCTCCAATAAAATGTTGTTCTTTTTTTTCCTCCCAAAAATTACTGTACAGGTGAAGATTTAATTTAATTTACTACTTTATTTTGTTTTAATATTTAATTAATTTAATAGTAAAGTATATATATATATATAGGATATATATATTTTATGGATCTTCTTCTAGGAAAATGAATAGTCTGAGTCAAATGGAATTCTATTTAATCAAATCAAAAAAAGGAATCACGAACATCAAATTCTTGGGCTTACCAAAAAGAAGATATATATTTTTTATGGATCTTTCTTCTAGAAAATGAATAGTCTGAGTCAAATGAATTCTATTTAATCAAATCAATAAAAGAATCACGAACATCAAATTCTTGGTACCAAAAAGAGAAAATGCATTAACAAAAATGGAAATGCATATAAATTAGAATTAGAATCCACATGGGTGTGGGTCCTATGAACATTCGTTGTATAGCATAGTTAAAATGGCACATGTTTGTAGGTCCTAAGGCAATGAAGCTGTTGACAGTACATTCAAGCATAGAAAGAGAGAACTTCCAGGGTTGGTTCATATCAGGTTTTGGAAATGGGTATCAGAGAATGGAACGAGATTAAATTGAATGAAATGAAACAATCGGTGACCGATCTGTGAATTTTCCAGATCACACATTCTGTATTCTACTTGGAAATTAATAATCAGAATGAATTGTTTCAGTCAGCAATCACTATTCTCTCAGGTTCTATGGACAAGGAATTCATAACAAACAACCCCCCAAAAAAAGTTGTAGTTTATCAAATACAACATCCTGGAATTCAATTTACTTGACCAATAGTACAATAGAATTAAGAGAGAATGAACGATTCCCTCTGAGGCTGTTCTTAATCAGTTTGTAAGATGGTTCAGACATGGTTACTGAGGAGGCTACAATACAAACAAAACCATACAAATTTAAACATGTAACCGGCTGCCAAATCACCACCCAAATGGTCATCTGCAAAACGACTGTTCCATGCAGCCAAAACGACTGTTGTGCCCTACGCAACGCAGCCTCCACACATGATGCTCCTGCAATTCACGAAAGAATTAGTTAGGATCGACTGGTATGAATCCTTTGTTTCAAATATCTGTTCCGATCAAATAAAAGGCAAATATGCTTGAAAAATTATGTGAAGAATGATCAACTTAAAAAGAAAAGGATCAAGTACTAACGCAATTGCACGGCCAGAACTATGACGCCTCTTCTTCCTTGTTATCTCCTTCCTCCTTGGAGGTTGAAGAACAACCTTGATTGCAGTATCAAAAACAGCTTTGACATTCTGAACAATCAAACAGAAGTCAATGTATAGGTGATACTCATCAACTTATTAAAAAACAAAAACAGAAACATCAACCACTTGGGAATTTCTTCTTTCGAGCAATCTACCTGCTGAGTCTTGGAGCAACACTCAATATATGCTGCTGCACCAATCTGCTTCCTCAGCTCCTCTCCCTATATTTTATAATCTTAATTTAGTTTCTTCATGCCATGTAAAGCCATAATTGGACAAAAAAAAAAAAATGGCAACACATACTTGTGCAGATGTTATGATGTTAGAATTCATGTGATCAGCTAGATATCCTCTGTCTTCGCGAAGATCTATTACATGTAAAAAGAATACAAAAGTTGGTCTAATATCTATTCAAGAATCAAGATAGATACAGCAATGAGAATTATCAAATTTCTATGGTTGGCAAAGTAGCTTACCTAATTTTGTACCAACAAGAACAATTGGAACATTTGGTGCAAACCGACGAAGTTCAGGCATCCACTGAGAAAATTAACAGACAAAAAAATTGAATTCATGATTATAAATTAATGTAAATTAAGGAAAAAAAGCTCCCTACAAGATTGAATTTTCATAATTTCAAGACCAGAAAAAAGCACATGAATTTATGTCATGTGAAGTGCAAAATGGACAACCTAATTTGAAATGAATAATGGAGACACCTTACTGCAAATGTGGTCTGGAAATGGGCAGTACGGAAAGGAAATTAAAGGAAAAAGGATATGAAATTAAAAATTGGGAAAAAGACTTGAGCATTTAATATGTACCTTCTTAAGAACATTTTCATAACTTGCCCTACTAATTAATGAGAAAGCCAAAACAAATATATCTGCTCCTCTGTAACTCAGTGGCCTCAGTCTGCTATAATCCTCCTGACCTTTAATCAGGAAAAAGTTAAAAAACAAAGTCATAAATAAACTACCAACCAATACCTAACACCACTGACAAAAACTAGAAAAGTTATCACAAAGCAGCATTTCAACTTAAAAAAAAAATTTTAATTCATTGTTTTTAAATATAATTTTTTGGATTAAAATCCAGTTACCTGCAGTATCCCATAATCCCAAATTGACAATGTTCCCATCCACAGCCACATTAGCACTGAAATTATCAAATACTGTGGGTATATAATCCTGGCAAGAAATATGCACAATCTTACTTCAGAGTCTCTAATCACTGAAAATGAAAGTGCAAAAACTAACCAAAGATTTTAACTTTTATGGAATCCATTTAAGTGGGTAGAAACCCATGTAGAGAAGTTCCAAAAAAAAAAATCTGTAATTGAAAGAACAAAAGAAATGGAAAAAGACAGAAACTTACAGTAGGGAACTTGTTACTGGTGTAACAAATAAGCATACAGGTTTTCCCAACAGCTCCATCTCCAACAGTAACACATTTAATGAACTTTGAAGCACTCATTTTCTTCTTAAAACCCTTAACTTCCACAGTTTCAATAAGTTGGTTCCTTATCTAAAGCAAGAGACAAGTCTATTAGAAGAACTCTCCAAAAAGTTTGAGCTTAAGAAAAGAAGATGCTTTGTAAGGAAAAAGGTTGAGCAGAAGAAGATAAAGAAAGAAGAACAAGAAGAAGAAAGGGCACAGTTTGTGTCTACATATGTAGAATGCAAGACTGATCAGTGATTATGTATACTAAAACTAATACAAGCCCTCAAAATAAAGAAATAAATAATACTTAGAGGTTGTTTGTCTGTAGTCAAAGGGGCCTCCCTGCACTTTATCGTCCCCCTCAATAAATTTCAAATCCAACAGAAAAATTTTTTGAAATGCAAAAACATGGGGCCCTCTCCCTCTCCTTCTCTCTCTCTCTCTCTCTCTCTAACGGCATCTATTGGACCCTTGCATTAGTTGGTTTCCAACTAATGTAACTCACATTATTTATTGCTACTAGTAAATCATGATCAATGTCTCCTCCTACATTACATGAGATGAGAGGCTTCACTCACTCAATCTCCACTTGTAATAAATTCTGAAAATTCCAATCTCATCTTCTAAATCTATGTTTCAAGATGAATATCAAATTCTAAATGATACTTATAGCAATTACTTTTTTTCTTAACCCTGTCAATGAGTTTAATTGGTAATATCAAGATTTTGTTGGGATTAAAGTCTTTTATCACAAGAAGATTATAATCTCTAGATTGACTAGAAACTCTGTAAAAATATTTTATTGGGACATTTTGAGAATTACAAGATGAATTGCCGTCAACTAATGTAAAAAAATTGACAGTAACGTTAATTTTAAAGCAATGGTAGGGAGAGGAAGAAAACAACAGAGAGAAAGACACAGAGGTAGCATTTGTTTAAGACATGTTCTTCCACTCATTTAAAAACAGCACAATAGGTTAGTTGGAAGTCGTTTCCATACCAAAACTTTAATGCTTCAATTGATTTTTGTTTTTATTTTTGGAACAATCGAAATGTGACCGTTTAGACATTGTTTGAATAATAAATAAATTATTAAGTCTCTATCCATTTTGCTGTAACTGATAAATGACAAGTGCAAATTGCTTGCAGCTTATAACAGAAATTCACGTGTGTATCATTTACATTATCCCATGCTTGTAATTTAGATTTTTCATATATTAACATTTTCATGCCAAGATTAATTCACAATCACAAGATCTGAGCATAGGTCATTCCATCTCCACTATCATGTAAAGAATTGAGACCCACCACCAAACATGGTTTAGTGGGATTGAGGGTAATTTTTAGGTGGGGAATTGAGTTAGGAGAGAATTTGATGATGGGTTTTACAATCAATTTGGTTAGCACCCTCAGTATGATGATGCTTATGCTATTTTTTGAGCATGATAGAAGAATCTATAATACGAGTTATCTCTAATGATTGTTTAAAAAAAATGCTTTTAAGGCATGCAGGTCTAACCATGAATGAGGGGTTGATTAACCAGTTTGAACAACAAATAACCATTCACAAATCAAATCAATTAGAGAATTCCTCGATGGCCAGCGGTTTTTTAACGGATACATGCCAACATTTATTTATGACTAAAACCGTCCACGATGCTTTGTAGAGTCGAGCCTCCAAAAATGCAATTCAAATTTAAACATAAAATAATTTAATGTGATTTGACCCATTCTATGGAATTTTATAAGCCCAATATGGGTCCAACAATCACCCACGTTCGCAATTCTTGGCATTTTCTAATTTCTCTCATGTGGATTTTGGAAATGGGCCCTACTTATTTTTTCCTCAACGAGATTGCTTAGTTCTGCTTCTTCTGGCTATACAATTATGAACATCAGAAAGAAAAATTATACACATGTTTAGCCCGAAATATTATTTTTTTAAAGATTTTTTTTAGTTACCATGGTTGAAGTGGTAAGTGACTCTAATTGCTCTCTACGGCCCCAGGGAATAAAAAAAAGCAGTTTGCTGTAGAGTCTTGCTCAATTAGCAAAGAAATGAAAGCATTTGTACTGCAATAATTTTGACAACGGAGAACCCAAGTCCTAAAGGTCTCCGCACAACATAACACTAAAATATGAATTAATTAATAAACAAAAGTTTGAAAAGGAACAAGTCCTCCTAATGGTCTCATATTTTTTTTCTCCCTTCCAATAAAAACAAACAGTTCATTTATTTCCATAAACATCACAAACAAGACTATTTCAGACCAACATTGACTATTTGGATTCTTGACAATGTTTGATTACATAGCATTAGGTAATATAAGAGCTTTAAACACACAAACAACTAGAGAAATAGCTACTTGAACAAACTTAGAGAACCTTTAGGATTTCATCAACACCGGAGACAGTGAACTCTCCACCTTCTTCAAGATTTGCCGCCTGCACCTTCAGATTATCAACTAAAAGAGCAAATCTCCTTGATCGAGTGCCAAGTCCCTTCTCTGTCAAGTCAAGCTGAAGCCCAAGAGCATGAGTGTATGTTGCTGAGCCATCGGCCAAAAACTTCACATGCTTGTTTTCAGGGTAAGTCTTGGCCCATGCCTTCATCACAAAGGGGTCATTAACTGCAATGTCATCAAGAACCAATTATTTAGACATTGAAACATATAATATTAGAAGTTGAAAGGGTAGACTTGAATTAGGTAAGAGGTTAGAAACATGAGGTGAAATGTGGGATTCTTAACAACACCGTACCAATCAAACAATGTCACAATTGCTTTGCACAATTGGAGTTTAACAAATTCAGATTCCATAGCAGTAACTCCCTACTGGTAGCCACAATAAAACCAATTCCGGATATGCCAGCAAATTCTTCGGAAATTTTTTATCAGAGGCACTAATTATATACTAACGAATTACCAAAAGACGATACCAAATAGAAAAATAAATCAAACTAGCAAGCCAAAGGCTTTCACTTTGTTCAAAGTAATATTAACAAGGGAAATGATATTGTAATATATATGGCGGCAGAATCGAACCTAAGCAAAGCGTTTAAGTTATTATTTTTAGAAGAAATATACCGCTAATGACCAGAATTTCAGCAACTCCCTTCGATAACAGCTCCTCTGCTCTCTCGATAAACCCTGGCACATGCTTCAAGCTAGCATACAAACCAATCGCACCAAATCGAATCGGTCAATTAAACAAATAATGTAAAAAAGATCGTTGATTTCGATACAAGCAATAATCGGGGAACAGATTAAGAAAATAAGGAAATAATGTACCTGCAAGTGGGAGTGAAGGCACCGGGAACACCGACGACTACGACCTTTTTACCGGCAGCAAGAGAGTGGATGGACAGTTGCTGCAGTTGATCTTGCTCATCGAAGTGAGCAAGAGTTCCGTCTGGTAGAGTATCTCCAACGGCGATCGGAGCCATAGCTGGGTATGATTTTAGCTTCGGTACGTTTAGATCGAAGAGTCACCGATAGAAAGAAGCGTCTGTGTGATCGGAATGAACGTGGACAACGAACGTATATATACAGAATGGACCTATTCATTAACTACATTTGAAATACTTTTGGGGTCCGCCTTTTTAAAAAAAAAAAAAATACATAGAATTAAAAATAAAAAAAAAACCTACATTTGAAATACGTATTAGGCCACGTGTTATTGCAATTGAGATCTACGTTTTGTTTGAGTCAACGTATTCTTTTCAGAAGTAAGAAGCTTCGAAATTAGTATTATTAACCTTTGTGGAGACTTAATAATAAAGGATGGTAATTCTTATCGACTGATAACGTCTTGGCCTTCCATTATGTTACACCCTATTTTTCTAAAAAAAATCGAGTTAGAAGAAAAATTCTAGTAATTGCATAATTATTTTCTTTAATATAATCAAGAGGTAATTTCTTTGCACCATAGATCATAAAATTTTTATCCTTTCAGGAAAATGCATTTCTTCAAAAAAAAAATATAATAATTGCATAATTTTAACTTAACGATACCAGCATATAATATGGCTATGGACTCGGTCGCAAGGCCAACTAGGCCATGCATGCATTACAAGTAACTAGCTTAATTAGCAAAGAAGTTTTTAATTAATGAGTCCAAATCCCAATAGATTCTTTAACTAAGTTTAGATTATGGATCATAAATGAAGCTGCAAGTCTTCCGATCAACTTGCAATTCTAAAGTAAATTATGAATGGTTCTGCATTGCATAAGCATGTGCTACTTCATAACTAAAATTTGAATTGAAGAAGTCAAACTTTTTTTTTGATTATATTTTAATTTCCTCATCTTAAACAAATTAGGCAAGACTCTCGACTAGTTCTTTACACATGAAATGTATACAATTTTATTTAATATAAACCAAAAATTCAAAATTATAAATTGTACAAATTATCAAACGGCATCGAATGTTGTAGAAGATTCCTTAGGTTTATCCATGTCTTCTTCTTCCTCTATGGCCTCTCCCTCATCCCAAATCCTTTTGTTTTCACTTCCATAAGCTCTACTACACAGTAAGTAGTAGAAGAAATTAATCACACTAAGAAACGCAAGAAGCCAATAGTAATAGTCATAATGACCTCTGTTAAGATTATCTGATACCCAGCTCACTTTCCCATTTCTTTTGGTAGAGTCACTCAAAATTGCCACAATAAGACTTCCTAACAAGTTTCCAAATCCAAAACCAAGTGAGAAGAGAGCAATTCCAATGCTTGACATAGTTTTAGGAAACTGAGAATAATAAAACTCTATTTGCCCAATTGCATTGAAAGCCTCAGCTAATCCAGTAAGACAATGCTGTGGCACTAGCCACATCGCAGACATGTTTACTATATCTTCAGGCTTATCTGCTAATCCTTCTCTGATCGCCATTCCTCTTCTTTGATGCTCTACGGCTCCGGCCACTGCAGTGGACACGCATGAAAGTAGTAATCCAATTCCCATTCTTTGTTTATTGGTAAGTCCTCTAGGTCTCTTGGTGATTTTTGCTATTCTTGGAACCAAAATTCGATCGTAAATGGCAACCCATATTGTTAAAGTGAGAATTGCAAATACACCATATGAGCCTGATGGGATTTTGGCATTCCCTACGAAGTGCCTGTCCATGGTTTTGGCTTGAAGTACAGGAAATGCATGTTGGCTTAAGGTAACTGCTACCATAATGCCTGTTGACCATATGGGCAGGACTTTTATCAATGCCTTTAGCTCTTCTACTTGTTTAACTGTGCAAAGATTCCAAGGGTTTATAGCCAATCCATCGCTATCTAAATCCTTCTCAGGATTTCTAACTATGCAAGCTTTGTTTAGGTAGCTGAAGAACAACAAAAATATAATGTACATATATATGAACATCCATTAATAGCTTACCAACACTTGATCAGAATACTAAAACATAAAAAGTTTGCTATTATCAGAATTCAAACATTAACGTACCTGAGTTTTTCTGTCGGAACGACGAGCTTTGAACCCTTGTGATGGTGCCATCTATCAGAATCACTGGGTGGCAAAGAAAGGTGTTCGTTCTTCCAAGCTGCACTAATTACTTGGGCAAAGCTAGAAAACAAGCTTGTATTGGCCTTGACTTTGATAAAGCGAGAGGAACCCATAATGAACAGAACAGTTGACAAGAACATAAACCCTACGGGAATTCCGAAACCCACGATCCAACCAGCAGCATCTTGAATAGCAACTATGAATACAACTGAAAGCATGACAGAGAATCCAACTGAAGCATAATACCAGTTGAAAAAACTCTGTAAAGTCTTTTCATTTTTGGGGTTTTCAGGTTTGTCGAATTGATCTGCACCAAATGCTAAAGAACAAGGCCTAACCCCTCCAGCACCTATCGCCATTATAGCAAATGCGGAAAGTAGAAACACCATTTGAGCTGCATTTGGGCTTGCACAGCCTTGTAAATTTCCATGCTTTTGGTCACAATGTGGAGGCCTTGCGCTTGGAATAATTGCTGTTAGCCATAGAAGAATCATCCCCTGCAATAACATATGATGATCACAACTATCTAATCGTTCGATTATAATAACTTAAGTACTAATTAAAACACTAATTCTTTTCCTATATTCAGGTTTTTTTGCTGTAAATAAGGTTTTGTACTTGAGGAAATTAATGTTTGTTTCTGGATTTAAATTACGGTGTGAGGAGTACAAATAACTTACCATGCACATGTAGAAAAAATTAGTGTATATATAACCCTAAGTTTCTAATCCACACAATCTCATCATCTTACTTTCTCTCCTACTAGTCACCACTCACATTTCTCTTTCTTTTCAAATTTTCATTCCTTTCTGTTTTTTTTTTTTTTTAACTTTTAAATTAAATATTATTTTACTTGTATTACATTTCATAAATCTCTATTCCTAACTTGTGGATTCATATTCAACCTGTATCTAATTTAACTTTTTTTTTAACTTATGCATTTACATATTTAATTAGTTAAATTGGATTTTAAGTCAATAAGTTCAACTCATGTGTGAGTTTAATGCCTAACACTTTTTAATATGAAAATTACGTAAAATGAAAACTATACATTAAAATAAAAAAAAATAATCATATTAGGAGAGCTATTTAATTTCGCTAGTACTCAGACATTCAAACCTCAATAAAAAAAAAGAAAAAAAAAAAAGAATGAATTAGTATATTATCTTATGTTATGTGCATTATAATTAACATAAATTCAAATTCTAAATGAAAAATTTCTTATTGTGAAAAATTGACTCACGATAAGGCTGACGATTGTTCCAAGCAAGATGACACGAAATCGACCCAAATAAGAATCAGAAAAGAAAGCTCCAAAGATAGGTGTGAAATGTGAAATTGCACCCCACAGAAACAACACAGTAGCTCCAGTAGCACTTGTCAAGTTATAATCGTTTTGCAAGTACGATATCATATTTGCTTGAAGCCCAACCGATGCAACCCTTTCAAACGTCTCATTTGCTGCAAAAAAACCATATATAATACTATCAAAATTAGTTTGAAAAACTTTTAATTATACAATTAACAAAACTTACATATAATAAAGGGCAAGGTCCTGAGGCCACCCTTTTTCCTTTTAAGTTTAACCTCTTGGGTTGTCTTCTTTTCATCTTTGTCCATCTCCATTACAGACATTCTTTCTCAGTTTTCCTGCAATTAGTGAAATGGGTATGTATAATAATATATTGAAAGACGAGAACAAGAACAAGGAAATGGATTTTAAAGATGAAGAGTGGAGATAACTAGGAGACTAATCAATCATTTTGATATATAGAGCAATAAGTCTGTGCTGTTCTTTGGATTATTACAGGAATGGCCTGGCAGAGGTAACTGTTAAGGGTAACGCTTCTTTCGAATCATAAAACGGTTTTGGCTTTTTTTCTTATCGTATGTATAATAAGAATTTGTAATGTATGGTATATGCTTTTTCTTTATTATATATTTTTATTTCAATGGAGTTTAAAAAAATTATTCGCCTAAAATTTTCCAAAACAATATGTACTTGTAGAGTTGAGACAAAATGAAGAAAACAACAAAAATAACAGACTAACAAGTGACTGAAAATACCACAAAAGGTAAGATATGCTTCCTTGCCGTCAAATAATTAATTATAAAAATTCGAAAAATTGATCTTTTATATATATTTTTTGTAATTTATTTGAAAATGGACTGTGCAATAAATTAAGGAGAAATTGAGAATCTCTAAGATTTTGTCAAAATTGAAAATCACAAGAAATTTTATATACTTAGCATATAATAATAGAAATTGCTTATGTAATCAAATACGTTGATGGTATGTGGAAATTTATGAATTTTACAAAATCCAAGGAATATAAAATCTATGAATTTGAAACTAAAAAGGGAGAATTGAGAAAATTCCACCTTCTAAAATGGTGTTAATTAGATTTATTAATTATATAGATTTAAGTCTATTTTTTCTCAACCGAATAAATGAATCCGATAAATCCATAAAATATTTAAATTTATTATTTAAATTCCTTCAATTCAAACACCATCAAAATTCATATAAAAAAAAATTTTGATAATGCATATACATACCAGCTATATAGTCAATCTGAGAGAGTCTCTCTGCTATCAATGGAATCGAAGAGGAGAGGCTAAATAAAAAAAAAAAAATATGCAGATAATTAAGCGGAAAATTAGGCAATTAATTATGTTAATTGGAAATATATATGATATGATTTATATATATGTAAGTAAATTTATGTCAGTTTATGTCATGTTTTTATCATGAGTACTGAGTAGGAGTTACTACTTATTTCGTAACAACTACTTTTTGATGTCAGCTTATCATATGCTTATTGTGACTAATAAACGACAATTTTTATTATCTTATTCTTTGTTATTTTTATGGATTTTGCTAAACGGCAGTTCGTTTTGTCCCTCAAACATAAAAGGAAAAGAGTAACAGTTTCTCCGTTTAACGCAAACTACTGTCCCTAAAAAATCTCGTTTTTTTTTTTTTAAAGTTCAAATGAATAGTATCCAGTATATTCATAAAGTATATTCAGACCATAATACCAAATAAGAAAATTAATCAATTTATTAACATTAAATATTAAATTTTAGATCATACAATACTAGTTAATTGAAAAAAAGCTTCTGTACAGTACAAAATATCAACATTTTGAAGAATAAATTTCAAAGATAGATTTTTATTTGAAGGTTGCAAAATGAATTTAATTTCAAATAATCATTAAGCTGTCATTTGTTTTTCTAAAAAAATTTTTGTAGTCAATAAAAATTTATATTGTTCGCCATCTCCATTCTAGCTCAGTCCCCATGCCTGCAATACACAGCAACAGCTTTTCAGTGTTAATGCAGAATTTGTAAAATTGGTTGATATAGGAATAAACAAGAAACACTCAGAAATTTCTTTACCTGAATCCGGCCATCTGACGTTCCAATTACTAACATTTCTTCATTACCATCAAGAGCCATGCAAAGAATCCTACTATCTGAGCCGGTTTGTAGTATTTCAATTCTGTTTTGCCTTTTCTGATCCCAAATTTCCACAGTTCCTGCTTTGGACCCTAAATAAATTAGATCTGAGCTTACTGCCATAGCCCTTACTTCTAATGCAGTTGGCAGTGAACCTACTAGACCATAGTTTGAAGCACTCCAAATCTTTGCCAGACAGAAAAAGAAACAGAAAAAGGATGGAATTGTTAGTTGCAGCAAAAATTTTGACAGGAAATTTTACGAACAGGAAAAAAAAAGAGCATAAGGACAGGAAAAATTTTGAACAAAATATTCAAGATATACCTTGACAGCTGCTCCATCTAATGCAGAACTACCTGAATATATCATTCCGTTGCAAACTTGCAGTGAATGTATAGGATTTGCTTTTCCTAATAATTTTCTAGTTCCATTTTGGATGGTAACAAATGTTCCTGTTGCCAAATCAATTTCCTGAAAATGAACAGCATTTTTGTCAAAATACAAGATGAAGGAAATTAAATATTTAGTATTATTGCGCAACGAAATAATACCTGGATGCTACTGTCATGACATCCACAGTACAATTTTCCTTGCACTAAAGATAAGCACTTGACGTATTTATTTGCATTCAATAATTTGGATCCTCCATTCCATGAGTGGACCTGATTAGGAAATAGAAGCCATGTCTTAGTTACATGAGTATGCAAATAAGTTACAATACCCAGCAATAGAGAAAAACGTAGATGTTTGTATTGTGATACCTTGACTCCAGCTCCTTGTGGAATGAAGCAGGAAATGCTATTAGCCACCACTAGATTATGGACCTGATCCTTCATATCATGCACTTGTACACAATGTAATGCTTCGTTGCCAATGGACCAGATCTATTCATCACAATTCATGAGTAGGGAAGTGAATTTATAGGATAAGCTAATTTCAGCAGTAAATCCAAGAATGGGTCAATGAATCTTTAAAAATAGTAAATTGAAAGAACTGTAATTACCCTTGCAGTTCTATCAAGTGAACCACTATATAGTCTTTCTCCTGATTGTAAAACTACCAAGCTTGTGACTGCCTTAGTATGTTCTCTAAGTTCTTGGATGAGATGAAGAATGCTACCTCTACCAGTCCAAACCTTCATAAGTTGAAAAGAAATGTCAAAGAAACTCAAATTTCACTCAATTCAGTTTTAGAAACACTAACGATTACCATTTTTCTCCTGAAATTATATGTTTATCATACTGGCGATATGTCATATGCATAGACTTAAAAGATAGTGAAGCTTTTGGAGAGAAATTACCTTTATAGTTCCATCAGAATGGCCAGAAAATATTTTGTCTTTGGAGCAAGTGATTGAGAGCACTTCACCATTTGCACTACAGTCCGCTTGAGCTAGTTCTTGATGATTCCAGAATTCCTGCTATCAAACAAGCATATTATTTTTTCTTTGAAACTGATTCTTTTTCAAAAAAAAAAAAAAAAAGGATTCATAGCTGATTAGGTATTAACTTTCTGGAGTAACAAACTTACAGCACTAGAGTCGCGGCCCTCAGACAGAACTTTCAGAATTTCAACTGCCAAGGGTGATGATTTCTTAAGCTCTCTCAGACCTTTCTTAATATCCTTCATGTAGAATGTGAGGTCTCGCAGCCCCTCTATAATTCAAAATGTCAAGCGTATAAGTTTTTATAGTAAATGAATCATTTTCCAATGGATGCATATGCTGTTGCATAAATTTGCCACCTACCAGGATCATTTATGAAGCTTTTTAGAGCAAGCAACGAAAGGACTTTGTCTTCAGTTTCCTTTGCGGACTTGAAAATTGTAATGAAATGCTTGAGCAAGCAAACACGGGCTGCTCCTCGTAACCCTGTGTCAGGAAGAACGCCAAGCATATGTACAAGCCATGTTGATGAAATCAAGCATGAGGAAACTAACTCTAGACATCTGCTCTTCAAGCCTTCTGCTAAAACCTCAAAAACTATTCCAAACTCATGGCTTACAATAGCATATGCCATTTTTCTTTCCCAATCTTCAGCTGCCCTCTCTTCTTCCTACAGATGTCAATCAAGGCGTAAAATAACTAGGATAGGATGAAGAAAGTCAAAGAAACAAATTGGAAACAGAAGCAATTCATAAACTCAAAAGAGACTTTATTCAGTGATTTCCAAGAACCTGACCAGTGTGTCTTCAATTTCTCCAGACAAGTTGCCAAGCTGCTCCATACGCATAAGATTTCTATAACTTTTGCCAAGTCCAGCTCGTTTCAGGAGAAAAGCTCGAGTAAGGGATTTTCCAGAGGAGGTGAATCTTCCTTGCAATGACACAATTATATTGGCAGCAGCTATTTGAACAGCAGGAAATTCAGAGTTTTTGAGGCATGAAATTAGAGTATCTATTGCTTCTTCCCGGAATATGCTCATCTTTCTTGGCTCAGCCTATCATTCAATACATTACTTATCAGCCAATACAGTGCAATAGCTATAGGTCATAACAATAAAAATGCATGCAATTTCTTACATGTTTTGTGTAGTTTTAGCTGCATTTTGAGTGACCAAATTAGTACGATAGTCCCATTTTCTAGCTAATTTTCCCCTGTTGTGAATAAACCATGAAGTAATTTTGTTTCATTGTTTTAGGTGAAATTTAATCAAGGTTTGAGACTTATGCTCCGTTTGTTTCCGTAAAATAACTTGCTGAAAAATATTTTCATGGAAAAATATTTTCCAAATGACTTATTTTCCATTGTTTGGTTGTAATATTGTAAATTAAAAATTAGTTAAAATGTCAAAGTCTTTATCTCATAGACCATAAAAAATATTAATAATAATAGAAATTTATTGTTAAATATAAAAAGAAATTGCAAAAAAAAATGATATAATAAAGTCTTTATCTCATAAGACCATAAAAAATATTAATAATAATAGAAATTTTATTGTTAAATATGAAAAGAATGCAAAAAAAATATAAATTATAAAGTCGCCGGTAGCTCGTGGTGGTGGCTGCCGGTGACCGGTGGTGGTGGTCGATGGCGGTGATCGGTGATAAATGGTGACTGGTGGTAGTGACTATGATGATTAATAAATTAAAATATGGATTTATAAGGTTTACTATTGTCCAAAAAATATTTTACTCTATCGAAATGGGAAGTTGTTTTCCTTAAAAAAATGACTTAATTTCCTTTTGACTAGGAAAATATTTTCCGTTGACTTATTTTCCTGAATGACGGAAAATTGTAAAAAATATTTTCCTACAAGTTATTTTACAGAAATAAACGGAGCCTTATTTTGGAGTGTTTTCCCTTCATTTGATGCATCCACTTGGGAAGACTTACAAGAAAGCTCAAAGAGAATAACCCATTGGCTGCCAAAGAAAGAAAATATGAAGCACAAACCAGCTCATTGTGCATTCTAAAGAGCTACCAAGGTCCTTGAATTTTTCTCCTAAACAATCAGCAAAATAATAATTTTTCTATACTACTTGTACGACCCGTGCACTTGCAAAGCGTGTTGTCACGATCAATAGGCAGTAGGCCTTTAAGTGACTTTCAAAAGTTGGGAGCAATAAACTTATCTAATTCAAGCAGCAATCATAGAATTTGATTTGCTCTTTTTTGATAAGGTTTAACTCGATGTGAAAGAAAGAAAGAAAGAAAGAAACATACCAAAATATCAAGTTGGAGTAAAAGACCAGCCACAACAGGACATTGATCTTGAAGAGCTGTCTGTAAATAATTAAGAAGGCCGTGCATTGTACTAAAACCACCTTCATCCTTAAGGATGTGAAGAACTTGCTCATTGAATGTCCTCCTAGAGAATATCAAAGGCTAAATTTACTCTGACAGGCAGACATCAACACAAAATTCAGCTTGAGAAAAAAAAAAAAGAAAGAAAAAGGAATTACCTATTTAATTTGACTAATTCAGAGAAGAAGTGAACTATCTCAAATCTTTCTCCATCACTTGCACTTGAGAAGCTCTCCAAAACTGGAGCCAACTCAGCTTTATCAGCAATTATGTTTCTACATTTCCCATCTTCCTGCATGCATTTTAATAAGATCCCAACTGCAGCAATCCGCTCTTCTGCCCACTCGGCTTCCAAGCTGCCAACAATACATTCAATCACTTTGGTAGAAACAATAGCATTGGCAATTGAAGAAACAATACTTTCTTCATTGCAGCCAAGGACTTGTCCTAGTAGAAGCACAGCAGCTGTTTTTTGCTTCAAACACATCTTAAGCATATCCTCTTTCTTTTTAATGGCTTTTAGGAGAGATTCCACCATGTCCATCTCTAGTAAGCTTATAGTAGAAGGTCTTAATAGATATATCAAAACAACAGCCTCTGATAAACCCTTCTTGAAAAGAGCCACAACGCATTCCATATCAGATTCAACTCGTGTAAGAGTCTGTATCACACCTTTGTCTCTTGAACTCAATTCAGACAGGAGAAAAACAGTTGCTCTCAGCACCTGTGGATCAACAGAATTGAAAAGGACCTCTACGAATCCATTAATAACCGGAGGTTTTGAGAGCATACTTTGAATATCAAGGTCCATATTAGCCTCCTGCCAGAATTGCTCTATCATAAGGACGGCCATTTCAGACTCATTCAGAATTTCTGACATACAAAGATTAGTAATGGCATGTCGTAGCTCAGTCATGCTACTATCAATGCTGGCTTGGTTAATGACAGTACTAGGAGAAGAATCTGGGGGCATTATTGTCGGCTTGAAGCTTGATTCAGTGTTTTGGTGTGGACTTTCAGATTTATTTGATGCAAAATCAGGATTCTGCTCTTGCCAGCTTGCAACAAGTCTTTTGAGTACATAGTTCGTTTTGGGCAATTGTGAGCTATGCAACTTCTGCCGCGTAATTGGACATGTTGAGTTTCCTCTATCAAGCCATTCTTTAATCGCCCTTCGTTCATATGTCTGCCCTGTCTCAAGTGTTACTGGATCATCAAACAGATGGCTTGTTATAGGACAGACGAAGTCCTTTGGAGGTGTATGTTTCCCATAACCTGGAGGATTACCTGAATCACCCATTACATGATCTGGCGAACTAATAGTGACAGAAAGAATCCAAAAAATGAGAAAATTGCAGTAGACAATGTAATGATAATGTGGTTATTTATTTATTTTTTTTATTTTCAAATAAAAACATGTATACCTACTGGAACCTGCAATAATTGGCTGCTTATGTTTTTGGGTTTTGCTTTGTCTATGCTCAAACAATGCCAATCTTCTGCTGCTTTCCTACAAGACAATGTCACAACATTTATTAACAAAAAACTGCATAGATAAATCAGCCCAAAATTGACAACTCTATGCTTGATACCATCTCTCACCTCAAGTTCGGCTTCAGATTCTGAAGAGAAATTGATCATGTTATCTTCCAAAGAGGACTCCACTTCAGAATCAGAATATAAAATAGGTGATTTTGTCAGTTTCCTGTAGTTAGAATTTGTGAGGGTTTTTGCAGAGACCCTTTGAGGATATGATGGTGGAGGAGACTTGGACTTGCTGCTGCTACTGAAGCTAGAGAATTCTACTGAAATTTCCCCTTCAGCCCAAATCGGCTGTAAAAATTAGAGAAAAGAAAAGTCATAATCTTCCGATAGCAAGACTGAGCTTGGACTGGTCAAACAAAAAACAAGTTGCACAAGAAACACGCTAATTATCCAATCATTAATATGCATTGGCAAAGGATGACAGATAGAAATTACATGTGAAACTTAAACAGGCATTTGTTCTTGCCTTTGACAATATATAGATTATGTAGAAAGAAAACAGAAAAACATTTGAGGATTACATTGGTTTAATTTATAATTACAAAGTTGATCCAAGAAATTCATGTATTGGGTTTTTCATCAAGTTGGCTCCAAATATCAACATAAATTATAAATATTTTACAAATGAATTGACTAGTACTAGCTGTATGCGTTACAACCATTATTTGTTGCACTAAAATCCAAGAAAGTGTACACAAGTCAAATAGGCCAAAGGGATTTATCATGAACAATTCAAACTAATGACTTTATTTTTAAAACTAGAGTTATATTCTTTGCCTACCTATGGTTGACACGTTCAAAACAAAATCCCTTAAGCAGAATTAGATAACAATGAGAATTAAATAATTCCTTCTTTGCCACAAGAAGAAAAGAGAAGAAAATCAAATTCCCCTTGACGGAATCTTTGTGACGACAAGAAGAGAAGTCGAGAAATCAGGATAGAATAAGATTTAAAGAGAAGAAAATGAAATCTAAGTAGTTGAAACTTTCAAAAGAGTATGAAATTATGAAAAATGCAATTAGTCAAATAAAAAAATTGAGAAAAAAAAATTCAACATTACATTATACCGTCCATTCTTCAGTCCGAATTCCTCTGTTTTGATCTTTTTATCTTCATTACCTTCCAATTTATCGACCTTTCCTATCTCTTTCAAGACGATCGATGGCGGTGTAATTAGTATATTTTCGTCACTATTTCCTAGGACTTCCTTAAAGTAATTAGCAAAAACTCTGCAGTTCTCATCAACAACCTCCTCATAACTGCTTTCTAGCTCCTTCAACTCTAAAGCTTGACCTCCACTCATTTTCGACAACAATTTCGAGCTAGGAAGAACCACTGACACGTCATACATGGAATTTTCATCGCTCTCATATCCCATATTCATAGACAAAGAAGACAAAATTCTTGATCTTTGCTCATTAAACCATTGAAGGACAGGTAAAAGATGGACTAAAAACAACTCCTCGAAAAGAACCGGAGCTATCTCTGATCGTGACAACGAAGGTTCTATATAGAAAATATTAAGAAGATTAATGGCGGCATTGGTGGGTTCTTGGGTGAGAGTGTAAATTAGAGAAAGAAGAAAGGAAGAGAAGGGGATTTTACGGTACGAGAGGAGGAGCCTTTCGGCGAGACGGAGAGAGGAGGATTGAATGAAAGGATTTGCGGCGGAGATGGCTTTTTCGAGAGTTTCTGATGCTAAATTTAGGGTTTTGATGGAAGTAGTTTGGATGCAAGGTGAGATTCGGCGGCGCAGAGTGGAAAGAATATGGTGGCGGAGGTCTGATTGGGAGATGGATTCAGAGAGGAAAGCGGAGGTGTGATGGAGGATATGGGATGCTGTGGTGGTGGCGGCTGCAGCTGCAGCGGCAGCGTTGGTTGTCATGGTGGTTGTCGTCGTCGTTAGAGGTGGAGGAGTAAGGATTATGAGGAGTTTAAGTTTGGGTTTAAGGAGTGGAGATGCAGAGGAAATTTTGGGTAATCTAGATCAGGAAATTAACGGTAATACCTTAATTTTATTTTTAATTTTCTCTTGCTGGCGCCAAAAGGATTGGGACGGCCTTTGAGAGCGTTAAATGACTAAATTAAACCTTCTTCTTATCATCTAACAAGGAGGAGCATGGAAAGGGTAGTACTATAATTTCCTGGGTTTGAATTTCCGAGGCAAAGGTAGACTTAATCGGGAACGTGAGGAAGCGAAAATCCCGTCCCCTCACGAAAATCCGGGCCCCTGTTGCCGCCCTGGCCGGCCTTGACTCTATCCGGTTTCACGCGCTATATGGTTCTTCCATCTGTCGGCTTAACCCAAACCACATCCAACTGCTTTTTGGATTGACTGTGTTCTTTAAAATGAGAAATTAATTATTAACATGCAATACAATTATTATTCCATTTTATTTTTAAACTTAAAAAGCTAATAATGAAATACAATGTCTTTACAGTAAGGCAATGAATCTAAGCAAAGCATCAACAGCATTTTGAGCGGCCAAGGAGGAAAAGATGTCAGCTTCATTAGAAACAGCAGAACCACCGCCTGCTAAATCAGAGAGAGCCCTTATAGTAATGAAAGGAATTTCCTGCTGGTGACAGATCAAGGCAATTGCTGCACTCTCCATGTCAATTGGGGTTGCATTGAATTTAGAGTTAAGGAACTCTCTGTAAGCACTATTGTCTACAAAAACACTGGCACTAATCCCCCTTTCCACTCTCACCACCATAGGTGTTCTTGGCAAGCAAGTTGAATTCACGCATCCTCCTAACTTCAAACCCTGGAATATTCCAAACCCAAATTTTAGAAACTAAATACTTGTTTTTTGGTTCAGCAAAATTAGCTATGAGTAGTACCTGAAGTTTCTTGGCGACTTCAAAGTAATGGTTGTCAACAGGAACCCAGAAGGCATGCTCTCTAGCTTCAGGAATTCCATTTACAGGAAAGATCTCTTCAGGTTGGTACCAAACTCTGTTCAAAAGGTTTTCTACTGATTTGCTTCTGTTGTTAAAATGGGAAAATTCAAGAAAACCGATTTCCCGAGTGTAATCTCCATTTGATTCCAGAGGGAGTTGATCATTAGGCTCCTCTCCGAATCTCTGCTCAAGGAAAGTCAATTAAGCAATGTAGAAGTTCAGTAACATTACAAAATTTAAATCAAACAGAAACTTAATAATGAATCTATTGGTAATTTTGCACCTGCCAACTCCAAAGGCCAGTATGAGCCCAGTATTGAGGGATAGTCACATCTCCAATTTGAAGTGAAGGATTTGCATTTCCTGCAATTCCATAGTGCAGAACGCCATTCACCTTAAATAGACTTAGCAGTAATTGTGTGGTTACACCTGCATTTATCTATTTGAACAATGACAATATTATAAGTTTTTTTATATGAAATGTTATTAAAAAAATAGTATAGAATAAAATGAAAACACACATACCATACTTAATCCAGTCATGACAATTATAACCTTCACATTTTCCACTTTCCCTATCCTAAATCTTCTCCCTGTGAAACATAAAAATAATGTTAAGGACACAAACTTGTGATGGCCTAATTTTATGCTAAACAAATAAAATTCACAAAATTTCACAAAATGGTGACATTGATAGCGATATAAGATAAAAATATCAAATATATATATATATAGTGGGATTAAAAATGACCTGAGAAGTCCAAATAGGGAAGCTGAAGATTAGGCTCAAAGCTTGGAGATTGAAGAAGAGGGTTCATCTCAAATGCATTTGGCACTACAATACCTAAATATGGACCCTCCTTATTTACTCTATCAATCTCTCTTATGCTGTATTGAGATACTTCTCCATAGGCTCTATTTGCCACAACCAAAACGACAACAAATCCAAGCAATAACGGCCTAAAACGACTCGTCATCATCATCACCATCATTTTTCTGCAAATTAAAAGATTTATGGGCTACTTCTCCTCAATGTATATACATATATAGAGGTTTTAGTCAGGCCATATGGTTCTACCTAAAAAAATAAATAATTCAGAGTTATCATCGAGGAAGCAAGATGAAAAGTCAAAATTTGGAATTTTATAAGGTCAAATCTTAGACGTATGGATTCGGTTGGCTATTAAAAAAGGAATGCGGTGGGCTATTAAAAAATGAATGCGGTAATTAGTTGACGATGTATGCTGGACATGTAGAAAGAGCCACCGGCTTCAATCGACACTAAACGCATCTACAGAGAATAACGGATAGTCTTAACTGTGATTAAACCCAGAGCCGAATTAGGCAGTCCCTGATAATAAGTCTATATACCGGTGGTTTACACAAAAAAAAAAAGACTCCACTTGTAATTTTAATTATAGGATATCATAACTTATATTTATCATCACAGTACATGAATTATTCGTTTTCCTTTGTTTTAAACTTAGTCATTTTGTGGAAAATAGGTATATAGGTCAATTTCATATGCCAGACTAATTTTTGATTGAGACAAGGATATTTCTGATCTACCAAAAAAAATAAAAATATAATAATTTCTGATCATTTAAAAATATAACGTATGAACAATCGCAAGTCTTATTCCATTTTATAATAGGAAATGAAGATACGTGACGCGTTCAACCGGTATTGGTCCTGCTATTATCTCTTTATTCACGACTGACTAATCTTGATTGATCCTTTAACACGTCCTCGGCCCATTAAAGTTGACGGGCCGCAAAGTTGAAAATGGCCCTTTTGAGTGACTCCAAAAAGAAAAAATGAAGAATTAAATAAATAAAAAAATTGATGCAAGAATCATTTTAAGCGGACCAAATTGTTTTAATTATCATAAATTCCTAATTAATCATATCCTAACACGTCATTTTCATTCTTTTGATTAGGTTATCTAAAAATTAAAAGTACTAAATGGTTACAATATAAATTTGACTGGACTCTTAACAAATTGCGACACTTTACTTCACAGGTGACATTTTTGTTGACAAAGTTAATGACTAATTGGTGGCTAAGAATTGCAATATTAAATATCAACCCAGTCTTAATCAAGGGAAAAGGTACAGTAATCAGGTTCCTGATTAAGAGAAAACAAGTCAATTAATTAAGATTTTTTCAGATTCATTATTTTGACAAAACGACACTGCAAATCACCTCTAATTATTTCAATTATCCCTTAATTCAATTTCAATCTATGTGCTTTCAATTTGTTATGGAAGTATTATTTAGTCTAGCCCGTATATTTACGCTTGTTGACAGGTTAATGATTTTATTTAATTAATTTAACCGATTAATTATATCATTTTTAAATAAAAATAAACGAATTTTACAAAGTAAGGGATCTCTTAGTGCATGGGTACAAATGGGACGTTGTTATCATGCAGATCAGGATGAGCATAGATAGATTAAAATCGAAAGATTGAATCGAAAGAATGTAATCGAGATTTTTTTTTTTTTTTTTTTTTTAAAAAAAAAAAAACATAGAATAGATAAAAATCGAAAGATTGAATCGAAAAGTAATCGAGATTTGTTTTTTTTTTTTTTTTTTTTTTTTTTTTTTTTTTTTTTTTTAAAAAAAAAAAAGCTCGTGAAAAGGGAGGATACATTCGATCCAATAGAAAATCGACAACAAAAATAAAGAAATAAGAAAAATAAAAAATGTGGGTCATGTCGAAATCTGATTGAAGATGTAAAAAAGGAACAAGTATGATTGAAGAGTGGAATTGACATGGGGTAACATGTTGGCAATATCTGAGATAGTTTCTGTAGCTTAATGATGCTTCACTTGGTGCCCTAGCTATAGCTACTTGACATGCTTGATTGCTTTCATCAAAACTTTTCTTTCTTAGAATCTCATATATATCACAACAAAACATGCGGTCCTTTCAATATATTCTTGGAGAATTCTTGTCAAGAAAAAGGCAGGATCGATCAAAAATTCAAGATTAGAGGGAAAACTTTCTTTTGAAAATCTGCCAACCCAAGAGTAATATTATCAAAGCCCCTTGCATTATTTGAAGGCCTGCTGAAAGCTACTGCTTTACATTATTGCCTTGTTATTATTATTTAATTTATAAAGAATGATCGACAAAGAAAAGAGCGAGATATACCCCGGAAAATAAGAATAATGAGTTTCTTTTTCTTTTTCTTTTTCTTTTTTTAAAGTACTAAAAGTTCTTTAAATGGAAGAGAGATTATTGAGGATTTAACCTACTAATTAAAAATTAAGTGATAAATTCGGTGACGATTAATATAAATTACCCATATCATTAAATTAATTACATATTCAAGAAATGAGATATACTTTTTTGGAAATATATATATTACAATAGTACGAAAGATATGTTTGGTGAACTCTTGGTTTCTGATTTTCTGTCTCATTCGTGTAGCTAGAATAGCTAGGAATGCTTCATTATTATTCACGGGATTTTACTTATGATATGACAAAAGAAATTCCAATATATAGTTTAAATGTCGATCAACTTCTTTTATATTAATTAATATAAGAGATTTGAATTATAAAGAAGAATTTTAATTAATTCTTTTAATTACAAAAATTTCTTTAAAAATTAATGATAGAGCCGTATCATTAATCACAAGATCTTGACTTGAAATATGGATTAGAGACAATTTTATTAAAAAAAAAATTATGGGGAAAATGAAATAGAATATATCTCAATTGATGCTAGCTCGACTGATTTCAGGAATGCTGCTTAACACAGAGCAACATTAAAATGATTTATACTAATATCTCAGTAGAGCTGCATATACATGAAATTAATTAACAAGACATGTCACTAGCAGCCACTAAACTAATTAGGAAATTAAAGAAATATAGATAAGTTTAATATTAAATTAGAGAGAGTAATATATATAATTAAGGACTTGCATTAAGTCCAATAATTTAAAGTAGCGAGAGAGCACACAACTTAGTTTATATATATAAATATTATAGGTAGCCAGATTGTATAGCATCATGAGCAATCAGCCTTAGATTTTTAGCAGAGTGACTGCTAATGATGTTATAACGTTTTATGAAGAAGCTCTTGTCTTGTCTGTTGTGTGCTGCGATATTCAATAATCCATCGGAATATTCCTTCTCATCAGAATCCTCCGCCAAGGGCGGGAGCCCAATAATCTGCTCCGTTATCGCTTCCAACTTGAAGAGTGCATGACACTGGGACCAGACACAGCCCTCTACTCCTCAAGTCCTTCTTTTGTTCTTCATTGTAGTGCTGTAAAATATTCAGAAGAAATTTCAGTTAAAAATTTTATAAAAAGGAGAGCTTTAAGGAAAGAAGGAGAGGAAGAGGAAGAAGAAGAAGAAGAAGAAGAAGAAGAAGAAGAAGAAGGGAAAAGTGGAGTTTTATTTAGAAAAGAAGATACCTGTGGATCAGAAGCTCCTTTTCTCTTTATGCAGTTATCATTCAATAACTATTCAAAGAAATAAATAAAAGTTAGCATTTTTCTTTATTATGAAGAAACTTCAAGAATTTCAAATTCAAACTATATATTAATATATAATTAAACAGCTTTTAATCATCTATAAAGCTGAAACGGTATTCTTTTAGGAAGTTCTTTTAGTTTTAAAACTCGTATAGCTTTTTAATTGTTTTGAAATAATTCAAAGTTGCTGAAATCCCTTTTATGGAGAGGTAATGGATCCAATAAAGCATACACATACCTGACCAGGGTCCTCAGGAAATATACAATTCCTTTCTCCTTGAACCTATACCAAGAAAAAATTATTACAATCATTAATCAATTAATGCCCAAATAATTCACAAATATTCTCATGCACATGAAAATACACATATCTATATGCACATGAGTGAGATTGTTTCTTGTTTTGGGAATTGAGAAAGAATAATTTTTTTATATACAAATAGAAAGACAGAGAGAGAAAGAGAGAATTGCTTACAGATTGTTGGTGTTGGTGTTGGTGTTGCTGCTGCTGCTGCTGCCTCATGTTTGAGGATCCACTGCCCAAGTACGGCGAGCTGAGAGCCTGCATTATTCAAGGGGGATATGTCCATATATATATATATATATACCCAAGTACGGCGAGCTGAGAGCCTGCATTATTCAAGGGGGATATGTCCATATATATATATATATATATATAAAATAAGTCATAAGAGAAGGGAATTTATTATCTTTATATGTAAAAAAGAAAATTTTAAGTTTATAGGATGTTAATGTTAATGGAATATTGTGAAGTGAAGTTGAACAGTGAGTGCCATGGTTGTTTGCAAAAATAAAGGAAGAAAGAAACATCACCTCAATTTGGTTCTGAAGGAATCTGATGTACCCTATAGCTTCTAACAAGACAGAGGCTGTGTCAGTCTGCAAAGGGGCAAAAATACCACACCACAAAAATCCAAAGTCATATTTTCTTGTCTTCTTTATACTTTATAGCCTAATAAAGAGGAAAACCCTAGTTCCAAAAATAAATTTAAACGAAATTTATTAACAAAGCCCTTAAAAAAAAAAATTCTTTTCCTATGTGGGTATCCTCGTAAAGAGTTTTTGTTGTTTAATTATTCCATTTGTATCTGCAAGATCTGGTTTTCGTTTTTCCTTTTTGATTTAAATCGATTAGGTTAAAATAAAGCCTAATAAATTTAATTACCTTTCCAAATGGAGAAACGAGCTGGTGAAGGGCAGTGATTCTGTCACCTAATTTCTCCTTCCTCACCTGGTGAAAACGAAAAATGACAAATTAGTAACCGCAAGATTTTATCCCTATTACTGGAAATTCATGGACAAAATGAAAAGTATAAATCAAAGAATCAACGAGCTTTTAAGAAATGGACAATCAAGAAAGACAACAGTCACCACCAAAGAATGTTTGTGAGTGTTTGTGCATATTTGTATGTGAGTAGAGTGATATTTATTTTGTGTATGAGAAAGGAATATTCATTCTTTATAGATTACCTTAAAGGTAGATTGGGTTGAAGAAGGTTGAACCCTAGCTTTCTTAAGAGCCCCACCAGTTGCAGTGCTATTACACTGCAATAATAATAAAGGAATAAAAAAGAAGAAGAAATAATTAATTAAAAATTTTTAATAATATAAGATAGCATTTAACATTAGATAAATCAATCAAGACCTAGCAAGAAAACATTAACCTAAGCAAAAAATGTTTCAGTTTGTGGAAGTTTAGAATTAAGGCTCCTTAACTTTAACTTTTGAAGAAAAGAACTATACAACTATCATATATTTATAATTATGAGTTAGATATTAATTTTGAAAATAAAGAGAATAATGTAATAGATGCTAGAAAAAATTAATTCTCACCTCGGAGGATCGATCTGGCGGTGGATGCCTGCAACCATCTCCTTTGTTGGTTGAAAAATCCAACATGTTACTACTGAAACTTGTAACACAGGACTTAGGAGAAGAAGCAGGAGGAGGAATCATCAGAGACCAACTAGGTTTTGTTGTCTGAAAATCGTCATTTACAGGTCCATAGACATAACTGCTAGGACAGTTTTCTTGCTTCACATTCACAATAGCAGACCCACTTGAAGCTTGATGATGTAACATTTGCTCCTCCCAATTCTCAAACTTTCTTACTTGAAAATGGCCCATGTTTCCTTTATCTTCCTCCATCAATCCACCCCTAAAAAAAATCATAAAAAATCCAAGTAAATTTCAATATCTTGCATTATGAATCTTCAAAGATCTACCCTGAAAGCACTATACGCTGGTAACTTAGTATCGTGTGACTATCTCGTGGTGCAAGAGATTTGGACTGAGATTTAAACATTCACAGTCCCTTTATTTTCAAGAAATATTGAAGAATATATAAAAAGTGGATAGAGTATGTATATGAAACATGTTTAGAACGAGGTCATGAATATGAGTTTATCCGTATTATGTAAAAATAAATATAAACAAAAAAACAGACACCCAAGGGAGAGATTTACATGAGGAGTTGGCTCCAGGATTCTGGAAGTTGATCTTGATTATCATGCCAAGAAGGAATAGTAAGTGAAGAAGACGAAGAAGACGAAGAAGAAGAGGAAGTAGAGGAAGAAGAAGAAGGAGGAGAAGGTGTGTAGTGAGGAAAAAGAGTAGGAGGAGGAAGAAAAGGAGAGGTTAAGGTTTGTTGATGAGTAATTGGTGGCCTCATGTTATTGATATTCCACCAGTTAGGGTTTCCGGCCATTATCTGCTGCATCGGCGGTGAGCTTTGCAAAAGACCTCGATTCATATTAATTGCTTTCTTGATTGATTGATCAAGACAAATGAATCTTTTTTTCTCACTTTCGTTATGATTTCTTGAATTTAATCTCCCTCTTACTTTCTGTTTCCTTTTCTTTGAAGCTCCCAAACAGAGTCTTTGTAGAAAGTTTTGAAGCGACTTCCTGTTCTGGATTAAATAGAGGAAACCAAAATCTTGCTGTTGAGAGAATTTAAATCATGGAGGTTTGAGAGTGTGAGAGAGAACCTTTGTCTTTCTCCTCTCTTTTCTTTCTTTATTGCTTTGCCCTCTTTTTTTTTTTTTTTATTTCTCTTTTTTGCTTTCTTTTTTTTTATGTTTTTCTTTTCTTTCTTGCTTTTTCTCTGCTTTTGCTTTATCTCAAAGTGGGACAGTAAAGGTAGTAGCAATTCTCACTAATTAATAAAATCCAAAAAAGATAAAAAAAGCTTCTTTACAATAACAAGAGATGCACAGTTTTATTATGCTACCCAACCACGTGTCCACTAATGTGTATATGATAATCTACTTTAAATTTTCCCAGATAATTATTTTCCTCACATTTTTTTTAAACAATAGCAAATTCTTTGCGTTTCAAATTAAAATTACACTCATTTAATGTTCATCGAATCAAATTATTCAAATCAAAATTTAATAAATTTTATCTATTATTACTTAATTTTATATCATTATTCATTTATAAGAATCAAAATAATACGACATAAATTGAGATATCATTTTTTATCTTATAAAACATACTCATGGCTATTAGATTATGGAAGTGGGTTGTGCTCTCCGATTAACTTACCAACAAAATTAAGAGTTTAAAATTTAGAGTTGCTATTTAATTATTTGAATACTACCTTCATTTTGTCAGAGCGAACAAAATACAAGTGTAAACAAAAAAAATATATATATATATATATGCATACACAAAATACAAGTCATAAACAAAAAAATATATCAATTACTTATATAGTATTATACTTACTAAGAAAGCGTTTTTTTTTTTTTTTTATTTTTTTACATTATTCTCAGAATCTCTGTCATATATGAAATTTGTGCTGCTAGACCACATTAAAACATGATGTGAATAGTTTTTTTTACATGTATTCAGAATTTCATCATATATGAAATTTGTGCTTGCTTAGACAATAAAATGATGTGATTAGTACGTATAGATGATCTAAACGTTACTTATGGTATAGGGTTCGTGGTCCGACCTCATCAAGTTGTGAATCCAACATTATTCATTTCTGAAATTAGCTTAATTTCCAATATTTACTTTAATTTGTTATTTTGGCCAATAACACGAGTTAACTAATAATATATAGCCTATTGTGTTATTTTGATCAATTGAGTATCTTAACGAATAAAAAAAATTCTAAAAAGAAAAACTTCTCGTTTTAAATATCAAATTCCTTTAAATCTATTATTGTAAATAGAATTGAAAAACAAGAAAAAGAAGTTTGGTTAGGTCAGTTTCTAAAGTATAAAAATAAAGATTTCAAGCTACGAAGCATATATAATTCACGTGCAATTGATTAAATTTTCCTTGATTAATTAATACAAAAGCATAATTTAACTAAGTGGTATTAAATTAGGGCAAACAAAAAAAAAATAGTAAATCAATCACCGACCATTAGTGAAAATCTAAAAAGAGAAATACAAATGTGACGGCTACGTCAAGATGACGGGAAAAAACCAAAAAATTGTTAGTACATGTGATGGTGTCATCTGTATGGACAAGCAGTAAAAGACTGAGAGGATGAATTTAATTTATAAAAAATAAAAAATATTTATAAAGTAGTAATAAGGTTTAACGGTTTATATTAACATTTAATAATAATAATAATAATAATAAGCTATATATGTGTGTTTATGAGAAGGGAATTGACCCGTGAGAGAGAAGTGTACCACATTTTTCGAGAGGTCAAAATCTAGGGTTTTGAGATCCCTCACCTCAATTCTCCCTTCCCATTATTCCAAAAGGAATGATTTCGATTTCCTATAATTACATTATCATATTAGTATTTCCTTTTTTTTTTCTTTTTTCTACTAGATTTTAGGCATTCTTGAACACTTTTACTGTAAATATCTCTTTCGTAAATCAACATTATTGTCACTTACAACCATGTATAAACCAACTAAATTCATTAATACTCGAATTAAAAAATTAAAATTTGAGCTCAATTTGTTGACCGTAAACAAATTAAACTTGGATTTGAATTTATAAGTATAATCAAAAGTAAAATAATTTAAAATTATGAAAAATGGGAATTCTCAAACTCTTCAACAAGTTATATTTTTTTTTATAACTAATGTTGAAAAATTAATAGATAAAGGTGAAAAGTAAATAACTTTTCTATGTAAAGTTTAAATCACATATTCCCATTTACCCTTTGGAGAAAGGAAAAAAAAGGTGATGAAGATTTTGGTTAATTAATTAATTAATTAAATTAAGCAAGGGGTGCCCATTTATCAAACAAAATAACAAAAATGAGGGGAAGGCATCTCACTTTGATTGAAATTTCCAAGAACATTCCAATCTATATTAAAAGAATAAGAATAAAAATAAATTTTTAATATTAAATGATGGGAGAATTATTCTTGTTGGTATAATAAATAATTAAACTATAATATATAGTTTTATTTATTCCCACGACATACATTCCCTTAAACCGCATTTCAATGTTAGAAGCAAACAAACAAAGGAACAAAACAACCCTTAAATCTCGAGGAAGAGAGACTAATTACATGTTTGAAGAGAGGAATGGCATGTCTGGTCCGTACTGCCAAATCTTTGTCGGAGGCGCCATGTCTTTTTATAGCCATTCTTTTTTTGTCTTTAATTTATTTATTTATTTATTCTGTTCTTAATTATATATTTAATTTAATTTAATTTATACCAAGAAAACAAATTAGGAACAAACAACTCTCTCTTCTGTCTTCATCTCCTTTTGCTTATATTCTTCTCTCTCTTTCTCTCTTGTTTTTCCATATTCTTTCTTTATTTTATTCGAAAAAATTGGTTGGAATATTATGTGATCTACTAATCAAGATTATGTAGAGATTAATGTCTTAATAAATAAATAATCAATTTACTCAAGAGCACAACAAAACAAATTGACAGTTTCAAATTCTAGTTCTTTTCAGTAGTTTATAATTTAGGTTCTATTGCTTTCTACTAACTAATTAATTAATTAATTAATTTAAATTTTCATCCCATTAATTATAAGTAATGGTAATTTTAAATATAATTTATGTTATATAAACTATTAAAAATAGTTACCAATTTGAGTTTGAAATCAAAATTATTCAATCTTTTTTTCTTAATAATAATTGACCTTGATTGAGTCGGGCTTGAGTCTTTAGATATTTGCTGAAGCTTGAATCTGCAAAATTAAAATTTGACTAAACTTAAATTAGGTTTTAATCTTTAAGTATTGTAATTAAGCTAACTGCAAGTGTAACACTGTATCGGTTTAACTCGACTCGATTATATAGTATTTCAAATGAAATTAAATTAACAATAAAACCCATAAGCATCGAAATGTATAAAACATGACAAATCAAGTTTGAGTCATTTGATTTTATCTTTGAAGTAAGACAAAATTTTAGTATAGACCGACAATGTGGAATTGGGCGCATGTAGAATCCTTTAATTATTTTTTTTTCCCTTTCAATCAATATAAAAATTAATTAATTACAAAATGGTTACTATCCAAAATCACCATTAATTAATTAATTAATAATACCAAATTTTAATGAAATGGACATTTTTTGGAACTTGACATGTCGTTTCCTCCAAGTCGAATATTAGTCATTAAAAAGTGTGTTGTTTTGTTTCAACATGTTCATGCTTCATTCATTGGATTCCTCATCACATGTTTTATTAATTCATTTACTAAATTAATTAATTAATTAATTAATTATATATAATGCTTCTCTTTATGATCCCCAAATGACTTATTTTAATATGACTCATAAACCTCAAAACCCTAACCCTAGTTTCTTATTTTAAGGACTCACCAACCGAAAGGGAATGCTATCGTATCTATCTATATATATAGACAAGCTATTGTAGTTTGTAATCATGCTACATCATATAACTAGTTACTGAGTACTTAGTTCATTTTTCATTCACTTTCACATTTACAAATTCTAGTTTATTTATTCCCACAATATTAAGAAATTGATTTTAGCACGTAAAGTTTTATTTTAAGCAATGATAAAAGAGATTCGAATATAGATTTATTGTCAAATCATACATATATTAATAATTGAGTTATGTATTAGATGAGGTAGGTCAAATTTTTATATAAGCAGAGTTGTGAAGAATTAGGACATCGAATTTAATTATTAAAAAATAAAATGTATTCTGTAACATTATTATAAAAAAAAGACTCACAGAAAAGTCTCCAACAACAATAATTAAGTATCTACATATATTGAAGCTAATTAATGGTGCCATTGTCCAATCATGGAGATAAACAGTAATTAATTTGGTATTAAGATTAAAGTGCAGAGAGGGTATTGTCGAAGCATTTAGAAGAAAATGATGTTTTGTGTCTATAACCTAATCCGATGAGCCTTTGTTGGATTTACGTGCACGCATTTCGAAGTATCCGATGATTGAACCTTATCATTTTACATTTTCTTTTTTTTTTTTTTTTTTTTTAATCCGCCATGAGCCTTTGTTGGCATTACGGCACGCATATTTCGTACAGTACCATGATTGAACCTTATCATTTACATTTTCTTTTTTTTTTTTTTTTTTTTTTTTTTTTTTTTTTTTTTTTTTTTGGTTTATTCCAAAGGCCAAGCTTCGATTATCCCTTAATCAGCTTCCTTGTTCCCTTAATCCATAATTGCAGTACATAATATTTGTTTTTGTAACATCTTTTTCTCAGTAAAATTCTTATGCTACTTCACTTTCAAGTTTCAAACATTTTAATATTTTTTCTCAATAAAAATATAATAATTGATAAAAATCTTTCCATTTTTTTATTAATCTATTGTATTTCATGGCTTACTGATCAATTTCCATCAAGGAAGAATTCTAAAATAATTTTTTCAGAAGTGAGAAAATTATTTTAAAAAAAAAAATAGAAAGGAATAATCCTGGCAGACAAACAAACGAGCATATCTCAGTAGGTAATAAATAAATCCATCAATCATTCTCGAAATTAAATAAACAATTAGATTGGTGTCCCTTTCCTCACTAATCCATCTTAATTACTGATCCCAATAATACAATTTTTATTTATTTATTTATTTTAAATACCTTTTTCTTTTGTCTTTTAATATACAACTTGGAAAAAAATAATTCCCACTTTGCAATTTTTCTCTCCATCAATGTACAAGTATTATTTTTTTATACACCTAACTACAGCAAACTAAATTATAATCTATACCCATTAGCAATAATTATTTCCATGTGAACTTTTGCTGGCTACATATGTCAAAAGTGATATTGATGGTAGAGAAAATAAGTCAAAAGAGAGAGATAATTATTTCCTTTTCTAATTGTAGGAATTATAATTAATTAGAAATTTTGGTAGGGAAATTGGATTACCACTCCTAATTAGTAATTAGAATGTTAAGTCATTTTAACACATTTTGTGCTTGACGGTGACGTTTTAAAGGGACTCAGACAGTTGTATTTTATTAAATATTGCATACACATCAAATTTATTAATATTGTAAAGGCGGAATCCAACATGCGTGTTGACTAAAACTTAAAATGTCGAGATTTACTTCATCAAGTTGATATCGATTTATTTGAGATGTAATATAAAATTATAATTTTATCTTTATATTTTACTGTATTATATAATATTGTTAATATATTTTTAAAAATAAATAGTTTTATCTTAGAAAATTATAATTTTATCATTATATTTTACTATAATATAAAACATTATCCACCTATTTTTAAAAATACATATTTTCATCTCTATCTTTTACCTCACTTATACTGTTAGATTATTCTATTAATTTTTTTATAATTTTTTATTAATAAATTATTATATCATTTTTGTATTTTGTTAAAATTAACTATTTTATCTATATATTTATCTATTACTTTTGTCTCTGAATTTTGTAAACATATATACATGTATTTAACGAAAAAAATTATAAAAACGCAGGAATAAGATCACGTATTTTAATATATCCAACACGACTACGTTTACGAGCAAATATTATCGTCCTGCACGTGCAAGATCACATGACCGAGAGCCGTAAATTAAACAGAAACTTCGTGGGTATATGATAGATAGAGTTAAGTCCAAATGGGTAAGGGACAAACCAAAACTGCTTGGCACGAGTGGCAGCACTACTGACACGAGTCCACATGCTGCCACACGTGTTAAGTATTTTTGTAAATATTAAAAAAAAAAAAAAAAACTTGGCACGAGTGGCCAGGCACTACTGACACGAAGCACATGCTGCCACACATTTAAGATTTTTGTAAAATATTAAAAAAAAAAAAAAAAAAATAAGAGAGTATAGCCACAGGCTTTGCACGTGTCCAATCACTTGCTCACATGCCAGTTGCCAAACTTTTAACAACAGTACAAGTAGTAGTGTTTGGGAGTAAGAAAGGCAATAAGATATTTTGAGAGTCAAAGGTTGAAGTGATTAAGGAGTTATTTCTGGTTGAATAAGATAAGTTGTCCATTATAATTAGTTAGCATAGAAAAAAAAATGGAATCAGTCATATTAAAATGGGATTTTTTTTTTTTTTTTTTTTTTTTTTTTTTTTTTTTTTTTTTTTTTTTTTTTTTTTGCTTCAAGGCCATAATTGTTCTGAAGATTTTGTGTAATGCCTTCATTTTGCATTCTCCTTACCCTTAATTACTTTCTAATATAAATTCAACATCATTAACTATTATACTCAAATGATATTATTGTTAAATCAATTTTTATACATTCCATTTAATTTTTTTCTTATTATAATCTTATAAATGCATATCTTTTAATTTATTAATCATCGGTGACCAGCAGTGATGATATCGATAATTGATAAATATAAAAATATGCATTTATAAAAATATAATAATTTTGTCAATGTTCGGATAATTTTTTTCTCTTTTGAAACTTAATATTTCTTTAACTTGGAAAATATTTCCGTTGATCTATTTTCCAAAATGCCCTAAATATCAGAAAATAGTAACAACTATTTTCCTGTAAGTCACTTTACATAATTTTAAAAAATTATTGTAATTTTTTGAATGAAATCAAGTGTCAACATTCCATTCTAATATATAAGAAAGAAAAAAACGCTTTTACATTATTTTTAAAAATATATTTTAATAGAATTTGGTTGAATTAAATTTATAGAATTTAAATTTTAACTTTTTTATTTAAAATATAAAAATTAAAAATTTAAATAAATTTTATAAAATATTATGGAATTCATTTATTGCAGGGGTAGAGCTTGAGTTCAAAATAGAGTTAGAAGATTTGACTTTTGTTAAAGAAGTCAAGGAGCCGGTTTGTGGGCCTAATGGAGGCGTCTGTTTATATTGTTTAAGAGACCTACAAACTTTGGGCTTTCGATGACTGAGAGTGACTTAAAGTTTTTGGACTCCATCGATATGGCTACTCTAGTGGGGTCCACTTTTCCCCTTAGATTTAAAAAATTTTTAAAAAGATAGAAAAACTTGTCTTTAGACACCGACTTCTAACAACTTTTTTTTTTCTCCTTGTTTGTTTTGTTGGTCCCTTTTTCTTTTCTTTTCTTTTTTTTTTTTTTCTTTTTACTCTTAAAAATCAACCCTGGCCCCATCATCTAATTATTTCTTTCGATCTAAATTTATTTACTTGACATTTCTCTTTTTTTTTTTATTCGGAGTGCATTATTGAGGGTAATAACTACATCATGCTCGCATCATGATGACATCTCAACTTGAACCCGTATCCCAAATGTTTGACCCGATCCATGTCCACTCTTGTACAAATTCTTTCCTTTTTCATAAAATGTGACAATGTGTACACTTTTCTATTAAATACATGCACAAGATAATATTAAAATCTATTTTACGAGCAAGAATATGAGCTTATCAAGTTCAAATAAAAATAATTTTTTAATTATAATGTGAAAATAAAACATTGCATAGATAAATAAATTATAATTTGTGATAATAATATATTAATATGTGGAATTTTTAACAATTTAAGTTATTTTTCAGTAAAGTGTGCTTTTTCGAAAATTAAATTTCTATTTTTATTATTATAAGTATTGAAACCGTCCCGACTAATACCGTATTAATTATGAACATTGAAAATTTTAATAAAGCGAAAATCAAATAGGTAGTGATGACTTTACCAAGAATTTATTACCTCTAAAACACTTTAAAATGAATATATACATATAGTGAAAATAAGAATTGCAGTTGACTACCTAACAAGACGTAATCATAGCCAATAAGAATTGTAGTTGACCCATTTGTTTGACGTAGTTGAGATATGTTTCGATTGGTCTACTTTTGTCAACCTTAGCATTCATCCAAAATGTATTATTCTAATTAATCTTATTTTTCAAGTAATAATCATTACCACTTTATCGTGGTTACCACTTCTTATGCAATAGCAATTCTAATATCTCTCTTTTGTTTTATTAATTAATATGATTAATTTCATCTATAATTTAAAGATAGTATATATCAAGAATATAGTTTTCACACAAATGTAAATCAAAACGACCTACAACTACAACGCTGTAAACCACGTAAAATCAAATAATTTTTTCCAATTCGAAAAGTCCACTATAGGCCCATAGGTGAAAATAAGTAGCCCAATAAAGAGCGCAAAATGTATAGGGCCTGCTAAGCCCAAATTTAAACCTGTCATCTTCCATGTTCATTCCAAGCTTCGAATTCGAATGCCTGAAAGTTTGATACTATCAGACATTCGGAATCAAAAACCCTACCTCTACCCTAAAATCATATCTTAACTTCAATTTTCATTTTATTTTTTCAAAACAAGAACGATGTTTCTGGCAAAGACATGGTTATCAAGGAGCTTCTCAACTCTATCTTCTCATCCTCTACGCGTCTGTGTTGTTGGCAGTGGACCAGCTGGCTTCTACACCGCCGAGAAAGTAATACTTCAAAACATTAGGGCATTTTTCAGTTTTTTTTTTTTTTTTTTTTTTTTTTTTTTTTTTTTTTTCTGGTGTTTGTGTTTAAATTGTAATGTCAGATGTTGAAGGCCCACGGAGAAGCGGAAATTGATATCATCGATCGATTGCCAACGCCGTTCGGTTTGGTACGCTCCGGCGTTGCACCTGATCATCCTGAAACAAAGGTGTGATTTTTCAAATTTTAAATTTGCAAAATTTTATGGTTTAATTCACAGAATTTGTGCCTTTCATGAATTTTCCCTCCTTTTTTCTTGTCTGGAAGCTAATAGTACTAATAGTAAGTTTAGAATTTGAAATTTTCAAATTATTGAATGACTTCACGTTGGGTAGATTATTTTACACAATGTTTAACGTTAGAGTTTGATTTTGCTGCAGTATTTATTGAAAGTGGTGATAGTTTAGCATTTGGCCTTTACCCCACAAATTATGAATATTTCCTTAAAGTTTTGTTCTTTTCCTTTTCCTTTCACTTTGAATTGGCGTAAAATAATCGTCTTATTTGAGCTTATTTACCAGAAAACTTGCAACAGATTGTGATAAACCAGTTTTCAAGGGTTGTGCAACATGAGAGGTGCTCATTCTTTGGAAATGTCACTCTTAGTTCTTCCATTTCTCTAGCTGAGCTTCGTGAGCTATATCATGTGGTAAGGCTCCCCCCCTTCATTGGATGGGAATTATCATTTTCAAAATACTGTTTTTCAGTTACATATTTGTTTTATATGCTTTATGAGTCAGGCTAACTCTTAAAAATGCAAAAACAGGTTATTCTTGCCTATGGTGCTGAAAGCGATAGAAACCTTGGTATTCCTGGAGAAGTATGTTGCATGGAATGAAAAAATAAAATTATATGATTTCCTCCTTTTCCGATGTTTTCTTTTTTGTTTACAGATGTCTTGCAGTTATGCTTTTGACATATGCGATGATTATGTTGCAAATAGATTGCAGCTGCTTATATCTTTCATATGCATGTTTTTGCAGGATTTGTTGGGGATACACTCAGCTAGAGAATTTGTTTGGTGGTATAATGGGCATCCAGATTGCAAAAACCTGAATCCTGATTTAGAAAGAACTGATACAGCTGTAATTTTAGGCCAGGTGTGCTCCTTTTTAGATTAGCGGAAGGCATTTATAGAATTTTGAATTGTGACAAATGAGGGTTATGCATTATGTAATATATGAATTTTTTTAGAACCATAAGAATGTTGTGAAAATTTCCAATTCTAAGTGTGTCTAGAATTTGAGTTGAATTATGGGAGCAGAAATATCACAATTCTAAAATTATATGTAGCAGAACTGTAATGTGATAATACTACCACTCTACATTCCGATGGACTGTAGCTCTTGTCAAATATGTAATATGCAAATATGAATGACACTTAAAAGTAACATAATTTTGCATATTTCTTAGGGAAATGTAGCTCTTGATGTTGCTCGTATTCTTCTACGTCCTACAGCAGAATTGGCAACAACTGATATTGCCAGCCATGCTTTGGCTGCATTGGAACAAAGCTCTATAAGGTTTTCCCTGATTTGATAGTGACCAGATGGATATGCTGTGGTCTACGAAGTTTCATGTTTTGACTGTATGAGTATCATCACAGGAAAGTCTATTTAGTTGGAAGACGTGGACCAGTCCAAGCGGCTTGTACTGCAAAAGAGCTACGTGAAGTTCTTGGTAATTCTTAACATTTTGTCACTTTCTTTCTTTAACTATAATTTGTTCTCTTTGTTTTCCTGATTCGAAATATAGTTTATGATAGTTTGTTTAAATGAGACGTAATATGTTGTTTTCTGGCTTCATGAGGCACTAACAGTACTGATAATAACTTTTTAAAGTGGTGAAGATCATTTCTGCTTACAAGATGGAGTTTCATTTTTGAACTTCTGTGCTGATTCTTTTGCATGATGAAGGATTTGGAAACCATCGGTTAACCTGCAATTAATTTTATGTTTATGCTTATCTGTACAAAGTATGCATGTTGTTTATTATGTGCATGACCTGCTGTAAATTAGCCTGCACTGACTTTTTATTCGTATGGTCTTTATAATCATGCTTTATGCATTTGCTATGTCTTTCATTGCTTGTAGTCATTGGCCTCTGGTTTCCTGATCTTGTTAGTTTTTCAGAACTCCAATACTGGTACAATCTTGTTGCAGGTATTAAAGATTTGTATATTCACATCAAGGAAGTCGATTTACTTAAAAGCTCTGAAGATGAGGTATATCTCAACGCTGTTCTTTTTTTTTTTTTTTTGGGCATTAATGAAGGATTATCGGAATTTGATATAATTGCTTGCTTTTGATTTGAACTCACATCAACTAGCCCAATTTTGTATTTGAACAAAAAACTAGCGGTTCAGCTAACCTGAATGTCCCCACACCTATTCTTGGCGAAAACTGAGGGTCTCCTACTAGGTTGTTTATGACCAATCTCCTGTTATGTATTTGATAAAACCCAATTATGATGTAAGAGATGATAAGGCTTTGTTAAGTAAAATGAGGAGTGATGCAATGTCTACCTAGGGTTCTTATTTGTTGAATAATTAGTAGTTTAATACTTGGTTCACCGAACTGATACAGCTCAAGTTCTAGCACCAACCTGATTAAATTTTTATCTTTTTCTTTTTTTTTTTTTTGTGTGTGTTCTTTACCTGATGCTTCCTATTGATTGTTCCTGTATTATTGTTCTGTCTTTTGACGAAGGAAGAGCTGAAAAGCAGTAGAATTCAGAGGAGGGTCTATGAGTTGCTCTCTAAGGCTGCCGCCTCAGGACCTTCCCATCCCAGTTCAGGTCAAAGAGAACTTCACTTTGTTTTCTTCCAGAAACCTGATAGGTTTCTATATTCTGGTGACCAGACTGGTCATGTTGCTGGTGTGCACTTTGAGAAGACTGTTCTTAAAGGTACTCTATGTCAACAGATCTGCTGCATCTGTCATCTCATATGTTTCTTCACTTTCAATCTTTCGATGCTGCTGCCACACAACATGATCCAACCTAAATCTGTCTCAAATAGCCTTGTAGGCAAACTTGGTTATCTGATTCGCCATTACAATAATCAAGATTATAATGGAAGAAATGAGATAAAAGCGTTAAAAATCCGGAAAACTCTTTTTAGCATAATTAGAGTTCAATGGAGTAGATGTCTTTTTTTAACTTTATGAGTCATGTTCAATTTGATGTTGAAATGCTAGTTCTTAAATGGCTTTATCTAATCTCTGCAGGTGTTGGCCCTGGAAAACAGGTTGCTGTAGGTACTGGAAAATTCGAGGATCTTGACTGTGGGTAATTATTTTGGCATATACCAAACATTGTATAATTGGGGAACATTCTGTTGGTTCTATTGTGAAACCACTAGTTGGGATGCTCTACTGATTACAATTTATAACTAACTTTTTCTGTTTGTAGGATGGTGCTAAAGAGCATCGGTTATAAATCAGTACCTGTTGATGGTTTACCCTTTGATCATCAGAAAGGTAATTAGAGAAGTGAGGGTTCATCAGCCATTATCATTAGGACTTTCCATATTTTTTTGCTTATCAATTGAAATTTATGTTGTCTTCAAAAAAGCTCTTTAAGCTGGATATTGACTGAAATGTTCTTCAAACCAACTTCTATTTTCTTCCAAAGTTAACAACTGCAGAAAGAAACTTTTGAAAATCTTACAAAGAAAAAAAGAAAAAGAAAGAAATAAAGAACCTCTTTTGTCTAAAAGTTTGACCCTTTTGAGTAAGTGCTTCCAATTCTGTATCAAGATATAGGTATATGAAAGGCATTTACTCGTGTTCTTACCTAGTCTAAGCATCTATTGAAACCATATGAGAGACAGCTTTGCCTCTAGTGGTACTGAATATGTGTGTTACAAAGCTTAATGCTCATTTACTCATTATGAGGCTTCTTTTCCAGGAGTGGTTCCAAATGTTGGTGGTCGAGTGCTCACTGATGCTTCAGGAGATACAACACTGCTCGAGAACGGCTTGTATGTTTGTGGGTGGTTGAAAAGAGGACCTACTGGGATTATCGCTACAAACCTCTATTGTGCTGAAGAAACTGTAAATTCTCCTGCATTTGATTGACTGGAAGTCGTACACTTAATTTAATTAGCTGTGTTGATAATTGAGATCTTGTCATGATAGGTTGCAAACATATTACAAGACCTTGAACAAGGAACACTTGCTGGTGCTACTAGTTTGTCAATGCCAGGCAGAGAAGGACTCCTCGAGTTACTTGATGATAGAAATGTTAGAGTAGTACCATTCGATGCTTGGGAAAAGATTGATGCTGAAGAGAAGAGGCTTGGGGTTCCGAGAAACAAACCAAGAGAAAAGTTAACCACATGGGAAGACTTGCTGAAAGTTGCAACAGAGTGACAGCCGCTGTTTAGTCAATTTTTATTTTAGAAAAAAAAAAATAAAAATCATTTATACATCTGTAAGAATAAAAGTTAAAACGTTTGATTTGAACTGAGGAATTATCATTTTTTATTTTTTTTTGAGAGGGAATTTAATTTTCATTTATCTTCTAAACTTGTTGAAACCAGTATTTCTGTCTAATCGTCTGGTTTCAATATCCCTTTCACTAATTTTAATTTTGTTGGGTCTTTAATCTAGCAACCATATCTTACTTCCATAATTTCAATAGCAAAAGTGTTTGTGGGCAAAGTCAATTCCCACCACGCTTTTCAATCCTAAAGCACTTGTAAAAAAAGCATCCAATCTTCTTCGAAGTTAGGTCTTCCATTACTTACACTATTGTGGATCTTATAATTGAAAGATTGAATTTTTATTAGGATCACTCTGAGCTTCTAATGTCCCATCTAAATGGTCTCATTTATTGCTCCATCAGGATTCCAACTACATAACCTCCACTAAAACTTTGCCAAATGCAGCTGCCAAGCTAAAGAAAGCTTCTCCTTTTTAAGGAAACAACTACAGATGTCCTCTGACTTGAATTTGCACTAGTTTGGTCTAAATTAAATCATTTATGGGAAACACAACATTTTGGTGACATGATATTCTCATGCATATAGTATTTCTGAGAATCTCCCAATAAAAAGATCACCTTTGAAAGTCAAAAATCTCCACAATGTCAGTATTTGGCCATTTGAAATTAGGGTTCTTGCAAGCTACATCAAATTTATTTTCTGACATCATTTAAAAAAAATTAAAAAAATTCCAATATCTCATCTGTGTTTTATAGATCCATACCATTTTTGAATTTGAGTTGAGACAAAAATTTGAATTGTTTCCTTTTCTCTAATATGCATAAACTTTGATTACTGATGTTCTTGATGGTGGTGGAGGTGGGATCTGGAAAAAGGGTGAAATTGAAAGGCAGTCTTGCTGATGTTAAATTTTTTTATTTAACCTTTCTAATACCAGAGTTGATTTCTTGCAAAGGTTCTTTACTTTTGAGCATTGCTAGCTACTTTATCTTATCTCCTTTCTTGTTAATTGTCTCTTTTAATTAATCATCAAAGCTGATTGATAGGATGTTTAATGCCCAGATCTAATCTTAATCATTTGCCTATTGCATTGAATTTGAATGATAATTAATCTTTGTCCAGTTTTTGCAGTCATCACCCTAAAAAAGATTGCTTTTTTCATAAAATTACAATTTTAGTGGAAAAAAAGAAAAAGTTTGAAACTGTTGGTTATTAAAGGCAATTTATTACTCCTCTAATCAAATATTTAAACATCATAAATTGTTTGTGTAGTGCATTAAATGGCTATTTTGCCAGTGAGTTATAAACCAGTGATATTAGAGTTTTTTTTTTTTTTTTTTTTTTTTTTTTTTAAATGGCAATTTATTACTCCTCTAAATCAAATATTTTGAACACATCAGAGAAACATTTGTTTGTGTAGTGGCATTAAATGGCTATTTTGCCAAGTTGAGTTATAAACCTAGTGAATTGAGAGTTTTTTTTTTTTTTTTTTTTTTTTTTTTTTTAACTGTTCAAGGAAGTGGGTGTAAGATAAAAAGTGTGGGGCTTCTTTTATTAGACACATCATGCTTGAGCCCTTACTGTTTTTTTTTTTTTTTTTTTTTTTTTTTTTAACTGTCAAGGAAGTGGGTGTAAGATAAAAAGGTGTGGGCTTTTTTTATTAGACACATCTGCTTGAGCCCTACCTGTCCTTGTCATTTGTCAAGTTTCAAGCTCAATATAGCAACCAAAGTCCACTAAGTTTTTGTATGTGACCAGTCTCCACTGAGAAAGCATTTGTGGCTAATTATTTTGAGAGATTCCATACTCAAATTCATCAAATGCAGCCACTTTGTTTTATGTTCCAATAATTTGGAGTGACTTTTAGTTTCAGGCCACAAATTTAAAAAAAAAAAAAAAATTACAAAGACATATGCTTCAATTCTATTTTGTAATTGTATTTGCAGTGCTGTTTATTTTTTAAAAATTTGCAAAAAAAAAAAAAAAAACATTTTTAATTAACCATATATGTTCTTGTTATTTTTTTAATTAACCATATAAAAAAACATTTTTATAGTTAAAAGTGACCATTCAGGTAAATTTTCCTAGATGGGGATTTTGGGAGTTGGGACAAAAAAGATTGTGATTCTTACAACCTCTTTCCCTTAAGCTGAATCAAATCTTTGGATGGGGTCAGCACTCACCACTATTGCTGTTTCAAAGATTCATACTGTCTCTTTGCCTTTTTTTTTTATTTTTTTTATTTTATTTTTTTAAGTTTTTACCTCTCTATCTATAGTCTTTACTCTTATTATGACTCCCATTGCACATTATTTTATGTTTTTTTTTCTTTTTTTATATTTTCATATGTAGAAAAAAAAAATGCAAAAAAGCATTTGTCCTGTTAGGTGCTGCTTTTCATGGGAATTTTGCCTTTCACTTGGCTATTAAAAATAATAATATTGACAAAACAATTCTATTTCTAAAGATGTATTGTCATATAAAACTTCATTTTATTTTTAAAATTAAATTTTATGGCCACAAGATTCCAAATATATTTATTGAGTTTGCATTTGGTTCATTGGATATCCTGTTTCAAAATTTGGACCGTCAATTTTCAAAATGTGTTAAATTAGACTTACTAATTAATTTGACATGAATATTAATTATCTAAAGATAAAAAAATAATTTTTTATTTCCAACTCGTCATCCGTATCAATTTTTTATAGTAAAATTTAATTAAAAAAAATCGTAATAGGAGTGGTTTTATATTACGTAATTAAAATTCAGACACCAGAATCAAAGAGAAGATTATTTAGATAACGACGTGGAATTATGGTAACAAAAGTGCATAGAACGGGGGACCCACAAATTGCCTCCCATGAAATGAGGTTTGCCAAACACGAATGGTACGTGCCATGATATAATGACTCACAAAGGAGAAGCCAAACTTTTCTTTCTGGAGCACTGCTCAATGACACTTCTACTCCTCTCACTGTGCCATATCTTCTTGGGCCCTACTCTCCACAACAGCCAGCAATTCAAGCGCAATGACCCCACATTTTTCACCTTGTGGGTCCACCCTAGAGATTCTCCTTAAGAGAAGATTTTTTTTATATATAAAAATGCACAGGAGAAAAAAAAAAAAAGAAGAAAAATAATTTTTTGTGGTCAATTCATTTTATTTTTTAATAGTTTAAGTCCATAAATTTTTTATAATATTTTTCTTTTAGAAAACAATCCTTGTCCTTATTCTACACTAGTAGGTTTGTCTTATCGTATTAATTAATGTCTTTTTTTCAGTAAAAATATGTTTATTTTCTTTTTTCATTTGTTCAAATTAGAATTTTATAATAAAAAGTAATTTTTTATTATATTTTATTTAATCTTTATCTTTTTATACAAATGTATTACTGCTATTAATTTTTAAAATAAAATCTTGAAATAGATTGCAACTAATTAAAATATGATTCCTAATTTATTAAAAAAATTATAAGAATATATGAGAAAAATATTAAGTTTATTATAATTTAATCATATAATTTTTTTTTGTAATCCATGTAAAAGTCAAATTAGACCTATTTTTATCAGGTTTAATTAGTACAAATTATGATTTAATTTTGAGAATCATATTATAAATGTGAACTTTTTTTATTCACGAATATTCTAACTTTATTCTGAATAATTTTGTCCTGAACATAATAAATAAATGATATAAAAGTTAACATATAATGCTATTTTGCCATTGAATAAAAAAATGTAACAAAAATTGAAAAAAAAAGGTACATGAATTTAATACGGTGGACAAGAACTAACATTAATTAAAAAATCTAAAAAAAATAAAAATAAAAATAAAAAGGTATTTCTTCTGAAGAATAAGTTATAATGGGAAATAATTAGAATAATTGCACAAAAAAAGAAAATACTAGTTGAATCCCATAGTCACGAGGTGAAGACACAAAATAGGAAACATTCCACTCCATTATTATTATTATTTTAATGACCTTATTGCCCCGCCAAAAAGCATGTACAATGTTTATTTTAATTCTAAAAAAAATTCCATTGTAAACGCACTTTTTGGCGTTGGTCTAACACCTCCCGACATTAATCATTAATCACAAAATTTAAATAGTGTCAATTACACCTTTAAATTCACTCTTGTTCAGCAATTATTAAAGCCTTGATAATCAATAGCAAAAGAAGAAAATGTAGACACAACATATGATTTGTTTATATTGTCGGACCTAATGGAATTTAATAATGAAAATTATATATTTTCAAACTATAAATACGTGATGAGCTACACTTGAATTAAATTAAATTAAAGCACGGTTTTTTTTAAGCTGTGGTTTTTTTTTTATATAAATTTTATTGAAATTAAATTTCAATTTCAATTATTTTTTTAAAAATTAATTTATATAATGAAAGCTTTTAATATTAAATTCAAGATTAATTCTTATATTTACTCTTCAATATGCGAGTTTAAAATTTAAAAATATTTAAATGTTAAAAGTAAAAAATATAAAGTTCATGCGAATCTAACCGTCTGCTTATCTTTAATTTTTCACCTAAAAAGTTTTAAGTTACAATATTTATTATGCGAGTTTTAAAATTTAAAAAATATTTAAATGTTAAAGTAAAAAATATAAAGTTCATGCGAATCTAACCGTCTGCTATCTTTAATTTTTCACTAAAAAAGTTTTAAGTTACAAATATTTTATTTTTTTTCCGTTATATAAAACTTTTGTTTAGACGTTTTTTTTAAAAAAGAAAAAAAGAATTGAACTTGGTTAATACAAATATTCGAAAAAGAGATTAATTTGCGAAACTGAATTTTAAACTTGATAGTTTATGTAAAAGAAATATAAAATGATAGCAATATAAATATTTAAAGGTGATAAGCATAATTTTTTTAACAAATATTCGAAAAAGAGATTAATTTGCAACTGAATTAAAACTGATAGTTTATGTAAAAGAAATATAAAATGATAGCATATAAATATTTAAAGTGATAACATATTTTTAATTGATTATGCAAATAATAAAATGTAAAGTATTATATTTAACCGTTTCATTCGGTAATACCATCTCTATACTCGTAAAATCTCCACTATTGTTGAAAGATACATCCCACAAATTGTGATACTTTCAGTTTTATTTTCCAATCATCTTTATTTATATTCAAATTTTCAATTATGTCGTACTTTTTGCTTGTATTTAATAGTTTATGGCTGTAAATATATGTTAAATAATCTTTAAAAAAAGAGACAAAAAAAAAAGTTTAATACTATGTTGCTCAAAGTTCTTAATTGACAAAATTACTTGAAAGTTTGGTTATTCATTATGTTTGTCTAACTCTTTAATTTATAAATTTTAACTTGTCATTTTAATTTTTAGTTTAATAAAAAATTTGTAGGAATAACTTAAATTATTTTAAAAAATAAATGAATTAATAAGAATGGGTAGGATATGGTTTACCGTTTTGAGTGGTGAAAAGTAATTGGCTTACAGTTTTTTTTTTTTCTTTTTTGTGAACATGCAATTTCATTGACAAGAAATTGGTTTATGTTGGAAAGATCGAAACGAATAATTGAATATATTTTCTTTTCCTTTTCCTTTTTGAGATACCGTCGACTCCACAACATAACGCCGTTTTGTCTCCCAACAACCCATACGTCGGCGTAGACTTATCTTTCAAACCGTGCCAACCTTTTTTTATACCGTGCCCACTTTAATTTGAAGGAAATAATGGATTTTTTTTATTTAATTACCTATTTTTCTTGTTATTATTATTATTTTTTAAATACTCACATGAAAGTGATTGAATAATATAAAGTTTCATATTTATTTTATTTATATAAAAAAGTGAGTAAGTTATATTTGAGTGTGAATAAAAAATCAAAAATATTATTTTGTTTAAATAAGAAAATGTTTCATTAACTAATTTTCATAATTTTTTTTATCTGTTGATTCAAAGGGTTTGTGAGCTATGTAACATTTTTTACTCACGAAATCAGTGAAAATCCTTATCTAATTTCCACGTAAGTGACAACAACCAGCCAAGTATTCGTGCATTAGAATTGATGGTGTCTTTTTTGCAATAAGTTAAAATTAATGTTTATTTTTTGAAAAACATGATAAAAAAATATTTCTGATGTCATATTTCAAAGTTATGACCACCAAAAAAAGGAAAAGAAAACATTTAAATTAATGATTAGGGACAAAATTGATTTTATTTAGAGTAGTTTTTGCTGTTTCCAAAACCCCATCTACGCATCAGCAGGACCAGCACTGAGCAACAAATTTTTGTCCCAACCTTTAATCCAGAAAAAGTAAAAAAAAATTTTTAAAGAAAGAAAGAATCCAAGCACATTTTCCAGGAAAATCCCACAACACTCCAAAACCCAAACAACACCACAACATAAAACGTACAAAATACAAATATACACAACACAGAGTCAGTTCCCTTTCATCCCCACATTATTTATTATTTATTATTATTTTTAATTAATCTTTACGCTGCCCATTTTTTATTTTTCAGGTTTTTAATTTTTATTTTAAAATTAAACATGTGTCTCCTGTCAGCTTTCTCTAAATTCTCTCACTTTCCAGGACATGCAATTTCTTTTTCTTTGCTTTTCTATATTATTATTAAAACCTTTTTCTTTTTCTCAGTATCCAAACAACATAACATCCAAAAAATCTCTCGTCATTTTCTTTCCTTTTCCGTTTTTTCACTTAGCATCGCGTTCGCGGCAGCGATTTTCTACCATGCTCCTGTTTCAAAATTCGAGACAACTATTTTCGGGAACCATCGAACCCGATCCCTTTCGTTCCGTCGTTTTCTCCGATTCTCCGTCTGGGGCGCATCACACACGTCGTCATCTTCTGTCTGCGCAAGTTAGCATTCTGGGCGCAGTTTTAGGTGTAAACTAAAAAGAGTGGAATATCGGAAAGTCTGCCCGGAGACTTTCTGTGACCTGTCGGGGTGGTTGCCCACATAACTCATATAATTTATCATTATTATATTACAATTATATATAAAAACAAAATAGAAATCTTAAAAAATAGTAAGAAATTAATTATTAATTTTTTTTCATTAAACCTCTTATCCTTTTTAATTTTCCGTTTTTTGTTTTTTCATGTCTCTCCCACAGTGGAATGGATTATATAGAGCGTAAACAGAGGAATGAAAAACAATACCTCGAGGAAGCTTTTTCCACTTCATAATTTAACCAAACCGCATTTCTCTGCTTACAGTGACATTTTATATTTCTCTGCTTCCATCAATCCAAAAGGGGTTTCTTCTTTTTCTTTATTCTCGTCTCGTTCATCTTCATAAACATTTCATCGTTTTTTGGATGTGATATCACCTAGCTTTCCTTGTTTGAGATTTGTTCATGTCTATATTGTTAGAGCTTATCATCTGAGATTCCTTCTATGGAAAACTCTGATAACAACTTCTCTAGTGGTGGTCTTAACTTGAAAGCTACCGAGTTGAGACTCGGGTTACCTGGCTCTGAGTCACCGGAGAGGGAGAATGAAAACTCACAGCTGAGTATTGGTTTAAACAATAACAATAACAACATCAACGGCAGCAGTAGTAATAGTAAGTGCTTTGTGTCAGGTGCTAAAAGGGGTTTCTCTGTTGCCATTCATGGTGGTTCCGGCAACTGGTTCTCTGGCAGTGCTGGATCTGAGCCTGATTTTTCTCCCAGAGGAGCTAATGCTGGAAAAGTGATTGCTGGGTCGGATTCTGGTCCGGTTGTCAAAGAAGGTGTGCCCCAGTCTCCGAAAACAGTCGCGCAGGATAAGAAGAATCAAATTACTGGAGTTAATGGCCATGGAATCGCTCCTGCTTCTAAGTAACTTACTAGCTATCTGCTTCTCTCTTTTTTTTTTTTCTTTTGATTCTTGACTTTTGACTTTTGAGAAAGGGTTTGTTTTTACATGTTTCCTCTTGTTACGCTGGCTTTGAGTCTTTATTTGTTGATTTTCTAAACTATTATTTTCGTGGTTTTAATGACTTTTGGCTAGTTCTCTTCCGTCTCAGGTAATTTGGGAAAGAATAGAAATAAAAATTTGAGTTATGTTTTGTGTTTTAGTCCAATCTAGAGAAGAAGAGTGATGATGATGAAAACTTGTTTATTTTAGGAGATTGCTGTACTTTTAATTAGCCCAAAATAGCTAGAATTTCGTTTTCTGAATGAAAATACTGCAGGAACTATGCGTTATATAGAGAAGAATAGAGTGAAGATGATGAAAAAAGTGTTTAATTTTTAAGGAGATTGGCTGTACTATTTAATTAGGCCAAAAATGAGCTAGAATTTCGTTTTCTGAATGAAAAATACTGCAGAACTATGCGTTATAATATATATATTATATATATATATATATAATATATATATATATATATATATATATACAAAAATACTAGTATTGGCTTAAGGCTTTCATTTATGCTCTTTGTTAAGAAAAGCAAAATATAGGAGAAGTATTGTTTAAGATTTCTTTCACATATTAAGAGAGCAAGTTCTGCTCTGAATGATCTTTCCTATTTCATATATGGCTTAAGCTTTCCATTTATGCCTCTTTGTTAAGAAAGCAAAATATAGGAGAAGTATTGTTTAGATTTCTTTCACTATTAGAGAGCAGTTCTGCTCTGAATGATCTTTCCTTTCCCTATAATTATTAACTAATTGGTTTATGCCCTTTTTTTTTCGGGCTTACCTTATTATTGAACTTTCTCAAACAGTGCCCTTATTCTGGTTTTCTTGTATCTTTCCACGCACTACATGAAATGCAGTGAGCGTTGGAGGTCCCATATGATTTCTATTCCCACTTTTCATGTTCATTATGCGGGAATTTAGATAAAAGAACAAGGGTTTAGACATGCTTTTGCGAATTTTGAAGCCCATAGATCTTACTGTTTTATATTCTACTCTCTGGCCTTTCGGCTGGAAATTGGATCTCCTAATTTACAGTACAATTTATTGTGTTACCAAGAGTTGTTGTAAACAGATCCAAAATAATCTCTTCTTTGCGTTGATTTGTGACAGAGCTCAAGTTGTGGGATGGCCACCAATCCGTTCCTTCCGAAAGAACACAATGGCTTCTCATCCTCCAAAGAATGATGATGATGCAGAAGCCAAGTTGGGATCAGGATGTCTGTATATTAAGGTCAGTATGGATGGTGCTCCTTATCTGAGGAAAGTTGATCTCAAAACCTATGGCAGCTATACGGATCTTTCTTCAGCACTGGAAAAAATGTTCAGCTGCTTCACCATTGGTAATCTCTCTTTATAACGCATCTCATGTAATCATGTTTTATTTTAGCATCTTCAACTGCCAATATCTCTGTGCCTGTCTCTATGTCCTGCTCAACCAATTCTTTCTAATTCTGTCAACAACTTTCATTATATAAATTGTTCTCATGATGCTTGAGATAAACTTTTTCATTTGTTCAAACAAAGGGTCAGCATCCTCTTGTACTCGAGAGTGGAAAGTGATCTCATGAGTTCACCCAGGATCTTTTTTTTTTTTTTGGCTTAAAAATATTGCGCATTAATTAGTAGCATGTTGTGACGATTTTATTTTGGAAAATATGCAAAGGTCAATTTTGAAGCATGCAAAGGCTAATTTCCTAATTGATCTAGCATAAAGCCATTAATAAAAAAAGAATTGATCCTTCAAAAGTATGGTGTGAAAAGCATTGAGTGATTCCAAAGATTCAGGATTCCCAGCTGTCATGATTTAATTATGGCAGTGTGGCAGTTGAGATGACAGCCATGACTGTAAGATTGAAGCTGGAAATAGTTAATGTTGAAAATTAATTCTTTTATCTGACCTTTGCAACATGCAACTTTTGTATTCTTTTTTAGCATGCATGCACTTTCTCATTCCACATCTCATTATTGAAAACGTAAGTAGCACCTTCTATCTGAAGGAAGCTAATTTCTGCTTATAAATAACTGATTCAGGTCAGTGTGGTTCTCATGGAGTTCCCAGCCGAGATGGATTGAGTGAGAGGCGAATAATTGATCTCCTGCACAGTTCTGAATATGTGCTCACCTATGAAGACAAAGATGGCGATTGGATGCTTGTCGGTGATGTTCCTTGGAAGTAAGTCTGATTTCCAAAGCATATTTCTGATAGATATCTGATTACTGCCTAGCAGCACATCTAGGTTGGATGTGCTCTAGTAATTATTAATTTCTAGTTACTAAGATGCATGGATGATAAGCAATTAGACAAACATCTTGTGGTCATCCGTTTTATGAAATAGAGGTTTGCTTCCCCGGTTTGGTACTCGAGCATCAATGCTGTAAGCTGATACGGCGCAACATGAAGATTATGGTCTGCATTCATTTAACTGCAATACTTTATTGTCCTGACTACCAAATCATGAATTGGTCTAAGTGCTATTTTGTACTTATTACAGTGCTATTCCGGTGTTTGTATAGCACTCTATCTTCTTGATTTTACTATTGTTTATTTTTGCAGGATGTTCACTGACACTTGTAGGAGGCTGAGGATCATGAAAAGTTCAGAGGCAATTGGCCTAGGTATGTTCTGTCAAACATAAAATGCAATGAACGAATTTCTACTTCCACATCTTGTCATCATATCTTAGAGTATTTTTTCCGCTTCTCTTGGAAAAAAATTGAGCCAATTTGCTGTATGTGCATAAATATTTCCTTCTCATTTTTTCGTCTCAATCATTTGAAGACTAAGATTTCCCATTACATTTTTCATCTTTTCCTATTACTATCACATCCTCCTGATGGTTCGAATTTGGTTAAGCCTTCACTATTGTATGTCAATATTTGCTTCTCGCAGCCCCCAAGAGCCATGGAGAAGCGCAAAAGTCGTAACTAGTGAGGTATTGTCACTATAGATGGATAGTATCCTCTCCAGGCATATGATCACAGATGCTTCTGCTACTTGATTGTCGAAAGCCTTTCATGGGTCTCAAAATTGAGTCCTTCATTTCCGATTTATGTATGTTTCTAGATATTGTATTAGGACTTGGTTGTACTAAAAACAATCTCTTTCCAGTAGGCAAGATAAAATGTTGTGAACACTCAGGTGTTATAGGTTTTGTGTTCTCCCCCAGGTTTCTTATGTAATCTGATTTCTGGATGATCAAGGCTACAAATATTGTCTGAATATTGTTTGTTCTCTACCCCCCTGTAATTGATTGTTTGATGTATATGATTGATTGCAAGTTGCAAGATTGTGGATGGAAATGTTCCCAAGAGGACAAACGCCTTTCTAATCAGTAAGCACTATAGTTTCTTGGTTTCAGCTTATCTAGCTCTAAACGCTATTAAGATCAAAAGTTGACGGAGACTAGATGCTTCGCCCGATGTCAATGACTCCGTATTATATTAATCAAAATACATAAACAAACTATTATTTAAATTAAAGCAATACAAATATAAATCGTAATAATTTTCTGAAAAATTATCCATTCAAGTCGATTAAGTGTACAAAATTAAACAATCTGCACACAGCACATAAATGAAAAATTAAAAATATTTTTATTATTAGTGCTATTATGTTATATATATTAATTATTTTTTTTAAAACATTTGTATTTCATATTATTTCGTTATTTAAAAAAATTTTTGATAAACCAATATGAGTTGAAGCGCGTCCTGTTGCACGTATGCACGAATCAGAGGTTGTACAAGAGTATTTTGGCCATGCTACAATCCAATTTTTTTTTTTTAAAAAGAAAAAAAGAAAAAGAAGAAGAAAAAATAGAATAAACCTCAATCCTAGGCCCATATATAATTGCAATCTTAAACCTCATATCTATTCGAAAGCCCATATTTATCCAAAAGCCCATACCTTAACCCTTGTTCTTCCTCCACTCTACACATTAACAAAACCCGCTTCTTTCCAAAACCAGAAGAACCGCTGCTTCTTAAATAGCTTGGCTTGTCAGGTACACCGATATATAAGAACACTCTCAACGGCACCAACAAGTAAATCTTTCGGAGCCCTTGCCTCTCTGACGGAGTGTTTCATATTTTCTTTTTTTTTTTTTTTGAAAT